ATCCTGGAGTAGTTGCTACTGTGCCAGTTGGTACTTTAATGGAGAATGCCGACCATGCAGAGCAGCAGTTAAAAGAAGAACTGATACAGCGGTATGGCAAAGCAAAATTCACAAAACACGAGCCTTGGCAATGGAATCAAGAACACAGGGAGCTCCTTCCTTCCTACCATTACCAGAAACCCTCAACACTCCGTGAATACTGGGACGAAATAACTATAGGGATAAATGGTTATATGCCAGTTCAAGAGCTGAATAATCGATGGGAGGCTCGCTGGCGCCGGAACATTAGTGGCTTGAAGACTGAGAAGTGTCGGTACGATCGAGTTGAAGAGCTCATTCGCAAGCTCAAATCGCGAGATAATTGGACCATGGATCTAGTCTGGCGTTTCTTGGACGACTGTTTTCACATACCGAACAAAGATGTCTGCTATTTACGGACTACAAGAAGCTTCATTACTTACATTCAGAAGAAAGATGGCTCAGGGATGAACGAGATCCTCTCTGCTGCAAATTCATATCCATAAATCTTGTACGATCTTGTTCTATTTACTTTATCGAACCTGTAGACCAAATTATCTTATGAAGTATTTGAGTTCACATATGACAGAACTAAGGTGAAATAATGAATAGATTAATACAGTTTGATAAATAACAAGTAACAGATAACGAGTAAAGATGATTTCACAATCCCATCTTTCGTAGCTTGAGACGTCTCTTTTCTGCCTTTGAACCGGTGACTGGGTGATCAGCCTCCCACTTGCGAAGAAAATCCATAAGTGCCATTGCGCCTGTCTTACCACTTTCAACCTCATTCACAACTTCCGATGATTCATGACTTCCGCCTGCTCCATATAGTTGTATCAGTTCATGACCTTGCTCGGCGGCACTAAGGGATGTCGATTGAATACCGAGAGCTTTAGCTATGGCTTTCTTCGACTTGATGTTATACTAAATTAAATTTTATGAGATCCAATTTTCGGTCGCTGTATAAGTTGACGGACCGTAATTGGACACTGCTTATGAAAGTGAGTTGCAGAGAATGATGCAGCAAATTCCCAGTGTGCCGCTACTTGGTTATACAAGAGGACACGATGACGATTGGCAGTGAATGTAGCATGTCCAGGGAGTTTTGATGCTTCAATTACCAGCTCACTAATCATCTTCGATTTGGGACCTTTCTTGATCGCGTGAACTGATTCTGCAATTCGAAGGGGTTTGGAATTTGGGTCGTTGAGTAGTTGATTTATGTACTGACTGGAACCAATGACAACCGTTGTCGCAGTAGTGTTGCTTGAGGAAGTAAGCTGGAAAACCAGTTGGAGCATGATCATCATATCCATTAATGGTACATACCGAACTCTCGTTCTGCAAGGGGCCAGAGGCGAATGAAGAGATGGACAAACTTGGGTACTAGCAAAAGCCTTAGCCCAAAGATTCGACAAGGATGATAGAAGTATACAAACTGGTGTGACGTTCAGCTTTAGCGTCTTCGAGTTTGTGACAATAAGTAGCTCCGAATCAGGTATTGTAGTACGAAATTCTCCTTTCATTAGAATTTGGCCATAGTCGGGTTCATCGGGATCACAGAATGTAAGTTCGCCAATACCTAGATGACAGTACGGTGAGCAAATTAGAGGGTAATGAAGTGAAGCACATACCCTCGAGCATCGTATTTGTCTTTTGCAAGTTTTGAAAAAGATGAATAAACTTGATAGCGTATTCCGGCGCATGTTCTGATTGGTTGACAGATGGCACAGTAATGACTTGTGAACGACGGATGCCTTCCTGGTGATAACGTGTGTCGTTAATGAGTAATTTGAGCTACAAGAGATATAAGAGGCCGAACTAGAATGAAGATTTAGAATCCTCACAATGAGTGTTGGCGCAGACGAGTCTGATGAAATTTGGCTTTGTTTCAGGCCGACGTTGGAATTAGGAGTAGTCGAAGATAGGGATACTTGCTGAGTGGGAGACGTCAAAGTAAGTGACAGTTGATTGAGATAGAATTACAATGAGCGTACCATAGAGTCAGGATGGTTGGATCCCACTGACGAGGAAGATGTGCAGAACGAAGTTGCGACACTATTGAGAGCAGAAGAATCTTGTGCATGACGAGGCTTGCGCAAAGTCGGTATGTTGGTGAGTGGTACAGTAGTAGTGAAGCCGTTACTCGGATTGAGGAGGTTACTTCTGAGATCCTTGACTAAAACCTTCGAACGTTGGAATGGTTGTTGAGTAGGCCACTTGGTAATTTGACGTTCAACTAATTGAATCAGATCTTTCTTCCCTAGTTGGCTATGAATATAACAAGTAGTTAGTATGCGATGAATGCAAATGTCGAAGTAAATACCTCAGTTCCGCTTCAACATACGGCCTCTCTATTGATGTTCGCACAGGTTGCACAGGTAGCGACGACATAGTAGGATGGGAAGTGTTTATCGGATTTATTAGAATTTGATAGACTTTTGAGAAACATCTCAAACAGGCTTTGAATATCCGGAGGAGCGCATTCGAGTTGTTGTCAAGAACCCATTTTGGAAATGGATTGTTTTCAGCTAAAAGCTCACAAATGAGCTGATTTAAAGAAGAGAATTCAGAAAAAGCCCTTTTGAGAGCAGTTTAGATACGCACTTCATTCAAATTTTCATTTCCAGATACTTGTTCTCGTTTGAGCATTGGATAAACCCCTTCACTATTGGTATGAGGACTCAGAGATTGCTGCTCATTGAGGTAAAGGCAAAGTAAAATGGTATTCATTGAGATTGAACGCTATGAAGACGAAACGAAAGGTACATGGTTGGGGGAAAAGACGGAGTAGCACGATTGGTGTGCTGTCAACGACCGATCGATACGGAAATTTACCCGGATCAACGTATCGCAGCAATTGAGCAGTTCAAAAACGGCCGGCTGACCTCGAAAAAGCGCCGTTCCAAGTTCAGGTAACCAGCGCCTATGGGAGGTCGGTCCAAGCGCAGATTTTGGCGGGAGTTACCTCACGTGACGGGGTAACCGACGGGACAATCGCGAGCTGTCGGTGACCCGTACACCCGTTATACATGTCATTATATATAAAGGCAAATAATCAATGTAATACAGGGCTCAAGATATACGGACGCCCGATAATCAGTGCGTATGTTGTATCGAGGACACCTCGAATTTTGACATGGTCTTCCTGTGTTCCATCGCCAATATTCCACCTCTGCGTCTCGTTCTCTGTTCTCTACCATCTCACCTGACCATAAATGTCTTCCCGTGCCTGCCTCTATGAAAGTGCACCACAGTCCACTGCAGTGCCAGCTGCAATGTAAAGTCTTCACAGCGTTATGGTCTGCAGTGTCTGTACGAAATTCCCTGCAGCCGTGCAACGGAGGCATCGTGTACGGACCTGTATTGCCAATCACTATGTTACATCATCCGGGTACCCGACGTAAACTCCTGACCCGTTGATAAAGCTGCAACTGATTGTATCTCCAAATCCGAGTATCATCCAACCAGTACTATGGTATTTATGGATATGCACTGTGCAAAGATATGCAACTCGTCAAAAATGCCTTTTTTCATAAGCATCCCTTGGCTCTAGCACTTTGGGGATTTTTTGAGATAATCATCAGATGTTATACTTCATATCTAGCCTATAATTTCATCCATTTATGGATTGAACGTTGAGTACCAGAAGGAATACCTTCGAGACTGCATTGATGGCTCCCATCAATCATCCAGGAACAGAGGGTGAGCAAGATATAAGGCTTAAAAAATGCATGGAGGTCCAAGACAATATTCCGAAGGCCCTAAATATGAATTTTGAAGGGCATAGACCTAGTGGATGAAGCATGACAAGGAAAATAAGAAGAAAAAAGTGCAATCATATCCGGGCCAAGGCCGACCAGTTGCATATCCATAATTTTGCTCGGACATTGCCCGACACCAGCAAGAAATTCACAGAAAATCCCAGAAATTCACAAAAGTTGTGTTTAATTATGAGGAATCCATCTATCTAATTTTTTCTACAACAACTGCAGTGGTTCAAGGTGGGCAAGAGATCCCGTCTTATTTTGCATATCTTAAATTACCATAGTATTCGGATTTGTGCTCCCTATAAGCCAGATGTCAGGTCACTCGCAATGTGAAATCAACATCACTCACATTTTTGCCTTCGATCTTCATGTATTTCGCGCAATAATCCTCGAAAATGTGTGGTACCCTGACGACAGTGCAGACGAGGCCAGACCCCGATTCCTCCGACAACCGAGGAGCAAAAATGAGTAATGGAGTGTTCACTTTTTCTGCTGATACGTTGAGAAACTGCAAAACAAACTGTCCTCCGACCACGCTTTTTGTTTTTGTCAGCATGTTAACAAATGCTAATGGTTCTTCCGAGTAAATTTTCAGCAGCTCCACCACTCTAGTATCCATGAAATGTGAAACTTATCCACCAATAATAAACGCACAATATCCACCAATACCGAACAAACAGTATCCAACAGTAACAAAGACACAATTTCCAGTAGTGGTGAACAAACAGTATGCACCAGGAATGGATACAGTAATTGGCCCGCTGGTGGCAACACAAAGAGGCGGCGTGGGACAGATGTTCCTGCATGGCAGTGGCGACGATGAAGTAGATGGAGGAGGCGTCATGATGACAGAGAATCGGGGAGCAGGTACTTTGGTAGACATGGGAGCTGAGTGGGGGGGATGTTGCACGGATTTACAGGAAACAATCCTTGGTTCCGGGACTTCAATGTCAATGGGCAATGGTGGTCAGAGGTAGGCATGCACGCGCACATTTCAGGGGGGCGTGTTTTTGAAATTACGGGGAGCGTTAGTACGGATGGGGTGATGAAGACATTTAAATGTTGCTGTTCAGGAGTAGAAACGGTAAGCAAATGACAACATTTCGTTAACGAAGCAGAAAACTGACTTATGAGCAGGTTTATATGAATGTAACGTCAACGCTCCAAGCAGGAGGAAAAAGAGAATTCAACATTGTGTGGAATGTTTGCGTTCATTTGCGGGAGGGACAAGATTTCGAAAAAGAACATTTGTTTTTGAAAGGATACACGCAGTGGCTACTGCAGGCCAGAGTGGTAATGAGTGTGGTCATGGTAGGTAGCAACAGAAAGGTGGGAGTAATAAGCGGTGTGTAGAAATAAGATGATACAAATAGGACGAAAATGACTGTGGCAATGAGTGTGGTCATGGCGAGTGCATGAAAACAACAACGTAGGAGTCAGACATAGCAGTAGTAAGCAGCGTGTATGTAGGTAAGCGCTAGTTTGATCGGGACATTCAGCAGGTGCCAAACATGACCAATATGTGCCTGCACATCATGAGGTTAAATACCGAGTGGAATAGACCTTGCAAGCAAGGTGATTCTTAATATCCACCGTTATCATATCATTATTATCAACCAATATCATTATCGACAAAATCCAGAAGCCTTCTGAAATAAATCCCACAGATGAATCTCATAGCCGCGCAAATCGTGGTTTGGCTGACATTCAAATGCGTTCTCCCGCTTGACTTTATCAGTCAGGAAAGCAGAGGGGTTGGTTATTTCCCTTCTTTCAAGCGAGAAATCCTCGAACCACGAAGACAGCGACCGTGAAGACTCTCACACGCCTATCAAATAGTATCCAGTTCCAGTCATTGCCTTTGACCAACAATCCTTCCACCGGGTGCGCTTTTACCGCGTACGGAATTTCCTGCCATTGCACCCTTCAGTGCGTCCGTACTTGATTAATTGTCCCGATGTCAGAACTCTAATTACGTGTTATATTTCTGAAATAAAAAGCCCTAAACTTTAGCATCTAGAATCAGTTCTCTCTTCTAAGACTCTGGGCGTCATGTCAAATTCTCCCGCGAAAGTTCTCTTGAACCCTCCCTTTCGTGCTGAACACGGTAAGTTTAGGATCTCTTTTGTCTGACTGAATGTGAAGGTCGAAATTCATCAGTGGGCTCCCTGATCCGGCCGAAACCTCTGTTCGACAAGCGGTGTGAACTGGAGAAAGGGAAGTGCTCACTTGACGACCTCAAAGAGGCTGAAAGCGACGCTGTCAAGCACGTCGTAGAGCTTCAGAGGTCACTGGGGATCAAATCCATTACTGACGGCGAAGTCAAGAAGTAAGTGATCCCTAATTTGAGTAAACAAGCCTCGCAGATCCTTTATAGAGCGTCTTTCTACGATGGTGTATTTGAAAAACTTGATGGAATGGTTTTCATGCCTGCACGTAAGTCTTTGAGACTTGATTTCCGTCGTCAGATGATTATTGCGCCGCAGGTCCAATCAACGAGTTCAAGGTAAGCTACTTGTACTGATACGATCTCATCGCAGAAAGTTGCGGCGTCGTTAAATTTGTTGCTAGCGCTATCTGCCTCACATAGCGATGCTATATGCTGCAGGAGTCCCATCTGACGCGACTTTCTATTGCAATGTAAGTAAGCGACGGCCTGGCAAAGGACTCTGGACATTCATATTGTGAACGCGTCAGGGAAAAATAAAACGTACCAAACCATTCTACGTTGAAGAATTCAAGGCAATAAAAAGTGTCGTCCCACCAGAGGTACAACTTTTTCCCGAGATCGCCACACAATCCTTACTCCTCCCCTATACCTAGGAAGTCAAGAATATCAAGATCAACATGTGTCCCCCTTCTTGGTGGCATCACCGACACGGATCTGACCTTGCGTACGATCTGAATGTGTATAAGAACGACGGTATGTGACGCTTTCAAATTTGGGGAACCTTGGCCCCGACTTGATATGCTGGAATAGATGAATTTTTTGATGACCTCGGAGTTGCTTATCGCGCCGAATTCAGAGAGCTTTATGAACTTGGATGCCGTGAGTTAGCTACTAGCCCAATCCTCTGTTTGATTCACAATACCGCAGGCAATATCCAACTTGATGATCCAACTTTCGCTTTCTTTTGTTACGAACCTACCGTTTCTGGAATGAGAGAGGCTGGAGTTGATCCCGAAAAGCTACTTGATACCTACATTCGTTCCATTAACGTCTGCACACAAGGGCGTCCAAGCGATTTGCGTGTTGGCCTACATATGTGTCGAGGTAATTACAAGGTGAACAATATCTATCAATATATCGAAGCACCTGCGTTGACGGTTTCTGTTGTGTTAGGGTTTACATTTCTGCGAAGGGGGTTACGACCCGATAGCGGAGAAAGTGTTCGTTGGACTGGACGTAGACACGCTATACGTAAGCCTATATTTGTCTCTCAGAAATCAGTGCCATAAGTACATCCATCAGCTCGAATTCGACGACGAACGCAGTGGTTCTTTCGATCCGCTGAAATATATCCCATTAAACAAGATGGTCGTGCTTGGTCTGGTCACTTCGAAGAACCCAAAGGTCAGTCGTACCTGGAGATTTTTTTCAGAGGTTTCTGAATCTGCCATCAGCTGGAGCATATGGATGACCTCAAGAGGCGCGTCGATGAAGCTGCTACTGCCATGTCCACCGATAATCCATTGCGCTCGAAGGTGACAGCGTTAAATCAGTAAGTTTTTGTTTGCCATTATATTCTCTCTAACCTCACTCGTTGCGTTTCTTAGACTTTGTATCAGCCCTCAATGCGGCTTCGCGTCTGTTTGGCAAGGGAATCCGATCACCGAAGAGGTACGTCAAGACAGAATAATATTCAAAGGGTTTCCAAGCTTTTAAACTATCAGGAGGAGAAGAAGAAACTAGCACTAATCGTCGAAACGGCAAAACAAATATGGAACGACTTGGAATAAGGCTGTTTTGTGTAGACCGCGTAGGATGCTCGGAATGTATACATCTATTCACATTTGCTATAATCTAACTTCATAAGGATTTTTTTGCGTTACCACAGGGTGTGGCGTCGAGTTCACTTGAAGCCCGTGGTTGGTATCCGCGGCATGTAGCGCGGTTCCTCATTGGGAGAGACCGTGCCAATTTCCTCCTCTGTGGTGCATAGCCGCGAGGGTCGGATGATCCCCGTTTGTTGTGGATTAAGACTTGGATTAACTTTGCTCCTTCTCGGTGTTGCCTACTAATTTTTTTTGTAGGTGTGAGTTTTCCTGGCCTGGTGCATTATCCCCCGCCTAATTCAGGTTATCTCATCGACCTCCAAGGTGATCTCCATTCTATCTTCTAGCGATACCAGCAAGTTCATATCATACGGCAAAGTGCAGGACTGTGCTTGCAACCTTTGCAACGGTGAAAACCGGTTGGAATGCTTCTTGAATTTGAATTCAGATTTTTGGAACAATGGAAGCAGTGGAGTTGCAGTGGACGTTCGAGATTCTCAGATCTTATGGAAAGAGGGTCAACTGAATGCTTTTGTAGGCTATCATTCGCTGGACCTTCGATTGGACAGCTATGTGCGGCAACAATCGCAGATACACCCGCACGTTGCCCCGGGCACATTGACACTAGTGTTCTTCTGTCTCGCACTTCTGAAATGCTGCGAAACTTGCCACCATAATGGTCTATTCACTTACGTTTTATCTGTGATAGTATACCATTCGATTGACTTTGAGCGGAATTCATACCCGGAGGACAAGGTTCGCTCTTCTACCGCTTAATTGTCCTCCTAATTTTGATTAGAAAGGTTGCTATACTTATGGAATGGGGATTTGGGTTCATGATGGTCGGCACTCAAAAAAGACAAGGGATTCTCTTGGGTTCCTTTGATGCGCTAAACGTGGATACTTCGAATCACTGAGTCATTGCCAGTGACCCTCGACTACAACATCCCCCGTTGCAAACTCAGGCAAGTAATTTTTCGTCCTGCTCTGGCAATGACACACGAACAGGTGTAATGGGTCAATTTGTCCAAGGAATGATCCTATTCCTCGTTGCTGTGATTCAATCGCAAAGCCTAAAACTCTTAGTCAGGCATCTTCCGCTGTTTCGTCGAGTTATTCCGAAAGCATGTAACTTGCTGGCCTGCAGGTCCTCATCTTCTCACTCCGACCCTTCTTTTACTCCCTGAACTGTACAAATACCGGCTCGAGTTCGTTGTATCATCACTTAGAGTAGCCTGAAAGATGGTCTCCCTGCAGAGTTACGAAAATTGCTGAAAATTGCCTGCTGTGTGTGCCTCAAAATTTTTGGCTATTTATCGCTTTGGTAGTGGTAGTTTTCGAATAATACACATCCTAATCAACAGTATAGTTGTGTGAAGAGACCGGTTTTCCTAATGATGACGTCATCCCGTGAAGAAGGACAGTCTCCTCATATGTTGACTGTTTGTTCTATGTTACAGCTCGAGCGCAATGTTTATTTACTGGTTTGCATCGCACGCGTCACCAGTACTTCTACTCATATATAACAATGTATCCGTGTTTCAATCAACCAGAACTATGTACTTGAGATACTTGCGCGATTATGAAGTTCTTGATTTTGTTCTTGGGGAAATTCGACCTTTCGCCAAAGTTGCGTAAAAATTCTAGATTGAGGATTGCGGCAAGCATAGATTACGATAATGTGCAAAATAGAATGACTCTACAAATTCCAGATACAACGACAATTTAACTTACAATGTTCCAAGATTCGCTACTAGATTTATCACGAAGGAGCAGGGGCACCATCTGTCGACATCTCAGTTGGCTCGTTTGTAATGTTAGACCTGGCGAATGCGTCTATAAGGGCTTCCTGATCTTTTCGACGTCGGTGTCTTCTGCGCCTGTCATCTTTGATTATCCTTTCTGTTTTTTTACGGTCCCTCCCTGCTTTCCGAGGATCTGTCAGTGCGTTCTTGCATTTATAACACGCCAATTCGATGCTGGCCAGAAGTCGAAGGGTTTCCGAGTTGTTCAAGGCCTTGTGTCATGATGAATAAAATGATCGATGTACTGGCGGGGTATGAGATGAAGTGCTTACATTAAGAGACCAGGAGACGACCCCGCTATCTTCGACACACCCTACAACGACAAAGTTACCCCTCTTTTCAGCTTGAAGATCGGTGCCCTTTACACACAATTAGTCCTTCCAGATCGTGTCAACTAGCAGTCGCTCACTTCTCCGAATTGTGTCAATAGCTTATTGGTGGACATTGCGCGAACAACTGTGGAGTAGGTATTTTAGTTGGGGGTGGCGTCATTGACGATCAGCGACGTACCAACGCGTGAGGAATGGCCAATAACTTCTTGACTAACGAGACCACGACCCATGTAAACCCAAGAATCCCGCTCCGGCCTTCGAATATGCACTTTAACCTGGATCTCGCGAGTTATCAGAGGAGCTAGAGAACGACGATAGAATTAGCAATGAGATTGTCCCATAGTGCAGCTCGCTGAGGCTTACTCGGAATGTTACCACTGTCAGCCGATTGCACAGGTGCCTGCGAGACAAATGCAGATGTAGAACCGAAGTCATCGACCTGCATTGTTTCTTCCATCCTTTACGAGGTTTGGTTCCATGAACGGAGGAGAATAATAGTTAGTCCTCTTACTCACTTGTATTTGGTGTATGGTGATAACGTCAGGATACACAGTGAGAATTATCCTCAGATGAAAGTTGATGTTAAGCAAGAGGCCAGGGCCCTTTGCCACTGCCGCCATGTGATCAAACTTGTCGCGTAACGTCACTTCACAGAGCGTAGTACCAAGTTAGTAGTAGTAGGTGTAGTGTGCATTCCTGCGCGCAACCTGATTGTTGGATCCATGAAACATATTGCAATAATATGCCACAAGTGCAAAATACACAGCTAGAACTTGAGTATACAACTACTACATACTTGGAGCCCGGGTGGAAAGCGTAACCAATGTTATCTTGTATCCGGTGACTGATATATACCACCCACCAGACAAAGATTTCTTGGAGTGAACTGAACGTTGATGATTGGCGTTCTCTTGGTGGGGAATGTGGAAATCATGTCAGAGGTTCTGATAAATGATTAGTGGTATCTCCTGGAAAATGGCATGAAAAGACTCACGATTCTATAGTTCCTTCAACTTTTTGAGAAGCGGGGCTGTTGCTATCCGTCGAAGTGTCACGTTTATTGGGAGTACCACCAGCGCCTTTAACATCCCAGCACCTTACGGTCCAATCGGCACCCCCGCTAAGGAGAAGGGATGATTCTGCGCTGAAAGCAAGGCTATAGATAGAGGCGGTATGCCCAGTCATCTTCTTAATACGTTTTCCAGAACCAATGTCCCAAAGGTTTATGGCCAAATCTTCCCCTATAGATACGAGATTTGCATCTGTTGATTCAAAAATAGACAAAACGCGTACCTGCACTCGCTAAATAACGTCCATCAGGACTGATGGCTAGGGTAGAAACAGGACCTTGATGGCCGAGGAACACTCGCACACACAATCCTCTCTGGACATCCCAAAGACGAGCTGTCCAGTCGCTCGACCCAGTAGCTAGATACAAAGAGTTGGGGTGAAACTGAACACACTAAGAACAGGATTCAGTATGCGGATACACCCTCTACAAGAGCGCACGTACATCGACATCACCCAGATGTCCAGCATATATCCTCAAACAGTCGGTACGATCAGTGGACCAGAGTCTCGCTGTCCGATCTCGACTTGCGGTAGCAAAGTAAGTCCCAAGAGGACTCCATTTTACGTCCCAGACCAGATTTTCGTGTCCGCGAAAAGCGACAATATTCGTCATGGTGTCCATTGACCACAATCTGCTGGTACCATCTGCAGAGGCGGAGAGAAGATATTTCGGTGGTGCAGCTGAACCACTAAGGGGATCAAAATCGACTGAGTAAACAGGGCCGCTGTGGCCAATGAGTTTTCTTGTAGAGCTGCCTTTCTTTTCTTTAATTTTCCGCAGAGATGCAGCTACAGTTGACTTCTGAGGATGGATCAGGAGAATCATGTAATTGTTGCTCACAATCACGGATAGAAGTAGCCGAAAAATCACTTCTCATCCCTCGAAGTTTTTCGCCTTTGAGATTCCATAATCTGATGTAACTCTCTGAGAATCCTGCAGCCATGAGAGAGTTATCTTGAGAGAAAGTACAACACGGAGCTCTAGATGGAGACATCAACCGACGAAGGGAGTACGGGTCAGAGAAAACTTTACCCTTCCGGTACGTCATGCAAGGTATAGGCGCAAATACTGGGCAGAGCTCGCGCGCGAACAGAGCTAGCCTGTGGTGAGGTGAGATCGAGACCATGTAGAGTTGTTGGATCTAGCCGTATTCGTTTTCTGGCATCACGAATGGCGTTGACTTCACGTTCAATGTCAGCAGATTTAAAGTTGGGTGGAAGGGGCAGCATATCCGACTCTGTGGGAGCGACCATGCCCGGAAGAATTTGCGGTCGAGCCAGTGATATATCGTACTGTGTCGATGGAAGACCTTCAAGCACGGCCTTCTCACGAGCGACGCGTTCCGTTTCCGTTCGAAGGTCTTCAGGAATGGGAGCTGGCCCAAGCTTAAGTTCACCCTTAGAAAGGTTGAAAGCCTGTGGGTTATAGATCTTGGAACGTGTACCGTTCACATGGGGTATCAAGGAGGATGTCAGCCCTGTGGACTCCTCCCAAGTATGAGGAGGCAGAGATGCTGAGTTTGAAGAGGTTACTGCGTTCCATGTAAATTTAAATCTTATGAGGGCGTACATCAAGATATAATTACCGTCGAAGCGTAGGTGATTATTCACAACCTGCATCACCGCCACACGACCTCGTTTTCCTTTCTCTCCATAGAATCCATGCCCAGCACCCATCGCCTCCCCTCCCATACCCTCCGTCAACCAGCCCAATAATAAGCCAAAGCCAGATCGGCTGATACGGATAAAATACTTCTCGTCGCGAAAACGTTGGGCCAGTTCATCATTTTGGACGTGTGCTGGTAAAAGTAGGGTAGAGAGATGATGCAGAGTGGCAGAGTGAGCGGCTTCGAGCTGAGGTGAAAAGGTTGCAAAAAACTGGAGGGCTGGGAGAGGTTTTGAGTATAGGTGGAATTGCCAAAAGAACACCCACCAGCATCCTTTCGTCCTGCCTGTATTAGATCTAGATAGAAATGGCAAAAGATCGGAAACAAGATGGGTCGAAACTCTGGCTGGAATAAAATAAATCGCAGATAGTCTGAGGCCTGAGTGTAACATACCCGATACATGTCCAAAGAACCTTCAACCCAAGCGACTAGTTCCCTAAAACCTTCCGGTTTGTCTGATGGATTTTCTGTCAAGATTTCTTCAGATCCAACGGACGATATATTCGAAATGAGTGTTTGAAGCGCAGGTGGATTTATTGCGCTCAGTTCCGAGAGAACAGTACTAGAGTCTTTGAGAGCATTATCCCCGGGGCGCGAAGAATCTTGCGTAAATACCGCCAAAGTTTTCACCAATTCTTCTGCATTGATGGTCTCTGGACGTGCACTCTGAGCATCGGATGAGGAGCCTTCTATCTCACTCAGAAAGGCCTTTTCGGCAACGTTGTGTCCTTTTGCGCGCAGATATTGCAGAACTAGACGATCAACATCGGCCCCACTGGGTGCATTTTCCTGAGTTTGTGAAGGAGAAGTAGCGCTAGGAGAATGAGATGCAGTAGGGGGAGTGTTCCCTGACATGCTCCGTTAGGTTTGCGGGAGTATGAGTGCAACTTCAAAGCGGCCCGATGTTCGTGTGTATCACGTGAGCTTCGCGTCCAGCCACTTCTTAAGCTCAGTTTCTTAATATTATCCATTTCTAAAATAAACACATTGGTTGAATCCCTGTTCTCAATGGCATCCAAACAAGCCAATCGCCAAGCAATAACTCTCAAGGGTTCCACCTCCCTAGTCACAGAGTTTTTCAAATATGCGGTCAACACGTCCGTGACAAGTTAATGCTTTCGAATGTCATTCCACTCAACTTTTGTGAAGGATTCTTTTTCAACGCGAGGTTTATCCTTCGGATGATTTCCACATGGTGAAGAAATATGGACAGACCGTTCTCGTCACTCAGGATGTTGCTTTGGAGAGTTACCTCGACAAGTGTGTTTGCCACTCGCAGTGTTTGTTGTAAATGCTAACACTTTGACGTAGGATTTTGAAGCAAGTACAGAGTATGTGGTCAAGCAGAAATACCATTCTTTGATCCTCATGGCTCGTGCAGAATGGCTTTTGCTGGGATCTGTGACACAACTAGTCCTTGCAATCATTTCAAAAGATTCGCGAACACCTCTTGAGCGATGGGTCTTTGATATCAAGTTAGTCGAGCTGCCCGTTGAATCCGGCGAAGCGTAAGTATACTCTCCCGGTAACTCGTTTTGACCGCTCATCATTCCGTGAAATAGACCACCACCACCGAAACCAGAGGCAGAAATACAATCCGAGATCCGCGCCATCCTAAAGCAGATCATTTCGATGGTGACATATCTGCCGGTGATCAATGAGCCAACCGTCTTTAATATTCTCGCATATACTTCGGAATCGGCAGATGTTCCCGCTGGAGAATGGGTTGATACAGATCCTCTTGCTATCGAAGCTTCGAAGAGCCAGCAGGTGAAGATGAGAAGCTTCAGCACAGACATACACCGCATCGAAGCAATGGTGGCATATCGGTATGAGGAATGATCATGGACTGAATTTTTGTATCACTATCAGTAATTTGAAATTGGCCCAAGTGTGGAACTGCCAGCTATAATACGTAGTCCAAATGTAGTGACTGTTACATGGAATGATGAATCCTCAGGGGGCAGGGGGCAGCTGCCTTACTGGGGGTTGTCACTACATAGATAAGCCGGTGTGACCGACGTGAATAGGATCGATCATTCAATTGCTATGGCCACTGAACGTATTGTACCAGTTATCTGGTTCGTTATTTACAACCACCCATCTTTTTCCTTTGTCTGCCGTCTGGTAACTTTCTTTCCTTCTTATACCACCCACTCGTCTCTTTTCCCTTTGTCCTTACTATCACGTCACGGTTGAACCGGACTTCGCTCTTTTATCCTCGCTCTCAACGATCTAAACTATTACAATGGGTGAAAGCTGGTTTCGCAGGGAATTCCTCACCCCAAGAAGGCTTGCCTTCAACGTGATTTTTTATGGCCTTCATTTCTTCTTTTTCGGATATGGATGGCATAGTCAAGTGTGTATACGGAATACAACATCTCCAACCTCACTTATCGTTCCTTCAGGCAACCAACACCAGGCTCGCTGCCTTGAATGCTCTGACGTGGTCTGTTTGGACTTCCCGTGGAGCAGGGCTTGTTCTTGCCTTTGACGGTGGCCTTATTCTCATCCCTATGCTTCGAAATGTCATTCGTGTAGTCCGGCCTAAGGTTCAGTGGTTGTTCCCCGCCGATGAGAATATCTGGTTCCATCGTCAGGTTGCTTACTCGATGGCTTTCTGGTCCATGGTCCATACTACGGCACATTATGTCAATTTCTTCAATGTAGAGCGCACACGTAAGTCGGAAACTCCGCTCTAACTGACTTTCCGATATCAACCTTATATCTATACGCAGAGGTCCGCAAAGAGATTGCTCTGGATATCCACTACACTCAAGCCGGAGGAATCAGTGGTCATTTCATGCTCTTGATCATGGTTCTGATGTATGGTACCGCTCACAGCAAGATTCGTCAGCAGTGTTTCGAGGCTTTCTGGTACACCCATCACCTTGCGTTCTTCTTCATGATTGGTATTTACAGCCATGCCACTGGGTGTTTCGTCCGTGACTCCACTAACCCGGACTATATTACCACATTCCCCTTCTACTCAACTCAGCACTGTCTTGGCTATGAGAGCTGGAGATTCATTATCTGGCCTGGCATCCTGTACTTTGGTGAACGAGTGTACCGAGAGATCCGTGCTCGTAAAGCCACTCGTCTGTCCAAGGTTCTCGTGCATCCCAGCGGTACGTTATGTGCATCTAGTTCATGTTATTTGACTAAAGTAACATTGTGACTGCAGGAGCCATGGAGTTGCGCATTGTCAAACCCAGTTTCAAATATGTGGCAGGTCAATGGCTGTTTATTCAAGTGCCAGAGATCTCGAAGTTTCAATGGCACCCGGTCAGCGAGGCAGTCCAGATGATTTAGTGTACCTGACAATTGATATCTTCCCCTTTCTCTTTCTAGTTCACCATCACATCTGCTCCGGAGGACCCATACGTATCAGTCCATATTCGTCAAGTCGGTGATTTCACCCGTGCTCTTGGCGACCGTCTTGGTGCTGGCCCCTCTGTTGTAGCTGCCATGACCCAGGCTGCAATGAAGGGTGCCGAAAAGGATGAAAAGACCGGAATGACTCGTGGCGATTTCGTCGAACTCGATTCCAGTAATCTTTCACTGCCATCTGTTCGGATTGATGGACCTTATGGTGCCCCTGCTGAAGACGTTTTCAACGTCGAAGTTGCTGTATTGATTGGTGCTGGTATCGGTAAGTCGCGTCAAGTATGCGTTTGATGGTTGCATATTTGATGGCTCTTGATACTTACAGGTGTCACCCCCTTTGCATCTATCCTGAAACACATCTGGTATCGTCAAAAGAGAGGCAACTTGGGTACCCTTCGCCGTGTCGAGTTTTTCTGGGTTTGTCGTGATGCACCTTCGTTCGGCTGGTTCCAAAGTCTCCTTCAAGAGGTCGAGGCTGCCCAAGCTGATCGTAAGTTATGTGTCTATTTTTTTTGTTCTCTTACTAAGTTTGCCCATTAGCTAATTTCCTGAGAATCAATATTTATCTCACTCAGAAAATTGGAGAAGACATGCTTTGGAACATCGCTGTAAATGACGCAGGAGCACAGTATGATCCCCTCACTCTTCTGCGGACCCGTACAATGTTCGGACGGCCTGATTGGATGACTATCTATGGTCAAATGAGACAGGCTGTCGAATCGGGCCAATATATTGCTGGCAGTAAATCGCAGTTGAAGACCAAAGTTGGGGTAGGTCCTTCCGCAACACCGACGTGATTACATCTTTGATCTCTGTTGTATAGACATACTTCTGTGGTCCTAGTGTTCTTGCCAAAGCTATCAAAGAAGCAACGGTCCATCACACCAATTCCAACGTCGAGTTTTCCTTTGCCAAGGTATGCTGTTCAATATACAATTCATATCGAAGATGGATTGACAATGTTTCTTAGGAACACTTCTAGTTGATTCTTCATTCATGGTAATATAAGTACCTCATGATTTGAGTAGCGTACGATCTCAAAGTTTTGGGAGCATTGGAATTGATTCTCCCCAGTCCACTCAATTTCCCGCATTTTTTGCGAACAAAGCAAAGCATTCACTGGCCTAGAGGATGGAATCGGGAGACAAACAAGTCCAACCTACTGTCCTGATACAGTGATACCATATATTTTGCAGTCATGGAGGTGTGCCAGCAACGATCTCATAACCTTAGCTTCAAGCAAAATTTGCGAAGCGGGTACTAGTGAGCCATTTCGTGAAATTAGAGGACCAAAGGTCGACAAGAGCAAGCCAAAGGAGACTCACATAAGAATGCATGGTAAGTTCGGTGCCTCCTGTCTTTTCCCTCAAATGAACTCCCCGAGATGGTGACAACGTGTCGGGATGTCTGTCGAGCGGGTGTAGACTAATCCCAGTCTGGTCTAAGTGTCATGGAACCAAGTTACAGAAAACTATCTTGGATATTGTAGTAGGCGGGTATAGATATAGATATATATGTATTATTAATAAAGGAAATTAGAATAACATCGTCCTCAAAACTTCGTGCCCCCCAACTCTTCAAGGTGACTCCCCCACAATTTCGTAGCCCGTCTAGAATTCCGAGCTGAGGAAGGTGAACGTTTCACTCGTTGCTCCGCAACCATCCGGATCGACTTCTTGGGCTGAAGGGTACCGGTCTTCCGTTCATCCTGTGAATATGATAAAGTACTCTCCTCGTTTACTATGGGCTGATCGATATCATGATGTGGAAAAAATTGCTGCAAATGTTCGTAAATATCCTCGACGTAGGGTCTAGCCCAAGCGGATGTTCGTTTGTCCTGAGGGCTCGGAGGAGCTCGCTGCCGAGCAAAGGACCCGGTATCGACTTCGTCCTCGCCTTGTGAGTAGAATACCGGGACTTCGACAGTGGAAGAGGCATGCCTGGAACGTGTTATCATGGAGGAGGAAGTAGTCTGTGTACGCAGTACGGGCGTAGACGGAGTACGTCTGGGACTGTGATTGTGAATAGGCGCTATGGATTGGGACTGGGGCAACCAGTTTGGATCTGGAAGTGGAGGAGGATGATAGACGAATGGTTTCCAATCTTCGTCGACATCAGGATCGTCAGGATTTGTTACATGGAACAACCTCTTTGGACGATTTGACCATTTACTCGAGCTCGTGGTACTGGGGGAGGATATGTTATCATCGTGGATATGGAGCTGTGGTGGTTTTGAACGTGCAGGAGATGGAGTGATGAAAACAATTGGCGGCCCTGGTAAATCGGTGGGAGTACGAGTAGGAGGTAAAGGAGAACTAGTATTTGGATACACACTACGCGTAGAATTATATGGCAGTGTAGGTGTAGGAACCGGTGGTAAAGTCTTGTCAGATCCGATTCGTCGTATAGTGTTATCGGGTATAGCAGAATAAGATTTGGCATGTTGAATGGTTGATAACGTGCCACGGCTATCTGCGAGTCCTTCGGTATAGGCCGGCTTGAAAATCCAGCCCGGTTTCATCACAAGATAGGGATGTGACCTCAGCATTGCGGCGGAAGGTCGTTCCTTTGGATCTCTAAGAAAGAGCAAGATGTTTATCACAATGAGAAAACAGGAAATTGAGATAACTAAAATATCATGCCTTGCAAAAGCTTGATCCCGAAAATCCATTGCCTCATCACTCAAAAATAATTCGGCTGGAATCGGAGGTGCAAGTTGATGGTAAAGCTGAAAAACGAGATGAGAAGCAAGATCTTACATTAAGCATATCAATTACCTTGAAAAGAACTGGATACAGTTCTTCCCCGTACCACGGTCTTCTGCCAGACCACATCTCAAGCACAACGCATCCAATACTCCAGATATCAACTTTAGCGTCGTAACCATTTGTTCCTTTGGGGTTGACAGCTTCGGGTGCCATCCAGTACACTGTTCCCCTCATTTCCGTAAAAGCTCGACCGTTGATGTCCTCAGCTTGTTTGGATATGCCAAAATCTGATATCTTGCACACTCCAGACTTATCTACCAAGATATTATCTGCCTTGATGTCCTAGAGTATGAGCAGAAATTAGTACTTCGCTTAACAAGTTTTAGATCAACTCACTCGATGTATGATTCCTCTTGAATGTAAATACTCTAGGCCTTCAAGCATTTGGCGAGTGAAGGCTTTTGTGACTTCGTCATTGAATTTACCATGAGCTTTCAAACAGCTCCCGATGGTGCCTCCGGCCACATACTCCATAAAACTATAAATCAACTGAGTAGAATGAAGAAGAATTAGCTATTTGACATACATGCTAAGATGTTCCACACTCTCTTCGAACCCCAAAAATTGCACTATATTCGGATGGTCCAAATCCTTCAGTGTGTAACTCTCGAATTTTAGAGCTTCGATGCTCTCCTTTTCACGCCTAGAGGGATTTCGAGCAAGATCAACTTGTTTAACAGCAATTATATCGCCCGTAGTAACATTCAAAGCCCAATATACCCGTCCATAGCTTCCTTCGCCAATGAGATCTCCACGAATCCATTGAAATGATGGGTCTATATACACAGTAGGTCAATCAGTGGAAACCAAAAACCCTACAGACAACTACACGCACACGATGCCGATGAAAGGGGAGGTGAGACGGTACTTTTGACAGCCTGGAGGGTCCTTTCGGAGTTATTGGAGGAGCGTTCAACGGAAGTATAGTGTCGGGAGGAAGCGAGAGTTTGCAGGCTTGAGCGGGATGTCAATGATCTGTCGTTCATAATTTGGCTGGCTTTTCGACGAACAGTAGTCAGGATAGTGGCAGGAGTTGGGCGTACAGCCCATGTACCATTTGTGTGTATACTCGACGCCCAGGTTGACGAAGACGAAGAGGAACGGTAGGTCTTGTCGTTTACCATCGCAGTCGACAATGTCTAGATATCGACTCTAGTGAACCCGTACGGAGAGGACACGAATACAGATGGTGACATGTTGGTTGCATTTTATCGTGCACTGCAGGAATCAGATCATCAGGATTGCTTTGGGCGGTGCTCTTAGTTATTATAGGCGCCCTACCCTCAGAATGTCGACCCAGGAAGTCATTACATAATTCAGCCACAATCCTATATTCAAAACATGAACCCATGCGTTCACCACGGTGGCTCGCTTGGCTCGCACCGTGTGCTACAGCTGGGTTCACAGCTTGTTGAGGACAAGCCCCAGCCCCCCCATTAGTCGGCGCCTTGCGCCTCCCCATTCCACTACACAGTTGTGGGTGTCTGACTTGCACATCAAATATAAGCGCCGTGCCAGTTATAATATAGGAAATATAAGGAAATATACATGTAAGTAGAATAAGATATATGTAAGATAGAAAAGTCCGGCAGCGACAGACACTGGTCAGACATTTGTAGAAGCAAGGCAAAACAAAAAATAGTGTATGAGAATGAAGAGTGACCGTCAGTCAACGACTATGGGATTCGTAGAGGTACCAGGTGCACTTGCCGACATGGAAGTAGATTGAAAATCAATCATCCTTCTGGTGGTTGGACGATGGTGAGGCGAAATCATCGAGTGATAGAAAGGGATCTGTTGGGCGCCTGTCATAAAGCTACAAGAGGTCATGGAGAGCTGAACGCACCTGCGACTTATTGAATTCCTCAAAGGATATCTGTGCAACGCCGTCATCGTCTTTACTTCCGTGGCATTTATTATCCTCTTGGTCGCTGTCGATTGTCAAATCAATGGTGCGACGGCTGCGTATTGACGGAGACTTGAGAATATGACGCTGTTTGCGCTTGACCTGGACGCTTCTTGGGGATAAAGAGGAACGTATCTTCCTGGCAGCTGCTGTTCCGACTTCAATGGCTAATATCGAGTCTCTTAGAAAAAGAACCTACGACTACCCTGACCAATTGAGCGGAGCCTTATCAGAGTGAGAAGTGGTCGAGGCTTGGCAGCCTTCCCCTTGGGTGCAAGAGAACTGTGGGCAAGTACTCGCGCGAGTAGTTCATAAACTATAAACGGAACCACACCGCACCGACAAGCATCCGCAATGTAGATCAGGAGTCGCATATAGTAGGTTTGAAACCACTTGTCGAGCGACACCGAGTCTTCCTTCTTCTTAGCTCCTATTATGGATTCGAATGCATCTCCAGGTGATTTTCGGTCATCTTGAGGATTGCTAAAGCCCAACCGCTTCATTATGGCAGAGTATGTCGAATTTGAGGTGAGCTACGAGAAAATTATGATTCCTATATAGACATAGGAATAATGAGATGAAAGACGAACGGCACTCCGTGCCACCTGAACCCAGTGAACATCAGATGGCGAATATCGAATCGTAGACGCGTACTGTGTATTGATGTGGAGTTCCATTAGGAAGACTGCGACACAAGTTTTCTCCAACAGCAGCAGCCATGTAAAAGTCGCCTATGAATTCTAGTCTTTCACGCTCATCGTTGTCATTGATGATGATTTCCCAAGTTGGTCGTGAAAGTTTTGGCAGCGCGAAGTCAAAATCTGCTTGGTCTATGAATCGGAACAGCTTGTTCTGCAACTGGACATAATAGCTGGGGACCATGATTCTGAATAAAATGGCATGGAAATTGGAATAAAGAAATTCGAAACTATAGCGCTTACGTAACTACATAATTGGTTCTTTCTTTTAATTCACCGGACGCGGTCAGGCTTTGCGCCATTTCGATGGCCTTCTACTCTCCGTCCTCATCTCTGGCAGGATACAACAATCAGAAGTCACCCGAAAGAGCTCCTCCAATTGACCTTACACTTCTCCACAATGCCAGCACTGTCCTGGAAGAGCAGTTTGCAAAAGACTCACAAGCAATACCTGAACTTGGAGAAATTCTACGTGAGTCGATTTTCCCAACGGAACTCAGACCCTCAATTGCACCGCAGCCAATGGCCAGGCATCGTCGTCCTACAGTGTCTTTCCTGACGACATTCGAGTACCGTTCCAAAAGCGCAAACTGGTTGGGATTCCGGAAGCTTTATTTCAATATTACAGTAGTATGTATCCAAAGCAGTACTTTTGCATGAACTGACCCGTGCATTAGGCACCAGCGTAAACTCGCATATGGGACTGATACCGGAAATTGAGAGAGTATGGATATCAATTGACCATAAATTGTTTTTATGGGATTACAACGACAGGTGCGTCTCCCTTTTTGTGTATAACGCGTCAAAGCTTACCCCAACTAGCAGTCAAGAGATCAGCTCCTTTGTTGATCAGCCCTATGTCATAACGCACGTCGGTCTTGTCAAACCCAAGAAAGGACTCTTCATCGAAGAAATATCACATCTCCTTGTAATATGTACACCAGTATCGGTTCTCCTCATAGCCCTTTCTTTTTCGACAGTGCCAGGGACATCCACTCGATTCCGCAAGGAGGTCAAACTCTACGCTACTGACTTGACGATTTCAACCGAGGTTGAAATGACTTCCGTAGCAGGCACTGTAGACGGCCGTATTTTTATGTGTGGGTCACAGGACGGGAGCCTATACGAGTTGCACTATCAGGAGAACGAAGGCTGGTTTGGCAAACGTATTCAACTGGTCAACCATTCTGTGGGCGGAATGTCAAGTTTACTTCCTCGATTTACATCAACCAGCGCAGAAGGTTTGGTCTTTGAATATATCATATTTCATCACTGAAGTGTTGTATAGACCGTATCGTTTCGGTCATCGCGGATTCTGAGCGAGAGTGTTTATACACCTTAACAGAGAAGAACGTGATCTCCTTATTCAAGCCTACTTCGGAGAAGTCTGTGCAGCACATTCAGACTCTTTCCAATCTTTACAAGGCTGCTCAGGATAGATGTCCAGGGTCTCCGGCCATCACCCCACAGACATTCCAGATCGTCAGCCTGCATCCTATCAGCCTTCTTGAATCAAGGTCCGGTGTTCAGTTGTTAGCTATCACTACGAACGGAGTACGACTGTACTTTTCTCCTGGACTTAGCTATGGTGGGTCAATGCAGACTCTCGGCATGCGCACTTTGCAACTTTCGCACGTCAGGCTACCACCGTCCAATCTCATACATCCTGACGAGCAGGAAAATCCTCACCGACCAGCACCTGCGATTCCCTTTGGTGCAGTGCAAGGTCAGCCCCCTCGACAATCGCGACCTTACATTGTCTCGGCGATAGATAGCTCCTGTTATGTTGATGGTCTTACCGTCGCAGCTCAACCAGGCGATGTCGACACTGTGGATTATCTTCTGTGTTTGTCCCCAGATCTTACACGTATAGGATCATTGGACCAACTCAACCTACCCCAACCTGCCCCTCAACCTACCTACTCTATATACAGCAGTCAGAATGTCTCCAGTCGTCCTCCTATGACAGAATATGCGACACTGCTCTCGATACCTGGGAGAACGTGGGCTATGGCTCCAGTTCCACAAATGCCTATAGCTGCAGATGTGGCAGGCATCAACGTCCTGAACGAGCTGGGAACCCAAGTTAGCGAGCATCCACGCCAATTCATGATCTTAACAAATGTTGGCGTCACGTTCTTGGTGAAACGGCGGTCTCTTGACTATCTTAAAGCTGTGATTGAAGAACTTCAATCAGAAGGAAACGTTCAACCCATTATCGAATTCAGAGACAGGTATGTATGCTCATTCCCATCTCGTATCAGTTCGCCAATAATCGTTTCTCATAGTTTTGGACGGAATCAAACTTGCGCGATGCTTCTTGCTCTTGCAAGTGGTAACATTTTTCTAGATGGGTCAGACCCAGCTTCGAACACGATCAGTTTGGGTAATGCTGATCTCGCGGCTGTGGCCAAGCAGGCATTCTACGATTTCGGTGAGAAGCCTATCTGGTCCGAGCGAACAGTGTACGGAAAAAGTGAGTTCAACTCGTTTTTCCGATTTGAGCCTATTAACTTCCACCTTTAGGCGAACATCAAGGTACGGCAATCTTCAGCGGTAGAAGGGAGGGGTTGGCGTTATACTTTTCGCGGCTGGTAAAGCCAATCTGGAAAATTAAATTGGTCGTTGCGGGGTATGTTTTGATCTCCTATGTTCATAAGTTACGTGTTTACCTGTTTGTAGTCCTACCAACTTACAACTGGCAGTCCAAGAAGCACGACTGATTACAATTCAGAAGAACTTGTATGCCCTAAAAGATCTTCTTGACAAAAATCCGCACTTGTTCCATTCCTCTCCTGGAGACTCTGCTGCTTCTAGAGCTCCTGCAATGGAACAAGAAGCTTGGAAGGTAAGCTTTCACCTGAGGTATATTGAAACTCATTGCTCATCGGTTATGATTCAGGCAGAACAGGCTTCTATCGCCCAACTTCTCTCTTTGCTGACCAGAACGATTGAAGCATTATCCTTCGTGCTACTCCTCAATGACTATCACTTTGCAGACATTATGACAAAGTAATCCATGGTTCTGTTAATTTATAACTTCGGTACTCATTCTGCTCTAGATGTGATGTCGAAATCCAAAAATTGGTTTCCTCATTAACGTTTGAGGATCTCATCACCACTCAAAATGGCTTGGCCGTATCTAGAGCCCTTGTCAATGTTATCATTGATCAACAAATCGGTCAACAAATCAGCGTATGGTCGGTTGATTCGGGTGATATCCCCTTCTCATATTTTCCCAGGTTGATACGATTAGCGAAGTTCTACAGAATCGATGCGGTTCTTTCTGCAGCACGGACGACGTAATGTTATACAAAGTAATGTTTTCCTTCGACCAAGAACCGTTGGGCTCATACGATCCGTCCTGTTAGGCCAAAGAAAATATTCGCAAAGCTGTTGAAACGTCAAGTGTGGCTGAAAAACAGAACTGGTTGTCGGAATCCCTCAGGTAAGATGAAACGCCTGTCAAGTCTCTAGTACGTCTTGTCTCATCATACCTAGGCTATACACAAAGGGTGCCCGCATCCTTGATTTCGAAAAATTGAGAGAAATATGCGGAGATTTTCAACTGCTGAATTACGCCAAAGGTGAGAATACGAGCACTGTCCTCCAGAATTTCCTGTATTGAGTATGATGAAAGGTGCAATTGATTTGCCTCTCGTCTGTGCACGAGTATTTGACCCCGACAACATTGGCATCGATTATTGGAGGTCTGGTGCAAACTCTGATGGTCGGCCGCGATCGGCTTTTGAGCGAAGAATGCAATGCTACGAGCTCATCCTAGATTCTCTATCAGTCTTTGAACAACAGGGAAATGAGCCAAGCACTGTTCAAAATGCACCTTCTGCTGAAGAACATGAAACAGTCAAGGATTATGCGTATCAACTGTCTTTCTCAAGTGACGACGAAATGTTTCACTCGACACTTTATGACTGGCTTATAAGTAGGCATCTGGCAGATGACTTGCTCGAGGTTTGCTGGGTTTTTTCTCTTCTCGTGTTGGACATTACTGAGACATGCCCATCAGATACGGCCTCCTTTCCTGGAGACACATCTAAAGCGTGAGCCGTTGTCGGCTGAGAAGTACCAGCTTCTTTGGCAATTCTATGTTAAGGACGGGCAGCCACTGCGCGCGGCTGAAGTCCTGCTTGCTCTGGCTGAGTCTACTGAGTATGTTACTTATCGTGATCTCAACACTCACTGTTTTTCATCGTGCATCCATTCAGGTTCCAGCTCCAGCTTGACAACAGATTAGAATACCTCACTCTCGCGGTTGGGAACGCCAAATCACATCCCGTGTCCGCTGGAGGCAGACATGAGACCGCCATCGCGTTTCTTACTGATCTGGAAGAGAAATTGGAAGTTGCCCAAGTTCAATTAGAGATGTACTCTACGCTATTACCCCACGTGAATGATGCTTCAGAAGTTGGCGTTAAAATTAACGCATTGGCTTCGCGGCTATATACAATGTCAGAGGTAAAGATCCACTATTCATCTGTTCAGTTTTCATCTTATTGATTTTCACCCTCAGTTGTATCAGGATTATGCCATCCCTTTCGATCTTCCAATATTGAAGTTAATTTGTGTGCATGTCGCTGAACATCGCGACGAGGTCATGCTTCGGCAAGTGTGGAATCAAATATTTGATCAAGGTCAATATACTGGTCTCAATCTCGTTTTCTCAGATTCTGAATATGCTTTGCTTTAGTCGTAGAGGAGGAGTCAGATCCTATAGCACAAGCAGATCAGCTTTCAGCGACCTTGGAAAAACTTGGCCGGCGGTTCTATCCTTCCGTCTTTGCGTTCCCTCTTCGTAAGTTTCTGCTGCTGCATGCTTATTGAATTTGACCTGGAAAGCGAATTTCAGAATTGGTGACTGACCTATTAATCCGCTTCTCTTTGGAGAGAAAAGAGGTACTTCAAAGTGGTTGGGCTCCTAGAGTCCTAGCTCGAGCTGGCATACCTTATGTCGAGATTTGGGATGCTTTACATGACATGTATGAATCTCATGTGCGTGATTGACGAGTAAATTTTACACTATTTACTGAACCCTTACTCAGATTCCACCTTTCAATGCTCAAGCCAATGTACAAGCCATCTCGTCCGATATTGCTACCCTCTTTACTGATTGGGTTGAGGAGGTCAAAAGACCAACCTCCTCCATCAGTCGTGGTGAATTCCCTGTCAGCCGGATAGATTTTGCTATTGATCAGTACATGGCTGAGTTACATGCTGATCGTATTGAGACTAAATCAAAATACGAAGCTGTCAAACGACAACTTAGACGAGAGTGGTAGAACCTATAATGTATAATGAGGGATCGTTGTGTCTGCTGCTGCTTTGTACATCTGCTTAAAATTGTTATACAATATAACACAACACCCTGCCAGCCCAATTTGTTGTCCAAAATTTAGTTTACCTCCAAGATTGCATCTTCTGCTCGAAGAAGAAGTCTCTTGGTAACTGATTGTGTGAGCTGATAGACCGCATACAATGCTCTGAAGAAAATAGAGTCAGTCGTCCAAAATTTTACTCTAGGGGCTTTCGGATACTTGCCTGACTGCACCAAGCACAATCAAGACAACGATAATGATTGCGGAGATGTCCCTGTCGTTGTTACGCCTCCGCCCTCGAAATCTCGCGAGCCAATGGACTGGGCCAATGAAAGGAAGAGATATCATCATATGAATGAGAGAGGAAGCGCCTATCAGAGGTAAGCCAATCACGAATCGTTGAATAAACCGCTTTAGAAAGTTGGCGCCCTCCGTAGAATTCAGGGAAGCTGCGAACGAAGCGCCAGGAGTTTGACCACGAGAAAGAAACGTTTCCGCATCGAATTCTTCGTCTTGAAGTATACGTAGTGCTGCCCTAACGAGGTCATGAATAACTTCCGTTGGATCATAGAACCAATATGAGGAAGAGGTTATATAGAAGCTGGAGCTTGAAGGTCCTTGGAAGTAAGCAAGAAGATAAGTGGTGATATAAGAAGACGCCAGAGTAAGTAATGTGAAGATCAAGGCTGAGATACAGCCCACAATCACTACATAAAGCATTCAGAATGGGATATTCGGAGGGCACATAAAGAACACACCAGGATTAGAAGCAATTCCGACGGCGCGCGTCCGAGAGAATCTGTATGAGTAGCCACACATTCCACAGCGAAAGAATGCTGATTGGTTTTGCGAGCTATTCCTCCACTTCTGTAGACATTTAACATGGATGTACTGGAAGAGAGTTATTAATGAGTATTCGACCAGTGTGAGACTAAGTTACACTGATTGTTCCCCTACAAGGATTTAGGAAGAAGTGCAAGTCATACCTGGCTGACCACTGAATTACTGTGAGATGCTCACCTACAAAGACACGGTCGAATCAATCTACCAAGTTCTTGCTCGGCGTCAGCTCCGTCCAAGCAGATTCGACATTGCTTTTGGTCCTCAGTGTCTGACATCTCGCAGTGGTATTATGGAGCAATGCAAGTTAGTTCGGGCCGGTTGTCCCGTATTCTCAGTTTCTTTTCCTGCGCTCATGGCCGGGGATGGCGTTCTGGACACCAACCACATTCGAATTGTTGGTGCAGTGGCTGGTATTGGGAGCGGTACAATCTCCCATTAATTTTGAACGGGCCTCCTGCTAAATATTTCATAGGTCTGACAAAAGTAAAGAAACACATGAAAATAAGCTAAGGCTCTTATGTTTTTTGCTTAGGTCACTGTGGGACACGGGTTAGCATGTTAACGGTGTGTATGAGCTGTAGTGTCAAGATCGCAGACTGAACTGACCCTTTTGTAGACTGGGTGTAAAGATTCGTACTAAGACGGCAGTTGAATACCAGGTTTGACACAATTAAAACTCGACTACAGTGTTCTCCCGGAATGTACAGAGGTGCTTTTGATGCGTTCTTCACCATTATAAGGAAGGAGGTATGTAGATTGGCACAACTTGACGGTAGGGCTCACAATAGAATTGAAAGTGTTCACACAGGGACCTCTCGCACTATACAAGGGGGCGACGCCTCCTGCTGTAGGTTGGGCAGGTACAACCCGATTTTTTAACGACTTCGTAATTCACTTGAACACTGACACTCTACCAAAGCAATTGACTCTCTTCTTTTGGGTTCACTCCACAACTATCGGCTGTTCTTAATTCGAAATGGTATGACTGAACCCACCCCAGTCTCTGGAATCCCCCGTCTTACCATGGTCGGACATGGTCTCGCAGGCATCGCCGCTGGTATCACAAGGTGTTTTTTCTCCCTTCCAGTTCTGTCTTGTTGATTAAACCTCGACTAGCACTATAATTGCTACACCTATTGAGCATATAAAGGGTAGGAGCCCTCCTTCATGCCTGTGATACTAGGTGATATATCTCGTCGTATCAGTGAAGCTACAACTGCAATCTCAAAGGTCGATATCCGATCGTCAATTCAAAGGGCCTATAGACTGCATACGTCAAATTGTGCGGGTTCAAGGGCCTCTGGGCCTTTGGTACGGGTTCACTGGCAGTGTGGCTTTCCGTTTAAATTTCGGGTTCATGTTCTTATCGTTTGAGGTACGTCTTGTTTTGCAAACCTTAGATTGTGATTACCTAAATTGCTCGACTATACTCGCATGTCCTAGGGTCTCATGCGGGTGTTCTCTTCCCTGAACGGAACTTCTTTCGAGGTGAGATCCACTTGTATGGAAGATTTAGTAGCATAATCGTGTTATAGATGAGCACTGGTACAGCCAATTTTATATCTGGAGGTTTGGGAAGCTTTGTCTTCTGGTTTTTCGCCATGCCAGCCGATAACATAAAGAAGTAAGTTTGGGGGCCATTGTATAATATTTTTCGAACTCAAATCCATTTACATTCTTAGCCGAATGATGTCTTATCCGCATCCATTACAATATCCTCAAAGTTCCGCTGCCCTTGGGCATCGACCTTCTTTTTGGGCAACAGCAAGGTCTATAAATTCTCAACACGGACTCCCTGGCTTCTTTCGAGGCTTGGGGCCATGCTTCCTGCGGGCTTTCCCCGTCAATGCATCGGCGTTTTTCGTGTACGAAGGCCTGCTGAGGGTCCTTGGCGCCGAAAAGGTATGTACCTTCACATGGTTCATTTCTCTCTGCCTCTTCTAATGCCCTCCTCCATAAAGACTCGGCATTCCTAAGGTTCAGCCGTTAGTTATTTACTACCAACCTCCTACTACTAGTAACGCTTATTATCTTACGGTAATACAACTTAGACGCATTACTGTAAGTATGACGCATAAATTATAACTTAACATCCAAGATTCCCCCTTCCAAAATAATGTTCTCGAAAGAGGACGTCACATTTTAAAGTGTTTTGGGATGATGCCTCGAGTGTCAGTTACCCCAATACCCGAAACTTGCAATGTACATAGAGGTAGATGTAAGGGGCGTCGGGATAGTTGAGGAGACATGGGTGCGTAGAGCCAGAAGGGAAGAGCGGGGGATGTCAGGGATTAGATATCGGTGTATGAATCAGACATGGCTTGCAAGTCAAGATATAAGTAAGTGTGTATGTACTCGCAGGTGTCATTAATCACGAACAAATCCTTACCTACATATTACCTCAGTCGTAGGCTCTTCCTTGGGGCAGAAACAGCTGCTAGACACCAAATTTGACCAATGTAATTACATATTGTCATTGTAGACCCGGAGGTATCCTACGCGAAACAGCAGCCGTATCCATATCTCCAGTAAATTAAAAACAGTAAAACTACAGTAGTCTATCATTAGGGGACAGTATAACCTTCGCAGTATCGGATCATAGAAATCTAAATCAAGAAAGGATGGAAACACCATGGAGGTTATTCACAGGTAGCAACGGGAGAATGTACTTGGAGGTAGAGCGCATGGCCAGCTACCACGTCTAATAGCCTCCTCCCAGTCTGTGGCGTCGGAACGATACAAGTCTAGGGCAGCGCGGGCGTTCTCGAGCTAAAAAAAAAGGTTTTAGAATTGATGCTTGCGGAAAGTAGTAAATCGCTTACAGGATTCTGCTCGCTTTCTTGACAGCGGCGACACATGAGTTGCCAGGACAGTGTCTGAAGACCGACAATATGATTTGGTGAACGAAGAGCGTTTCGAAAGGGCTTCAACAATTTGAACTCAGATGAAGAATGCACATATATCCATGGAATAGATACCTGGTAGAGGGCGACATCCCTTGTGTCTACGGCAGGATGCGGTATCCCTAAAACTGAATACAAGAATAAGAAAGGGAGCGCGAGATCGTGACTAATTCAAATTTGACTTCACCGGAAAGGTCGTTCCAGATAGAATGTCCAACGAGAATGTGACCTTTGATAATGTTGGCAACATACTGCTGAACGGTATTGAAAGGTGCTGCATTCCCTATTGATCCACTGAGCTTGTTTTATATTGAAAAGCAACCAAGGACCTACGGGAAGAGAGGTGGGCGGGCTCTATTCCTGTTGTAGCCGTCCTATACTCTGTGACCTGAAGACAATGGAATAAGGAGACTGTGACGCAACGCATTTGCTTCATCAACGAACCTTCATGGTTGGTGAAACATATGTATCGAGTATAGTATTTCCTCGAAAGTCGACGATAGCAATCCGACTTCGATGATGAAGCTTAGATTTCAAAAACACGCTAAAAGGTAAAGGAAAGGCTCTTACGCTAGCATCGACGTCGTCCCTCCGGGGCCGACACCAACATTAATACAAGAGATAGCGTAGTACTGTTTAGTGTGTGCCATCGACGAAGAGACAAAACCCGTGTCGAAACGAAGAGGGGGGAGAACGCTCGGGGCGGAGGATGCGAATCTAGGAGCTCAACCATCGTCGTATAAGTACCGCGAGCAAGATTGCTTTTGGAAACCTGGATAAAATGAACGAAATTTTGACAGCGGAGGAGTCAATCGAACGCCATTTTCAGAATGAGAAAGGAAACGAAAGAAGGAAGTATAAGGTCGAGAAGGACACAAGGGAGCTTGCTTCAGCCAAAGACATTTGGAGACTGCCTAATGACACACAAAAAGATAGTGAGATGATCACCGCCCGCATAAATCGCACGTAGTCGACCGAACAAAGCCATACAGCTCAAAGAGGGTGTAATATTGTGCAGGCGTTAATCATAAAAGAACCTGCATTCCCTGAGATCACGATTATAACGGGCAATCAACGTTCAACAAACGGATAAGAATTCCTACATAAGTCGGCCCCGGTCAATCAAATCCCTCGATCTTCTTCACTCATGTATGTTTCTCATTCAACTGGATAATGTTAGACACACTCAGAATCATTCAATTATCACCTAACAGCAATGGACTCGCGATTTCCCTCCAATCGTTGGAAAGAAATCGTAAGTTTTCATTGTATCGTTGAAAATTGAAAAATGTTCGCTTGTGACGGTTCCGTAGAGGGTTCCTTTACGTGGCATAATTGCAGATCGCCTTGACATCGAACTGGTTTCCGCCCTTAGCTTCTACTTCTTCCAATAACCATCATCAATCTAGCCAGTAAATCGAGTTGAAGCCGCTATATGACCTCTCGAGGTCATAGTACCCTAAGTTTTCATAGTCTGACATTATCAGCGAGAGGATACATACAGCATGTATGTACCTCCCTACCCGGCGGTCGGATATTGCATAGATATTGACGCTTGACAGCATTGTATCGGCGAAAGATGCCCTTTACTCAAGCTTAAACGAGGAGACGCCGAGTATCAGTTCCTTCAGTACGTCGAGGACCAGGTGACCGTGACAAGAATAGGCGGATAATTACTCAGACTGGGCCAAATCAAGCCAAGTAAGGCCAGAGAGGGTCATGCCCGGTCTGCTTATTCGTAAAGTAGGCCAGAAGTTATTCAACATCGGAAGCGAATGCCCTCGAAATACTAGCGAAAACCCGACTTTTGACGTAGCCATTGACGTAGCCAGGAGAAAGCAGCACACAGGTTCACGAAGATGACTTTGTATTTTGAATTTCGTACGTTTTCCTACATTGCTTAGCCCTCACCCTCTTCTCTAGGCGAATTTGATGAGCTACAAGCTTCCCGGTACCTCTGAATATACTTTTGAACCGAGGTCGCCGCGACGAGTATCGTATATCATGACCTATGGCAGGCTCATTTGACGAGGAAGCATGTTCGTCTGCAAGCCGTGCGTCAGCCAGTATGTCACTGGATATATCCAAGCGCCCTTGTTTCAAAGCTAACGAAGCGACGCGAAGCCGAACCCTGTGATCCTCTATGCCTGCCCCCCATCTGCGTTTAAACGATGCAAGACATTCAGATGCCAGTGCGCCGCTTCGCATAGCTCCACGCAAACTCCCAAGCAGCAGAAACAGTGTGGTCGACGTCGGCCTGAAAGACGGATGGTACGCCAATAGACTGGTTAAGATCTTCCGATGTTCATGGAACTTCTTCAATCCGCGAGAGCGAGATCCGAATACAACGAGGATGTGGATGATGTCGAGGCATTGTTCAGTGAATTTAGGAGTAATCTGGGCTGGAAGGTAGCTGAAGTAAGTTTGAACAAGCCGGAGGGCCTGCTCTTGCTCCTGAAGCTGGAGTAAGATGTATGCGATGGAATGGATGACTCTGGGTTTAGCTTGCGTCAATGAAAAATCAGGGCGGTTCTTCATGAGTAAAAGAAACCTTTGCGCGTAAACGACAAAGGGGCCATCAGGTTCTTCCATGACCACACCTTTTCGACGAATACTCCGTCGTTTAAGGCTCCCGAAAAACTCTAACCACAGGGAGTCAGGCCAACCAGCGCCATCGTCGCCATCCTTTGTACCCTGAAAAACTCTTGAAGCAGTCAAGGTTTGCCAAGCAGCATCCCACGCCCCGATACGTATCTGCCAGCGGATAAGCAGTTTGTGGGTTTCTGAGTTGTGGTTGATATTAGCTGCTGCCATGCTTTGAAGAAGCCACTGAACGCTACCAAAGGAAGCAGTCCTTATTGCCATACCGATGAGAAAGTTATAGGACCGCGTTGATTGTGCTTCAGGGTGTAGATCATGGTAATCCATGAGCTGCGGGAGTGTAACTGGAGGAATCCGACAGGATAATTGAGTTAGGTTTCGGTGAAGGATCGCGCGACTAGTAGCTGGCGGAAGGGTACGCCGCTGAGTAGATGACTGCGCTGGCGACGTGGGGGAATATTGAGCAAGTAATGGATCTCCCCAAACACAACAAGTTCCTAACCCGTCACTAGAGTGAAAAACCGGATAAGTAGACACGTCTGTGCAATGCCCTAGATTTGAAGACTTCATGTCGTCCTCTGTGAGTGAATCTGGGTGTAGATAGTGGACAGAAAGGTTCATCTTCTCGCGTCGAATACGAGCTCGAGCCGTTGGTCGAGACAATTTTTGGGCAAAGGTCCCGGTAGAAGAGTTGGCAGAGCTGTTTATGACCGCACATTAGAAAAACAACAATGTGCAAGTGAGTAAGACCCTGCCTGCATCCAGTCAAGTTTCTCCGTCCAGCAACAGCATTGTGAAGCTTCTGGTCATGGACTGTTGGATAATAGCTTGAACTCCCGGCAGCGCGACGAGACCATGCTTGGCCAGCAGCATTTTGTAGGATAGTAAAGAACGAGAGGGACTGAAGATGGTGTGTGTTGCCGGCACTGAGAGTAGACAAACGAGACCATCCCGTGCTGAGCATACATGAACTTGGCCCAGCTTCGTGTTTATTTTGTGTGTGGTTATAGAATTCGTTAGATTTTGAGCTTTCGCCACACAATGACAAACAAATCTCGTATTCACTTCGTCAATTCCCTCTAAATAATTTACAGGATTCTTCAGAATCGTGTCACACATTCTTGTTTTTCTGCCCCCACCTCTAGACATTCACAAGAATCTATGTAGATTGAGTGGGCGATTCTCTGTTGGCTAACGAACTTTTATTTCATTCCACACACGATATGTTGAGTTGATTGTAAAGAGACAGGATGCAAAAGTAATGACAGAAGATCTCTTCGGTACTTCGAAGAACATAAGTATTCCATGGAATTAGTCCACTGGTTAAGAATTGCGATCATTCATAAAGTTCATCACATATTCGAGAAATGAGATACAAACAGCAGCCGTCAGCAACCGTCAGCTAATTATGGATAGCAATGTTCACTGTGGTTGTCCTAGATGCTATTGGCATGATCCTATGAGGTTCCGATTGAAAGGCATCATTGACTGCTCACATACCATTGACGATCATCCGACTACGACTCCATCGGGTGTTGGTGTGTGCGCCCGACTAGCCAGCCCACTCGTCCGATCCACTGATCCCTCACTCCTCGCATGACATGACCGATTTGGGAATCCTTCGCTGCGAATTCGTCTAGACGTTGAACCCAGCCATGGACCGTATCACTTCCAAACATTCCTCCCTCCCGATTAACGACAACATCGACCCGAGCCACCCATGCGTTCCACTCTTCAGATAGTTTTGACAGCAGCAGGGGCTCTATGCCGTTCTGAGCAAGTTGTGGCTGCGACAAGATGTGTCCAGTCACATTCGACAGGAAAAAGAATACTTCTGTGGGATGTGGTTTGTTCTGGGTAGACAGAGTGGATGGAGAGGAGGCAGCGGAGCGGTACGTAAAGTAAGGAAGATACGACGTGAAGGTGGAAACAAATTCGTTTATATGAGGTCGCAAGCGAGACTGAATATAAGATTCACTCATGCCACTACTACCTGAGCCGGTTCCAAATCCGAATCCGAGGGAGGTGGAAGTTGAGAATGAATTATTATTGGAATATGGATAAGCCTCCCGGAGTTTCTTGGAAGACTCTGCCAATGCCTGCGTAGCGGTTTCCACAGTGGGGTGAGGAATTAGAGGAAGGATCGCGGATTTTAATGACGGCTGCGACCTGATGAGTGATGTTAGGATGGGTAGTAGGGATTGAGGAGGAAGGGTAGCTGTTCGTATCACAATCAACAACAAAGATACAGCGATGAGATAACAAAGACAACGTACCAAGCAAAACTCCTATGTCGATGTCTTTATCCTCTGTCGCATGTCTAGAGCTAGAGTCAGTCGATGTACCATCTTCCTTGGACGCCGAGTCTGAAGGTATTGTACGAAGCCTCTTCGGAGCCGCCCTTTTAGGGCGCTCTGGGGTTGGACTTCGGTCCATGACCTCATCTTGTCGATAATTTTCAGATTCCTCAGGTTCATGTCTTCGTTTCTGCGGTCTATGAGTGGCATTGGTGAATAAGGAGGTTGATGCAAGCTGATTGAGAGTAGAAGCCTGTGTCGATTGGAAGGGAGAAGTGGTCCAGGATTGGGACGACATGTTGCTGGAACCAAGTCCAAAGCCAAAGCCAGGCGCATCTTTGGAGGAGCGTGCGTGGAATCCTATCAAGGGCGAAAGCTGAACATGCGCCATGAGTGTGACAAAGGGAGAAAGAGTGTTGGCGGAACAAGAGCAGACACCTTGGCCGTTGCGCTCGCTTACGGAATGGTCAGCCTGCCCTTAATCACGCTGTTTACATAAATATTTGATCGTTATTATCCTTTCTTGTCGACAACTTCCAACAGGTGAGCACCTCCGTTTTTCCGCATTTTCGGTGACGAGAGAAAACGAATCGCTACTTCGAAGTCATGACTAGGTCACGACTTATGAGCTATGTTCATATACCCAAATTTCTGAGCTTTCCCGGATCGTTTTTGTTTGAATGTTTCAACTGATTTTCCTCTGTTCAGTCAGGTCTTGGCGCTTGACGTGTTACCGTTGCAACTCTTACCGAGAGTGAGTAGATATTCTTTCACCTTTTCAGTATGATGTAAAATATCTAGAAGTCAAGCACTGATCCCGTCTTAAGGACGGGGCTCGAAGATTTTCCATGCTAATACTGAATTCTCTCTCCGTTTTGTTTGATTTTTTTACTCACATTGTTCCTCATTGTTCACAGGTCATACTATTACTACTGTATACCTCATTATCATATGCCATGTATTATAGTACGAATGTCCAGTCCGTGAGTTCACGATTTTGGCCAGAGCAAGTTCAACGTCCACATGATCCCACCAATCAGAGCCAACCTTGTTCCATAGTTAGCATTCAAAGGTTTCTCCCACAATTTGTAAAATGAGGCCTGACGCGGGGAAGAAGCAACAGCACCATCTGCTAAACGATCAACCCAACGTCGAGGGTGGGAGGGTCCATCCGCAGATGCGGTAATAGGCAATGCGGTTGCTTTCGGTTTCTGCCCGCACAGTGTCGTAACCAACGCCCCTGTGGCATGTGCAACTTGGTTGGAAATATAAACGAACATAATAGAGGTTATGATGAAGTTGAGTGGGCGCCATCGTGTACCGGGAAGTACAAGCAGAACTCCTTTGGTGTCTGCAGCGAGCCATAGATGATATTGGATAATAAAGGTCTCCAAAGAGCAGCGACCAATGAAGGCGAAGATCTGGGAGTTGGCGGCGCGGAGGGTTGCGTTCGCGTTCCTCAGTACGACAAACCCTAATACGGGAAGACAGGAAATGTAAGGGTGCCAATAATTGTAGGTAAACTTTGATTCCTGGTTGATTTCGAATACCAAGAACCACGATATGACGAGGGCGGAGAGAACAACGGCAATCTTTTGAAACATGTGCCACCGCGGAGAATCGGTCAACTGAAATTCTTGAATCTTGATAACAGCTACGGCAGCAAACACGCCAACATACACAATCCAGAGGTCGAGCTTCACCCGGAAAGCCCATTCCTTCGCTGACCACTGTATTCCGAATATACGAGCGAGAATTTCAAAAAGAAATTCCAAGGGCCCGAGTGTATGGAAGAAAAGAGTCACAAGCGCCGCGGAGAGAAGGATTTTTCCGACGAGAATAGGCGTACGGTCGTTGAAGCGCGATCCAACTGCCAATGTGACATATATAACCATGTACCACAACGATACCAAGGGCGCGAAGTAGTAGGAAAGATAGTCGGTATTCATCGTGTAAGCGAGTACCACAGTCAGTAAATTCAGCCGAACCAAAACCTAGATTTTAGTTAGTACAAATCAAGACTCCGCTTGTTATCACGCTTACTTGAGCCACACGCAGGAATCCAAAATCGGCTTTTTTGAGATAGAACGTGGTATGTCCGTATCCAGACATGAAGAGATAGGCAGCGACAAGGACACGAATGGGGTTGTATATGCCGGAAATTTTGGAGGCGCCGAGGTAATGGTAGATTAGGATGGCAACTGTTGACGAAAAGATCGAGCGAAAACTTTGGTGACATAAGAAGTGCATACCTTGCATCCAGCCTTTCCATTCGTCTGTTTGCTCGCGATTCAAGAAGCCCAAGTCTTTATCGGAAGACTTGATAGTTAGAAGACCAGCACCCAAGCTTATTAGACACAAAAGCCCAAATGTCCACGCAGAAAACAATTTTTGTTCCTTCAACCATAGACCAGTGCGGTCTGCCAAGAAAATAAGCAAAATTGCTACCCCCATTACGAAGAGAGGCGATGATTCGATTACTGAACACCAGCCACTGATTGAACGATCTGTACAGAGCCAATGTTATTAAAAAAATTCGGAATCGCGCATTTCAGATGATGCACCTTCTGGTCGGGATATCCAGAGTTGGTAGACGCCCAATCCGAAGAGAACCGTGATAGACATGAGTTGCAATAACCCAGGTGACGGATAACTGCGACAACAGGTCGCGTCCATGGGAAAGTGCTTGGGTAACTTCTCGTTGCAATGGAGGTTGAGTAGGATGTTCGCTTGCGTTCTGATTAAAGAATCAGAGAAATGTATGCCATCTTGGGTATAAGAGGAGTCCAGCATCTCGTTGAAAACGAGTGGAAGCGCGATGGGAAGGTTGGCTTTGGGATGCACGACTACAGGATGGGAGGTGTAAATCCTGTGATATAGATCCGAGTTCATGGCGTCTATATCTGAAGAATGCATAGTCTTTGCTCTGTCAGGGGATAATTTAGATGGTATTATTTCTTCGACAGGAAGAAACACAATGTTGTCGGATGGGCCCTCGCTAGGAAGGGAATGGATGAGATTCTCAATATTAGCTTCCCAAGCAGGCAATCCCCCTGAAAGGTCACTGTATCGCAAATTCCACAGACCACCACCGAGCGTAAGCAACGCCGGCTGCTTAGAGCCGTACGTGTTCGAGTGGTTCTGTAGTGCGATTCCTTTGGAGACAATATCGAATGTATGGCTCGAGTTTAGGAAAGGGTCCCAATAGAACGACACAAGGCTACCAGAGGTAGCGTGTAGTGTGTGATTAGCATGCTTAAGTCCGTCTTCTTTTGGTGCAGTGGGAAGAGAGGGGTCTAGCAGATGAGCAAACTGGTAGAATAGCCTCCGTGTCACCGAATCACCGATAAATATTGTTTGTCGACTTCCAAGACAACTCCCAGCAGTCTGTGGACTGTATTGATGGAGCATGCAGCCTGAAAATCGCAGTCAGAATTTAAGCAGATGTCAAGGACGCGAAACGTACCATCTGGCTGCCATATCTCCTTGTTAGAATCCAACCAACTGCCTCTGTTAATCAATGCATTACAATGCAACGGGTCGAACCAGTCTTAGAAAGCGATATGTCAACACACTCACACTCAAGAAAAATGGATACACACCAAACACTACTTGTCTTCCAATCCCAATACATAACGAGATCAAGATGACTGCGACTCCTACAAGATGAGAAAATGAGGGATTTAGAGTATATCGCGTCTTCGTTGCCACCATGATTCAGGCCCCCTGTAGACCAGCCCAAGAAAGGTGCAGGAAAGGTGTTGATCTAGTTTTAAGTTTGGTTTTCTGACAATGGCTGTTTGGCGTACAAGCCGTTGTTCACACATTACTGTCAGGAGTAATTATTATGTACTAAAAATATCCGTGAGCATCTACGGTACATAAATACGGAAGTCCATTCTTGTCAAAGATTGCGCAGAGATACATATAACTAGATACTACTACTACTGCTACTGAGACCTAATTGAACGTTAGTACGTCGCATCCAAATTTTATGAGTTGGACAAACCGGTTCTGCGAATGTTTCGGTCAGCAACTTATAAGTCATCATAATGAACGAGAGCAAAGGTCCAGGACATACCCTTGGCAGTGATTATTAGACGCAGTAGGCCAGCACGACAGATAACGACAGCCTGGGCACGCTAAATCAATTGAGGTGAGTGAAGTCCCTGTGAAGTCAGATTACCCCGATGCTAAACGTTGATTGCTTACCAGCATAAGGATCCGAAGTATAAAAGTTTCGGATTAAAACCACATATAAAATAATTGCTAGCACCATTGCTACTATGCGACAAGTCCACATGATCGCGCGATGGCGTTTCGTGACACTGATTACAGGGTAGAATACGATGCCCACGAGCAGACCCAGAAGGAATCCACCGAGATGCGCTGTAGGGATTAGTTAAAGATCAGTTGAAGGTGTTACAAGCTCAAAATCGTTCGCGACAATACCGAAATTATCGATATCTAGACTTAAAAGTCAGCAAGAAACTTCGAACAAACAGAAAAAGAAACATACAAGGTATATAGCCAATTGCGAATCCGATCAGAAATTCTATGGTCATGAAGATGAGCTGTCGTAATGTTAATGATTGGAGACCTTTATGATTGAAGTGTAAAATACACACCTTTCGTACTGGTCTATATTGATACTTCCAGTGAGCAAAAAGATCCACCCAGGCGACAGCTGAATCGAAACTTTTACTCATGATGTGTTGTGAGTTCATACTACTTACCTGTTGTCCCAAATATAGCGCCAGATGCACCGGTCGAAGGGGACCCGACGAGAGAGAAGTTGGCCCCGAGCACATTCCTATCAATCAATTCATTTTGACATCCAAATAATCAAGCGATGAAAATCTTACCCAAATATACCAGCAGCAAAATAAACCAGGAAGAATCCACCCGACCCCATTTCCCTCTCAACCTTGGCGAAGGTCAGATCTATTACAAGAAGATTGGGCGATACAAGACATACTTGAGCGCTTACTGTCAGTTGGCAAAGGAGATTCAAGGCGATGTGGATGAACCCAGCGTCTAACCAGATCCTTAGCTGTTGTATACGCGAAACAAGATAGATTCACGTACGAAGAAATATCGGGGTGATGAATCTACCTGTTATTTAGCTAGAGTATGAGAGAAACGAACACCGCTAGACACACCTGAACCACTGATTGGGTGTGCCATTGTCGAAACCTTGGAAATGATATTTCAACGATTTGTAAACCTAGGTGGGAGTTGCCTAGACACACCGTTAAAACCACAAATGTCTTCTAACGGACAATTTATCGTCGAGGGATTAGCAGTGTCATTCAAGCCTGAATGCGAGATAGATGTCAAAAGAACAATACTACCATGATGGCGACTCACAAGCCAACAGCGTGGAAGGCGGAACAGACGACACGTTCTTCATACATGGACTGAAATAACCTTCAGTTGAGGATTGCGATAGGTCAACTGTTAAAAAGATCACTGACGGAAATCGAGCACCAAGAAAAATGAGAGCTGAACCCGAAGGACCGAGCATAGGATTGACAGTAGGCTGACATTGACCTCAGCAAGCGATGACGAGGATGGCAAGAACTAAGTACCTTAAATGAAACCGGCGTGCCCTGGGCCTTCGATTGGATCACTTCTTCGTATATGAAGACCGCAATCAGCACAACAGATACGATCCACGCTGCACGAGAGTGAGATAGGGAAGTTTGAGGCGCAGAATGACAATTTGCGACGCACTGAGAAACGGATACGCTTGACGACCAATTCCTCTCTTTTTATTCTCAATTCTTTGCTCCAAGGGATATTTTCCGTCATTACCGACAAATAAAGCGAATGGTGATGGCTTGCCTGCCGTTTGATTTGAGTACGGGCTGGGAGTGGTATATGGGTCCGCATACTCTAGGATAGACTTTTCAGGAGGACGTCAGTTTGAATCCTGAACACCAAGATCTCACCCAAATCCTGATAATATCCTTTAGATTGGCCTGCAGGGACCACAGCATTATGTATTAGTGAGGCATCGGATGTTTGCCGTTTAGTATACGCCTCATCGTAGAACTGCTCATGATCTTCGTCTTCAGGATAAGCTGGACGACGGGCGCCAGAGTATCCTACTTGCGATTTAGGACGAGAAGTGCTAGTTCCTCGTACAAGGCCAGGAGAGCTTCCCCGAGAAATGATATTGTCATGGTCAAAACCTTCATCTTTCACTTGAAGAGTTTCGCTCGCGCCGTCAGGGAGAATCATTGGTCAATGTAGAATGCGGTTGCCGCAGGGAAGGAGAAATAGAGAAGAGATCAAAACACGGGTTTTCTGGCTCACTTTATGAGATTTGATACTTTTGAATAACACCCGCAGTCACCGTCAGTTATGTACACACAACCAAAATGATGCACTGCAGCACTGCATTATTCCAGGTATACCAAGCCTTCCATTATGATATATTCCAAGTACTAAGTAGGTACGAGAGTAAACTATGATATATACCTTAACAATGTCATATCTGAAGTTCGACCGGCGTTGTCTCTCCACCTCCGAGACTGGCTCTGGCTTTTCGAGCGGAACGTTTTCGAGTAAGTGGAGTAATTCTAGTATCCACTCGTAAACCATTTTCCGATTCCGCTGCATGCTCTTCTTCTGACGTCTCGGAACGCTCATGATGCTCCACGTCCCCAACATCCCCAACTTCCTCATCCGGTACCAGTCTACCCCACCGTGAAGCAGAGACGGCGCCGTCTATCCATTTCAGAGCTCCACTACTGATGTCTCGAACTTTGTGACTTCTAGAATGCCATGTCATCGCTCCCCGACTTCCGTTGCTCGCTCTACTGGCGCTCCTCGTCGGGTCTGGAGTAGGCAGAGGACTTCGCTTGTCATCCTCGTGGACTGGTATCTTTCCTGGACGGGCTGATAGCATGCGAGGATCGGACGGAAAGATTAAAGGAAGCATGTAGCGGGAATCTAGAAGCTCTCCCAGCACTTGTGGTGGTTGCGCAGGTTCCCAGTTTGACTTCTCTGTCCCTTGATCGAAAAGCAAATCGATAGCTTCCTGAGCGGCCAATGCGTCCGTCGAACCCGTTGAAAGTATTGAACTGTTCCCTGACTCCGGGGACTCGTTTGGCATGGATGACGAGACACTGCCATCATGATCACGATCGTTCATCTGTGAATAAATTGTTCAGCATATGCCTACATATTCGGTATTAGGTATGCATTCATGGCACTACCTCTTTGCGCAAGGCCTCCACGCCAAGCTTGACACGATGTCGCTCCCAGTCCTTCTGGAGCTGGGTTAGATATTGTATGCATTCTTCGTTCATTCTGCCTTCGTTTACTTCATATTTGTAATCTCGCACGGCACGTCGCATCTAAAAAATTGTGTAAGTCGGTTTTCATAGCTGTAGAGTCCGCAGTATGTTACCTGGAGAGGATTAATGCTCTTCATTGTTTGAATTGTTGCGACTAGATCTGGAAATTCTGAGATAGACGAAAGACACTGCCATTCGAATTTGAGCAAACATTTCATGCTGCGGAGAAAAATATCGTCGCACCTGTAGCCAGTTCAAGAGATCGCGCACGGGAGAGAAGTGGCTTTGTACACCACGAGGAAGTCCCATCTGTCTTACCCACTCCTCTATCACTCCGAGGTTCATGCTTATTTGTACAGCTCTTGACCTGAAGATGGATGAACAACCGATCAGACGAAGGAAGTATAATCCTCACCGACAGATATATTTCTTTCGCGTAAGTACACGATTGAACATTTCACCTGGAAGGGTTGAGGTTGTGTTACAAGGCTCTCGTGTGTTCGTACTCACTCGAGGTCCAATACATAACTTGGGACCACAGTTGCGTAATCAATGCGGGATTTATATCGGAGAGGGTCAAAAACGTATGTAGAGCGGTCAGATACGATGTTAAATGTGAAGGTGACGGTGTCTGAGAGTTTTCCGAGAAAAGGGCCTGAAGGGGGGTTGTCGTGCTAGAGGATGCACGGGCGCGAAAACTTTGACGGATGGAAGAAAAAGAGGACACACTTGGTGATGGGGAAGGCGGGCGTATTGGAAGCGGAGATGGGGGACCTCTTATGGTGGAGTTGGTGGAGGTGGGAGGTGGTACTGCTTTCTTCTTTCCAGTGAAAGGCCGTAGGAACGACCACTGCTCTGATTCAAATTGGACTGATTCAAATTCAGACCCTAGCGACGAATAATCTAGAAGAGCGGTATCTAACAACTCGTCGATTTTGCGCTCTGCCAGGCGTATAATGAACACTGGATTCGAGATTCAGCGATAATTTTTGCTATGTAATCAATGGACACACCGAAAACCGAGTTGATAGTTTCCTCGATAAGTTCGAAGGAGCCCAACATTTCGCAAACCTCACTGATCGATTTGTCGCATTGCATTAGATGTAACCAGATAGTTGTGTTGTAGAGCCAGAACACGAGCACAGTGATATCTTCTGGCCGGTTCTACTTTTCTAATGAGTCTCTAGAAGCACAAAGACAAGACCAACTGTCTTACAAAAAAGTTATCTTCGATCGCTTCTGTAGCACCAAGCATAAAATCTTCTAACCAGTTATGATCGCAAGTAAGGCAAGCGAATCGTGCCAACATGTAAAGTAGATTTGCTGGTTGGGGATTTCGAAATGACGGTGGATAGTTCGTTATTAGAGATTCGAATATTGCCGGTAGAGAAGGTGGAGAGAACACAAGCATATTTGTGTAATCTAGTGGAGGAGTCTACCCGTCGGTCAGCAAGATTAGTTTCAAAGAATATATACAGTACGCACATATAGACTGTTGTCTTCTTCTCCTTCTTCCTCTTGCTCAGAATCTGAATCATCGGAGAGATTGAACTCATCTAAATCAGGATTCCACCACCGTGGATGTATTCCCAGCGCTTGACCTACGTCCTCGCGTATTGATTGTTGCTTCCCTTTTCGTTTCATGCGTTCGTCTAATATTCGTCGCTTATCTTCTAATCGACCACCAGTCCAACCTTCGCCTCGCATTGCTTCCTCGACAAGCAATGCCACATCTCCGCGCCCTGGTAGTATGGAGTGGGCGGATACTATGTCCAGTGGTGTTAGTTTCCGGCGCGTCACGTCGAAGGGAGAACATCCATGTGTCATGAGATGGGAAACCAGAGTTGGAGGTGAGAGCAGAGCAGCGTAGTGAAGTGGTGTCCATCCGTCTGAAGAGCGCATCAACGAGGTGCGGCGTATGGAGGTAAAGTCAAGACTGTACCTTTGTCTGCAGATAAATCCGCACCCTGAGCTATCAGCAGTCGCACACACTCTTCTCGTTCCACGTCCCGTTCAGATTCTGCGCCAAAACCTTGTATTGTAAGGCTGACAAGACCAACACCATCTTCGTCGCGCATTCCCAAATCGATAAATGGATGTGCTTGCGGATCAGAGAATACATATTGGAGGATACTCAGTTCGCCAAAGACACACGCTCGAGTAAGGCAATGCCGAACAAGCTTAGCCTTTTGGTCCGGATTGAGACCTGAATGAGATGATAATTGGACCGCTATGTGCGCCGTCGTAGGATAGAGAGGATACAGATCAGGCTCTGGAGATAAATCTAAAAGAGAAGAATTCATGGTTATTTTCGAACCAGAAAACAAGCCAGATAGAGCAAAAATGAGTTTGTCGCAATATTTGCAACGAGGAGACGAGCTGGTGATTTGGGGTGACCGTGTTTCTAAGCGAAATTAACTTAGCCGCCCACCATCATGATCTCTTCATCCTTAAAACGGAAAAATAATCCTGTCACTGATTATGCAGACCACTCGGAGGATGAACAATCCATTGGTCACTCTGTCGAAGCTTCTGACCGCTCCGAAGAAGAGTCCATAGCCGATCAGGATGAAGAACTAGACTCTGCAGACGAGATTGAGGGCATGAAACCTCAAAAATCTCGACAGACAAAGAAGAGAAAGATTCGCGCAACGCATGCCTCTGCCTTTGGTGCTACTCTTCAGACATTGCTTAATACCGAGGCTCCCTCGTCTGCCCCTCTCTCGTTGAAGCCGTCAATAGCTCGAAAAAGGAATGATGAAAAGCTAGAGATGAAAGCAAAGAAAGTTTTACAGGTGGAGAAGAAAGAAAAAGAAGACAGAGGAAGAATAAGGGATGTCATAGGTGGCTGGGGCGGTGAGAGCGAGAGGGCCCTTAGGAAAGTTGCACAAAGAGGTGGTAAGAGTCAATGCTTCTGCGTCCGCCTTTCCTAAGCTTACTATATCGTGCAGTCGTCAGACTTTTTAACGTCGTTCAGCAGGTCCAAAATCAAGCGGCAGCCGACGGGGAAGAAAAGAAAGCTGCAAGAGGGAACGGCAAGCCTTCTCTCCCTGCACCACGGATTGTAGACAAATCTAAATCCAAGAAGGGTAAAAATAAAGATAACATCATTGGCCGAGGGAAGGAATGTACGTCTGACTCGAGACCCATATCCAAACATAATGTATTCACCGCGTTGCAGCTGCAGTTGATAGGGATGATTTCTTTGACATGCTACGAAGCGGTGCAGTTGTGTCGAAATCATGACAACTTCCTGTAAGTTTGAATCCACTTAGACAGAAAAAGTGATTACCCAAGTATCCCCTCGAGTATATTTGCGCTATGGGATTTGAGCGGTGATCACGACAAATCCAGCTAGAAACTATCGCCACATCCATATTTTCGCTCGCAGATGTCGAGCAATAAAAATCAGCCGCAGAACATCGTTGCATAAAAATGACAGTAACGACACCTATCCTGGGACTCCCCACAAGACAGGCCTGATCAGTGATGATCCCCACCGTCCTCGAATTGATCGAAGCTCGAACCTTTGGATGATTATGTGTCAGGATTTTTCAGTGTCCAACTGCTCCACTACTGTTGTTCAATGTCGAATCATTACTGCATACTCATTCCCTCCAACTTCTTTCAAGCAACGCGTACGACTTGAAATTTGGTAGCTGGTTTGGCTCGCTCTCATTTCATACCGGTCTTCTACGTATTATCCGATCTTTGGTATCAAAGAGTCAAAGTTTGGATCACCCCGAAAGATGCGGGAGATGATATATACGTGAGTCGGTCCCTGTTTGGTTACAGTTGGTTACACGTATCTTGCGAGTCGGATCGCCTTCGTTGTTCACTTATCCTCATGAATCAGAAACTCGACAGCTCACCTAGATCGTCTCCAGTAGATAAGTGCAGATAAGTGCAGGCCATATTGTCGTCCGCATCTTTCGCAGTTAACTTCACTCGTTCACTGAAACTAATTGAACGCCCCGCACAATCATGGTAGTAGTATATTCTTGCATCAATTGGCAGACCGGTGATACATTGCAGATACAACGCATGTGGTATGTTATCAGCCACGAAAGAAACTCTTGGTTGCATCGATATCTAAATCAAGTTATGCAATGTACACGCATAATTACTCTTAATTGGCAGCCTTTCTCATACACTCTTCTAATCACTGTCCAGGTTAACCAAAACCGAATAACATTCACTTCGTTTTCTCCTTTTTTCTCAAGCCAATCTTGCGTCAATATTTCGGCGAACGATGGTATTGATTGACAAAAGCTAGTGAGACGCGGATCATTAACTACTGTAGGGGGCAAACTATAATGCATCTACTCTCTACCTGACTTTCAAGTGGCAGTCTTGATGATCATTCCGGGACCATCAAGGAGATACCTTCGATTTCCACATAAGCCTCCACTTCAGTAAATATTTGTCAGGATTTGGGTCGTTTTTTACCTTACGATTTTAAATTTGGAACTGAGCAAATTTCTCGGGCTTATTTGGCTCCTGCAAACTTCGAAGCAATCACCGTCATATGCTTCACGCAGCTGGAAATTTGAGAATGAGGTCTACGTAGTTTGACTGGTTCAAGTGAAAAACCGCAGCCTGCCCTAAACAAATGGCCCGTGCTTTAGCTTCCGACCTGCCCTAAGGCGCCTACTTGAAAAATGGTTCGTCTCTTTTTTTTCTGCCATACCAGCGTCCATCGGACTAAATCATTTTCTTTCTATGTTTGATCTTGCCTGAATCTTGATGACGTTCTCCGCATCTGCTATTGAAGCCACACGCGTTGCCGAATGTGCAAATTTACAAGGAGGAATGGGACCGGAGGCTTCATGAGGTGCAGGTTTCTAAAAGGTGAGCTCGAAATTCGTACATTCCTTCAAGGCGGGCGTTATAGGATGATAAAATTATTGGGAATCTCTCTGAGTTATTCGTTGAAGAGTCAAAATTGCATGTATTATCTGAAACTTGCCCGTCTCGTGTCTTGCTTCATTCTCTTACTGATCATCGATCACAGTGATCTCAACCGCCTCATAATGGATTATCTGGTCATTGAAGGATACAAATCCGCCGCTGAAGAATTTGCACAAGAAGCTTCCGTTGTTCCTGAAGTAGATTTCGAATCAATTGAGAGCCGAATGAGGGTGCGGGAGGCACTTCAGCGAGGTGACGTGGAGGATGCCATAGTGAGGGTCAATGAGTTGAATCCCGAGGTGAGCGTTTCAGTTTCCACGACTAAAGGAGCTCTGGGGATTACTTTCCCGTTTCTCGCAACAACCGCCTCGTCACACGGTATGCTTTCAATATCCGATCCAGAATAAGGGTCTTTTGGATTGCTGGAGCCTGGAGCACGGCTTCATTTCGCTTCGCCAAATTTCCTCGTTTCTACAATGAGGCGGCGAGAGCGCAGCATCCTTACCCTTGGTCTCTATTGGTTTCGTTGGCAGTTGCTTTGTGCAGAGGCTCCCAAATGATTAAACCGTTTCATGCACCACTCTCAGATCCATTGCGGGTCGCTGATGAGAATTGTAACACCAAAACTTCAGTCTTCAATATGATATCCGTTCTTTAATCAATAGATTATTTTTCTTGATTAACTGATTGTCAACTGCCAGATCCTCGACAACAATCGTGCATTATTTTTTCATCTTCAACAGCAGAAGCTGATTGAATATATCCGACAAGGACGAGTCGGAGAAGCGCTTCAGTTTGCACAAGACGAGCTTGCGCAGCTCGGGGAGCATTCGCCAGAATTTCTTTCAGAGTTGGAGAGGACTATGTCGTTGCTGGCATTTGAACATTCGAGTTCCACTCCGAGTGCTATCGGGGACCTATTGAGTCCGGCTCAACGAATGAAGACTGCGGGAGAAGTAAATGCAGCCATTCTAGAAAGCTTGAGTCAAGGAAAGGAAGTTAAACTGGTACAATTGGTGAAATTGTTGAGCTGGGGGCAGGAAACGCTCAAGGAACATGCCGAATTTCCAAAGGTGGGTTCCGGCGACTTTCGTGAGAGAACGGAATTGTTGACTCTTGAACTTAGATGAGCTTGGATGATGGAACTATACTTGGATCTAGTTCCTCTACTCTGTAACCTATATAGTTCTACATCAGGATTAATGTAACGTCAGTGTAAGTTATACCGTGTAACATGTCCATAAGTAGCAATTAAAGATTTTTGTTGTGAAAGTTGATCGTAAAAGGGAATCTGAAGGATTTGTCAGCTTTTATGGTATGTAACATGAGCAGGCACGCTAAATTCTATTTACCTTACATTGGAGACCCGTCCTTTGCTTACCCTTTCCTGCGTTTCCTACTACATATCATTCCAGGAGAAGAGGAGAACATAAGGGAAAAGACCACCAAAGCCTAGCCAGCCACGACTCCAACAAATTATCTGGGTCGATGTCCGAAGCGGTGAGGGGACGACAACGAGTATTCCATGTGACCAATAGAGGCTCCGACAGCGAGTCGAGCGACGAGGAGACAACCATACAAAATTCAGCTCACCCACTTCCATTATTGCTCAAGACGAATCCTTCTCCTCCGTCTCCTTTGACGACGAATATTCCCATACGCGCTCCAAGATACAAGCCATCACATCACTCTCTTTCCTCCCCCTCCAGTTTAAGCTCGCCGGCTGCTGAAGAAACTCCACCGCCTTCAACTCCTGGCGTTTCTGGACCTTCAATCGATCTCACCGCCGAAGATCCAGCCATTGCATCGTCGGCTTCGCTCTATGACCCACCTCAGCATCGTTCCCAGAAGTTCCACTTCAAATCGCCTTTTCACCATAACCCCAAGCCCAACAAACCAGGGCCAAAACGGCCCGCAACCTCACCGACTGTCTCTATACCGGATGAACGTATCCTCATTCTCGTTACGGCTGATTCTGAGAGATATGTCAATGTGGAAATTACTGGGGCCAGAAATCCAGCTTTCATCAGGGAATGTGTGTTCACAAAGGTGCGCTGTGAGCTGTTTGCTTATGCTACGATTATCGCTAAACAAGTCTGTAGCTCAACATTTACGATGAAGAAGACCAAGCTAGATTTTCCATTTATCAGACCGAGATTGGTGCTTATGCCACCAGTGAAGCGCTTACAGACGAGAGACTGTTCGAACTCTGCCGAAAGCTGGGGGATGCGAAAGGAAGTCTAAAACTGTTGGTGTCACATTCCTCTGCCACAGTTCACGAGCAGCCGCTGCAGCCTGTGAGACCGTTGCCTCCAGTGTCGCCTCCCAGTGTTGTGACTATTCCACCCCCGGTACTCCCACAGACACAGAGTCTGCAACCGCTGAAGCCAAAGCGTCATTCTGGCTCCCGTCATGAAGGCAGTATCTCCTCAGCCAGCGAGCAAATTCCCACGGATTCGCCTGGCTACGATGCAGATTTAGATAATGCAGATCGTGATAACAGGTCTACGATGCGCCCTCCTACTCAGCAAATGCTGAATACCATTGCAAATGCAGTTCCGCCATCTCCTATCACTTCTCGTCGATCGGGAGCCCCCTTGCCGTCAAGACCGACTTCGCCTCCTCCTCCTCCTACTCCTCCACCTATAATTGACCGGTATGGAAATGTGTTGCCTACCCCTCCGCCTCCTCCTCCTTTATCTCCAAATAGAGCCACTTTCCCTATCAATGACGACAATTCTCTCACTCCTCCTGCTCGCCATCACATTAGGTCCGGGTCGGATGCTGCCAGTGAAAGGGAGCGTATGCTTCAGCATGGCCAACATCATCACAGTGCAAAGCAGGAATTCTCTTTAGGTCTAGGCGAACGTCGGAGACAAAGGTTCGAATTTGATGATCGTTCCTCCAATCCTGAATCATGGGTTTTCATCCAAAAAGGTGAATCGATTGAGCCGGAAACACAAGCCCATCCACCTAGCTCTCCAGCTCCCTCTCAGGAACAGGCAAGGCAGTCCCCTTCTAAGTCTTCCAGAGCTATGCGGAACCATGTCTCTCCGACGCGGTACAATCAGGCCAATAAAGGTGGATTCCGCATACCAACTATTCCACCGGCTCCCCGTGGTACACCTCCAGTACCTACCTCTTCTGGTGATTCTCGCCTTCCGCAACCCGCCCGTACCGCCGGTCAACCCGTCCCGACTAGCTGGGCAGTAAATTGGAAAGGGGAAACAAAAACTAGCGCCGAAGCGAAACCGCTTCCTTCAACATCGTCTCAACGGCGTAATTTGAAATCTGCCCAAAGCGTGGATAGTTTGCGAGCTGCTTTCCAGGGAGGCGGCAATGTTGTCAATCATCCGCCCAACCTGAGACCAGGCAAGGGCGGTCATAATGCAACATCGAGTTCTTCGAGAACAAACTCGAATATGACGTTCATGTCTGGTCCTTACAAGGACGGTTCACCAATACATACCCTCTCGAGGCCTGTTAGGCCATTACCTATCTACGGCGGTGGTTCACAAGATTTTCCTCCGTCCTCCTCCTCCGCGCACTCTCGCTCCTCCCCATATATGATATCGCCGTCTTCTTCCAATATCTTGTCACCGGAAGATCCGTTCCCTCGTCCACGGTCAGCAATGGGTGACTCGGCTTTCCCAAAAAGACAGATTCCAGCCCAGAGCCCTACTCGCGGAGTGGAAAGTGCCGCTTCCTCTATGTGGCCTTATCATAGGCCAATGTCTCCCACCAGTGGATATACAAGATCTGCCGCCACAAAACGTTCCGAAAGTCAGACACGGACACAGACACCCCCACGAAGTCCAACTAGTCCGCATAGCCCACGGTCGTTCTCGAAGAGATTGTCTGATGGGTTTGGTCCCTTCTCTTCGGATACTGGCACGATGAATAGCAACGGGAGTGGTGAAAGCGACGCAACTCTAAGGAAAGACGACCATCCTTGGCTGACCAACCTGTTCGATGACATAAACAGAATTGGAAATTCATCAAACGGAGAGGCCACACTCATGCCTCCCCCAAGACAACTTCCGGATCCTTCTTCCGCTTCATCGACTTCTACCACCTCGATATCCCCTCCAAGGTCGATTCCTACTTCTGCGTCGTCCACTTTGTCTTCCTCCTCCCCCATTGTATCGAAATCCATATCAGCAACAACGTCTACATCGACAACTCCCGGCCAACCATCTTCTCTCCCTTCGTTCCATGCGTTCCCAAACGAAAAGTTCAATTTGTCCGCAATAGGTACATACGATGCGTCTTCCGCGACAATTTTGTCGACAGGAACGTTCGACGACTCTGACTCCGATGACTTGTGGAATAAACCACTTGGACCAGTGCCTCCGGTCCCCCCTCTTCCAGCCGATCTGCAGGATTTGAATGTGATGTCATCCTTCCCGTCGAAACGGCCCCCACTAACTGTGCAGATCGAGAATATCGCAGGTGCTGTCAAACCAGTCTCAGTACCAAGTGCGCCTGGTTCAACGCCTGATTCGAGCGGGCTTGCAGTTAATGGACCTCCTCAATCCTCCTCCACTGCTACACCCCATCGGCAGCCGTCGATTAATGATGCTACGAAAGAGTCAAGTACCAAAGGGGGAAAGAAGTCCAGGGATGCAAGGCAAAGCACCTTCCTTGCTGCCTCAGATTCTGAGGGATGGTGGGCTCCACGTCCACCTCCTGAAGACATGTACGAGAAACTCGATCAGTACTTTCCTGAACATGACCTGGATAAACCAGTCATCGAGGCCGCCTCCGGTGGCACTAGCCCTACCGCTACTACTACTGATGTAGGACTTGGCCCAGGGGTGCCTCCTGTACCACCAATACCTTCCGAAAAGGATCTTCCTCATTTTGTTCGAGATGGCAGAGTACGAGACCGTGAACGGATATCTGGAGAAAGAGAACGCTCGCGCATTCGAGCGAAAAAGTCAATTCGTATCGTGGCGCAGGAACACAAGAAAAAGATTGATCGAACATCCATAGCCAGCCATTTTGCTCCTCATAGCGACATGGATACGGCGAGCCAGAACTTCAATCATGCGGCTAATATGTCACGCAAGAGAAGCACGAAACTTTGGGGTAGCAAACTTGAAGAGGTCACTACTGAGAACGAACGATACGGCAGGAGCAGCGCAGGCACACCAGAATCACCTTCTGGATCTGGGCCCAGTGAGCATTTACTCCTACTCTCTTTGATACCTAATTCTGATACACTTTAGCTACTTTCAAATGGGTTCGGGGAGAGCTAATCGGACGTGGCACTTATGGACGAGTGTACCTTGCACTCAACGCAACGACGGGTGAGATGATGGCTGTGAAGCAAGTCGAGATCCCACAAACGGCGTCGGATAAGAATGATTCAAGGCAGGCTACAGTAGTCCAAGCGCTGAAATCGGAGAGTGAAACTCTGAAAGACCTCGATCATCCCAATATCGTACAATATCTGGGTTTCGAGGAGACGCCTTCGAATTTGAGCATGTTCGTAGTCTTTCTTCCTTTTCTAGTCGTTGTTGCTGATCTGCGTATTCTAGTTTCCTGGAGTATGTTCCTGGTGGATCCATTGGAAGCGTACTGCTGAAGCATGGCAAATTCTGCGAGAACGTCACTAAATCGTTCACCGGTCAAATTTTGAGCGGTCTGGAGTATCTTCACTCCAAGGGTATATTACATCGAGTAAGTTCTTAGTCGGTGAATGTTACATACACACTCATTATTGTTGTTCAGGATCTCAAGGCGGATAATATCCTAGTGGAGATGAGCGGAATCTGCAAGATTTCCGATTTTGGTATCTCTAAGCGTACAGCTGAGCAGGCACTTGGGGGTGGGGCGGCCACCGCTATGCAGGGCACTGTGTTTTGGATGGCACCGGAGGTCATCAACCCCCAAGGCAAGGTCTATAATTCCAAGATCGATATTTGGAGTGTAGGTTGTGTTGTATTGGAGATGTGGGCTGGTATGAGGCCCTGGAACGGGGATGAAATGGTTGCTGTCATGTTCAAGGTATGATGAACCGACTGTTTGCGGGGTTAACTTTCTCATTTTGCTTGTTGCTGCTACTTCAGCTGGCATCCTCCAAACTTCCTCCTCCGGTACCAGAAGGCCTTATATTATCTGAACTGGCTGATGATTTCAGACGAAAATGCTTTGCCATGTGAGTGTCGTGAAAATTTACTGAAGCCCTGCTGACTTTATTGATAACCTAGTAATCCTGATGAGCGTCCGAGTGCAACTGAGCTCATGAAGCACAAGTATTTGGAGCTACCGCCCGGATGGACATTTACTGGATTTACATAACCTAGGCTCTAGCTCTACGCTCGTAGTCGCATTTACTTACAACCTTGAGCCTCACCAATTTTGTCTTTTTCTTTTCTTGGTTGTTCCTTCGAGCTTCTTTTCTCGAACCTGTACTCTCTTTCTGCACTTTCATTTTTTCTCTGCTGGTCGCATTTCCATATCCATATGATCTACGCACATTTACACTCATTCTCCTGTTCCTGTACACACATTTCATCACTATCATGACCTCTGTCGTATCTCAGTATCTGTACATGTGCCGCAGGCACAACTTTCACAATCATCAGCTATGTATATGTTGGCTGATAAACTTGGACCAGGCAAGTTCCTGTTAAGGTAATACGATGATGTCATTATAATAGACGTAGTCTGTTACTATGTCCTCACCATCTTAACCCTTATTCCCTACTATGACCCACGAGAATGTATTGAATAATGAAGACAAAGACAGAAAACCTTCAGTCCTCAACAAGATTGCAGATGGGTACCATGATGGGAAATACGAAGCAGAGAACGAAGAACGAGCAAGAGCGGCAGCAAAAATCCAGAAGGTTTGGAGACAACAGAATGGTCGTGCTCGATTACAGAAAGAATACCTTTCGCCTGAGCTGAGGTGGAAGGTATTTGCTTGATCCCACTACCTAGAGTCAATGTCTGACAAGTTCCTGAAATACACAGGATGCCGCGGAACATGCCATACTGAAAGTAAAGCATCGCGATTAGCAATCTCACTTGCCTCTAAACCAATCCACAGGTGCATAGGACCAGTGCTGATGCAGGTAAAAACTCAGCGAAAGAACGATGGAATCGTGGCGCGTTCTTTGCCAACAAGATACGAGATGGAAACATCGTTATGAACAAGCCAGGCGTGAATATCACGGATTCTTTGCCTGTCCAGAAACACCTGGAAACACAACACTGGCTGGAACTCATTGATTCGTAAGTTGTTTCCTCATGGTTTGGTCCCACCTCGCTTACAATAGATCGCTTCCCCAGGAAGCATCGTTATGGGTCAAATCGTGAGTAATGGATGCTTATAAGTAGATTAATACGGTTCTGACGAACTTTAACACTCCCTTATCAAAATAGTCAAGGTATATGCATAATATCTTACGTTGATCTACGTGCCCAGTGACATATCATCTCTTCACTCTAGTATTATCATAAAAAGTGGAAAGAGTCAAATACCGCGGACAATTTCTTCAAATGGTACGAGAACATGGTCATGATTATGCATACACAATCATTAGGACTTATCCTCGCCAGGCTTGATCGTGGAGAGGGAAAGGATCTCTCTCTTGATGAATGTCCTCGAGAACAACTCGAGAAAGAAGTTGGTGACGGATTTCGTTTTCATTTCGATGTACTAACACTTAACCTATCTTTTAATCAGCGAATAACGTAAGAATAATTCATTCTACAATCTCTTTCCAACGCTAATCATTCGAGACTGTTTAGTTATCTCTCAGCAGAACAGAGTATGAGACTGCTTTGTCTTTCTATACGTCCGCTCAAAATGTGATCGTAGGACTAAATTACCTTGTGAAGATTGATGATACCGGAAAACTACGCTGGGCACGAAATAATGAATTGGTAGATACTACCGCAGGACGCTGGAAAGATTCTGGGAATGGCAGTGGGATTGTACCAGAGGACATGCCAGCTCGGCCTGTGCAACGAAGAGGGAGCTTTGAACCTGTCGTTTCTCCCTCCTCCAGCGTCCACTCGGATGCTGTCATGCACTACCTCGGACCACCAAAAGGCAAAACAAGGTGGTCTAAGGCATTCTATCGATATTTTACAGTCCGTGGAGTTACCAACCGACTTTTACGAACAACATTGAAAAGAAATACATGGTTATATGCCAGTGTAAGTCATGGCATCAATGTACTTGTATTTTGCTTATGTATGTTTAACTGTCTATAGGACCAAAATTGTGGTTACATTCAATGAACTTTGTTTTGCTTGTTCACTGAAATTTTCACAGATAATATGTTCATCGGCATAAAGAGTGTGTCTCGACGGATTTTGTTGGTATGTATCTATCATTAACTCAGAGCTTGTAGATACCGGAACCTTCCAACATAGCAGCCTCCTAGCTGGGGGTATCGTCACATCTGCTGGACTAATATCAGTCAAGGATGGAATGATTCATACGTTATCCCCTTTGTCTGGCCATTATCGGTAAAAGATAACTCTTTCAAATCCAGTGTTCAGTATGCTAAAAACGATGTTTCCAGAACTTCAATTTATGCAAGTTGTGCCAAAATTTCGCCTAGGAGCAGCTGTTAACAGTTCACATACAGCATTTCCATCGTTTTATAGATGAACTCACTGAGCGTGGCGTGGATATGAGTAAGGTGAAAATAAGCAAAGCTGAAGCTGCTCTTTGGGGGTAAGTGCGCGCTTTGGAAAGTCAATTCAAATCCTCGATTGAACTGAAATTGTTACGTAGAATCGAGCATATCGGAAAATGGAAAAAGAAACAAAGTCACTTGAAGGAGGCGGGCAAAGAACGCATTGCAAAAGCGGGCCACGCAATCGTCGACACGCTAAAGATGAGTGACCTCAGCTGGAAGCGAGAGATTGTGGAAGGTAAGAAATGGCAGGAAGACCAAGCTCCCGCAATTCCCGACCTGCCTGAAAAGGGCCCTTCGCAAAGCCCGGGGCAAGAAAGTATTTCATCCGACCGTGTTGGTGATGCAGAGCAAGAGGCAGAATATATATCTGCGTCAAACCCTGCCCCGCACACTGAACATGAAAGCCCAGGGAAAGTTCTTTTGGAGGAGGCATAGGTGCTCATAGGAGCAATTCCCTTTCTTTTTCACCAAGTTCCGAACTATACCATCCTCATGTTACTCACCTTATGTACTGCATCTTCTCATTGTAACTGTCATTGTCATACATATCCCAAGGCGAAACGGGCAGACTGAGCGCCTCAGTGTCACGAGTTAAAACGTAGAGGAGGGGAATGCGGAGAATCTATAGGCTCGTTCCCAAGCTGTCTAAGAGGTCTAGAGGAGGTTCTGCTGAAAGTAAAATCTGATCCTAAGCAAGGGACGTTGGCGACCTGTTGGCGACCTTGGCTCTTCTACGTTACGAAACACTTTTACTGTAGGTAGTCACGACTTGCCTTTTTTGGATCAACCAAATGTCCTTTCTTGCTGCCACTTCTTTTGGACGCGCAGTCATTCGCTCTACTCCTTTACGTGCCCCTCTATATACACGACCATGCCTCTCTCGTTATATGCATGCCTCAGGCTCTCTTCATGCGGTCCAGAGGTCTGTCAAGTCTGAAGAACTGGTGGAAGATTACGAGGCGGAAGACATGTTGGATTATGATTTCGACGACGACGATACAACATCTGCAGGCCATCTCATGCTGAGGGAGCAGCGCCAGACGCTCCATTACCTCCGTCTCATTGAACATGAAATGCCCAAACTTGTCGGTACGCCTGTGGTTCTTGCCTACACATCCAAACAGTTTTTCATTGGCGGCTCACAGCGTACCGAAAGCCATTTGTTGTTCCAGAGAACTCCCCACTCATTGTACGCTCGTTAGAGTACGGTGGGGAAGATCATCCAGCAACCTCTAAGCGCGTTGTCGTCGCCGCTGTAGATGACCTTCCATTGACTGACGAGCGTTCCGTGCACAAGTTCAAACTTCTCGCTGGCCCTAGATGGTCGCTAAGGCCACCAACAAACTCTGGCGTTAGCGATCTGAAGCCATGGGGAAACGGCTTCATCAAAATTTCTTGCGAGGATTTCTTACATCCTGCCCAAAATCTCAAGTGGATTAGTGATACATTTGACCGATTAATTGGAGAAGCCAATGTGCGTTGCAATTCCCTATAAACTCAAGAAGATACTAAGTTTTCTGTAGAACAAGAAGGATACATTCAAGGACGTTCCTCAGGATGTTCGTCACATTTACTCCGCGACAAGAAAGGCAAAACGTGGGGAGCACCTTCGGGGACGTGTTCATGCTCGCCCGACAATACGTGACTTTCCTCAGGAGTGGTTGCCTGATCAACCTATTAGTAGTTCCCGGAGCATGTAATAGCCTTCAATGTCATGCTCGTTTCTTACAACTCCATTCTTTTCCGTCATCGGGCCGTGACGCTTTATAAAAGGGACCTCGAATCGATCACGAACATCACTGTTACTGCCATGTCTTCGTCGAGAATTGTAAGAGCATCTGTAGTACAGACCTGCACACAGGCCTATTCACTAACAGACACATTGGATAAAATGGAACAACTTACTCGCTTGGCTTCCGAACGGTTGCGTTCCTTCTTTCTTCACTTTCATACTGTCCTTGCTAATCCTTGACAGAGATGGGGCTCAGATTGCTGTCTTTCCAGAGGCTTTGTACGTTGTCATTCCCATCTATAAGGTACCCAATTTATTCTCCCAGTATTGGTGGCTACCCAAAAATGTCAACTTTCGGAGTCGTAGTCGGAGATCGATCCGCTCTAGGACGAGAGGAGTTTCTCAAATACTACAACGCAGCAATTGAAATTCCCTCTCCCGCCATCTCAAGGATCGAGCAAATAAGCAAAGAGACTGGCGTGTTCATCGTTTCAGGCATAATCGAACGCGATGTCGGCACATTATATTGCACTGCGATCTTCGTCTCGCCAGTTCAAGGTCTCGTTGGTAAACACCGAAAGTTAGTGCCCACAGCCGCTGAGCGCTTAATCTGGGGACAAGGAGATGGGTCCACTCTTCCGGTCCTCGAAACATCTCTTCCGCCAACTGCAGAGCGTGCCAAGGAAGTGACAACTAAAATTTCTGCGAGCATTTGCTGGTACGACGGAATATGCGACGACAGTATCCTTTCCTGCTAATCGGTTCATTTAGGGAGAACTATATGCCTCTTTGTACGTCAAGGCGAATTAGAATGAAGCGGATATACTCAATGGTATTTTGTCAGTGCGAACTTATTATTACTCTCAGGGAACTCAGATTTACTGTGCTCCGACTGTTGATGCTCGACCTGTGTGGCAGAACTCGATGGTGCACATTGCTATTGAGGGACGTTGCTTCGTTCTATCGGCCTGCCAGTTCGCACAAGAAAAAGATTATCCGGAAGACCATCCAGTCGCCGACATCAATGCTCGAAATCCTGAGAATGTCATGATTGCAGGCGGAAGTGTTATTGTTAGCCCGCTTGGAAAAATACTAGCGGGCCCTCTGCTAGGAGAAGAAGGCGTCCTAACAGCGGATCTCGACTTGGATGACTGTATTCGTGGCAAATTTGATCTCGATACTACGGGTCATTACGCGCGGCCGGACGGTGAGGCACATTCTCATTGGGAGGCTCTTGTTCACTGACAGTAACTCAATCAGTCTTTGAGCTCAAAGCCAACACATATTGAGGTGTTTGTAGTCAATCCAGCTGGAATATGCTACATACCATCGAACAAAGTTCAATTCCGGTCGCCTTGACGGTATCTCGAACTCTAGGATGATTATCCGCCAGTTGGCAGTAGTATGATACACATTTGACCGAATATCTACAGTCCAAATAAATCACATCGAAATTAAACGTTATAGCTCGACAGTACGGCCAACAATGCTCATGATAACCGCATACCACAATAATCATGTCTGAGAAGATAACAAAAGATACACGCGGCGTAAGGACTTCGTATATTGCTGTGCCGCGATGAGTTTCCTTAGACCTAGGACCGCACAACCTAAGCCACTCGAAACGTGCTTATAGATGCAGCGGCGCCGCGGAACACGAGCCCAGTTCAAGGCAAGCGTATACGCTCTATAATGGCGAGATATTGCAAAGCGGAGCTCACCACGTTCCCCTTCTCAGCGGAAAAAGCCTTGCTGATCCACGGAACTCAGTAACGGTCGTCGTTCGATGATAGTCACGTTGGAAGAGTACGTCCCGACAGGTAACATGAGGTAAATGCAAAGAAAGAATGACATGATGGAGCACTCCTTGGCAAAATTCTCGTGCAAAAACGAAAAGTTGGTGAGATATATGGGTATGTTCTACCAATAGAATAGACTACCAGTAATAGAGAGGGAGGGATAGACGTCAATTGCATACTATGTATTGTACATCAGAACAGCATCAGAGGAAAGTTAGACTCTGTCAAAGTACTTATGGCACCTACAACCTGTGGGAAAAGTAGCACAGCCATCTTCAGCAGTCTTCCTGCTCCCACCGCAGAATCGCGTTACTCTTTAGAGTTTGTCTTTGGTTCTCTTTCTCTGCGTTCAACTGCTCAAAAATTACAGATGACGGACTCGTACACATCCTCGCGCGACGGAGACTACTCCAATGGCATCCCAAACGGTTCAACCACCTCTTTCGGCCAGCCCATTCCTCCAGCGACTGGTATCTCTTCAGTCATTAGGAAAAAACTTATGGGTTACGTCGGGTTTGCCAACCTTCCAAACCAGGTGCATAGAAAGAGTGTGAGGAAGGGCTTCCAGTTCACTGCAATGGTGGTCGGTAAGTCGCCTACAGGCTCTTTCTTCCGTCTCAACTTCAACTTTCCAACAAGGCGAGTCGGGTTTGGGCAAGTCAACACTCATCAACACCTTGTTCAACACTACTCTTTATCCCCCCAAAGAGTCCCTGGATCCTTCTGCGGAGAGGCCCAAAACCGTCGCCATTGAGAGCATTGGTGCTGGTACGTGGCTTTTGCTCCTAACTTTATGTTTAGCTCATCTTCTGTTACGTTATAGATATCGAAGAGAACGGTGTCCGGCTCCACCTTACCGTCGTCGACACGCCTGGGTTTGGTGATTTCGTTAACAACGACGACAGGTGCGTCTTCTGCTACACATTGTAGCATGTACCAATGTCATTTTCTGTAGTTGGAAACCCATTGTGGAAAACATTGAGTCCAGGTTCGACTCGTATCTCGAACAGGAGAACCGTGTCAACCGCCTCAAAATTGTGGACAACCGGGTGCACGCTTGCCTGTATTTCATACAACCAACAGGTCACTCGTAAGTTCATATTGAATTGTATGTGTTTTAGTGTTCCTATCCTGTTTTCTTTCATTTTACCAGTTTGAAACAACTTGATATCGAGTTCATGCGCCGGCTGCATACCAAAGTCAACTTGATTCCTGTCATAGCAAAAGCAGACACTATGACCGACGAGGAAATTGCTAGTTTCAAACAAAGAGTACGACCGTTACATTGTACTACATACGTCAAGTAGAACTGATGATATGCTCAGATTCTGTCAGATATAGAACACCATCAGATTCACATCTTCGAGGCACCTACCTACGAGAACGAAGACGAAGAGACCATTGCTGAAGCGGAAGAAATCAGAAGCCAGATTCCTTTCGCAATCGTGGGCTCTAACAACTTTGTCGTTACACCGGACGGCCGCAAGGTCAGAGGGCGCGCCTATCCCTGGGGTGTCGTAGAAGTAGACAATGAGGAGGTATGTATAGTGTCTCCCGGTCTGATCCACTTTTCATGAAGGTTTTGGCAGCATTGCGATTTCGTCAAACTTCGACAGATGCTTGTCCGTACGTATATGGAGGAGCTCAGAGAACACACTAACGATGTGTTGTACGAGAACTGGCGTACAGAGAAGCTTGTCAGCATGGGTGTTGCGCAAGACTCAAGTGTCTTCAAAGAAATCAAGTGTGTAGCTTTCATCTTTTTCATCTTAGTTCAATATGTGAAATAACGTCCTGTTTAGCCCGGCTGCGCGTCTGCAAGAGGAGCGAGTAATGCACGAAGCTAAGTTAGCCAAGATGGAGGCGGAAATGAAGATGGTCTTCCAGCAAAAGGTCCAGGAAAAAGAGGCTAAGCTCAAGCAATCCGAGGAAGAGCTATATGCTCGTCATAAGGAAATGAAGGAGGCTCTTGAAAAGCAACGGTTAGATCTGGAAGATAAGAAGCGGAAAATCGAAACTGGCCGGCCAATCACTCCGGAAAAGAACGCGGTATGGCCCGGCTCTCCTTTGCTTGTGATTGGTGACTAAATTTCTACGCAGACTGGCAGAAGGAAGGGTTTCCTGCGTACTTAGGATGCCCAAAATTCTCCAGACGATCAATTTCGTCCTGCATCGTATCCTCAGACTGCATGTCGTATTCCTTACTCAACGGGTTCTTACCTTCATTTTCCTTGTCTTGTACGTTGTCTGTGCCCGTAATACTCTGACGTTATTTCTTGCTTCCCTTGAACAATCACACGTTCCTTTTTTCCCTACTTACGATGATGGATACTCAGTCTACTGCTCCCTACTTAGTTTCGGTTATATTTCTATGATTTGCGCCTTCATTTTGGAGCTGGGATGTATTGACGGCTTCGACGATATATACCATATACCACCTTTTCGAGGCTTGTTCTACTGCGTGGTCAGTTGTCGGCCGTGCGCCCTTGAATTGTATGCTCGAGTTGTCAATTTTCAATTGATGCATCGCTGATGTAATCATGATACTGATCGTCTGTTGACTCTTTCTCTACACCTACGTTTGAATCTCATCGTAGAATGGCTGATATACCTGCTTTATTGGCTGCGCTCGACGTATTTACTCGTACTCCGGACAAGGCATCGCTCGACAAAGCGAACAATTGGCTGCAAGATTTTCAACACTCTGTAATTGTCTTTCGCATGGACCGTTCCTCGACCATTCAATCTGACCTGAATCGATGCGCTCCTGCAGCCTGAGGCTTGGTCGACCTGCAATGTCCTCCTCCTCTCCCCGGATGCGCCACTCGCAGCCAAAATATTTGCAGCTCAGACATTTCGTGCCAAAGTACGTTATGATTGGGTGGCTCACTCGGAGATTACTGAAGTTCATTTGAAGGTTACCTACGACCTCAGTCAGGTAGATCCAGTAAATCTACCTGCCCTCAAAGATACGCTTCTCGCTGCGTTAGAAACGTACAAATCGGGTCCACGTAACATTGTTGTACAAATATGTTTGGCGTTGGCGGGTTTGGCGATGCAATTTCCTTCCTGGAATAACGCAGTGGAAACCATGATTAACAAGTTTGGATCCAATCCGAGTACGGTCCCTACTCTACTCCAATTCTTAACGTTACTTCCTGAAGAGTTGCACACAAACCATAGAGTGCCCATCACCGTATGTGTCGCTTTATTTAACTTCGATCACTGAATGTGAGTTTATATCTAGGACGACGAATGGCATGATAGGCTGTCTGTTCTCGTCACCGGTAATGTGAAAAAAGTGCTCGATCTGTTGACTGTGTACATCCAGGCATCTGGTGCGTACTTGGATTTTTCATGCTATCCTTTGTCGCTAATCCAGCACTTTTCGTAGGTGTCACTTCGGATATCCAGAGCCAGATCTTCGCTTGTCTGCGTAGCTGGATAGTGTCGGGAGAAGTGAACCTTTCCGACTTGGCGTCGTCTCCTTTGCTTGGATTTGCGTTCGAAGCTATATCATCCGACCAACTGTTCGATTCGGCAGTTGAACTGATATGTGATATAATTCATGAAACCCAAGAGATAGACGATAACATGCCTCTGATCGAACTCATAGTTCCCCGAGTCATTGCACTGAAGCCATTGCTCACGAAGGACCATGAAAATCCTGACAGGATGCGAGGCTATGCTCGGATTTTTGCAGAATCTGGGGAGACCTATCGGATGCTCATTGTCCGCCATACTGAAACCTTTTATCCTATCGTTGAAGCTCTTGCAGAGTGTACCGCTTATTCAGACCTCGATATAGTGCCCATCACCTTCCAATTTTGGTCTCGTCTTGCGCAGGTTATTGGGAAAAAGTCTTCTGTGCCCCCTCTTTTCGCACAGGCTTATCGATCCGTCATGACCGTTATAATTAAACATCTTCAGTTTCCCCCGGACGATATGCCTTTGTCTGGTCAAGAAGCGGAAGACTTCAGAGCCTTCCGTCACGTCATGGGCGACACCTTGAAAGACTGTTGCGATGTGCTGGAGGCGGAGCCGTGCTTGCTCGCCACATACGAGATGATTTCGTCTGCTCTGTCCCGTAATCAAGGAACTCTTTCATGGCAGGAAATTGAGGCTCCTTTGTTCGCATTGCGCTCCATGGGTGCAGTTGTTGACCCTAAAGACGACAATGCGGTCCCAAAGATCCTTCAACTTATCCCCCAACTTCCTCTCCACCCCAGAGTCCGTTACGCGGCCCTATTGATCATATCCCGCTACACGGAATGGATCAACATTCATCCGAACTTTATACAACCACAGTTGCAATATATCTCGGCTGGGTTTGAGGTCGCGGACTTAGATGTATGTGCCGCTGCAGGTCAGGCGCTCAAGTATCTATGCCAAGACTGTAAGCAGGTGAGAGTGTTTATGGCTCATTTCCCAATGGCTATTCAAATTTTTTATAGCACTTGGTCGAGGTTTTACCCACTCTCCGCAACTTCCTTCATGCCGTTGCGTCGAACCTTCTCCAAGATGACAGACGCAAAATATACGAGGCAATTGCCCACGTGATTTCCGCAATGCCTATGGAAAAGGCAGCTGAATCCCTAAAGACATTCTCTTTGGATATTTTGGCTATCATTCATGCCGTCGCAAACAAGAACAGTCAAGTTACGAAGCAAGAACTGCAGGCTGCTTCTGGTGAGAATTTTATCATATGGTAGTTGTTCCATACATCGACTAATCATGGCTTTGTAGATGGGCTCGAGAATCTTGAGGCCATGCTGTATGTGATCGGCAGTTTTGGAGAAGAACTTCCGAGTGCCTGCCAGGACACTTGTCGAGAAGCTTGGTCCATCTTCCAAGTCTTCCTATCGAAGTATGGCTCGGATCCTGAACTTGCTGAACGAACCAGTAGAGTTTTGAGATATGGTTTGAGCTTCTTCGACCGTGCCGTCTTAACCATAGCACCGGAGGTTGTATCAAGCATGTCTATGGGCTTTGAGGCTACAGGCATCGCTAGCTACCTTTGGATCGGCGCCAAACTCGTTTCACGCTTCGGCGATGAGGAGGACCAAAATCTACATACTGCTTTTGCAGAGCTTTTCCGTCGCAGTACCAATAAGATGATGAGCCTATTGCATACTCAATCTGCAGGAACTTTGTCTGATGGTGGGTCCCAATATATATGACTAACGAGTTCGAAGCTGAATGGTGCGGCACAGTTTTAGATGACTACGTGCAATTGTCTATGCAGGTACTTCATCAAACACCGGACATCTATTTCGACCCTTTGTTATTCCCTTTGGCCTTCCAGGCAAATTGTGCAGCTCTGACGATAGTTCAATCCGATGTTGTCTGCTCCGCTTTGGACACCTTCCAAGCAATCTTCAATCACCAGTGTCTAGACCCGTCGACGCCAAACCCACCAAACTTCATCGCCTATGCCAATACAATTCATAATGTGTTGGAGAGCCAAGGAGCAAACTTCATTGGCTTTCTGCTAATGGGTTTAATTGGTGATTTTCCACCTGAGACTGACTCGTTGGTCATCTCTATCTTCCGCATTGTTGCCACCACTTGGCCCAGTCAAATGCTGGTATGGCTTCCGGATGTCCTACAACGAATGCCCTCTACAACTGTACCCGTTCAAGTGAAACAAAAATTCATTGCGGATGTCACTGTGTATGTGTTTTTCCTCGCTTTGAAGATACTATGCACTGACCGCAACTGTAGGGCAATCACCGACCGAAGGTTCGATCAGGTCAGGTATACTGTGATTAATTTTCATCGGGAATCGCGCAGAGCGCGAGACAGACGTCGAACGGCCGCTTTGGAAAAATGAGAATAAGGTCATAATTAAGTATGAATTTATGTACATAGATGTACCCTACCTCGGGTGAGCATGGAAGCACGGAGTGTATCGAACAATGTGTAGCATTTTGACCTATCGACGTTGTGCGTGCGGAGTTGCGCGGAATCTCCGACTAGACATATGAAAATTACAGACTGAGTATGCGGAGAGCAGACGGAGAGAGTAGACGGAGAGTGCGGAGGTAATGAGCTGACAAAGCATCCTTCTTTTCGCTATTTGTTCCGATTTTGCGCGGCAATTTAGAGAACTTAGTCGCGATCCATCATGTTCTGTCGAGCTGGACAAAATTTAACGCGTAATGGTGAGCTCTCTTTTACCGGTGTCCTTGCTTCTTTTTGTTAATTAGTTTCTAGTTGGACGCAGGGCGTTCACACAATCTGCAACTCGGAAAAGCTACGACGATACCATCCAGAATCTCTTAATTCACAAGGATACCAAAGTCTTAGTCCAAGGCTTCACTGGCAAAACGGCAAGTCATGAACTCTTAGATATGAGGAGAGAGTTTGAGATAATGGGGAATGCAGGGTACTTTCCACGCAAAGGAGGCTTTGGCATATGGCACGAAGATGGTCGGAGGTGTTTCACCGAAGAAAGCTGGCCAAACTCATCTCGGCCTCCCTGTTTTCGGAAGCGTGAAGGAGGTGTGTAGCGTTGTCAATCCCATGAGTGAATTTCGCCAATGCTTGTTTGTGCTTTTAGGCCGTTAGAGAAACTAGCCCGGATGCTACTGTACTCTATGTGCCACCTCCTACCGCTGCTGATGCTATAATTGAGGCAATCGAGAACGAGATTGGCTTGATTGTCTGCATCACAGAGGGCATTCCCCAAGCCGATGAAATCAGAGTATGTGGAGGTTTTCACTCGTGGAAACAAGCTCTAATCGACTATCTAGGTTATGCAAGCTTTAAAGAGCCAATTCAAGTCAAGGCTCGTTGGTCCAAATTGCCCTGGCAGTGAGTAATTCTACAGCGATACACCCTCGTGTCATTCTAAATGCTCAACGGGTAGTTATCAACCCGCTGGGCTGCAAAATGGGAATTCAACCTGGCCACATCCACAAACCGGGAAATATCGGTATTCGTTTTGAGGTTATACCTTTTTAGCTGTTACTTAAACATCTAAAGGCATCGTCTCCCGCTCTGGGACGTTAACATACGAGGCAGTCGCTCAAACAACCGATGTCGGGCTGGGTCAGTCGCTCTGCATCGGTATTGGAGGTGACCCCTTCCCTGGAACCCAACATGTCGATTGTATCAAGGTCTTCTTGGATGATCCCTCCACTGAAGGCAGGCATAAGTTGTTTATGGGCGAAGACAGTTGACTGAGTTTGTCGTTCATACAGGTATCGTTATAATTGGAGAGATTGGTGGATCCATGGAAGAAGAAGCGGCCGAATATCTGGAGAAATACAACAAGACCCGAGCAAATCCCAAACCTGTCGTTGGGTTCATTGCCGGACGTACGGCTCCACCGGGACGACGTATGGGACACGCCGGCGCTATCATTTCTGGTGGCAAAGGTCTGTGGTCGTTATCTGCGTTGCCTTGCAATTGAATTCTGACAATCATCAAGGTGCTGCTTCGGATAAGGTGGCTGCACTCTCAAAGGCTGGTGTTATTGTGACGGACAGTCCTGCAAAAATCGGTGCTGAAATGTTCAAGGTATGAAGTTTTGTCATCTGCGCAATTTCCATATTGATTGAAAGTATTTCGTGTGCAGGCTATGAAAGCAGCTGGGCTGGTGTAGATACTTCATAGATGTTCGCTTCTGGACCTGTAGATTAACTATAGCTATAGCGCACATGGTTACATAATCTTATTATTTCTTCACTTCCCCCGTATGGATGCATCTGCTCCTTCCGATTCCTTTCGCGATGCTGCGTCGTACCTATCAAATTCTACCTCACTAGCGAAAGTTTCAAACACCGTTAAACTGGAGGTCTCTGCATACACGTGGTCCAGATCCTCATATACTCAATGATTTTTGTGTCAGCTGTATGCATTGTTTAAATGGCTAACGGTGTCCCCTCAACCAAACGTCTCTCGTCCATCGATATTTGACATGGCCGGACGCGCCAAATGGGACGCATGGAACGCAACAGGAAAACAATACACTAATGGGACAGATGCAGAAAACCGATATCTTGAGATTGCACACAGTTTAGGTTGGCAACCAGGAGCTTCAATTTCCCCACAGCCTAGCAAAACTACGAACGATGATTTATGGGATTCTGACTCAGATTCAAGTAAAAACCGTGAAGGTGGCGGTGGAATGGGCATCAGCGTCAGCTCCATGTCGGCACCCGAGACCGACTCTGACAATACGCTGCATGGTCTCGCAATTGCAGGAGATGTCAGCAAACTAGAAACGCTAGTTGCTTTAGATCCAGACATCAATATTAACGCACTGGATGAATTTGTAAGTGTTGATCATCATTGAATCTCTCAATTGATAGTCTCTAGGGATATACACCTTTGCATCTCGCTTGTGACCGAGGAAATTCAGAAATCGCGCGCTTCCTGCTGTCCAGAGGTGCCGACACATCTATAAAGGTGAATAGTGGATTTTCATATCTTTATTTGGGTACTGAAGTACATTTTTGCATAGGACCCAGACGACATGACACCTCTAGAGTTAGCCCAGACCGCTGGGCATGAAGATATTGTGGAACTACTGTCCAATCAATGATATGTATGGGGGGAAAAGTAGCTCGTAGGTTTGCGCTTAACCGCAAAGGTGAATAGGCTATTGTCGGACTGCTATGATTTTGGCTGAACGGGATGGGAAGATGCTAAAGAAGACGATGAGGGTGTCGAAGTAGGCGGTGACATGTCACTCGTTGATTTGGGGTGATACGGCGACTCAGACTTGAGAATATTTCCCTGCACAAAATATCTGAGAAACGGTGGAAGAGAAACAAAACTGTAATGCACACCATAGTAAGCAGTTTGACGACAGATTTGCTTGGTATAGCCCCAACATCTAGCCAATAACGAATCCTGCCGACACTCCATTCCATTGTTTTGTGATCCTTCCCTCCAGGCTTCACGCGAGGATCGTAGATACCGAGAAGCTCTGTAGGTTTTCCATTGCGGCGAGTTCGTTGATTTATCGCAACGAGGTGGAAAACACGGTCATGGCGAAGGCCGTGGACGGCCAGACGTAGTCGCATTGGCATGATAGGTGGTGACTGTTACAAGTGGAAGCTGATAGAATTCAAATTATTGAATCTCGACTAAGTCACGTGGTTATGGACGGAGAACAGTACCAACGACAAGGTCAAGGTTTTTATGAGATATTGTACAAGTATTGATATGAATGGGCTATCAAATTCTCTACATTGCGGAGGTCTTAGCGGAATGAGAACCATCCATATGGCATCCGCTATGATTCTGGTCCATCGCTACCAGGAATTAGCTGAAATAGAATCAGACAACGGGCTATGGTTTCAATTATAGGTTTTGCGACGCACCATGCAGATGTTATTCCCATTCAACAGCGTCTGGCCTAGTTTCGTCTTTTTTGTTCCTTGTGGTGTCATTTCGCTGAACAGCAGAAAGTCGTATCCTGGTGTAGATCAGAGAACTTCATTAGACTCACTATTCCGTGACATCCTCGAGAACCATGTCTGAAAAGAAAGAAATGAACAAGGACGACTATTGAGAAATGCTCGCACTCACTGACGAAATCATCGAAACCAAGTAGAGTCCCTGTAAATTCACGTTCGCTCTTCATCACAACCCATATCCGAGAACCAATACATTTATCGATCAATTCTTCAAACAGGTAAGAGTTGAACCAATTTGAACAGTAGAAGTCGAGGAGAGATCTAACCTAGTGGTAGTACTTGAGAGGCCATTAAAAAAGCGCCGGTAAACGAAACAATCCTCCATGTTTGTACCTGGTTTGTACTGAGAAAGTTTATTACGCAAGGAAAGAAAAAACCGCCTGAAAATTTTGGGATTGGATACATACATACATACATAAAGACGATTTACTGTTTTAAAAAACAATGAAAGGGAGGATCACAGATATTGGATTGATTAAAGGAATACAAAGACAATGTTTGACGGAACCTAAGTATCAGCAAAATAAGGAAGAACAGGTCGTTTTTATGTAGCCTAAGTAGATGGTGACATAGCAAAACCTAATAGTTGGCTGAGCTTCTACTGTCCAAAACTAAACCCTCCTTGGGGTGCAGCGACATCGGAGTGGAACTGAATTGAAAAATTAGACGGAAACCATTAATCCCGGTGACATCAAAACTTACAGCAAATTGGCCTTGAGCATCAACAGAAGGCGCAGCGATTGCGGTGTCAACTTCTTCATCATCAGGGAAATATTTGTCCATGATGTTGAAGGCCTTCTTGTAAATGTCCAGGTTATCGTGTTGCTGGAGATTATGGATCGTTATCATTCCACCGGCTTCTTCGACATATGTGGCATATTGATTAATACCACCTGGTCCTGCTGCTGCTTTGTCCATCTCGCCTACCTTCAAGATGTTATCAAGACCGTCGAGTGCAACCTGGATAACCTTATTGTCCATCATGGTGAGAAGATCACAAAGGGGCTTTATACAGCCCTGGCTAACCAGATACCGAATTTGGGAAGGCTCCTGGAGACCACCAGATGTGGCGTTAGAAATGGCCCAACAAGCTTCCTTCCTCGTTTTGAAATCTGCGTTCTGCAGAATGTTAATGAGGGGAGGTATGATGTTCGCATCAATAACATTTTGGATCTGAGGAGGGGACCCCGCAGTGATGTTGGATATAGTCCAACAGGCTTCTTTCCTGATACCATCTTTCGGCGAAGAAAGGAGGGCAAGGAGAGCAGGAAGAGCCCCGGAAGCTATCACAACTTGAGTCTGAAGATCATCTCCAGTGACAATGTTTCCGACTGATCGGAGAGCAGGAGTTTGAACAGAGGTAGAGTTGTGCATCAAGAGCTCGACGAGACGCCTGCATACGCCGGATTCGATAACAGCCTGGATCTTGTCGTTGGAGCCATCTGAAAGATACGAAATGGCCCAGCAAGCGTCAATCAGAATCTCGTCATCAAGCGAGTATATGAGCTTCGTTAAAACAGTGAGAGCGGGAGAAATCTAAATTGGGAAATAATCAGTATAATTGTCAAACCAAAAACAGAATCGACTAACCAACTCCCAATCAGGTTGGGGTGATTTACCGCGACAGAAATTGCTCAAAGTCCAGGTGGCATTCCGGAGCATGCTCAATTTGTGATGCTCGCTCAGCAAGGTGAGTAAAGGCCGGAGAGCGCCTTGCTGAAGTACATAGTCTCGGCACTGAGGGCTATCGCCAGCAATGTTACCCAAAGCCCATACAGCTTGCTCTCGTACATCTAGGACGGAAGATGACAATAGATTGATGAATTCGGGCACGGCTTGAGCGTTGATTACCACCTGAGTATGCTCTGCGGTACCGGATGCAATGTTGGTCAAAGCCCACGCAGCTTCAAACTACCGTCGTATTTCAGAATTAATTCTCCCATGCGATTAGTAGATGAATGCCCTCACTTGCAACATAGAATGGCCTGTTTTCAAAAACTCGACAAATCGAGGTACCACGCCGCACTCGATTACACGCTCGATGGGAGGATTTCTTTCTTTCGAGAGAAGCTTGCGGAATTTAGTCGTCGCGTCTAACTGCTGTTCAGGATCATCGGAAAAAACACCACCGATCATCTCATCGGCTAGCTGTTAGAGCAAAAGAGTCGGTGTCGTTAGATACATCATCAGGTATATCGGGATAGAAAGAATTCATACAGGATCCTCCCAATTGCCACTGATCACCTCTTCATCTGAATCGGCTCCTGTGGAAGGCAGGAAATTTCTACGCTTGGAAATATTCTCCTCTCGCTTCTGGCGACGAATTTCAACTTGCTGTTCCTCACGACGACGTCTAAGATCGTCTTGTTTGAGTGCGCCTTTGGCCTTGTAGGCTGGAGTAAACGCGTCAGTTGAGGTCGTAGATAAGAGACGAGAAGATGCATACCCTCCTTGCGCGCCTTGGTTGTTCGAGATTCAGAGTCCATTGATTGAGAATAGATTTACAAGGGTGGCTGATACGAATGTCTATCGAAGTGAAAGTGGAAAGAAAGATCCAACGACGAAAAGCATTCTCCATTCAGGGTCACGTGCTGTGACACACCTCACTATGCACGGACCATAGCCATTCACATATACATACTCACTACGACTACATTTCCTCAAGCAAGACAATAGTTTACTGTAATAGCGACCGAGGCTTCCCTTCCAAATAACCGCTTATGTTCTCTACTGTCTCCGTCCAAAAAACCTAGAGGCATATAAGCAAAAAGTTGAGTGTCATCATAGATAATCAGGGGATTTTTCATACCTCATAATTGGATTGGTTGACATATCCATTGTGGGGACTCAGCGTAACGTTATCTAGGAACCTGAGTGGATGATCCAGTGGAAGAGGTTCTTGTTCAAACACGTCTAGTCCCGCCCCTGCTATTTTCTTGTTCTTCAAAGCGTCGACGAGGGCAGGTTCATCGATAAGAGGTCCTCGAGATGTATTGATCAGATAAGCCGACATTTTCATTGAAGCCAGGTCTGCTGCATTGATTATTTTCGTCGTTCTTTCCGATAGAACCAAGTGCAGCGATACAATGTCACTACGACCCAGCAATTCTTGCTTTGACGCAATGAATTCTACTCCCTGAGCTTCTGCACGTTCTGGCGTAAGATTCGGAGACCAGCCAATGACTTTCATCCCAAACACTTTCGCAATCTAAGTGACATGTAAATTGTTGCCGAGACCAGAATCTCTGAAGGCGGAACCTACTTTGGCAGTTGCTGATCCCAGCCTACCTACCCCAATCAAGCCCAGTGTAGAACCGGCAAGTCCGATGGGCACGACAGTCTGCCACTGAGGATTGCCCATCCTTATATTGATATGTTCAGCGACAATTTGACGAGCCACACTCATTATCAAAGCCCAAATGTGTTCGACTGTTGCATTCCCAGCACTTCCCGTACCAGAAACGTATATCCCTTTCTTTTTGGCATAATCCACGTCAATGCTTCTATTCACTCGACCGGTAGTGGCAATTAATCTGCTCAAACATTGATTAAGAGAGGTTCTCGGAAACAATGTAACTTTTGGTACCGCAAATTGGGCAAACGATCCAACAATGACGGGAGAAATTTTGTACGCTCGCGCATTGCACAAATTATCTCATAAGGTTCGAGTTGCTTTGCTAAGCTATCTTCATCGGAAAGAGTTTCCGTGAAAACGTCGATATCAACTCGAGTAGCGATACCGGACCAGTCCGCACTTTTGAGGGCAACTTGCTGGTAGTCGTCCAGAATAGCGACTCGAACAACCATGATGATAGCAATAACAGAAAAGAAATCTCATGGGAAAGCTTACATGCTGGGAGACCTGCTGACAGAGCTTCAGGAGTGAGAAGGATACAAAGATAGCACGTAGTATTGAAACTATTAACAACCAAAGAAATTACAATATTGACTAACTGTCATTGTCAAAAGGGTACTGGATGCGGCATTAATCAGTCATCGAAAACAACATTTGAAAAATACTAAATTTACCTCAAAAGATGATGGAGCTTCCGCCTCTGATGTATCCTCATCGAGCGCTATATGCGGACCAGATTCAACAGAACGGGTTGTATCGTCATTGTCTGTTGAGACTGGATCAGCAGGCGGGGGTTGTATCACAGTCTCAAACTGAATGAATTCTGCTGTCTCTTGAGGACGCCGATCGACCAAGATCAAGATACCGCCTCCGCCAGCAGCCTTCTCCTCAACTTGCTTGGTGGTCTTTCCTCCTCGAGTTGAAACTGGTTTGGCAGTGACCGCACGGACGGGTTGATACTTTCCATCAGCGGGGAAACTTATGTATGCAAGCTGAGCAGGTGTGACCCTAGAGAGATTTGGCAAAGTTTCAGATGATGGCTCCTTCTTCGCCGATTTAGAGGTGCCCGCTGGGGATGTACTAAGTACGTATACCTCTAGGCGTGAACGGACATACTAACCTTTCGACGAACCCTCGGTTTTCATCTCGATATCCCCATCACCCTCAGTTTTCACATCAGGCTTCTCGTCCTAGATCACAACGATGAAAAGCTGCAATAGGAAATATTTATTTCACTTACGGTTTCCATCGCGTCCCCTTCTGCCGCAGCTTTTTTCTTCTCTCTAGCTTTGACTTTGGCGGTCGTCGACAGAACAGCTGTTGCAACCTTGATAACAGTCTCCTTCTTGGGTGGTGCCGTCGTAGGTGGGTAGGCGAACAAACTTGGTTTAGCGTTCGAGGTGAACTCGAATTTGGGCACCTGATTGTGTCGAACACTTTAACTATCAAGAAATATAGATGAACAGTACACACCTTCAAGTCGCCGTCCAATCCAATAATTCCAGTAGGTTCAAAGGCAAGACAAGCGCAATGGGCAAGGGGATACCAGTACCAAAATTGACAAAATAAGACCATACCAACAATCGCATTGGTGTTTCTACTTCCTGCTCGACTTTGAAGATTGATAGTCACGTTCCGTCCTCCAGCATCAATGAGCCCTTGACCTAATGCTGCACCGAGTTTGGCCATTGGATCTTCATGTTTATCGGCGACGATTCTACTATAAAGTGAACGCGTAGATGCTAATGACGGAGAAGATGCCTCAGATTGCTCGAGGAGGATCATTCCAAGTGCAACGAATGCACCCTGACGTACAAAGTCAACGCTATCCTTCGTCATTGGCTCCAGGATTTCGATAGCATCCTAAGGAGAATGAGATTTGTTCACTCGTGAAATTTACAGAAAACATACCTGCATGCCTGTGCCAGCACATGCTATACCCAGGGCAAGTGTAGCTCCGCAACGTACGTGAGGGTTGTAGCTTTCGCTGAGTAGCTGAACTATGCGTGGTACTTGACTAGGGTTCTTGAATAACAAGAACGCAAGTGAGGTGACCGCAGCGCGTCGAACGTCGTCGGAAACATCAGAGACTGCAATATGCAATAGCTGGCGGACAGCATCGTTATTGGAGGTTCCAGCATAAGCCAGCGCGAGCGTATAAACACCTCCGTAACGCAAAATTGGATCCTGTGCAACAAGAACCATGTTCAGTCAAAACAGCTAAGGAGAGAATCGACAACTAACTGTTTCGGCGAGCAGTTCCTTCACTGTCTGGTTGGCCTCTTCTTGACGACCATAGAAAACAAACGCAATACCAATCGCAAGGCCACGTATGATCTTTTCATGCTGAGTTTCGCGGGCATACGACAGCATTTCGCGCACAGGCTCTTCTGTGGCGGTACCTAACATAATCAGACCCATTGCGTAACCCGAGGCTTCACCAGCAACGGCAGAATCCATGAAGAGGATATTTTTGAGGTCCTCAAATGTTTCCATGTTCTTCGACCCCATTGCAGCAATCCCTAAGCCTAAGGCCGCTCCATGCTGAACAACTTCTCCTTGTGCAGACCGCAGTGCCTCCCTTAAATATCCGGAAACCTCGGTTCCACACCCTGCATTGATTAAACCTAAGGCATACAGTGCACCGCCCTCAGAGTATGCAGCACCAGGAACGCTACTTTCGTTGCCGTTTTGAGGAAGGTATGGGCCCAAAATGGTCATTCCCTGCTCATAATAACCCTTGTGAATTACACCCAGACCTGCAGTGGCGGAAAATTTCGACCAATTGGACGCAAGTCCGAGCCATTCCAGATTTTCACGCAAGAATAAGTCTGAGGTTGTACCAGAGTGCATGAACGCGTTCTGGAGCGTTAGTGCCGTGTGATAAATAGACGAACGAGGCTCTAAGGAATCCTAAAAAAGCATAAACTACTCATCCAACAAAGTCTGGTCTCTACACACCTTAGTATGCTTGAGGATGAGAGTATCGACGTGATTATTCCGTTTCAAGAATTCAAGATAAAGTTTGACCGACTCCTGACCGGTGAGAATACTCCGTATCTTGTCGAAAATTTCCTTCGTATCCTGAAACCAATATGGATTACAGAATAGGCCCAAACGCAGGAGGAAAGTTTACGCACATCGTCACCAGCAGGAAGTTGGGTGCGGACAAGATCCAAGTAGTCTCGTGCTCCGCCTTCTACAAGGTCAAAGGAAAATTGATAGGCGAGCAGCTTCTCCTTAGGTACAAGCGAGACCAGCAGCGGAACGGTTAGGGATGGGTCACCGAGAGTGACCAGTAGTCGCGTGAGGGCATGCGCAAGCGCCGACCCATCACCAGCGGTTGGCCGAGGGAAGAGGGGGAAGAGGAAACGAAGAACGGTGTCACGATATGACAGTGAAAAACCAGAGTCAATCACAGCTTCCATAGCATAAGATAGGATGGATGTGTCTTTCACTTGTTCGTATATTTTGGATATGATATCCAATCTACGGGATTCCAATGCGATCCCAACCGCCTAAACTCAAATATAAGCTTGAAAATACGACGAACAAATCAAGGGCGCCGTACTTGCTTATATTCTCCTTCGGATATGCAGCGTGTAAATATGTTTTCTATAATGCGCTGAAGACGTGGATCGATTTTGTCTTGTTTGCTGCTCGCCTGTTCTTCGGTACACAACTCAATGTATTTGTCGATCGCCATTGCTGCAAAACATAGTTAAAGCATCCGAGCCGACTGACTGAACACGTTCATCGCTCACACATCACAGTCTCCACATACTCTTCTGAGCCAAGAACGCGAGACTCGGCTTCAAACGCGTTTCCTGCTCCCAATGCAAATGAAAGGGACTCTACATACTCTCCGAGGAAGTAGTAGACTTTGCTGGCCAGTAGTGCAGCTGAATCTCGTGCGTCCTTGGGCATATCATCGTTATCATACAAGGATTCACTGAGAGTTGTTTCTAGTGAGAAGGATACGTTCAGACAAGGCTCAACACCCACATGAGAGCAATGTGTTCCGAAATCTCGGCCCAAAACCGCGGGACCAGGTCATTGAGGGACTTTAATGCATGTTGCTTGAAAACAGGATCTGGCTCGGATAGCAAAGCAAGAACACCAGCCGCAGAAGACTGATAGGGGACGACCATGAGTGTTAAGTGAAAGAAGTGGACTTGGTGAGCGACGCGTCACCTCACAAAATTGGAATCAGTGAGCAATATTCAGCCACGTGATTACAGCTTGAAGAGAACGAGATTATCTTCGGCGGCTAGCAATGCTACGAAAAAAGGGCGTCTGACTTTATGTATGTACATAGATACATGAAGGAATGAATGATGCCCTTATATGTTCTTCGAAAACTTGATCTCAATCTGTATTAGATGCCCCCTCTAACATTAGCTATCTAACAAACAACTTCTTCGCTCGTACCGGCCTTGCGGCGCCCACATTCCCAGTCTCTTGTTGATACATCCGATATGCTTCTCGAAGATGGTCAGGGGAGAGAGGACCAGTCTCGCCTCGACGTGCTTGCACTTGACGAGCTAGAGTGTAGAAGGATCGAAACTAGCATTGCACCTGAAAATAACATGACATACCTTTCTCCACTATTTCTCCAACAAATACTTTTGCAAAACCCGCAACGATCTGAGCAACAGGTTGGGATGCTTGTTGTCCAGTGACTTGTTGAATGACCTGTGATCGAGTCAAAATTCCAGATGGCAGTTACTATGGGAAGCAAAAAGGCGAGCTACCTTTCGGACCGCTTGTTTTGGTAAAGCATGACGCCTATAGGCTTCGAAGCGGTCATATTGATCAGGACTGAAATTTTCCATCAAGACTCTGGAAGCAAGGTGAGCCGAATTATAGATTGGCCCATTGCTTGGTCACAGTACAACCCACTTCAAGTTATCCTTCGACTGACTTTGCCAAGATAGCTGAGCAGAATAATCGTCATCTGCCATAGCAGGAAGTATCTCATCATCCCCCTCTCCCTCATCGTCCCCTCCACCCAAACCAGCAGCCCGAGGATATGCTGCAGTACTACTGGCAGCTACTCCATCCGACAGTCTGAACAAGTTCGTGAGGTTCAATGGAGTACCAGCCGCAGTGGTCATTGCACTAGGTGTTAAACCCAATGTAGAGGTTGAAGGTGTCTGTAGGTTCTGGCCATACGCGGAGATACCTGTAGTAATACTCGATACCGGTCTTGATTGAGAGATGCCCGTTACTGGAAGTACGCTGCTGCTTCCGCTGGCGCCAGGAGAGCTCGCCCCAGTTGTACTAGCTAAATCCCAACGTACATGTGGAGAGTACATCGAGGATGGAAACGCTGGGCTTGTCGTGCTTGCTACCTCAGTAGCAGTAGCACGCGGCGAAGAAACACCAGCGATGATAGCTCCGCGAGGCTTACGACCGCGTTTAGCACCACTACCTCGAGGTCTACCAGGACCTACATGAGGTGTTGCAGCGGGAAGAGCAGAGGGTTCAGGACTTGGACTGGTAAAAGCGTAAGGTGCATCTGGAACTTGTGGTACGCTCATGATGAAGCCAAATTTCTGAATGTAAAGTGTTTATTGATTTCAGAGGCTGAGGAATGAGAACGTCAGAAGAACTTGAAACAAGAAACGCAAAGACTGAAGGACGCGACGAAGTCTAATGCTTTGTTTGTGTTTTGTTTGCTCAATCGGTTATGTAATCAGGCTCAACTACTCCCAGTTCCGAATTCGTCCTGATTTTGTCAAACAAACATCCATGTCCTTCCGTCTTTTAGTCCGTCGTACTGCCCCCACTCTACGTCGTTTCTCCACAGAAACCCCTGTCGCAGGAAAGAATGCATATCTCGCCAATCTTGAAGCCGTAGAACACCATGCGGCCGGTTCGTGTGCCCCTTCTGCTTCGAACTAAGTTGTTCACTCACTGATACTACCCAAAGAAACCACGGAGCTTTGGCGCAAGATTTCGCACTACGTCTGTCTACCTGCTAGTATGTGCTCACTCATCCATCAAACTTCTAGATGAGTGATACAATCTGCGTTCTAGTTGCTGTCTGCGCTGCTTGGGTTTATAACATCGAAATGGAACACAAAGCTCATCTCGAACATGAAATGGCGGAGAATGACGGTCATCTCCCTGCCCCGCCGGCATACGAGTATCTCAATGTCAGGCGCAAACCATTCCCTTGGGGTCCAAACAGCTTGTTCTACAACTCTGAGGTGCGACAAAACATACTTGCTCTTGGGTCATCATTTACATTTTCAATAGGTCCAGCAGAACCTCTCTGAAGAGTGATATCGTCGGCTCTTGCTACATAGACGTGTCAATGAATAACTATTTACCCAATATAATCATCAGATCTCGCTCTGATGCATCCAGACGCTGTCTGGAATCGCCCAAAAAAAATCCGAAATACAATCGGCCATACAGCCAGTTCAGGGCATGGTGCTGCAGACATTGACAATTCTTGTCAATATAATTTCACAACGATTATTCCGTCAATAATTGTGCCTTGGACAATCATGAATTCGATGAGTTCACTCGATTCATTCCTTTGAACATTTGTTACTTGTATTGATTGCGAGAAGAAAGCGTTGTTGGAGTACTCTTTCAAGAAGTTGAGTTTGTATGTATTGAGACTACAAAACCTACAGTCAACATTTACTTGGTGGCGAAGTTAGCCTTGTCGTAGAAGGGATCGTGGATGGAGTGGTTGCTTCTAGCCTGCGATTTGGACTGGCATCGAAGAGTCTAATGAATTTTATTTGCAGGAATCGTTCACATCGTTGTCGCCGTCGGTCAAGTCATCTTGTGTGACTACAATAATATCCATCAATGGTAAAACAAGTCTTCATGAGCTATGCCGGCCTCCAGTTGGCTGCTTGAGCGTATGCAAATATGCAAGCCACTATATCATAAAGAGGTACATAAACGCGCCTAGGCACACTCATCGGCCTGACACAGAAATGCTTATGTATGTACTCCGCAGAAATTCGGGGGCACCTTGAAGTATGCTGACATGAGCCTCTGGGGCGTAGGGTTAAACTGACATCCTTGCATTTGATTCTTACTTGCATCACGATGAAAGTGAGTAGAGTACTTCATTTGGCAGCCAGATACAGTTTGAATATTATGTTACCATGTTATTAGAATTGTGAAAACATTTGTGTGAGGGAGGCTGATAACAGTCACTTGGGTATATCAGGCAAGATGACAAGAGTCAAAAATTGGATGTATATCAAAAGGCTCCACATTAAACTGTCAACAAAATCCCGAATGTTGCTCCAACGACGAGCATCAGAACAGATGCTAGGATGGGACCGGACTCATACTGTGTGAGCCCAGCATTGGAAGCAGCTGTTGCTTCCGAAGCTGCAATGGTAAATTCATGGCCACCAAATGAGGTCACTGTCTTTGCCGCAGAACCTAATGCAGAACCTGCCAAAGTTATCGCTTCTCCACCTTCTGAAGTAACTATTGTCACGACGCTCGCTCCAACGGCTAAGAAATGGATGAAAACAAATGAGTCTTCGGTACAGAGACTCGAAGAAAGCAGTTAAAGACTCAACAGGTGACAGTTTCAAATACCCCATTGCCGAAGCTTGTTGCGTCCGAGAAAACACTAGCTGCATCGCTTGTCCCTACACCAAAAGCACTCGTGGCATCTGAAGCACCTGCAGTGACGACGGAGACAATTGCAGAGGTAGCGTCTCCGAAGTCAGACGTTATTGTGGAAAGAACTGTAGAAAAATCAGTAACATTGAACGTTATTCGGAATTTGAGAGAAAGTGGGTATACTTTGGCGATCTTCGATAATAACGGGTTCTCCGTTAGAGCATTGGGTTAATAGTAAACAAGCAACGAGAGGGACAGCAAACTTGAGCATGATTAGAAAAAGGGAGATGAACGAAAATGAACGAAATAACAAAGATGTATGGAGGTTATTTGCAGCGCTTATAAGTTATTCTGACCGTCACTTACGTCATTGATCTGGGTGAGAGCCGAGTGAGTGGCAGTGCACTGATCATGTCATAATCCCTGGACCTTTCTCGTATGGCAACAGGGACAGGACAGCTCGATTTTGGCCCGCCGGCCATCAATGCCGACCGAAGACCCCATGCACCTGTTGCATCACGTCGAGCGATAACCAGAGCCAGTGCCGTGCTGTTGATTTCTTTTTTTTTTGCTGGGAACGGTCGAAGCCCAAAAAGGCAAACCTGTCCAAATTCCCTACCTTGCCTAATTGAGCTTCCACCAGTAGCCCTCACGTGTTTCCTTCCAACTGCCACTTAGCTTTGCCTACGATGTATCCTTCCCACAGGACCATCTGTGCCCAGCTGGCTGGCTTGGCTCCTCCGAAAGGTTATTTGTGAGGTGAGCAATATTCTTCTTGATTTCTCCATCTTACCGCTACCAGCACATACTACCCACTCTATGCCCGGGCGGGTATTTGACCTTGGTGACAAACATGCTTATGCTGCCACAGTCACTCTTCATGTTCTAGTCCTTTGGAACCCTCTTATTGTGCTCATCAGAAGGAAGGAAACGGAAAAGAGTGTGCGCATCAAGGTGTGTGCTCATGTTCTGGTATTCAGCTTGATGCTGAATACGCTTGCTTCATAGCAGACTTCATAGCAAAGCTCATAAACAGACGGGGTTTTTGCTTGACATTAAAATAGTAATAGTACCTACGGCAAGGCAATGAATGAAGTGTTTAGTCAACGCGAGCCTGGGGAATTTCGTTCATCTTCGGCAAATTGAAGAATTCACAAAAACGATTGTTGCAATCGTGATGAGTTTCCAAGCCTTCAAATCCCTCTGGCACATTCCCATCTGCAAAGACTTGTCCAAGACTCCTGTATCATGTTAAACGTGAGCTGGAATAACTATCGCAAGAACAAGTTTAATACCTGTGGGTCATCAACTGACAGTCAGTGAGTGTCGAGCTATTCCCTGCAAGATAAAATTATCAACTAACAATAGCATAGTGGTACGGCAATATCTACCTTGATAGTCTGAGACGTAAGCAATTTTTCCTGTCTTCCAGTACATCACATGCTGGGTAAAGCGAAGAAAATCTGCGCGAACTGCATCTTCTGAGTTATCGAAAATCATGAAAATGTGAGGCATGTTCGACATGTATTTTTTGAATGGTCCCTTGTTCATGGCTAATAAATCTTCTTCTAATAGGAAAACTCGTGGCCTTGTACCTGGAGTAGACAGAGGAACTTGTTCTACTGCAAGAGCTGTTTGCACAAAGCGGAATTTCGGGATCTCGATAAACCGATCCACATTCTCGCTTGGGTTGACTGATTGGATATACGCGTACACCAAATTCAGTAGAGCTTGTCCGTATTGGATAACCTTAAGCTCCATAACCAAAGCACGGTGCTGGTTCTCTGGATCACATGGATAAAAGTGTTTGACCACGGTAGTTTCTCGACCCTTCGAAATATTTTCTGACGTTTTGCTGGGCTTGGAGTTAATGGAAGTTTTGGTAAAGAAAAGCTGCTTTACTGCAACTTCAGGGCCATCAAATACAGGAGGCTCGCTTTGACCTAGACTAGTCATTTTGAATTCCCCCTTCGCAGCCTTTTTTTCGCTCAGGTCGACAAAGAGGGTGCTAGGAGTACCCTCTTCGCAGTACTCCGACCAAGCAGCATTACGTCCTGCAAGCAGAATCAACTGATCGAGATGAAGATTCTTTGCATGAAAGACACGAACAGGTATTGCTGATTCCCGGACTAACATCAGATAAAGTGAGTTATAGTGTTTCAATACAAATGAACGATGCTCACGTATAGCAATATTATTTGTTGTCTTTGGCATCTTCTCTGCACGCAAAGCAGCCGCTAGCTTTTCTCTATCAGGTGAGCGATAAACAGATGGAATTTCTCCCTTCCGTGCCTTCTTGTATGATTCCTGAGGAGGTGTTGAAGGCTTGAATAAGCGACTCGATCCTACGGTAGGAGAGGGAGACCTTGTAGGAGCGCCCGTAGACTCCTGATCTTGCTCACAAGTCTTTGTTGCTTTTTGATACTCCACCTCGCCGATAATTCTATTTGGGACATGGAGAAGAATCGAAGCCTTATGGTCTTTTTTGAATGCAGGTGGTGCATTAGCCTTTTTTGGGTTCGAGTAGTACTGGGCTTTAATAGCATCGGTGTCATGAATATTCAGAGGTTCGAATTCAAGCCAATTTTTGTCCTTCATGCTGACGTCGCAAATAGATAAGGGGTGGTTGCTGGACCACTGTTGCCACATCGGCAAGATTTTTGAAAAGGCCAGGGCCTTTAGCGCATGCACGCCGATGTTGATATGAACTCCAGGAACGACAATCATAAGAGCCTGTAAAAAATCTTATGTTAACATTTAAATTATGGTGCAAGCAAGATGGTGCATACGCCGATGGGTTTCCAACTTTTTCTTCCTTCAGGAAGTTCGACCATTCTAACCTCAACCATAACCTTCTTCTCTATATCAGTTGCATAAGCCATACCAGCCATCTGGGAACGGTTTGCATTATAAACGGAGTGACTAGCAGTATATCCATATCCTTGGCCGTTCAAGCTAGCAGCAAGCGAAGATGCCGGAGGTGCCAAAGTGGAAAGTGGTAAGGCTGATGGCAGTCCAGGTAGCCCAACCCGGACTCCAGAGGGGTTATGGGCTGTGGTAGGATGAAATCCAAATGAGGTAGAAGATCGGACCACTAAAGGTTGCGATGCTGAGGTAATGTATCCAGAGGAAGATGGTGGAGGTAGAGCAGGAACTAAAAATACTCGCCCAGCTCTATCCTGTATATATTGACTAGTAGTGCTGGCTGGCTGAGCAGCAGGTAAAGCTCCTACTCGAACCTCCTCTTGACCCGGTTCTATTTAATTTGTCAGATTTCTTGTGCACAAACAGAGATAAAGTTATACCTCCACGCTGTGCTCGTGCATTTTCTTTTCTAATACTTTCTGCCTCATCGATTTGAGGAGAAGGAAGTAGCGGAGAAGCCATTACATTTGCTGTATCTTATACACTATGTCAGTCTGATTCTGCAAAAAAAGAGTTAACCTACTGCTGATTCTCCGAGTTGTGGCTTTTTGGCGATAGTGTGCTGCACATTCTGGACAAAGCAGTCGCCCCCCTCCAGTATTTCCATTGAACCATTCACGTTTAACTCCCAGGGGAAGAACTTTCTTGCAGGTAGGCCGTTCGCATATCTCTGGTTCATCACCAGTATTGGTAAATTCGGCTTGCAATTCATGGCCAGGTACGTTTTGAAAGGTTAAGTTATCAGTTGTTTGTATCGGAGTAGACATTTTTGGTTCAAATGGAGTCAGGAGCAGAGGTTTCACGATCGCAATAAAACATCTTATGCTTAATCATCAAAAATCAAATTCTTCTATACACAGCTTTACTATGCTTCGTCCTCTAAGTCTGTCCAGTCAGCATACTCTCTGTGATCCTCATCATCTCCACTTTCAGACTCTTGCTCCTGTATATCAAATACTACACCCTCCCCCAAATTTATCCCTCCCATGTAACGAGGACCACCTGGAACAATTTCAAGGCCTTCACGCAGTTCCTCTAAGCCGGGGATCAACGGCATTTCACAGTTAAAAGCTGCATCCGATCCTTGCAAAACTGTCTGAAAAGATTCAGTTTGAGCTTCCCTAAGTAGTCGCAAACCTTCGAGCATATCCGAGTACACTCCCCATAGATTGTTTAATGTTATGACAGGGCTACCGAGTGATGCATAGACAGTGTCGGCCAGCACTTGGAATTCAGGTGGAGTGAGTTGCAGAGCAGGGTCATCAGGTGGTGCATATTTCGCTTCCATCTCATCGAAAAGCTCATGAGGAACTTTCACCTAGTACGCAACAGTTAGAGTGAGGACCATAGATATCTAATTCAATCACATACCGTAAAATCCTCTGTATTGTACAAGTGTGGTTTGGCACAGATTATATCTGGAATTCCTTGCGGTAAAACCTTGCGCTTGTCAGGCCGTCTGGGACTAGAATTATAGCGACGGGCATATGAGTCACACAGTGCTTGAATCATAGGTATGGCCAAGAACCGCAGTGTCAACCTAAAGAATTCTGTAAAGGAAATAGTTGCTTCATATATTGGCAGCACATACTTTTCCAGAGGATTGTTAATGTCAAATAATCCATTGATGACGCCACGTTCAAGAACATTTTCAATCCCAGGAAAAAAATTTCTCCGCATCTGGGACCATACTGATTCTGGTTTGACGTTCTGAGTATGGTTCTTCCACCGATGCTGACGGGTGTTCTGAAGACTTGGATCAAGACGGTGTCGAATAGCAGTTTGACAGTTTGCGGGGCCATAGTTTTCTGAGCCTGGGTCACTTTGCGAAACTAAAGGAACACCTAAACAGATACATATTCAGAATGACACTTGCAACAAACATTAAGCCTCACACCTCCTCTTTCTCGTGAAGAGTCTAGGAAATACTTTGATGTAACCTTGGGATTGCGATTTGACCACCAAACTCGAAACCAAGCAATCCGTCCAGGAAAAGGGTCAAAGCCCAGATGATACCGTAAGCCAAACCGCTGGTGCTTATCATGCTGGTCCATAGTAAGGACATCCATGATTCCCGCAGCCCAGAATCGCCGTCGCTTGAAACGTTTGTATTTTCGTTGCTTAACTTTATCGGGCTCAAATTTTTTGAAAAAATCATTTAACAGCTTTCTATAGTATCCTGATCAGCTATTTTGTGAATCTGTAGAAATGTTTAAACCCACTCTGGAACTTTAATGCCATATTCCTGTCTCAAGACTGTCACCATAGCGCGTGCTCCCATATTTGGGTATAACTCGCGAAGCTCCAGAAAATAAGGCATTATGGTTTCGAATGAAGCTTTTCTTTGACGTGTACCCAGAAGCTGAAGGTCATTCCGTATTCGTTGAACAGATTTGTAGCTACAAGAAAGAATAAACAATTAGGAATTGAGGCAAGCAAGGAGAATATATAAATACCTTATACCATACTCTTCACGGTTGAAGTGATCCATCACATGGTTGGCGATATCCTTGTCACTAAAGCCTAGATGCCAGTAGTAATGTACCCATCGTAGGAGATCAGACCTAGGTTGTGCTGATGTCCCGTTTAGTTAGGTCATGTCGAGCAATAGAAACATCTAAAAGGCTCACGAAGAGGCAGGTGTTGGTTTTTCTTGGGTTTCTTTTCAGGAGTAGGGGCATCTGATGATTGTATATTGATACGTCGTTTAGAAGACATGTGGGATAGTTATGTGTACAAAGACAAAGATATCGATATCAAGATTATATAAGCTAGTCTAGCTGGAGTTTCCATCGAACATGCCTGACTTCAAATCTCCAGGCCAATAGTTCACGTTGTATTGTTGACAGTGCACATCCATACCCCAATGGCTCGTCCTTGTGCTTTTTTGACAATCTATCTTCAAGTTTGAGTAACTTACGAGCCCATAATGATCAAAAATACTTATGATTGAATTCCATGTTCACTGAAAAATTCGTCTTCATCAAGCATCTTCTGCAAGACTGACTAGACGTTCTTTGCTAGCCAGCACCAACAATCGACGCTGATCCCTTCCTCCAACTAAAGCAGAGAAGAAAAAAGATAAGAAATGATGCTTACAGAGATGAGTCAACTTACTTACCTTTCATATTGGCGATGTTCCTGTCCAAAACCCCCGGTCGATTGTCAATGAACCATTCCATACGTTTCTTGAATCCGGGCAAGCATTTCAGAACTGAAGGCTCCAAGACCATTGTCGCATATAGAGGAATTAAGCCGACGAGACTGCGAACAGGCAACTGCATGGTGTTGCCGGGACCAAATGAAATCGCATCGTAGTACATTCCGTCTTCTTCGTTCCACAGACTTGATTCGTTATCACCAGCTTTGTATGTCACAGCATCAGAAATGAAAAGGAAGTGCTTTAAAAAAAGGTTAGTAAGGAATCGTCGCGATTATCGTGGCAAACCTCAAAAAACTTGGAAGCTTCATACACGTGGTTGTGTTTAGCGAGTTCAAGGGCAATATTAAGCCTAAACATGACGTTCAATAGATGAAGATGGAACTCATGAAAGAAAACTTACATGTTTAAACAATAGAAAGCCATCCAAGCGGTACCATCTGGCTTGACGCAAGTTTCCTCCGGTCAGAAGAAGTTCAGAATGGTTAAAAAGACCAATATTGTCCAGCCCTAGAAAACCACCTTTGAAGACGTTGCTCCCTTCAGCGTCTTTTCAATTGACCCACCTAAAACAACCTTTCAGAACGACGAGTTAGATCAAAAGATAAGAAGTACGACTAACCAGGTGAAATTCAATAACAGCTTTTGAAATACTCTTTCCAAGAATTCAAGATCTTCGCGATCATAAAGTTTTCGTTCGATTTTGAAGACTCGGAAAGTGGCCCTGGAAATTTAATAAAGATCAAAATTCAAAGATGATAAGGCAATTGTCGCATGCATACCAGGCGTGTACAGGTGGGTTCACATCGCCAAAGTTCCACTTGTAGGCGGGAAGTTGACCGTCGGGCTTCATGGTACCACTCCCTAGTCATGAGATCCAGCTGTTTATTAGCATATGCAGGGTCAACGACTGCAAGAGGAATGCAATGGAAAGCAGTGTCCCGTGCAGCGAAGAATGGATATATCCATCTAGTGATCGATGTTAGTTATGGCGATCAGATATCTCAGTAGTAAAATACGTGCTCGTCAAATTCGGAGCCAGCAGTAGAGTAGACACGAGCTCGAGAGCGAATCTTATATGAGAAGAAGTCTTCATTGCCCTCAGGTGGTGGAGGGCGATGAGAAGGAATAACATGGTCGTCGAAAGCGTCTTTGAGGTAAGGTGTTTCATTCTGACCTCCGTACAGGCGACTAAAGTTGGTGTTGTTCTCGGTAAATAGCAATTCTGGTTCAACGGCTTCTGTCTCGGGATCAACATCAAAATTGCCATCTGGACCAACCGGTGGGAGAGAAGGAGAACAATAGAGGTGGGTTTTAGGTTGGTCTGGATGTTTGGCAGTGATGTAATCGATGCCACTGCGATTATGAGCAGTCAAGGAAGGCATCAGAGGCTTTTCTAGATATAGATATTATCTGGTTAGTCTTTGTCCTTGGCGTACTGATGGTATGTAATGTAAGTGAGAAGATACGTGCATATATGTGTCTAGGACTTACCTCCATGAAGACATCCCAGTACCTATCTTCATCAAATGCGTCTGAGTCAAGAATCTCATACTCGGCAATGTCACGACTACGATTTTGGTTCTTGGTGACCAGTTCCTTATACAGGTAGCGGCGTTGAGGGTATTTGTAAAGGAATCTCATGTACGAGTGGGAAGGAGTTGAGTCATGGTAGTAGTAGAGCTCTTTAATGTCCTCGCCGTAATTGCCTTGATGTCCAGTGACACCAAACAGGCACTCTTTGAATACTCATCAGGCTATCGCAAATGAGCATGGAGGTCCGCCGGACGACACATCAAGCCTGATGAGCATGGTTCAGACCAGTCCCAAAGAAAGAAGGAAAATAATGATAGTGAATTTATGGCAACAATTATTTGGACTGATCAACAAAACAACGCGAAAGAAAGAAGTTATGGTGCAGTGCACGTGATAACACAAGACGATGGGGTCCTTGGTCGGCATTGAAATATTGATGGCCGGCGGGCCAAAATCGAGCTGTCCTGTCCCTGTTGCCATATTCTCGTCAGTGCAGATTGCGTTTAAGATGGTCAAAGCTATAATTTCTCCCAGGTGAAGAGATTTTCTATCAATGTTACGGTAATGCTAATTTATATACAGTGTTCTCGCCTCAGACTTTGGTCAATTAACTGCAGAATGTCAAAGAATGATAAAGGGAGGAGCAGAATGGCTTCATATGGGTTAGCTTTTTCATTTATCCAAGTTCCCTCCCTTTCCCCGACCGATCTTCCTGCAGACGTGATGGATGGGTACATCTGAATTTTGAGCATCGCACAAATCGATCACCCTCTAATCGCGTATTGCAGTCACTTTGTACCCAACATCACCATGGGTGTGTAAAAGTTTTTTTTGTGTGTAATAGGCTCTGAATCTGTGCTTCAGGCGCCCCCATCCTTACCTGCGTCCACAAAGGCATACCTGACATTTTTATGGACTGTCATATGATGGTCGCCCAACCGGAGAAGGTAGTTCCCTCGTTATCTGCGTTAAATTTTGTTGATACGTGTTTCACGTAGTGGGTGAATGACATCGCCGATGCAGGTGGTGCACTATATTGCTTTCACATCGAGGCTACCTGTCCGTTTCTTCATGTTACTGTGCATCCCGGGGATGCTGATTCAACCCTTTTCAGCCGATCCGTTATCGTTAATTACAGCGATTCATGCCCGAAACATGAAAGCTGGTGTTGCAATATCTCCAGATACGCCATCAAATGCTATCACCGATGAGATTGGAGAAAAGGCGGATATGTTATTGGTGATGACTGTATACCCGGGTATGTTTGTTATATGGCTGTGATAGCTGCGCCTGCTGATATGCTGTGATCAGGACGTGGAGGCCAGAAGTTTCTGGAGCGATGTGTTCCAAAAGTCGCTGAACTTCGTAGCCGATTTCCGGAAAAGGATATCGAAGTTGATGGTGGGGTTGGTCCCAAAACTATCGATGTTTGCGCAGATGCCGGTTCGTTACGATTTGATTGTGTGGTCTTTTAATTCGTTTTTCTCATCCTGTTTTCAGGCAGCAATGTCATTGTCGCAGGAACAGCCATATTCAACGCTCCCAATGCTGAAGAAGTTATACAATTGCTAAAGGATACGGTTAACACTGCTCAAGCAAAGTTGGCTGTCAAATAATGAACAAATTGGAAGAGGTTAACCTCCAAGTTCATTATAAATACAAAGGTAATACCCGATAAATCATATCCCGGAACCGGCATTATAGAAAGATCAGTACAGCAGCCATTCGCCATATAAATTACATCGCTCCCCACGTATATAAGATTCGAATGTCCGCTTCAAGACTGCAGACCAGCCAAGATCGTTAGTAAATATGTCTTCATGAGCTGCTTCCTCTCCTGCAGAGAATCGTCTTCCCAAATCGGGCCAATTTCTTGAAGGATCGAACGGCTTCCACCTATAAAGATATTCAATATTTCGTCAAACACACACATCAGCGTACTCACCAGAAATTATGATAATGATACGAGAAGGCCCCCTTGAAAAAGCCATCGAATCCCAGGGCTAGCGGGGCGGCACTGCTCACAGCAGGGGTATCGAAAAAATCTTCAAACCTACAGTAAGTGACAGATGAGAATTCAGAACGGTGTATTTCAGTGAACACCCACGCCTTGAAAAAAGGTTGTGGAGGTCGGTCTCGTTGATAGTTCTCTGTGTTCAGCCACGCTGAATCAAATAATGCATCTGGGAGTTGAAGAAGAAGCCCATCTAAATACGCGTCATTCACATATCGAGAAACTGTCATCGGGTGGAAATCTAGATTATTCTTTAGCGCGGTGCGAAAAAGAAATGTGCCCAGGGCAGAGCCTTTGTTCATGTGTAATACAGCTGTGTTATACCTCGTTAACCGGGACCATCTATAGGCAAAGGCACCTCTCCAACCCCAAACTTCTTCCCAGTCACGAAGGAGTATTGTATCGGCGTCGAGGTATATACCGCCAAAACGATGACACAGTACAAAGCGTACCATATCAGAAAGAATGACGGACAGACGATCATATGAGGATGCAGACTTTGAGCCATCGCGATGGAACATATCGTCAGACTTATTGCCCGTATTTTTGCCACCGTTATAGTCTTCCGGGGGAACATTGACAATGTGCCCCCCAGAGTTGAAGAGAGTAGGCATTTTTCTCCAGTCATTGCGCAGTTCCGGTATAGCGTCTAGTTGCTCTGTGGTATTCCAGAGTTTGAACTGTAAAACGTCTTTGAATCTCTCATGAAGGAAAGGCGAAGCCCAAGGATTTGATTGAAGCTCCTCAAACATTTTACTGGTAGCATTTGGGTCAGGAATAGAAGCCGCAGAGACTGGATTGATCCACACCCAAAAAACGGGCCTACATGCCTTTGGCGGCTCATTTGAATGCAGACCCGTATTCTGTGTGTACAGGAATGACAGGATTGCCATATAAGGTTTATCTGTGAACGGTCCCGTCCAGTATATATGGAATATCCGAGGGTAATCTGGATCACAGGCCGTCGACGGATCGGAGTGCGAATGAGGAGATGAAGGCGGTGGTAGGTTAATGGGTGAAAACTCCAACTCGCTACCCGCCTTGGGCAGAATGTCAGGAGAGGAATCAAATTGCGCCATGGCCGGGGAGCGGGTATGAGTATGGTTCGAGGAGTCTTGACTGAGTTCAAGGTAGATGTACTTCCAGTCGTCCAGATTTTCTCTTCGGAGTCTATTCCCGTTGTCTAAGCCTGCCCCTACGCGAAGTACTTCTATACAGTCACGGACCAACTTGTCAGGAATTGAGTTCGAAGGAAACTGAGACAGGCAGGGTAGTCAAGTACCTTTTGGTTTGAGAAATCGCAATGGCGCATGACAACATCCATGTCCGCAATGCTTCCCGGAGCCGGTCGAGGAGGAAAGGCTATCGAAAGATTCCCATGTTGTATCTCTGGGTATACACGTAGAAAGCCTGTGCCCTGTATCACTTGACCACGAGCTTCGCTGTCAGTTTGGCGTGGAGGGAGCCCTGGATTGAGAACTTCCTTCAATCCGATCTGCTGTGGTACTGGAAAGTAATTGAATGACTTTCTCTTTCCGTTGAGGGACGCGACATACCAGACCTGGTGCTCGGATAGTGGCCGCTCGTTATCTCATATGCCCATATTCTCTGGAGGTCTTCTCTTCGATAGACAAGTGTCGGAGGATACGCAGTGAACGGCAAATTGTTTTTTATACGTTCGAAGTCGAAGGTGTTTTTCAGCGTGAAAAAGAAAAGGATGATAGAACCAAAGAGGACGAGTAGAACGAAGTTTCTTCTCTTGCGTCCGAAAACGAATGAGCGCTTGAAGGCAAAAACAGGCCAGCCTTTATGCCATGACAATCCCGATGATTCATTTGTTGAGACGGAAGGCAGTGGAAGATACGACTGTGGACGAATGGCCATTAATCCAGATGCTAGGGAAAGCCCCACGACGCCCTACGCTCCAACTCAACGCAGAAGACCAAAGAGAGGACCAGTGAAAGATGAGAGAAGATGACTATCGGTTGGGCGCACGCTTGGCCTGTTCAAGGGAAACTTCTCCCGCTATGAATTCTGAATCGTTTTACTTTTTCATTTGTAGATACAGCCTAACATACATGTTGCAAGTTATTGAAAGTGTAATCTCTAAATCATCGGAATCGAGCATAATTGTACCATCTGCAAACAGACTCTAACCCTCCAATTGTTGATGCTCAAGATCAGCAGAATCGGTCGGAACAGAGATGACACGGAGAGTGTTGGTGTGTCCCAATCCACCTTTCCATCCTTGTACAGCAATGACAGTAGAACCAGGAGTGATAATGTTAAGAGCAAGAGCATTTCGCATACCAAACCGAATACGGTTGTCCACCTTCGGTCGTTATCAACAGAATTTTCATCACTCAGTTATTGAATACACTCACATCAGTTTGCCACTGGTGGGTTTGGATGCCACGGGGCTCAGGATACCAGAATGGATAGCATCCACGGTGGAGGTGAATCTGGCGCGCCGTCTGCTCGTTTCGGGTGACTACAAAGTGCATTAAAAAGACGGAGTTACCAAAACATGAGAGATCGTACCAGTGATGATGGGAACCTTGGGGCGATACTTCGAGATCAAGCGAGCAGTGTTGCCACTAGTAGATAGCACGAGAATGGCGCTAGCGTTCTGCTCAGACGCAGCGGCAACGGCAGCAAGAGCAACAGTTTCTGTTGTCTCCGTAGGACCAGGCTGGATCGAACGTATCTCATTATACAAAGGAGGATAGCAAATGGCATATTCAGCGAGTAAACAGGTCTCCGCCATCATGAGGACTGAATGAAGGTGGCATCAATAATCAGGCGCAGAATGTAACGAAAACGAATCGACTAACCCGCCTGAATGGGATAAGATCCTTTGGCAGTCTCACCGGACAACATAACACAGTCCGCACCGTCAAGAACTGCATTGGCGACGTCGCTGACTTCAGCTCGAGTAGGGCGAGGGTTGTACTAACAAAAACGTTACAATATATCCTTTTTCCATTCATATCTTAGAGATGTGACATACCGTCATTGACTATCAAAGTGCAGTAAGATATTATCCCTCCATGAATATATTTGACCACATACCTCGAGCATTTGTGTGGCTACGATGACCGGCTTGCCAACAATGTTGCATTTAGCGATCATCATCTTCTGGGCAAGAAAGACCTGACTCGCAGGAATTTCGATTCCCAGGTCCCCGCGGGCAACCATTACACCATCTGTCACCTTGAGGATCTCGTCAAAGTTCGCAACACCTTGTTCGTTTTCAATCTTGACGATGATCTTGATGTTGGCCCCATCCGGTCCCAAAACTGTACGTATATCTTTAACGTCCTCCGCGCGGCGGATAAACGAAGCAAAAATCATGTCAACGCCATTTTTGACACCGAACTCAAGATCCTTCTTGTCCTTTTCTGACAAAGCGGGTAGGTCGACATTTGTCTTGGGCAAGTTGACACCCTTGCGGGAAGAGAGGGTGCCATTATTCAAGCATCGGACACGAATTTCGGCCCCTTCGATGGATATGACGAGGAGAGATAGAATACCTGAACATTGAGTTCAATGTCTATCCATTCATCGATAGTATATGTTCCTACCATCATCCACATAAATCAACTTGCCAGGAGCTGTGACCTTCGGAAGGTTCACCTAGACAGGCGATCGGATTCTAGTTCGTGGAATAAACAGTCAATTATACGTACATAGTCCATCCAGAGAACCTTATCATCACAAATATCTTTGTACTTTGGGTCCGTAGACACTATGAACTCGTGCCCAGCTTTGACGGCGATCTGAAGGTTGGAGTTTGGCACGGACAAAGGAAAAACAAAGGTTTCTGACTCACATCGATACCATCTCTCATCAACCCGGTACGGATTTCAGGACCTTTCTGTGCCAAGCATTAGAAATCATCGTTGACATCACAGAAATCTCGGAACACTAACAGTATCTAGAGCAATGGCGACAGGACGTCCATTAGGATCGGCTGCGGATTTAGTGAGCACAAAGCCGCAAAAAAAATTAGTCGCGACACGGAGAAACTTACCCGCGACCATTTTCCGTGTGTTATCGATAACACTTTGGTGATATGAGTACTCTCCATGAGAGAAATTCATGCGTACTAGAAAGTCCAGATTGGCTGAAGAGGAAAGAACAAGTAACGCACGTAGTACTCACCGACATTGACTCCAGCGCGTCGCAACTCTGCAAGCTTCTCAACACTGTTGGTCTTAGGCCCTAGGACAAGATAGGTCTCGATTTAACGAGGATAAGGAAACACTTCCTACCGATCGTTGCGATAATGGATGTCTATGCGCAGGCGAACAATCAACCCTTGTTCTAACTCAACAAAAGAAAAAGAGTCCATACTTTGCGCATGTACTTGGTGTTCTCTGTAGGAACAGGAGCGTCCACGGTACTAAGGTGAGACGACCATTCTAGTTGAGAGCGTATGCCGTCAATAGCAAACATTTTGGATTGGAGATGATGGTAGTGAAGATAGGAAAAATATTTGCGGCCTTTGTTTGTATAAAGCCAGTGTGAGAAAGCTCCTACTACTAGGTACTACTAGACCAGACTAGACATGCTCGTTGTACTGGCCACAACCAAATGTTAGAATACAGCTCAATACTGTATGGACGAGGATAGTTTTCAAGGCAGAAACGACAATATAGATTATATGTACAGGTTATTCAGCACCAGATCAGCACATAAAAACACCAAGTTTGAAAAAAAAAGAACACAAGCATACATATGTGGCTACATGATTCTCAGTGTCCAGCTCTGTAAACCCTGCAAACCATTTTCCGTCTGAACATTATGAGCAGCAGCAAGCCAACCAGTATCGATATTGGCTCCAGGGTGAGGCGGCTGACCAGTGATATCAATGCCTTGAAATACGTTTTCGCAGGCGATCGTTCGACCAGAATGGTATCCTACTCCATCCGCACTGCGAATGAATAATAAAGGAAGACTGCGACCTGCTATGGACGGCGGAGGTCCCGAGCCATTTCTGCTACCAGGATGAGAGACTTCTGCTGAATGACCATCTGGATGTTCTGCGCTAGGAGGTAACGCATCTTCCTCCAAGGCCTTGATAATATCGCCAATGGGTGGCATCTCGACCATGACAATAGTGTGTAAAGGTCCGGAAGGTATGTAGCGGGTGGGTGATCCCGGAGGATCGAGAGGTACACCTTCTGGAAGCCCAGGAATGGGCTGCACAAAAGGCATGGAAGCCATGGGACCGGAGGGAGAAGTTTGGTAGACTCTGTGTGGCAATGGCCCCAAATTGCCTAAGAACACGTCCAGAGTTGCTTGTTGCCGCGTTTTAGGGTCTTCGTAGAAAAAGTTTGATACAGTCAATTCTATGGTATTATTGGCTTGACGATACACGGGAGCGGTGAACAAAGTGGGGAAAGGCGTGATTGGCTGATCAGGTATTTGACTATTCTTCCCAGTTGAGTCGAAAAATGTGTATTGGAACTTTGCTGAAGCGAAGCTTTATTGAGGGAATAGAAACGAAGCAGATTTACTTACAGATTCCGACAATTGTCCAGCATAAATAATCGTCGACTTCGTCAGAAAGCATACGGATACCGTCTTTGATCTCCTCCCTGACGCGGGGAGTCTGAAAGAGTAAAGGATGTGTCCCTGCTTGAGTAGACATTCCAGGAGCTGGGGGGGCTACAACCCCTGTCGTTCCGGGTATAGGACCAGCAGCTGATAAGTAATGTCGAGAGCCATCAGGATTCACACGCTGCAACGCAATCTTTTGCATCTGACTGACTGGACCACCATCGTCGGCGGAGACTCGGCCTTTGTCGACCTTGCGAATAACAAGAGGAGATGTTGAGATTCCTGATTGTGTGTCGGAAAGGACTATCTCGCATCCGTAGGTGACTGGTTGGGGACCTATGGGAAGATTTACCATTGTGAGAGCGCCAAAATTCACATCACATGACTACACACCGATGTTTGGCGCCTCTGTCGGGCGTCGTATAACATTGACATTAAAGGCGGACCACGCCACATTACTCGCACAAAGTTGAGCGTGGTCAATGGTCATGTATTTGGTGCGTACAGTCTGAGAATTGATGCGATTAAATAGAGATACGGGTCCACCTGCTAGAATACACGACGAGATATTTCTCGTCTTGGCTGTCTTTTTCGATGGTTTGGAAATAATTGTAACTGGGGCGGAGTCGAAGGACGCCCACACACGACCTGGTAAACCGTCGCTATCCGGATTATGCGCGGCAGAGGGATGAGGTTCAGCGATATCGAGGGAGAGCTGAAAACTCTTTGCCTTTGCAGTTCCGGTGACATGCAAAAATTTGAAGCTGGAGGTCATGTTGTTATCTAGGGGTGCTTTCTGTTCAAACGACCGTTCACCAGTTTCGGAAACAACTGCCATAGAAAGCTGCTGCGCATGCATGTGCCACATAGGGCCTTCGATATGAACAACTGGAGGAGGACAAAGGAAGCGTTTCTCGCTTCCATAGGACTTCTGGGCAACAGCAGCGTGAAGGCATATCACAGTGGTCATTGGTACGACACGAGTCGCCATGTCTTGGGGAGGACCAGCGTCACGAATAACGCGACGCATCTTGTTTTGCGGGTCTTCGTTATCGACATCTTCCAATTTTCGTTTCCCGGGCTATTAGCAGTTGAGCTTGGGTCGACAAAACGTATCGATAACATACATTGGGAATAGGTAGCGGAACTTCCGGAACGGCCATAGAGGGATTCCAGGAGGGGATGTGTCCGTTTGAAGGACCGTCCTTGTGTGAAGCAGCTAATATGGCCTGGAGTGAAGGACTTGGTCCTGATTGATTTCCCGGAGTGCCGGAGGTGGTGGCCTGAAGAAAATACATGAATAGGTGGCAAGAGAGGGATCCCGAGAAGAGCTAATTACATATAACGCCTGCGCAGGGGAGTCTGGTGAAGAAGAAGATCTTGCCTGCGGGGGAGAAACCGCTGCAGACATGAATGTGTGCAAGTTGCTCTCCATTCACGCTAGAGAGATGGGAAAATTCAAAACTTTGGAATCCATCACCCATGTGACTAAGGACGGCAACTCCGGCAGAATGATGAATCATGGGAAAATCGGTCAACTGACCGAAAACCTCACTTAGACAAAACTATATTGTGTATGCTACTAGTGTACTTGTGCCAAATGCAATCGTCCGTAATGTTTGAAAGGAGTGCGTAAAAATACTAGTGATATCAACGAAGAAAACTAGTCCGTCAAGGGTCCAACCGTTATCGCAACCACAGTCTGAATGATGAAGGAAGGAATGTGCAAAAACTACTTAATATTGACAATCAGCTCGGTGGTTCTCTGCTCTTTCGGCGTGTTTTAGTATTGCGTTCTGGAAAGGGAACACTATCCGAAACAAATCCTCGCGAGTCGCGGCGGGAAGGTGACACGGGGGAATGGTCGGAATCCTGTTGGTACTTCTGCCAATCCTCAACTTTCATTGTGGACAGTCGTTTTGACGATGTGCCCAGAGCAGCTAGCCGGTCAGCACTCAAAGATCGTGAATGCGAACGACGCTTCTTGTCATCCAGGGTCATCGACCTTCGTCCAGTCCGTTCTGCGTCATCTTCAGATTTCTTGCGCTTATCATAGATCGCAGCCTTCTCGACCAGCCTCCGAGTAACCGCCTCTTTCTCTAAAGCTTTCGACCTCTCCCATCTCTCCTTCGCAGCTTGAATCTGCGCATGTTCATTTTCGGCATTCGTAAGGGGACTCTGAATAACCTTCATTTTTTCCCTATGCCTTTCGTTCAACTCTTCAAAAGTTCGTGTCCGAGATGCGACTGGACGCTGGGGGGTAGGGGCAATGATCGGTTTTTGTGGTGGAAGGATTGTGACAGGAATATTATTCATTCCTGTCGAGCTTGTCGTACGGTGGTGGTCAAGATGCGTCAGAGGGATATCTTCGGAAGAGTTATTGTTTGACGAATATTCGCCTGTAAGTCCTAAGGCGCTCTCACGACGCTTCCGCTGTTGTAAAGCTTCCGAAACCGCGTGTGGCATATGTATGCGCGTATGTGACGATGTCATGGGAGTAGTAGCTATGGGAGGCGAAACGCCCGCAGGAGGTTGCAAGAGCTTCCTGTCCTGGATATAAGCATCCCAATCATTGTCTCGTAACGGTGCACTGGTGGGACGGCCAAGGGATTCTCCAATGGAATTATGACTGATAAGATCCATAGAGTGGACGCGGGATCTAGGATCTTTCTCGCGCGGTGGTCGTACATGCGACGGTGTGGGAAGAAGAGCACTGTTGGCGTCCATGCTAAGAGTGCGACGGGAGGTCAGTGAAGGACGACGAGAGCCAGCAGCAGAAGCAGAAGATGGTTCAGGTGAGCCATTCTTCAAAACATCGATTGACCTGCGAATGGTATTAATCTCCTCCATGAGTTCCAAACGTTTCTGCTCAGCCTCTCTGTCAGCTACAGTAACCTTGCGAGAAAGCTCATCTTTGGCCATAAACCCATCTGGAACATCATCTTTGATTCCAAGGCCAAGATCTAGAGCAGGTAAAACACCTGGACTCTGGAGACCACGACTAGTGGCACGCTTGAGCTCATCGTTCGGGGTAGGAGCCGCAAGGAATTCGGATACACCGGAATTGTAACGGGGACGACCGTCGGCAGCTACATGAGTGTAATCGGAGCGATGTTCTGCTGTAAGACCTGGTGAAGACGAGCCGTCCTGATCCTTCATGAGGGGCATGCTTGAGTATCCGCTCTCTTGTCGCCCATGCTTGTTGAGATGTTCCTTCTCCCACTCCTCTCTTTCCCGCATAACATGCGCAAACCCACCTGCAACTGCCAGTTCGGCTTCCTCGTCTCGTTTCTTCTGCTCTTGGGAAATTTCATTTAACTTGCGCTGTAACACTTTGAGTATACGTAGCTGAACAGCGATACCCATTAAAGCAACGGCTCCTATTAATCCCAGCTCGATCTGCATCGTCTGAGTTACAGGAAATTCAATACCCTGGCTCGTGAACCGGGTGAAGAGGGTCTGAAATCCGACATTCCAGACGTAAAACTGCAAAGCGATTCAGAACGCATATAAAGATATTTGCTCTGGTGACGAACCTCTTTTAGACCAGCAGTAGTGAAACAATCTACTCCAAGGATGAAAGCTGAAGCACCAACAAAGGATGTCGATACGAGAAGAACGTGGTAATGAATCTACATGAGTCCGTCAATGTTGGTGGGCTGGGAGTTGCTAACTTTTCCTTACCTTTGGTATCGTGCATACAACAAAGCCGACTACCGCACAACCTTCGATCCGTATATGAGCTAAATTCATTGACGCTGAAGACACAACTACACACCAATATACATGATCCATCTGAGGCCTTCGGATCTAATGACACCGCCATCGCGAAAGCACTGGATCCATAGGGCAAGAGCAAAACCTAAACACACGAGACGTAAACGAGGAGCTTGATTAAAACAACTAGCAGCGACTCACCTCCCCAGGCTCCAATTCCGTATCGAGCGGCTTTCCAGAAGAAAATAGCGCAAGCTCCACCCGCAATGCCTGCGACTGAGCAAGCCAGAACGAACATCCCGCGCAATGTCTTGCTAGGCGGATTCACTGCCGGAAGTATTCCAAATTTTAGAATGAGAACGAAACAGACGAGCGAAAGAGTATAGAATCCGATTAAAAAGAATGACGTCCTAACGGAGGTGCCGAGGTTGTTAGTCTGGGAGGTGATATGTATCCTCGGGGTTAACTCACCAACGGTTCTTGTGGCCCCAAAAGGCACTAGGAAGGCCAGTGAGAATTAAGATTGCTCCAAGAACGCCAAACGCAGGATCAAGTCTTGTTTGAAGGACAGTGGGGTCTGCCGTTGCTGATGCGGAAGCTGATGCGGATACTGAAGAGGAAGCAGATGTTGGTGTAGCAGTAACGCTGACATTGAAAACAGTGGTCACAACGGTCGTGAACGAAGAAATTTGGTTGTTAGAAGTGACAGCGGTTGTTTCCGTTGTTGTGGCAGTTGTGAGAGATAGAGAGACACTCGCAGACGAAGTGGAGGAGGCAGAATTGGAGGAATTGGGTGAAGATGATGTGGATTGAGCCGCTACGACACTCAGTAAAACCGGGAATGATAGGAAACCCAGAAGGGTTCTGAGTCGCATCGTGGAAGATGATGATGGTCTGGGAAGAAGGTCAGCCGGTAGTAAAGCAGAATTGATGTTTGTAAGTAAATCTCACACTACTCCGGAGCACTAACGTGTCATGGCAAGAAAAGCCCGCGACCTTCTGTGAACACACCTGGCAGCTCTTGGTTACAGAAACGCCTTTCAAATTCAAGCCCAAGCTCTGTGGCGAACGTAGACGATGGATGTAAAGGACATAACATTATGCGATCTTATCTTATTGGAAATTCTTAATGCGATGGCGCCACATGTACATTACGACTGTCAAGCCTTCGAACGTAATCTTGAATTTATACATAATCCTAACTAAGCAGGTTCAGCCGTACAGGAGTTACATCCAGTGTATGTAGTACTTTGTCAATGCCCGATACATCTCTCTCGTCTACAACCGTAATGACCTTGCCAGGTTTTTTGAATCGGCCCACTCGACCACATAGATGGATATATGTGTCCAAAGTTAACGTCCAATTGTCCTTCGCAATTAACGCGTTGAATCCCAGGATGAAGACGTGAGTCAATGATGGAAAATCAATGCCTCTGATTGACGAAGTGGTGCAAACGAGCAACTTGGGATCAGCCTTCTTCTCCCCGCCAGCCTGCAAAAGATAGGATCGACCTCGGTCTTGCACCAGAACATCCATCCCAAACGCGTTGACTCCAATCTCGCGCAGGTCATAGACTGCTCGGTGGACTGACGCATTGGGCGGGATGACTAGAAGCGCAACAGAGGGTACGTCGAGTGCGAACACAGCGGCAACGGCCTCCAGAAGGTTTTGATTCAACGGCGAAGGTGTCATTGCAAATTCTGTAAATATACTTCCGTCAATTGCAAATAAGACGGATATACGGTATAGTTCCGTACCAATTGATCTACTCGCCGCGGCAGTTGAATCTACTGTCCGGTCGAAGGACGAAGAAGACACTGCGTTCGAAGGTCCGTTATTCGCCTCCTCGAATCTGAACGGATGAGTATGCTTTTCCTCGGCGCTAACAGCAGAAGGAATGTTTGTGATACCATTCTCTGAAGCAACAACAACATGATGAGAAATCACAGAATGGATGGCATGCTCATCTGTCGCGAGTTCATCTTGTCCATGCAACCGCATAACAGAACGCCTTATTTTGACTACGTCTCTGTTCAGGAGCTGTTTCTCTGAGAAGAAGTAGTGCTTCAACTGCCTTCGAATCGTGGCACTGGATAATATAAGCTGTGGGCTGTGATATGGCGCATCCCCTAATGCTTGCCGAGTTTTTGCGTTCAATTTCACCCGAGCCTCATAAATTTCATCTAGGAGAGCTCGAGCAGGTCCGGGATGCATTTGGAGTTTGTTCATCTTCTGAATATGTTGCTTGCTGGGGTTGTTATTGAGAGGAAGAGTTTCTATCATGTAATCAACCTCGTCTAGGACGACCGTCGACAGTTCCGTGAGACGAAATGCGTTTGGGTCCTCCCGTAAGACCTCAACCACACTAGCGGGAGTGGCGATCAGGACATGGGGTGGTTCATTTCGTATGAGCGGGAGACCTTCAGTTATATGACGGCGTCCTTCACGTACAAGAACTTGAGCGATAGATGCGAGGGAAGGGGGGTTGTCAGACGAGGCTTGGGCGATTAAATCAATCCAATGCATCATTTGGAAAGCTAGGTCGCGATGAGGTACCAGTACAAGAGAGGTTATAGCAGGCCTATCGCTAGCTCGATCCGCACTCGGGTCATCCGTGAAAATCATACGAGGTTTGTTTAAAAGTGCCAAAATTAGCCCAAAAGACCTAAAACGAAATGAGAGATGAGAAGCTCTCCCTGCTTTGCTCGCGAGGGACTCACTTCCCGGACCCAGTTTCATCCTGCAGTATTATATCTTTTCCTTCCAATACACTGGATATTAACGTAGATTGTATTTCAGTCGGTGATTTGACATTGGGGAAAGCAGTATAGACTGCTTGAGCTAGAGGTGGTCGAAGGCCAGCATCTTCGAACGAGAAAACTGGTTTCGAGGGAGAATTATGTTGGTAAATTTCCGCAGCCTTACTGATAAGACGGATTTTTTGTAAAGTAGGGAGTCGCGTCCAACGTCGTTCTCTAAATATGGACGTTGACAAGAAAGGTTTCATAACATATTGTCACATGGATGTCACACACAGATCAAAGAGGGGTTGTTCAAAGCAAGCATAACAAAGATAGCGCGAAACTTGATGAGGTGTATGCTGGGTGTATGATAAGTGAAGTAATTCAGGCTTTGAGAGCTCTAGAGTCACGCCATAGAAAGAAGGCATATGTACTAGTAGGAAGTCGACGCCATTCACGCCATGACCAAACAGTATCACGCTGGGTCCCATTCAAGTTCGCAGTTCACCTGCAGTAGGTCGACGCTTGAAAATACCGAACCATCCTTTCTTATGGGGTCGCTTCCTTGAGCCATTTGGGGTTGCGGTAGAAAGTAATGAAGTAGTCTCATCTATACCGTCAACCTCGTTGTCTTCGTCATCGTCGGCATTCTCCTCCCTTTCCTCGCGTTCATCTTGACCAAACTCTATTAGTGTTATGTGGAGGAATCTTATGCAACAGAACGTACCTTCGCCGAACACAAGATCCATTTCTTCAAGTGGAACCCCCTTAGTTTCGGGGTACACTACACACACATCATTTAGATGATGTTATGAAATCGCGGAATGACTACTCACGGAAGTAAACTGAGAGCGTAACCTGTGAGCGAGAAATCTTAGATAAAAAGGGAAGTCGAACTTACCCAGGATAAAGCTGCAGGCACAGAAGAATCCATGCATAGGGTACAACCTCCAAGTAATCACTTCCTGTAATTCAGGTGTCACTTCACCAACAAGGAAGTTGAAGGCCCAGTTTGTGCTTGTAGAAAGTGACACGCCTTTCGCGCGAATAGTCAGAGGCATGATCTGAGGGGCGATGAGGAAGGAACATATTTTTTGGGATATCAATTGACACACCTCGGGGGGGTACAACCAAGGCAAAGGTCCCCAACTACGACCGCAGTTAGTAATGGCGTGAAATAAGGTATAGACCGAACCTATATCCGAAGGCAGCGTTGTATATAATAACGCAGATTACTACGGCGTTAGGTGTGCGGGGAACATCAATGTACATCCACCAACCGGTGGCAGTAAGAGATATGGCCATCTAATGCGAGTGAGAAAGATATGTATGTGACGACGATGAACAACATACAATCACTGCACCAGAAAGTAGAATCGGTCGTCTCCCCCATCTATCGACTAGATACCATCTGAAAGGCTGGTCAATGAAGTAATTTGAGAAGCAGGCACAAAATCCGCACTAACGGAGGAATCGTGCTTAGGATATATATCAATGAGTTGATGCCAGTCATTAGAATAGCATCCCGTCCTATCCATCCCGCCTCTGAAAGCACAATACGGTCAGTCAAATACAACACGAGGCTTACGCCAGAACGCCAATTACCTTCGAATACCCGTGCTATATAGGGGAGGATAAGCGTCCTCTAAGAAAATCCACGCAACCGTCACTCACGAGCATAATAAGAGATGACTAGGTACGTTGGAGCCCGCATTGATGAGCAAAGTGGGGGTGGAAGTTATAAGTAGGCATACCGTTAATTCCATTCTAGAAAATGTCACTTCAAAGGATATTGCTGTCGAAACGGGACGCACCAGCTGAGCAAAAGCCTGAGACGACATGGCGAGCAAAACACGCCGTTTATATCTCTTCCACATCTCGTAGTATGACCGCGCAACGCCGGAAGCACGCTTATGACAATTTAGTATGTTATTAACCTGTATGAGAGTATTTTACCTCTTCCATGACACGATCTTTGATTTCTTTGAACTCTGCAATTGCTGTTGGGTTTTGTGGATCTCCCCCATTCAAGTCCACGAGAACTCGGAATCCTTCAGCATCCTTGTCAGTATCTATGCACCAACTACGTCGTATTCAGATACATGCGTGAAATTCGTAAGGGAAGATATCCAACATACCGTGGACTTCGTTGTTGAAATATGCCGCTGTAAGTTCATCAACACGAGGATACGAAGCCAGAACGCACCTTTCAGGCATCATTAGCGCCCCTATATATGCAGTATTGCTTCAGCGCAGATATACACCAAGTGAATGAATGTCCATACCTGCAGCGAGTATAGCTCCGATGATACATTGTACGAAAAGGGGAATACGCCAAGAAAGGTCGGAATTGAGAAAAGAGCAGAAGTAATCCATCCACTGTGCTAAAATCAAACAGAATGAACGGGACTTGTATCACGGGAGACGCGTACTACTGAGGATGAATAGCTGGTTAAGAGATGAATGTTAGAGAATGCCTTTAATGGGAAAGTATTTGATTCACCCAGCTATATTCATGGTGAATTCGATGCATGCCAGGGAGCCCCTCTGCACATGATTAGCTTCCAAGCTCCACAACCTCCCATTATCCGAAACTCACATGATTAGGCGGTGAGATTTCACTTTGATAAATCGGAACAATGGTCCTGTGGCATTGAGAGTATTCAGGGTGGATTGCGTCGCGTCTTGGACAAATATAAACATACGAGAGGAGGCCAACACCAAAACCACTGATAACTCGTCCGACAATCATCGTCCAGAACCCGGCTGTCAAGGTCTGAATAGCACCACCCACTGTGAAGATTATGGCACCGATGAATAGCGTGCCCTTCCGACCAACAATGTCCCCGATACGGCCAGCAGCCGCGGAAGTGACTATTTACTAAGTTAGATTGCCACATTGCACGAAATCCTGGCGATACGCACTGAATGCTCCGACTTCTAGAACAGCGACCATGGTACCTATTGAAACTGCATCTGGGTTTCCAAAGTATTTTCTGAAGTGGGGTCCAGTGATAATGCCGCTCATAACTCTGAAAGTATGGTAGGAGCTGCAAAGAGGTGGTAAGAGGAAGCAAAGCCCTCACCCTTGATCATAGCCAAACTACGAGCAGAGTGATACATAAATTTAAGAGCTTTCGCTTTCGTCCATGAACAGATCTTCACTTACAAGGAAGACACCAAGAGATGCGAATATCGAGATAGAGATTCTGGGTCACTATGGTAAGTGGTACACGACTACGGACCTGAATGTAACCTACAGCAAAGGCTGGCCCACGAGCTTTCTGGAAGAAGGTGTTGGATCTGGAACGTTTACCATGATGCATGGATGGAGCGCGAAGAGTGATAGTTTGTGATGGTTTATATAGGGCGAACCCGATCCGGTTTATGTCGTTTCGCCTCCACGTGCCTTGAGCAGGCCGCTCCTTGATTCGAACACTCACAGGGCATATTAATCCGTATGCCTTCGTCTCATGCTTCAATCGATGACCTCTCCTCAGAAATCTCATATGATTCGGAGGAAGAGTATCACTTAGCCCAAAGGGAATGGGAGGAAAGTCTTCATCAACTCCAGCAAATACTTTCCGCCGTTCTGCTCCCTTTTGTAGGCAAATGGCTTGGCAGGCGGTGGAGCTACTGGGGTACCTAAATATACTTCTGCCTGGTACTTGGCAAACTAACAGTTTCAACTGTAGCGTATGCTCGCTATCTACGTCTAGGTCTTGGGAAAGCGTTTGTTTTTGAAAAGTAGGACACGGACACGTTGTAAAGGTACATTCAGCTTTCGATTCAACGTTTTGAACGGGCACTAACAGTGACACGCTGTACTAAACTATGTAGTGGTCCTAGTGGACGTACCCCATACAGTCCACTCATCTCTTTGATTACTTCCATCGCGACATCCCACTCCTGCATACCACTCAGTCCTTCGAGCAATACATACCATGTTTCATGGAATATTGGCATTCTCGTCCGCTTCATCTCCTCGTAGTATGAGAGGGCCTGGTCTAACCGGTTACCGTTCAGACACGCCTTAATTAAAATGTTGTACGCCCTTGTATTCAGTTTGACATTGTGTTGTTTCATTCTCTTTAGAATCGCCCGAGTGAAATCCTCCTCTTTTTGCCGGGTAAGCCATGCAGGACCTCGATGTATTCCAGCCAAGATAGACGTGTAAGTGATTATATTAGGCGCAGTGGTGGGATCAGCCTCCATCTGCGACAACAACCTGAGAGCCCCACTAAGATGAGCCTCGTCCTGCTCTCTCATCTGGTGATCGATAAGTGCAGAATATGTCGCCGTATTGGGTTTGATCCCTTGTTTGTTCATAAGACGAAATACGACTTCCGTCGCGTCCTGACGTCCCATTTTGAGCAACGCGGATAAGATCGTGGAGAAAGTAAAGACATCCCCAGTGACACCACTCTCGCCCATCTTGCTTATGAACATTCCCAGTCCTCTGATATCGTTTCGGCGTGCATAGTGGCCCAGAAAAGTGTTATGTGAGACGATGTCTGGATTGGGGCCTTTGAGTTGCATCTCTTGAAAGAGTGAGGAGGCTGCTTCAATCCGATTCGTGACGAGTAGACCATTGATCACAGTATTGTAAACAGACATGATATTTTCGGGGGTATCTGTGATTTTTGCAGCGCGAAATTCTTGGAATCTCTCCATCGCGAGATTGGGCCTGCGTCCATTGAAGAGAGAACTAATGAGCGCGCGATACGTGAGCGCGTCCAATGTAACATTTCGTGATTTCATAAGTTCGAAAGTTGTAGTGGCGTCGGTGAAGGATTGAGTCTGCCCTGTAATAAGAGCGTTCCACATACTTGTGTCATGACGGAGACCAAGTCTTGGTATATCGTCCCATACCTGTGCAGCAGATTCCTTGGAGGAGCATTTCAAGAACGCTGTCAGAAAGGATGTCCAACCCACCACCGTCATCGCCACCGTTTTTTCCGAAGACAAATACGATTCATCTGCAGCAATGAAAGGATCAGGTCCCAGGATTCCCTCTACGATACCTTCATACAGCTTCCTCAAAGACGTAAGAGCACGAGTGTCTCCCAGATTCATGATCTGACGAGAAAGCGAGGTGGGCCTAGATATGAGCCTCGCAAGATGCAGTCGACGGCTATAAAGATCGACTTTGTTTCGCAATGAAGAGTCGTGCTGCAGGTTCTGGAGGAATTCCCGGGTTGTGTAGTTGTGGAAGCGAACGTCTGTATCCTTACATATAGTGAGAGCTTCCTGAAATGTATCAAGCATAGCGTGGGCAGTAACAGCTGCCAGGAGAAGAAAAACTCTGCCGCGAATGGGCTGCATAACAGACTGAGATAATTCAGCATGCCCGAACGCAAGTTCGCCCTGTTCAAAGAGCCCTTCCTGAGTCTCGTCCACATCCCAAGCTTCCCGGTTGTTCATTATATGAGTGCAGCGACCATAGAGGGAGAGTGCGGCATCGGGATTATTCCGCTTGATGTGGTAGAGCATGCATGTAGCAACGCCTTCTGCGTCGCAGGAGGTTGCTGCTACAGCGACTTCCTCAACGATGTTTTGGGACGAAGAGTCCCAGGGTTCAGAGGGTGCGGGAAGAAATGCTTTTATCAAAAGACTCGATATCATGGACATGAGTTTTGGGTCAAGAATGTGGGCCAAATTAAGCTGCTTCAGTTTAATCCAGAGTTGGCGTACAGATTCCGCATCTCCCTTCCCTAGCGCCTCTTTGATTTGCACAAGGGCATGATTGTAGATATCAGCCTGTTGATCTGATACAACAGAATCTCGAGTTCGCAGTTGCTGAGTGACGTTCTCCCTGATATTTTTCAAGACGGAGGAAGGAATAACAGGTGGTTTGTTTCGAGATTGTCCGCTGCGTTTACCGAAAGCAAGATTCGCGGAAGAGCTGAGACCTCTGAAAGCTAAATTTGGAGCAAAATCGAAAAGGACCAGCGACTTCGAAGAAACTGAACGAAGAATCATAAATTCAAAGACGCGTGATGAGTCACCAATTATTTACATCACATTTCTCGTCTTGAATCAAACCACTACGGCCATCAGGCTTCAGTCAAACAACTTTTTTTGCAGCAGACCACAAGTTCCAATTGATCAATGGGTCATGGATCCAACGATAAGCTCTATATCACTCATACCGAACACAGCGTTCTAGGATCTCATTCTGCCTCCTCGGGCTTCAAAGCGTAATTTGTTTCATTTGACTCTTGTTGCACGTAGTCTGATTGTCTAAACTCCGCAACACAGTAAGCAGGAGGCACCACACCCTGGCGCAAGAACGCCATTTGACTGCTGTGCTCTATCATTTCAGCCGTTCGAGAATCCTGTGTGTGCTCGAAACTCAGATGGAACGGGAAATGTGTTTGATCTCGTTAGTGACTTTCGGTGTATGTTCGCGTCGTTGTAGCTAACCCTTAGCTTCTAGACCAATATCATACCGTGGTTAAAGCAACACGACAACACCAATCCAATTACCAAGGAGCAATTAACCCCTGCTGATTTAATTCAACTTCACTATTCTCGAAAAGCGTCTGGAGAGATCCATGATCCTATATCTTTCAAATCTTTCAGTGTGCACTCACACATAGTGGCTATTGCTACAACTGGGAACGTGTTTCTTGCGGAGAGTATAAAAGGCGGGAAAGATCTTCTGAACGACGTTGCGTTTAAAAAGTAGGTGTCCTGAAATATGTATCTCACCCTCAAGTTCTGAGTTTCTATAACTCAGGCAAGACGTCATTACTTTACAAAACCCACATGGTCTAGCACCCGCCTCCATACCTTCCCAGCCTGCATCGTCATCCACCAAAATCGCGAAAGCCGTCGTAAAACCTAGTACCACACGGGTCGCCGCTGTAAAATCGAAGGAGGCTACGCCATGTGAGTTCATATTTGCTTATGTCTTCTTCATCAAGCTAAAATCGAGGTCCAGGGAATATCTCTCCTTACTCTAGTGGACTTCCTGGGGCTTCCCTTACATCTACGTCTGTCGATCCCAATGTAGCTGGTGGGGCGGCAAGCAAGCTTGTTTGGGATGAGGTTTGTCTATTCTTGGGTACAAACAATCAAAAACTCACTGTGCAACTCAAAGGAAGAGTTGATGTTCGAAGCCATCTCGAATCCACTAAAAGGCAAAGGAAAGGAGAAGGACGTTGGAAAACGTCGAGCGTATGTTCGCGTGGTCACCAGTCTTGGAGGAGGCAGCCTCAATTTGGAGCTGTTTTGCGAAAAAGTGAGCTACCTATAAACCAGGTTTAACATCGAAAATCTGAAATGATCTCATTGCAGGCTCCCAAAACGTGCTACAACTTCTTGATGCTAGCCAGGGAAGGGAAATATGACAACTGCTTATTTCATCGACTGATTGCTGGGTTCATGGTCAGATCGTTTACCTCTTTGGATGATGCCAATACTCAACGTCAATCAGATTCAAACTGGTGATCCAACAGGGACGGGTTCAGGAGGGAAGTCTTATTGGGAAACACCCTTTCGAGACGAATACGATCTCAAAGGTGCTGCTAAACATGACAGTCGAGGGGTACTGGCAATGGCGAACAAGGGTGCAAATACGAATGGGTATATTCTCTCCAAACTTGTCTAACGATTCGTTTTTTGACCTCGTAATCCAGGTCACAGTTCTATATAACGTTCAAGCCTGCGCCTCATCTGGATAAAAAACATACGGTGTTCGGCAAACTCGTAGGGGGAGAGGAAGTTCTCACCGCACTCGAGAACTTGCCGCGAAAGGAGGGAACGGAGAGACCCGCGAAATCTGTAAAGATCACAGAGGTTATAATGTGTGTTTCGTACTCAAGGACTCTTATTCATCCTAACGTGCTTTGCAGATATCAAGATCCCTTTGAAGAGTATAAAACTCGATTAGCTGCAAAGCTAGCCAAACGTGCTGAGGGACCGAAAATTGTGAAGCCAGAAAAGAAGGAAGGGGACAATATCAACTGGTTCGGTGTACGTTGCTTCCTAAACGCATTTTTCTTTGTTAATAAATCAGAGGACAGGTCAAAGTCGGTTCCGAGGCAACTGTGAATGATAAGATCGTAGATGGAGGAGTAGGGAAATATCTCAACCTCAAAAGACCTCAAGATGTTTCAGACATTCCATCTGACGAGCCTTCAAAGAAACGAAAATTAGGCTTTGGGAATTTCGAGGGTTGGTAGTGTTCATATGGTTATTAGTTACATCCATGTAGAAGTGTATGTTAGTTACGAAGAATATGGAGTGGACACAGCTTTATGCGGGTATTGCGACTCTTGCTGAATCCCTTTCCACTTGCTCCTCGGGTGCCACAGGTTTGGCAGCAAGGGGCTCGCTGGTTGGAACTGAGGGTAATTGGACATCGTTCGAAGGTTCTGTTTCTGCCCGCTGCTTCACAAGTGAGAGCGATGAGATGACGGATGTATAAATTGTACAAACCACAGCAGCCTGTAATTCTCGGAGTTCGGCCTGAACTGCGTCTTCCTCGTCTAGACTGAGATTGTTGGCTAACATCTCGTCAATTTCCTGATGAAGACGGTTAAGCAGATTGACACGACTTCAAGGTCATCAGAAACGCACTCGTTGATATTCCCTTGCCTCTGCCGTCTCTTCAAGTAACTTTTCCACAGATTCCAAGTTCATTTCTTTATGAATTTCCTTCAGGACTTCGTTGCCTTGTTTCAGACCATGTAGCACGGAGACTTCGACCAGAGAAAATTCAATGCTGGAGACCTATGAATCCTGGCATGAGACGACAACGCTTAATCAAATGCCACATACCAATTGCTGCAAATTCTCCAACTGCCCATCAGTCTTCAATAATAGTCCTTGCTGGTACTTCCGCCTACGCAATGCTACCAGGGCTCGGTCCTTGTGGCCAGCTTCTAGGTGCTGCTTCGCAATTGCTTCTTCCCGATCTAGTATGGCTTGTAACTGATGAATTCAGCTTGTGGGTCATAGAATATCATATCCGACGGTTTACATTCTTCTGATATTGTTTTACTTTATCTCGTTGCAGCTTCAAACTGGAAATATGAGAAGTTTATTGATTCCGACAAAGAAAATAGCACAAACTCAAGTATTGCCCGATCTTGCGCTGTGATTTTTGGTACTGATTGATTTCCTCCCATTGTGGCACGAAGAGAAGATACACCACGGAGCACCGGCAGACCGGTAGCCGTTCATATGTTCAGCTTTGACTGGCACATTATACAATTGTTATACAGTATGTAAACCGAAATCATTACTTTTAGTGCATACATGTGTGTGTCTATGACTATGAATGAGGGTGAAGCAAAGGGAGCTGCGATGGCATGGTGGGAGGTGTCATTTTCCATGATGGGCCATCGTTACTATCGATGCTGCTATGGGTATATCTAGAAGGAGAGTGTGGTATGGGTGGTGGTGGTCCGAGACCCACAGAGAAGGAGAAATGCCTGGGTGGGGCCCGTTCTACCCGATGAGGTAGAAGCTTAGGTCGTGTCATGGCAAACAAAACGACGTTGAAAACGCCCGATGATGAAAAGGTAATACTTGCAAAGGCAGTGGCCGAAAACGGTACGCTGGAGCCAGCAAAAGCCATAAAGCGGACGACGGTGATAGGAACGATTCCAGCGAGGTATATCAATGGGTAGCTTGAATCCTGTTCGTGAGAGCTAGCATGGAACGGTGAGTGAATTTACATACAAAAGCATGCGCATTGCTATGTCGTTAGCCTGGACTCTGTCTGCACCTGTTAGTTTGTCGATGTTGCTAAGCATCCGAAGGCCATTCTGAAAGCCGTGACCTTTCCAGCCAATGAACCGAAAGCGTCTTCCATCAACAACTAATATGCCTAAGAAAATCAATGTTAGCAATTGGTGCTGTACGAATGAATAGAAATTATAAAGACCTTTGACCACTAAAGCCATTATCCCATAACAGACGAGGTTTATGCAGCCAGCCAGCCATAACCAAAAATATTCAAGAGCGATTCTCTCAAAACCATAATGGCCAGTAATCCAACACCCTAAGATAGATCATGTACACCACATGTTTCAGTATAATTATGGAGGACTCACAATACTCGGTATTTCCATAATAGTCCTTGCCTTTGTGTGTTGCTATACTAAGTCCTACGATGAGAGCGATGAAGATCCATATCAGAATCAGAACAGCGGCCGCCGTCCGGGCAGTAGCATTTCGTCGCAGAACAAGGACACAGAAAGTGTGCAAAGCAATGGCCTAAAGCTAAACTATTGAGTCTTCGCAAATGGAATGGAATGAAAAGCCCTCACCGCAGACCTTAAATCCCGCAGCCGTCATCGATAAATGATAAGCCACAATTAAGTAGAGGTGACAGATATGACCCACGAAAGTGCAACTCCTACGTCTCCCATTTGCTTCAAGATACCTATCAGGTTTGTCTTCTCAGTCCAGAGGATTACTCAACGGCAAAGTCGGCGAACCTTGAGCAGTACACAGTGATCCTTCCGTCACACCCTTCAATGACAGATATTTTAGTTGTAAGATTACCACAACAGTGAAATGTCGATGTCGGAACTCACTGCATCTGCCACCCATTTAACATCGATCATGCCACCTGAGAAAAGAGCCAGAGGCGGGTGTAAGTCAATGCTGTACATGCAGAGCGGCGGTGGAACGTTACCGATAGCTTGTATAAGATCAAAGATCAGCAGGTTCACAAAGTAACAGTGGACATGCGTCGAAACCTTCCATGTACGTGTGGCCCCACGTTTGATCACTACAGCGGAGTACTCGAATAATCAGGTAAAAAAAAGAGAAGTTTTCAAGTCACTGTGAAGTGCACTCACGAAAATATAGACGAGAAGACTAGAAACCAAAAGTGCTGAGCAGCAAGCCGATTGAACCGTGAAAGCCAAGCCCAATCTCGTCCCAAATGAGAATTCACCCTCTTGGTCGGCCATGGAGAAGGAGAGTCGCAGGATGGATATTGAGACACAGTAATGATGGGTGTGGGGAATCAGGTAGGGGCGTGCGAGGGTGTGCGATTACTGTATAGACCGTCTGGTTTTAATTGTCTCCGATCCGCTCAATCCCCTCATATTGGTGGTCCCGGACCTGGTGGTGGCGTTGACAAAATTGCCATACGTAGTTATCTAGAGTTATCGTCTCTTAATCTTTTCGTACCAGGGACGAGAACCAGGAACGGTCCATACATACTTGCAGGCAAAGGAAGAAATGCTCAATCAGTTGAACAGCTGCGTGCCGACGCGAAGCTCAAGGAGTCATGATAAACTTGTATTGGTTGCCTAAATCCTTCGGTCGTGCACGACACTGCAAGGAGGTACCAATTTAGTCTACCAAGATAAGGATCAAAAAATCATCTTGCCTATCACCAATAAGCAAAGTAGTAAACACGTATTTCTGTCGAGCTAACATCAAGTTGACCGGCATGGGGTCACATCTGGTGTAATGCGGCTCGCAAGGAATATCGGCCATTGAGTACGGCAGTGTAGGGCAGTGTCCTCTGATGTCCGGTTCTCAAGTCGAAGTGATTCCATCTCTCGATGCCTTTTGAGGTTACATATGTACTATGCAAGCACTGCACCAAAACCCTCTCGAAGAAGAATCCAACCAGAAGTTCCTAAATATTCAGTCTTTGCAGATGGCTACATACCTGCGGAAAATTCAAGAACTGAGCCGCAACGAACCCAATCAAGCAAAGCGTTCATAACTATTTTGCGCTGGTTGTATGATGAGCGGTATAATGAGAGCTTGCAATGATTCTCCGCCGAATAAACTGAAGCTCCGGATCGCATGGGCCGGACTCGGAATCAGTGCAGCTATTTGGCTCACTCTTCTAACGTTCATTGCACGCTGATGCAAATGCGCTTGACCAGGATTAAAGCTGCTCATGGCTCTTAGACTCTTACAGCGCTCTCCAAAATATGCCTTTCTGAATAGTCTGAATAGGCACTTCTCCGATTACATCCGGTATTCAACTCCAAGTACTGCCACCCTGCTCTTCTATTCATGTTATTGACAAACGCGGACTATAGGTGGTGTCATACGGCTTCCCCTTGCTTCACCAAAAGTTATAGGTACCGCGACATCTCGCGGTAATCGGAGGTCAGTCATTCTTCTTCCCGTCATCATCGTGCCAACCCTCTACCCTCATATCTTCTAGTCACCAGGAAGATTTTTACGCGTTTGCCGCGTTATCTCTGGACCCGGAAGAGCTGCAGGTTAGCCTCAAAAAGAGTCTTAATATAGAATGGGATCCCAATCTAGTGGGAGATGTATTCTCTAAACAAGCTGTATTTGTTGGAATATACGATGGGTGTGTCATTGCATTACCTGGATATCTAAACTCTCGTTTTGCTCAATGTACTATCACAGACATGGGGGACCGGCGGTTTCGGGCTATCTTCACCAGGAACTTCATGGCCTGTTTGAATCCGTTCACCCCTCGATGATTCCTGAGCTCTTTGCGTGGATCAAGGAGTTGGGGGGTTATTTTAAGCGTTACAAAGGCGGCCCTTTAAGTCCCTGGATCATTGAACAAAACCATTCTGTCCCCAAATTCAATCTGGAAGCTCGCGCGGCCGCAGCTTTCTTCGAAGTTAGTAATTTGGGAGATTACGTGTCTTGCGGAGACTGATGCTCCCCCAATAGGTGGACAGGCAACTCTCGACTGATAACATGTCGCAGACCTGTGGGGCAACTGCCTCAGTCGCGATTCTGCAATCTCTGGATGCCCCCGCTACTCCATTCTTTTCAGCAAATCGTCTCGCATTGACTGTTGCTCATTGCGGGTGAGAATCATTCCACTTCCAAGTTGCACTGATTTCAGAACTTATCTCTTGTAGTGACACGCGTGTCCTGCTTTGTTCCACAGACGGGGGTAGAGTCTTTCCTATGACTGAAAACCATCACGCAGATGCTCGTGGAGAGTCAATCCGTTTACGAAGAATGATGGGTTCATCACTCATCACTGACTCTTACGGTGAATCAAGGTATGATGGGATGTTGCATCATTTTCTATGATTCTTAATTATTTTAGGTGGATGGGCGCTCTTGATAACACCCGCGGGTACGTGCAAGTTCTTACTCGGTCACAAATATTATCTGATAATTGTGTGTCAGTCTTGGGGACTTGCGCTTCAAAAAGTTTGGCGTCACTGCAGAACCCGAAGTCAGGACGAAGCTTTTGGAAGGTAATGAGTATGAACCATTCCTAATGATAACGACAGTTGATACTTTAATTGCAGGTGGAGAGTGGGCATATGTAGTTTTAGTATCAGATGGTGTCTCCTCCTCACTCTCCGATGATGAGATAGTTGATCTTGCAAGAGATGCCCCAGATCCAAAAGCAGCTGCAGACCGGATCTTGTCTTTTGTGCAGGAACTTGGGGGCGAAGATAATCGCACTGCAATCGTATTACCTCTATCTGGTTGGGGAAAAATACGAGGCCCCGACAAAACAAAAGAGCTGAGGGAATACAGACGGAGACAAGCAGGTTAGTCATCCGAATTGAATTCGCCTTCATCTTTCTAAAAGGAAATCAAAGAGGGAAGCGAAAGGCAGCGACGGATGTGATTTGAAGTATATAGTAGATTGGACGTTTCCTAATTTCCCCATAATCAGCAGAGTGTAACCGGTAAGTATACATATTGTTAAATTAGTGATGTCTGGGTCACTGGAATTCGTCCTTAAATTTGAGCTGCAGCGTGCCCGTCAGCGCGAGGGTCAGATCCAGCCGCCCAAACTGTAGCGCCAGACGCATCGTCTATCTTCTGTATGACTTGACCTCGGCCCATCATACTCCGACTAAAACCTGTGGCTACACGAGCATCATGACCCATTTCTACAAACAGTCCATGAGAGTGTATTATTTTTCCGAAAGAGGCTACTCACCCCGTAATTTGGCGATTGTTTCTTCCGAAATTCCTTCTTCAAAGTACACTTCGCTGTTTACGTCCCCAGGTGTACCCGTGGAACTACTCTGTGTTTCAGGACTGCCCGCAGATATACAGAAACGAGGAGCGTCAAGAGCAGCTTGGGGTGTAAATCCGCGTAATATGTTCAATAAAACTTGAACATGCCCTTGTGGCTAGTGAGATATTCGAATGAGTAGGAACTAGAGACTTTTTAACTCTGGTTATACCTGCATAAAGCCGCCCATTACACCGTAACTGAGAAATAATTCATCGTTCTTCGTCACCATACAGGGTATGATGGTATGATCTACAGGTGGGGATTCAGAATCGTCATTACGAGAGGAAAATTGTGTTTACAAGGTCGTTTTCCACCCTGACACGGACAGTATAAGTAAGTTTGAGAGGTATGATACTCTGATTCATACCTTCAACATGTTAGGATGACCTTCTTGTAGAACGAAACCGCTCCCTCGGTTTTGTAGGGTGAATCCACAACCTTTGGGTACAGCTTTGAAATTCATCAGTCGTGCTGAGCCACTGTCGTTCGTTATTTCAATAAACTGTACTACCTCCAGTCCCAAATCCTGTTTGCGATTAATGGATATTTGAATGTCGAGGGGTCTCGGTCCAAAATGCTTACCAGCGTAATTGCTCTGTATATAACTACAAGCATTGCCCCATTGATCCGTTACTGGTGTTCGGCAAGATTAGAGGGCTGTTGAACGAATCATATAGGAGACTACACACCAGAAAAGTAAACCGTGTCGGAAGAGTTAACAGGGTTTCCCTAGTAGGTGTCAATGATTCAATGGTCAACTAGAGACACAATGCGCAAGAGGATGTACATGCACGACGTGGGGATTTGTCCTGAGCGGGTCAATAAGCTTGGCCCTATTCGCTAAATATTCCTGCAAGCAATCATCTCTGACATCTGTTAGCCACATAGCCAAAATTCCCTTACCCTGTTTAGGAGCTCCTCCACTGGAACATGTACAACGTCTGGGTCTGTCACATAGTATTGACTATCTGTTTCTTGCTTAGAGAATGTCCTGTGTGCAATCTGCATCAAGCATCAAGTGCGTACCAGAGAAAGCTAATCTAGAAGAAAGAGTTGTTGCAGATCATATGTATCCGAAATGAACGATATGTACCTCATGGCTTCGACAAGGGCGTGGAGATACTCTGCAGAATTATGTTCCATATCCAATAACGGTCTGACAATTCTTTGTTCTTGTAAACTTTCAAGAATCCCAAGAGCAATGAGCGCGGTAATTCCTGTTTTATGTCAAGGAAATATCGGTACATGACTTTGAACGACCGAACCTTGTCCATTTGGAGGGCACTTAATACGAAAAGATTAAAATAATCAGCGGGCGTTCGAGATAGAGCCTTGCCTCATAGATCTTCAGCTCACTAGCATAAGTGTAGTGTATTGGTTCAACGATGGATGTTTCGTGTTTTGCTAGATCTTCCAGCTCCATAACGCCGCCCTTACTTTGAATGAGGTCGACGATCGCTTCTGCAACACGCCCTTTGTAAAAGCCATCCTTTCCATTTTCGGCGACTTCGCGAAAAGTTCGTGCCAGATTTGGAAGTTTTACGATTTGACCAGGAAGGGGGGCTTTACCGTTCAGCAGCATTTCATCACCATTTGGCGAGGCGTTCTTGATAAGTTCCTGGGCGATCATTGTCGTATCTCACTCAAAGCATGCGCAGGTATTACAAAAACTTACTTCGGAACGTTGCCACTGATTGCGCGATATCGTTCAGCGAGAAGATATTGCAACAAGAGCAAAGACAGGACCCCTGTTTATGGTAGGGGACGTTGGTTCCAGATTCGGTCAAAAATCGACCTGATTTGGCATGTATGTTGGTAAAATTTTCGGTCAAGAATGAATGATTCGGGCTGGAGCCTTGGCACAAATTTCGGTCAAAATTAGTCAGGTTTGGACCACTTGTGCAGTGTGAATGTATGAATTCTGGCCTATTCTGGCATACATACTGTGATAGATCCAGAGTCCTTGGTTCAAAATTTAGAACTGAGCTCAGAAAACCATTTCCACTGCATTTCGTGAATTTCGAGACATCACTAAGCGTGGGCGCCAAAATATGTCTGGATCTAAAATTCGGTCAAATTTGGGGTCCGTCATGAGGTCAGTTGCAAAATTCGGTCAAAATTGGAGGATTTCACGAAAAAAACTTTCGGTCAAAATCAAGCTCATTTGGAAGGCCAAGGAACTAACCTCCCCTACCATAAACAGGGGTCCTGCAAAGACCTACTGAAAAGCTATGAATTTCAGAAACTGGAACCCTGACGTGGGAAGATACTTCAATGACTGGACTCGCTAATCATTGAGCGACAATGTTTGCCTACCCTTCCTCAGCCAGTCTGATGGCGGGAGCTAAGACATCGGCGACGGATAGAGATCCACTTCCAAAGTGTTTGACTGTATCGACCCAGGCAGCAGCCGCCCCTGTACCCAATATCCAACGTCAACGATTAATTTCTGCATGCCATGGGTAAGGTCACCTGGTACAGTGACAGCGTTCAAATCGCTGGTGGGAATAGAACGGCCTGCGAGGCCGCGCGATCGAGCATATTCCAGCGTCAATTTCACAGGTGAATGTCCTGATCCATTCAACGCTTTGACTTGCTTAGTTTTCGCATCAAAGAACAAACAAAATGCGTCTCTGGAGATCAATGTGGATATTTGAACAGGACAAAGATAAAATAAATTTACCCTCCAATGCCACAACAACTAGGCTCAGTCACATTCAAGGCAGCAGAGGTAGCAACCGCGGCATCAGCTGTACGCAAGCTTTAGAAATGGCAAGATGCACCTTTACAAGCACATCGTACGTACCTGCGTTGCCGCCTTTTCGGAGGATTTCCAGTCCAGCCTCAGTCGCCAATGATTGTGACGAGGAGACGACACCTTTAGTACCATAAACCACTGACCGGCGCGAGGGAAATCTTTGTAGAACTAGCTTTGGAGAATCAATTTTGGACCAGTCGATTGCTACAGGAGAAGACATCTGGGAAGCAAGTATGGTGTGAAAGCCCTATTATCATCAGCATACATATGCTTTTATACTCTTCATGGTATCGGAGGTCCGCATTTTTGTACTTGAAATTCGTGTGATATGGAAGCCAGAAGCCAATAATGCGGCGGGCCGTGGCGGCCGGTTGCCGCCTATCATGATGTCCTCTTTACAGTCACTACGCGAAAAACTCCAAGCTGCTTCAGTTGATTTTCAGAAGGTTCAGGTAGACCTCAGCAATGTTGTAGAAGCTAGGCAAAGGTTAGACGCCCAGTTGTCCGAAAATGAACTCGTGAAAAAGGTGCGTTTTGTTTCTTGCCAAATCTACCATCTCTGATGACCTTGAACTAGGAATTCGCTGTGTTAACGCCTGAAAACATCATATACAAGCAGATTGGACCTGTTCTTGTAAAACAGGATCAGGCAGATGCGAAAAGCACGGTCGATACTCGATTGGACTTCATCCGGGGGGAAATGTATGTTCTCTGATACCTGGTATCTAGTGGACCATTCATTGTTACCAGTAAACGTATAGAGACGCAACTGAAAGATATCGAAGCAAAATCGGAACAGAAAAAATCGGAGGTTCGCTATCATATTTTCCCCTAGCATTGCAAGTTGTTCATGGGTTTATAATGATGCCAGATTGTCGAAATTCAAACAGCAATCCAACAGCAGAGCCAGCCTTCTGCATAAAGTACTGCCCCATCCCGTGCGTCTCTACTGGCATTATACAGAATCATAGTTGCTCGGATAATAAAGCACGTAGTGCGTCAGTCGGTAACACATTGGTAGTGGAGGTTGTTTTTGCTTGCTCGATTGCCCTCCGAGCACGCATTTTAGCCCGTTCGGTTTCAGGACTGCTGATAACTGTTTCCAATTTGAAGCGCTTTCTCGCAGAAACAGGCGGACAATTCCGAATGATTACTATGTCGTCTTTTTGTAGTTCTGGTTCTAATTTTAGTGCGAGTGTCCGTCTTGAATGCGACAGCAAAGCGTACGATTTTCGGGGTCATGCGTCAAATACTTCTTGGTCCGCTCTATACGCTACACGAAAGATGAGAAACAATACCAAAAGAAATCCAGGGCACTCACTTTGCGAGTAGTCTTATGAGCCACCATGCGTGTCACTGTTACCGTGGCTGTTTTATTCATAAACCCCACTTTTGTAACTAATCCCCTGAAAGCCATTGGTGGCATTTTGAGCCAAACACGATTTCCGTCGAGTTGTGTATGAAAGAGTCAACTCCCTGAAGAGAGTGTAGAGGTAGAGGAAGGACGAACGGAACCTGAGCGGAACAATCCCACGATTGATGGGTCCGGGCTCGTGCGACGCCGTCAGGCCAGGAAATTGTCTGCTTCTTTATTGTACCAAGAATAAAAATAACTTAAAACAAAATTGAAGCTCAACCCTCCCGCCTACGAGACCATGAAGCATACATGTAATAAAATTCGAGTATCGATGTATATTTTTTGACATGAGATATGAGATATGGTTTCCGAGACGTCGTTTCATAACGTCTAAACGTTCACATCTATCTATCTGTCTATGCGAGTGAAATGATAAGTTCGTTGGGTTTGCTGGAAGGTTATTTGGCCACCGCATGCTTTGATTTCTCTCGCAGTTTTGCTCCGAACCTGAGATGAAAGTAAATTGACAGTGCTTGATGTTATGAAAACACATACGGACTTGAGGAAAATGAATGGAATCGGTACCATAGCTAATGAAACAAACCCCAACAGTGAAGATGCCCATTGCGGGCCAAGTTTGACATACATCTGGTTGGCAAAAAGCTGGTCGAAGGCACAGGTTACATCCCAGCCGAAGATGAAATTTAATCATACCGGAAACTAAACATACCGGAAATCCTGCACCAAATAGACTACGAGCAACTGTATTGGCAGCCAGAGCAGAGGCTGCTGTCATCAGATAGGTATCAATAATATAGTTGAACAAGCTCAGCTAGTAAGGTCGTTAGAGTGGGGGTATGCAATCTTCAACTAGTAATTGGGCTTACAAAGATCCAACTGATACCAAAACCCATAGCACCTCCGGCTATTAAGGGTGCCCAGAAGGATATGGACGGAGAAGAAGTCCATGCAAACCAAAAGAAGGACGCTGCATAAATCGGCGCTGCAATAAGAGCCATCTCAATTCGGAATTCTGGAACTACCGGATCGGGTGAACATCTTCGAACTTCTCGTTCATATCGAGGGCTGAAAGTGAGGAGATACTACCAGAACGAGCCTTTAAGTTGACCAAATGAATAGAGGAAAAGCAGCTTACTATTATTACCGCCATGACCCCTCCTAGCATCAAAGGTAGGTACATCAAACCCGATATACCAGCATTGAAACCATGGCCTTCCGTGAAGACGATAGGAAAGGCCTCGAACAGAAGGTAGAGGCATCCATATACAAACTGTAAACGCATCAGATAGCATCAGATGAAGTACACTTCGTTCTTATACGACATAGATGTATGTTGTTATGAAGTCATAGCGACTTACACTCATGTATGCTGTAGCTGCCAGAAGCATGGGTTCCTGGAAGAGCATTTGGAAAGGACGAGCAAGGACGTTCTCTATTTGCTGACCGAGAGTTTTTTCGGTGACTTCCATCGGCGCATAACACCTGGTATTCCCTTCTTGACGCATATGGCGAGCCTTTTGCAGCAACAAGATAGGAGCGTAAGTTTCAGGCAGTGTGAACACAATTAATATCCAGCAGACACCGGCCTTCTCAATTGATGGACGTTAGTTGTGCGTGTTGAACCCAACAGCATAAACGCACAAAAATTGTTAAGATCCAGAAGAGCCATCTCCATGATGTTCCGGAAACATATATAAAGCCCGCTACAGTGGGTCCCAAAGCAGGGCCCACGAACTGAGATGAAGGCATAGAATGGTTAGAGCTCAGGGAACTTGAACATACATATATATTTACCGGTGCTACTGTGAATATTGCGAGTGCGTTTCCGCGAGTTCTTGCATCCCAGATGTCTGATATCAATGCGCTAGCGAAGATTCAGTAAACAAGAGTCAATCGCTAGGTCGAAATTTTACTTACCCTGAATTAGTAAGGGGTGAGGCTGCAAACACCCCGCCCAGAAAGCGGAACACCAACAAGGAAGCAGTGTTTTTCGAGAGCGCCATACCAATTTGGAACATCTAAAATAATTTTTGAGATTATTTACAAGCTTGAACGCACATGTTGTAAATACCGTGTAGACAAAAAATGAGAAAATGAAGACAGGACGTCGACCGAGCTCTGAGAGAAATCACTATGAGTGACCCTAGCCCGATAGTGGGTTAATAGGAGAGCACAAGTCACCCTCTGAGAGCGGTCCCCACAGGAGAGGACTGTATGGAGAGAAGATAAATATTTGAGATCGACAAATTTTAGGATTGAGGAGGATTCAGCTCACCCTACGCAGTATCCAGCCACGAAAAGTGAGATAGTCAGGGTAACCACCTCCTCAGATAATCCAAATTCTTCTACCAATGCGTCGGCTATTCCAGAGGCTACAGAGAACCATTATGAGTTTCCGAGGGAGGATTATGTCGATGACACTAACGTGCAGAACTCGAGAATGTGGCATTCAATACAAGCATTCCTGCAAGAAATGTGAGATACCAGCGTCTTGCATCGGACCAATTCTATGTGGTATAAGCTGAACTGGAGCAAATCATCAAAAAAAACTATCGATTCACCTGTGGGTTCTTAGGGTCGTCGATGTCAAAAGTAACAAGATACTTGTCCTCATCCACTGTCACGTTCCCTTCCTTCTTCCATTCCAGTTGAGACGTGTTATCAGAATTTACAATCATATTGTGACTCTGAACCTGATGATGTGCACGAGTGTCCGACCAAGAACTAGAACGAGCGGACATGGTGAGCAAGGTTTTGTGGAGACCGAACCATGATGGTCTCGTACTAATAGTAAGAAGTTTACTGATATACTAATAACTTATTACTGCTAGTACTAATACTAACTCCCTTATTCTCCGCGACTGAACGTTCTCGATTCCTGCTGGTAATGACTGATGACATGTGGAAACCGCGGATAACATGTCACTCCACTCAGTGGGCCTTCCAGGATCCAGGCATTCGACATTGGACAACGAAAGTTTCGTTGTGAAGATGATGCGGCAAGGAATGGGCTAAGTGTATGCCCCGTTGCAAAAACGTCGTCGGGTGAGAGCGGATACATATATAGGACAGAGGTAGGAGTCCTTTGTGCGACCTCGAAGCTTGAAGGACAGTTGCGGAAAATTGACAAGGATCAAATGACAAGAGCACTTGTCGGACCGACCCATCCGTCGGAGTCCGCATCAGGTGATCGCAGACGATTGATCATGGTGATGAAGTGAGCAAAATTCCTTTTCTTCATACAGTCACGGTAACAGCACAGGAGGTTAGTTCGACTCTGCCTTTGATCTCTAGCACTAGCTTGCACCTCTTCAGACAATGGATTTTACGGAACTATACAAACACTCGGGATCTTTGGTTTCGTTTAGCCCCGGCGCGCATTTTGTGTTGAATGCTGTTCACGATAGAGTTATCATTCGAAAGACAGACTCTTTTCAGATCTCAAGAACCTGGGTTATCGATCCAACTCCTTCTGAATCCGCTACATTGCTGAACAAACAAGCTTCAAAAGCCGTCCGATCTTCGACAGATTCCAGAAATAATTCCATTTCTCACGCTGCTTGGTCTTCAGATTCTGAGTATGTACTCGCTGCAAGTGTCAAGGGTGGTTTCGTGCAAGTCTTTAAGCTTAGAGATGAAGGATGGACTGCCCGCATAGATTGCGGAGTTGAGGGTACCCTGATGTCTTCCATATATGACGCTGGTGCTCATCAACTCATCCAGGACTTGTGAAGGCAGTTTGGGCTCCTGATGCCAGGACTATTCTATGCTTCTCTGACTGGGGCGTTGGTGGAAATTCTCATGTCTTAATATATCTTCCTGAATGAATTTCCGTAGTTGAGAGTTACAATGTGGTCTTTAGTGACCGGGACAGCTTCCTACATTCAGTTCCCTATCTTTCTTGATAAAGGTATCCACTTGAATCATTCCTCGCAATTATTTTTCATGAGCTTTCCAAACAGGTTTTGATTTCCATGCCGATGGTCGTTATTTCGTCTTGGCAGAGCGACACAAGTCCAAAGATATGTTGGGACTATACGATGCTTCGGAATCATACAAACTTGTCCGAGTAAGTCGTTGTATTATATCGTCTGCTGTGTTGTAAATCTGAGTCCCTAGGCAGCGTTTCCCATCACAAACGTCCTCTTTGGCATCTCTCGCTTTGTCTCCGACTGGAAATCATATTGCTGTCTGGGAAGGACCATTGGAGGTGACCGATCTTGCTACCATTACGCTGGGAACTTGTCATTAAAATCCCATCTGTAGTACAAGCTTCACATAATGACACTAGCAGGCAACCTTCTGGCGAGCTTTTCTCCCGACCCAGAACCTGTGTTAGGTATTCGTGAAGTTGCCTGGCATCCAAGTGGCATGTTTTTGGCAGTAGCAGGATGGGACGATAAAGTGATCCACCATTTACTTGCTCTTTACGAATCATGCTGAATTGAGGGCTCGAGGTTCATATCATAGATAGTCTCAGCTGGTCTCCAGTCACTACTTTCGAGCTTTCAAGCCGAATTTCCTCAGAAGTGGTCAGTGTTTGTGCTATCTTTTCTTCAACCATGGAGTATCTAAAGCAATCTCACCGCAGGCTATCTGGCGGGAACCTTCAAAGTGGTTGGAAGCGACTGAGGGCAGAGGCTTTCTATCGTGTACGTTGAACCAAAGTTGTAATATTTACAGCGATCCCGATTCTCATGATGCGCATGGCTGATTATTCAGACGAGAAGCTCCGAGGCCCGCAAACTATAACCCTGAACAAAATAGATCACACCAAGGCGAATCCAAAAAGTGGTGCTATCCAATTAGAATGGAATCAGACTGGGAGTCTCCTTCTGGTTCGATATGGTATATATTCTTGCAGGTCCTAATTTGAGTCAAAATACTCAATCTGATATCTAGAAACCACTCCGACTGCTGCTCACCTATATCTCTTTCCTTCTCCCAATGAAGCATTTGTGCCACGACTTCGATCTGTCCTTTTGCACTCTAAAACAATACTACAAGCACATTGGAACCCCGTTCGCAAAGGCTCATTAGCATTATGCTGCGGCAACAGAAGTATCTACACTTGGAGTGATGAGTGGGAAGGTGAGTCAGGGGAACAAGAAGAAATGGCGGAGTGTATTGGGGTTCCCGCAAGTAAGTCGTAGAATCACGTTCAAATACTATCAGTTGCAGATGATTTGTCTATGCGTAGAGGAATTCGATACTCGCAACATGTCTTGGTCTAGAGATGGGAAAGGGTTAATACTTTTGGATAAGGAAACTTTCTGTTGTGCATTTGAAGTAGAAGAAGTTACAACGTTAACCTGAATTTCGTGTTCTTGGGTAGGTAGTACGTATCTGGATTGATTGTCTATACATACATGGTAATATTCAGTCCTGTACCGGTCAAAACTTCCAAGTATTGACCAGTTCCAGATATACAATATGATGTATGTAGTTTGAATACTGTACCAACAACAGGAAACTTATTATGTGATACACACTACAAACAGGATCAAAGATACAGAGAAATGGCGCAGAGTGAAGTAAAAGATGTAACACGAACGAAGGGCATAAAGATCATAGAATCAAAGGCAACTTGAACAAGTAGCTCGTACAAAAAGAAAAATAGTCGATGTAGTAACGTGAATTATTCGCGGTAGTGTAAGATTGATTGTAAGCTCTCTAAGATAAAGACGTTAGACAAAGAATGTGAGGTTTCCGAGAGGGGCGATATGGAAATGAGAGTAAGATGAAAAGGATACGGTCAAGGGGTCAAAATCCATCTGTCTATTTGATTCACGATGGTCTCCGGATGACTGATGGTCAGATCGTGACCGCCGCCATCGATGGTAACGATTTCAGATTGACAACCTTGAGACAAGGCAGTTTGAATCATAGATGCGTATTTGTACGGAACCGTATTATCGTTTGTACCCTGAACTACATCTGAGCAGGTGAAGCGGCGTATAGTGGTTTCGACACATACATGGATGATAAGCAGTTTGCGTGCGTCCCAGACACTGCTCGAAAAACTCCGATATTCGCCTCGAACAGGACCGTCTCGCAAGGACGACGAAATTGCTGCGTTAAAACCTGGTAAATGAGCTGATTGAAGTCGTACGATCTGGAACGAAGAAAATCAGAATTGTCTAGGGATAAATAGGTAAGTAGTACTTCTTGTAATGGATCTACTGGTGCCGTATCATTTGAGGAATCTGTCAGATGTTGCAAGAATTTCTGCGACACACACACCGATGATAAGATAAAGAACAACATTTGGGCTCAAATACTTGCCTGAGCAACGAGGCTAGAAGTCAAGGTTTGAACAAGAGGCAGAGACATTATTTTTGTAGTCCGTGACATATCTGAGGTCTGAGGGCAGGAAGATTACTAAGGTTGACCTTCTGCCCATTCTGAATGCTCACGAGGACGAGACCCGCGGACGAAATAATGATCACCCGGTCCTCCACAAGGTCAGGAAAGGAAGCCGTGAAAGCAGCAGCCAGCCCGCCTCCCTGATGACATAAGAAGACTGAGACAAGAGATATGCGACAGCTAGAAGAGGTACGTACCATAGAAACACCTACAAGAACGGCCTTATCCCACTTGACGTGTTGCATCAACAGTGCGAGTTGAGTGATGTATAAATTGCTGTTATATTTAGTTTGAGGTCCATCTGAGTACCCGCGACCATACAAGTCTGGAGATAAATAAGTATCGTATTCTTAGATAACGACGACTCGAATACCCACCATATAATAGAACGCGATAGCCTCGTGCTACCAGATTAGGCGCTACATCCTTCCATATCATTGCAGGAACAGATAGCCCATGGATAAGAACAATCTGGCGTTGAATTAGCTTGTCGTGCGAGGCGCCACTCTCGAACATAGTATATCCACCTTCTTTCCATCATGAGGCCCCATCAAAAAGTATCTCGTCTGACCAAATACATTATTAGCGCCCTTCTCTTGCAGCAATTGAGCTGGAATGTACCTTCCCATACGGAAAAGACGCGTATGCGCCTCCTTGATAAAAGTCCTCCGGATATAGTTTCCAACTTTTGCATGATAGAGGTAACGATGACAACCCAGGATATAGATACACGGTTTCTGGAGGATTGGGAAAAGCAGCCAGGAAGTAGATAGTGAGAAGCAGGATGGGAAGAAGCAAGAGAGAATAGGTAAGACATTGGAATGGGGTTCCTAGAGCGACCATCTTCCGCATGTCGTGGCTGCTGGCGAAGAGGTTTTGTCTCGAGCGCTGATCAACCGGGATCGCATTTGTCATTGATCCGCCTTCTATCCGATTCCGAACCGCCTTCCGCGTTCGACCCGGATACGCCGCAGAGTACAACACAGCTACACACATTTTACTCGATATAAGTCGGTAGAGACCGCCATAGGAACTCTCATCACAGGATATCATTTAAGATTTGAATGCATGTACAGTACAAATAAATACGAGTAAATTATGCGAGAAATGGGTGGACTCGAGATGGAGATAATGTTGAAGTTGGTGAATACTCGTAACACCAAGATGCACCAAGAGTTTGAAAACCCTTCGAACCCTCCCGTTACTGCCTTTGTAAATGATCAATAAGATCTATTGCTTTGCTGTTTCATCCTTGATGAAACGGGCCAACTTGAATGCTTCAGCCTCTGCAGCCCGCGCGGCTCGTGCAAACCGATCAGTTTCCTAAGTGAAAAGAAAAGGATGAATTTACGATGTGAACAAAATTCTGGTCAGCTTACCTTGTAGTAACTCGGTGGAAACGGTACAGAGATACCTTTATCGCTTTTTTTCTCAGACCTTACTGATATTGTTGGGAAACGTCTCGGCACCAATAGCGAGAACGGGGATCCTGAGTCTTTTTCGGGTACTGCAAAACAAGGTGATGTGGGCGACAGTGGTCGTGGGTTGGATGGGAGTGTCTGCAACATCGACAAAGAAGGACTCGAAAATGACAAAAGAGGGCGAGGGAGAAGAAAAGGGGTGGTACTTGGCGCCAAATTAGAACCTGCGCCTGTATTAGGATATAACTCGCAATACTTCTTGCCGTACAACGACACCGAGAAAGGAAAATGAGCTATCCAGTCAGTGTTTGGGAGTAAAGGAATTGGGACCACACTATGTTCACGTTCTTCAAGGAAAAACCTGAGGAATGAAATAACTCTATCGTCGCTGACTACGACTACTAGAGGGCTTTTCATGGGGCTTCCAGTAATACGAAAGCCATGTGCATGATGGGAGTGAATTGTGCGCAAATCTTCAGTGCTAGCTATGTTGATATGGGTATTGATCAAGAATTTACGTTTCACAGGTATGTTTCTGGGTGAACACACCAATATCATTGAGGATCGAAATATTGTTGCCACCGGTTATATCGTCCTCTACCAACTCACTGCCTTCGCCCATACTATTATCCACTTGCGAGGCCCAGAGAAACTCACAATTGTCATATATCTGTTTGACATCTTTTGTATCGACCTAAGCACAGATTAAACCATGAATTGTTGTCGGGAGAAGAGATACGTACGAAGCAGGGAAGCATATGTCCGAGCTCCTTACAGCAGACAATTAAGCCCTGCGCGAGAATGTGGCAACGCTCTTGCCAAGAGGTGCATTTCCTCAACATGATGTCGAGGATGGGTGAGAAGAGAATGCTGGGTTCCTTAGAGTGGTCCAATTGCTTGGCAAATTTCTGTCCATTATGAATGAATGGTTCCATTGTGAGAGATATCGAAAGTGGTTGGGCCCGTAGACTCTGCGCAGCTTCAATGACTTTCTCCTCAAATTCCCTGAGTGCATCTTCATCAAAGAACCCTGATGTGTAATTGCTGATCGCCGGTATATAAATTGCTCGCAAGTTCGTGTAAACGGAACATGGCGATACCAAGCTACGAAGAACGCAATCCATTAGGGATGGATAGACCGAGTGGACAGTCCGGAAGTCCGTATCGTGCCCGTTCATGTAAAATGTCATTGTTGTAGTTCGGATATCCCAGAGTGTTGTATATTCGGATGGAAGATCGAGGTCAAATGGCGAGGCGAGCAAGTCGGCGATGGATTCAAATGTAGGCATGGTGGTTCGGAAATGAAGAAACAATAGGGGTTCAAGAGGTTCGGCGCAGTAAAATGATGACGTCAATTGCCATATCCCCAGGCCGACAGAGTAGAATTCGACAGCAGTTATCTCGTAGTGTACATACGTCTAATTAGGACCTATGAACTGGTAAAGTATCCTTCTGACCAGTCCTGAAAGATGTTGGGGATCATTCTGGTAAGTGCTCTACATCCAACAAGTGAGTACAATCCATTAAATAAGCAAAATCGCACGAACCATAACCATGGCCATCCCAATTGCTGTCAAGAGACTTTCCCCGCCTTTCCATCGCTTCAACCCCACCTTACCAGTGGCAACGATCCAAAGGCTTTCCAATCCTTTGGGCAATACATACATTGCCAGCTCTGGCCTCCTACGCTTCTCTTCTACGAACAAGGCTAGTCCAGAAAAAAGCCCGGGAACAAAAAAGGAATATTTAGAAATGAGGAGGTCGATAACGGACTTGGGCATCTTCTGGACAAGGGGGTAAAGAGGAGAGGAGGGTGATAAAGTGGAAAGGTATTCGTGTGATTGATTCTTGAAGCAGTTTATAGCTAGAGTAATGTTATCTCAGACAAACTCAAAATCGAATACTGAAGACCTACATTGATAGATGATAACGAATATTCCAAGAAAAGCACTGCTTCTGCCAGTTCCTATAGCTGCTTTCATTAAGACTTTCCACGGATTCTGCATGAACGTGGACCGTTTGAATAGCACCGCAGGTACAAAATGTAACGCGCCGTAAATTGGCAGCATCCATCGCGCGACTTCAAAGAATCTTGTAGTGGGTACCGACCAGCAGGAGCTCTGAGCAGGATGAATAGCAGAGCAAGTAGCATAATGCGGAAAATATGGGACTGGGTCGCCTGGTGATAGTGTCTGCAATTTTAGGAATGTATCTTTTAGGTTTAGAAGCAACGCTTTGTTTGAAGGGGTTGTTTCCTGAAAAGAGCTTGGTGAATATGGGTTCGGAAACACAATGTAAACCTTACTGATCGTGCAATGATGGAATCTACATCATTGAAATTCACTGTATGATTTCGAACCATGTCGTAGTTCATACGCAAACATGCATGAGGCACTTTCGCAGCGGAGGCCACCCTGTGATAGCTATGAGGACCATTCAGAACAAAGTACTGAAATGGATATACCAATTAGTGTACGATCGAGGTAGAGAATCTGGTCTCAAAAGGAATCCATACAATATTTGTCCGCAACTAAAGAAATGAGTCTCATGAGTTGAGTAATAGGTAATAGGCTCACACAAGTGAGAATACAAGAACATCTCCATGTGGTACATGAAAATTGTACTTGCTAGAATACAAGTTATACGATCCTTGAAGGCCTCTATGAAGAAAGTAAGTGACAGTTTTCTGGGACCATGAAATTCACTTGCCGCACAAATAATTGTTGCGCTATGGTCACTCGTCTACCTCTGGTTTCCCAAAGAACCTACGGAGCGGATGAGAGTGTGTACATAATGAAGAAGGACCAATCAATCCTAACCCCTAATCCACCCGCGACTGCACCTGCGAGCGCCGAATGCCACCGTCTCGTCTTTTTACGTATCAGGATTCTCTGGGCTTGAGTCGATAGAGAGAATCGTTCCATTCGTCGTCGTTGTGTTGACATGATTGGCGTCTTAGTGTCATCTGGGGATGGAGGGACGGTGATATCGAAGACAGTGGTTGGGAGTGTTTGCGTCTCATCATCATCGTCAAAAGCAGAGGGATACTCATCCGAGGGCGCACGAATAGAGGGGATTAAGAACGGGAGTGCATTTAATAGAAATTTGTAAATGGAAACGAAGGAACCTGGAATGATGGGGTTGAATATACGGCCCAAACATTATAGCGCTTGCGTACCAAGCATCGCTGCAAATCTCCAGGTATCCAAACCAAAGATGGCACGTTGTATGAGTGATACCCAATGTTTCCTATGATGATCATTAGACCTGGGCAGCTGTTTCAAGATGAGGAAACTGACTTGGGCACTGATGGTAGTCTGATCAATGCCAGGACGATATTGAAGCCGGCTCTCACATTGAAAGCCAAGCCTGCGGCTCCTGAAGATGATTATTTGAACAGACAATTCTACCAAAATATGCAAGCCGCAACGTACGAAAACCGCCTTTGAGTGCCCACTTTAAACAATCTTCTACGTCAGCCAGTTCGACCACCGGTTCACCACGGTCCCTCCAAACGATCTTTCTAGCCTCTTTGAGAGTTTCTTTTCTGTTTGCGATAACATATTTCAAGCGCTCCTGAGCATCGGCAAGCGTGACTAGATTTTCATAACTAAGTATTGCTCTGCGAATACTGGCGTTTGAATTCGGATTGAACTCAGATTCGGCCTCGGAAGGAGTTGGTGAGTGCGCTCTTTTCTGAAAGGGTGTATGGCTCCTACTTGGTGCAGTTGAGTAAGTCGGTCTTCCTTCGCCCAACACAGGAACGGTCAAGGGTGAAAGAGGAGGAGGGGAGTCGGGACGATCGTGCGCCATGTTGTGCACGATCTCAGCGGTGTACGTGAAAGGTGATCAAGTTTGGGGAGATCGAAGGGAGTGGAAGAAGGTAACGCGTCAAAAGCCAAATCCGCCGCAAAGGGGCCTGACTCCGGTAACCAAAAAGGTTTAATACCCGGGGTAGTGCACTATGGCATTGATTCTACATACAATTTCCAAGGCTAGAGTCTTGGACGTCCTAGAAGTGAAATTTAAGTTGTGAACTAGGCTGTGAAACAAGAAGAGTATGTACTGTATGGACTTTTTCAGTGTATCATGATTCAGTCAGTCATCATCTAATTCCGCGCTACGCGCCGCGCGGACCTCCTGATTCCTCAAAATTTCTTGATGATTCTTTATGTAGAGAGTTCACTGAGATTGAAAATCAAAGAGTGCTATACGGCTTTGTTTTGAAGCTGTTCTGGAAGCTTCTGGAAGTCCCAGGTTTTTGCGAATCGGAAGAGTTAGAAAACTCGAATTAGATCCGAGGTCGGGCATTCTCGGCAGCACTTGAGCACGTGCGCAGCGTGACGCGTCATTACCAAGTCCAAATTAGTAACCTCACAGGTCCTCACTCAGCCAGTCAGTCTCTTTCACCACCTTCTCATTGTCAATGCTCTCCCGTACCTTCAGAGCAGCTAGGCTCGTTAGTTCACGGAGATACGCCTTTCCACCAGCTCGATCATCTGCTCGGTTCTATGCTACACCAGTGAATCACCCAGATTCATCTCCATCCAAGAAAGAATCGAAGGGCAAAGCTAAGGAAGAAGCGGAAGTTTCTGCGTCTTCCGAAAAGAAAGAAGACTCCTCTCCGGAAAAGGACCAGAAGGCGCAGCGACCAACCTCAGAGGGTGAGGATTTTCCGAAAAACCTAGAAGGTTTCTTCCAGCGGATACAGGAGCAGCATGCACAGATGCAAAAGCAGAAGTTGAAGAAGAAGACCGAGGAGGAGGAGCATGGGAACAAAGAGTCGAGCGATAAAAAATCGTCAAAGGAGCCTCCACCTCCAGAGGGAGGAAATAATGGTTTCAACACCGCCATCAACTGGATCACCGGTCTTGCCATCGCACAATTCATTTACTCAAATTCTGGCTCTTCCTCCTCTCGCGAAATAACATGGCAGGAGTTCCGTACCGCCTTCCTCGACAAAGGCCTTGTCGATAAATTAATCGTCATCAACGGACACAAGGTCCGCGTCAAGCTTCATTCCAATGCAACGGGTACCATGTATCCTGGCTCGTCAATAGGAAGTGGCGATTACTACTTCTCTATCGGCAGTGTGGAGGCCTTCGAACGTCGGTTAGATGAGGCTCAACAAGAGCTTGGTATCCCTAGCCATGAACGTATCCCGGTCGCTTTCACAGATGAAGTGTCTACCTTCCGAGTTCTTCTTGAGCTTGCTCCCACCGTCGCCGTCATTGGTTTCCTCTACTGGCTCTCGAAACGAGGAAGCGGAAGTTCTGGCAGTGGTATTTTCAGCATCGGAAAAAGTCGTGCCAAATTGTTCGACAAGGACACGGAAGTAAAGGTCAAATTCAAGGATGTGGCTGGAATGGACGAGGCGAAGGAGGAAATCATGGAGTTCGTGCAGTTCCTAAAGGAACCTTCCAAGTACGAACGATTGGGGGCCAAAATTCCTCGTGGTGCCATTTTATCTGGTCCACCAGGTACCGGTAAGACTTTGCTTGCCAAAGCCACTGCCGGTGAGGCCTCCGTTCCGTTCCTTTCAGTATCTGGGTCAGAATTCGTCGAAATGTTCGTCGGTGTTGGTTCGTCCCGCGTCCGTGATCTTTTTGCTTCAGCAAGAAAGCATGCACCTTGTATCATCTTTGTCGACGAAATTGATGCAATCGGTAAAGCGAGAGAAAAGGGCAGGAGCATGGGTGGTAATGACGAACGTGAATCGACTCTCAACCAACTGCTAGTTGAAATGGACGGATTCGGAACACATGAACACATTGTTGTCCTCGCAGGTACTAACCGACCTGATGTCCTCGACCCTGCACTGATGCGGCCTGGTCGATTTGACCGACATATTGTCATCGATCGCCCAGACGTCTCAGGACGTAAGGGTATCTTTATGGTTCATCTGGCACCTCTCAAATTACACGAGTCTCTTGCAGACTTAGCCAACCTGGCCCAGAAGTTGGCCGTACTTACTCCCGGTTTCTCTGGTGCTGACATTGCCAATGTGTGCAATGAGGCTGCTCTCCGGGCCGCTCGTAAAGGCTCTGATTCGGTCGAGTCCCGCCACTTCGACGATGCTATCGAGCGAGTCATAGTTGGTTTGGAGAAGAAGAGTCGAGTGTTGAGTCCTCTAGAGAAGAAGACTGTGGCTTATCATGAAGCCGGACATGCTGTCGCAGGATGGTTTTTGGAAAATGCCGACCCCGTCCTCAAGGTCAGCATCATCCCTCGGGGTAATGGTGCTTTGGGTTACGCGCAGGTGTGTTACTCTCCCACCCCTCTTCCTTCTCTTTCTTATACTTGTGCCATAGTATCTTCCTCCGGATCGCTACCTTCTCTCTAGCCCCCAATTGGCCGATCAGATCTGTGTCACCCTTGGTGGACGTGTCTCTGAGGAAATATTTTTCGGTACCGAGAACATCACTAGCGGAGCTCAGGATGATCTTCAAAAGATCACTCGATATGCCTTTGAGGCTTGCGCCAACTACGGAATGAATCAAGTCATTGGTCCTGTCAGTTACGGTGGCGACCGCGGCGCGAAAGAAAGTTGGAACAAGCCTTTCTCGGAGAAAACTGCAGAGACCATAGACTCTGAGGTTCGCAAAATGATTACGTGAGTTCGTTTCGCAAAATTGTTATGCAGATACTCAAACTTTTGCTTCGCAGAGGTATGTACGACAGAACGCGAAGCCTCCTCTCCGAGCACAAGGAAGACGTCGAGAAGGTCGCCAAGCTGCTCCTTGAGAAAGAGGTTCTCACAAGGTAAGAGTTGTACTCATGCATCTCCGCTTTCAAATTGTTCATATGTTCGACCTGCAGAGAGGACATGATCAACCTTCTAGGCAAGCGTCCTTTCGCTGGACGTCAGGACGATATGGACAAATGGTTGGACGAGCATCAGAAACACGGCTTGGCCGGGCCTGCTACCGATAAGCCATCACCATCCTTACCCCCCGATGACCCCCTTCCTACACCTGCCGTGGCTATAAAGAAGTTGGACTAATTTCCTACTCTCCTTCATGCAATGTATAGTACCGATCTCATTATCATTACGATAGTTCTGTAAAGTTTATTTCGTCTACGGTCTAGGATCATTACGAAATTTCCCATCTCAGTTGAAAATGGAGGAGTTCATCTGTTCAATTCTCAAGAAACAGATTTCGGGGGTGTCAAATGAAAGGAATAATAGATAGCTAGGAGGTAACACTTACAACATCATGCATATAGCTACAATGAGTACCGGAAACCACTCCAGTCATCTCCTTTATCGAGTCTTGCAGTCTCGATATCGGGATACTGGCCATTCCTAACATGGGCATTCTTATTGTCGACACCGTCGATAACTTCATCTCGCTCCCCTCTATCTCTGCGCGCGTTTTCTCTATGCAGACCAACCCTCATGATCGTCACGCAAATGAGACCAATACCGATGTAAGCCAGGACTATTCCATGTCCCATTGTGTACCATGGTGAGTCCGTGGAGCGATACTAAGAGAATAGACGTTAGTTGAGTAGTTGAAATTAGGGGGTATGAAGCTCACTATGTTTGAAGTCACTGCGCCATTGATGTTACCCCATCCGATGGCCATACCCAGTGTGACACTACGTTTATAGGCGCCTTCGACGTTCCCGGCAACCCAGGCACTGGGAATTATTGAGTTTTCCTTTTTGTTTTCGAAGATATTATGCAGGTAACTCACACATTGTTGGCTGCGAAGTTCGTAAAAATCGTATAAGAATTTTTTCCAACATGGGGAAGCCGCACTCACGGATAGATGGATAGATAGCGCTGGCATCGGGTCAGTAAAGATGAAGAAGACAACCCTACGGAAGATGCGACTTACGATGCAGCAAGAAAAACAGCGAAATAAGATAGTCCGGGACTACGTGAAGCGATCAATATGATATAACCCGCTGCACCTTAGTTTGACTCTTGAGCCCTTAAATCGAATTTGGGGTCACAGAAAGGCAGGACACACCTGTCGCGAACAAGAACCTTCATACGAACGCTCAAGGGAGGATCTGTTTGTCAAAGGAAACTGAGCTCACAAACTCATATAGTAACGGGTGCCAATTCGATCACCCAGTATTCCGACAGCCACTGTGGTAACGCAACCCCAAGCATAAGGAGGTATCGTAAGCAGATTGGCCTTAGTAGCGGTGAACCCTATGTTTGATTCAGAATGGAAAATATACTGGCGAGTTAAATCGTGGCATACCAAGCTACACATTGTTGATAAGGATAGGGTGGAAGAGCGTTATCAGAATTAGAATGAAAAAATATTAGGATATTCACAAACCTTATTGATGATAGTAGGCAAGAACAACGAAAATGCATACAATGGGCCGTCGAAGCCCATGTAGATCCCCACTGTGTAAGTGGTTAGGAACAAATCAAAATAGAATTTTTTGACCTACTAGCGACCCAAGTCTTCCAATCTTTGACGCTCTGCCATACGTACTTCTTCCTGTACTGTTCACCAGCAGCGCTCAACCGCACGTCGTCCTCAAGTCGGCGAATGACAAAAACCCCTTAGTGCCGTCGAGAATTAGTGTGTTCATTCTAACTGAGTTTGTATCTTGGACGTACATACTTTCTTTTTCAGAAAGAAATTTCGCGTTCTCCGGGTAATCTTGGATTACCCAGAACGATAAAAGAGCGACGACTACGGTGACAAGACCCTCGAGAATGAAGATCCATCTCCAACCAGCTAATCCCCCAACGCCGTCCATATTGTGTATCGCAACTGAAAGTAAACCACTGAATGCGCCGGATAAGGTGGCCGAGGAGAAGAAAAATGCAATTTTGGAACCCATTTCCGCACGTTTGTACCAACTACGTACACCGGCATAAGGGGACGATTCAGGAACAACCACAGAAAAAGCGCTTACCTGGAAATGTAGAAAACGATACCAGGATACATCCCTGCTTCTGTTACGCCAAGTAGAACGCGGACAGCTTCGCGAGCAGAATGGTGAGTTAGAGTCGACATTGAGAAATAGCTGACTTACCAACGAGCCCTCCGTAACTTTGAATGAAGCCATGACAGACCATGACTACGCCCCAGCAGAAGATCAAGGAGCTTAGCCATAGAGAGGGTTTAAGTCGTCTAAGGATCACATTGCTTGCTGGCTATGCGGTGAAAGTGAGTCACATCATGAATTATCCATGTTCAAGTCTTGTTCTGACCTCGAGTAAAGCATAAGGAAAGAAGTATACAGTGAGTGCGATCAGATATTGAGTATCAGAAATCGGATGGTTAATGTTGGTTGTCATCCCGTATAACTATCAAGTTCACCGCGAAAAAATTCAACTCTTTGTCGTTTTGAGAAGTCATATGACAGACCTTCGCGTTCCCGATGTTACCTCTATCCTACTTTCACAAGTCAGGTTATCGACATAGCATTGAGGGGAAAACGAACCATGAAGTTCAAGAAGTATAAAAGGGCCAGCCATGGAATGACATGAAGGTCAATACGGCGCATGAGCTTCTTCTCGTTGACGCTGTCTGTGTTCACGTCGGGTCGGTACAGTCCATCAACATTCCGCTCAGACAAGGAGATTTCGTCAAGCTTCTGGTCTGACATCAGGAGAAATGGCAAAAAAGAAGATCACGAAAGAGCTTTTATATTGTCCATATGGTGCTTGGACTGATAAGAGAGTGACCATTATAATCGACTGGCCGGGGTGAATGGCATGTAACAGTGACACTCATTCTCCCACCCTCAGCTGTGACGGGTTTTCGGAAGACTAGCGGAACGAGCCACCAAGCGTCCAGTGTGAACTGGAATTGCAGAGAACTGTAGCGTTCTTTTCGGATCCAAAATCCATTAGCCAGGAAACGTTAGAGCTTATGTCTAACTTACGACAGCTACAGACACTTTTGGTTTAGACAAATGCTCTTCGATAGACATCGACACCGATGTGTTGTTCCAAAGACGATAGAGTGTCCTTCAGCCAATTTTTCACAATTTCCGTCTCTTTTCCTGCCACTCTAATGACTACTCCATTCTCATTATTGGAGCCAATGGGGCTCAGTGACCACAACAGCTCTTCCGGAGCTTTGCGTTGCATAACAGATATGCATTCATAACGAGCCGCTATCTGCGCAATCGTTTCCTCTACCATAGGTCCTCGAAGAATGAGAGTAGCATAGCAGGAAAATGGCGCAAGGCTTTCCGCTAAAGCTCTGTTGAGGCGAGAGTCGGATTCATTGTTCTCCAACAGCATAACATCCTTGGCTACGCGCTTTTCTGCTATGATGACCTCGTTGACACTGTAATATCTGGATAGGACCCAATCTTCGCCGAGGGATTTTCTGCCTGAAGTTACCCAGTCAAGAACAACCAGGGACGCGTCTTTCGAAGCGTGAAAGGTTTGAATTTGGTTGTAAGAGGCAGAGCGGAAGCAAGTGACAGGATCTGGTAGGAGGAAGAGTCCACCATTAGATGAAATCGTAAAATCCATTTTCTGAAGCGTGGCGGGACTTTCAGAGTTGAGCGATGCATGGGCAGAGTTCTGCACAGAAGCCAGTCTTTGATACAGACGGTTCTTGAATACTTTCGTGGAACCCTAGCGAGTAACGATCAGTTTGGATCTAATTTGTACTACATATAACATATAATCGATAACTCACTTGCGAAAGCAAAAGCAACTTGGCATCGGATTCAACGTTGACAGATAGTTCGATACAATCCCCTCCAACGAGCCCTCCTCCGTAAGTCAAGGCATAAACGATGGCAACTCCGTTGTCAGATAATTGAGGAGATAACAGTTTAAGAGGGTAAGTTGCTGAGAGCTCAGAAATCCAGACCTTCCTTCCGTGCGACGACAGGGTTATCCGACCACCTCCAGCTTGTATTTTGGAGATGTTGGAAGAAGAGCCTATCATCAAGATTCAATTCATGGATGATAGGATAGATCAAAGGTAGGATTGAGATCAAGATTGAGATTGAGATTTCCAGGTCTCAAAAGCTTACGATGAATCGTCAATGATCAACATAGCGATAGATTTGGGAAACTACATATTGAGATTAAAGAATGTCGTGAATCCTACATAACAACAGAAGAAGATATTGTCAAGAAACTAGGAGAACGAAAGGAAACCATAAGATCACAACAGTTCCATCCAAAATGAATCAAGTAATAAAAGGCTTTATACGAGAGAATGTTAAGGCATATCAAGGAAGAAAATGAGTAAAATGATCAATACTTGCGTGTTGCAAGGTCCCTGATTTCGTACAGATTTGGACGTTCTGTCTCGTACAGGACATCTTGCTTTGCCAAAATATCCTTCCAGCCCTTCATTTCAGCAACATGGCGCTTTTCTGCAGCTCTGCACTTCTCAATGAAATTCCCATCAATCTCATACACCATAGAAGCTCTCGATCCTCGTTCACTTCCAGACTCTGATGGAGCTCGACCATAGCTACTACGTGATGGACTTCCATCCCCAGTAGTATTTGACATCGAGGTAGATGTCCTGCTATTGACGCTGGTGTCAGGAGTGGTCAGTGCGGATTGTAGATTCACCCGAATGGTGTCCCCCTTGACATCTTCCTCGTCCTCATCATCAGCCAGATTGGCGAACACATCAGGCTCTTCTTCTTCTGGTGGCAACGTTGATATCCAACACATCCGCTGTGGATCGAAAATCATATTTCCGACTTTCCGTGCGCCAGTAGCAAAGGTTCCAACTGGTGATCCAATAGATGAGCCAGTGAGATGGGTAATGAGAGCGGGCCGTGTTGATGTAACCACTGAATCGAAGTCACGGAGAACCTGTTCGTTACCCTCCCACCGCAAGGTCTGAGGATTCCAATGCATATCACCGACCACTGTCAATGGATAAGCCCAGGCTGCTTCACTTAACAACAGGATGTGACTGACCTTTAGGGGCACCAGCGCCACCTAAATTGCGGATGAGGGTTGGTTTCTTTCTCGGGGCGTTTGGGGAGGCGAGCTTGTTCTTTTTCCTCGGGGATTGATTTTTGGAAGACGGAGGCAAATCCAACCTAGAAGACCGTCGTAAGGAGTTTACTGTTGGGGCTGAAGCGGAATTTGATTCTATAAAACAAAGGAACTCAGCCGCAGCTACAAAAGTCCATGCATAAGCATATATACCTGAACCGCCGGAGACTTCCCTCCTCTTCCTCCTTATAGTATTCTTTTCGGTATTCTTTTCAGAATGTTTATCGCCTGACGGTTTGGATGAAAAAGTTCCGCCCGGTATACGATTGCCATAGCCTTTTGGTTGCACCCGAAAGCGACTCTCTTTGTCGCGATCGGTAGGTAAATCCTCAAAGCCGTCAAGTTCGGTCCCATCACCGAAAGTCCGTTGACGTTTTGGTCTTTTCATGACTTTTGGAGCAGAAGGTTGTAAGACGATACGAGATGCCCGATTCGATAGATTGGAGGGCGGTCTCGGGGGCACTGGAGATGCAGTGCGGAAGGAGGTAGGTTGCACCCCGGGACTTGAAGGCGCACCATTATTGAATACCGAGGAAAGCGCTGGCCGTGATTTTATACGAGTGACAGTCGGAAGAGTAAGACGTACAGCATTAGGATTGGTGGATGGAGTAGAAGGCCGAGTGGGGGGAACAGAGTAATCTATACCTCGAAGCCGCGACGTGCTTCTTTGCGACTTGGCGCGAGAAGCCACAGTAGGTTCCTCGTATCTAGCTTTAGATGGCCCTGCGGAAGGTCCCGAACCTGATGCTTGGGATGAGCCATTCTCCAATAATGACGACAGAGATGCTTTGCGTGTGAGTTTGCGGGTGGAAGCGGGTGGCGTCGGTGGCTTTAGCACTGAATGTGACTTTTGACCACGTAGGCTACCTGGTTTCGGAGCAAGGAAGGAAGATGATGGAGGAGGAGAAGGAATGGATGATAATGTTTGGAAGGTTTGAGAGCGGGAAGGAGGGTTGAGTGGAGGCGAGGGAGAGAGTCGGAGTTTCTGAAATTGCCGCGAGGAAGAGACGGGAGGATTTACTGGGGATTTCGCCCGATCGATGGATTTGACCCGGGTAGATGCTAGTTTGAGTTGTTTCGGCCGGGAGTTAGGCATACTCTGACTGCGATTCGCATGACGCATTTGCTGTGCGCTGTAGAGCAGCCTGCTAGGACTGAAATCAGCGTCGTCGTCAATGACAAGACCCATCTCGAAATCTTCTTCGGGATCGGGACTTGCGACCTTGATGGAGTCACTGGCGAGTACGGCCTTTTGCCGTAGTTCCAGAATATGCGTGAGCTTGGAGCCGGCATTACGGGACTCGAAAAGTCCAGAAGGAATGACGAGCCCATCCATATGATCGTCTTCGTCTTCGTCCTCAGTCTCGGTGTCTGGAAGGGAGACTGAAGAGGTTGAATTAGAGGAGGGAGAAGCATTGGCAAAGCCAAGAGTCGAGTAAGCATCGGAGGATTGTGAAGAGGAAGTATGGTCTTTGTCCCCCCATTCAATTGAGTTCTTTGAGGACCTGTGATTTAGGGATAAAGGAGCAAGGGAAAGTTGAGTGAGGTCGGATGGCAAGGCAAAGCCGTCTTCAAAGTCCTCATCAATGGGGGCCTGTGTAGCTTTTGGAACGGGCTTTGGCAAAGCAGCGAACTTTATAGTCGAGACCCCTTCGGCGACCTTGATAGTCGATACACCGTCATCGTCTTCTTCGTCGTCAGTTCCCTGTTGGTTCTGTGCAGGACGAATGGTGACCATCTGGGGGTAAGATGACCCTTCCATGTCAATGGCCTGAGCCCGGACAACGATATTTGCGCCGCCAGTTTTCGCTAAATCCATCTCTAAGTCCCAGTCCTCTTCATCCCCGTCATATTTATCAGTATCTGCTTGCAACGGCTGTCCCTCCGGGAGATCAAAATCTGCATCTGGCCATTCTTCTCTGTCCGTAGCGAGCGAAGGAGCTGGGACAGTAGTCATAGTGATTAGAAAATGCGTACGATAGAGCTGGCGCACCAGCGGCGCTGTGAAGGTAAGGGAAAATGTTATGAGTGAGTGTAAAAAAGATACGGCTGCCTCGTGGTTGTAAACGATACGAAAGTCTGAGAATACACAAATGCCGACAAGGTCCGAAGTGTTCACACGGTACTCAAAGCGTTCACAACCAAGGACAAACTCTGTAAAACAAATATTGTACATTTATTCCGTCAGTACGGTCGTAGTCTTCTCAATTCCTTCGCATTGTACTCTATTTCATCATCTTCATTGTTGTTCACTGGCTCATCATTCTTTTGTTTCTCTGGCTCCCATTCTTCCAAAACTTCATCCAATCCTTTTCGCATCCGAATATCCCTCTCTGCCATTGTTTCTGCCAATGCATCCAGTTCCCTGCCATCAAATACACCTCTGAGAGATCCAAATGCCAGCAAATACAAATCTGTGCAGCAATGTCAACAAGATATTGACAAAGTCATAGAGTCATATATGAATACCTTTACAGCGTGGACATTGCCCAATTGCTTGGTAGAAAAGATTTTTTGCTTGCTTATACTGTTTTGCCCGTATTTCGAACTCAATGTAGATTATCCATATCTGGGAACACCCCCTAGTCCTGCCCGGTATATAAGTATCAGTGAAGATGAGGGAATCGTACCCACACTAAGTACATACCTTTCGTGCTCCACCGCGCCGGACAAACCAATGCGAGTACGTTCGATTTCAGCCTCCCATCTGCCACTTTCCCATCCCGCAATCCATACCTCTTGTACCCTTCTCGCCACATCTTTTAGATTTTCACTGTTATCGCCTAGGGTTCCTCGTATCCGCCCCCAAACACCTTGGCCCTTTTCGACTTCCAGGAATAGTGCGAGTATAACAGAGTTGTGGGGATAGTACGCCATTGATTGAAGCACCCGCTCCCGTAATATCGATGGTGGCACTGGATTCTTCAAGACTGATCCATATCGATAGATGAACATTAGGCATGTCATAGTCAAGCTTTCGTGCGCCGTATCGCGGGGCCTGATTTCATTGAGCTGGGCATCGAAGATAGAAAGCGCATTTTGTATGTTATGTGAGGTCAAAATGACTAACAGGGCACCAAGCTTGATCCATGCCTCCCTCTCCCGCCAAGAAGTACAATCTTTGCCAAATTCGTTCAGCGCCCGCCTAGTGCGAAGGACTGCCAGACTTCCTTGGCCTTCGACCCTCGCGGCACGACAAATTACTGATAGGGCATCTTCCTCCTGGCCGGCTAGCCACTCCATATCAGCCCAATCCGACCACAAATGACCCTCACAGGGGCGTGGTATGGGTTTCGCCGAAGCAATGAGGACGGTTTGATATACTTTGCGAGCCTCGTCTGATTTTCCACGTATCCTCTCTAATTGCGCATGTGCTGCCCAACGTGGAAGAGAATCGCGATCGGAGGCAAGAAAAGAGCGAGAAAGTTTAAGGGCACTATAATGAAGCTTAAAGGTGTCTGGAACTCGGTAGTATAATGTAGTCTTACCTTTTTACGCTCAATGCGGTTTCAAAGGCCAATGAGAGTGAATCCCAATCTGTATCCTCTGGGCCTAGTCGCAGAGAGGAAAATACTCTGCTCACAAAGGCAGCGTCCACGTCAGCGATATCCAATGTATTCCACATTCCTGTGGTTCCATATACCGGGTCAAATAAGTGGAAAGAGCCCAAAGACCAATTCTTTATAGGACCAAAACTTTGCTTGTAAACTTTTTGTCTGCCGACTAGAGCACCTGCTAAGGCATCCGCCGTTAATGATACGTTCTGAGCGCCCGCCGTGGGGAGTATTGCATCGAGAAATGCGGGCTTGGTAAGATGAATGTAGCTCCATCGATCATCCCGGCTGTCTCCAGAACTCGACAACGAAGCCGAAAATCCAGGTATGTGTAGACCAAGGGTCGAAAGCCACGCAAGGCGAAAGACGTTCTTGGAGCGCTGTGTCCGCAGGTCAAAAAGAAAAGGTCGAATATCCACAAAAAGAATCGTAGAGTAAGGATCCGAGTCGATGTTATCGTCAATCGTACGTGCAGGAAGCTGTCCTGCACAGTCAGCTCGAGTTTCATATTCAGCCCACTGACGATAGGGATCAAGTTCAGTAGATGTAGGAGTGACAGACGAAGTGACGACTGTAAGAGGATTGCGTTCTTGCTTGTGTGAGACCCAGTGCGACCAACCTTTGGAATGGAGCTCGCCTATCCGGGGAACTTCCGAATCCCAAAATTCTTCGAAGGCAGCCAGTCGAATTTCGAGCGGTACACCATTCAGTGCTTGTGGATTTGCAAAGACACTAGATCCAGCAATGAGAAGCGATTCGTCCTTTTTGTGAAAATGCAACGTACAACTCAGCTTGCGCCTGAAACATGGCGGTAGCGCGCTCATGATATCCTAGAGAAATTATGAGTTAGCAGCTACTCACAATTAATGAGGCCTGGCTTGCCTGCCTGCTTGAAAACTATTGCGATTCTCCAGAAAACCCTTAACTTCCCCACTTCTGAATCCTCAGAGTCATCGAGTGAAGACAATATGCGCAGAGCAGCATCGATGACTCCATCTAATCCATCAGTACTTTTAGAGATTCGCCACTCGAGCCATTCCATCCACATGTCAATGTTTCCCAGTTTCAGCGCATCCTCCCATTCAGAATCGCATTGGGACTCACTCCACACATCTTCTATGGCTCTAAGGTATTTTATTCGCAACAATGGGGAGGTGCTATTCGCGGGGTGTGCAGCTAGTGCGCGTGAAAGTAAAGGAATTGTGATCTTTGAGCGCGCTTTCCGTGCTTCCTGTGTGGCGACGCTGGTTGTCGATAACGTCTGAGAAAGCAAACGCAACCAATTGGTAATGGACGATGGATCCGCAGAAAGCTGCTGTTCAAGGCCCCTCAATGTCTCCTCATGAGCACTGAGAGTACGCTCGTCTTCAGAGCTGCTGAAAATAGAGACGACAGAATCGGAATCAGAATCGGAGTTATCTTCTTGAGTGATGGCGCGGTAGGAAGGATCGCCGGTACGAGACCTACGACCTTGTCCTAGAAGAAGAAATCCGTCTCTTTCTTGATATTTTGTGGATTTGCTATCTGCAGTTAGCCTCCGTTGCGGGGGGATAGACAGTAGCTTGAGGGACTTCGATCTGTCATCCAGAGTGATCTAGTCCGCATCTTGCTTTAGCCACAATATGTGACATGGGGAACATGAGAATAACACACCTGGCTTCGACGCGAGAAAGCGGTGATAATGGGTGAAAGTCCGAGTATTATTCTACCTCCTGGAACACACAAAGTAAGCATAGACGAATCTATAAATAAGTGTAGTGCGTACGGCCGACGACGAAGTATTTTGGTATTGAGCTTGACGAGAGCTTGCCATATTGAATGTTCCCAGAGTCCCCTGTGCGATCTGAGAAGTAAAACTCTGTTGGCTCTTCAGCCTTTGCTCTCGAAGACGCGTCGAAGGTGTCCTTGAATTGTGCAGAACGGCCTTCACGCTTCGATTCCTTGTCCTTTGAGTTGCGGGCCTTTGTCTTCTTTTTCTTTTTCGATTTTTCTTCCGTCTGCAGTTTAGGAATCTGGCTGGGCCTAGAGTCAGGAAATGAATCAAACGATGGAAAAGAGCTGAACGAGGGTGCAAAAGACATTGCAATACTTTTGTAGCAATTTAAATTGACGCCATTCTAACGTTAACGTAATCGGAAATTTTGAACTCTATTTATTCAACTTTCAGTCCTGGGCCTGAGCCTGAGCCTGAGCCTCCACATTCGACTAGCCTCTTAAATTGAGACTGCCACCTGAAAAGACCCATCTCCGCTATTCGCGTACACCCAATGCGGCCACTTACCGAGGACGAATCCAAAGCCCTCTTTTCCAAGCTTGCTAATTACATTGTCGCTGTTCTTTTCCAGTTTTGCGATCTGTACTTACCTTCGTCTTCACGTAGGGAAAAAATCTCATTCATCTCATTGATCGACCGGATGAACCATACTGCTTCAGACTTCATAGAGACAAAGTTTTCTACGTCTCTGAGTCCTCTATGCGCCTTGGTATATCAGTCGCGAGACAAAACCTCGTCAGCCTTGGCACATGTTTTGGAAAATTCAGCAAATCTGGGAAGTTCAAGTTGCATATAACAGCTTTGGACTATGTCGCTCAGTACGCAAAATTCAAGGTGTGTCTGGCGTATCTGCTCTTTGATATCTTGTACTCATCCTTTCCTAAACAAAGGTATGGATTAAGCCCAACGGCGAGATGCCATTCCTCTATGGAAATCATGTTGTGAAAGCCCATCTGGGGCGCATAACTGAAGATACACCAGAACACCAAGGTGTCGTCGTCTACAGCATGAATGATGTGCCGCTGGTACGAGCCATCTATCCTGCATTTCAATTCCTAGTCTCACCCCATTTTCAAGGGTTTTGGTGTTACGGCCCGGTCAACAATCGACACCCGAAAGCTAGATCCAACATCCATCATAGTATTTCACCAAGCGTGAGCCTTTCATCTGCTCGTTGCTCCTTCCGGTCGCTGATTATCTTTAGTGATGTTGGCGAATACTTGCGGGACGAAGAGAGTTTGATCTGATCTACTTTTCTTCTTTGATCTCTACTACATGCTTTCAATCTATATCATGGGTTCAATATGTTGTTTGTTTCTTACGCCCCTTTGCTGTGTTTTATATACTGTAGCTCTCTACCGGTTTTGAAGTGCTCAATTGCGGTACTAACTCGTCTATCATGATCTCCAGTCTGGTGTTTTCAATGGTTCCTTAATGGTATAGAAGGTATTTACTAGGCATTTCACGCTCTTGTTGAGTCGTCATCCATGCAAAATTTTGACGAAGATTCCTTTTGAAAGTATCCATATATGTACGTGGCCCAAAGGTATGTATGTACATGCTAATGTATATTGTTAGGATCAAGTATGGCCGCTTCATTTTCCTTTCACATCTACTGAAGCAACGAAAGAATTGCTGTTCCCAATGTTATCAATCTCTGCCTGCCTTTTCACCGCAGCGATCCCTTCCTCGCTACGTGCGTATTCTGCGGGTGCCCAATTTTTTCCATCAACAACGGTGTGGAATAGATCGAACCGGGAGCTGTACTCAAAGTTAATAAATTTTCCCATCACGGTGATACTAGAATTCAACTGACTAGTTGCCCATGATATCTGCTACGATCTTTACTTCATTGATCTTATCCAGGGAGATCTCAGCGATTGCAATGGCTTCTTTCCCTGGGTCAAGAGGTTCAGTCAACGCAGACCCATCTGGCCCGTATATCTGAAAGAAGTCAAAGTCAATCATATGAATTTTGCGATTTGTACTCACTGTGGTAAAACCACCGCCCGGAAAGGTGAACCATGGGAACCCAGTCAGCTTCATCTTTTCTGCCCCGGCTTCGCTAACGACATGACAGCAAGCGAGTCCAAAACAACCCCCTTCCATCGCAACGTTCTGGGTCATACGACTTGAAGCTTCGCCCGAAACTATATAGGGAGATCCGCCTAAAGAAACAGGGAAAGCTGGCCACCATGCGCCCACAAAGATTTGTGGGTGTTGAGCGTAGAAATGGGTCTTTAACCAAGGCTAGGATTGTATGAGAACGCGACTATGCAAAAACCCCATTCATAACTGACTTGAATTTGCTCCCAGCAATTCAGAGAACCTACACGCCCATAAGGTGTCTGAACAACGTTGTAAATGGACTGTGCTGTAGATGTAGATCGATTTTGAGTTCGGAAAAATATAGTGAAGGAATACCTGACTTACCGCTGCCGTCGCCAAAGACGGTCTTCTCGTAGTGTGTAGGCTGGGAAGTCCGGGAGGATATCAGTGCTGAATTGTGTTTCTGACAATCGATGAACTAACCTTGATTTTACGACGATGGTTTGCAATATTTCCATCCTGAGTGATGGTAGCTTGGGCAATGTATAAGGAGGAGCCATCTCGCTCCGAGAAACCTAGAACAACATTTACGTCGGCTTCTTTAACCGCCTCCCGAATGCGGTCCATTTCGGGTGAATGGAGGGCCAGGGAATTTTCCTGGTACAACTTGAGCACGGGCTGAGCTTGGACAAAAGTGTTCGCCCATGGCGTCCACGGATAGCCTGTTAAGACTGAATTAGAAACTATTGACAATTCCAAGTTGAAGGGGCCACGGTTTACCGGGAATAAAACACTCAGGAAATCCTATGATCTTCGCGCCCTGGGCCGCAGCTTCTTGGATAATGCGGATGGTCTTATCGACGCCGCCCTGTAGATCCAACCAGACGCTATGTAGAAAAATCTGCGACGTCAGTTTCCTCTAAATATTTCAAGTGCATACGGTTCGGCTTGTACAGCGGCAACCTTGAATTTACTAGTGTCGGCGGGTGAGGGATTAAGAGTAATAGGCATCTTGGGGAAAAACTGGTAGATTGAAGACGAAACTGGCCTACTTTTATATGAAGGCAGTCATACGAAGAGCTGAAGGCCCTAATGCCGGGAGGCAGTAAGGCAGTAGAGTAATCGACACCTCCTAGTTTCCGACTGGTCAAGGAGGCGAAGAGAACAACTCATTACCAAATTTTACACGGGAAACTTAAAGCCCGTCTGAAAGATAGGATTAGATCGGATTTCGTGGAGACATATTAGAAAGAACATGAATACTGTTTCCGTGAACACCCTGTCGACCTCCCATGGAGTTACATTGAACGACGCGATTCGAAGCTTGACGAGAGAAAATCATGAGTTCGGATTTGTGGATAACCAGATAAACCTAGGTACCAATGAACCATAAAAGGACTGTTGTTATCTAGATGTTTTGGATATTCTTAGAATGATTATGGCAATGGCAGAAGAGGAGAGGGAAAAAGTTCTATTTTCATTGTCGGTCGTCGAAAAGCGGTTCATTTCATGAGAGCATAGCAAGTGCCAAGGAAGGAAGGAAAGGTGTGTGTATTCAATATCATGGAACGCCGGTTCGGAGCGCTCTAATTTTTAATGGGCGCTTGTGCTTGCAATGCCTTCTTCCGCTTACACGCGCTGGATCAAGCTCACGGATGAAGAACTCACAGTAAACAACGTTCGGGATGTATTGAAAGCCATCCATGATGACCTATGGGTTTCTGTGGCATGCAGCGACAGACTCGTAGATGACCTGACCCTCCAAAGAGTCATATTGGAGGTCGGACTTGAGCGTACACAGACAGCACTGGAACGCGTCAAGGATATTCTCCCTAGCGAGAGCGACACAGGCAAACAAACATCTGCGGAGACTCTGACTGAATACTTCAGAGAGTTGCCGGTTGATGCTCAGCTTTGTCATGTCCGGGCTATTCTCTTGAAGCGGCTGGACCGGTTGAACACTTTCGTGGAACTATGCAAGGAACAACCAATTGTACCGGTAGAAAAGGAGGTGGAGGTGGAGGATCCAGAGTGGGAAGATGATCCTTGGGCTGAAACCAACGCAGGCCCAGTAACGCCACGTACCAACGTTATTCTTCCTCCCGTCACCCTTTCCGCCTTCCTCACAACCGACCTTCTACAATCGGCATTTATTCTTGCTATTCATCAATGGTTTGGTGCTCTCCGTGTGCTTCACTACCGACACAGAGCATGTTTATGGCCCCACCGATTTACCATTCTGGAACACATTCCTGCACATGCAAATCCTACCGATTATCATTTCCTCCTCCCATCATGTGATAGCCTTACCAGCTCTGAGCAAAGATTCGATGCAAGTGAATGGAGGTCCGAAAAGGATGTTTCCGAGCTTCCTACCGTTCGCCTTGCGGTCCAAAGCTCCGATGCTCTTTCTGGTTTCGACACCATAATTGACTCGACACCAGTCATAACTGCACCGGAGGCTCCGGAAGACATTCTAAACGCTGAGAGTGTCTCAGAATGGTACCAGAAACGCGTCGACGACATCATAGAGGCTACCGGAATGATCGACATCGTACTCACGCTCATCCAGCATGGAGCTTCACAGAATGTACCTCATCTGGATGAATTGGGTGAAGATTTAAGCTTACTCTCGAGGCTTGTATACGATGTACCCCGTGGACATAAATCTGAAGACGAAGACTGGACTTTGACTCGATGGCGCGCCATGAATCCTCCTGCTATTATCCGCGCGTATTTGGCTCATTCAACACCGTCTACTCTGCCACACGACATTACTCATTTCGTCATGCCTTACCTTTTTGTCCTCGAATCCCGCGCCGAACGCGCTGGTAAACCTGAACCTCAGCTTCCCAAACGACTCCTTTACGAATACATACTCCATGCGCCACTAGAAATGGTACTATCCGTCTTCGAGGCTTCCAAGCCAACCCTACCAGCTGCACAAAGAATCATAAAGCAGGAAGACGATATGGTACGTTTATCACTTGCTTGTTTGTATGGCAGCGACAGCCTCAATGAATGGTCGACAATGAGCGGCATTTTCGAGTGCCTTCCGGTTTGGGAGATGACTGCTGCCGACAACGAGGAGGATGCGGCGGACATGACAATCTCATCTTTAGGTGCTTTTGTCACGCCTTCGACAAGTCGACCTCGAGCAACACCATCCGATTTATTGATCTTCTTCAACCCTTTGCCGCTGTCTTCTTTATCTAGAGCGCTTGATATTCTCGACGTTCACCTTGAATCTGGAGAGATATTTTCTCGATGGAGTGTGCCTGCTCCCCTGAGATGGTTTTTACAGAGCAGCAATAGTCTCGCAGAGCAAAGAGCATGGGCAAACCGAATGGCTAGAAGAGCTGGCGGTTCCGAAGACGAATTGACATCCCTGGAGGACTGGGAATGGTTACTTGAGGACATGTTGAAACTTGCAGGGGAGACCAAAATCAAAGGTGCTTTTGGGCTTCTTCCGCGGGACGAGATCATTCGAATCTACTTCGGCGGCCTTCTCAGTACTGGAAGTAAGTCTGGTATATTTTAGTTACTTCTACATTGACCCGTGCTGCCTCAGAATTCGAGGTTGCGAAGGACTTACTTCGCAAGACAACTCAACTCAAGTTCGAAAAAGAATCTCTAGAAGACATTTGTCTTGCCTGCTCACATGAATTTTACGATAACGCTAGTTCAGGAAATTATAAGTTCGGTGAAATGAAATTAGCTTATGAATGGTAATCTTCAACTCTGCTATCTCTCCTTCGTGCTTAACACATGTCTAGTCTTGATGTCCCCCCTTTGTCCGACCGGTTGATCAAGGAAAAAGAATTTATCGAGGCTACTTCTCGCCTATCGTCCTTCAATATCGTGTCTCGCCCCGGAATACCAATATCTCCAATAGAGATAAGGCTCACTAAGGACCGTTTGTCTTTGGTATCACAAGTGCTTTCCAGTAATGTGGATGCATACAAACATACCGAAGTTATCCTGGACTTGGTGTACAAACTTGGATTCAGAGATGATATAGCTGCCGAAGTAAAGGCTTTCGCTATGCTAGCAGACACTGCATTACAGGCTGAGGATTTTAGTCGGGCATATGAGACTAGCCAACGTATGATTGACACTGTGCTCAACCTCCGCGCTACGCTAATGGGCATAGGCGACCCCAAAGTCAGGGAAGCCAGTGAGGTCTGCTGGGTAGCATGTTTCCAGTTAGGTCGTCAACCAGAATTTGACGACGTTGATAAGAAGCTACTCCTTTTGGGACGAGCAATTGAGATATGTCCCCCCGATAGGTTGCACGACGTGTTGACGGCATGGAGGCGTTTGGAGAATGAAGATCTCGAAGCCAGACAGGAGAGATTGGAGACCAGCCACAACGGAGCTGTCACAACCGTCCACCCGAAAAATACCAAGTCATTACCAAAAACCGCTGCTTCTTCCTTACAAACACGGTTGCGCGATTTTCACATGCCCTCTCCTCCATTGCTGAATACGCCAGACGCCAGGGCGCTCGCCAGCAAAACCTTCAATACCGTTGCTGCTAATTTCCCGTTTTCCGTTGGTCACCGTGGTCGGTCACAATTTTCTCAGCTTTCTCAGGGAGATGAGCGATCCAGAAGTGGAAGCAGGAAAGGGACCGGCACTGACGACGTGCAGACTCAAGCATCGAGGGTATTTTCGAAGGGGATTGGTTGGCTCATTGGAGCTGACGAGGACATTTGAGTGGGTGAAATCTTGTATTCCATACCGAGATACTGCGCAGAAACGATGTATGCGAAAAGATTGTGCAATGTGTTCCGAATATAACGATGTGTGGTACAAAACGAAGTAGTACGATAAAATAATGATTGATGCATAAGAGTTTCGGAAGACGTCAAGTAGAGAATGACTCGGGTACTTGACATTCGTCGAATGAGCTAACAAAAACTAACAAAATGGTAGAAAGGAGAGGTAACGACGATGGAGTCGGAAAAATGGGCTGGGAATGACAGTGACACTACAACAACAAATAGTAATAAGAAGTTAAGAATAATTACTAGAGAGTATACATTGGTTGAAATGAATGTGGACATCCGTGGACAAGTATGAACGATAAAGAAAATTGGATATAGACATCGCAAAGAGGTAATCATGATGTTAGGAAACGAGAAGCAGATCAAACAGCACTTCCGAATCGGGATTGACCTGTCCCAGTCCTGGCTCTCGGTCTGTTGACCACACTACCAGGTTTCTTGTCTTCATCGCCCTGTGAACTTTCGCCAGAGCTCTCACGCGAGTTCGGTATACCTCTCCCACAAAGCTCACAATACCCTTGCACATTCCCAGCGTTACGCAAATCTTCCACCTCGACCTTCAGATCTCTGACTTGGCCTTCCAACTCCCAGATTTGTCGTTGCCAAGCACGTTTGGCCGTCACAATCTGATCTTGCAGAGCTCGAATGACTGCAGACTGATCTTCCACATTACCACCAGAACCTGATGAGGTCTTGTGTTGATGAGAGTTTTGCTCATTGGGACGGCTGAAAGGTCCGGGAGTTACAGGAGAGATGCCTGTGATGGGGCTCTGTAGTGAGCTTGGTGTATCTGGTTCATCATCAGAAGAGGGTGATGGCAAGATGTGATCACCAAAGTGAGAACTGAACACCGTGGAGATTGGTCGCAGCTTGAGCGATGGAAATTCAGTCACATTCGCAGGCGCACTTTGTGCAACCTCACCGTGGAACTGAGGTCGAAGGGTACCAGTAACATGATTTGAGTCCACAATATTCAAAGGAGGAGGTGTACGTTTAGGACTGGTAGTTGGTTTTGGAGATGAGATCTGTGATTCCTCAACAAAGTGGGATTTCTCAAACATAGAGGGTGACACTTGTGGGGGAGGAACTCGATTCACTTTGAGACCCTTTGGCACAGTAGATTGTTGTGCATTGAAAGCAGCAAAACCTTCAGACAACGAAGGCACAGGGGGAGGGGGTGTCTTTTCGTCCCGTCCGCCATTGAAAAGCCTCATAAGCCCACTCTTCTTATGCTTGAGGACCTTGCTATCACTGGTTGGTGCGACCACAACAGCAGGCTCGGACCCACGGCGCTCCTGTTTGGGCGGTGTATTCCCGACCATGCTTGTGAGCGCCTGCTTCGCTCTAGCACCCGCACTTATCGATCGAGCCCGAGCCCTAGAAGTAACACTGTGACTGGAGATTTGCTCGTTTTGACGATCTTCAAGAAGAACAGATGAACTCGGATGTGTGGTGGTGCTTTGAGATGTGATGCTTCGAGACCTTTGAGCTCGTGCTTCCTCTAGAGATATGAGATTAAAGGAAGGCGAAACGGCGCGCTCAGTCCAACCGGATATATTTCCCGTTCGAGGAGGAAGGAAGTCAGCACGTTCGGCTGTATGAGTGGTACTGCGAAACGCTACAGGAGATGAAATCTCGCGACCGAAGGCTTGTAGCCGAGGACTCTGCGGTAAAGGTTCGTGCGTTGGCTGTACAGAGAGCGATATCTGAGGCTGCTGGTTTATGGAAGTATACGAAGCAGTGGAATTAGTTAGGGTTGAAACGGTCTCACTGCGAGGTATATTGGGAAAATCTATCTTTTTGAATAGGGCTCGAGGGTCATGTTCCAAAGGGGCAGAGGGATTTGATCGAGCATACGGATGTGTGTCTTCCACCGAATATGCGAACGACGGGCGTGGTTCAGACTCACCACTGCCTGAGCTACGAGTCGTAGTGGTTCCTTCTACGACGCGTCCAGGGAAAACGGGTGAACGAGGGCTAGAAGGTGAGAAGTGTGCCGAAGAAGGTGACTCCGCGTGAGCAGGAGAAAACGGTCGATGGGGACCTCCTGGGACTAAGGACGTCGAGGATAGACTGGCCTGAGCTAAAGTGCTGTGGGACAGTGAGGCGAACAATTTGATCAAGAATGTGATTGAGGACTCACTGAATTGCGCTACGCCCATATGAAGTTTGAGAGGAAGTGGTATCGAACGACTTCTTAGCCACCCGCCGAGACCTACTAGATTCTCTACTAGACCTGCCGTTGTTATTTCCTAACTTTGAGCCGCCGAAACGAAAGTGACGAGCTGCACCTCCTTTGTTGCGAGTAGTAGACGACATGACAGAATGACTATACATGTCATCCTCCGACTCTTCGTCCTGCTGTAGCACGGAGTCATCTAACTCCCAAGGGGCTTTAGAATGGAAGCGCATCTTAGGACCGAGTAGACTCAGGCGAGGCATCGCAAGTTCATCCTCCTCCTCCTGATGCTGTTCAACAGTACTCTGGTCTCCACCATCCATATCGTCGTATTCATTCGAAGAATAAGAAGACCGAGGTTCGTCGTCCATGTCAAGCATACTGACAGCAAGATCGTTGAACCGGTCGCGGTCTGAACGGATAGGAGAAGCGAAATTGCTGGACAATTCATCTACGTTACTGTTGAAGTGAGGGGGCTGAGGAGAAAAATAAGCATGACTGTATAGAGAAGGTGTATCTGAGAACTCGGAAAGAGAAGGAACTCGAGAATGAAGGTCGGCGCGGGTCGCTCGTTGGTCAAGAAGGCGTCTGAGGTGGGCGTCATGAGGGTCCACAGAAGGATTTGGGGACCTCTGCATGGCTCTGCCAGCGGAGATGGCGGTAGAGAACAGAAAACCTGAGAAACCTGATATTTGATATTTGATCTGAACCTATTTTTTTAACTTGACAAGATAATCTCGCTTTTACACGCTTTGACAGGAGTAACGATAGATTCACTCAAATTCTTTCTCGCCCAATGGGCATACGATAGCTATTCATGGACTTCCGATAGATTCCTTTGAGCGTCATATTGTTTTCTACGGTCCGCGCATTAAAATTTCAACTAGCGCCAGGTTAGCGCCATGGACTCTTTTCCTTCCAACAACAGCAACCCGCTCGAGCTACCCTCTTCTTCAAACGGAAGGGTATCTGGGAAGAGCTGGAAGACGGCCAGATCTGCCACTGTGTACGATTTCAACTGTTGTTTCTTAGTTTATCATCTGAATAATATCGTAGTCGGTCTCGTTTGCCGGATGGTGTCAAAACAAAGAGCTGGGCAGCTCGCATGGAGCAGACAAAGAGATCTCTTGCCATCAAGAAGGTAGAAAAGGAATTAAAAGACGAGAAAGTTGCTGAGGTTACTCGGTATGTCCCCAAACATGAACCTAGTAGCTGGTCAGTCTGACCGCTCTCAGACGCAGGGAAGTGACTTTAGAAAGACGAAGAGCGGCAGAAGAGAAACGTAGATTAGAGGAGGATAAAGCTAAGGCATGTTTCCTGGTACCTAAAGTATTCCGAATGATACTTACACCACCTAGATGGGCGCTCGTAAAGCCGCAAGAATACGGAGAAAAGCCGGCAGGACGAAGAAAATCAACGGCTAATCTTTGTTCGAAGCTCCATTCCGTTACCCATGTACCATTAGGCTATCATATCGTTAAATAAATAATTTAGCAACCAGCAAATGAAAACTGTGAACAACATTCACAACGTCCACGTTGTATCCAACTCGCCTTCTGCAATAAATGGCTTATCCAACCCGACCACGACGCTCTCGCACAAAGGACAATTGCTTGCCAGGAGGTCATCCAGTTCAGCTCGAAGTTTTTCAACTTTTTTCCCTCCGTCAGTATCGTTTCCGTTTCGCCTTCCGCCCCCAATGCCTGGTATCCATGTCGGCGCAGATACCAACGCAGCGAGCGCATCCGGAACAATCAAATCTCGTATCTTGTCTCCCGCAGAGAGAAGATTTCGTCCAAGGAGATTCGCTGCCCGAGTGCCGTTTTGGAGTGGATTGGTGAAGTTGGCAGACAGGAGAGTACGTTGAGTATGGGGTTGACGGCTTTGTGGTTGTACAGCTGGATTGACAGGAGCTGGGCTGGTGATATTTGCACTAATTGTTGGAGTACCGGCACCCTTCATTAGTTCTGTTTGCAATGCGAGTATCCGACGGAGCGAATGAGCCGGCAAGTACTCTTTTACCTATAGCGACGTCAAAACTGAGTTCTTTATCTGGATTAGAGCTCCACTTACCAAACCAATGAGACAGTCGGCATGAAAGTTGTGTCTACAAGGAAAAACGTAGAACTGTCGCGTCAAAAGTAAATGGGAGCAGACTGAACAAGTATCTCCCGCATCAATCGTTACAAAGCGATTCCGAAGTGCATTGATATCCTGCTTAATGGACTCTGCTGTTCGAGTTGCGTCATCCATCTCGTTTCTCAACATGTCTATATGAGACGAATACCCCTCCAGGGCATGGGCAATTTCCTCCTTGAAATCGTCAATTACGACAAAGTCCGGGAAGAAAGGCAAGATGTCTTCAATCTTCAGGAGATCTGTGTTCTCCAAGAATCGCATGGCTCTGTCAAACACCAACCAAGTCAGAAATCCAATCGTTCAAATCTTCGCAGACCACACGCACGTTTTGATATCCTTCTTGTCTTGTACGACATAGCGTGCAATCTTCAGCCATAGCTTTTTCCTCAAGGGTTGATCATCTTCAGGCATATCGGCGTTGATCTTTGCTAGCTCTAAATCTCCTTTCTCTAGTGCTAGGTCAACGCTATTTTCATACAGAGCCATTTTGGAATAGATATGCACGCAAGGTTGTGTACGGCCTGTCTGTTTGCATAAACGCAGGGCGTAGTCCAAGTCATAGTAAGGCTTCCCAGTGATAGGATCCGCTGGGGCAGTCGAAAGGAATCGGAGGATCGGACCGTCGTCTGAAGTAGCCGAACTCGATGGAGCGGAGGAAGGAAGGACATAGAAGGTGACAAGAAGATTATGAATGGTAGGGGAGGTATTTTGTTGTTCGAACACAATATGGTTAAGGTACCGAATAGCTTGGTTCGGTGAAAGAGGGTCGCGAGGAGCATGTTGAAGTTGCAACAGCGACGGTATGAGGCGTATTGGATCCAAAGTAGGTTGTTTCAACCATGAGTCGACCGTCTCCTTTGGTGCTTGCCGCAAAAGTACAGCGCAAAATCTGTAATACAGTTCGAGATTTGACTGGATGTGATGGTATGAGTACAAATCCGCGCAGAGAGATGGAATTGTACCGCACCTGTCGATTGAGGGTATCGATTGCCTTTGACCATTCCTCCTCCATAACCCAATGTTCGATTACTCGCTCAGAGTCACCAATGACAGTAGCATAGTGTAGGTACATATCCGTTCGACCATGGCCTTGAATGAGTTCATATGTCGTTTTTGGGTCAAGGTTATTCTAGACAAGACATTACCAGCCAGATGTAGACGTCAGCCATATCCACTAACCTTGTAGGTCTCGAAAAATTGCCGGAGATCATCCTCGAGAATAGCACGTTCTGCTTGCAAGTTCCCAACATCATGTAACACCGATTCAGAGGCGACCATATCATCCAGTTCGTTGCATTTGCTAAGATAGAATTCAACTAACCATGTAGCCAACATCATCCGCTGGGTAATGTCAGTCTTCTTGGTTCTCTCCAGTCGTGAGATGATATATGACCGTAAAGCGTCTCGCTCATTAACGTCCAGAAATTTGAGTACCACCTCCTCGAAGGACACTGAGCATTGAGCATAGCACTGGGCTGCCTGAAAGAACCGTCCTCCTGAGAAAAAGCTGTTTGCTTGAGCAGCTAAGACTTGGTTACGTTGTCTTGCGGTCTATTTATTTTTGATTCGATTACCGCCTTTCGAGAAGTGAAAGGAAGAATGAACCTTGGTATGGCGTAATGCAGTCTCGAACTGGTTCTTCTCCAAGTAGATTTTCCACACATCCCTATCTTCATTTCCAACCAATAACTCGAATATGGATTGATCAGTGTACACCCAGTACGTTTTCCGAACGGGATCAGCAGTGATCCCTCGGACCTCTTCACCGGGCCTCTGTTGAAAGATAGTCAATTATGATCACGGAAAGGAAAGGAATTTGATGTTACTAGTGGAAGAGGTTCTTCGTATGTGACTTTGTCGTCTAAATTGCACACGCCGGCGATCCGATCTTTGTAGAGAATGACATAGTGAAAGTCCGTTAATGCAATTGAGAGTGGAACTTCCGATACGCCTCCAGATGTATTGTAAGGCAAGACGTCAGCGGCGTCGATAAAGTCGTCCGTGGTACTCTCAAAATTGAGGTTCCCGTGGTATATTCCCGGAGCTGGCCAGCGGTCAGGTTTGTGGACGACACATCACGGAATCTCCGCTCACCAGTCATCCAAGCAAGTGACCTTGGCAGTGAGTTCGCTTGCTCCGGGTTAGAAGTGTAAAAGTGAAGTTCAGAGTGCTGCGTATCACCAGGAAGTTCTAAGATTTTAGGAACCTTATCTCTATACGAAGCAAACATTGTCGAGAATATACGTCCACTATCATCAGAGCGACGATCAGGAGTTCCAACAAATTGATAAATTCGCGAAGGTGTTGTCACAACCACTAAAGCCCTTCTCGGGTCTGATGGAGGGAAAAACTCGTATTTAACGCCAGTCACAGGGTGGAGTTCCGGCAAGGAGAACACGGGTTGAAGGTAGCGTTCCTGCGACTTGAAAAAGTCTTCCTCGGCATTGAGCATGGCTTCATATACAGTTCCATTCCGGGCACCGAGAAGAATTTCCCGCGTAGATGTGGGTTGGGCATTGGATAACATCGCCGCCTTGTTCCACGCAATGCTCTCTATGACAAGTTTGTTGAATGTCTTCAGCTGACGCGGCTTCTTCCATGTTCTGTATAGATACCAATTCTGTCCTTGTGTAGAAGTTATGATGATATGCCTCCCGGACGGGTCCATGAACAGTTTGTGCAACGTCATTTCATTTGGTTTGGCCGGAATCTGTATTTTGGTGACTTGTGTAGCATGGGCCAATTCAATCAATATAAGCACGTTGGATGCGAGACCCATAACGAGCATGTCAGAGCAGACCACGAGAGAGACGAGAGGAGCGTTGATGGCGCATTGCACTTGACCAAGGTCAAATATCGGGGATTGAGGAGGTTCTACATCTGGAGCCTCTTGCTTAACGCGTAGATTAGGCTCCAATTCTCAGTCGGAAAAGCAAAATTACGCACTAGGTCAAAGTCAAGGACTTCTTCTGGCTGGGCAGGCTCAAAACCCTCGTACTGCAATCCACGACTCTGTAATACACCATGACTGGGGGTAGCAGCGGTAGTATGTTCAACGTCTGTGACACCGTTAACAATGGGTCAGGAAAGAATTCTTCCAGCTTACATTCGTCAAACATGATGGTGTCACTGCGGAGAGCACGTATTGTTATCAAAACTTGTTAGGCGCTCGTACATTATTACTTATTTGCAGTCCACTCCAGGTCCACTCTGCGTCCACTTCAGTCTCTTTCCTGCTACTACATAAACCTTGTAATAATTCGGTCAGTTCTCCGTGTGTTACATTGAAGAGTCGGACAATGACCACTTCCAATCATCATATGTGATTCCAATTCGGCCATAAAAGGCGATCGCGCGAGCTTGTTCACCCTTTGCTTTGCAAGCCATCATCGATATCCTTAGACTTCCTACTTCAAAGGATTTACTTGAATATCAAGCCAGTCATTCTTATCATTTACCATCATGCCTCGTCCTATGCCTCGTCTATTTGTTATTCGCCACGGTGACCGTTGCCCTCTTTTTCCATCATGATTATACGAGAGCTGATTCTTGCTTTCAATATATCAGGTGAGACTGAGTGGTCTTTGAATGGGTCAGTCTCCACCATCTTCGTTACCGACTCATTACCTGATTCCGGACATTTTGCTATGACATAGGAGACATGTTGGTATTTCTACGTTGTCCATGGATGTATGCACTCTATGAAACTACCCAGACTGGCCGTACCGATATCCCCCTTACTGCCAGAGGAGAACAACAAGTCAAAGAGAAGGCAACCATCCTTATCGGCGAAGGCAGTATGTACTGTTTTTGGGTACGATATTGAAGACAGCTACTCACTCTCCCACGTCCTTAGGACCTATCGATCCCAAGAATCTTTGCACTGTCTTCGTATCTCCTCGTCAGCGTGCTCACAAGACTTTCCACCTTCTTTTTGGTCACGTCGAGACTCCGAATCATATTTTGACGGAGGAAGCTCGGGAATGGGACTATGGTCTGTTTCATCATCCCTCATCGATGAAGCCGCCCGCTTAATCCCCAGTTGCAGGAGAGTACGAAGGGTTGTTGTCATCGGAAATCAAAGAAAAGCGCCCCCACTGGAATATCTGGCTAGATGGGTAGCGTATATTCATTTGGTGTTCTTTCGACAGTGAGTCTCATCACACAATCCACAATTGGTACAGATGTCCTGGAGGCGAGTCGGTTGAACAGATGGAAAATCGCGTGGACCGCATTATAGACAGTGTGCGTGTATTTCGTATAACCATTCTACCTTTCCCAATCCACTGCTGTCGATAGGTTCGCAAATATCATAGAGAGTACCACGAAGAGGGCTTGAACACGCGAGACGTGGTGATCGTTGCTCATGGACATTTTTCGTAAGTCTTTCCTCGCTCGGCTCCCGCTGTACTGTGAAATGCTAACGCGCCGTAGTCGTGTTCTGATCTCAAGATGGATCCAGTTCCCACTTAAGCTCGGTACACATTTCAATGTGGAACCTGGAGGAGTAAGTCCTTCATATTGACCTGGACACCAAATAATGCCGACTAATGACCAATTTTCAAGGTCGCCGTTTTGAGCTACAACCATAACACACTCGCAGAGCCCGCATTGAACGCTCTCAATCTTTATGCTGACCTGAGATGAATGTTTGGCGGGTAGAATCCAGGCAGAATTAGGTAGAATTAGATGATGCAACCGTACGTACATACTGAACTCGTACTCACGTTCATTGTACATAAGTACTTATAGTAAGAATTAATTATTAGACAGACGCCTCGGAAGTAAATATACGCGCCGTCGCGCGACGCGTCATTTTCCGCCCCTGCCTGATTTGGGCAAATTCTCACCCCCACCATTCAAGTGACAGTCACTTGCCTTTCCAAACCTCTTTTTTAAACTTATTTTATCGTTTCGTATAATGGCTGAAGTAGATGTGCTGAGCGCGACTTCTGCATCCGACAAAGACCTCGACTACGTGGAGGGAAATATAGATCAGGGATCAGAAACGGCGTCAGAAGGTGCGCAAACTTCGAAACATGACAAAACACGAGGCCCATGACCATTTTCATTCAGCTCCCGCCGAAAGTGTAATGTCTGAGCCAGTTGAAAAGCTCGACGAGCAAGAGTCCGCTGAAAATGGCTTAGTTCAGCACGATATACCTCCCGAAGTCCCTGTCCCCATACCCACGCACGCAGACGTTACTTCCGAACATGAAGCTGAATCTCCCAAAGGCGCTGAAAAACATAATTCAGCAGCCGGTGTCAATCCCAAGGCAGTGACGCCAGTGAAATCAGGCGTCGGCAAAAGCAATGGTTCAACTGCTGTGAAGAAAGCGAGTATCAACGTGTTTGATGGTGATATCTTTTAACATGACTTCATTTCAGATTCCCAACTCTGCTACTGGTGCTGGTGCTGCGAAAGTTCCGGCCAAAGCATCATTGCCTTCATCCACAAGGCCTGCGGCTACCAGCACTGTGAAGAAATCTACTAGTGCCTCCGCGGCCAGCAACGCAACTGCTAAACCAACAATGTCCAAGCCCGCCCCTCCTCCATCTAGACGAGCCTCTCTTGCACCCTCCTCCAAACCACCAGTTGTCCGGTCGGCATTATCTTCCTCTGTAAACACGAAACCTCCAATTGCTTCCGCAACCTCAGCTCCGCGTGCTTCAGTCGCATCACCAACGAACGGTGATGCAAAAATTGGTGCCGCCGCCCGGCCGCGGGCGTCTGTGTCTGACGTTGCTGCAAAACGTTCTTCCGTCACCTCTCGTCAGAGTCTTTCCTCCTCCACTGCGGCTAAGCCTGTAGCACCCAGTGCGGCTGCTCCCAAGGCAGCATCGAGGACCGCTTCGGTTTCTCATACCAAACCGTCGAAGTCGTCTCCATCTATTTCATCCATTCGGGAAGTACGAGGTGAAGATGGTAAGGTAATTGAAGACTTACAGAACAAGGTACGTCCAAATATGTTCGTTTATATTTTTGGGCTAAATTGTCTCCCTCGTTCGGCAGCTCAAAGAAAGTGGTGAAGCTCTCAAAGCTAAAGCCGACAGCATTTCCGACCTTGAAGGCCAAATAGGCCATCTCGGAGCTTCTTTGGAAGCTGCAAAGGCTGAGGCTGAGGCCAAGGATGTCATTCTGTCAGAGTTGGAAGGTTCGAAGACAGCTTTAGAGGCACAGTTGAAGGAAGCCCGAGAGACCTTGTCGAAATTGCAAAATGAGCAGGAAGAGGCCGTTTCCAAACTTGCTGCCGTTCAGGAAGAGGTGAGTTGTCATAAACATGTATCTTTTGATCTGTCTTTTATATACTTGACACAGCTCGAAAATGCGCGGTCGTCTCTTGTCTTACAACAAGAGCTTGTTCAAACTCTGCAAGAGCAAATTCAAACCCAGGGTAATGACTTGGCTCTGCTCAAAGTGAATGTTAGCCAATCAGCTGAAGATTCCCAAGCCGCTTCGTTGGAGCATGAGGCTTTACTCAAAGCTCAGGCGGATTTTTCAGCAATACAGGAGGAGACTGCTGCGCTAAAGGTCGCTCATAACACCGCATTGGAAGAAGTCCTGGCCAAGAGTCATGCTGTGGAGGAGGGGTTGAAGGAGAAGACCATCAGCTTCGAAGCACTTGTAGCACAGATCGCTGAAATGAAGGCAGAGAAGGAGGAGAATGCAAACAAAGTTTCGGAACTCGAAATCGAAATATTGGAATTGAAGGAAAGCCAAGAGACTGCTGAGGATGAGCGTTCGACGTTCGCACTCAAAATCCAGGCACTGGAGGAGGAGTTGGCGAAAGCCCACGCTGCTGCTCAGGGAATCGAAGACGATTATAAAGCTAAAGAGGCAGAGTCCAGTGCACGAGCCGAACAGATCAGTGCATCTCACGAGAACGCTGTACAAGCTGCTACTCAAGCACAGGCTGAGCTCGTCACACAGCTAGAAACGCTGAAAGCTGCTCTTAACGAAGCAAAAGCGGACAATGAACATGCACGGGCTGAAGCATCCGCTTCAACGGACGCTCATTCCGCTGCTTTACAGGAAGCTGAACAAAACTACCTCAATAAACAAAGTGAAATGTCGGCCGAGATCCAACGAATTACTGCGGAACTCGAAGTGAGTTTCTTTTAACCAATTGCTTTGTCCGAATCGACGTGAATATTCTTCCAGGGCCAAGAAGCGAAGTACAACGCCAAAGTCGATGACGTCAAGGCTGAACACGATAAATTGCTTCAAGAGGCTTTCGAACGAGCGAAGGTCCGTTCTATCATACGAACTTTTTGGAAATACAGGCTTAGGCATGATAATTAGTCAGAGGCAAGTGAGATCCACAAACAGGATCTCGCTGAGGTTCGCGGAGGGTTTGACCAAACAGCTGCTCAATTACAGGCCAACCACGATTCGACTGTAGAAAGCCTACGCGCCGAGCATGCTGAAATTCTGGAAACGCAATCCAAGAGTTTCGAAAAACAGATTAGCAAATTGTCTCTGGAATTGAAAGCGACACAGGATGATTTGGCCAAATCGAAGGCCGCGCTCGAAGCCTCGAAAACGGAAATCGAGAATCTGACCAATCAGCGAGATGCAGCTCGGGCTGCTGGGGAAGCTTCGCCAGACCCGTCCTCGGAACTCAGTGCCGAAGTCACTCGCTTGGCCCAGGAACTCTCAAATTCGAAAGACGATCTTTCCGCTGTTACTGATCAGCTTAATCTCACCAAAGAGTCTATCGTTGCAATGACCGCTAATCATGCTGCAGAACTGGAAGAGGCGGCCAAGGCACGTGCTGAAGAGACCACGAAACTTCGCTCTGCCCACGATGCCGAGATTTCCTTGATTGTAACCCAGAAGTCAGAGTTGTCGATGCAGATATCTGATTTGCAGGGCGAACTAGCCACCGTGAAAGCAACACTCGAAGCTGAGCCGGCAGCCCCGAAGGGCAATGGCTCCGTACCGCAGTCGCCAGGTGTTTCCAGAGAAGAATTACAGCGGATGCATGAGGCCCATAACCTCAAAATGAATGATCTAATTGCTCATCATGAGAAGGAAATGAAGGTGATAAAAGAGGAGCGAGATAACTCTCTTCAAAGCGCTCGTGAGGCCGACGAGAGATGTTCAGCGAAAGCTATGGAGCTTCACCTTCTTGAGTCAGAATCTGAGGAAAATGGAGATGAGATCACTCGGTATGTTAAATTCTTTGGTTTCAAGGGTTTTGTGGGGAGTATGATTGCGCTGGTCGCGATTTATGCATTCGTTTAATCTCCTTTCGATCTACGTTACATCTGGAAATAATTTATTGACTTAATATCATTTCTCAAGCCTCAAGGAATACATCGATCAACTCAATGAAGAGATGAAGAAACTCAAAGATGGTCAGGCCATTCCGACTTGACAACAGCCAGGCGCAGCATCGTCCTCGCGGTTACTCGCTGGTTGCCCCACGATCTCAATGAATGGACTCATTCACGGCGGATTCGATTTAACGCTAGTGACATTTTGGATTTATACCTATGCACTTCTATTTCTATATTACCCTAGCCATACCCTCCAATACCACAGTCTTATCTTGTTTCTTCCCTACCCTTTGTGGTTGAAGATTTTATCTTTCCCCAGAATTGCTATGAAAACAACTGAACTGCCTTGGCATTCATAATAAGAGGACTCTCTTGCAATGTCTACTGAAGTCTGGAGGTATAATATGTTGGGGACAGGGTGGTAAGTCCTGGTAAACCTGTAACTCACGCGCCCTGTTTGTCTTACTCAAACTCACCCAGCTAGTATGTATGTATATCACCTTGCTTGTCAAGGTCTATCTGCCACCGACAATTGAAGCAGTTTCTGGTGTCTTTTGTACACATGTACAAACAAATCAGTGATTTCCCACAATAAGCGCGCACTATACCCTGCCATAGTACATAAGACTTCGAAACTTCAAGTTCAGCCTTTTGGTTTCTTGACAGCTCAATCACTGTATCAAATTCAATGAGAAGATTTGAATTATGCTAGTAGCCTAGCATACTTAATGGGAGATGAATAGTACTATGGTGCAATTGGGTATAACACAACCAATCAGGAACAGATGCCATTTGGGATCAGCGAAAAAATTTATGCCTATTTAGTGACTCTTCCAGTCCTGAATAAGATAGCTTTGAGCAAGGAAGGTGAGTGCTTCGGAACGAGGCCCTTTTCCAGTCTTACAAGTCCTGCAAAATAAAGACGCTTTCATAGGTCTCTTCCTGTGAGTTGCGGGTACAGTCGATGAGTATTTTAGAATGGGAAGCGGTAGGAAACCTGCGTAAAATTGCCGACGGACCGGACACCCCGACAAATAAGAATAAATCCGTTGGGGAAACATCATTCGACATTTCACCTTACCCTTCGTTACCCTTTCATCCTCTTTCTCTCTCTTCCAACTCTCTCCCTCTCTCCACGGTCACTGGTCACTGGTTAATACGATGGCAATTCAAAAAGAACCTGGACAAAAGGGGGTCAACTGGTCCAATATTGCTGTCGGTAAGCGCGTTGTACATTTTAGTCGTTTGGTACACGAAACTAACTCGTTGGTCAAATTCAGGTGCTATAATGAATATGGTATTATGTTACATATGTGCACAACTGAGCCTATAGCTGACTATTCTTATCTTCTCGTTTGTGTGATAATTTACCAGTTCGTGAGTGAATATCCTGCGAGTATTTGTTTTCTAATGTTGATGGCTAACTTTCTTGTATTGTAGGAGGCAAGTCCTTTCCCAAAATATAGAACGGTCAAGCTCACCAGTAATCGTATTAGGTTACTACTCTTGGACAACCGCTGGAGGTCCTCAAGACGCAGATGGCTGCTAATCGGTCTCAGTCAATGTGGCAGGCTTGCAAAACTGTCTGGTCTCGAGGAGGCGTCGTTGGATTTTATCAGGGCTTGATTCCATGGGTATGTTTCTTCTACAAAAACAGTAAACTCTAGGTTCTAACACCGTTCACTCAGGCTTGGATCGAGGCATCCACGAAAGGCGGTGTTCTGATGTTCACGGCTTCAGAAGTCGAAACTGCTTCTCTTGGAATGGGTGTCAATCCTGCATTTGCTGGGCTGTTAGGTGGAATGACTGGAGGCGTCGCACAGGCTTACGCCACAATGGGTAAGTTTTCAACTGCATATATATTTACTCCCTTTCCGTGTCACCGTACATGCTGCCTGTTGAATCGTTCTTATCTTCTCTCAGCTTACTATTATACTTTAAACAGGCTTCACGACATGTATGAAAACGGCTGAAATTACACGTCACAAAACCGCTGCCGCTGGCGTCAAGCCGCCTTCAACTTGGGCTCTCTTCGCTGAGATTTACCGTAAGGAAGGTCTTGCAGGTGTGAACAAGGGTGTCAATGCGGTTGCAGTCCGTCAATGTACCAATTGGGGTTCTCGGTATGTACTAACATGTCGTGTCGATATTGTCACGTTCATTCCAAGAATCTAGAATGGGTTTCGCTCGTCTGGCCGAGTCAAGTATCCGGAGCATTCGTGGAAAAACAAAGGATGAAAAACTGGGTGCAATGGACAAAATATTGGCTTCGTCGATCGGTGGTGCTTTGGCAACTTGGAATCAGCCCATTGAGGTAATCCGGGTTGAGGTGAGTTTGTTTCCAATCAAATCTTGGGTTTGTTCTCATTCTATCTTTCAGATGCAATCTATGGCTAAAAATGCTGCTGCCAGTGTCAATCGACCTGCTAAGCTCACAATCTGGTCCACTTTCACGTATATCTACAAAGAGAACGGGATCAAAGGTTTGTATAGAGGAGTGACCCCTCGGATTGGACTGGGCATTTGGCAAACTGTTTGCATGGTTTCCCTAGCAGACTACGTCAAGGCTTGGTATGTCTATTTACCTCGTGTCTATTGACCTCGAGCTAACCATCTTCAACAGGGTTAAGAGTCAATAGTAGATTCACAGGCTGACCTGATCTAAACGCATTTCTAAATCTTACGTAGAGTTGTATCTTATTCCTTGCTGCTATCGAGCTCGAGTAGGTTCGAGTGTGGTTTAATTATATTACTGGATATTTACGGTCATAAGCTTACTCGGGCCCGGGTAAGAGACTGCCCGACTGCGAGTGCTTTTATCTGCCAACAACCACTAACCTTCAGCTTGATCAACCATGAGTTCCTCAATAGCCAAAGGTCCACATCCGCTATTAGCACGATATCTCTCTGCTCTTGCTTCTCATCCCCTTCGTACGAAAGCTATTACTACTGGTCAGGGTTTACGTTGTTCCATTCATTCACGTCACCTGAATTCTCCTTCAGCACTCCTATGTTTCTTACAAGAAATTCTTGGGAGTAACCTAGCCGGCGTACCAGCCAAGAAAGTGTCAAAGGATTACCCATTAGTTTATAAACTGCTGGCGAACGCACACGTAGATGCAAAGGCAATCAAGATGGCAGTATATGGTTTCCTCGTCTCAGCACCCCTCAGTCATTTCCTCGTCGGGGCCCTTCAGAAAGCTTTTTCTGGGAGAACTGATACGAGAGCAAGAGTTGCTCAAATCGTAACCAGCAATCTTCTCGTCTCTCCCATCCAAGCTTCAAGTACAGTGGACTGTCCTCTATCGTCTCGACGTATATTCATGACATCTTGTCCATGTAGTTTACCTTGCTTCTATGGCTATAATCAGTGGAGCCAAGTCCACAAAGGATATCGTCAAAACAATACAGAGCGGTTTTTGGTCAGTTATCAGGGTCAGTGAAGAGTCAATTACTTTTGGAATGATAAACTGACTGATCAATACACAATTTCAGGTGAGTTGGACGGTCAACCCGCTCGTCATTGCAATAGCCCAAAACTATATTCCGCTACATGTACGTGATTCTTAAGGGGTTTTCCTCGTCTTCACAGACTTAAATTCAACAGTTGTGGGTTCCTTTCTTCAACACAGTCCAATTTGTGCTCGGAGTGAGATTTGGCTTCTTGCATTCGTCCAGTATGAAGCTAACTTTATACAGACATATTTCAACTATCGAGTAAAGCAACTACGCATGCGGAAAGAGAAAGAGGAACTTGACAAAGGAAAATGAGATAAGCGTCTGTTCGAGAGGTGAAACTTGAAATTGGAAAGCTGGGTCCATGAATTATACTCACATCACGTCGATACATGAACGAACTTAAAAAGAATTATACGCATGGAATATTAATATGGTTATCTATTGTGACCGTGCATGGCATACATGGACGAGATGGCTATTATCTAGCGGGTTTTGAATATATCGATAGCGCACACGTTCTACGTTGGTGACAGTATCGGTTGAGAGCTCGAATACCTCAGTTTCCATACACCAAGCCCCAACGACATAAGTACCTGGTCTCTTTATCCACGCTGTTGCGACAAAAGCTGTATGATGTGAAGGTTCTAGCTTTGCGCGAAATGTGAGGCGACCACTATAGATGATCGCCTGCTCATCACTGATGAATGTCAAGTCAATTACAGAAGGTAAAAACACGAAAAACGTCGACCCACGAAGGCGAAGCTTTTGACTCAACGGTATCATTCAGCTTTAAGGTGAACCGCGATTGCAGAGTAGTGGAGTAGTTCCTGACTGTAAAGTGCACGCGCAAACGATAGGGTCTAAGGATATCATTAGATAACACTCAGTCCTCCTTGAAACTACTCACCCTGTTGCGAAGTCGTGACTGACATCATTCGTATGAATGATAACATGTAGAGGGTTCATTTCCATGTTCCATTCGCTATTGCGAATGTCCTCGAGAATTTCCTCCTTCTTTCGCTGAGTCTCTGCATACATGCTTCGCGTAATCTTTGAATTTTCTGCAGATCTTATGATATCACGAAGAGGAGAATGTGTAGCTCCAAGGATGAGGCCAGAAATAAGTATGTTTCCTGAGCGATTTTCAGCGGGGATCTCCCAAAAGACAAGCACATCGAGTGCAGCAGGATTGAAGAGCGGGAATATATGCGGATGCGTGTGGGATGGTATGTGAGGATATGAAGCGGGGCGGGATCCTATTACAGCATGTCGCTTTCCACTGTGAATGAGTGATGGAATCGCGAAGCGATTCAACGGAAGTGAGTGTGAACCCTGTGGACAGCGTGAGTCCGATTACAGACACCAAGAACCGTTACATACCTGAATAGAATGACTACAGCACAGATCTAAAGGAGGCGGATTCAACAAATCAACGGCCCTTCCGTGAATCACGCCAGCAAGTTGCTTCAGAATGAATTCGAAAGTCTCCCCACATCCGGAGGGCTTGTCCCATGGATTGATTCCAAGAACAAAACGAGACAGCTGCAAGGGAAATATAGAACCCCTAGATGGTTGATTTCAGTATCTCTGGTAACCCTGATGGGAGTATACAACTCACGGTTTTCCGTAGATTGAAGAATCACAAATCCAACTGGGACTAACAGTTGATATTTGCGTAAGCCGTACAACGGAATTAGAAATATTCTGTAGCTCGAGATGTAGCAAGTACATCGCCTCGACGTTTGTAGATGGAGTCGCAAGGGAAGTGATCCTGAACAAGGGGTGCACTGAACACGTTTGTACTTTTCGTACTTGTTTGAAAGGCGCTTGAGGTGTCTAAAAAATTTGACGTCGATACAGGTGAAGCTCCTTGATATTCATACACACCTCCCGGTAGAGCAAAAGAAGATGAATATCCTTCTGAGTGAAGTCTAGGGCGTGGAACGTCAGAGAGACCTCTAAGGATTCAGCCGGAGCAAGAGAAAACGAAGATCCCAGGGGTATATTGAATGGCTTAAATGGTTCTGAAGAATTAGACGAGTGTATACTCTCTACCGCGGGCATTTCATCTAAGATGGAACTCAGCGCAAAGAGATGGAAACGCAATGTAAGAAACTTCACCAGAAACCTCCCCATTTCCTTCATCTAACCATAAATTGTCCGAACCCACAACTAACCACACCTCGTCTATCGATTCAACGCCAATACTGGATAAACATAACCTGAGATGCGTAATTTCCCCTTGATGTAAGTTCAACTCTTTGTCATCTACAAAGCTTGCCTGTAATCGACAACCTGGTTCCGCAACGTCTACTTGCATCAAAACATCGGGAGCATAGGTGGGTGTTTGAAGGTGTGTGGGTGTGCTGTACAGGCGTTTGCCGCGCGCAGCCAGAGATTCGGTAGAAGGAAGAAGAGATAGAAACGTATAAGTTACATGGGTAATTGTTAAAGACGCAGGTCGGATTGCTTTGATAGATATGGAGATCTAAGAAAAGTTAGCCCCCACGGATAGGGTGATGACCTAAATGTAAATGCACAAACAGTTCGAGTCTCTTTAGCACCGATAATCACATCCTCGATAACCTCTATCTCAGCAGAAAGTTTTGAAGGAGAAGGTTCAATGACGTTAGATTCCCGAATCACAAGCGTCACATCTGTCAACGTGACGTTTACGTCCAGGGGATTTTTTAACACAAGGTCGACCCAAAACGGTTCTGAGGTAAACAGATGAGATAGAAGGACGTAGTTAAGCAGCTTGAAAACTCAGTTACCATTGACATAGGCTTTTTGATTGGTCGCAAAGCGTGAGGTTACACCGCGAGATTTATTGAATCTGCTCCATGCTTCTTCGCGCTTCTCCCATTCTGACGATTCGCCTCTAATATTGTCGTTGGTAAACCTGAAACAGCTTTGAGAAGCGAGGCAGAAAGTGAATGGTAAGTGAAAGTCGTTTAGTTGTTCAAGATTCGGAGTGTTGGCGCGCAGGTGCTGACAGTAATCTTAGTCCACATGTCACGATGCGAATTAAGGATACTAACTTCAAAAGCTGTTCTGAAATCCTCTAGATAGACCTCAACACTTTGAACATCATCGTCATCCGAAACTGCAGGCGAGACTGGGGATAATGTGGAGGCTTCGAGTAGACTTAAAAATATCTTGACTGCGTCTTGAGTATGACCGGTGCTGTACAGTAGGCGTCCTGCATGCGAGTCAACATCGTTGATGCATGTTGTCAATCAACTCACCTAGAGAATGCTCGATTACAGGCTTTATTGCCGTATGTTTTCGTGAGTTAGAAGCCTCTTCCCCTTCTGCATCCCAGAAAGAGGGTGAGAGTTCTTTCTTCGGACAATTCATGCACAGATCATGAGCTCTGCGAAGGAAATACATCGTTAATGGTTTCTGTAGCATATGCTTAGCATTTCAATGGAGTAGGCAGAAAGCACATACAATACCACATTTTTCTAATCTGTTTGCAGCCATGAGATACCATAGCGCCGCTCGTCGAAGTGCTTGTCTCCTCGAGCTGATGAAAGCAGCATGTGCCAACAGCAAAGCTGACGGTGGTTCTTCTGCCTTGAGAAAGTATTCTTTATCATGGCGTGCAACTTGAAGACAAAAAACATACGCTTCCCGCAGCCCAGACCAGCCAGCGTTCTCCTTCGAGCAGTTCACTTGCAAAATCGGATGGGTCAATACCGACCTCCCACCGTATAGCACATAACAAAGCCCGCAACTGCACTTTCGCAAACGGCTCTGTTGGCTGAGTAAACATGGTGGCAAAAGTGTTGGCAACATGTAGAGGTATCGCAGGTGACGGTGATAGCAATAACGGTAGGATGTCCTTACATTTGGATGATCAGTAGTAGTTCCACTGACAATAAGAGATGCTCACTGAGCCTCCTTTCCCTTCCTTGGATAGTGTCTCCCAGACAGTCACTGCCAGCTTGAAGTCGCCTAAGATGGTGGCAAACTCGGCCAAACGACGTTGCTGGGAAGGCGAGCCAACTGCCGCTTGAGTTGACACAGAAGTACCATTATATGTGGAAGACCGAGAAGCAGAGGAGCGATGGGAGGGAGGAGGAGTGGGCGATGGCGAAGGAGTACCAAAAAGACGACGAGTTGAAGAAAACAGCCGTGAAGGGAGTCGTCTATTTGACACGAACTATGACATTTGAGCTCTTAATTTTTTCAAAGACAAATTTGAGTTTACGTTTTCATTCCAGTCTGTGACACACTTCTCCATCCAAGGTATCAAGCTCATGACTAAAAATTCGCGAGTGAATTTCGCCGTCTGCTGAATGTCCTTTTCATTCATCCGTATGGTGTTGATACCACTTGATGCACCATTGCGGGTAGAAGAGTCCACAGGTTTCGTTGATAGCTCCGGAGAGTCTCTATCTGCTAAAGGAAGACGTGGTTTTGCAGTGGGTACCGGAACAGGTGCAGGGGGAGGGTTGGGCATGTCCAAGGAAAGTAGGTAGCTATGCAAACCATACTGTTTCTTAACAGCATTGAACAGAGCGCCGGCTCTATATGCCACTCTTAGTAAAATCAGCGGGGACGAAAAGAGAAGGATACACACTCTTCATCTGACAAGGTAGAATCCTTGGGATGTACTATGAGTGTGTAACTGAGGTATGCGGAATCAACCCAGGATGGTAATTCGATAGCTCGTGAATGTAGATTGGATATGATCTGCAGTGGATTGCTAGTGTTTGTAGACACAGCAAAAATAACTTGACCAAGAGTTAGACTCAGTAGAAAGCAACAAACATAAAAGACGGACTTGCAATAGGATGATTCCATGTTTCGGTCTTCGAGGGGACATGATCTCCTTCGACACATCGCTTGAGCTCTTCCCACCACGGAACCCTTGTTGATTGTTTGCCCGTCATCTTGTCCATATCGTCTACCCATTGCGCACTACGACTATTGATCCTAAGGCCTATCCAATCTAGTGTCCTCACTGCACGCTCCTCTTCATCTTCGCGGCATGCAGCCTCAATTTCAGTCAAGTCGGAGAATCTTAACGCAAAGGCCTTGTGCGGGACGGATGTGAGGGAAGTTGTACGTGTTGTGACTGTGTATTTGAGATTAGCGTGCGCCGATGAAACTAACAGTAGACCAACCTTGAGGAAGCGGTGAAAACGACTGCAATATTTCTGACAGTTGAGGTAGTGACGAGGCAGTCAGCAGATCCTGAATGTCTGGCGAAGATAGTATGCATACGTGAGGACTCAGAGAGGAAGGTAATGGTGGAGGCATGGAGTGAGTAAAAATCCCACGACGGTTGTGTACATGGATGGATATCGAACGAGATCAATTGTACTGTTTTTGTTGTATTATTGTAAATCCGAACTACATATGAGAAAGAGAAAGATAAACTGCATTTCGACGTCGCTACTGTTGCACTTCAACCTCTTGCTTCTTCAACACCAAATCAGAACCAGTAACACGCTTCCAAACATCTTGTACATCCTCCACCACAGTTTCAAAGTGGGATGTGGCATCGTAGGACTGGGTTATGAAAATGTTGTCATCTTGTCCAGTGGTGGTTGGAGTGTAGACCGGAGTGATGGAAACAAATCTGAATGGAATGATAAAATTATAATGAGAATCACAGTGGGGGCGATACGAACTTGTCGTGAATAGTTCCTAGAAGCTTGAGCCCAGGCGCGATTTCAAGTTCAGGTTTGTCAGTCTCAACAATCGTCGATACAATTGCAATGTGAATTCCTTTGGCGCAAACATTGTGGGTTGATGACACCATCGCAATGTATATATCTATCGAAAGCTGAGTACAACAGAACAGAGGTCATGTATAACACTTACCGTTTCGGCGTCCAACCTGATTCTGGGGAATGATGATTTGGCAACTGTCAGAATCGTCGGTCTCGGGAATAGGATGTTTGAGCACGCAAATAGCACGGATGACTTTGCTTTCTTCAACAACTCGTAACTTGCCATCTGTTTGTTTGCCAGCCCCGAAGTAACTTGGATCACCAATAACCTGCTTGGCCTTGACAGTCTCTCCACCGCTCCGGACACCAACAAATTTACCCTGGTCATCGGTTACGATTTCATCGATGGGCTTGTCGAGCATGTAAGTGCCACCGTAGATGGCACTCAGCCGAGCAAACGATTGGGGGAGTTCTCCAAGACCATAAAGAGGATATATGTAGGGAGATTTTCCGTAACGTGCCATGGAAGAGGTATAGAGCACTATGCGGTTGTAAGCCGCTCGGGCCGGTTTAGTTATATAGCTATATAAATGAGTGAATAGCTAGCGCTCGGTAGCGCGTAGGAGAACATACTCATCATCTAGGTAAAGAGCCATGGCATGTCCAACGAAATCCTGAGTACCAGGCTCCAAACCGAATTTTTCGTATACGGTCTTCATGCTGTCCTTGTCGAGATCGATGCCTAAACATATTGATGAGTCCCTGCGTTTCGTGCTCTAATTAATGCAAACCTTGATGAGTGGCAGGATCTTCGTCCTTCCAATTCTGGAGGAATTCAAAGAATTTCTTCGCTCGTCGTTTTTCGAACAAACCCATCAGAGGGCTCCTCACAGCCTCCATTTCTGTGCTTGGAACTTTGGAGATCTTTCCATCGCGATACACAAAACTTCCAGCAATCTGCTTAAACTCAAGATAGCGGGTGACATCGGTGTGAACAAGAATTTGGGTCATTTCTCCAGAAGCAATGATGAATTTGGGAATTAGATCGACGGCGTAGTCGCGGTCACGACCGAGTTCAGAAGGAGGCTCTTGACCAGGGCGGAATTTTCGGTACAGCTAGCATGACTTTTGGGTCAGATTTGCTTGCGAACAAAGACCGAAAAAATACCTGAGTCAAATTCAAGCTAGCACTGTCACCGCCGTAGTAGTCATTCCTGTCCATATGCAGGACCTTCTTTCCCTCTTTCGAAAGCAGCCCAGAGAGGATGCATTCAGTCAGACCGGTACCAAGAACGACGACCTAGGATCATGCCTTGACACAGCAAAATACAGGTATAATCTAAGGACGTACGTCGTATTCTTCATCCATTGCGGTATTAGGTCAAAAACTCTCGAATTCGTAAGGTTGACCGTGGTCGTGGTCGTGGGCAGGCGCAGAAAGTTGGTCGCTTAGACTCTTTATCGATTCATTTGCAACACGTGGTCGGTCGATCCTTCCTAATACACACTGTGTTACACACTTGACACTTGTCGCCAAGTTAAAGTTCCAATTGCTGATACTGTTTCGCCCCACACATCGAGTAAGTAATAGCATGTTGCGACAATGGCACACATGCCCACCAAGAAGAGCGAGAGCGCTGTATGTATGATCAATCAACTTAACAACGCCTCCAGCGGCGGTGAATGTTATTTCCTCGCAAGATTATGTCTTCACCGCCATCATCCAAGTCCCAGTCGGTTCAGGAAACGAGGAATACTACATAGTATGTACGATATTTACGCAGTTAAGTAAATGCATTACAGTAGAAAATCCCAACACTAAGCAGACAAGCAGTTCACGCAAATGTTACTCAAATTTGCTTGTCTTTGATCTGTTATTGTCGACATTCTGTTCCTGATCATCTGCAGTATATTTGCGTTTGGCTTTTGGAGGGCCGTTAGCATCCGGCACCAGGTCGGCGAGTGTAGCATTTTCGGATTCTTCACGTTTCGGTGAAAGTCCTCTTGCTGCCCCCGCGTTCTTGATTTTTCTAGCAAGGGTAAGAAGGCCTTAGATAAGTCGATTAAATGAGCGTACAGATATAAGAGAGTAACTGAAGACACACTTTGTTCATTCCTTCTGTAAAACTCAGCCCATGACTTGTGGCTTCGCTGTGGATAGCGTTGACTCCATGGCACCCATTTGCTAGAATGTGTTTTTTTGGAGAAGTCATTGAAACTCGCTACATATCGGGCAGTCAAAGCAAAGTCTGCATCGGTAAAGGAACCGCCCGCCATTCCCATGGCACTTTCGTCAAACGAAGGCAAAATGAAGTCTTCATCTTGATCCTTTTCCTGATCGAGGTCGTCATCCGCGTCCTGCTCGTCTCCTTCTGAGCTGGATTCCTTGTATATCGATTTACGAGGACGCGACTTCTGCACCTCTTCTTCCCCCGAGCTTTCATCTTCAGTGTCCTCCTCGTTTGTATCAGCCTCCCCGTATGCAGCAGCAAGTATCTTGTCTGGTAATCAAGTGTCAGGACAATAAGACACTGGCTACTAATGAGAAATTCTACCTGGAAGATCGTGGTTATTGGACCAATGAGCCGCCCACGATTGAAGGCTATGGTGGGGTGCCTGCACTGGATATTAATCGTATTGTAGAAGGTGCGAAATCACGACTCACTTTTTCTGCGAGTTGTTCACATAATTGAGTGCGTGTTAAACTCTGATCGCATCTCAAGCGCCATTGAATGAATTTGATGAAGAATTCCTTATCCTCTTTAGTAAATTTGTTCCCTCTACTATGAGGCACTACTTTGTTAGGGGGACTCGGTGAACGCGAAGGAGCGTCAGGTATTGTGATTTCTGAGTTGGGCGGAGGTAGGCGAGAGTTGTACGAAGGGTGGTGAGCAGTGATACTATTGATTGTGCTGCGGCGATTTCCACTCTTAATGGAAGGCAGTTTTGGCAGAGAATTCGGCGAACTCGAGACGGCCGAGCGAGAGCTAGAAGCATTTGGTAAAGGGCCTTTGGGTTTCAGTGCATGGACTGGTGAGGGAGGAGGAGAAGGTTCGTGTTTGAACGAAGCCGGTGTGGGTTTTTTCGCTACCTTGACTATCGGAAGAGGATCCGGAATGCCCTTGCGTTTCAACGAGAGAGAGACGTGTGGATCAATTTTATCTTTCCATTCTAGGTAGAAATCTTTCCAGAGCGTCGCCGAGTGACCGTTTTTCTATGACCTCGATAAGAGGTCAAGTCTTTGACAGTTGGAGAAAATGGACTTACACCATGTAGGCTATTTAACGCATTCTTGTAGTTGTCTTTACGAGCCCTTGCGTCCACCAAAGTATCTATGATGAGTCTCTCATCGTCTGCACCAGCCACTGGGGTGGAAAGAGCCAACGCATCATGTAGCATTTGCTGCTGGAACAAAGACATGTTGAGGGCGGGCATGTTCATGTTCATCGGCATATTAGACATTCCACTCATAACGGCGTTCATGCCGTTCATGAACTGAGCCTGAGTTGGAATGGCATTACTCCATTGATTGTTTGACTGCTGTGGATGGGATAACATAGGTGCAATATGCTGCTGAGTTTGCTGCGAGATTCCCCAAGGTGAACTGATTGAATTGAAATGAGGCTGAGATTGTTCTTGAGAGGTAGGAAGTCGCATTTGTGAGTTACTGTTCGCGACGTTCACATTATTCATGTGTTGGGGGGAGAATTCAGAAAAGGGAGTGGAGCTCGTGGATGGGAAATTGGTGGGGTAGTTTCCATGTTGACCATTGTGTTGTGGTGGTTGTAATGCAGAGTCCCTCGAAAACGGTGGAAATCCGTTCATTTTTAGAGTCACCAAGCTTCTATGTAAGACAGAATTATAGAATTTCTAATCACATGATGAAAGCAGACTCGGCCCGGTATGTCCGGGCCTCTTCCCCGCACTCTCTAGTTGTTGTTTCCTGGATTCTACCATGACACTGAGTAGGGTTGTCCGAATTCGTTCCATCAATCATCCCCGCAGCTTCAGCACGACATCTGCAGCGCTAGCTCTAAGTAATGTGGCTCGCTCGAAAGCTAATCAACTTTCTCAATGGAAGGGCACTAGCGTAATTGGCGAGACAACGAAGAATTTCATTGGAGGAGAGTTCGTCGATAGCAAGTCTTCCGAATGGACGGAAGTCTTGGATCCTGTAATGTCCGTCATTATTACTTATGCAGGAACTCATGGAAATCTAGACCACACAAACATTACTCTCCACTGTGCCGCAGACCACTGAGACCGAATTTAAACAGGCCGTGGATGCTGCAGCACAAGCTTTCAAATCATGGAGTAGGACGAGTGTACTAGGACGTCAGCGTTTTGTCATTGAGTAAAACCATAGCTGCATTTGCCTGCCTGGTCCTGACTACTTCTAATCATTGAACAGACTCCAGCATCTACTTCGCAAAAACGCCGACGCCATTGCGAATAGTATCGTTCTAGAGCAAGGGAAAACCTTGTCAGGTCGTGCTTCCAGTTTCAAACAGTTTCAAATTTTTACTGATCAGTCTTCTGCACAGATGCGCATGGGGATCTGTTGCGAGGTGAACATGTTATGAAAAGATTCTACCGTGCAAGCGCGTCTAACTATTGAGTAGGCTTACAGGTCGCTGAACATGCAATTGGGATTACTTCTACCTTGCTGGGCGACAAACTTGAAGGTCTCTTCCTAGCTTGTGTCACTCCGATTGAATTTCATGCGTATATTCCAGTGAGTCGCGATATGGATACATACGTTCGCAAAGTACCACTTGGTGTTTGTGCTAGCGTTGCACCTTTTAATTTTCCGGCGTACGATTTGTCTTGCTCTGAATATGTAGCCTTTCTCACTGTGTTGATGTGCAGTATGATTCCGCTTTGGACCATACCTATGGCGGCTGTAACCGGAAATACATTAATTCTCAAGCCCTCAGAACGGGATCCTGGTGCAGCGATGATCATTGCTGAACTTTGCCAACAAGCAGGTGAGGAGGATCAACAAAGTTTTGCAGTGTGTGATATTCATGCAACAATTCAAGGTTTGCCACCTGGTGTGTTGAATATTGTCCATGGTGGAGTTCCTACGGTAAACGCCATATGCGATGATCCTGCTATCAGAGCTATAAGCTTCGTGGGTGGTGATCGTGCCGGCAAACACATCTATAATCGGTATTTTTTCCCCTTCTTACTCACTTTTGTTTTCCGAACTGTACTTCTCTTTTCAGCGGAACTCAGAACGGAAAGCGCGTCCAGGTAACGAAACGACAGACTTTTTTACTCTGTGATACTTAAGTGTGTTGGTTCTCTTCAGGCAAATATGGGGGCTAAAAATCATGCTGTAATCATGCCTGATGGTCAGCCATCCATTCGTTCATCCTGCGGTGTGGTTCTTGTTCACATATAGTAATATAGCCAATAAAAATCTGGCGCTCAATTCCCTCGTTGGTGCTGCATTTGGAGGTATGATATTGGCAGAAAAGCATACGTGGTGCATTTGAAGTTCTGAACTCATCGCATTATACATAGCGGCTGGCCAACGATGCATGGCAATATCGGTCGGTATGTCATTTTGTTGTTACCTCCTAAGTCATTCACACCTGCTCGCTTATTTAATATCCTCATCTTGCAGCTGTTCTTGTTGGCGAAGCACAATCATGGCTTCCGGAAATTATAGAACGAGCGCAGAAACTCAGAGTCAACGGAGGTTTCGAGCCTGACACTGATATGTATGCAATAACTTTCCTCCAGACCTTGGATTAACACCCCGTCAATCATTACAGAGGTCCCGTTATTTCACCAAATGCAAAAGCACGTATCGTAGACATCATCTCTTCCGCTGAAGAGGAAGGTGGCAAGCTGCATCTTGATGGACGAGGTTTGGTGGTACCTTCATATCCGGATGGTAATTTCGTCGGGCCCACCGTCATCGAAGCCAAAACTCCAATGAGATGTTATCAGTTCGTCTCATTCAGCCTCAGAATTGACACGGTGTTCTGATGTGTTCTATCGTCATCAGAGAAGAGATTTTTGGACCGGTCCTCGTTGTAATCCAAGCAGACACGCTAGAGGATGGTATTGAAATCATTAACGCTAACAGATATGGAAACGGGGCTGCCATCTTCACTCAGTCTGGCGCTACGGCTCGAAAGTTTGAAACGGACATAAACGTGGGGCAGATTGGTATCAACGTGCCCATACCTGTGCGAATGTTCTCTGTCATTCTGTATCAGCTAACATTCACAATTAGGTTCCTCTTCCAATGTTTGCATGGTCCGGCAACAAAGTTCGTTATTTCAGTCGAAAATCCCTGGGACACCTCTAATTTAGAATTCTAGGGCAGCGTTTTGGGAGATATTGGTTTCTATGGAAAGAGTGGTATCGATTTCTATACGCAGAACAAGGTGAGCTGTGAGTCGACAACCTTGACTTGAGTGCTAATAAAGACATCTCGCAAGACCACAACAAGTTTATGGAGAGCAGAGGACGCTGTTGGCACCCGCGCTCATTCCACTATGCCTACGTTCTCCTGAAGATAGTTATTCCCCATACCTCTGTGTACTCTCTAGTGAAATTCAAATTTACAGATACTGACTATGTCTATCATTTGCAACTTGATCTAGGAAAGCGTTTGAGAGGGACAAGCACTGCTGATAAACCCTTTCAAATCCATTCTACGCATCATATGTCAGGAAAACAATTATACAATGACATAGTTCCTCACTATTCCACCATAATATGGGTCGGTGATAGGCTTATTATCCAAATAAGATCCCCAGAGACACACTTCTGCTGTCGCGTTCTTTGGCTTGACACGTTCCAGATTTCGAAGATTAGAGTCATCGGCCGCAAGAATATGAGTGAATTGAGTGAAATCGGATGTCTGTATCTGACGAGCGCTATGTTCGATTGGAATATTGTGCTGCAGCGTTCATCATGAGAATGCATAATTACAGCTTGAAGAATTGAAGATTCTAGTTACCTGAGCGCATGTAGAAATGGTCCTGCAAAAAAAATATTGGATAACATATATTTAGCAGTTTTGAGCACAAACTCGCCTGCCATCAGGTTCTTCTCCAGCATGGTACGCTGCAGTTCCACAAGAGTCCACAAACATATCAACTCCACGCTTCTTTGCGACGTCCCTCAGTACAGCTGAATACCCATCGCAACGAAACATCAATTGAGTTAGCAAAGCTTTTGAAATCACGGAAAGATATGAAAGGCGATTCACCTTCACCCATGGGGGAGCGGCAAATATTCCCTGTATAATGTGTGAGAGTTAATCGCAGTCAATCTAACATGATCTCCTGCCTAAACATACGATAAGAACTTTGAGGTCCGACATGGTGGTCAAGAGAGCACGTTCAGGGAGCGCCTCCCACGCGTAGGCTGTTACTGGCGCTTATCTCACTCATACATGCCTTCTCCTCCAATTCAAGTTTTCCTTACTACGATTGCCTCACAGCCCGCTCTTAGGCAACGCCAAGGTGTGTGTGTTGATATTCGAATAATGTTCTTTCTGAACAATGCATAGAATACTTGTTGCGCATTTTACAGGTTAAGAAGATTTCTTTCACTTCATACGATCTAGCATCGGACGAGATCGCAAAACGCTTGTGGAAGCGTAAGGCACCTCTTGGTAACGCGCGTTGTGTTCCTGCTGGACCTAAGCAGCTAATGGGCACTTCTGTCAGACAAGCAGCAATTGCCCGGGGTATTTCAAAGTTCGATAATGCACAATTCGTCCAGCTAAATCGTCAGCTTGTAGATATTGGTTGGTGGAAAATTCCCCGGTGTAAGTAGCTTTTTAAAACTTGTGTCGTTGACTCACATTGAGATTTGCAGACCTTCTCTGATTTGTATGTCAATCTAATCTCAGCGGAATATCATCCATGAACGTTCAATGATTCAGCGAAGAAGCTGTCGAATATGGAGAATTAGATCAATTCCTTCGTCTGAAAGAAACTTGGGACGATGACTTGGATAATATAACCAAACCTCCCGTTCATCCTATTGGCGTTCCAGGTGCTATGCTTCCTCTTCAAATGACCCCCGACCATCTAAAATCGAAGATTTTGGCCAGCCCACAGTCAACCCCTGGAAAGAAGCCAGAGCCGGTCAACAAACCTGGTGCTCGTGACGGTGAATTTGATGTAAGCACAGAGCTATCTGGGTATGGGCTACAGGGTGTGATGGCCACAGAAGCTGAGTTGGCGGACTTGGTCGCGGAGCTAGGTCTTGACGGAGATGAAGCTGGCGATCTGGTCAAAGGGTTATCGGGGGGCTCGTCGGCTGAACGGGAAGAAAAGGGAAAGCAGGAAATAGAAACGAGAGAAGATTTGAAGGAGTTGAAGGAGGAATCCAAGGAGAAGGAGGCGATAGCAGAAGTGAAGGAATCAAAGAAGGAATTGAAAGAGGCTCCCGCAAAATCTCCGGAGGAAAGCCTAACGGAAAGCTTAACGATATCGCCGCAGGAAAAGTGACTACGATCGTACGTCAGACCCCAGCATGTATATAAATCATGATGTTTGTAAGCCACCAGTATCAGTTTGCTTTTAAGTAATATTGACAAGTACCAATTATGTGTTTGGGTTGGGGAACTAGTGTACATATGTAAGTTAGAATATTATTACTGTGTAAAATTGAAGTTGAGCAGAGAACCATCAGTTAGAGGTTCGAGTTCTCAATTAGTAGCCAAAACGGTGATATATACCAAGATATTGCGTCAAGAACTTGTTCAGGGAGCAATTTGCTCAACACTCTGAAAGTACCCTCGCCCTCTTCTCCGACCTCCTCTACCCCCTGTCCCTCTCCCTCGTCCACGACCTCTGTATCCACGGAAAGAAGAAGTCTCCCTTTGTGTTGAGGCAGGAGACTCAGGCGACTCTGTTCCAGAAACGTCCAGAATGGCAGCAACGCGGGCGTGCCTTTTCATTCGGGGGCTGTCGAAAAGGTCGTTCACCATTGGTGCAGTTTGGATATCTTCTTGTATATGCGGAGGTTGCTGTTCATATATCATAATGAGTTGGGTCCCAAAAAAAGAAGAAGAAAATATACCGAGTCGTAAGGCTGTCGAAGCTTTGCTAGTTTAATTTCAGCTGCACGAGCGCGATCTCTGGCACTTTGCTCTGCGCGTCGAGTTTCCTTCAATTCCCACTAAGTACAAGCAATTAAGAACCTGCTCAACAACGAACAACCAAATAATACATACTCTGATCTTCTCCTCTCCTGTCAGTCCTTGCGGTACCTCACGCTCCTTGAATGGCCGCTGGATACTTACCCTAGGCTTTCTGGAACGTGCATGCGTCAATTCAGAAGCTTGAGGCATGTCAACATTTGACTGAACGTCTTGAGCTAGGACGAGGGTGTACCCATCTATCCTCCGATCCTCCGTATGTCTCTTCCGCACGCGATCTGTCTGTTCTACCAAGCGCCTGCTATCAGATCCTTTTCTTATTCGACGTCGTGGCTTTAGGGACTCTCGCTTCCGCTGTTCCTCACTTTCCAGCTGGATCTGGTGTTCTGCATGTTGCCGCTCTATTTCTTGCATTCTCCGACTTTGGGCCTCTTCCTCAGCTAAATGCCGTTGTTCCGCATCTCTTCTTCGCTGTTCTTGAGCCCGCTGCCTTTCTTGCTGACGTTCCGCCATCTGTTTTTGTCGTCTTTCTTCAGTTAACTTTTGTTTCACCTCCTTCATGTGCTCATTAGCAGCAATTTCATCGGCCCGACGTTTTTCTTCCATCTCTTTCCTCCGCAACTCTTCGGCAACCCGAATTCTTTCTTGTTTAGCGCGACGCTCTGATTCTTCCTTTTCTTGTTGTTGTTGACGTTTCTGGGCCTCCCGCTCGGCCTTTTTATTGCGTATTTCTTCTTCTTCTGCTTCTCGTATTCTTCTTTTCTCAGCCTTTGCAAGTTTGTTTTGACGATTGACCTCTGCCCTCCGTTCTTCTTCGGCAAGCCTGGCCACCTTTTCCGAACGCGTGCGCTCTTCAGTTAGCTGTCGTTGTACACTTTTGGATAGTTTGACAGGTTTTACTTCAGCGTTTGCCGGATCGACGAAGCCTCTCTGGAGAGTGAATGTGAGTATCTCATACCTAGCGAAGTAGTAAAGCCTACCTTGCTTCTGAGAACTTCTCTCATCTCATCGGAAAGGTCTGCCGCATCCCAACAGCGTTGCACGTCATGTACTGTCGCATCCTTGATAACCAAACGAAGTATGCTCAAATCCTTGCTCTTGATTGCTAGTTGCAATGGGGTCTCCCCGTTCTTGGCCGCACGTGAGGGATGCACATCTCTATGTGCAAGTAGAACCTGAGAGGCAGCCAGATTCCCCGAACGCACCGCAAGGTGAAAGGCAGTCAGATCCTCACTATTAACAGCATTGACATCCACTCCTACAAGGGGGATTACAGAAAATACCATCATATGTGAAACATTACATGCCTTTTTCCAAAAGAAACTGGACCATCGCGGCATCAGTATGGGAGGATTGAGCTGCTGCATGAAGCATGGTGTCGTATTTTCCCTCTCTCATTTTCTTCTTACTGCTTGGGTTGTTGGGATTCAAATTGAATTGGGAAAATAGTTGTCGTATAGACGACAAATTTCCAATCCTTATAGCCTGTCCAAAATGCATAAGATTATGTCCGCGATGGAAGAAGAAAGCCAACTTTGAAGGCCTCCGTTTGTGCTATGGCTAAGCGCGTTGCTTCCCTTGCGACTTCCTTAGCTTGACGTTTTCGTTCTGCTTCCTCCGCTTCGCATTCGAGTTCTGTAATCCAATCAAGGTCTATTGCGAGAAAGTGTTGCAGCTAGAATCAGACTAACCGAATTCTTGAACTCTCTTAAGATATTCTGCATGTTCATTTTTCTGGTGTGTTCTGTGCTCTTGTTGTCTTTGCTGTTTGTCGGCGAGATTCTCATCAAACATGAAGACGTTGGCTCCGGCTCCCCCAGTTCGCGCCCGACGATATTCTGGGCAATGATGAGAAATGATATGAATCCACGTTTACACCAACTTACGACGCGTTTTCGCGCGCGAATAGCGACCAAGAAAGATTTGTTCGAACAAGAACCTTCGCAGAGATCAATTTTTTGAAGACCATGTTCGTGGATGTTAAGAACAGCGTACTGGAAAAATGCTACAAGCGCATAGCGTCAGATGTGAATTTAAAAAGATGTGCAGTGTGAAAACACACACCTGCAGCCTCTTCTGGATCTAATGGTACATCATCATCTCGGCTCCAAGAGCTATTGACAAACTCGGATGGTCTATTTTTTCTAGAATAGTATTCTTGACATGTTTCCTGGCACAATGTGTTAATAACGATTATTCAAATTGAGAGTAAACGTGATCACCCAGGCAGCCCCAATCTACATACATTGTGTGGCAATTTTCGCGTTTAGGTCCTAGGCATTCTTCGATATTAGAGCAACCCACGCACCTCCTGAAACATCTGGGTCGATTCATGATACTTCCCTGGGTTTCTGTTTTTCTCTTAGATAACGAGATTCCCTTGGAGAGAGGGATACGCACCGGTCAGGATGATGCATCAATGCGAGTCTTTTGTACGCTTTAGAGGTGACACTTTCCTCAGCTTCAGGCGTAAGACCAAAGACCGCGAATGCCTCCGTGTATCTGGAGTCCATCTCGAGAGGAGTTGATGGCCGGATATTAAAGTTGAAACACTATCTTCCCAATCGGTATCCGAAAATTTAATCGTGAGCTCGTAGTCAGTGTTCTGAGACACCAATGTCTACTTGGTCGAAGATTCGGAAGAATTTGAACATCTGCAGCTGCAGCCACGTGCCGTGCACTGCGGCTACAACGCGTACATAACTTGAAAGCAAACTTTAAGCACTGCGATTGAAGTTCGTACATAATCAGCCTGTGCATGTAAAACTCCTACTGGTAATTTACGCGAACTACTGAAACATGACTGGGCCAACTTGTTAGGCTAAGCTAAGACTCTGCATCTGAACGTTTACCAGAACGACGTCTCCGTAAAGGATTTGCTGATCGTACAGGGTCTGAAGGTATATACACAGTATCCGACTCAGATTTCACGCTCTACAGAGAGAATTAGTATTTATGAGGGGAATGAATCAAAGAACACTTCACCGATACTTCGCTCGCATTCTTGTTCTTAGCGCTTCGCCTCTTGCGTCTCCTTGCAGACTTCGATGGCTTTGCTTCCTGCTCTTCTTGCTGATCCGACGCGTCCGTTTCAGTACTCGAGGAATCATCAGGAAATTGACCTTCGGCGGGCACTGTCGATGGTTGATGTTCGCTACCATCAAATGGCTTGGATGGTTCAATGATATTATTTGAGGATGTCGAGCCTAGTATGGAGGGCAGAAGACACGCCGCTAATATAGAAAAAAGTATCGCAAAAAATATGGCCGAACAAATAACGGAAAAGACGGTTGGAAAACGTGTCACGAGACCGCTGTGCATGGTGTCAGTATGTGCGGCATTCATGTACATCGTTTCACGTACCGTATTCCTTTATGTGCAAGGATGCCCTTCAAAGAAGCAGAATAGACATTCAATTCACGACCTTCGCCATGCCCTAGGCTTCTCCACACATCTTGTCTTCCTATTTTTACGTCTACGGTCACCTTCGTACTTCCAGGAACGAAAGAGTCCAGCATCGGTATGTCGATTGTGGCCAGATGGGGTTTTCCCGAAAAGTAGGGCGATTTTGGAGGAATCACGATCGCTGGGCGACGAGCAATAGCTAGTGTTTCATTATTGATTGTCGACAGCCTCAGACTATTCATGAAATTGCCTAAAGCAAAATTGGCATCCGTAGAAGGAACAACAAGCTGCAGAACGATATTATATGTTTGGCGCGAGGAGAGATCTTCCAAGACCGCATGGGCGTAAGGCTGCACTGCGTCGCTGAGAACCATTGCGATTAGCTAGATTAGCGATTGGAACAGACAAGCTCTTACCCATATTGTAGATACAAAGGTATCTGCCAGCCTACAGCAACATTACTCCAGACTATAACACCAGCAGATAGAGAGATAGTGCAGATAATGGGAATGAAAATAAGGAAAACGGAAAGAGACACTAGATTTGGTGTGTAACGCCGAAGATATTGCCAAACGAAGTCGAATGGCGCCTGCAGAAGAAAAGACCAGAAACCCAGGAAGGTCCTCTCCTTTTCAGCAGAAGCGGCATCCATTAGAGATACTTGCAAGTTCGATACGCCAAGTGTGAGTCTGTCAGTGTCAGAGCCAGTCGCGGAAATCCGCAAAGAACGCATTGCAATGTCGTGGGGCAGTAAGACTACATAAGAAGGCACGTGGCGGGTACATGACTTCGACTTATATACAACATTTGCTGGGAAGAAAGCTTTCCTCCCCGCCTGTTGTTGCATATCTCAACGAACTCTCCTCCGCTGTAGAACTCTCTGCCGCTCCTACACCAGAGATCAAGTCTTATCCGGATGTAATCTACTATAATTTCCATACCCTTGGCCTGAGCCTTCTCTTCAAACCCATAGAAGGATACAAGCCCAAAATTGGTTCGTTGCGCTCCGAGCTGACGGAAGACAAAATGATCCTCGAAAGCCTCGATTTATACAACATTCCTCAGATCCCTATGTCAGATTCAAAAAAGAAGAAAGAGTCTGCCTTTTCCACGTATCCAGTATCTCCTGTGATCTTGACAATCGGAGAAGAAGACAATAGTCCTCTCCAATTCACGAGAAAAAGCACAGGTAAAGATTTTGTGCAACTTCTTGGTGAACCAGATCGAAAGGGTGGCGGATCAGGTCCGTCTAGTGGGTCCATTGGGATTTGGTGCGAGTGGACGAAGCATGGAATTTTAGTAGAATTTGGGGGTGTGGAAGCTATAGGGCCACAAGCCTGGGAAAGAGGCAAAGATGCTGTATGGAAAGTTGTCACTGTATTCCTTCTGAATGCTCAAGAATGAGGGAATGAAATAAGTTTGTCGCTGGTATGGTGAAAGGATAGGTAAGTCTTATTTGCTTCGTTAATTGGGATGTCCTGAACTCTCCCTTCAGACATAGTATGACCTTGTATACTGTACCGGCAGATAGAGCAATAGAAGGAGAGTTCCAGGCTTGTGGATCCACCATAACTTTACCGTGGCATCAAGTTTTCTGGGAGTTGTCAAAGAACATCCATTCATTCATTCATAAAAAATGACTTTTTCAGAAGGTATATGAGACATGAGCAGCACAGATGGCACTGATTTGTATATCCCTGTGCATCTGCTCAGAGGTGTACTCGACATTGGCACGAAGTACAGATAACACAAACTTGAATACCCCTGTGCATCCGCCCAGAGGGTGTACAAGACGTTGACTCGAAACACAGACATCACAAACAGCACGGACTTGTATACCCCTTCGCATCTGCTCGGAGGATGTGTAAGATATCAGCTTGTGATTTACACCCTCTGGTGGTTTTTTCTGCAACTTGAACAACGGTGATAATACGAGACAAAACGCGCGCTTTTATAGCTGATTCCCATACCGTAGCTTCCATAAAAAAATTTTCCAGTGTCGTCTCGGTGTCCGGTATTTTATCACATCTTGATAACGAAGTTTCTGAGAACACCTCGAATATACCCATCGAATACATTAATACACAGCTCCATCCAAAGTCAGGGTCCCACAAGGTAACAGCCGGGCCCAACCGCCTTTACTGCAGCGAATGCAACAGTGTCTCCCCGGATCAGAGGAAGATATGGTATTACAAGGTGCCGATCTTCATATCTGCGTATACAAATTTCGTAGGCATGCCTTTCGACACTTTGCTCTTGATCTTCTTCCAGGTCTCCCAAGTGGCAGCTGGCATGTCGTGACCTGCAAGCAATGCCTTGTCAACATTTGTTTGAGGAGGAAGCAGGGACAAGCATACGCACTGTTTGCTTCAGTTTGTATATGTAAAACATTATTGGAAATCGTACTCGGAACGAGAAAAGCATATCTGTCGTCAAATAACTGAGCAACGATTATGATGTTGGACAAATAATTCCTGATCTTGGTCGCCTTGTCCGTCTTGTTCGCCTTCACATGAATGGACGGGGGTTTCTTACCCAAGAAGCGCGCAATATGATCCTCGATTGTAGTGTTTTTAGCATCGACCGTCTTAGGGAGGTAGGCCTGCCGAGAGAAAAATGGTACGTCAACGATAATATGATATTTGCGAATAGAAAAGAAGGTACAAAGTCGACGTCTTTTAGCTGCGTTTTGGATACGCTGGATTTGCCCTGATAGAGATGAACATTTCAATGAAGCTAGAAAACAACTGTCTCCTAGACACTCACTTGACAATAGTTCTTTGATGCGAGAAAATGTCAGCGAGCAAAGATCTTCGAAGCAAAGATGCTCACCTGAGGAACAAACGCATTGTAGTAATTAGGGCCGGGAAAATAGCACTGATATGAGCCCGTCCCCATCAAGGCTTCAAGTCTTTGGACTGCCGCAAACGCAGCCTCATCTTGACGAGGATTAGCCTCTATGACAGGGGGTGCGCCTGCGGAGTTTGCATCTTCTAACGTAGCTGTATGCGTGGAGTGATCGGAGAGAGAGTCGGAAGGCGCCGACTCTACTCGAGACGTCGGGGTTGTCCTGATATATCGATGCTTTAGGTCCTGTGGAAGCCATAAGTCATGAATAAAGAGGAAGGTTTGCACCACTTACGTTCGCATTACTATTTGGAATGGTGTAAATGTACCCAAATACTACTTGATCCGGTGACTTGCGGCCAGACAGAGCTTGAGGCTGACCAGCACGGGAAGTGATTTGGTTAGAGGATGAATGGGATGCAGAGCAAACTCCAAATACAGTCGCTAGCAAGATCAACTTGAGAACAGAAGTAGGGGAGTGAGAATACCAAGTAAACATTGTAAAGAAGAGAAAATTGCGATTGAAGGAAGGATAAGTAGAGACCAGCTCCTACTCTCTATCTAGAATTGCACCAGGCGATGTTCAAAGTGCAAAGAGAGTTGCTTATCGTTCTAGATAGTGGCGATGCTGATGAGAGATCTTTATAAACACCACGACCACAAGGCGCTCTGAAGGTACCATACATTGTTATCACAGGCCAAGACCTTCGATATTCTTTCCGCATTACGCATGTACGTATACAAAATATTTCACCTTCTGACTTTCTGTAGTCGGTCAACATTTCCGTCACATTCCTGGTAACGCGTCTGCGAAATGTGACCTGCTTATCTTGTATCTCTCACGAAATTCCGCTATGCAGCGTTAGTGGACGACTCTTCAATTCAAAGACCTCTACACATCGTTCTAGTACACTACAGAAGACCAATGTTCCGCCCCAATACATTCAAGATATTCCGACTTTGATATGCCAGTGCACGATGCAAAATCGTGACCTTCATCATGTCTGTCTGAACTGGTGGAATGCGGGGAGCTTTCGTGATCATAGTTAGTCACTCTTTCAAAAAGCGCGAGGATAGTTCGTGTATAAGAGGGCGCATGGTCGAGACAAGGATGGATTCATTCCCTACATACGTCAAACTAGTGATCTTTAGTACTCGTCAACAATCAACAAACATAGTATGAAGGTGAGTCATCGCTCTGTCTCGCCTGATCCCAATGGCTTGATACTTTTTTGAATCTGGTAGGTTCTCGCTGTGCTCTACAATGGCTTCAAAGCTGCGATTGAAGAACCAAGACTCCTCGGAACCGTCGAGAACAAGGTTTCCCCTCCTTTTTTTCTGCTCCGTTGTATAAATGCATGACATCCTTATTTTAGCTTGGAATGGATAGATGGCTTGCTTCCCGAGGACATGAATTCGTCGTTACTAGTAGTAAAGACGGACCTAAAAGTGACTTTGAAAAGCACATCGTCGATGTAAGTTTTATCTTTCGCTCCGGCACGAGCAGCATGTGTCTGAGCAATCTCCTGTGTAGGCTGAAGTCTTGATTACCACGCCGTTCCATCCTGGATATCTGACTCGAGAGTTGATGGAAAAGGTACGAATGAACTTCCTGCATGTTATTTGGTTTTCTGAAGATGAGATTTAGGCCAAAAACCTCAAAATTTGCATCACTGCCGGTGTAGGCTCAGACCATATTGACCTTAACGCTGCCGTGGACCATAAGATCCAAGTTCTGGAAGTATCTGGGAGTAATGTCACCAGTGTAGCGGAACACGCAGTGATGAGCATGTTATTGCTCGTTAGGAACTTTGTTCCTGCTCACGAAGTAACTATTCCTTTTAGCCAATAATTCTCATTCCTCTAACTCCCCTTCCTCGCTAGATGATTGAGCGCGGAGACTGGCAAGTCTCTGACATTGCCCGCAACGCGTTCGACATTGAAGGTAAGACCATTGGAACCATTGGTGCCGGTAGAATCGGGTACAGAATCATGCAAAGGCTTTTGCCTTTCAACCCTAAAGAATTGTTGTACTATGACTACCATGAGATCCACCCCGAAGCGGAGAGTGCAGTGAACTGCAATCGAGTTGGGACTGTTGAGGTCGGTCGTTTCCGGTTTCTTGAGACTGAATCAAACGTTGAGAGTTTCTGTAAGGAATTGGTCTCCCAATGTGATATTGTAACCGTGAACTGCCCTCTTCATGAGGGTACGCGAGGGATGATCAACGATCATCTTCTTTCCACTTTCAAACCTGGCGCATGGCTCGTCAATACTGCCCGCGGCGCCATCTGTGACGAACACGCTGTTGCGAGGGCCTTGGCTAGCGGGCAGCTACGTGGATACGCCGGTGCGTGCTAAACCTGTTGCTCGTGTCCGCTACTTGCTCGCCGACCATACCCCATCTATGACTTTTGATAATATTCAGGTGATGTTTGGAACGTTCAACCCGCGCCGAAAGACCATCCCTGGCGCTCTATGAAGAATCCCCTCGGTGGAGGTAATGGCATGGTCCCGCACTACTCTGGTACCACTCTGGATGCTCAAGCACGCTACGCTGCGGGTACAAAGAGTATATTGCAAAATTACCTCGACGGAAAACCCCAGGCGCATCAGAATGTCATCGTTGGCACGGGAAAGTATGAGACGACTTCCTGTAAGTTTATCGTCCTGTTGGATTTCTGTTCTGGTAAATTGACCGCACTATGAACGTAGATGGGATACATTAAGTTTAACGTGTTCGTAATTGAACTTCAGTATAATTAAGGAAGAAATTGCGTCTGTTTACGCCGTACTACAGAACTTGTGAAATAACGAATACTGTATTTTGATATTATACAAGCCAATACGTGTGGCATGTCATCGATAGCATTTCGATAGCTCGATGTGACCAGATGTAAAGGGAAAGAATATATTCAAATTGGCGTCACATGAATTGCCAATACTCTTTCTTCCGGTTTCCTCGAGATCAACATGGCAGTACCTGCAGAATTTACTACCTTGGATATTAGTGGAAAATTCGTCATGGTGAGTATTCTATCGATCAATTCGTCTCTAATGCTCAATGTACGCAGAACAAATCTTTTAGCGATTCAACAGAAGAGATTCTTCGTCTTCAGGGAATAGGTTGGTTTAAGCGGAAGATCATCGCTAATGGAACATTGTATCTGTCGATCAGGCACTACAAGGGGGACGATGGTAGTGAACACATTGATATCGACCAAACATTATCGCCTGGTGGTATGGGTAGCAGAGAAGAAAGGATCCTGGATTGGTCGGAGAGAAGCAAAGAAGATAGCCTCTTTGGTGCAGTCATAGGTCGATCCAGGAGGCTCGCAGTTGAAGAAATAGATGATGATTATCTCAAGGTGCGTCGCTTTTTAGTTGGTACAATAGTCATTGTTAACAGACATGGCAGACCGGATGGGATTCTACAGAACATGGTCTCATACAATCATACGTTTCAAGTGACACTCCGAAGAGCGGAACTTCTTGGATTGCTAACCAGGTTTTTTCATCCGTTCTAATTAGAGTTACTTTCCCTTTACTGCATGCTTAGATTTGGGGTGTGGAGGAAATTGACGGCGTTCGTCGATACCTCAGGCATGTTTTCTTTACTGGACCTCAGGGCGAAGAAATTCGTGGTCGCCTTGTGTACGATTATAGTAAGCGCACTCTATCTTACCTTCGTCCCATCCACTAAGCAGGGCTATTTACAGCTGGTTCTCTTTAGTGGAACAACGGAGACATCGAAGCCTGTGCATCTACATATTCTAGTATCTATTCTTATCCAAGTTATTGTACAATATCAAAAACCCCCAAAGTATTTTATGCTGGATATACCCGTTGATAATGCTCCGCAACCTAGATGGAGCGGAGGTCACCCTTGAAGCAGACTGGCGTGAAGAGGTTGTAGATCCGACGACCTAGAAACGGCAGAAGAATAACCAACAATCATTTCACCCGCACACACAAAACCTGGGACCATTGGTGCATCGAGGTCGCTCCTCGACAGCGTGGGTTTGGCTTCAGGGTGCAGGAGAAGCACTCTGGCAGCTGCCCAAGTCCAGTAAGAGCCAATACAGGCCACAGCGCGGTTACGCCTGCGATGGGGACTTGGTTTACCCTGATGGTCTTTCTCCCTCAACTTCAGGCAGAGTGTGGAGCATGTTCTTCCTTTCCCTTTCCCTTTTTCTTCTTTCTCCCTATCTATCCATCTCTTTGCTTGAGGCCTGCAAGGCCGAACACGTATAATTACACTACAACATCATATCACAACATCCCCATGACCTATAGCTACATCACCCCACACGGACACACAATCATGACCGAGAATGACGAACGGAGCCGAGCGAGAGTCTTAGGGCAGCCTAGGTAGTCGCTGCAGCTCCCCGCGCCTTAGTACTAGTCTTACTTACTTGCGGTTAATGAAGAGTTCAAAAAAAAAACCCGTTAATAATGCATGCATGTAGTAGAGCCCCTCGAAAGTCTTCGACTAGTTAGTTTTTAGTCCAAACCAAACTATTTCATTGAAAAAGATGTAAGCCAAGGGGTGAGACTCAGATGAGACTAGACACTTTGTTCTAGTTCTATGACCAGTTGAGCAGACCCTGACTAGTGACTACTCAATGTACTCAACCTATAACTTGTTGAGGGACTGCGGAAGCTATTTTTCGTTCAAGCGCCAGTTGATTGCAGATTAGCGCCATTTAGCGCCCCACGGTTTCTTAACTTTTTATAAGCCTTGTAAATACATATACTTGAGACCTACCGTACTATGGAACCCGGTAAAGTCATAAATCCGTAAATTCATAAACTCATAAATGAGGTCACGTGAAGCTATTGGGAGGTCACATGGGAGCTATTACACCAGTGGCACATCTTATCAACTTACATCTCCTATTTTCAGTTTACAGTGGTTATTTCAACACCTCTGTGATTTGAATGTATATGATAAGCTCTGTTGATAAAACCTTGGAATAGTATTCAGGCAGATTAGGTGCAGGATAACAGTTGAAAAACCAGTGAGTGTATTATAGTGTACATTACTTGCAAGGAGTTTCCCCAAGCTTGACAGTCAGCATGTCAACTTGAAGTACTTACAATTCATGGTTGTTGTGATGTATAAATATAGCAGTTGTAATGAATAGTTGTACTCTATGTCAATGCATCTGCAAAACCTGTGTGTTTGCCAGAGCAAGGGTACTGGCTGGAGAGCACTCTCCAGCACCCAAAGCACTGACATCTGCAAAACCTGTATTTTCGGCTAAGGGTCCGAAAGCGGTTGAGAGCACTTCCCAGCAGTGAAAGCACCCAGAGCATGTTGCTTTTGGTGCTTTCAGCACTGGGATCTGCTGGGATCTGCTCTCAGCCCTTAGCCGAATATCCAGGTTTTGCAGATGGAGATCAAAATTTTAAACTTGCTCTGGCTGCTAAAAAGTGCTTTCAGCTGCTCTTGGAGAATTAGCCAAAAAAACAGGTTTTCCAGATGTGTACTTAATGACAGTGTATCTTTAATGTCAGTGTATTTGTAATGTCAGTGTACTTTAATGTCAGTGTACTTTAATGTCAGTGTATCTTTATGTCAGTGTATCTTTAATGTCAGTGTACTCAGATGACAGTGTTATTACATGCCATTGCCTCAGTTTGCAAAATATCTGTGGACACTAGGTACATTCAACCAACATGAATTTTCTGTTGGTACCCTAAGATAATGCCAGTATGTATACTGATCTGCAAAACCCTACATGACTATTAATTTTGCTGGAAAGTGCTTCCAGCTGTTCCCAGGTAAATAGCTAAGAGTACAGGTTTTAAAGATTAGTACATTGCTGAACAAATTCAATACTATATAACTTGAATGCCCAGAAAGTATCTCAGTATTCTTGGAGACCCCTTGCAAGGACTTTGGCTTAACATCTGTAAAACCTGGATTTTCGGCTAATAGCTGGAGAGCAGCTGACAGCGCTGTCCAGCTGGGAAAGCACTCCCAGCAGTATTGATCAACTGCTGGGAGTGCTTTCAGTGCTGAACAGCGCTCTCCAGCCAGTATCCTTGCTCTGGCGAACATCCATGTTTTGCAGATGAAATGAATTGCAGAGTAGATAACAATTTGTACAAATTTGTGTTTGCAAGCAATTTCCTAGGATTGTGGTCAGTGTATCAGTCACATCTGTAAAACCTATATTTTTGGCTAAGATCTCAAAAGCAGCTGACAGCACTGTCCAGCAAGAAAGCACTCCCAGTAGTTTATGAGTGCTGAACAGCATGCACAGCACTCTTCAGCTAGTATCATTTGGTCTCATGAACATCCAGGTTTTACAGATCACATCTGCAAAACCTGTATTTTCGGCTAAGGGTCCGAAAGCGGTTGAGAGCACTTCCCAGCAGTGAAAGCACCCAGAGCATGTTGCTTTTGGTGCTTTCAGCACTGGGATCTGCTGGGATCTGCTCTCAGCCCTTAGCCGAATATCCAGGTTTTGCAGATGCAGTATATGGTCAGTGTATGGTCAGTGTAGTAGTTAGCAGTGTATTGATCAGTGTACAAGTACCACACCTCAGGCATGGGCCTGTCTGTTTGCCATACTAATCATTGTACTGATACAGTTTTATCCATGTCTAGAGCAGATTGATCAATGATCAAGCTCAAGACTTGGTGGTTAAGATGAGCAGAAGAATATCAAAGCTGTAAATAATGATGTCATCAAATTCATGAATTTACAGATTTACAAATTTACGGATTTACTGGTTTCCATACCACGCCACTTCTGATATACTTCCTCACTTCTACCATGAGCTCTGGCTCTAGCGTCACCGCAGGCTCGGCTCATCGTGATTCAACGCACTCTTCTCACTCTTTACATGGACCGACACCTTCCCAAGATCGTTCGTCCTCGAAGAGTTCTCTTGAGCTGCGGGTACTGGATGCCCAATTGCCGCTGGACCCAGAACTAATTACCTCTCATCCTCGTCTCCCGTGGTATCATCGTACTCGGAGACAAATATCTGCAAGGTACCCTCGTGCATACACTAAATTATCTCGTTTCCTCTTGTACTGGCGTGGTCCACGACCGAAATATGATCTCCCTTGTACGGATCTGTCACTGAACATCCTGATTCCTCCTAAACTCATCTTCAAACTCAGATCCTCGACCGTGGCTCGATATAGACTTTCATTGGAAAGGAATCAACATTGTCCTACCCATCGAATCCACGATCCGGCGAACAACAAAGCCATTAACGAATCCATGGCTATTCGTTGTTCTTGTCGCTGCCTATATCGTCGGGCTCGCGTTCTTCGCCCGTGCGCAATCTTTCCTCACTCCAAGTGATGCCTACATCACATGCACATCCGTGTACTGGGAATCAAATAATGGTTGTGGATTGGATGGGCAGGATTGCGGGCCTTTCAGCGATAGTAGTTTTGATTTTCGATGTCCTGCCCAATGCTCCACAGTTGTGCTGGAAAACCCTCGTACAGTTGGCGATGAACAGGTGGAATTCGTTCCACTGATCGTGGGAGGTGGTGATGTTAATAGAACATACCGTGGTGACACATTCATTTGTGCGGCTGCATTACAAGCGTGAGCTATTCTCGCTTTCTTTGTGCACATCCTGTAACATTAACCCTTCTACTTATTAGGGGCCTCATAAGCGACAACAGAGGCGGATGCGCTTCGCTAAGTTTAATAGGAAATTTCACCAACTTCCTACCTCTTTCAGCCCACGGGCTCACCTCAATTGGCTTCCCGACTGTATTTCCTCTTTCGTGGCAATTCAATGACCACACATCGCTAACTAGCTGTGCGGATAATCGGGATGCCGCACTGGCTATGAATATCTTGGTCACGTTCATCATATTTGTAGTTCTGCGGCCAAGAGCTATAGTGATATTCTGGTGCCTAGTATGTATCGGGTACTGGCATGTTACCCTTTTTTCTCAGCCCCAATTGAATCCGCCTCCGCTCGACGTAGCTTTCGGCACATTTCTACCTGTCCTGTTCATCTCGTATGCTTTCTGGCGTCTTGCTTTTCGGTTCACACTTCCTACTTTCGCCAAGTTACCACTTGAATCTGCGATTTGGTACCTTGCAACTTTCTGGGCTGGGGTTAGTTTACCCGTCTTTTTGTTCACGCAAGTCACTCGGCTGATCAATTTCGAACACAGGTGCTCACGAATATCACAACGGACAAAGTTAGTTCTTCCTTCTACTCTCGCACATAGCTTTCTGATTCAATGTGGGTCGTAATCAAGATACCAATTGATACTCTGACTTCCTCAAGCCTCAAAAAGCAACAGGGTGCTATCGCCGCTCTAGTTATCATCGTGATTATTGTCGCCGCAATAGTCATCAATCAGGTATGACTGAAACTTGTGTGTATTTGGCCACTACATAATTTTCTGCTGCTAGATAAGGATCATACGAAAGACTGGTTGGTTTCCATATTATCTTGGATGGTATGTAGCCGGTGCTCTTGTAGCCGCTGTTCTGGCTAGTCTCCCTGGATTAGTCTTTCGTCTGCATCACTATATCATTGCCATTGCCTTGATGCCAGGGACTGGATTTCCAACTAGACCATCTGCAGTGTACCAGGGGTTTCTCCTCGGAATGTTTCTCAACGGCGCGGCTGCATTTGGCTTAGATTCTATTCTACAAACTCCTGCTGAGGTGCTATCCCGATTCCTGCTAGTTTGGTATATATACATAACTGATGACGATATGGCTATTATTTTTAGCTGGTACAGGATGCTCCACTTGGAACGACATTACCGATATTTTTGACAAACTCAACAAGTTATAATGTCTCTATCCCATTCGAGAATCAAACCATCTTTTGGGATGCACTCCCTGCCGGATGGGATGGGTTTTCTCTCCTAGTAGATGATGTAGAACGCTACGTAGGGACTGCATTAAACTTCTCGCTGGCTGCTTTCAATGCATCTCTACCCCACTTCTTCAGACTTGCTGTAAGCTCGAATGATTCACCTTTTTCATATGGAAACCACTGAGCTCCGACTCCATGTTCTTTCTGTTTATAGCTCACATCCAGCGGAAATACCGGGGACTTCACTATGCCCGCTACGCTCTTTCCTAATGGGACATGGATAGATCCAGCCCCAGGCAGCTCGACGTGATCATTGACAAGGTGGTGGTTGTGGAACATTTGTATATAGGTACATTTCTCCTTGGGACTATGAAAATGTCGTAGATCGGATTAGTCAAAGTATATATATCTAAACATGCATGTTATTATAACCATAAAAAATCAAGCGTCCAAGAAACGACACTGATTCAGATTGGTGGAATCAGGGTAATACAGTTTGTGTTGCAAGATAAGAAAGAATATGAGGTTTTGGAGTGTAACGTAACTTAATGCGACAATACAGAGCAAGAGAACAAAGGATTAATCATGCACCACGATTCAAACTTTAGAGCTTGACGACGTGCTGGAAATAGCCAACTTTGGTGCATGAGACTCGAACTCTTTGTCGGCACGAAAGCTCGAGTTGAGCACCACTGACTTTCTCTTGCGCATCCCTCGTCGACTTTCCGTAGGATATTCGCACTTGAGCGAACGCCTGTGGCATTGGCTACCAGCAGAAGGGAGGGTGATTAGAGGTTGATTGGGTGGTGATTGTAGGAATAAGCTTACTTGCACGTACGATCCGGACTGTTCGGGTCTTGAGGTCCACAAGCGATCTTACGCCCACTAGAAGAGGTTTTTTGAAAATAAAATCAGCGACATGAGGTTCATGAGTATTAAAAAAAAACTACAATGCCAAAGGGAGACGAAGAGAAACCCCAAGTGAAAATCGGTATAAAACTTGCCACTTACCGACAGAAGAAACAAGCTAACGCTAAACTCTTCTTTTCGCTCTGGGAGGAGGAAGAACTGCTAGCTGCGGGTCGTGATTTCGAAACTTTGGGGACTGGAGGTGGGGTAGGCTTTGGTAAAGGGATCTTGCCATACACGTAACTACGAGTAGAACCTGACTTGGAAGGATTACTACTCTGTAGCTCCTCGGAAAGATTGCGACGCCGCTTCCGCCTAACGGACGGCTTGGTAAGTACGGTTTTAGACGATGAGGCTCCGCTTGAATCGTCTGCTAGTGGCTCAGAGTCAGACTGGGGATCTTGAGGAACTGGGGGCAGAGTCAATTGCTCTGGGGGAGTTACCATCGAGACGGGAGACAGAGTTGATGGTAGACGAGGAAGTAGAGTCGGGCTCGGACTGGCAGGTGAATGTGCAAGAATCGCTTCTGGGGACAGTGAGTACATCTGGGAATGGTGTGATTCAATCGGAGAAAAGAGAGTTTCGGTCATCTCGGAAGGGCTCCTCAGAAAATTCATCGTCGGTGATTCGAGCCGAAGCAACTGTGGCGACTGTCCAGAGGCGTGTGCGGAGATGGGAGATGGCAGCGAAAGAGGCATGATGCTGTCATGCTGTAGCCCATGAATGTTGGGATGGACCTGTCAATTCAAACAACAACGAAAAAAATAAATGAGCATGGATAAGAATCATCGAGTGATAATTCCATACTTCTGAGCTTAACGGAGGGTAAAATGATGAGTTCGCGAAGTTGGACACAGGGGTGACCACACCCTGGCGCGTAGGTGCCGACTCGGAAAGTTGGTTGTATCCCTCCAATGGAACGTCATTGCAAGAATTAGGGTCTACTGTATAAGGAAACGAGGCGTGGCTGGAGGACGCAGAGGTAGCATATGGTGCAGGATAAGTCCCCTGACCCCCTTCCATCACATCTACAACGTTTGAGGGATGAACAGGTGATGTTGGAGAGGGGTAAGCATAAGTGCCGTGGTTAGCGCTCAAGTTGAACGCTGCGCTGCCATTAAAGTCACGATAATCACGTCCCAGTACGAGCCATTGCTGCTGTTGCTGTTGCGCAGCAGCCTTTGCAGCCTCAGGGAACGTTGCAAAGAACCGTTCGTCGTCTTCCTTCAAAAACTGCGCAAACGAGTTAGATTCAAATTTCTCCTGCTAAAAAAAGGATTGTGATGAGCTTGAGAAGAGAAGAAAAGAAGAGAACATACATGAAAGACAAAATGACGCGTATGCTGTTGGGAAGTCGAATCATGATGGAAATTATCAACAGTTGGTGAGTGGCTTGTTTGCAGCGATGGATGAGTAGGGCCGAATGATTCGTAGGAAGAAGACATGAAGGGCTGGTCAGAATACGAGTAGAGGTCGTCAAAAGGCTGCTCGCTGGAACGATGACTTTCCATCTGTAATGGAGAGAAGAAAAGACTGGGTCAAAAAGGGAAGAAAGGTGAAGACGGCGGCATTGATTTTAATCTCAATACAATTATTAACGTGTCAACAACCACCTACAACCTTAATCTTTATCATGTCGGTCTTTTTTTTACTTTCACCTTTCTTCCAGACTTACAGCGTGTTCAAATCGCGTTCATCGATTTTCTACACCTTCTCCGCATCTTTTCTTATCGCAGATCTTTTCATTTTTGGTTCCGTGCTTTGAAATTCCGGGCTGTTGATCCTGATTCGCGACTGACGGCTTGTGACGGCTGCTTAGGTTTTTGTAAAAGTGCCTGCAAGCAAGTGCCGCAAGCATTTCAAGTACATAGCTATTCCTTTTGGAGTTCAAGAGGATAAATTAATGTACACATGAGCGCTAGCGCTGTAGTTGGTTTCTAACTTTATCAACGAAAGGACAAATGCCAGTCTATGCCAGTTTCTGCCAATCGAAAGTCAAGTTTGCGGTATACGTATACAAAGAATTTTGCGCATATCGTTACTCTGTCGTTATTTGAAGACGTCTATAAGCCTGTCCAAGGTTCGTGCAAGACGTCCGACTTGTTTTGTTGGACCCTGGGTCTATATGTAGAGTCTAGATCTAGACTCTAGAACCTATTGTATGGGTGAGAGAATTGTGAGTAGAATTCGGGCCGATTCTACAAGTTATCATTTGATCAATGTGAATGAGATGGTTTCAAAGTACCACAGTTATGTCTACGCCAAAGCTGCCTCGGAAGACAGGTTCTACTAATCACCCTGACTTCATTAACCCTTCTTGTAAGTGTTTAAACACTCACAACTCTTCTCCCTTTATTTGTTCATGTCAATGAGCAACCATTTGTGTAATATAACATATATAGTCTTCAAATCCATTCGCCACAATCATAGATGGGCGTGCACTCTCTGTCCTGGGGCGCGAAAAACACCATACATGACCTATCAAGTCGCTAGACAACATGAACGAAACTCTGCGGAGCATGCCTCTCGCGTGAAACAGCGACAAGAACGACAACCTCAACAACATGCGCAGTCCTCAGCCTGGGACCAACCTTCCATGATAAACCCATGGGAAACAACCGGTCCCTCAGCGGACGCTTGGCTCGTACCCGCGACAGAGCACCACAATTTCACGACCATGACCAAGGAACAACTCCGATCCAAAGAGCATCAATACTTCGCCGATCAAGTCGATGACATGATTCCCTTTTGGATACGCGGGATCGAAGCTGCTGAACGAGGAGAGGTTTTAAGGCTGGAAGAGTTCTTAGATTCTTTGGAGAACGAAGCCGATACCGATACCTGGCCTCCGCGTGGTCCTAATCCTTGGACCCATCGTGATCGACACTCAAACTACGGAGGTCGAGCTTGGGAACAAACGGATTGGGATAATCATAATGATAATAACGACATTGCGAAATGGATCGCTGAAGAGTCAGTTTCGTCTGCGGAGAGTGGCGGTCGGGTTATTGGGCGATCACACAGCAGTAATCACAGGGTCATACAGTCAAAATCAAAATCTCAGCTCTTCGAGTCGGTACAGGATGGTGCCAACTCCCTAGTCGAAGTTGTAGCTCGTCAAAACTCAGCCGACGAAAATCGAAAGCGGGAAATGTACTCCTTTCTCGAGGTTGGTGTTCATATACAATATGTAGATACAGATATTGTCTCTTTCAAAAAGTTGTTGCTTGGGGATTTCTTTATAATCGTTTCTTTTTTTTAGTTATCGACAAACGAAAAGGTCAAGAAGATTGACGATCTTATACGTGCCCTGCGTTCGTCGTAAAGGCTCGTAACGGCATATCTTACATGTACTGGTCACGACCTCATTGGCTGTGGAGCTGAATTCTATCCCGGATTCTATCATCCAGAATTTCGAAATGTTTACGAACCCTTGATGTCACTTCATGTCAAAAATCTTAAAATGCACTGGTATACTTACGCGGAGCTCTACTCGAACCGCGATTTTTACACCTATTCAAATTCCTTTGTGCGCGCAGACCTCATGTCAATGATACGTCGACCTTCACTACAAGTATGTATACATACTTGGAATCGGAATGTGGAATATTGCTGTAAATTTGCTGTGCAGAGTTCTACATACGACCCCAAGGCTGAGATTTGGCAGTGGAATAACCGCTAACAACCGACTAACCGCATCTATAGCTAGCTCTAACCGCGTTTCCGATAGACACATCACAGCAATCAGCAATGATCCCGGGCGGTCCCCTATTGAAATTCATTGACCCCCTCCCGCACCACAACGTATACGCAGCTCGGTAATTGAAAGGTGGAAGATATAAAATGGTTGGCTGATTTTAACATTTTGTTCCTCATTTTACATCTAACAACAGTCACAGCAACAGGACTTTCTATCAATTCGAGAAATGACTCCTGATTTCGACGATATACCTCTCCCTGAAGGCTGGGTTGAGGAGTTCCATGAATCAGGCCATCCTTACTACGTGAGTATTTTTGGTTATCAATTCGAATTTCAATTGATGAATTACTTACCTTGCCTGGGCAGGTTGACACACTTGCAAACCCCCCACGCTCAATATGGATCCATCCATATGAGGATGAAGTGTATCTCCGCCAGCATCCTGAAGATCAAGGCAAACTCCAAGCGTGGATGGCTGCTGATAGTAAATCTCGTTCGCCTTCGCCTTTGCCAGATGGGAGATCCCCGTTGTATACTGAGGATGTCAAGGTGGCTCCAGTCCTGGGTGACGAGAGGAGGAGTAGTCGAGAATACTACGGCCGTCGTGGTCCTGTGGATGAGTATGCTCCTGGGATGAGTACCGGATCGCATATGGGAGACAGAGGGTTACTTGGAGGTGGAAGAGGTCTAGGAGGGCTGGGCGGAGATGGAAGAGGCTTCGGAGGAGGAGGTTTAGGAGGTAGAAGAGGCTTGATAGGAGGTTTACTTGGAGCCCTCACTGAACGCACTGAGATGGCTCAAGAAAGTCGAGGTGCCTATTACGAACCAAGATTCGGAATGGGAGGAGGACTCGGAGGGCCAGGCATGATGATGGGTGGAAGAGGGTTTGGAATGCCCATGGATAGACGTACAGAAAGATTCATGGTAAATTGCCTTTCTGCATGTGAAACGTTATCAGTAGACTAACAAAATCATTGTAGCGCCGAGAGGACAAATACGAACGCCGGATGCAACGTCGGCAAGAGAAATACGAAAGACGTATGGATAGACGTTATGGTGGGCGCTATGCCCCGCCTGCATATGCTCGACCAGAGTATTATCCTGGTCAGTATCCGTCTGGGTACTATGGACAACAACAACAATACGGAGGAGGACAATATTATGCCCCACCACCGCAGGTTGCTACACCACATGAACAGGAGCATCATGGAGGGAAAGTTTTACCCTTCCTCGGAGGTGTGGCTGTAGGTGTGGCAGGAGACGAGTTGTTCCATCATTTCAAGGACAAGGATGGTGACAAGAAAGAGGGTAAAAATTGAGCGCAGAGTCGACTAGCGTCGGTTGGACTGAACTATATATATGGTCCTGGCCTTGACTAGCTTAACCTAACTCACTGTTGTACATAAGTTGGGTATGGAAATTTTTGTGAGCGAGGCGGAGACATTTCAGAGCATGCCTCTTTTCGGTAATTTGCCGACGGAGCCATATGAGCGGCATGACATCACTGCGCCGCACTACCATTCTTCCCACACTCTTCTAATTCTTCATTACCACCATGTCTTCAAATAATATCAACGATCTTCCTCTTCCTTATGGCTGGGTCGAACAACGTTCACCCGATGGTCATCGTTTTTATGTCGGTGCTCCTTACAGTAATCTTTACTCAACACTTACTGATACAATAATTCTAAGGTCGATACTAAAGCCAATCCACCCCGTTCAATATGGACTCACCCCTACGAGGATGAGCAATATCTCCATGAACATCCAGACGTACGAGAGAAAATGAGGACTTCTACTTCCAATCAAGAACTTCGAAGCAGCCGTTCCGACATCAAACAATCCAACTACGACGATAGAGACACCAGGCGGCATTCGTATAACGGTCAATCATCATCTTCGTCGAAAACTCCAGGTCACAACAGAGGATTTTTTGGCAAGGTCCGTGGATTCTCTCCATATTGCTCAAATCAAACTTATAGCAATCGACCGTTACATGTTACAGCTCAAAGACAAAGCTATCGGAACCAAAGAGGAACGACAGGCTGAGAAAGCCCGAGCAGCGCAGGTAAGGCGAATCTTCCCACTAACCCAATATAGATTAATTCATGATCATACTCATAATTTATTTGTTTACAGCTTCAAGAGCAGAGACGTCAACAGCGCCTTGCGCAGCAGCAGGCTTACTACAATCAGGCTCAATATGCTCCCCCTCCCCAACAATATGGCAATCGTTACGACGGATACGGAGATACATATGGAAGCGGTGGCCTAGGTGGACTAGGTGGGATGTCTGGTCGCCGAACTGGAGGTATGGGTATGGGAGGTATGGCTCTACCTCTTATCGGTGGAATGGCGGGTGGTCTACTCCTCGGAGAAGCTTTGGGTGATTTTGGAGGTGGAGGGTTTGATAATGGAGGTTTTGGTGGCGGAGGTTTTGACGGTGGAGGTTTCGGTGGTGGAGGATTTGACGGTGGCGGTTTTGACAATGGAGGCGGGGGCGGCTTTTAATCTTGTTTAATGGGTGATGATTACCACCTATGACCATATGTATAACCCACACCATGATGGACTGGAATTGTACATTTTTTGTATTTCTTGTTGTATGGACACATATACCTGTACTGTAGCTTCAATGTGTATTTAGATCATTCCCGCTGTAGTATCACAAGTCAAAATACACGAGAGACTTGGAGACTGGAGAAATATCGTTCAATCTTTCAATCTGCCCACTGTGCAGTTACAGTAGCTGTTAAACGTATGGGCGCTTAAATAAATATTAGTTCTGTGTTCCTCTGCTTCATGACCCGCATAACAAACTTTGGCCGAAAGCGCTCATATTTCGAATCCTCTTTGGACTCTGGACAAAATGATGATGATATGGGTAATATCAATGAATCGGTTCGAAAGCCTCCAACACAGGAAGAGTCAGCTCAGGGTATAACCATAGACGTTGATTCTGCCAATCTTTCCGGGCCTCCTCCGAAGAAAAAACGAAAACGGACGCCGAAGTCGAAACGAGACGGGCATGGAACTCGGCCTATGGGTAGCGCACCTGAAGGCGAAGAATCTAACCCCGTTAAAGCATCTGAAGACCTGTCGGATGTTGCCAAACCGTCTACTCAACCACCGAAAAAAAGTAGCAAGAATAAGAACAAGAAGAAGGAACGCAAAGACAAGAAATGTATGGCTCCCTCTTCTCCTCTCTTCCTTCTCGTACTTGACTGACCAATACTTTTCTGTTTCCGTAGTCGTTTCCCCGTCAGAGCGAAGGCGATTGCAGCGGATAGCAGAGAAGAACGCAGATACCACCTGTTTTAGCTGTCGTGAAAAAGGCCACTGCGCCAGAGACTGTCCGAAGAATGGGCTTGCAAAGGAAGGCGAAGACGGGGGCGGAGGGTCGAAACAACTTGGAATATGTTACCGGTGTGTATCCCATTCACGTCTTTCCGTTTTGTTCTTTTTTGATCATCATCATTCATCAAATTTCCTAACAAACAAACAGATGTGGTTCTACACGACACACTCTATCACGATGTAAAAAGCCTGAGGATCCATTAAATCCATTACCCCATGCATCCTGTTTCGTCTGCAACAGCAAAGGTCATCTCGCTTCCACGTGTCCTCAGAACAAATCAAAAGGTATCTACCCAAATGGTGGTTCTTGTAAACTATGTGGGGACATCACACACCTCGCGAGGGATTGTGCTATTCGCCAGAAAGGTGTGTGGATTGTGTGTTATATCGGTAGTAGCATGTGCCCTGATTCTTGTCTCTTTTTCCATTTTCTCCTTTAGATACAGGTTCCCTTGCAGCAGTTTTAGGTGTGGTAGATGAGAAAGACCTAGGAGCGGACGAAGATGATTTCCATACTATCGGACGAACAAGGCAGCAATTGGATCGTCTTGATAAACACACGGAGAAGCTCCAACGATCAATGGGAGTGAAAGTCGCTGCTCAGTCTGGTACTATCATTCAGCCTTTCGGAAAATTGCCAGCTCCCGTCAATAAAGTCGTAATTTTCTAACATGTATGTATGTACATAGTGACATGCACAGGAGCATGACATAGCTGCGAAACCCTTCTATGGCAATCAAAAATTAAAAGCACCCATATCGAAATCGGGAACTTGGGCAACTTGTTTAGCTGACTTCATCAAACTGCCCAATCCTGCTTTTTTAGCAACCAGATCACCTTCGTCTGGTGCATGCTCTTCCTGAATCGAAGATGTCTTCAAACTCCGTGATTTGCCTTCGGGTGAGACAGCACGGGTTGGAGGTATCGAGGGAATGTCCATATCGATCATTATCGAGGACTGACGGCGCAATGAAGGCGCCAACGAATAAGTGGACCGATGTGTGGTAGCAACACCATTGTAATTGGGCGATGACGAAGAGTTCCGATCACCATTCCGTGGCGAGGGACGAGGTAATGCCGTTGGTCTATCAAAAGACCACGATTGAACGAGGTCGAGAGCGAGGATATGGCAACCTGTTTGTTTTTTGTACATTGAGAGATAAATTGACTTGTTGTGAAATGCAGACCGTACCCATTCGACAGAAAACACGAGCAATCTGTAACACGAAATTGAACTCTAAACGTCCCGAAATTTCGCTGTTGCCTTTTGCAGCCTGGAGTGTTTTCGATCTCAACTGTGAGAATAACAATGCTAGACTGGGATCGTCATAATGAGGCTCTCCGATATCCTTGACGGATATATCAAGGATACTTGCAAGATCTTGCAGGGGAGTCTGGATTGAAAGAAAGATTAAAATAAATGCCACAGATATGGAGGTCGGGGGAAATAAATTACCACAAGTATTCGAACGCCTAGATCTCGTCGATGAAGCAACCAAAACGCCCAACTTGCCAACCACCGATTACCTTCTCTGAACGCAGTAGGAAGGACTGTATTGTTCAAAATGCTGCAAAGAACCGGGCCCTCATTACTTTGTTCCACAACACGAGCAATCGCAATCGCGAGTTGAAAATCGTGGAGCTGTTTTATGCAGACGTTCACGGCGTCCTTCAGCGAGCCACCCAGGAGGAAAAATGCTGCAGCGTATTCTATCAATTGACATTATTATCAAACTGTGAGGGATACTTCAACAATCGAGGGACTCACCAAACCGTTGCTTACTCAAAAGCGCGAAAGCGTTTTTGAGAGCAGCCGTTCGCCAACGAGGCTGGGTAAAGTCGTTTGATAAGAATTTTAACATAACACTTTGTTCTTTATGCCAAGCCGCTTGTCTCCAAAGTCCGTGCACAAGCTTCGTCTTCCCCAAAGCGAAGTAGAACAGCGAACAAACAGTGGGATCTCGTACATCTCCAGCCATATACTCATTTCTTGCGATGACTTCCATCTGGGATTTCTATCATTATTGTCGTCGTCAATCACTTACCATCACTCCATACATTCTGATTTAAACAAAGAACATACCATGGATTCGATCGAGTTCAGCCAGATCGAGATTCCCAATGCTCTAGCATCAGACCAGCATAGTTTCCCATTGCACGCAGCAGACGAAGCTCCCAGTAGTAGTTCCTGGCTTTCACTATGGAACGCCCAGATCATATCTCGATATCGCAATCGTTCCCTCCGACCGGTGTTCCGCGGGATAGCCCCGGAGGATCGGGGGCTAGCAGGCGTTGAAGCGCGACGATTAACAATGTAGAACGACCGCATCGAGATCAAGTAACGCAGACCATTCGAGTCAAGGGAGCGCCTTTGCTCATCAATCTGTTAAGAGGGGTAGAGTTAGAGAGATACGTTTGCGATTCAAATTCAAGGACAACGGTACCTCCAATGTTGTCTGTATCAGAACAATCAAACTTGCACTCTCGTTCGGGGTCAGGTGTGGCAGTGGTCGGAATTCGAGGCGTTCGATGAGTTCGCTGACAAGCGGACGACAAAAACCATCCTCTTCGCTGAACACAGGGTTAGAGACATCTCCGCAGCATATACAAGAGAAACGACCCACTCATCTTCTTGAGGACCGTCAAAGAGCATAGTATACCGCTTCTTATGTGCTATCTTCTGTGAATATAATTCAAATTGTGCGCTGTCTATCAAATATATTCACTGACTGATTGATCTTTGCTAAAGAATCGCTCAACAGGCACTGACGTCCATGATTCTGGGGATTGAATATCTTTCGCGAGATTGACGATGATTTCCTTGACTAACTCGATCTTTTCTGGTTATGGTTATGAGTTGCGCGAAATCAGAAAGCGGTAACACCATACCCCACAGAAGACACTGCAACAACATTTGTGGATGATAGTCTGGAAGAGGACCATTTTGTCGTGCGACATACTCGAACAGACTCTCGGCCTTTTTCTCTGACGATTTTGGCGGTCCATAAAGTAACATTTGATGGCCCGCACCTATCAATAGCGAACTATTTGCCAGCCAGATGGAGTCATTGATTGGGTATGGCGTAAGACTATAACCAAGCTGTCGAAGATGCCTCTAAGGTTGAAATAAGAGAACGAACCTCCCAATGTTTATTTTCCAACATATTGACCAACTAGGGCCTTCATCGAAATAAGTCATGCGTTGCTGGCACAGTAGTTCGACGTGGTGCAAAAAGCCTACCGCAAGAATTGACTGCATATCTGGGGTAGATGTCCAATCAAGGTCGTTTATGGACTGACTGTGCAGAGTTAAAAATATCCATCCTCCAGAAGCATTACGTCAAGTGCTGACCTATACGTACGAGAGAACTCTAGTCCTGAGGCGAATTCAGACTCCTTGGAGTCCCAAATCGTGAGTTCTTCACCACTAGGGCAAGGTGTGACTGGCAGGTAAGAATCAGCATTATCAGACCGTACCGGATTTGATAATAACTTACCGAGGGCGGTTTTCTTTGCAGAGCTACATCTTGCCTTCCGTATTGGTCTTCGCCCAGTTTTTACCTTCCCGGTACATCTCCAGCCAGAATGACCGCTATTCAATGTCGATAAACCGTTGATTACCTGACGGTCTTCGGGTATCCAGAATGCTAGCTCGCCTTCTTCAGATATGCTCAAGAGAGCATCGTGTTCTACCCATTCGTTTTTCATACCCCACGCCATCGGATCAACAGGTAAAATCAAGCATGGGTGAACGTCAAGAGGAAGGTGGTTGTGGGAGTGGAGTGATAACGTCACAGATGGACTATGTCCATCTTCAACCTCTGTGTTCACAGTTAGGTGGATGATCGCAAGGTCGTCCGTGATACCAAGTATCGAGTCGTGACTGTTATTGGAGGGCGTCGTGAACAACGAGGTAAGATGAGGAACAGAGACAGAGGTAGGAGGTGACGTATGTAGTGTAAGGGTGGATTCCGAGCTCGAATAGGTGGCGAATAGACGACCTATGGAAGTTTGAATCAGTCTTCAGGAATGTCCTTTTTGAACACGTACCATGGTCAAGAACTACTACTCGATCTGCAGCACTCCATGAAGCGGACCTTGTGAGCATCGCTTCATCAGGTCCATGACTCCAGGTTTCTCCGCCTCCTCCTTTACGTATAACACCTAATCCTTGTCCTTCGGGTGTTCTCACAAAGCGAGAAATTTCGGACTCCTCAGCTGAAATCCTATCCAGAAATTTTGCCGTAAGCCTGAGGCCAGTAGGCTGATCATCGAAGAAATTCATGAGGTCCAGCTCGAATGAGCATAGAGGTGATGTGGACACAAGACTTGCGGTAGGCTGAGATGGGTTGGGCAAAGCGTAAAGATGTGATGGAATTCTTGGTAATGGAGACCGCGAGGATTGTTGTATGGTGAAATGTTTGAGGAGAGTAGGCGGTCTTCGATCAATGTTCTGTAAAGACGCCTCAGAATTTTCTACAAGGAGTGTAGGGTTATTGAGATTACCGCGACAGCAGTCAGGACAAGGCACCCATCTTCAATCACACGTAGAAAGAGATCCCATCCTTCCTCTTGGATATCTCGAAGCGTTCTAGTTTTCACGTCATCAAGATCCGGATCCTGATTCAATAACTTTTCTAGAGTCTGACTGATTACTTGTCGATCGAGCCAGAATACAGCCGAAGATGTCTTAACAGAAGCAGTCGCAAGAGAAGGCGATATTGAAGAGTAGAGATCTATGGCAGCGTGTAGTTGAACGTATTGAGGGGAGTCTAACACTGGAAAATATATCCGAAGGGTGGAGTCGGAAGTGATAGTATACAATATTAAATCATCACTGGAGAATCGCATGTCAGGTGCTGCGACAAGAAAGGAGTTTTATGCACAAACCGACTAGATGCTTGCGAGTGACGCCAAGAAAGATTGACGACAGGCCTCGGGTGGGGTATCAGCTGTATTTGTCGCCCTGTAGTCGTGGAATAGAGGCAAACAGCATTGTCTATCTACTTCACCGTTAAAGCAAAAACATGCGTGGGCAGTCTTCGCAACGTACTTTGTTCGTGGTTGCAATATACATCAGTGAAGGAGCAAAGCGAACCAGTAACGGAGGGGTTTTTGATCTGGTCCAAAAAAGATCAGGCAGATGCTTGGGCACAGGAGCCACAGGTTGCATACGAGACAGTCCATTTCAGAAACCAAGTTGGAAGATTGTCCTCGAGTATGAGAGTATATACAGACAATCCGCGATTTGTACCAACGGCGAGAAGCCCTTTGTTCATTCAGATGCATGGAGGAGAGAGCAGTAAGGGATGTTTACCAGATTTGCTATCCAAGGTCGTGATCGTATACTTCCGAGGAATTACTAGAGATGAATGAATCCGCCATGTATCATTCTGTACATTCTGTACACCAGACAAGGACCAGGTCGCGATTCTATGGTTCATGGCTGCAACTATCTGCATAATAAAGTGATATGTGAGCAAAATTGACACAAATTATATTATGAACGCGCACCAGTTTCATACCGGAATCCACAGAGATACACGATATATTCTCAGACGCATAAGTTGACCCGGGAAAAACTTCCCAAAAGGCCAGGACACGTAGAAGCGCCAAATTCCGAGCATTGAGAATGACCACAGCGTCGGCGGATGGATATAACTATTCAGCATTAACTGGCGAAGTAACACTGTAACTTCGGGCTCACGAGAAGAGTTTCTTGGGGGAGCACAAGATGATGAAGACTGGAAAATGGGGAGCCAAGGTAGGTTTGACGCAGATCAAGCATTGTAAGAGACAAGGTTATAGTGCCATCTATGAGCCTAAAGCCTGTACTGTAGTGCGCAAGTCCAAATCAGGCAGGCTTAGGCGTCCCGGAAAACCCGACGCACATTACGGAAGCTAAATGAAAACATGCTGCTACATTGACATGCATTTATGCTTACCACCATGTTCTTTAGGCCGTTGGCTCTACTAGCCTCCCTGAACTTCTCTTTCGCTGCTCAGGTCATATTTAGTCCAGCAAATACTTCGATATCTTCCACTACTATCATTGATGTTCTCAGCAACGATTCTGACTACCTTTCACTCTTACAACTTATTCAGCGAGCTCGTCTCGTTCCCACTCTCAATCGGCTCAATGACTGTACTTTATTTGCTCCTACAAATGATGCTATCAAGCGACATTCACTTTGGAGCTCCATCCTGGAAGATTCTAGTTTGATACTTCAGGACAACATCCAGGAGCACCTCCGACAGCAGCTGTTCTATCATCTCCTCAACTACAGTATTCCTCCAGAGTCAGAACCTTTGAAGGTTCACAAAACTCTCCATTATCCTCACGCTCCGGTTGAACCGCCTTCGAGAGAACCTCCGCCTCATCCTCCCTGGATGCCCATACCAAGTGGCACTCTCGGTGGAGAGCCTCAACGGCTACGCGTTGGCACAAGAGAGGAAAACGGATACGTCGGAGTTGATGTTTTCTGTAACGGAGGCGCCAAGATTGTCAAAGGCAACGTAACTGCAGAAAATGGTGTGGTCCTCGGAATTTCAGAAGTGCTTGAACCTCCTCCTAACCTGGGCACGTTGATTCACTTTTTACATCGTCCTGCAAGCTGACATAGGTATCAAGCTACCGTCCTATCACAGCACTCCTCACTGTCATTCTTCCATAGAGTGCTCACGCCTGAAATCAAGAAATTTTTGAACTCAACTTCGGAGTTGACTTTGTTTATACCAGTTGACGAAGCATGGGAAGCCCTAGGTCATTACGAACGCATATATCTTGAGAGCAAGTATGCGACGGATGACCTTTTTCGTATCTTGAACATGCATGCTGTCGTCCAAACAGGTGTCAAGTGGTCGGACTCTTTCGAGCCCGCAATCAATTGTAAGCTCGTTGGTTCAAACATACTTGATTTAGCTAAACTGAAATTTAGTAACGACCGTTGATGGAACAACATTGGAGATCGTGGTTCATCCTGAAAAGACAACGATCTCTACTGCGGACCTCATCGAGCCCGATATATATGGCTCGAACGGGGTCCTCCACCTCATTAACTCCCTTCTCATTCCCGAAGGTGCTCTCCAGCTCACCCCGGAGAAATACCTGCTTTCCCTAAACTGTTCCAGCTTTGTATCCTTCATTCACGAAACGGAACTGACTTACCTCATCAATGATACTTCTTCCAGTTACACGATCTTGGCTCCGAGCGACGACGTGTTATCCATTCTGTCTGACGGCGAACTTCCTGAACCTGGATCTGAAGAGATGAAGAGACTTCTTCGTTATCATTTCATTCCTGGGAAAATGACGACGAAGAAACTTCATTCTGGAATGCTCATAGAGACAACCCTACAAGAGCCGGGTTTAGGTGGCGATCGACAGGTGTTGCGGGTCGAGGTAGATGAACATCAGAAGGATGAAGCATGGAAATGGCTGCGATTCGGCGGGGCTAAGGTTTTGAGTGAACCTGGTAGGTACTGTAGTCGTGCGTCGTCCTCACCTAATCCTTGTTGGCACAGTGGAAGTCAACAACACCTTGATTTACTTCATATCCCGACCAATTGTCCCGCCTTCCGATGCCCTTGAAACCGTTCTTCCCATGCTTGACTTTTCAATGTTCATTGCCGCTGTTCTATCTACTTCGATAGGAGACAAGATTCGAAACGCTGCGAGCACATCTTTGCTCATACCCCCTAATTCTGCGTTTGATCGGTTGGGCTTGCTTGTCAGCGAGTACTTACTGGCCTCTTCTTCCAAGCCTGATCTAGAGAATGTCCTTCTTCACCATGTTTTGAGCTCCGTTCGTTATTCCGAAGCTCTGGAGAATGGCACTCAGCGTACTTTTGCCTCCGCAGAAGGCTCAGACCTAACTGTTTCCCGGGAGGACAACGGAACAGTTTTTGTGAGTGCAAGTGGAGGCTGGGTCGGAATGAAATCGCGACTTCACACACGAAATATACTTACGCAAACTGGGGTGGTGCATGAGCTTTCCGACATATTGATACCTCGTTCAGTGAACTTGACCGTCGGAAAGCTCATGAAGGCGGCTAAGGGAAGTACAATGATCAGCATGGTGACAAAGGCAGGTCTTGATTGGGTACTCAATGGTACTTCGCCTCCAGAGGACTCTCAATGGGCCCAGCAAGGCTTTGGCAAAGCTGGCTGGGTACTGCTCTGCCCCAGTGATAGTGCGTTTGGGCAGTATAACTTGACCGAATTATACGGAAACAAAGAGAAACTAATTTCGATCGTCGGCCAGCATCTCATCCCTCTGCCTTCGCAAAGCAACAAGTTAATTGCTGCACCCTTGGATGATGATCCGCTGTACAACAATCGACCTCTTGTTCTTGACGATTCTGTCACATACTCTACACTGCAATCCGCATCTTCTGTTTACGGAGACCTTGTTTTCAAGCAATCGGATGACGCTAAGGGCGGCTACATTGTTGGTATCAAGGGCGCTCGTGGAACAGACAAGCAGACAGATTGGGCTAATGTCATCTCATGGGGCCGCACCACTACCACCGGAGGCGGGGGTGTTATACGCATCGATAGATTGTTCATGCCGTACTATCCCTCGTGGTGGACGGAATACGGAATGCCGGTAGTCGTCGGAGTGCTAGGCGTGTTTGCGATATGTGGGTTTTTCTACTGCGTACGACTAATCTGGAGGATAGATACAACAGAGGCTACATACGAGCCCGCTTCTAATACGGACGATGATGATTGATAGACTAACATATGTATTTTTATGAGTTTGTTGGTTGTAAGTATTGTAGATATAAGAATATTTTATCCAATGATAGTAAGATTTACCGGTACACTTTCTCGCTGGTGTCGCTGGTGCCTAAGTCAAACTTGAATTCACATGTCATTGTCTATGAACCGGCTCTACCCCAGATAATAATCACTCTTAGGTCTTTTCTGCCATCCTCAACTTCCTCTAAACAATGGTGCGCTTAACCTCCGTCGCACCCTTGATGTGTCTAATATTTGCTTACAGAGTGAAGCAGAGCCATCGGTAACAACGGCAGTGTCAGCGACAGCAGACAATGTCAAGGCCTTTGTGGCCGGAGGATTTGGAGGAGTCTGTGCTGTCCTTGTCGGTGAGCTCGAACTCGAGTCTTCGTGCTCATAGTTCCTCGCTCATCTCTCCTTCAAAATAGGTCACCCATTCGATTTGACCAAAACGCGTTTACAAACTGCACCGTCTGGTACATACACCGGAGCAATAGATGTAGTGAAGAAGATACTAGTAAGAGATGGTGTTTTAGGGTACGTAGTTTCTTCGATCGTCAACTCAAACCGCTGAAAACTTATGAACAACAGAGTCTATCGAGGCATCGTGCCCCCTCTCTTGGGTGTAACGCCGATATTTGCTGTGTCATTTTGGGTGCGATGGTCCAAGAAAGAAACAAAGTAGCCTGCTGACTGTTCGTCTATAGGCATACGACGCGTCCAAGAAGCTCATCTCTGCGCTCACCAAAAGTGATACGTTATCTACTACCCAACTTGCTGCCGCAGGATTCCTCTCCGCAGTTCCTAGCACAGCTGTGACCGCTCCGGTGGAGAGAGCGAAAGTTCTATTACAAGCATGTTTGCCCTTGTTGCCTCGGAATGAGAGAAAATAATGACCCAGCGTTGCAGGTACAAGGACAGGGGCTGTCAGAGCAGAAATACAAGGGCGTAACTGGGGTCTTACGGCATATGTATCAGGAAGGGGGCCTCCGCAGTGTTTTCAGAGGCTCTGGGGCGACATTAGCGCGGGATGGACCCGGAAGTGCAGCGTGAGTCGCCTGAGCTCGAGTTGTGACTGCAGTTGAACTTGAAATTCCATTCCACAGTTACTTTGCCGCATATGAAGTAACGAAAAAGGCGTTGACACCAGCTGGTTCTTCACCCTCCGATCTCAATTTGGGGTCCATCATATGTGCTGGAGGGGTTGCAGGAGTTGCTATGTGGTCGTTGGCTATTCCCCCAGATGTATGTATTACTGAGCGTACATGCTGTCAAGGATATCTTAACGGAATACCTATAGGTCTTGAAATCTAGGATTCAAGCCGCTCCTAAGGATACTTATTCAGGAATCCTTGACTGCGCAAGAAAAACCATCGCACAGGATGGTGTTGCGGCTTTGTGGAAGGGATTTGGCCCCGCAATGGCTCGTGCTTTTCCTGCAAATGCTGCAACTTTCCTCGGTGTTGAGCTTTCGAGAAAGCTACTAGATAAGGTCATGTAAATCTAGAGTGTCGCTACTATATCTGCAAGGAATAATTGGTGCGTCCTCTGTCCTGTCTCCCATCAAGTCTTTCACTAATGGAAATATAATCCAGATTAAATGGAGAATTTCAGAAAAGTAATGAGGATCAAGTTGATCATATCTAGGCTATCTATAGTAGGGGAAGATCCTCGGTCTAATGATTTCTACAACCTCTGTGCCGCTGTCCTCTGCAAGAGCCTACGACCAATGGTTAAATTTAAACTCGCCACTCGTGGGCTCTTCTCCTCCAGCACGAGCTTCCGTCTCGGCAGGTAAAGAAACAAGCTTTGCTTCGTCGTCATTATCGTGCATAAAGGTAAATTTCCGAACCTCTGCATTGGCCCAGGGCTGCATTCACGACCATAAATTCCTGAGATAGGAAGAGAATTGAGGAACACTCGCCTCATACAATGAGGTTTTTGTTATTTTTCGAAGGATGTCACCGTGGGCGACAACTACGATGTTCTAGAGCAACAATAACTATTATAGCTGAGATATTCTCGATGTCACCATATCACTTGCCTGTTCAGGTCGATCTCGGAGCCATCGACGCACCCAACGAGCGCGCGCTTTCACAGCATCGGAGCTTGGAGAAAAGTCTCCTACAACCGAGAGGGCAGTCAGAGAGACGTAGACACTAGTGAGAGCATTACTCGCCCTGCTTGGAATTCCAATCATCTTCCAGCGACTCAAAGTTAATGCCAGCGAATTCATCGATTTGTTCTAACTCATTGCGAGAAGATCCAGTATCACAGGGAAAGTCGTTGACTTCTTGAAGGCGAGATAGTACAACGATGGGCTGTGATCATGATATTGATTTCGTTATTCACAGTCGAATATATTCCTGACCTTTGGGGAATTCTGACTCTCTAGACGCGCCCGTAGCCCGCGATAGCCGATGATGGTTGTCTGTAGTGTACGCTTGAGCGGGCTTGTGACAAGTAGGTCTGCAGATTGCTGGAGTTCTGCTGTTTGGGAGTAGAGCTCTTCGGCTTGACGTCTATGGGAAGTGGTGTGTTCAGCTAGTGAGAGATGTTGATATTAGGCAATGACTACGAGATTGACCTTCCAAGGGGCGTCAACGGTGCATCCGGGATAAAATAGTCCTATCCTCAGCAGATCAGTACTAGTACGCCTTACCTCGAGTGAATATTTTCATAAATACTTCGTCAACGTTGTGCTCGGCCTCTGCTCATTGTCACTGTTAGTATTAGAAGAGTATCATCCATGGCGGCACTCACGAGCATGCCTGGTAAAATGGATCACCTTTGCCATGGTCGATGTGCTGTCTGTTAACAAAAGCGCTATTGACGTCATCATGCGAATTAGATTTATCGTGAGAATTAAGCGACCCAATGCGGCTGACCAGTTGCTTTCAATAAAACTCTCATGACTTCAAAAATTTCAACTTTTCTGGTTCTCTTGAGCCTCTCTTCGATTCCATCTTCCAGCCGACCTTGACGGCCTTCACGACCGCGATTAAGTCTTCTGCTCCAAAAAGGATGTCAGGTGAGTACTGGTCACGACCGTCGCAGGCGGAGAGTGAAAGCATCCAACGCGCTTCTTTCTATCTTCCAGAACTGAGAAAGCCTTGGTGGTTGTCTTTTATATATATCGGGACCTGAAAAGGTCTCATTGCAAGATAGATGGCGAATCAAGTACATGAGCACGCATCAGCTAACAATCGACGCACTATATGAACGGTAACTGATAATCGGTAAGTACCTCATTTACATGTAGTATCTGGCAATGATCTCATATCCTATTGCTAGTGTCGCCGAATTCGTACAGCTATCGCTGCCCGGAAATACGTAGAAATAGCTCTGCATGTGTACCTGCCACCGAAGAACGAAAACATGAAATATAGTAATTGTGTTCGATATTTCGGCAATCGACTGAAAGTAAGACTGTGTACTAAAATTCAGGAGGCCAGTCATGTATATGTCGCTTGACTCTTATGTTCTGTCATGCATATCTCAGCTGGATGTAGTAGACTAGTATACTGTGTGGGGTAAGTATCTTGGAAGTCTGTGTTCACCCAATAAGTGCATGGTATTACTCAAAGTTCAGATGGTGAGCACAAAATTTATGTAGAAAGCAGAGCAGAGCATATTTCAGAATGCAAATTGAAGTACTATGTACATACATCTTTTGAGTTAACATATGGGAGGCAAGTTCGACGTATCTCTGCAATTTTTGTTTCCACATTTTTGGGATGTCGAGAGGTGGACGGCAGTCATGCCTCCTCCTGGTCTGATGCGGGATGTAGAGAATGGATGGAGGGTTCTGACCTAGCTGGATTGAGATCATAGCCACGTCAGTTTCGTCCCAAACTACGAGAGGGACAATATTCCCGTTGATTCTGATGATCAGAGTGTCAGGGTCCCTCCATTGTGGAACCAGCTGTAATCAAAAATGAGAAACATAAGGTGTTTTATGACCATGAAAATACCTGGGGGTGAAAACTTTTCAGAGGATTTTCATAAATACAAGAGAACAAGAATTGCATGCCAGGATTCTGTGGACCTGGTGGAAAATCCCAGAATTGTTCTCCGGCCATAGGGTGTGTGGATTTTTCTACCCCAACAGCAACCAGTCCCTGCGCAGGGCAGAAGGACAGTAAACAATAATATAGCCCGGGTTGATGCCCAGGTATATGAACAGGTTGTTGGTCAATAGGCTGGGCATAGAAGTCGCCCAAGCTTTGTCCACGAAAAAGGCCTGCAGCGGATCCCAGAAACATGTGAGTCCAGATCTGAACAAGGGGACTTTTGATGCTCATGGTGCTACGAGATAGCAAAAATTAGACCACAGTGGGAGGATTGTCAATAAGCCAATAGCAGGTTTGTGAAGATCCAGCAAGGTGGGAATACAGTATGTGGGGTGACAGACAACATGGTCAAGACTCAATGCTAACGAAACTATGTCAGATAACTGTTACTTGTTCAGCACTGAGTACTACCCATGCGGTATTATGGTTCAGCGACATCTCCGGCTGTCTGAGTCCAGAACCCTGTCTGTAACGGAGTATGTTGTGGGAATGCTGTGTGTCATATAAATTCACTTGGTCTTTTCTTAATCCACTTCATTCTTGAGACCATGTACCGTCAGGGAATGCCAAGTTCATACGGCTCACAAAGCACATCTGGGGTATGTTGGTCTTCCTCATTTTTCCTCGCGATAGCCTTAATAGAGTTGGATTAGAAGAGGATATGAATTGAACGGATGGATGCTCGACGAGCTTCGCCAGCGACATTCGATTCCATGCGTCGTGAACGCATACAACTTTCATCGCCCGTGTCAGCAGACATTGACTGAAGTGAAGTGGCTTTAGACTGCGGAGACATTAGGTCACCGAATATCAAGAGACACTTAGATCATGTACGCACATTTCCCAAAAAAAAACTTGCATACTAATTCGATATCCAGAGTTCAATGCTGGCGCTCTGTGTTGGACAGCTGGCGGAACTGTGGTATTTCAAGCAGCGCCTCTCGCGGGCTAAGATGCTGAAGCTCCGTCGGTAACTTTGAGAAGGCTGAGGATGAATATAAGCATGATTCCCGTAATCAATTGCGGTACTGACGAAAGGGTTTTGTAATGCGTTTTCTTTTCTTCGATTTCTTTCCGCTCGCCATGACAGAATGGCGTTGAACTTGAAGGACTCATGAGAGGAATCGGCCTTCCAAGTCGGACCGAGAAGGAGTCGGAAGCCATGTTACAGTCTGGTTACAGTGGCATATTTGCGATATGGAACGAAATCATCCCAGTCCAAAAAACCTAGCCAAGCAAAGATGGCTTGCTTATAATTTATGTGATTCGATCTGTAGTCCACTCAATTTGAAAGACAAATTGAAAAAATCGAAAGCTGTAACAGGCTGTAACGCGCACGTGCTCGGAAGTATATTTGTTTCCGCGGAAAGAAAAATAATCCCTTTCAACTTCTCTTTGACCCCTCTTGAGCTACCTTCCCCTCCTCTCCTCTCCCCTCCTTACGACCCTCACGACCAGTATAAGGACTCTTGCTTGCTAGCTCTAGTGACTCCTTAAAGCTCCATGTCTTACTCGTAAGTATAATTTCGTGCACTGTGTGGATTCTTTCGGTTATGCAAGTAAGACGCGTCGAGTTTCGCCTATTTAACGAATTTACGGCAGCGAAAGTTCACCTCCGCGTTGTGGCAATAAGCAGAAGAAGACTTCACGTCACAAAGTCTCCCGAGCCCTTTCTGCATCAGAGTGAGCATACTTCCATTTCTTTGATGTGCCTCAGAAAGGGAGAGACATTTGACGCGATTTGGCTTACAGGATATCTAAAAACAGTCATCATTTCGAGATATGGTGTACCTACCAGAACTTGGAAAGGGCGGCTCCTGAAGATATTCCTGAAAGCTTTAGGCAGGACGTTGAAAATGTCTTCGATGTTAGCGGAAAGTTGCCCCTTGTATGGACAAGAAAGGTTTTCCCCATTGCATCTAAAGGAATTATTATGATTGGAACCGCCTTCAACAGGAGTCCGAAGAGTATAAATTGCTGTCAACGTTTGCTCCTCCAGATTTTATTGCATTCATCGCCGAAGCCTACAACGAAGATCCTTCACTTTTCAGCGCAAAAGTTGGCGAACCCCCTTCAGCTCTTTATCTGCCTTTGACAACGGTGTTCACCGCTTGGCAACGTCTCAAGTCCATGCTAAATTCAAGTCAGAGATGGTCTGAAGCAGATTTTGCCGATGCGTATGCCTCCCTCTATGCTGCTACCGTCACCCAATAAGATAATTCGTAATTCCACTACCTTTTACTTTCAGTTACGCTCAATTCCGAGGTCCTGCGCTCAAAGAAAGCACACGACTGTACGTATCTTCTTTGAATTTCTGCCAGTCAAGGTCCATTGAACATTGTACTCGTCCAGCATGCAGTGTAGCGTCAGCCTCCCTCAACCACTGCAAACCCCTGTGGATCTTGAGGCTGCACGAATTCTGAATACCAAGAAATCCATTCCCGACTGCGTTGTGATGATACCCCCCGAGTCGATCCGTCATCTCTCCAATTCGACAGATTCTGCTTTCAAACGGCTCAAAAAGAACAAGGCTGTAAAGAAGACTGGTAGTGCAGTGAAGAACTCTTCTTTCGCCTACCAAGCTACTGTGTGCCACTCAATTCCTGACACGCCGGCCTTTGAGTTTGTTAGCAGTGTTTGGGAGGATAAGAAGCCTGTGCACAGTATGCCTGAACATGCTTACCGACAAAACAGGATGTCGACAGCATCTGCCGCTCGACAATTGCATTCTATGCATGTGGATGCTCCTGTATTTGGGCTTACTTGGACTCACGGTCATATTAGAGCTCATGTAGACTGGTGCCAGAGGCCTCAGCCCGACGAACCCCCAGTAAGATTCGTAATACCTTTTTTGCAACCTACTCATATGCTGGTCCTTAGGTGGTGTATTCTGCTCCCTATATTCGCTCTGTTGAGTCAAAGATCCCCGCTGACAACCAGGAATATCATCAATGGGATCTCACACGCGCCAGCGACATCTTGCGTCTCCATTTCCTGATTGTTAATATCGACCAATGGACCGTTGGAGGATTCTTGAATCGAGTAACTAGCGGAGTCGCTGCGCTTGAGAAGAGCATTGTCGAGGATGGAAAAGCGTTTGAGCCATGGAGGCGGTTTGGTGACATCGTACCGCGCGCTCGACGGTCTCTTACTGCAATGGAGAATGCGGAGTTATCTGCTAGTGTTCTAACGTGTTCCCCGCCTCCAAAGCCCAAACGCAAGTACGGGTCTCGGACAGTACATTGACCAGACGTTGGCCAGATCTCTAAAGCAATGTATTATAATGTAACGATCATACTTAGTAGTAAGTATGTGATAGTTCTATTCCTACAATGATTACACAGCGACACCTTCAATTCTTGAGTATCAGTAGAAAGATGTTACTTTTTCCAACTGGAAGGAATTTTGTGAACAACATCAATCCATGAGGCAAGGCGACCCTCCTCCCAATCCTCAATGTAGGACAATCCTGCTCGACCACGACGCCCTTGCTCAATCTTTAGCCGTTTCTCTGCATCGCACCAGAACAGTACCCAATCACCCATCCGAACATGACCAGAACTCCGTTCGAAATACCACTTGTTCACTGGGTTATTAGCACGACTTCGCCATACGAGGTCCCGACCTTCTCCTTGCCCTTCCTTACCACCGTTGGGATTAGCGGAGAAAGGATGACCGAGCCCGTAAGACTCATCGTGAAGAGCGACCCATAGAAAGTCAACGGTACCATCACCCTGGTGACTAGGTAAGACAGCAAACTTGTCCAGATATGAAATGGGTTGCGACAAATCCGATGAAGGCTCGTTGGTAACGATTGCAGCTCCAGCATAGTCTCCCGCAATTATGACGAAGTCTAGGGTGCGCTTCAAACGGTCATAAAAGTCGGTTTCCTCCAAAGTGCGCCCGAACGACTGTTCTAGCAGTGCATTCATTTTATTCCGGTCAATATTCTCGACTGTGCGAACCACTCGTATGGGCAATCCGCGACGAATCAAGGTAGGTGTATGCGGAGTAAGCTTACGATTGCCTTGCAACAGTGCGTGAGGCAAACTGGAGCTCACAGCAGGCCTGTTGGTGATCAAATTACCAATTAACGAGCTCTGAGAGCGATGCGATACCATGACAGCGGACGAGGTTGGTGGCATATATGTGAGGCAAGTTTTGGCAAGTGCTAGATTGGACAAAGCTGTCTTGTGCGTGTGCCTCCAAGATTCGTGGAACGTCTCCCGGATATGTTTTGACTCGGAATCGAGGTTGATGAGAAGGTGTGGAAAACCGCTACGGGCATACGAAGGAACGCCTCCTTCCCGGTTGATAATCATGAGTCGCAGAGGGGTAAGATCAACTTCACCTGAAGCTTCGATAGAAGCATCTGCGGATGAACTCTGAGACCCAGCCTCAACCATCCCACGGGCAAGCGCGCCGATGACATCGTTCGCGTCTATTCGAACCGAACGACAGAAGGAATCCAGAGCGAAAGGCGGGATCACAGGAATTTCCCCTGACCGAAGCGCTGAGCGGATAGGCACAAGATCAGAAGGAAAAGTATGAGCTTCAGGGGGTACGAAGTCCTGTACCGTCTCTGGATCTTCAGGTTTAGGACCCAGGCGAACTACAGCACCGAGGACTGGACGAGCACGGGCACCATGCTTCTCTAAGCAAGACACAAGACGCATAGTATCCTCTACAATGACACTCCTTGAGTCTTGTTCGCCTCGCTGAACGTCGTCGTTTTCGACAACAATAACGCTCACTAAACCGAGCTTCTCGAGATATACCATACCTCTAGCGATACTATCCAACTGAACCTGATTAAATGGACCTTGAATCTTTACAAGAGCGGTCCTACGTATAACGGGATCGATGATGGATGCGATAAGGGGGCTGACTTTGGGGTGCTCAGTAACCGGTAAAGGTTCGCGGAACTCGACAGGTGTCGCTTCATCGATTTGTGGTAACGCTGGAACTGGGCGAGGACGAGGACTGAAAGAAGCAAAATATGGTTTAGCGTCGCGCGACGAAGCGTTTGCGCGTAGGATAGAGAGAATGAAGTCCTGGTCATGAAAAATTGATCAGAATGTCAATCTAAGGATGTATGAAAGAACAACTTCACGAACATTATCTGAGGGTACATCGTCGATGTCTGCAGGTGGAGCCTTTCGGAGACTCTGAATAGTCTGTCAAAAGAGTGAGTTCTCTAGGAAAGTAGACAACGTATGGGCGTACAGCATAAAATGCCTTGAAAGTTTGTGACCGCTGATTTTTGATAGTTGAGCGCACTAACTGGCGGCAAGGTACGGAGTATGAATGCATCAGCATATGTTGGGGGAACAATCGGAGACCACGAGGTAGGAAAAAGGCAGTAGAATCATAGGGACCAAGGGTGATGGTTATATATCGAGAGAGATACAGTAATTTTAAAGTACTCCCATGGTGACTCGAGCACCTCAACAGTTTTTGTCGCCGCCGAAATACCAAACATGGGACTGCACGGGCCGGAATAAATGAATGATGAATTCTTCTGACCATTCCAATTGTTCAACTTTCATTACACTCATGAGCATCGGAGGTTGGACGAATAGCAAAAGACACTACATATCCGCCCATAGCTGTAACACCGCAGTTTCTGTTGCTTGAACCACAGCTATACTAATAGCATATATAACTCAAGAAAGGCTTTTACTCGCTTCAAAATCGGCCATTTCAGTTGTAGAGTCGAGGACGTTTAGCTATTGGAACAACGTTTTGTGAACGAGATACGAACGTTCATGTTTACAGTTCGAGTCTAAGAATAATGTGTTTCTCCGTGTTGGTTGAGTCACTGTGGGATGACAATGGTGTGTTGTAAGTCTCGCATTGATGAGAGAAGGGCATGCACTGCATGCTGAAGGGGTGTTGAATATAGTCCACGGTCATCGTCAGCGCGTTCCTGTTCATTCCTGTTTTCATCTGCATGTCAGACAAGTAATTCAAGCGCCTCTTCACGCTCACATTATGTGTGAGAGCACCGTCAGGCTGTGAACACGTTCCCAATCAGCAGTAGAATGTTACTCACCTGCCAAGGTCCAGGAGACTTTTGAAGTTTCCTAATCGATACGAAAGTTTGAATTTTTCGGAAGGTCGTTCCTGGATTGCACGCACGTACTTGAGCCCGAGTCCCGGTAAACACAGAAGAAGCTTTTCTGGACTATAAGGAGCATAAGGCAATCTTGCAACTTTGCAACTTGAATCCTCGAGATTACGGCGCAAGTTGTGACTTACGAGGACGAACAGAAAGTAACAAGAGGCTTTGAGATGGCAACGAATCGGATGATTCACTTTCTGGGAAATCCGATGGACCAAACCGTTTCACATCCTTTCTTCCTTACAAAACACTCGTACTACAGCTGGTGAGAGCGCTTGCCCCAGAGGCTGTTCAGAGTTCGAGTCTGTTCGATTTCTGAATCTTATGGGAAAAATAGTCTGACACTGCCACACTACACCTTCCGGCGGATCTGATCTACAACTCGCTTACGCTTACGAGTCGTATCAAGAAATATTAATCTCTTGCCTCTTGAACTTTCTTTACTTATAACCATAAATTACCATGAACTTCAGTTCCGCAAAGGGTCCAGTTACCAAAGTACGCCTGTCTCATGTACGAATAACGCTGCAGAACTGATTATCTCTCTCTAGTTCTATCAACAAGATGTTGTTCAGAAGATAACGGCGCCTCATTCTATAGGCATAGTTCTAGTAAGGTTCATTCCAAATATCGACAATATTTTCACTCACTCCCACAACATTAGAGATGCTGGCACGATGCAGAAGATTCTTCCTTACCAAATCCTCTCCAAGACCCACTGATGCGATCTCTCGAGCGTGGCGAAGTGGGCGTTTCTTTCCTCTCCGAACCCACAGACAAACGCGAGATATTACCCGAGTCGGATTTGCAACTGTTGGACAGGTCTTTGCAGCCTGGTGACGTCGTCAAGCGTAGCGTGGATGATCTTCATTCTGGAATGATACTGGATGTCAGAGTGAAGACTCGCCTCGAACATGCTATAAGCAAGGTCCAAGTCGATGGGTGGAAGACCTTGGAGGATTTGGACACGGACAGACAGGCAGAGATTGAGGATTATGTGGTCTACGAAGATTGGGTTGGCCAGGTACCTCATCTTTTAAGTCTCGTGTGCGCGTTTCATTAATATACCAAACAGGTCATAGAGGTATGCGTAGGCATTGAAACGAATACTATTCGAAATCTGTTTACTGAAGGTATCCTAGTTATACGATGAGAACATAATTGAGGTACCCTCAGGTCAACTGGTTCGGTTGCCAGAGCTTGGTTCCCGTCTGTCAGTTGGAGAAACGAGCGAGGTTCGATATTAACACCATCTTCGCCCTTGTTGCTAATACTGATTGGTTACATTGGTTACATGCAGAACATCTTGCCCTCGCCTATTGGAGGAGTTCAGAACATGCTCGGATATTTGTTCGGGACCAATCGCACTACTGGTCTGCAGACTGTTATCGCTATCAAGCACACAGTGTATGTCATTGCTTGGCTAGCTCTTAATCAAACAGTAAGAGTCTACAGGTGTCATATTTCCACTGTAGTAATTGCTTTACCAGCTAGACATAAGCACGGCGGAAAGTCGGCAACGACCCCAACGATTCTGGCACGGGTCAGATATAGGTAAATTTTTTGAATCGTGGTTATTCCTAACGATCACGACCTCACTGTTGAAAAGGCAAACTAACCTTGGTTAGAAACCGTTTAAGCTTCCAAATGCGCATTGGAGATTGTGTTCAGCTCAAAGATACAGAAGGCATCCCAGTCACAAAACACGGACAAGAGGGGGAAGCCGGCGGCGTCATCACCGTGAACTCTTTCAATGTCACAGCTACCGACACTGAAGTCGATGTTTTGTGGCAAGATGGGAATAAAGAAACTCTTCGATCTGTGGACTTAATTCCATATATGAACCCAGATGAATACGATTGTTGGTAATTACTTTGTCAGACTTGCTGCCTTCTTGTACATCGTTCATACAACATCCTACAGGCCTGGAGACCATGTCTTTTTTATTGGTGACGGCGGAGGAACGCAAGCTATACCCGGTGTCGTTCAGACTGTGGATGCTATTCAACGAACGGCAACCATCCTGTTGCGCGGTAAAATAGAACAAGTGTCCTTACTGGAACTAGATTCTCAAGGAGCGTCGGATTCTATTTCGTCTCCAGAGATCGGAGGATTAGGAGCTCGCCGCGGCGAAATGGTCTTCATACATGCTCCAGACAAGAACAACGGCTTCGAAGCGCCTAGGGTACCTAAGATCGGAGAACTTGAACCTTGGGTTCGCGCAAATCCTTTCACACTTTCTGGTCAATTAAGTGGATGGAGAGAAGAACTGGCTACTATTGGCGCTGGTATAGCAACTCGTCGCAGCTTAGAAACAATAGATGAAGGGATCATTAACCCGAAGGCTTTACCTGGGACCCTTTCATGGTTTGGGGAAGTGATTGATGTATGTTTTTCCCTTGTAATGCTTGAAGCGGACTAATCACAAGACGCACTATGAAGCTCCGCCTTGACGGTTCATTGGACATTTTACATCCAGATGGATCCTTGGGAACATACCCATTAGAGAGGGTCACACGATTATATGACGGCATTGAACAGCTCGAAGATGAGCTCTATGAGGATGAGGAGGGCTCTGAGAATCAACATCAAATGCACGGGATATGGGATTATGACTACCATTGGGGGAATGGTGAATCGCAAAATAGCGGCGATGGATACGAAGACGAAGAGATGAGAGAACCAGATGTCGAACAATCCTCCGAACACACCACAACTGACACGATTGCATCTATGTCGCCGCCGAGCGATCCGCCAACTGAATTAATTACACTCGACTCAACTAAGTCTGAACTCGAGGAAGAAGGGGAAATGCAGACTCAGGAATCTGACCAGAACGCGAATTGGGAAAAATTCAAGATTTTATCTTCAGCTCCTCAAGACCATGCATATTATCAAACATCCGCGGCTCAGCCATCACGACAGTTCATGTCAAGATTAAATAGAGAATATAGGGTTCTCATGAATAGTTTGCCTGGTGAGTCACCTGCACCCGCTTCATCCAATTAGTTTGCAATCTCAATAATGCATATAGAAAACATATTGGTCCGTGCCTATGAGGACCGTGCTGATTTAGTACGAAGCCTCATCATAGGTCCCTCGAACACACCGTATCAAGACTGTCGTAAGTTTCTCAAATCCCAAAATCTGTCTCAATTGACGACATGTTCAAAAAGCATTCGTAATCGATTGGCATCTTGTCGACTATCCCAATACTGCGCCACTGGCTCATTTCCACAGTTTAACGAACGGTAATGGCCGGGGTATGTCATATTTTCCTCGTCGCCTCACCGTTCTTCTTAACATGGTGACTTTGCTTTAGTTAATCCGTACGGCTTTTGGTAGCTGGTTTGTTATATGCACTGAGCTTTCCACAGGAATCTATACGAGGAAGGCAAAGTCTGTCTATCAATTCTGAATACTTGGGCCGGCGACAGAAACGAGAGTTGGGACGCTAGCCGCTCTTCTCTTTTACAAGCGCTTGTGAGTATCCAAGGACTGGTGCTTGTCCAGGAACCGTAAGTCGTATATTTCTTCCAAAAGCGATCTTTAAGACCTTGGCACCAACATAGATGGTTCTGCGAACCTGCTTACGAGAAACTTCGGGGCACGGAAGAAGGGACCGTGAATAGGTGTGTTCATACACTCACGTATATCATTAATCGTCTTCTGAAAACCTTCAGTCGACTCTATAGCGAAAAAGCCTATGTTTTGTCCAGGAACTTTGTCCGTCGAACACTAGAAACTCCTTTCGGTGGATTAGAAATGGAGATTAACTGGCTGTACTATTCCGGACATCTACTAGAGAAAGTGCTCCGCGATTCTCGAGCTCTTATAAAGGCAAGCCGTCAACAATTATCAGAAGGCGAAATGGAGAAACAAACCGAACAATATGTAATACCTCTCAGTACAGGAGGCATAATAGCGCTCGAGAGAGTATTGACTGCGCTTCAAAATCTTCTAGATGTTCATTCAAATTCTGCATTGTAAAGCGTACACCCTCTTAATTTACATAGTACCCTTATGGATGCATTGTTATATACTTACTTTTCTTCTACCTGAGAACAAGGTTTATCGCTATTCTACAACAGACCACAAGACGTAACTAGGCAAAAGAGGGGGTCTCCAATCAGGGATGGGATGTTCAATTCTAGAGAAAGGCAGGGCGGTAAATATATATCTATATATATTTAGTACATGAGTACTAGTCGGCGGGGGAATATGAAGCTACAACATTTAGACGTGATTACAACAATGAGACAGAAAAGGACAGAAACTGCGACTCCCATTACAGCAAAACGGAAAAGTAATACGAAAACGAACGAACGACGAGAAAGCGGGAAGGGAAGGGATATTGGTAAACCAGAGAAGCCTAACATTGTCCAAGGAATGAAGATTTTGGGAATGGTTGCTTGTAATCGTTCCTCCAAGTAGTTAGATTGGGGTTGGTGTATGCTTCGAGGTAGCTGTATGATTCAATAAACAATCAAGTTATGTAACTTGAAGAATGAAAGACAAACGTTTCAATGTAGCTGTCAGTGTCGAGGATCAAAACGAGAGTCAACACTTAGTGATAATAACACGTACGCAGCGGTTGGAAAGTCTTTCGGATCGCATCCAATGTTGGTGGCGTCCTTGGGCTGATATACCCGGATCCAATCAATGGCCATACTGGTCGGGAACGTTAAATGTTCAAAATCAACGTCTCCAAAATTGGTGGAGATTCCGAGATTAGCCAATAGGTACTAGTGTACGTGGTCCCGTTGAGTTTGAGTTATTATTCGTCCTCAGAGTAATAAGCATTACTTACCATGGGTTCCTGCGGAATAGGCCTAGCGGATATCTCAACTCGGGTGTCCGCGGCTGTGCCTCCTGCGTTGATGGTCCACTTTTGTTCCCCATTTGCTATCCAACTAATATACTGATCAAGAGAATTGATCATGATAATCATATTGATCGTTTTTGTAACTGACCGCATCGTCATACCCTGAAAGGCTGAGCCTCAGTTTCACGTAGCAGATATCACAGCGGATCGTCACATACCGGGCTTATATTCGAAACCATATACTGAATAGCAACCCCCTCCACTGAAATAACAGTCTGGATCTAATAAGTTTTGATTGAGATTTCTCGAGATGGCAACTTTTTTTTAGAGGCTCACTTGTTTTAGAGACACACGACGTTGCTTGTTGAAGAGCTCCACCCATATAACTGTTCAACAAAGTCTCTGACGGATTGTTGATAATCAAGTTGGCAGATGTGTTGAACCACTCGTAAGCTTCATTGAAGGGCTATAAAAAAGACAACAAATAATACAAGTTTTCTGAGGTTCTCTTCAATTTTGCTTGAATGTTTTGGACTTACCGCCCACTGGCCACTTTGTGACACTTCACCCATTAGAATTTCATCAAAGTCTGTTCCGATCTAGGGTTAAAAGTTAGTAACAAGAGGGCATTGGTATTCAAGATTGAGATTGATTGAGACTTGCCTGTGCTTCGAAAACATCAATTTCGGGAGCAGCACGGCCAACGTAAGTGCCGTCTGAGTGTATTGGACCGGGATGTGACTCTCCAGGACAAGTGCATCGGGAGAGGCGTTGACCAGGGAGATAAGATAGTGCACCATTAGCCGAAGGATCTCCGTTGACAGTGGCAGCAGCAGGTAGATCGTTGTGAGTTTGATTCGGGGCAGTACCAACATCACAAGCGTCGTACGTGTAAGGCCACTAGTTATAGTGAATTCAGTGGACCAACGTTGAAAAGCTCAATCGCTTACCATTCCCTCAAGACTAGCCCCATACCCTGCGCGACCAAGGTTACCTACAAAATTTAGGAATGGATACCATCTTCACATTCAAGGAAGCGGACACGATACCCATAGTCCAGACGGCAGGCCAAAGTCCGACGACGTTATTAACACCCGGAAGGACGACAGAAGTGAGGATGAGCCCGCCTGTGAAACAGAATTTGTTCCATGTGGTCATCATTCCCCCTTGGAAATGCAGATTATGCGTCTCTTTCCTCGATATTGTGATTAACAGAGATCCATTCTTAGTAGTGATCGCTGCAGGATCATACCATTCCAGATTGTTAGTCTATAAAAATGTGATACCATAGTCAGAAGGCAAAACTCGAGTCTATTACGTGGCAGGCGTCTGACCTCCCAATAATGCAAGTCAACTGCGCCATTTCCAGATTAGAGAGCAAGTACTGCTACTTTGAGGTGCATATTAGAAACGCACCAGCTTCCCAGTATGGATCATCTCCAGGATAGAAGGTACGTCCATCAGTGTTGAACTCGTCACTGAAGACTAATTGTAGCTCGGTGGAATTGTCTCTGAATGAGGTATACGTGTATTGTTCTTGAGGGGTCTCCAGATCGATAAGACCATAATTTCCAGACATAGTTGGAATCTGTATCGCCGATGTTTAGAAGAATTAATTACTTGACGTTGGGCAGAAACTGCTTTACCTGTCCGCTGCCATTGATCCCACCTAGATTGAATCCACCCATGGTTGACATATGAGTTCTAGTAAAGAATGATATCAAAGGGTATCCAGCGCTTTAGAGCATATGTACATCAATATATCTTCTTTCCAGATTTTTAGAGACGTACAAAAGAGTGACAAAAACAACTCCGAGCAGGATAAGGCAGCCCAAATTCGTCAGTCCACGATATGTGAAAAATGATCCACCGAGATCATTCTTTCGGTCGCGTCGAGGATCGGGATTGTGCAGATAATCGTCGGGTTCCGCGCGAAGTGAAAGGTCAGTTCCCCAGGCCATAGGATCGGCCGAAAGAGAAAACTGTAGAGACACAGTTCAGAATTTCGAAAGATGAGAGAAGACATTATGCTCGCTTTGTCCGACATTGAGGGCGCAAGCGAGGCAACGCGACGATCGGACGTTGCTCCGCTATATGGGGAATCATTCTATCAAAAACTTGTCAAAGCTGAGTATACCAAACCAAGCCGGCCACCGACCAACGACGATTTGCTAGCCATGGTTTGTATGGTTCTAGGGCCTCTAGCTAAGCTTGCTTGAATTTCATTGTTGTATTCACTTGAAGTAGAGTTACTGCTAGCAGATTCGCAGCCAAAAGAAGGGTGAAGAAGACTTGTAGTTGAAGGAGAGTTCGCTTGGTAACGACCTGGGAAGGCCATGAAGAATAAAATTACAAAGAGCGTTGGAGTCAAAGAGTGGAATGACACGACAAGAGCGAATAGCTTCAACTGTGTGAACTGCTCTACACGATAACGTAATTTTTTAAGAATAGATGCAATTGCCTGTCGCGTTCATTCTGTCGTTCAAAATCAGTTGGATGGCATCGATTTACGAACAAGATTCCTCCAATCCACTGCCTTCGAGCAAACCAAGTAATCCTGGTCCACCCTTTTCCTTCATCTCTCTAACTGCACGCTCCGCTCTTTCTTTCCCTGCAAAAGACATTGATTCTGTTTTAAGCTTTGGGCCCTCTGTCTCTTGCAGCTGTCTGAGCCTTTCCAACACATCGTGATTCACTTGCTCCATTGCCGAATGGACACCGGAAGGATGATTGGGAGAGAAACCTATTGCATCCAACATGGTTGCTTTGTCTGCTTTGTATTCTGTCAGAGTTTGGGTCGGAGGTTGAGCAAGCAGGTAATGCGTCGTCGCTGGTGCTCCGAAGGCAGGGCCACCCTCCATCGAATGACTTGGCACCGACGTCTTGTGCATCCACTTGTCGATGCCGTCGAGAGCCGCCTTTGCTTTCTTGGCTTTGTCACGTTTTGTAGGGCGCCCTGCTTTCTTAGATTTCTGTAAGTCAGATTCAGAAGATATTGAATCTACGTAGAGTTCCCGAGGAAGTTGGCGAGGGTTGAATGCATTGAGATTTGAAGAGGGAATGATATGAAAAACCTCAGAGTTCACTAGACATTCGAGTATATGTGACACGTATGGCTGTAACGGTCGCAGTATTTCTGACACCAGTGTCGTCGGGAGGAGCAGAAGGGAAGAGTACTGGTCTATCACTAAGATCAACCACCGCTAATGCGTAATTGTGAAGACATTCAACTTGCCAATAGGAATAAGAATATGCTTCATCGAGTACAAAGGGGGTGCAGAGCCTGTAGGTTGAGTATTGAAGAATGTATACAGCCCAAATAGCGCGACGACACGCGTAAAGGGCGCCTCTGTTTTCACTGTACGCTCTGGGAAATAACATATTTGTTGAGTAAGACTATTATCCATTACTTGAATCCGATGAAGAACCTAAGAAGAGTCGGTGTGACACATTCATAAGAGCTTCCCTACTACGATTGTCGAAGACTTTGCAGTGTAGCCATTCCCAACCCTGCGCACGCCATACTTTCTTGAAAAGCGCAAACGGCTTCTCCGAGGATTGAGAGTATTGTTCATGGTAAGCATGTATAAGTGTTCGTATGTCGTCTCGAAAGGGATTGACATAGAGAGAAGAGGTGAAAAAAGATGGTTGTAAAGTAACGCCTCCCCTACTAGCTGATGTGGATGGTGCAAGAGACATGGACGTGGACCAGTGACTCGGCAGTCAATTTGTCGTAATCTAGATCACCCGATTTATTGACACTTTCAACAAAACCACTACCTCAGCTTGTGCAATGTTTAGACGACCACCCCAGGCTCAATGTTACTTCTGTAACACCTTTCTACCACATCCTAAAGATCCTAGGAACTTTCGATGCAACTCCTGTGGATGTTGGAATCGTTACGATGCGAAGGGAGAAATTCTCTCGGATGAGCCGCAAATGCACGAAGAATCATTGAATGTAAAGTCCTTTTCAAAAAGAGGCAAGTATCTTGACAGCCCTCTGTGCCTTGCTAAATCTTCCAGTAGCTTCTCCGAGCAAAGATCGCCTCCCCACAAGTTACGGGAGCGGACCTTTCTGCCATAACTGTCAAACAAACCAGCATTTGATTATCAATCTACTTTCAAACTATCTTCCTCCACCAACAGTGAGTTCTGTCGTAGAGACACTCTACTGCGCTAATAACCTTCAGAGTCCGGAATACGAACAACGTTTAGAAATGCTCCCGCGGTACCGCGAATCCTTGCACACGCGCTATCCGCCTGTTTGTGAATCATGTCTACCAGCAGTTGAGGAAGAAATTCGAAAAAAAGATGCTATGGCTCGTGCGCATGCATTAGGTGGATGGTTGAAGGAGACGAAGGGAAAAGTCCGACAGCGACGCGTATCGGCAACATTGCAAGAACGGGAAAATATTTCCAAAGAGTTGTTTGCATGGCGAGTTCGCGGGTGTCTGTGGGCAGCTACTCTAGGCTCATTCCTGGCTGGGTATATAGCCAGTGAGTATTGACGCGTCTCAAAATATCTACTTTTTACAAATCTTTGCACAGTTCTATTTGGCCGGCGACCGTTTGACCGACCAAGTTTGTTACAACCCATATCACCTATCCTCACAGTTTGCTCTATATTATGGACGGCCTGGGACCCAACTTATGCTTCGATCCGCACTGCTCAAATACAGGGCCGCGATGTTCGCGTTCAAGGCAAAAGACAGTACAATGTACGTCGCACTCGAGGAGAGCGTTTACACATACTTTGATTGTTTTGCTAAACGGATTCTGACAAGGCCTTACAAATTATAATATGGATCTCTCGACTTATAACGACCACCTTGCTGGCTTTGCAGTGGTTCCATATAGACTATTTACAACTAGCTCAGCGACCTCTGGATCTACCAGCCCGCCTATATTTTTTATTCCTGGTTTTATTGGAAATATCTGTAAGCGACACCTTATCAACAGGCATGCGTACTTAATCGAGTGCTTTAGGTATCAATAGCCTCCTTTTTTGTCCTCCGAATTCAGCAACCTCCAACCATACGATTAATCAACACCAAAAGTCACGACTTGAACAACTCACGTTCACCGACGCCTAATCCAACGGACCAAAGCTCTCGAGCGAGCACCCCCGCTTTTCTTCCCAAGGTTTCCGAACCAGATCTTTTCGCTTCACTCACAATATCATCCTCTCAACCTGTAGTCCCGAAGTCCCTGCCTGTTTTTGGTTTGCCTTCATTGTTGCCTTCCTCTGCACCAACAGAAGCAGACGACGAAGACAAGATGGATTGGACTCCCACCAACGTCAATCCCGGAACGGAAAAATTCAAAGCCTCTTTGGACTCGATAGGCAAAGACGATGGATGGTGGCTTCGACCTCAAAGGTTTTTCGCACCTGAAAAACCTACTGGACTAGAATCTTTGTTTGAGAACACGAAACTTGCCGATGATGTGCCCATGAAGGATGTCACCGCAGTACCCGTCAACCGCTCGTCGGTTTTGAGGTGGAAAACCCATGTTGAAGTGTGGTGGTGGATGTACACGGCCGTTCTGGTATTATTAATGGGTGTACTCTTGAAGCTGTGGGTTGGTCGCAATGGCACATCTGTTCAGCAAGATTTTCAACACATTTCTCTTGATAATTTTGCCCAAGACCCGATACAACAATCTGGTGTATATAGGCATACTTCTCGTACCTCCAGAATCTAAGCAATGATTCTGTCTTTACCAAACTTTTCAACAAGATTGTCAACAAATGCAGAATCCTGTTGCCAGTTATAGGGTATATATGAACATCGGAAAAGACACGGAACTGTCCATTGATAATTTACTTATCGAACAAGATGAAACGTAAGAGCGAGCAATAAAGAAACACCGATAATGCCAGCGGTACTGAAGAAAATGAACGTAGAAAATGAACGAGTGCCAGTTTCCTAGTTACATGTAACGAAGGTGTTTTCCATACCAGGGAACTGTAGATGCTTTGTTGACCTAGTCAAAATAATCATAATCGCAACAATCGTTTAGAATCCACCAGTAGCTCCATATCCAGTTTGATGATGCAACGGGACATTATGGTCATAGTTGCGATTGATACTGGGACCACGAGTCAAGTTTTCCTGCATCTGAGGTTGTGGGCTGGGGCCCCTAGCCAGATCGGCATACCCACCGACAGGCGTCAAATGCGAAGGTCCTACAGTAAAGTCGTGGGATGGGAGGGGTGGCAAGTCAGCTGCACCATACGTGCTGTGTCCGTTCTCAGAGCTACGGTGTCCCATATCAGAAGGGCCACTGTGTACGCCGGAGTGGAAAGAAGAGGTATCGGAGGCGCGACGACGGTGGATGGGAATACCACTGTCTATGCCGTCTTCAGTAGTGGGCTGCCAGTTGATGGGCTGGAGACGTTGGTCGAACTTCGATGAGCGACCGAGTTTCCATTTTCGGAAGATGGTCCAAAGAATGGCCACTCCACCAACACACGAAGCAATCACAATGACCACAGTGATACCTGCTTTCTTTCCGTCGCTCGACGATATATCTCCCGAAACGGAGGAACTCGAAGATGCCGTTGAGGATGCTGCCACAGATTCTGTGAGTGTGACTAGGACACCCGATATCACACTGGTGATTGGCTCAGTATCTTCCGTAGCGGTGGGAGCTTGGGTAACCTGAGGGGTGCTCGAAGTAGAAGTGGCCGTAGTAGTGGGGCCAGTAGCACTACTGGACGATGATACCGATGAAGATGAAGAGCTAGAAGCGCTGGAAGAAATCGCGGAAGAAGACACAGAGGAGCTGGTGCTGGCACTACTGGAAGAAACGGAAGACTGGAATGATTTCAGTTACAGGCATCAATTGTTGCGTAAGAGTGACTTACGGAAGTAGTGGAAGATGCACTACTTGAGACCGAGGAGGAAGCAGAGGCCGATGCTGCTGACGTACTAGATGCTTGAGACGAAGCCGCAGAACTCGTCGAGAGAGTAGTACCCGCGGCGGTTTCTGTGACTGATGGCTCGCTTCCGACTCCTTCCACAGGACTACTGGCGGTTGCACGTTTCTTAATTAACCGCTTCAGATTTTCATGATCTCTGCGGTGGATGGATTCAAAACCATTCGCTTCCACGAGGGAAGAGACGGCGAAAATGGCGACGAGGTAAACAAGGAGCGTGAGGGTTATTTTTTTGGACATGTTATGTTAACTTTCAGCAAGTACGTTGATATAAACCACTGCTAAAGGAAATAGATGAGCTCAATGTACAGTGAAAATAAGAGTGCAGTGGGAGCTGAGAAGTTAAGTCTGTGGCAAAGAGCGAAATGGAGTTAGAAGTAATGACAACACGTACAGGAAAGAAAAAGCAGTCAAGCCGATGAGGACTGACGTGAGCTAAAGATCTCAGTGACCCAGCTGGTCTTCTATAACTTTCTAGGTGTTGTAGAAACGAACGTCGTGAAAGATTTGGAAGGAAAATGATGCAGCACCAAATTGGTTGCTCCCGTTGCTAATGTGTTGCTGACATAAGCAATTTCCTATTTCAGCTGCTCAGAATCGAATGATGAATCTAATTGCCTCTTGAGAGAATTTCCACCTCGAGAAAGCGAACCCATGCTGGGGCAGGAAGAACTTGTACATGCTTACAATCCTAGAGTACTTACACGAATTGAAATGCGAAATAACATGGAAAGAGATAGGTAAACATCGCCGTATCATAAGAGAAATAAAACAAAGAAACAGGAAAGGGTAGGCAAACGGGCGGGTAACGAAATAAAAGTGGTGAATTGGTGGGACAGAGAGGAGCTGGGGCAACGTGCTGCAACGTGCAGTGGCCGCTTACATTTCTACGGAGACAAACTTGCACAGCCCAGAATTTGGTTCCATTGCAACCCCTGCGAGAGTCGGCACCGAAGTGCGACGACGCCGTATCGCCTGAGACGTTGGGAGAGAAGAGAATGCACGAGGCGAATGCTTGCAATCACATTCCCGTAATCATAATGATCAAGTCCAACTCTTAAGTTGAAGCTTTGGAACCACTCTCGAACCACTCAGGGCAGTGGATATGTAGCATTCAGGTAGTACACCTTCTCATTTATTCGTAGCGAAAGTTCGGCCTAGCGCCTCCTAGCGCTGATACAGTAGGCATCACAAGATTTTAGCCTATGACAGCTCGTCTAACCCGAATACGGTTACAGTATTCTTCCACGCCTTCTCTGCCAGCTCCTCATATGTGACTTCTGGGTGGAGCTGTTGAATTACCCATGCGACCCCACCAATCGAGCAAGGCTCATTGCGTCCTTTGACTGCTTTCCCAAGGACAAATTTCTCTGGTTTAATCGATGCTGGAAAGTACAGATCGTTTAGAAGGGTAGGAAGAGCATTTAGATGGGTCTTCGAGGCATGGGCACCTACATCCTTGAACATCAATGGTCGGTCCTACGTTCTGTAGAAAAACCACCTACCAGTCATGGAACACCAAGGAGCGTCTGCAATGAGAACATTGAGCATTTCCACAATTGAGATGCATTGAGGATGCGAGATCACCTGTTTCAAGCATCAATAGATCAAGATGGATCGCCTGAGCACAGGTTAGATTGTCCACCGTCTTCAACGAACAACCATTCACACTAGATCGAACTTCATTTCAGATTCAACACGCCAGTGTATGAAAATACCTAACGTGGAAACCCATACTCATCTGTCGACAACTAGTCTTAGCATTATCAAGACAACAATGAGATGAATCAGAGCTCACCAATTCGGCAAGCTCATCGAGCTGACCTGTGAAACTGTGAACTACGCCACCATTACCCCCTACTTCTTTCCCGCCATTCACACCAAAGCCTTCTTCACGGAGTATACTCACAAAGTCTTTATGTGCAGCACGGGAATGAAGGAAAAGTGGTAGATGGTATTTCTTGGCAAGAGACAGTTGGGATCCTTAACCAGAGGAATGGCATCAATCTCAATCAAAGATCGGACTGGTGTAACATACGGAAATGCTTTTTCTGCACTTCCGGAGCAGCAAAATGTGTTCTGTCGTAGTCTACATCAAAGGGTCAATGTACGTAGCGCGCGACGAGGATACTATAATCACCTAGTCCACATTCACCCACAGCAACGGCTCGACCGTTTCCCCTTGAATTATCTCTCAGGATCTCATCTAAAGCATTTAGATATGCTTCAGGGCCACCCTTGAATTTGTCGAATTCAGCAGAACGAGTGGGATGGCAGCCCACAGTAGCATAAAAGCCTAGCAAGAATCATTCATCAGTTGTGGCAGCAGCCAAACCAATGTCAGTACTACTACTGACTATGCTCTTTGGCCAGTTTCAAGGCATGTTGAGATTCACGGAGACTACCTCCGGTGATGATCATGCTCTTGACTCCGGCGATGCGAGATCTCTCGAGCACCAATTTGAAATCATCTGTAACAGGAAATTTTCAGGTCTGGTTGCCTTAACTGTTACGGAGAACTTACCGTCATGCTTGGTTTTCCCGTGGTATTTACCATGGAACACCGGGTCAGTCAAGTTGACTGAAACAGACTAAATTTTTGCGCATTGATGACTATTTGGTGCCCTCACCCCCGATATCTGTCCTTAATTTCATTTCATACTTCGTATCAGTAACATGGCGACATACCTATAAATCTGGCCATGGATTTGGCTTGAAGATGGAGTGAGTTTGCCATGGAAGGTCGTTTGCAAAACCTCGGAATGGCCGGCGACCCCCGACGCCGTTTGATCGGTCAGTCCAACTCAGCGCTCGTTTTGAGCTTCATCGTAGCTTTCCCCAAAGTGGTTTATGTATCCTCTAGCTTAGGTGTTTACTACTCCCACACTACACCATCTGCTTATGCCAGATTCTACCTATTCGTCGGCACTGTACAACGGTCTGTAAAACACTAGAAACCAAAACTGATGCCCAAATTGCTTTATAGTGCCCAACTGACCACATATGAAATTAGCATTTGGGCCCTAACATGCGCAGGTTCGAACCGGGTTTGAGGGTTCTTGAAAGCCTCCGGTTCAAACGTTCCCTTTTCAGCATGAGAAGCACAAAAGTAAATGTTCCCAAATCAGAGGTCGGATTTCGGGGTAGGATGGGCATGTTACAGAATGAGAGTATAGTCAATTTTGCTTGATACGTATTGAAACCAATCTGACTGGTCGGCTGACTGGTAGGTGTTTGGTCCAAATAGTATGGACTGCGACCTACTTCACGATTTTGAGACAGCGGGGATGTAAGGAGATTTATGGGTAATGGTTGACACAACTCCGAGAAATGCTTTGAACCCACGTATAAGCACCATGCGGAAAACTAGATGCATATTTGCCTAGCCTAGGATGTACGGAATTCGAGTTTTAGGCTGCTTGTCGCACAAGTTGGTTCCCGGAGCATCGAACATATTTCCATCGTACACCAACGCCCATCTATGCAAACCTCAAGCACCGGACCCGTGAAATTTACCGTAAAACCCCTCATTTCCTCACTCCCATTATACCCATTCCGAGCTCGAAACTTCACAGACGGATTTGCAACAAGCGGGAAATACATTGCCGTGACTTCATGGATTGGGGTTCGAGACCTGTGGGATCGGTTTTGTTTGGTAGGGAGGGTGGTAGGCTTCGTCGGAAGCGCAGGGGAGGATGTGGATGATTGGTCGAGGCCAGACATATTCTTCGACGGAAAATCTATGGGAGGAGACGGTGTTGAGTATGGCGTGTGTCTTATCTTGAGTGGGAGTTCAAGAAGGCATTCAACGTGGTGCTCACGTACAAACGCATCATCGGAGCCAGTGTCCAAAGACTGAGGAACACGGGATTGAGGTACATCGTTTGTTGCTTGTTTTTATCTTTCTTGGACGTCCGGAAGTCAGTAGGTTGGAAGCGTAGGGCCAAACTTATGTATAGAATATTTTGTTCGTAACGGACTCTTGGGGTGCAGAAGGGTTTCATGAACGAACTTTACCAGCAAATCTTGAAATCTTCGCGTATTTTGGGTGAACTTGAAAGTGGCTGAATTGACCCTCTGCTTCTGAGTGATGGGAACCATAAAGAGAGAGACCTGTGCCCAGTCCTATCCAGTTGTCGGGCTGTGTGGCTTTGTGTTGGCCGCTTTTACACATGAAGTAAGCTCGCAAGCCAGAATCCACGATGACTAGATTGATGAGTGAAGAAAATATTAACAAGGTGTGTTAACAGTTAAGGCCTTAAGGGCCGGACACATTGCTCCTTGGAAAGCGGCCGGCATTGTGCTGGCCGGACTCTCCTATGTATATAGTTCCATCGGTCCAGGTTAAATTTCAAATTCCTATGGACCACGATTCTGACGACCATCATGGTCTCTATCTCGTTCAATTCTGAAGACTACCATGATCTCAATACTTTCTTTGCATCCTTGGGTCTGATCTGGTTTGTGGCGCTATGGACTATCTGGCTGCTGGGTACTTGGGCTGCGTATGTCACGTTTCTGCAATATTTTCGTCCAACTGACCCTAAGAGTCTCTCAAGTCGCAATCGATACAGGTTAAGGCCTCGTTCCCCTCTCTCGTCAGCTACTAGGACCGCTGTGCCTGGCGTCTCTATCTTACGTCCCTTGAAGGGCTTGGACACGAATCTTTACGAGAATTTAGAGTCTACCTTCATTCAGGAATATCCAAATTTCGAGATATTGCTGTGTGTTGCCGAAGAAGACGACCAGGCTCTTCCACTGGTCAGGGAACTAATAGCAAAATATCCCAATGTCAATGCAAAAGTCCTTATTGGTGAGTCGCGCAACCCTTTCTCATGTTTACACTGCCTCATATGGTCGTAGGTCAAGAAAATGTCGGTGTAAATCCCAAAGTGAATAATCTCATGGGCGGATACCGTTCTGCGGCGAATGACATACTTTGGGTGCTTGACTCCAATGTCACGGTCCATTCTGGAACCCTTGCTCGCGCAGTAGACGCGCTACAGGCCCCCACAAAATCTGGTAAACGTGTTGCCCTCGTCCATCACGTTCCTTTCGCGTTTTCCACCGAGTCTAGAGTAGGTTCAAGGATTGACGAAGCATTCCTAAACACGAACCACGCCAAGATGTACTTAGCCATCAACACAGTCGCCATCGAATCATGTGTTGTAGGCAAATCCAATCTCTACCGGCGGTCAGATCTCGAACGCGTCAATGGCTCCTTGAAACCTATCACATCAACTGAGCCGAACGCCAAACAGGATGGTTTATGTGGTCTACCTGCTTTCGGCCGATTCCTCGCTGAAGACAACATGATCGCAAGCGCCCTATGGCACGAATTAGGACTACGCCATGATCTCTCCTGCGATGTGGCCCGCAATGTCGTCGGTAACATGTCGCTACGTGATTACGTTCAAAGACGAATACGATGGATACGCGTGCGTAAGAACATGGTCTTTGCCGCTACTTTAGTTGAACCGTTTACGGAGTCGATCGTACTCGTCGCCATCGGCAGTTCAAGTCTGAAGTATTTTTTTGGACTCCCTCGCTGGCTCTGCATCCTTGTACATTTTTTCATGTTGCTGATTGTCGACCTCGACGTTTATACTTCTTTGGCGGGGCATCCTTTGCCACAATCAATCAAATGGGAATTCTTAGCAGGTTGGGTAGCTAGAGAGATGCTAGCTCTGCCGATCTTCATGTTAGCCATTTTTGGAAACACGGTGGAGTGGAGAGGGCGTCAATACCGAGTTCTAAGTAATGGCGAAGTGCAACACGTTAGCAACCATCGGTCTTTTTTTGATTCTTCCAAATTCCTTGGATGGTATCGACGACAATATCAAGCTTTAGAAACCCAGCCAGTTTCACCTTGACATCATGAATCAGATCCATGATCATAACTATACTGTACATTCCAATTCCATTAGCCACATTTATATACTCGAAGGAAGATTATGGTATACACAAATGAAGAGTGATACGAGAGATACCAGAATTATGCAAAACAATGAACAGCAGTACACTTTTAATAACTAAAGGGAAAATAATCTACCTACATAGAATCAAGATGTAAAGAGCGACAGGAAGAAATTGCAAGATCGAAATAGAGAGCGAAGCGATTTATTCCACCCACTGTAGAAGTTTGAGTGATTTGAAGTTGTACACCATTACCACGTTCTCAAAGAATTCGTCCGACCATTGCTCGCACAATTCGATGGCCATGGGTCTGACTCGTATTTTTTCACCAAGCTCGTTGTGCCAGTCCATTGTCTCTCCAGATTTGTTTTTCTGGCGTTCGTTTGAGAACCAATGTTTGACTTGAGCGAAAGACCTGAAAGAATGGAATCAACAACCATGGAAGCGCAACAGATGCGACGCAGTGTAATACGACGTACCGGTGAATGATTACGGCTACAATCGCGATCCAGTGGTCCTTCGGATACTTAGTGATCTCGTCATATACCATACGGCTAAGAAAGAGCGATTAAGAAACAGAACGGAGAGAAATGACACACGTAGAGACTCACAGTACTCGGTACTGTTGCTCGTTCACAGGCGAATTCTCAACAGTTCTTATACGGAGCGCGCGAGCGAGAACCTCTTTTCGGCGAGGCTCCTTGGCAGCGCGCGCACATTTTTGAGCTTCAGTGACCTTTGGCGATCGATGGCAAGTTTTTCTAGCCTTCCACGAAACGGGGGAGCCGTCGCTGCGGTCCACAAGTGTGGGTGTGGGAGACATAGAACAGCGTGATGCGGTACTAGAATCTGAGTCTGATGGGGTTAAAGAGGCGGATCTACGGCTGCTGAGACGTTTAGATGAACGAGCTGGTGTACGAGGCTCGTGAGGGGTGGCGTTTGGAGTATGAGTTGTTAAAGGAGTGTCGAGACGTTGTGAGTCAGCGGCTACTTGTGCCAACAACTCTAGAGGATTCAGTTGGTGGATATTTTCGGCGTCACTGGGACTGGGAGTGGCAAGAAACGACTGTGGGATTGACGACATTAGGGAGAAGGATTATTCGTAATGATATAGGTTATCAGGTCGTCGACAAGAGTGTGGATATTATACAGCGGCTAGCGCTTGGACGTAAGAGAGAGAACAGAGGTAAAGAGAGAAGCTGGCGTAGAGGAAGCTAATAAATACCGAATACAGCAAAGCCCTTTTTGTCAAATACCCGGCTATTCCCGTATTGTACTTCCTGTACGCCCAGCATCAGATCGTTGTAGATGAAGGAGGTATTCCTCGGAAAGGGCGTTTCACGAATTACATGCTCGAAAAGAACAAGACCTTCTTTGAAAGAAAACAAAGACTCTTGTCCAGGGATGCGGATGTACATATTTCTCGGGCCGCTATGTCCGGTAGTCAATTATGGTAATACCCAGGTAATACCTAAACCCTGTTGGCAAACACAGCGACATACCGACAGCTGCTTTCTACCACCATGAGCGATCAGAAACAACGAATCATTGATTCTGTTTTCTCAAGACGAAATGCAGCTGGTTCTCTGGAAGAAACATATGTCTCTCATGTCAAGATTTGGGAAGACGCTGGTCCTGAAGGAGGAGGCAGGAAGCCAAGATATATTCTACTCTCTCGTATGTTCGTGCTATCACTCGTTGTTTTATGTCTTTACCATGTCATCGGTACTATATAGAGGCTAGCAATGGAACAGGTTTCATTCACAAGTCTAAACTAAACACGAACGGTACCTTTTCCGTTGGTAAAACTTGGGGGCTTGCAGAACTTCGAGCAATATCTGTCATTGGCGTAAGCTCCTCAACTCTGACTTGAAATTTGATTCTAAAAAGATAGACAGCCACTCGCTTTCAACATCACATTATCTAGAACGTATCGATGGCAAACCGAAAGCCAGCAAGATCAAGATGCTTTCATTAAAGCGATGATTCAACTATTCCATATAGTGACAGGTGGATCTGCACCGCTACGACTGGACGGACTTGGGGATAGTGTTGCTTGTGCGTCGTTCTTGCTCGATTAAGTCGAGTCACATCGTCTCAAACTTCACATTTAGCAGGAAGACAGCGGATACAGAGTGATTATTTGAGTAGTACCGCACGAGCACCGTCTCCCTCTGTTTCTCCGATGAAACCAACTGTGGCGAAGCCGCAGCCTCGAGAAGACCGTCGCCTGGACTCAGAACGTGTCCCTTCCCCTGCGCCGCCCTCCCGAAATGGCGCTCTTTCCCGTCCTTCTTCCCCAGCTGCATCTACTCGCAGTCATGGCACATCATCTGGTCGCCCTACGCGAAATCGAGCACCATCACCGACTCAATCGGCCTCTGGGCGTGCTCGTCGACCTTCAAACGCGGACTCCACTCTTGCAGCTAATGGTTTGGCTTCTCGGATCCCTGCTGGTGACCCTGGTCACTCTATTAATGGCACTTCAAGACCTTCCAATAATTACAACGCACCTTCCAATCAACCAGTAATTACAAGGACTACGACGGAGGACACGATGGTGTCCGCACGAAGTCAACTGTCTCTAAATGACAGTCTCTCTGTGTCGTCCGCTGTACCCACCCCATCTCGTTCAGGTCAACCCTCACCACAACCCTCCGTACGTTCCCGGAAACAACCAACCCGGGCAGCCACTGTATTGACAGATGTAGCTCGACGTGATCAGAACGCCCGTATATCGTTCTTCGATCCCGCCAATCAGGCTCTCATAGATCGCCTCATTGCTGGTCTCAGTGAAATCGATGGAGAGGAGGAGAATAATCAAGCGACAATGTCAAATTTTGAGGAGATGCTCGAGGGTTATGAGATGGCTAGTGATGATGTCATCGGGCGGAAAACTGCTAGAGGTGCTGCGGCCTTGATGGAAGCGCGACTGCTGGATGAACTCATGGCGCTGGAAAAGGTCATTAAATCCAAATTTTCTTACTATTCAGTATCCTAACTTGTTGTTTCGTTCAGGCCAACATTCATTCATTCCTGGAATCAGACGATCGGATAGCCCTTGTACTCCAGTATATGGATAGGGCCATTGCTGAACTGGACAATATTGGCACCCTCGTATCATCATACAAAATTCACTTGAACGTGAAGTGCTCTGTCTGACATCTAGTGTTGAAACTCATAGTATGTATGATTTAGGCTGTCGGTGATGATATTTCCTACATTCAATCCCAGAATCGTGGTCTTCAAGTACAAACTCAAAATCAACGCGCTCTTCTTGCAGAGCTGGAGAATCTTCTGGTGCGACTTCTTCGCTCTCTGTTTGTACAGACTGATTGAACCTTCGCAATAGCAAACAGTGCAAGTTGATACAGAAACTTTACTCGTTTTAACACAGGGCTCCCTAGAGAAACCGGACAAAATCGCTGATCTGGAAGAGGCTGCTTCTCATCTGTATAGAGCTCTCCTAGCTGGACGAGACACAGGTAATGTACGCGTTTTGTAGAATCTGTCAGTTATTGATTCGAGGTTGTATAGATATGGCTGCCACCATGGAACGCTTGCAAGAGTATAGGACACATAACGCGCAATTCTGCAAGCGTATATTCGATTATCTGACAATAATGTTTACCGCGCAGTCAAAGATGTTACTCGGTGATTTTGACGGTGTAAAGAAGGATCGAAATGGAAAGCCCATGATAGTCCCTCATACCGAATTCGAGGAATATGCAGGACGTTACTCTGGCTTACTGTTATATCTCAAGGAGATGGATGAAGCTGTTTATGGAAAATTATGTGCGGTGAGATATCTATCTTGGATTATTTTTTTTTGCGAACCTGAGCATTCAATATCGAAGGCATACTTTTCAGCTGCAAGCTCATTGCATGGCGCACAGATGAAGGCGGTGTTTTCGGCATACCTTGCATATGTCAAAAGATCATCAGAAGATTCCTCTGAGCAAAGTATGCGTGTTCCCGAATCCATCAGAAAGCAGCTAACGCACTTGTCCAAGGTCTTTCAACTACACCTGCTGCTCCAAATGCCAAACCATCCGGCATGCGAAGAGCAGGGACCATCATTCGTTCGCCTTTGGACGCGCGGAACAAGGACAAGGACAAAAACGCCAATGGCGACCTGGCCGCATCAGAGGTATATCTGTTTTACTCTTGAGTTTGATCCTTCATATAACTGTGTATAGGTCTTGGCGTTAGTGTTAGAACAGATTGCACCGCTAATATACCACGAAGACGAATTTCTCACTGACTTTCTCCAAATTAATGACGCTGCTTTAACATATGCGGACTACATGAATCTGGACAATTATTTCCGAAGACAAGCAACGCGAAACAATGGATTAAGTGCCTCTACAATGAAGTTACTTCGAGGAGCCATGGATCTCATTTTCGGTTTCTTACCAGCGGAGTTAAAATCCTGGTTAGATAGCGCCCTCGCAAAAGATAGCATGTAAGTCACAATATACGCAATCCATTTGTCGCTCAATCTTTTTCTCTCGAAGGCAACTCGTGGGGTTGATAGTTACCTTGGAGCGATTCCTGGCTGACGCGGACGAGCGGAACGACAGCGTACTTCTCAATGTTGTTGGGAGGCAACACACTCGTCTCAAAGCACAGTTTGATCGTCACATCGTATGCTTTACTCTCCACCTATAGTATGATAACGATCGATTGATAACCCGCCTTGCAGAACGAACAAATCCAAATCGTCGAGCAGACCAAAATCACAAGTAAAAAGCGAAAAGGTGTTGCACCATTTGTGAAACGCTTCCCCGTGTATATTGCGCGTATCGAGTCGCAGTTGATTGGTGCCGATGGTCTTGAAATTCGCATGAACGTTGATGCTGCCTACGAAAGAATTGTCAATACGATGTTTGAATCTTTGAAGCAAATGGCCAAGATGGAAGGTGAAGGAGAGGATAAGGGACAACTTAACTATCATGTCATCCTCATCGGTGCGAAGTCAGACATTAAGTTTAGCTTCACACTCATATCTTTTCATTCCTCAGAAAATATGCATCATTTTGTGGCGGAAACTTCGCAGATGGAGATTGGCTCCGTAGCGAGTTTCGTCAGAAAGGCGGAAGCCATTTACGACGAAAATTTGAATGCATACGTGAAGATCATTCTCCGCCGGCCGTTTGCAAAGATTATTGTAAGTTTGTATTTCCCGTTCGAACTTTAATCTTGTTTGACAAGAAATATTCTTAGGATTACTTTGAGGGTGTGGAGCGTCTACTGAAGACCACGGCCCCAAGCGAAATCTCTACCAATAACAATTACAATCGATCATCACTCAAGAAGGTGGTGAAAGAGTTTAACGCCAAAGATATCCGCAAAGTTGTCGATAATCTTTTCAAGCGCGTCGAGAAGCATTTCACAGAGGCTTCTGATCTACAAACACCTGGTACTGAACAAGGTGGCGGCATCGCTCCAGGTACAGTCATGGTGGGTGCGTGGAAAGCGTGTGAGGAAGAACTGTTAAGAATCACCGAGTTATTCATGAAGAGGATTTCACAATGTTATCCTGACAGTGGAGTTTCGTTGGAGTATGGACCTGGAGACGTGGAGGCCGCTTTCAGAAGGCATCGTGCCTGATGAAATAGTATGTCTACCATAAATTATGCATTGAGCTCTTGGGACACATTGTTATGTATAAAGATAGTATTCGTCTCCTTTCAAACTAACGATAAAGAAGGTACATACATTCTCGGTCTATATTTCCTAAGACATGTGAACAGGCTCAGGGAAGGGTGGATGAGGGCCCTCGTTCAATGGAGTTCCACTTTGAGCAGACATCGTAGATACTGAAGAACTGGAGGTTGTAGGAGTGAAAGAAGGTGGAGTGGGTGCAGAGCCATTAGGAGTAGCAGCAGGCTTCAGGGAGTTCAACAAGGAAGGGCCATAAGTCTTGAACAGACCCATGGCAGAATCAAGAGATATTCCAGGTGCAGCGGGTTGTGTCTGCTGAACGCCATTGATATTACCTTGGCTAACTGGAGTCTTACTCAAAACGCTCCAGAGTAGTTCCCACAACGCATAGAGACGAGACTGAACAAATGAGAGAACATTGCTCTGTATGGAGACGATACCCGCGTCGATTTCTCTCTCGTTCTTGGCGAAGAAGGGTTGCATGTAAGAATTGTAAACGAAGGTGGATCCCTGGGTTAGGAGTGAGATCGCGAGGAGTGTTCACGAGTGCATTGTGTAATTATTACCTGGATCTGGGGGAGCGACAGGAAGAGTAGAAAGACCGTCTTGATTTCCCAGTAGAAGGGCAACCTGGAAAATGCTTGGTCTACGACTAGAATAGACAGGAGTCATAAGCAACGCACCAGCTAACGAGCCATCCAGCAACATGTTCAAAGCCGACAAATGCGCCCACGACCGACCAGTACATGCACCATTTCTGCACATCGGCCTCTATAGTTGGCCTTTGTGAAAGGGTTTTGTACGTGGCATAGCATCTATTGCGTGTCAGTAGGTCTACCAGTTCTGAATGTCATATTTGATATCCTACGGTAGAAAGAACGCGAACCAAGAACTACAAATGAAGTTAGCAATAGTATTGGGTTCCGCAAGCGATATAGTTACCAGAGCACTGAAAAGAATATCGAGAACATTTGCGTAGGAAGGAAAACAGACAGTACAGCTTTTAACGGAATGTCACGTAAGCATTTAGCGCGATCGGCGACCCTGGTCCCCCGAAGGCCAAGTGGGGTTATTACATAACAAGCTAAGAACTTCGAGCCGCCTCAACTTAGGTGGGTTCTCAGATGATTCTTTCCTAGACAGTCCCTAAACTCTAGTACAGTATTCTAGTATCGATGACTATTTCTTCCTGCACAGAAAATTCTGTCGTGAAGTTCAGCTGATTCCGCCGATTTCTCAACAATTTGCTTCCATTTCCCTTCATTACCCCGGATTTTTCCACAGAAAGTAGATAATCGATATTGATTATGTTTCTTTGCTGTCAGTAGAGCGGAAAAGAAGTTACTCCTTGAATACATGGATATGTGTATGAATGATGATACGCGTGAAAGAGTTACTACAAAGGAAGTCCGCTTGTGAGTATTTGTCCGATTCTTATGATTTTGCTTGTTTTCGTTTCCTCTTTCATTTACAATCTGACTGTCATCACCTGGACGCCCTCTCCCTTGCATTCTTCTTCGACCATCCAGAATGAATTCGGCTCAGGGCCCCTCAATGCTGCAACAACAAGAAGATGACAAGCCGCGCGACGTGAAACCTGTTGTGAAGACTTTGAATAGAGTTCCACGTTCGTCCAAAAATTTTCTCCCTTACGATGTCTATATTTCTCAATTCCGTCACATTTTCCAGGTGCCTGTGTTGGTGGCTCTGCTAAAGTCGTGTCTTCTTCATCTTGACGTTTTTAAACAGAATGCCTGCAGGAAACAGAAGATGCGCTGCGAAGGGGCTGATAACCCACCTTGCAAACGTTGTCGAAACGCTGGACTGGAATGCTTATTCGAGAAGCCGTCGAGGGAGGCCACTCTGACCGGGGAAGCAGGTTTAGAGTGAGTGCTCTCATTGGCTGAGCCTGCCCAAAATCGGAATTCACTCGTCGGTGTTTCCCAGGCGCATCCGTAGCCTTGAAACACATGTTGTTGAGATTCGGAACACTCAAACTTCCATCCTGAATACTCTAGCTGATATCCAGGCTTCGTTGCGTGGTGCCTCCTTCCAGAATCGGTCTCCGTCCGCGTATCCGCCCTCCTTTCACCATCAGTCACCAAGCGTCAATTCGCCACCAATAACTTCTCCCCCGACTGCTCATACTCATGTTTCCGACATGCAACCTTCTCCTGTCCCTGGTTATGCTGCCCATCCTATGAATCAGTCATCTTCCTCGCGGCCTTCGCGGCCTCCGATCGCTACCTATCCGTCTCAAGCATCCCAATCTTCACCTGTGGATTACCATCAGAACGGTCCTCAATACCCTCACCAATATCCAAATGGGAACTACCAACAACAACAACAATCACAACCACAACCACAACCGCCGTCAGTACCACAACAAGGAGGGCCTGTCCTACCTCCTTTCTCAAGTTTACAGACTCTACATCCTCAGTCTTCGGTCCGCTTTCAAGGACCTCCTGAGGAGCAGGCCAGAGTCGGACGACAAGGAGGCTCTAATAAACGACAAGCTCCGAGTACCTCAAATGTCACTAGTGCTGATTCCTCAGACATTGACGACGATGAGAACGGCGAATTGCCGGCTTCAGGTCTTGTTGCTCCCTGGGAAGTTCTTCGAGGTTTAGCGGATGTAGCCAGTGAGCGAGCCGCAAAAGTAAGTAATTAAGTGTTCCAAATTTAGATATCTCTGACTACGACTTCGGGTAGGAAAACGGCGACAGTAGTGAACCGCAAAGTCGAGCTCGTACGCCGACACCTGAACGACAGATTCGACCAACAAAGCGGAGGAAATTACGCCACAAGAATCCTCGCGGCATGACCTTTCCTGACGGTACGCATTCCACAGCCCAGACCCGTAATGCCACTAACTACCTTTGTTTGAAGTTGTCACCAAGAAAATCATTTCCGAAGGTCAGTCAAGATAAAAGTCATCGAGAGCACTCATTCTAACCTCTCTTCAGCGGAAGCTCGGGAACTTTTTCGCATGTGCGTTCCCGAATCTTTGCGCCTCTAAACTTTATCTCAATTCAGCCCATCTCTAGCTTCTACCACGGATCGAACACTTTCTTGTGATATAATTCATCATTCATTAATTGTTTTCAACATCACTGATTCCCGTCAGGCCTGTGTTTGACTTTAAGGTGGACACTTACGACGCTCTCCATGAGCGTTCGCCCTTTGCTGTGAATTGCATATGTATGGTCGCTGCCCGGGTGCGAGATGGTGGAGGTAAGTACGGAATGTCCATCGGGTCCTGAACTCATACACATCCTATGTCGCAGGGAAAGCGGGAGAAACGCACAAACGCTGTTTAGAAGAAGTCCAAGCAATCTCTTGTGCCACCTTATTTGCGCCCGTTACTCGTGTCGAGGCTGTTCAGGCCATGATCCTTGTTTCAGGATGGTCCGATAATGGGGAGTAGTACTGATACTACTTGTATGGATTGTACACTTATCTGCGATGTCCTTTTTAGGATGGTTATCTGGAGGCCATGCGGTGAGAATGGCTATGGAACTGTGTAAGACCGGACCTGTTTCCATTCTGCAAGGATCATGTTCTCACGAGTATACCACAGCACTGCACAAAGCCTGGCCTCGGCTCCTGCGTCGCATCAACCTCAAAAAGACCAGTGAAGATGACAGAGACCTGGTCATTGCTTCACGAACGTGGTTCTGCCTTTACCTGTTTGAACATCAGTAAGTATAAATTCCGCTTATCTCAAGTTCTTGCCCTGAGAGGCTTTTTTAAGACTGTCTTATGGCACTGGTCGGCCTGCTATTCTAAAAGACGATGAGAGTATACGGCACTGCCGCTTGTTGCTACAGCATCCTCTCGCTATTGAGGATGATATGAGGCTTGTATCGACTGTTGAGTTGATCACGCTACGTGAACGAGTTCACAATGCACTTTCATCTTTCGACGAACCAGTCAAGGATTCAGATTTTGATGAATTAAAAAAGGCTGATGCTTCGTTTCGAACTTGGTTTGCGACATGGGACCATGCCTTTTCGCAGAAGTATGAGGACGCTGGTAGGATTGTAGCTTTTATGTGGCGTTTGTTTGACACTCAATGTCCTGTAGCATTTTACCGACAAAGTCTTCAAATACAGCAATTTCATGCCGAACTATTCCATAACGCTACTGCTCTACGTGGTATCAACGGTCCGGAGGATGTTCAAAGAATGCCACAAATACAAAGAGAATTGGCTATACGGTCAATACAAATTGCCCGTCAAGGTTTGGATATAACAGTAAACTCTCCCGCCTACCGTGAGGGTATGAAATATGGTCAGCTCGCCTTTTTGGTCTCAAGTAATCTCGCTGACGATTCCTTGTAGCGGTACATTATACCCACGCAACTGCCACATTTGCTGCTTCGTTCTTGCTGAGATTAGCTCGATTGTTGTCAGTATTATTTCTTGAATAGGCAACGCTTAGCTAACGACTTCATAGCCCAAACGAGTGCGACATGTATGACATCAAGAATCAAGTTGAGCGTCTTGCGAATCTCATGGCTGAGAGTAGGTTGTTTCAGTTTATGAATAGCGAACTATTGCTTCAATTCCTTTCTAGTACCGGGAAAACGATACGCTTTGACCCTTCAAGTTATGCTGAAGAGATTTAAGAAAAGGAAATCTGCGTCCGCGTCACGGTCACCGACAGCTTCCCGAGAACCACACAGGAATCCCAACATCATGGAACACAGCAGTAGTAGCAGCAGCTCTATCCAGGGTGCTCAGGTCTATTCACCTGTATATGATACCCATTTTGGAGAAAATGCTCTCCCTGTGAACCACTCCCAGATGCAACAGCAGCAGCAACAACTACAACTACAACAACAACACATTCAACCCCACCTACAACCCGCGGACGCTGACAACATTTGGCGAGGATTCGAAACCACTGCGAATGAACAACTTCCTGTTTGGATGTCTGACCAGACATTAGGTGGAAGTTCATTCTCGCAAAACGGGATGGATGCATTTCTGCTTCCAGCCGACTATCTGCCGCCGGCCCCTCAAATTTGGTAGAGGATTCGGTCAGATTCGATCATGTACATATCTACTGTATGTCTTTCTATCATAGATACCCCTATATCTGTATCGTAGATATGTACGTCACGTCATGTAATATATCTAGTTTTCACCGAATTTGGACTTGCTATGAAGCGCTTTGGCCGAGCTCATCCATTATTCGATACCATTGAATGACATTTGTGATTTCATGTATGAGTACTCTGGAATTTCCAGTGGGTGTATCTACAGTACCTTTACTGCTGGACTGGGCTATGCTTATGAGGAAGAAGAAAGAAAGCGCCAAAAGTGGAAGAGTCACTCTAACATGAACAGTCTGAAGAAAACCTGCATAAGTATTCGAAACATTATGGTAACGTAATGAGCTGAGCTACTTAAAATACAACAGTTTATGTATATACGAATACCCCCCTCGGGGAATATCAGAACAAAAATATATGATATGTGCCAAGTAATAATTCTACGAATATTCTAATCGATAGACTAGTATATATATTTCAGTCCTTGAAAAGCTCCTGGAGCTCTTCCAAACGGCGAGCCGTCATGTCTGCTTTACTCATACTATGACCCAATGTCATGTTAGCCAAGGCAGTCTTCTTCTTTTGTACTGCCAAAAGACGATCTTCAATGGAATTCTCGATAATAAGTTTCACCGTTGTGACAGGGCGGGTTTGACCAAGTCGGTGCTACACAATCGATGAGCACCAGGTATGGAAGGTATGTACCAGACAACTTACGATCCGGTCAACAGCTTGGTTTTCGACGGCAGGATTCCTGCGTTACAGTGAGTATATCAACTAAAAAGGTCGTTACAAAAAGCTCACCAATAAGGATCCATGAGATAGACTCTTTGGGCGGAAGTGAGATTCAAACCTACGCCGCCTGCCTTCAAGCTGACTAACAGAACTTCACAGCTTGGTTCGTGTTTGAGGGCATCCATCGCTCGAGAACGATCATCTCGTTTCATCGTGCCGTCTAAGCGATCGTAACGAATTCCCGCAGCCTCTAGTGCGTCCTCGACTCTGACAGATATAAATGAGTGGGATAAGATACACACATCAGAGTCACTTACTTGTCAAGCATGGAAGTCCACTGAGAGCTATGTAATAGATGAAGGTCAGCCAAACACCTTGATGACACATGGCTGAACCTACAAGACAACCGTCTTCACGACACCATCATCGAGTTGATTCCCTTTCTCATCAGTCATCTGTATGTCAATCGAGTCGGGATCGTAATTAGCAGAATATGGGTTGGCCTTTGAAAATTGAACGAGATCTCCTAATAGCGCTCGGACCTTGGTTGAAGGGGTAAACGGGAGTGATTGACCCTTTTGTCGCTTTTCGCGTTTGGCTGACTTCTTCTTCAGCCCCTCCAGTGACTCGGATTTCACTTCGAGCGCATCTGAAGGCTGCAGGGCTGTTTGACAAGCGGGGCAAGCGGAGACGGACTGCGCGGTGGGGTAGAATACTTCGGGCCAACCCGGGTGTACACATTGTCGATAACAGGCGATACAGAAAAGATGTTGACAACGAGTAAGGACGGCCTTTGGAAGTGTGGGACTATTAGCACGAGTAGAAGCCCGGGAAGAGGAATTCTTCGACTTTTTCGACCGCTTGGGTGCACTCGGAGTATCATCCTCTCCTTGGTTTTCACCAACAGTAGAAAGCTCCGCGCTACATTCGACACATTGTGTCATACCTGCTTCACGAAGGAACCCGAATATCACCTGTGCATATGCGGGGGTGAGCCCATCTCTCTCGATCGCAGCGACAGTTTCCTGCATAGAAGCAAGGGTCTGGTCTTCTGATGTCAATCCCTTGCCCTCGACCAATTCAAAATGATCACAAATCTGCCGAAGTCGTAAAATCTTCTGTAGGATACCAACGTAATTCTTCATGACCTCATTTTTGTCCGACATTTCAGTGAATTCGGCTTTCGACTCGTTGAAGAATTGATTATAAATGGCCTGCTCCTGAGGATCAAATTTGAGGAATCGGAGTTCGTCACGGCGGGGAGGCAGAGAGAGGATACGTTTGCCATCTTCGGTCGTTGATTCCTTGGTTCGCCGAAGGGTGATGCACTTCATGACCATTTGAAGGCGAGCGACGCCTATAGGCTGAGCAAATTTGACCGGTGACCCAATCCACTCGGTCCATACGTTTTTGTCATCCAGCGGCTTTAAGCGAAGGAATTTGATGAGTGCATAGACGTCGTCAAGCTTATTCTGAACAGGCGTTCCCGTCAGACATAATCTCCGATCGGCTACCAGATCGCAAGAAGCTCGACTGGCGACTGTTCCGGTTTCTTTAATACAACTGAATGGACAAAAAAGTCAAACTTGTTAGTCAAGAGTTTGAGGCAACGGACGCACTGCGCTTCATCCAAGACCACTCTGAACCAATGTATACTCTGTAGTGCGCTAGTGGCCTCACTGGAATGGAGAACAGTGGGTTTTTTTCGCTTTGTACCCTTCTTCGGCTTGGGAAGTCTGAGTATTTCATTGCCATTCGCATCCACCTCGACTCCACCTGCTCCGTCAGCATCACTCTCCTCCTCTTCCTCGTCAGCCTCTGCGCTGGCTATGCTACGGGACTGTTTCGAATATTCCGAGGCAAGCGTGGCATAAGTTGTGATGACAGCATCAAAATCTGCCAGAAAAGTTGGATCAGGTCGGCGAGCATTTCCGTGATATATATAGACGCGTAAGGATGTGCCTTCTCGTGTACGACCTAATTTCTTGTTCATCTTTACATCGCCGAGAAGAGCCATTGGCTGCGCTGAAGAAGATCCTGGTGTTGACGAGCATTGGGAAGATGACATTGCAGGAGTACAGCCGCCTGCGCCACCAATGACAAATACTTCGCCCTTCCAGTGATCTTTGAATTGGTCTTCCCAGTTAGCAACAGTTGAAAGGGGACATATGATGAGCGTGGCCCGACTTTTGATCTTGATACGGGAGGCACGAACAAATTCTGAGGCCATCTTTTCTTGCATCCTCTGAATTTTGGCTTTCGCCTTGGCTGAAGACACTGCTGGATCAGGCATCCCCCAAACGCTATCTGCAAAGGAAGAAGGATCAGGAATGTCCTGTTGTTGACTTAGGGCATGTGCAGATTCAATTTGTTCAACAGAGGTGGAAGCAAAGGCCTTCGAAGTTACGAGAGTGGCAGCTATAAGCGAGACGCAAGTGATAGTTTTACCCAATCCCATCTACGAAAAGATTAACATGTAAAACACAATCATGATGTTCTGACATACATCGTCCGCAAGAATGGCACCCTTCGCCTCCTGGGGTTCCTCGAACATTTCCTTCTCAGTCACCGCATGCACCCAAAAATCCCGACCATTCATCCCAGTCTTGTGTCGTCGCCAAAGAGAAGAAAAGGTGCCATTTTGACCGGGTGTTTCTCGTTCCCTTTCTAGCAAGAACGTAAGCGCTTTTTTCTGGTGTGGATACAGTGTTGTCGCTATTTCGGGTGCTAATGAAGAGAATGAGCGACCGAAAGATGACACAGGATAATGTTCTGACCCGGTTCAGTCTCAGGCAACTGATCACCGCCTTTTATACTCTTGAAAACTTCATCGACCTGACTTCTCTGCACTTCCACACTCTTTGCAGATACCTGAGACGATGTCCATCGCGAAGCATTATTTGAAGAGTAAAGCCTATTATTGGCGTGCAGAATTTGATTGTGGCCGCCGGGCGGGGGATTATGAGGATTCAAGTAAAAGAGAGGCCCGTATTTCTGAAGATCATACGGAGGGGTAGGATGATCTAACAGTAGATTATTCTGATACATAAATGGTCCAACGACGTGAATATTCCCTTTTGGGGTGAAAACGATCATTTGAAGAGGTAAGATTGGAAGCTAATGTCCTGTTCAGACTCTACAGTGCAGAAAGCGATGAAAGAACGTACATTAGGTGGACCTTTCCGCACTTTGGCCTCTATCCTAATCAAGCCTTTCCCCAACAGCCCACCTAGATTTGTAGCAACTTTCTGCTCGACAACTCCAAATGAATCGCAAACACCGGTGGCAGGAATATTAGTCGGAATCTTAATGTGAATCGTTTCAGAGCCCTCAATCTTCGACGGGTTGTGTTCATACTGAAGCCTAAATTTCGTAATGTCAATAAGTAATCTCTCAGCCGTCAGATATCATCCTTACCTGACTGGAACCCAGGAAGGTTCCATTGAGCCAGGTTCTTGAACGATGTAAGGGACAGGATAAAGAACAAGGGCTGTAGCTGAGAGTTGGCCTATACATATAGCTGTTCTGGCATCCAAGTCTGGAGGCAGATGGTTCCCATTCTGGAAAAGATACTGCTGAGGAGGTGGTGGCGGCGGGAGAGCAGGGGGAGGAGGCGAAGGTGATCCTGTGAGATCTATGACATTGCTACCCGATGGTTTGAGGGAAGGACGGTATTCAGAAGGCTGAGGGTGCATTGGTGCTGGCGCCCGAGGAGGAAAAAAGGCAGCTGAATTGGAAGGTCCAGCAAACGGAGGCTTATACATTTCTGGGGGTGCTGGAGTATGCCGAGGAGGTTGTGGATTTGTGAATAAGCTTGGACGCATATCAAGGGTGTTTCTGAGAGGAATTTGAGGCGCAGAAGGGAATGAAGACATGGAAGACATGGAAGAAGATGCGGAAGCAAGTGAGGGGGAACGCGACGCGAGCGTAACAGAATTAGAGCCAGTTCGCGATATGTTTCCATCTACGCGAATACGTTTATGAGCTCTTGGTATGATATACTGATCAATATCGTCGTCCTCATCCTCGTCGTCGCCGGTAAGGTCGATTGGATTAGTGGAATGATTACGTTGGAGAGACAAAGATAAATTAGAAAGAGAAGGTGTTGGTGTTGATGGTAGTTGGTGAGAGGCTACTGAGCCTGCCATTGTCGTGATTGCTGCAGAAGACAACGACGATGAGAGTTGAATGCTCGTCGATGACACAGAAAACACTGTAAAAATATTCTGGACTGGACTTCGGTACCACGTGGTATATTTCGGGCCATCCTGTGTAAGCATCTCTCACTAACTGTCAGTCGGGATTTGCTAGCATTCTGTTTACTCCGAGTATCATTCGGGCTTACTAACGGTCTTTTGATTAGTCTATAATAGACTTCCACCTGCGGTGGTCAACGGGACATGTAACTTACAAAGACAGTCGGATTATTCGGGCAGAATTCGATGCTCGTTTTACCTGGTACATACAACATATGTATAGACCTATCGAAAGATAATAATACCCAAGGTTTCTAAGACCACCCGAGCTTATACCAAGCCTCCCTTGCAGCAAATTCCTTTGCCTCCTGTTTAGATTTACCCATTCCCGTTCCCTTGAGAATTCCGTTCACTTTGCATTGAATAATCCACCTCGGCGCGTGTGAAGGACCACTGCAAGCTGCAGGATATTCTACTGACACGCGTCTTTGCGTAGCTGTTTGATTGAACAGCGGAAGAAATGCAAGGTGAGGCTGGGCAGGTGAAAGCGGATTCGAAAAGGGCTTGGTGGTAAAAGGATATTGTGGTTGTGCAGCAGGAAATACAGTCGGCGGCATAAACAGTGATGAGGACGGGTGGGGCTGAGCAGCGATAGGTATAGGCGGATCTGCCTTCACTTTCTTTTGAGGAGGACTGTGGTGGACATACGGTGGAGGTTTGGCAGTGGAGTGCACGAGTTCCTGGGGCGGCGCACTGACTTCGGTCGTTGTGGAAGATCGAACAGGAGTGTTATCATGAGTGAGCCCATCGATCCAACGTTGAACGGGTTCCAGGCCTTGTTCCTTATAGATGCCGCCCACATACGCAAAGAATAGTGTTCGGGTTTCCTGTATATGTACGTTCGAAATGGTAAGTCGTCAACAAACAATGAGTGTGCTGCTAATTCACCTCGGGTGACTTTAGAGTAGGTATTAGCTGCGGAGCGATTCTAACTTTCTCTCTCAGGCCATACATCGAAACCCAGCCATCCAAGTTTTCCTCAGAGAGAATATCCTTCCTCTGTGCCTGCACCAAGCGTAAGCTTTTGTGAATATCGCTTCCCAAAGGGATGATCAAGAGCGGAGTTGTACCAGCATTTCAAGACCCGATAGGACTGGTCGGCGATGGAACAAAGCAACAGTGATCGCAGTATCCAGAACTGTAGCTCCAAGTTCTGCCAATCGTTCATTGTCGAAATTTTCGAGGGCGTCGTCCTGTCTGCGTAATGATCTATGAGTCAAAACCTGTAACAGAGTGTCTCCGTTAATTTTGGGTAAAGGAGGGACACCAGAATGAGATATCGATTGGTCGGATTGTTCGTATGAACTTCCTCGGTCGCCTGTATTTGTTAAGGACCAGGTGCGCTTCAGAGCAGTTGAACTCATTATTGTTGAGGTGGACATGGAGAGAGAACAAGTTGTTTGGTCTATGTATATTTGTTTGCACACTCTTCAGTCATAATGAACTACTAGTACTGTTGAACCCCAAAGATTATTCAACGTTGGCAGTTCATGCACATGATTGGTTATATATTGTAACAGCAACCCCTGGGCCTATCTATTTGTTTCCTGCATTTTGTCGTCTTATAGCATATTTGCGTAGCAATTCAGCCAGAGAAGCCGTTACAGGATCTGTGCTCAAGCGATTGACTACCTTAAAGAGACTGATAGACGGATGTTAACAATTTGTGGGGCGCACAAAAAGAAATGACCCACTTTGAGAGGTCGCCCTTAACAACTGAACAGTCACTCAGTCTATGAACAGGTCTTTCTTGACAAACAGCACATGCATCTGGCGGAGTATCCTGCTGTTTCAATCTCTTAGATTCAGGCTCAGAATGGGATGGAGACAGTGAACGTTTCGGGGTTCCGGAAGAGATTCCGATGTCACTGTGATGAACTGTAGTAGTACTAGCAACTTGCGAAGGAACCTGGAGCTGTTGAGGCATGATTTGTATGCCATTCGAAGGTCCAGCGCCATTGACTGCACTCGCGCTTGCATTATTGTGAGTTTGCGCTTGACGGTGAGGTAAGGGGACCGATTTTGCTACAGCCGGTTCTTGGCGTCTAGGTGCAACAAGGCCTTGGGCTTGCTTTGTCGCCAATCCTGAACGAGGAGACCTGACCGGATAAAGCGGTTGGCCGTAGATCATCATTGCATGTCCTCGTCTACGGAGGACTTCGTCGATTGAGTTCACAGCAGCGCACTGCAGATACCGACTCGTCAGGAGCTTTCATGACATCCGAAAAAAATTACATACCCTTTCTTCATACGACTCATCTTCAACATGCATTATCAGCATCTCGCGGTATTCAACTAGGTTTTCGGATGACTCTGTCATTGGACAGTTTCCAGGACCATGAACTTGACTTTGATTGAATAATGAGATGTAATGAGAATATAAAAACATACGTTGGCCACACAAACCACACGCGTTAGGTTCGTTCGCTGACGGTGATGTGTTCAAAAGCGTTCCTTTAGATTTCCCCTTCTTGCTGTTCATCGCTGACGCTTGGAATGTTTCTTCCACTATTGCATCTGGCTCATCGTCGGAGGAATCACTAACATGGGAAATGCGGTCAGAGCCATACATCGAGTCAGCGTCTGAGCCGGTTCGACTACGATTCTTTTCCGGAATGTCGATATCCAAAGCGTACTTTGATGCTAAAGTCAGGGAAAGATACGAAGATAATAAGTCAAGAAACTCACACTGGCGGTAGTTGCAGCTTTACGACGAGTATTACGCCGACCTCGTTTTCCATGTTCTTCGTCTTCCTGTGCTTGCTTTTTGGCTCGCTCGTCATTGATCCTTTGAAGAGTTTGAGCCCAAGAGTCGACTTCAAACTGATCTTCATCGGCGATTTCTTCTAATTCGTCTTTGTTCGCGGTCCAAATCTTTGCAAAAGAGAATGCAGCACCCTCCTTTGGAGCATTCTCTTGGTCTCCTTCTTTCTCGGTTTTGGTGATGAGGTTATCAATATCCGCTTCTGAGTCTAGGATGAGATTAGCAGGGATTCAAAGGGGATCTATCTACTACTCACAGACAATGTCCCGGGAGTTTCCACTCGATTCATTGAATAATTGTTGAGCCCCATATGTAAGGATAGATTGAACGTTTTCCCCCGCGGATTCGTCGTCGTCCATCTTTTGCACAATGAGATGATCTAGTACGAGCTTCTTCTTGCCGATCTGCATGATACGCTCTATAGAACCAAATGGTTAGAGCATATACAGTACGGAGAGAAGGGGGAGCATGAGTGACCTTCCGCAGACTCCTTGACCATCAGCTTGAAAACTAGACAAGTTTTCTTCTGCCCGAATCGATGTGCACGCGCTATTGCCTGGATGTTATAAGTTATGGACCCTCGTAAATACAGCACAATCTAACCTGAAGATCTTGATGCGGATTAAAGTCAGGATCGAAGATAATTACGGTGTCTGCAGTCTTGCAAAATAATAAGCCTGGATACGATGATAATAAATGGTTTATATTCACAAACAAATTAATGCCAACACCCTGAGAACGTTCTAGTTTAGCGAAGCAACAATATGAAAAAAATTCCGCTCACTCCAGCACGAGTGGTCAGTAGATAGATGAAAATGTCGGAATTTGGCCGATTAAATTCATCCATTCCTTTTTGCCTGTCCGTCCCTTTTGTATTTCCGTCCTGCTCAGGATAAATAAAGAGACTCTGGGATACATCAGATGCTCACCAGACGAAGGAACTTATGTCCTTCACCAACCAAAAAGTCTTCAATGATATTGAGCGCAATAACAAACTATATGAGGTCAACAAAAAAAAGCGCTACTAAGAGGACATGAACCCCTACCTGACTGAAGATGAGCACTCGATGTCCCCGTACTTTCAGTTTCGGAAGAAGATCTTTAAGTAGGCGTAACTTAGCGCTGGCGTCAATCAATTTCTCATGCGTTTCCTTGGGCGTCAATCCGCGAGGTTCGATGTCTTCATCATTCAAATACGGGTGCTGGAGACACCTACAAAGAAATTCGTTGGTCAAAGAGAAGAAATGTTGTTATCAATGTCAACACGAACTTGCGCAGCTGCATCAACATATTTTTAAGGGTTGCTTTGCGAGAATGAGGATTTGGGCCAGTTGGTTGCATTAAGCCTTGCAGTAGCTCGAGATTGTGACCTAAGTTGGAAAGAGTTCGAACTATGATATGGACCAGCTCGAAAAAGTAGCACCTACTTAGAATTGAACGATAGACTTCTTTCTGAAGAGAGGACATTGATACCGGAACTATGACTTCATTCTGAGGGAGGATAAATCGATACAGTAAGAGGATATACGAAAATCACAGGCAAACCTTTGGAGGTAAATCAAGGACTTCACTTTTGATGCGACGAAGAAAATAGCGTCTCAGCCGGTTATGCAGATTTTTGATTAGGTCCTCATTGAGATCGTCATATTCTCTTTCAAGGGCATCGAGATCGTTCCACTCGATGGGGTCCAAGAAATTCATGAGATTGAAGAGTTCACGCATATTGTTATTGAGAGGAGTCTGCAGAAGGTGTCAGTTAATACCACCTCTACGAGAAGACAGACGCCTACCCCGGTCATAATGATACGATGTCCAGTGTTCAACTCATTCAGCTTCTTAAATAGAAGACTGCTGTCGCTTTTCACTGTGGTTGTATCAACAGCAGGTCAGAACTTGAACAAGAATCAACCTCACAACGTTGCCCCTCATCAACGACCAACACCTTCGTTGATAGATTCAGTACACAACGCATGAATAGAGGAATAAACAATCACCTCCCAACGTGGCTGATTTTTGAAAACAGTACCAAAATCTTTGGGATTGATGACCGCTTCATAAGTAGTCACTAGTACGTGAAACTTGGCTCCTGTCATGCCTTTGGCGACCTTGGAATGGAATAACTCAAACTTTTTCACAACATCGCGGGCCTTCGATTCCCCATAGAAAGGGACAACACGCAAATTGGGAGCCCATCGTTCAAACTCCCTGACCCAATTAGTGATCGTTGAATTTGGAACCACAATCAAAGCAGGCATGGCGTTGAACTTCTTTACGATGTGGCCAATGAACGAAGCAATCTGAACTGTCTTTCCCTATAACAAACATTTAAAAGATAAGCACAACAAGAGAACCTCAACATACAAGACCCATTTCATCGGCCAAGATACAAGTTTGTTTGTTCCACCAATTGTCACATAACCAGTTGAATCCTTCAACCTTGAAATTGTCAGTACGACATACTGACAGTCCTGAAAGAGCACTGACCTGGAATGGCATCAGCCGCAATTCAGGGTTCTGTCCCAAATCCAGTTGATCGGCGGTTTTAATGGCCAATGTCTTTCGAAAGAGGTCCTGCTGTCGATCGAGAAAAGCACTTAACTTCTCTTTGGAATATTTCTCGACTTGCACTTCCCTAGCTTCGAAAAAACGGTGTAGTGCCTGCTGGAACGCCGGGTACAACGGATCTGTGGCTTTTGGAGGTGCATCCCAGGTCGCTGTAACAGTACTCAATACTTAGGGAATTTAAGCTTGCCATCAATTATACTTACCCTCTTCATAACCCAAATCAACCCATTTGAAGAATGCCCATATCACCAAATCAACATGTTCTTGATCTTGGGGATCGAACCTTGTACCAGTGCGGGCTTCAAATTTATCGACAGATTCAACGAAACCTTTTGGCTCCTCGCCCCTTTCGAATGCCGCTTCGAAGGCTTCTTTTGCTTCTTCCATCTCCGATTCCTCCTCATCTGAATTAACTACCAACGACTTTCGATGCTCGCCTCTGGGTTTCTTCTTGGTTTTAGTGTTCGCACGAGGAACAAATCGAAGTTGCACATCCAAGACCCGATCAACAGTTTTCCATCCCGGAGGTATCCTGTTTTCGGCATCGACAAGTGGAGACAATAACGACGAGGGATCATTTTCGATTTTGGATTGCGTGATTGGAGACTCGTCCGGTATATCAAAAAGACTGGCTGGTTCCTCTTCTGAAGGTTTGTCCGTTGTTGATTCCAGAAGCTCGATCTTTGTACCGTTCGTTATGAAGTTCTTCAGTTTCGAGAAATGTGTCGATACTAGCCACATATGAGGAACCCACTGTGTTCGTCGATAGCCTCTTTCCTGCCACTTCACAAGATATTCCCTGGGCAAAGGCTCTTTGATATTGAATGGCTGAGTCGGTTGGATGGCGCTTGCAGGATACGACCGCCAAGCCAGAATCTTGTCAAGACCCCAACGGTAAGACCTACAATCTCGACAGGACCAGTTCGATTGATAATACGACGCGATTTCTGCCAAATTGTCGTCAGGTGTGATGTCGTCCTCTATATGTTGGTAATGCGCTAGACGTTTGCATGTGAAGCATCGGAAAAGAAGTTGACCATTATCAGGGGTAGAAGGAGACGCAACATTCATATCTGTATCACCGTCCGCATCTTTCAACTGTTCTCTTGATTGAGCAGGTATTGTCTCTAAACAGCCCATGCACAAACCGCCCTTTACACAGTAGTCTGAAATGAAGCCTTTTGGTAAGGAGATATACATTTTCAAGGAAAAATACTAACTGCATATGTATTCGGTTATCTGATTTGAATCCAAACCAGGTCGCTTTCGTGGCCCATCTTTTTCTATGTTCGATTCTTCTCCTTCGTGTTCTTTCAGCCAATCAAGGCGATCGCGCTCTCGAGCTGATTTAAGTATTTCTTCTTGGTCAACACGTGAAAGGCAAGACCAATGCACAGACATAGGGCATTTCAGACTTGAGATTACGTGTGAGCTGCGGAGAGGCTAGTAACATCTAGCTTGCACACGTACCATCGAACCCATCCCCCCAACGATTTCAAACGTTGAACCTCGTCCTCTTCTATTTCATCATCAGAAGCCCTTGTTCGCCGTTTTGACCTTTGAGCTCGCTTCTTTTCTTTTTCCAATAAAATATGGCCAGGATAATCATGACACTTTCCACACATATGCCAGTGCGCTCTCAACTCTCTTGTTCCTGGGTCGGGATCCTCGTCGAACTCGATTATAGAGCGAAAAAGGCCAAAAGACGGCGTCGTTCCTTTGTATACCCTTCCCGCGCCGCGGCCTGTACCTCTCAGTTGCCTAGCCCGCGATTTACGGTTGATGAAGTCTTCGCTATCGCTCTCACTCTCGTCGGATTGATAAGCATCCTCCAGTGAAATCTTGGTTGGTTTGGCTCGCCTAGAACGACGTCGGGGCAGTGAAGTGTCCGATTCTTCATCCGAGTTTGGAACTGGATACACAATCCGACTGCGAGTCTTTTTCGGACTGAAAGGAAGTTCGGATGTTTGTGACTTATGGCGTGTGCTTCTTCGGGTAGCCGGTTCCTCTCGAATGTGAGTATCATCACTGACAACCTCCTCAGATTCTGGCACCTCCGACTCATCACTATACTGACTTCCGTGAGCAGACGACGCGCTGACGGAAGCCCGTCGTCTTCGTTTGTCAATAGTGAGCTTGAATTTTACACGCCATTTTGGATGTACTCCAAGGCCTGTGGGATCGAACGATTTGAGCGTACCCTCTTCCTTTTTGTGCTCTACAACCCAACTCAGGATATTGGAAACTCGATTTGAATAGACACACACCATAGTCGGCAACTATATCCGGATATCTTCGAGCAAATGGCTGCTTAGGGAACTAGGAAAAATACACGCGTCAACGGATAGAAAACGCGTTTCATTGCAAACACGAACCCCCATTATGATCCCTTGATCAAAGCGTGCATAATACAGAGGCCCCTTGATGTCATCATCGACTTCCCCAACAACCTCGTCCACCGGTATTGTCTCATCGAGTTCTGGGATAAGACTTGCGTACAAAGACTTTTCTTCTTCAGAAAGGCGAGGAAGAGACACGTAGGGAATTTTTTGAACCAACACCGGACGTGTAACAGGCTGTTCTCCAAATTTAGAGGAGTCTTCCTGGAATTCGGCAGAGCTTAAAGGGCCTGATTCAGTTGGTTCCACTTGGGTCATCGAAGTCGGTCAAGTACAACGGACTATCAAGTCACGGCCAGATGGAGTATTGGTCCGGGTTGCCGGTCAAAGATGCCGTCTGCCGTTCCATGACCAGCAAATCGGAGCCAAGTCACTCCGGCTACCGGGCACGAGTATAAGAATTACAGTATCTGTTTATCTGTCCAAGGCATAATCTTTTCAATGAACCATAGCCCATCTGTTCAGATGAAATTTGCATCTTCACCAATGTTTATATAGAAGCAAGAGAACGCCCGAACGACCTTAGGTAGACTTTAGTCCGGACCACACTTTCATGGGTTACTTCAGGTTACTTCTAAAATATATCACGCCACCTACGGGTAAAATTAATCACAATCTTCGTTCGAAGTCAACAGAGCAGCAGCTCAGCCTAATCGGTTTCCTCAAAACATCTGCTAACAGCCACGTTCGTGGTAATCAAGCTTCAAGCGTAATAAATCCAGCACTAAATTATGTAGCAACACCCCTATGTAGACCATGATGGGAGGTACATAGTCAGCGGCTCCGACTGGTGTGTCAAGATTTGGAATAACGACAAGGCCAACAGACACCGATGTAGGTTTCATAAAAGCATGGTCATTTTTCTTTGAACAACAAGCATTGACACCAAGATGTGCTCGAAGAACTCATGTCCGTCAGGAAACACGGTAAAGACGGCGGCTGGAAGTGGGGGTGAGGCAAGAATGGGGGGTGGTACAAACGTAGCGAGCTGGATAGATAACCGATCTAAACCATAGCACTACGATTGTGTAAGTCGATAACAGTATGCTGAGATAAAATATTGACTGACAACACACATGGGCGAGCCGTCTTCGAGTCTAGTCCTACAATCCCATCGTAACTGTACATTTGCATGTGTCCACATCCAATGTCCCTACGAGAGTTTTTCAGACAAAGGATGGCTACATTGAAGCTGCACCCACTCTAGATGCATCTACGTTCGAAAGCACATTCGAAAGTCGAGTAGGCGCACCAATCATGGTGAGTACACCCCGAGTTTGATTCAAGGATACTCTATTCGCCAACCCAGTTATGAGATGAGATCTTTGTATGCATGATAACTCACTCAAATTCTCCAACAAAAACAACTTCGGGGTCATTCTCTATCAGGACCATCTCCACCTTTGTAACGAACGAGATTGGAAGGAAGGGATTCAAATTGAGCGATACAGAAATTTTGTACGAAGGTTCGATTTCTGATGCGTTCGGTGGAGGTACGAGGAGCATGAAGTTACTTCCCCAGTCTGTGAATGAATAGCTTATAGGGTTGACCGGGCGGTTGTGACGAGAATAGCTAGTCCCAAAAAGTTAGTTTCGAAGGCTCCATCAAGATAGCAGTGAGGAAGCATCACTGAGGTGGTCTAGAGTCTTCGGATGAGTGGTAACTACAATTGTATGATTAGCACCGGAAGGACACGACATTGAGCCTTAGCATCCCACGTACTCTGGGAGTATTGAAATTGAAGATACATGTGAGTTTGTGCGAACGAGTTCATTGGTCACGATATCTGTGTGAGAGCCCATCGACGTGTCGTATTCGGCAAATCATGAGCGTCGCTGGATGAGCTCGAGGGCTAGCTCGCCCGTCTTGCGATTGTCAGATCGAATTTAACTGTTCAAATCAAGGCCGTTCAAGCCTTTCAAACCTTCGATGCGCACGTGGTGGGTAATTTAGATAAGATAAGGTCCCACTTATCGATGACGCTAGATAACCTGGGATTCCACGAAATCGTCTCATCTCTTGAACAACCATGTCTGCTCCCTTTCTCGAAAAAATTTCATCTAATAAGTCTTTTGAAGGAGAACTGACTAAATACAAGTTCAAGGTATGCATGACTAATCTCACGATCGAGAAGTGAGAAGTCGACGGCTCACACGATAAGTACTGTTACAGAGCGCAGCGCTCGGTGGTCTTCCGGCAAACTTCAATCTTTTCGTCCCTACGAATGCGAGCCCTTCAAACAAGGTACCCGTTCTAGTATATCTCGCAGGATTGACATGTACCGAGGACAATGGTTCGTAGTTTATTGGTTTAAATCAGGACATGACTTGAACGAATTGTGCCACAGGGTTAGTGATTTCTTGAGACGACCAAAGGACTACTTGAACAAGATATACTTTAGAGCGCAAAAGGGCTCTTTTCTTGGTCCCGCTTCATCTCAAGGTATCGCCATACTATTTCCCGATACCTCCCCGAGAGGAGCAGGTATCGAGGGTGAAGACGCCGACTGGGATTTTGGAACTGGTGCCGGGTTAGCATTAAAGTGTCGATTCAATGTTGATGTTAACTTTTACTTTATATACAATAGCTTCTACCTGAACGCTACCAACCCAAAATTCTCAGCTCACTATAATATGTATACGCACGTCGCGCTAGAGCTGCCTGAAGTCATTGAAGCAGCCGGTATTCCCATCGTAAGAGATAGACAATTTGATATTCGTCATAATCTCATCCCATACGTAGGATTGGAAGCGTCAATCTATCTTCGGTCACAGTATGGGTGGACACGGCGCACTTACAATGTATCTTTCTTCCCCACACAAACAATACCGCTCAGCATCCGCTTTCTCTCCTGTCGCGAACCCTACGAAGTGTCCATGGGGAGAGAAAGCATTTACAGGTTATCTTCAAGGTGGCGTTGAAGAAGCGAAGGAAAAATACGATGCAACTGAACTGATCTCAAAGAGCAAAGAACCCGTGCATATACTTGTTGATTTTGTGCGTGTTTGTCTGGCAGAAGCCCGCGCTCTCCTCTGTGAAGCCCAGCATTTATTGTTATAATCTTAGGGGACTGCAGACAATTTTTACAAGCAAGGCCAGCTTCTGCCCGAGAATTTCCTCAAAGCTGCTAGAGACGCAGGTCACGACGAATTTCAAGTTCGAGTTCGTAGCCAAGAAGGTTATGACCATAGTTACTACTTCGTAGGTAATCTCACCTTGATACCCCATGTTGATTATTGACAACACGGTTCAGATTTCCACTTTCGCCAGCGATCATGTCCACTGTGAGTAATGATGACTCGTGGAAATAGACTCTCCCCCAAAGCTAATATCACATGTATCAGTTCACGCGAATTTCCTGAAAGCTTGATATGTATATAGTCAAAGGCTGTCCTGTTGTAACTTCGATTAATTTTGTTTTGCGAATAGCTTTCTGCTTCGTGCATTCAAAATGACATGATACACTACTCAGAGTACATTGCAAGTCACCATGTAAGGTCTATTGCCAAAACGTCCTTGACGGCCTTTTGTGCAAGCACATTTTGGTCAAGTCTAAGCTCACAATCTTGCCAACAATGTCCGCAAACATCTACTGCTAGCGCTTAAGTGATTGTTCATCGATGTCGAGACTTTGGAACTATGCTTGCTCAATGCTTTGAGGTGCGCCTCATGCGCGCCACGGTCTTACACGTAGCCCGAAAATCAGATTATTCAAGCTGCACCTTTCCGCAGCCTGGCAGTAGGATGTACTGGCACATTGGAACGTTTCTACATTGTATTTATTAAATTCCTTCCGATGAAGAACAAATATTGCATGCAAGTGAAATTGCCTAAGCAAGGTACAGTAGGGTACATACAGTCCACAACAGTGGCGCATATATTAGAGGTGGTTGGGCCCGGCTGTTCCCTTGTGGGACCCCGCCTTAGGCCGGAGTACGATACAATGACAGACAGCGGGGTGGACAGACAATCTTCGTATAAGTATAGAGCGATCAATAGCAGCAGAGCAAAATGAGCAAAACGAGCACTTTATATCTTTTCTGCAGACGAAAGGGAAGCAATAATCCTCGAGCGATAGGCGCCCTCCAGCATCACGAGATCGTCTGTGATCCAGGGGCTTTGTAAAGCCTTGTAGACTGTTGCGCGTTTGGCAGGATCGTGTATCAATAACAAGTTGACCAAAACCTTGGCTAACAGGAGAGTTCAGTGCTCGTCAAACCCAAAGTAATATGCAAAGGTAATCCGACCTTCGACAAGTTTGGACCAAAGTGGCCATGGAAAGTCGACTTCGCCACTAATGATCCTCTCCTTCAGACGGGCTTCACCTCGCAGATACTTTTGGGAACAGTTAGATATACTTTGAGACTCCGCGACACACTGACTGAACCAGGCGTTGCATGAATCAGAAGGAGCGTCGAAATCGAACGGATGCGAGCCACTGAGAACGTAGTTGAAAATCCACGAAGTTAAAACAAACAGAGAATTGTATAGCCACGTACGAGAGCATAATGTATAGGATAATGCCAGCGCTCCAACAATCGGACGGCATTCTTGACCGATTACATCAGTAGGTATCCAGATACGAAGCAAGATAGCAAGATACCCGACATATCCAAGGTGTTTCTGATCAAGAGCCAGTATTCCTTCTGGAGGTAGATATGAGACCGTTCCGCAAACATTGAAGGTTTCTTGATAAGATTTCGGTCTGGCAAGTCCGAAATCTGCTATTTGAATACGAGGATATGGTCCAGGTGCATGTAAGAGGATATTTTCAGGCTGAAGGACGGATGAAAAACTAAGTCAAAGCGGAGGAACAGACGTTATTTTACCTTCAAATCTGTCCGGATAGGTTGTGATATCTCAGTGCAAACACGGACAGAACGAAGTTGATGCATACCTCGGTGAGAGATCATTTTATCATGAAGATAGGCCAGCCCCTTGAGCAATTGGAACATGATGTATTTCACCTCATCTTCATCCATTTTGCAATCCTTTTCTGTGAAGCTATTGATGTAGGTGAAAAGATCACCTCCTGTACATAACTGCAAAAAGATGTGGCTATAATTCGTGTCAATACGATAGGATAGGCTTTTTGAACGGACACCAACATGAAGTGTTGATCTTCTTGGGTATCGAATATGCGATTGATATTAGGCTATAAGTGGATATGCAATGTATCAGCGCGGCGAATGGTTGAAAATGCAAAGTCGGCTCGCATGATTCAAGCCCATCAGTATCTTGATTTCCTTCATAACCTGCCCAAGCTCGTCACGGTGACCCTTCTTTGTTCTTATGCTCTTGCACGCGACCTGGCAGCGTCTGTCCATGCTCAAGGCCAGATGTACTGTTGCAAATGAACCGCTCCCTAAACATTGCGAAGTGACGACGTAATGACCGATATGCTGAAGCAGCTATGAGCGCTTGATAGTATGTTGGGTTCGAACACACCTTTCGGGCTGGCTGTGGCGGAGGCGTTGGATCAAATACAGATATTTTCTCTACGGGATCCTTCCAAACATGCGTGCATGTGAATGCTGCGCCCGAGTAAGTATGCGAGAGCAGCGAGCAGAATTTAAGATTCGCACTGACTGAGAGAATCAGGTATGCGGATTGAATCTCCGTTCATCAGGATGACCGATGCCTTCTTGATGCGATGCCCGTTGAGTATTATGCCATTTTTCGATGAGTCCTGAGTAAAAATGAGCGATGTAAAGGGCAGACGCGACTAAGAGCCTATACTTGCCTGACATGATACAATGACCCCCCCGCTCGGCGAACGAACCCTACGAGTCCGGGGTTACTGGGTGAACTGTGTCTCAATGAAACACATACGCAAATATCGTACAATGCAAGCCAGACACAGAAGAGTCCGGGATCACATAAAAGCTAAGTACGTTCAAACGAAAATGAATATCAATGTAACGAAGTGCAAACCTTCGTTCGGGGTTTCTTCCTATTGTAAGAGGTCTGTTGATGCTCAAGCCAATGACTAAGTTCGAATACTAATGAATCTCCTTCAAAGACAGTTTTAGCAGAAGATTCTTACCCTCTTTGTGCCCGTTTCGATCCGTAATAAGTTTCGCGCATATATCAACAGATTTTTGCAGATTTGTAATTTTAGAATATGGTTCCGATGCCAAAGTTGCTGAATGACAGAGAGTTTGACGTCGTGCAGGAGCTGATGAGCTTTGATGAGAGCGAATAGAGCCAAGCATACTGGAATGAAGGAAAAATTGCAGCGCGAAGGTATTCAATACGACGTGACAAACGAAGGCGCGTGACATAATGTATAATACTAATTTGAAACTCCGACTCCTTGCTGCTTCGTTTCCGGCCTGTTGAAAGTCGTACATAGAAAACTGAGTTACTGTTATGTCTGCGGTTCACTACATCAGTCATAACCCCCTCCACTTCTCTGTTTCACTCGTTTGGGTTTTTTGTGCTTTTTGTCACCTGGATCTCGACCATTATTCGTCAATATGGGGGTCCTAGTGTATTTCGGTTGAATTGCCGTTCCGTTGTCAGTGACAGAGTTTTGATGTGGCAAAGCGATTGGTCGAAAGAATTCCTTTCCACCATGAACGACGCCTTTCGCGTATACAGCGCCGCCCACAGATGATTTTTCGAAGAATTCTTGATCCAAGGCTCGCGATTTGGGCCCCTGTCCGAGTGCAGGCAGAATGGCACGTGGAAGAAAAGCCGATGCAATAAAAGTGTCCGCGTCTTTGCCCACGCGGGTGACTGGAGCTTTCTTCTTGCCTGCCACCCGACGCAGAGAGATTTCGTGAGTCTGAGCATTGAAGTCTTTCTCATCAACTTCCGTCGGCGGATGACAGAACAGTAATTTGGCGTTCACGTAGTCCTTCAATATGTATCGTGCAGCACGGGCTTCATCTGGGTTTCCTTGACCAGAACGGGCGTAGCCACGAGCAACTGAATGCCGATCAATTTCATGGAAAGATAATATCATCGCGACTTACTGGCGTAGGCAACGAGCAGGTTTTCAGCAGACATTTGTCCATTTCCGCCTTCTTCAACTCCTTTTACATTGATAGAAAGTCCATATGTAGCCTCCAAAACGTTTTGAGGAATTCGTTGCACAACCAAGGAGATGGGGCCAGTATATTCCTTCATCTGATCAATCGGCAATACGCCATCACACACCAAAGCTGCCTTTGTGGTGGCAAATTGAGGAAATACTAGACCTGGACAATCGCATAACACAATTGAGTCAGAAAGATGGATGGTCTGAAAATGCTTGGTTTTCCCGGGGGTCGAAGAGACGCTGACTTTTTTCTCGCCCAGAAGGGAGTTAATAGTACTGGATTTACCGACATTAGGATAGCCAACGAGGCCGACCATTAACTTTGAAGGGGGTCTACCAGATGCGTCCACGAATGCTGCCGAAAAGGTATTTTGAGCATAAGGAAGAATAAATGAACTCCACTGCGCACCAGTAAGATCAGGCGCTTTTTGCACGAAAAGATCCTCCAATTGCAGAACCGATAAGACGCGGGCTCTCGGATCTGCGCCCTCAATGTTCTCCTCTTCTACGGAAAAGTAAGATTCGAGGTCGTTTGAGGATGCAACACTCTCTGAGTCATCATTATCCTTAGCACCATCTATTTGCTCTTCAGGCAGAAGTCCAGCGCCCTCTTCATCCTTTGTAATTTCATGTGCTCTAAGAGACGCCTCACGGCGGGCTTCCTGAATTGCTGCTGCATTCGCCGCAGAGAAGAATGCATATTGAATACCTTGCGAGTCAAAATAATCGGCCCATTGTGTTCTGAAGAGAATCTTGTTACAGATGAGTCGAAATATTTTAGGGGGTCCGCACCTTTGTTTTGCAGTGAGCAAATCGGCCTTGTTGATGAGCAATAAACTTCGCCGTATTGCTCTTCCAGTGCCTTTTTCGCCTTCAGGCCCTTCGACGTCCATGACATAGTCCTCCAGATCTTCACAACGGAAACGCAAAGGATTTCGAGCATCGACTATTTGAACAATTAAATGAGAACGCTCCAAAACACGCCACAGTTGTCGCCAGACTTCTATATTACGTTCAAAAGGCGTCAGCAAGAAGTTTTCTTCTTCCTGTAATCTGTAGAAGATGATTAGATCGTACGCAATCAAAAAGGACTATCATACACAGCCAATTCTCTCCGCCAATCTAGGAAAGCTGCTTTCTCCTGTTGTTCAAGCTCAGCAGGAGTCATTGTCTTGGTCCAAGGGGGTCGCCTTGGGACTCTTAATCGCTGTTTGTTGTCAATGTGCTTCTTTAACGTTTTCTTTTCCTCCACTTCGCTGAGCAGATACGGATTGTGAGACGCATCCGCCGATTGCTGTATTACCCGTACGTTCCTACGTTCTGAAGTCAAATCAGTTTTTACCGAACAGATTTCATCCGCAATATTCACCTGCGGTAAAATCGGTTTCTGCGAGTTGGGCCGTGTTGAGAAATTCCTCGAGATCTCGCTCCTGGGTCACAGATTTCAATCTGGATGTTGAGTCTACATCCGTAGTATACTGAGGGGAAAAGTCAGATGGAGCATCGTGCAATATGCGCTGAATCAACACACCATTCCAGACTCCTGTATCTTCCGTGCATCCTTGACCTTTTTATTTATAATCGCACGGCCGAGCCCGCTTGAATTCGAGTTCCTCGTCCTAGAGGGCTGTCCGACCATTGAGCAAAAGGAAAAATTTGAATCTCTTGGACGACACTTGCCATTATAAATTCGGATGCGATGAGTTACTCACCAAAGGGTTCACAACCACGTGTTTCTACCAGCTCTTCAATCATGGTGTTCAAGTTGCCTGTGTTTTCTTTTTACAGACACTATCTTCGTCAAGTAAGACGCTTGCCCCACTCTTATCTTCGGTGAAAATAGTCTTTTGATGTGGTTGCTCTCAATGTTCAACTTTGCAGTCAGTTTTTTAGAATCAAAGCTTCAGATGATTTCCGTGCTCTTGCAGCTACACCTACACATAAATCGCAGCTCCGTAACAGCAGGATAAAGCGGATATCAAAAGTAGGCAATTCTCCCTCAAAGAAATCAGTCTCATAACCTCAGGCAGGATTTGCGCAGAATTGGACTTGCAGTTACTGGTCGACAGGACGCGTTCAGTTATATCTTGGATTTGGCATACGGCAGAAGAGGAAAGCTGAAATGGGAGTTGATGGAAGTATGTTCAATCCAGCTCGAAATTTCTCAGATATTGTCTGATTTTTTGGTTCAGCCTCTTTTGACTCAAGCAAATGTACCCTCACTCCCTGAACCTATCATTCATTCAAGATCCAGTTCACGTCCTCCCGTCTACTCTGCTGAACTCAGCGCCTTGCTCATCAACACAGCATCCCGTACCAACAAGTCGTTGGAACTCCATCAACTAAAATTTCCTCCAACATTATCATCTCGTGCCAATCCTACCTCAGAAGAAGCCCGATTACTTGGACCGCTGAGCAAACGCTTAGAATTCAACACACGCTGGCGATACTTCACGCGGGAGTGGAAGAAAGTTTACCCTCCTCTAGAAATTGCTGTCAAGGGAAACAATGGGCTACTATCTACGAGCGTGAGCGATGTTTTACGTGCAGAAGGAAAAATAGTAGGATCTCAGGATCAAGGTCTTCTCGATGGTATAAAGGAGATGGTTGGTCCTCCGACGGCGGAAGTTACGCCTATCACGCGAAGGGAGCGTCTCCTTTCCGACATTCAGCAGTTTCCAGGTCGCTCAGAACGACACCACCCTTCTCGATGGATCCGTCGTCGTTATCAAGCATTGTTGGGAAGAGTTCCTGTCCTCATACTAAATCCGAGCTTCAAAAAACCCACCTTTAGTGTGAGCTTGCCGCTGAATTCTATAGCGCTTGTGGGTCGGAATGCTGCCCATCGAAGGCCTTTTCCAGATTCTTGCAATCTTGCCTGGCTTGAACGTGCCAATGACAAGCCGAGGCCCAACGATAAATCTCGTTCCAACACGTAATTGACAAGTTGCAACAGATTGCAACTGCTGAACTGGAATTATGTGGTCGGCTTGGTAGGAAGTGATAACTACTCTCCGTCGTTATACGTATAACCGTACTTACGAGGAAAATTATACGGAGCAAGAAAATCATACATCCAAAATGATGCCCTCATCAGTTCTGTTGAATTTCTAAACCGTGCAAATCTATCACATACATGCTATAGTTACGATCCGTGGCTTGAGATGCTAACGATTGTCTGGGATCTGAAGGATTGGGATCGACACCGCATTGAAGCGCGAGCATCGTTTGATAATCGTCAAAACTGAACTCCTGGTGTTGTTGAATGCCATTCAGCATATCCTAGCGCAAAAACAGAATCAGGGCACAATATGGGCCAAACACATCAGGGTTACATACCGTAGGTGATAAGAAAAATAACGAAAAGTACCGCTTCGCACGATCGAAATTTTCGTTGGAGTTGACAGTGATTGTCTTCACACTCTGCTGAAGCGCCAGAATATTGCGCAAAATTTTCCTGATACCGTATACATTAGGTCGGCGTAAAAAACGTGCACCGTTGATGAGAGTATGTTCCATCAGCTGGCCCAGCCCCGAGAAAATGAAGCTGGCATGTTGTGAGATATTTATTTCAATGAGTCATCGGTCTACTCACCGCCGTGCATTCAGAGGTACACTTGGGGATATGTGGTCGTCGCACTCGCTCAGATTGTTGTTGAGGTCAATGACATGTGGATCAGGTTCACCAGCCTCTCCATCAAGAGAGTAGTTGCCCTAACAAATGTCAATTTTTGGAGATTTACTCGATGTGAAGACGTTACCCTCATAGCAAGATCAAGGTAATACACCGTTCTACACCTTATGTCCACTCGAATGGTATGTAAGATCAACTCGGAAAGCTGCTCGTATGTTCTTAAAAGAGCCTGAAACCGACTGAAATAACGAAAAGGTGTCAGCTAAGTGGGCGTCGTTTAGATATCGTTCTACCTACAGTGACATCTCCTTAGAAAGAGTAAGGCTGAGCTGATTTGTCGGGGACACAATTGGAACATACGCCACAAGAGGAGTATAAGGCATCGTGGTGGCGGAAAGCGGTTCCAAATTTTGCGGCGAGAGTGGCGCATCTTCAGGATGGGCTTTTAAAGCACTAAGCTCCCGGGCAAACCAAATCTAAGCAAAGGAACATCAATAGGAGGTCTCAAAACTGGAAGTTACTGACGATACTGCGATACATGCCAGCAAGGGAGACCAGATTACGTATAGAAGGTATTAGGTCAGTACTAGCCATACGTCTTTGACCTAAAAAGTCTTGCTCCAAGTGCGTTTCTTGCCGCCAGAGTTGTTGTTGTTGAGATATATCCTCTTCCTATGAACCATGCGAGTTGAGTATTGAATAGGTCAACAACCTTACACGACATACGGTAGTATTTTGCAACTCAGTCAAACAAGGCATCAGTTCCGTCCGCTGAGCCCACTGCGCTGCTAAAGCGACTTGAGGTTGCAACAAGTCACCGGAAGCGGAGCTTGAGACAAGATCCTGAAATTTGTCGCTACATCGTTGATAGAACTGAATGACAACGCCGAGGATCAAACGAGAATAACTCTCTCTGTGGAAAGGGGTTATCTGAAGCATCGCGCATAACGAGTTGATCAATGCCATCAGGTGAGTGCTGACCTGAAAGAATAATTAGGGTGGGATTTCCTCCTGTGATAGCGTAGTACGCACTTTGATTAAAGGCTCGGGCGATATTCGTTTGGAAAGAGGGTCAGGTTGAAAGGCTTCAGGTCCTGCTGACGACTCTGAGCTTCCACATACATCTGAAGACAAAACACATACCACTAATGGCTTGATGGAACAAATATGATACTTTATCTTCCAATTGAGGCAAGTAAATGTTCAAAACGAATTCATCCAGGACAGTTCCAGACTCTCGCACAGATTCTATATCGGAAGGAAGCACCGAGCGTACACGGTCGAGGAATGCTAGAGTCGGTTCAAATAGCACACTAACATGAAAGGCATTGGGTTTAATCAACAACCGATGATGTTGACCTGCCCCTAGAATTCTGTCCTCTGTCAACATCGCAGACTGAACGGTGTTTTCTGTGGAACCTTGCACAAGACCGGGCATAGTGTCTTTGAGCACTTGTGTCAATTCATCCTCATGAGTGCGCAACATTTTGTTGGTGAGTTTAAGGTCTGTATCAGCAAAGCGGAAGAAAGACTACAACGAGATTAGCTTAGGCAGTACTGGGTTGAATGAGTGCTAACTTTGGTCCTATCTCTGGAGAATCGGCCTTCTCTAAGAGTATCGTTTATAGATGAAATTGGGTTTCTCCCAGACGTAACACCTTCGTCTTCATTTGTAAGATAATCATAGACCAAAGTTTTCATCTAAATCACAAATGTGCAAATGAGTAGTGCAGTCACAACCGAAAGCACTCACCTCGGCTTGGATAGATATCCAAATATCAACAAGAGGGAAAAGTGTTCCAGGTTTAGTGCCAGTTGAGTCCTTGAACTCCCTTCGCTATAATAGAGTATGTCAACAGTCGTATGACTGAAGAACGAAATTGCTAACAGAGCCTATTCTATTTGCTACTTCATATATCACCCTCAGGCCTTGAGAAACAGCATCAACCTTGGAGTACAATGTCCAAAAAAAGTCTCGCAGAATTTCCTGGTCAACTTGCTGCGCTGATGATTCTAGCGCAGCAAGTCTCAAGGAAGAGCCCGGGAAATAACCCTGATGCTGAACGACGAGTGATGGGTCAGAAGAAAATACATATACTCCCTCGGACTTATGAGTAGAAAGTCCGAACATAGAGTTACGCCTCCCGTACTCCGCTCTTTCAGAGACCTCATCAATCGTCGTCTCGACAAGCGAATATATCTCGCTTGTGAGCCGTTGAGCGACGATGTCGAGTGTGGATCCTAATCGGCCCAGCACGGCTAAAGACTCCAGCACAGTTTCTAGATATGCGAACGAATCGGCTTCGGGGTTGAGAAGGGCTTGAGGACGAGAGGAGGCGCTGTAGTTAAGTGAAGCGACAGATGGAATGGTAGCATTGGACTCGTTTACATCCATAGGGGCGTCATTAGGTCTGAGAGTGAGATTCTGCAGGAAGCGCGCTAAACGGGTGGCTGGAAAGGTGGGCGAAGATGGTGACCGGTCTGGCAAAATTGTAGGGGGCTCATCTTCAAATTCAACCTTGGGGACTAAAGAGGTGTCGGCTAGGGAAGTTGGCCTTAAAAAGAAATACGCACAAGTCCGCTGATTTGGAGAATAGGAAGCCCATCGAGAATCACACCAGAATGACTTGAGAAATAGATGACCATGAAGCTCGTCCACCAGTATTTCACGTAAAGCCTGATAGCATTAATGTCAGAAGCAAATTATAAGCCACAGAAAAATCTTACGGTTTCTTGACCCAATAGATAACTTCTCAAATCTGAGACTGCGCCAATTTCTTGCATTTCGGGCTTATTGATGATCTTTAAATTCCGAACGAGGAGAACAGAAGCTTGTAGCAAGCGTTTCTCCGACATCAGTGTTTCTAGCAAGTCTGGTACTGTCTTCAGATGTTCACTGACAAGGGGAGAAAAATCAGTCAAATTACTAACATCCCATGAACACGTCGACATACATCTGGTCCAAGAGGTGCATCATCTCTTCTAACATCTGCCCCCTTGACCACATTTGGACCAAATCTGCCCGCTTGCTTCCTAGGGCTTCTTTGGATTCCTGGAGAGACGTCCGAGCTTCATCTATTTCATTTTGAGTGTCCGACAAATGATTTAGAAGAGACGCGTGATGGGGTAAAGAGGCGGCAAATGCCTGATAATACTCTAGGGAACATCAAAAATGGTCCAGTATACCTGATAAATAAACGCACTGTCGACTGTGCCCTTCAAAGCACTGAACAATTTGTACTTTGTATCTTGGAAAGAATTCATATCCTTTCCGGTGGATCTCTGATCTAATAAGTCAACCGCAAGATCTACTGGATTGAACTTCGCTTGGTTAGGGCAATTCAACGGTGAGGGGATGTATCATACTTCTGGATCAACGACAAACTCCCAACCATCTTTTACTTGGTTCAAAACGGCTGTAGTCTCGGATCGGTATTGCATGATTAGAAGAATAACTGCCTACACACCATCAATATCCCCTGGTCGGGGCCTTACTGGCCCTTTTTTACCTGCCATCCTCTTCTGATACTGCTGCTGCCTCACCATCTCTGCGGCCCTTTCCTCATCCCGCATTCGTTGGTACTCATAATCATCACTTCCATTAGTCATAGCGCGCCGTCTGGTGCCAGCCGACTGGAATGCTGAAAGCACAGAGTTTAAGGTCGGGGATGTAGCGTCATCATTAATATCACTATCGCCGGTTCGCTGACGCTGAGGCTGCCTCGGGCCAGTAGGACTAGTCCGTACGGTACGGGACGCCGTTGAATTACTTGATATGCTGTTTCTGTCTGTTTCGGAGTTTCGAGACCTTAATTCTGATCTTTGAGGTCGAGAAGGTCCATTGGTTGGGAGAGCGGATTCCGAAGCGTACGAGTTATTGTTGGGTGTTGTAGGCCGTGATATTTGCAAAGGCCTTGTTGATATAGAGCCGGTTGGAGACGTGATATTTGTCCGGGATACAGATGCAGAACGGTTTTGACGAGTAGGAAAGGGAGGAGCTCGCGACATGAATTGTTCGTCGAGGGTTGACAAGAAACAACGGTTGCTTCCATCATTTCCATATTTGATCATATTCTCCACATGGACGTTCCTTCTTTCTTACAACCACAGACAGACTCACAATACGCAAATTCTGTCTATGTCCATTCTATCTTTCAGCACTCTAAACCACTTGGTTTTTCAAAGACAATTTGGTGGCCAAGTGCAGATCCGAGCACGGTAGTCCTCTTCATACCAGGTGCTCTTTCGCTGACATTTCGGAAATCTGCTTTTACTGACTTGGTATGTATTAAGGGAATCCCGGCCTCTCAGAATTTTATATTCCGTTTCTCTCCGCCCTGTATCACCAATCCAATCGTCTTTGTATATTAGCACAATCACATCTTGGGCATACCGAAGAAGCCACTGCCTTTATACATGACCTTGCAGCCCAAGTCTCCGCCGCTATAGAAGGTCTAGATGCACTCAGGCAAACTTATCCTGGCAAGAAATTTATCGTAATTGGTCATAGTGTAGGGTCTTGGATCGCTTCACAGGTCAGATTCAAGTAGTTACCATGTTTTACCAGCTCACCAGTCTTCCTAAAGGTGCTGAAAGCCAGGCCAAGCGAAGTGCACTCTGTGTTCTTACTGTTTCCTACAATCACAAACATTCTACATACTCCAAACGGGCGAAGTCTTTCCGTAAGTCAGTGGATGGATCTCATGGTCGTCCTCTTGTTCATTGACCACTCATAGTGGGCCTTTCGACCGCCTTTTCGCTATATTATATCGAAGTTCTCACTTCTTTTGCGTCCGATCTTTTCGAGAATTCTATCTGCGTTGTTCTCTGAGTGGCCGAAAGCACAACTTGCCGTACTCCTTAGACTGCTGCACTCATCTTCTTGTATCGAATCTTGTCTTAGCATGGCGCACGAGGAAATGAACACCATTCGCGAGCTTGATGTCGAATTTCTGGAAACATATCAACACCGCATACACATGTACTTTGCTGAAACAGACGGATGGGTGGGGAATAATAAGGACGTGATTCTACGCTCTTTCAATCCTGATCGTGACTCAGTCAAGATAGTCCATGGTGATCATGGCATCCCCCATGCTTTTTGTATCAGTAAGTGCATTTGATATTATTGTCATGAAAAGTCACAACCAAGTTATCTGACCCCCTGTAGATCACAGCCAAGAATTAGCAGATCAGTGCATCCGTTGGATGTTAGAGCAATGACTTCGCTATACCATGTATCCAGTCTTACCGAACTCCCAGATACTGCGACTGCTTGAAGTATTCAGTGCGTACAGTAAATACACGATATATAGCTATGTATCTTGGTATCATCATTAGAAATTAGGATTCAGAATCAGTCGTTGGTTGTAAGATAGGGTCATGAAGAAGCTGCACCAGCGGTCACTGGTTTGCACGAGCTGGATGCGGGAGGAGAGCCAAGGAAGGCTAATGAAACTAGAGAATCAGACACGCGCGATGTCCAATTTGGAAAAAATCCTTCGGTCCTTTTATCCTTTTGGCTGTTCTCGTCACCAGGTGCAGTAGATTGTATGATGTTAGCCTTATAGTCCAGTTGCCTGTAGTCTGAATGATTCCGCGATAAATCTTCCGCAGTTTCGATGTGAGTCGGATATACGAGTGCATGATCTTGAGGTGGTGGGTTAGGCGGGATCAGCGAGTTTGCCCATGGCGGAGAGCGGCTCGGGCCAGGTTCAGCCCTCAAAATAACATCATCTATCACTTCGCCCTCATCGGCAGCAAACATCATTTCCGTGAGCCTATGGGTGGAGGATTTCGGATTTCGAATCCTACTTGCTTCTAGTGAATCTGGATTCGTTCGATCTTCTTGTGACTGTGAATCGACAGTGCGCCGCGAGACTCCTGGATCTTCAGACTGTATGTTAGCCCCTCCACCTGCTTTATTTCCTTTATTTCCATCTTCATCCACGACACCGTCTACCTCCCTGGCGAGCATATCTGCAATGCCAAGATAAAAGGTGGCAGGGCGAAAATTTATCTGCTTTCCGGTAATTTCTGCCCATTTGAACCTGGCAGGATTGATCCAGCCTACAAGATCGAGATGGTTGACATTTTGCAACGTGCCCATATATTTTCCCTGTGAATACAAATCGAATCAGCAAGAAAGAAAATGAGGACAGTGACAGTGATCTCGCCCATTTGGCCGACTGTACTGAAACAAGTCCATCGTTAGGTCCCTCCCTCTCCAACACTACTGAATGGGGCCATTTCCAAGTATCAACCAACCCTGGTTCGTAGACCGAGCCCCAGCTGAAATATTTGACTCCAGGCACGTCCGGGACATCTTCGTTGAACTTCCGCATGCTCTCTAGGGTTAGGCATTCAAAGGCTTTGCCATCGCCACCGCCGTTTGGAAGGAGATCGAGAAGGGATAAGAAAGAGTCCATGCGCCCCTTTCCGAGCGTAGCCAGGAAATGGTCGGCGAAAGAAGAACCGCGGTGCGGAGTAGCGATGGTGGTTATGGATAACACAGAGAATTTGCGTTGGGTTAGACAGGTAGTGAGATAACGACAATCAATCCCTCCCATACTATGTCCTGCATCGAGCTTAGTTAAAGTAGGACTTGAAGCACATCTCTCTCTTACCAATCAAATGAACCTTTCGCCCAGGGTACTTGGCCGATACCGTCTCTTCCAGAACTTTTGCTCTTTCAATAGGGCTACTGGTTGCTGGCACACGAGTAATGAGAACCTCCGCGCCATTGGCCTCTAAGACTTCCTGGACACCACGCCAATGGTTCAAACTAATGGGTGCTATGGAGGGTCCAATCGTAACGGAATCAAAGCCGAGAAGTCCATGACAGAATATGATTGGGTTACGAGGGGAGTGATCTAGATAGAAGATTTGTAAAATGAAGCACAATATCATGAACTTCAAACTCACATTTCTTTCGGATGTGATCTTGCTCCTCTCGGACTGTTGCAGCTCTATCTTCCTCGGCAAGTAAAGTATCTACATTATCCTTATTTCCTGACTGGAACCACCACCAAGATGCTGTGGGTTCTGAATCAGAGGGCGCAACGGTGGAAGTAGCTCTCGTGTGTGGCCGACGGAGATTCAAGTCGCGCTGAGAGATACTGCGGAGGGAGTCAAGTGAGCTCATTGAAGGCGACAAATGGCTAATGTTGATATTCGGAGAGTTAATGGGATTATTTGAAGAAGCGTTAGAACGTATTCGGGATGTCGGGGATGGAGGCGGACTGGAATTAGACGATGAAATTATGGCTTCAGGAGAGAGTGATGCAGTAGGGAGTGTGGATCTCGTAAGATTGTCGAGGAAAGGTGGATGCCGGGCGTGCGCAAGAGAGAAATGAAGAAGTTGTGCCGAAGGAGGTCGACGCAGCGAACAAAGCGGCTCGTGTAGAGCTTCGTTCAAAGATACTAGACTTGGTGAGGACAAATTCGAGCAGGAAGATGCAGGTGATGGTTCTTGGCTGGAGGGTTTTCCATATGGTGACCATGTACCCAGCCATCGTAATACTGGAATTGATTGGCTGCTTTCACCCATTAGAAATCGACATGAAGGTTTGAAAGCAAGTTTCATTTTCTTCTGTGACTGTCATCATGCTCCCTTCTGTTCTTCCAGCGCGTCCTGCTCTCTCAGACAGTAGGAGGTTATTTGGTTTCGATATACATAGAATCATTCATTATTGCTGATGAGTAGCGACGACAACCCGAGAACAGCTGGAAACATCTCAATCTCTAGCCAAGGCTACGACTCCCCAAGAGTAAGCCCTTCGCCACAAATATTATACTTGCGCAACTCTCATTAGCAGCTAGGACCGCGATATTCCTTTGTGCCTTGCAAGGTATCTCTGAATTAGAACCCGTAAAATCATCTCCAATATTTCTTCTTTCAGATTGCCATAAACTTTTTCCTTCGCGGGATCGCCTCATGCAACACCGCAAAAAAGAACACGGCTCCGATGAAGATAGCAACATTATCACTTGGAATGAATGACCGAGCGGGCTTGAACCGTAGTCTTACACTGTATTATTATAATAATATTGTACAAGACAGTGGAGCAACGAGCTGTTAAAATGCTAAACGGAACATGAATTGGAAACTGTATTGCTTGGTGTCCGGGTCCCAGTGGGACCAATTCCAGTAACCGGCATCATCTGATTCGTCTTCGATTTCTCGAGCCGGAATTCGAAAAGCAATCGTCTCGTAGGGTTCTGCAGCAACCTAAGAAGAAAGGTAAGTCAACGACAACTCACAAGCAGAAGAACACAGTAGTCAAAGAATGCACATACTATTAAATACTGATACGCCTTGTTTGGAGGTTCCCTCTTCTGTTCCCAAGCACTCATGAACCGCCGTCGCGGAATGACACCCGCCTTGATTTGAGGTAGATGGACCTGCACCATCATGCCTTCCTTTCCAGTTTCAATGTCTCGTACTTTGGTAACTCGATATCCTGGTCGTCCTATTTTGAGGAAAACCTTGCGCTGTATAGTACTCTGTGTCGGAGCAATCATTAGTTGCGTGTCCTTGGCGTCTCGAGCGGCACGACGCGCAAGATTCGTTTGGTGCTTTTTTCCTTGTGTGTGAGCGAGATATGAGCCTTCGTTGGTGTGTAACGTAAGACATAGACGACATTCTAAAGAACCAAGGTGATTCCTCAAGATGTAAGGATCCTAACGCACATCAATTAGCTAGTGACAAAGGAAAGAGAGAAAACATACCTTAGCTAAATCAATCGTTTCTAATGCCAGCTTCCTTAACCGTTCTCTACGGTCAACATTTGTTTCAGACGCTCCTGCAACTCCTCCTCCTCCAAATTTGGATCCAACACGATTCTAGGGTAGACATTGATCAAATTGCAAGAGAGAGCAGCAGGAGGGTTACCTGAAAATCTGTTGATGTATCAGTATTGTCGAGAGCATTGTAGCGAACGACTTACCCATTCTGAGACGTTGTTACGATTAAAAAGATCTTTAAGGTTGAAAGTAAAGACGTTGAGTACGTAAGTTTCAATTCGAGTTCTACCTCTCCGGGCCGCCAGATTTTTTCCTCCTACTGAACCAGTACTGAACTACAATGGCTGCCCAGAAGCGCGCTCTTGATGACTCTTCTTCCACACACAAAACTAAGAAGCCCAAGATCTCACAACAACCCGAGAACACTCAACCGGTTTCTGCAACCACGAATTTGACTGCAGATGAAGTCGATTTTCCACGAGGAGGTGGGACAAGTTTCACACCATTAGAAGTTAAAAGCATCAGGGCGGAGGCGATGAAGGAGGCTCATGAGGAGCTCTTCAATGTAAGCCTCGATCAAATTTTGCGCTCTGATGCTCATTTATCTTGATCTTTAGGAATCCGAAATAGCAGCTAGAAAGGGAAAAAAATCTAAACGAAAGTCCGAAGCCGCTGCCTCCTCCAAAAAGTCTTCCCAAAAGGTCGAACATGCTGCACGGATTGAGCATTTGAACTATAAAGTGCGTAGACATATGTGCTACATTCAATATGATGCTGAAGTCACACAGCGAATGAGTGTCGGAATGAAAATTTTCGGTCAAATAATAGCTATACAGCCCCTCGCACTCATCGTATCTCTGCCTAATCAACTACTAGGCCACGTTCCAATCACCAATATTTCCTCCCAACTCACCACTTTACTCGAACGCATGGACGTTGATGAGGACGAAGATGCGAAAGAGTCTGAGTCTGAGGATGAAGAAGAAGCTGAGTCTCGTTCTAAAGTCCCTGAACTTTCCGACTTTTTCCATAATGGACAATATGTACGTGCCACAGTGACTACTCTTCACGTACCTGGTTCCACGGATGTGACCGGACTTGGGAAATCTCGGGATGAGACCATCAGGGCTAGTCGAAGGGTAGAGCTTAGCTTGACTCCGGAGCGAGTAAATGCTGGAGTACAGAAATCCGATCTCAAAGCGGGATATGTACGTGTATAATTGCTTGTGAAACTATCAACTGACGCGCTTCAGACTTTGTCCACCTCCGTCAAGAGTATTGAAGACCATGGTTATCTTCTCGACCTTGGCATACCGGATATATCTGGATTCTTGGCTTTCAAAGATGTTGAAGCAGAGCTCCTAGGCAAACTGCAAATTGGACAGCTTCTGGATGCAACCATCTCGTCCATTTCTAAAAACGGACGGACTTGCAATGTCACCGTCAATCCACAGGCATTCGTCTCATCGACGGTGAGAGCCCCAAACACATGCCCTACCTCTTCGAGATTGATCAATATACTGCAGCTTACTGAAGTCAATCATGTGTCTTCAGTCTTGCCGGGTACTTTGGTGCAAACACTAATCACGGCTGTGCATCCTACAGGAATCAATCTCCAACTGTTGGGTTTTTTCGATGGGACTGTCGACGAGTTTCATTTACCGCGCAGAATGACGGAGAAAAGTCTGAAAATCGGTCTAAAGGTTAAAGCGCGAGTATTATATTATCTGCCGTCTGCGCCGCCCAAACTCGCTCTGAGTCTCAACGAACATGTTGTTCGGTTGACTAGCCGTGACGTTATTCCACAAGGCTCAGATACGCATTTTCCAATGCAGGAGATTTATCCTATCGGAACTTTGGTGAACGACGTGAAAGTCTTGAGAGTAGAAGCAGAGCGTGGTTTGACCGTACGATTGGACTCCGGGGTCGATGGCTTTGTGCATGTTTGTACTTCTTGGCCGTTCATGGGTGTCTATTGTTGATCATTACCCCAGATTTCTCATATTTCGGACGAACATTTACTGTCTGTATCGAATTCTGGCCCGTGGAAACCTGGCTCTTTGCACCGCGCAAGAGTGCTAGGTTACTATTCATTTGACGGTCTTCTCCAACTGTCGCTGAAACCATCTGTCTTGGCACGTAAACATCTTCAAGTTACGGATGTCCACGTCGGTGAAATCATCAAGGGCGTGATCAAAAATCTCAATGATTCTGGATTATTTGTTTCCTTGTCCGAAACTGTCGACGGTGTGGTGTGGCCAAATCACTTCGCAGATATCAGATTAAAGAATCCGTCAAAAAGGTTCAAGATTGGTGCTACCATCAAATGTCGAGTGAGCATTTTCTTCTTCTTGCAGACCTGCGAAAATTAATGGACCTTCAGGTTCTTGTCGTAGATGCAGAGCGAAATCGAGTCTCTTTGACCGCCAAGAAGTCGCTGATTGAATCGGACCTCCCCCGGATCACTGCTTTTGAGCATGCTAAAATCGGTGTGGTGGCACTTGGAGTCATCTTTAAAGTGCTACCAAAGGCTTTGATGATCGAATTTTACAACAACGTGAAGGCAATCGTTCCTATCAAGGAAGTTAGGTATATCATATATATTGACCCCATTGACCGATAACCTCTTATATCTAACTCCACTTCACTTCTAGCGAGGAACCTGTGGAAAACCTCTCTTCATTATATACCCCTGGAAAGGTAGTCAAGATCCGCATCATAGCCTTGAAACCCGAAGAAAAAACTATAATAGCCAGTATTCGCAAATCCGGAGCTGTTTACAAACCGTTCAGTCCAGACATTTCCGGCGTTGAAATTGGAAACATAGTGCAAGGTGTTGTTTTCGAAATTCACAAGGAGAATGCTGTTCTAGCTCTTCAACCCAGCAACGTCCGAGCGCTGATTTCAATCAATAACCTGGCGAACCATCGCGGCATCTCAGCTGCTCAACTCAAAGTTGCCTTAAAGGCAGGCGATAAGTTAGAAGCTTTGGTGGTGGTATCACGGAATACCGAGAACAACTTTGTCATCGTAGCCAACAAACCAAGACTAAAGCTCTCTCTTGCCAAAAGCGTCATCTCATTGGATACTGTTGAGAGCGGTCAGTCTGTGGGTGGTAGAGTGGTTCGCCACACGGCGTATGGAGTTCTCGTCAAGCTGTCTTCCCATATTGGCGGCGTTTTATACCCTACCGATGTCTCTGATGATTTTGGGTCTGCTACACCTTTTCCCGCCATGGATGCAATCCTGAAAGCGGTAGTAGTTTCGGTTGACCAGGATAGGAAGCAGTTGATCCTTTCCACACGGCGTTCGAGGATGTACCCTGATCAAGCCAGTAAAGTTGTGGATCGTGAAATAACCCAAATTTCGGATCTGCATGTTGGCGCAAAAGTACGAGGCTTCATTAAAAGTATTACAGATCATGGGTTGTTCATCACTATCGGTCGGAACATTGACGCTCGAGTGCAAATTCGAGAATTGTTCGATGATGTAAGTACAAATCCTGATGTTTGACAATCTCGTACCGACTGCGCATCATAGTTTGTAAAAGACTGGAAACCCAGATTCGAACTACATCAACTTGTACAAGGTCGCATCTTAAGGTGGGCGACAAAATTCTTGGGGCCAGTCGTATCAAGTTGACGGTTTTACTCAGTGCGGAAGCTGATACCAAGAAAGTGGAAATGACACTCCGCTCCGGAGATTTGTCGAAGCCTGTTGCTTTGACCTTCTCCGCCCTTGCCCCTGGTCAGCATGTAGACGGTGTTGTGAAGAGGATAGAGGAATATGGTTTATTTATCCAGATTGACAACTCGAAATTAAGCGGTCTCTGCCACAAGTCTCAGGTAGGTCATTTTATTTTCTTGCCAATCCACTCTAATGTACATGTCATAGCTTTCCGACAATAAGGATGCAGACTTTGCCGTTGCACTTCGCGGTTTCCGAGAAAATGACCGAGTTAAGGCTGTCATCGTCGAAATCAAAGACAAACGGATATCTCTCAGCTTAAAGCCCTCCCGCTTTGCCGTGGAAGATACTGATGACCCACAGGCTAACGATCAACCTATCGACGAACTTGATGGTGTGGATGTCCAATCTTCGCGCAGTGAGGCCGGGGATGAGGATTCATCCGATGACGATGAGAGTGTAATGAGAGTTGACGTAAATACTCAGCCTCAACTGCAGCATTCCTATGCAACGGGTAAATCCTCAAATGCTCCACTCAAGCTTTCCGATTATCAATGGTTTGGCGACACTGTCGACGTTGATGCCTCACACTCCCATGAATCCGATGACAGCGATGATGAAGCACCTTCGAAAAAGAAGAAAAAACGCAAAGAGATTGAACAGGATTTGACCGCTCAGATGCATTCTAAAGCCCCTGAGTCCAGCGCGGATTTCGAACGCTTACTCCTCGGCTCCCCAAATTCATCGTATCTTTGGATACAATACATGTCGTTCCAGCTACAGCTTTCTGAGATCGAAAAAGCACGAGAGATTGGGCGTCGTGCGCTGGATAAAATCAGTTTTAGAGAGGAGGCGGAGAAACTCAATGTTTGGGTTGCTCTTCTCAATCTTGAGAATGCTTATGGAATTGACGAAACACTGGAGAAAGTATTCAAAGATGCCGCCCGAGCGAATGATTCGAAAACTGTTCACTTACGACTTGCCTCCATCCTTGATCAGTCAGACAAACACAAAGTAAGTCGTTGGTTTCGTGGCTCATGATCATCAACTGAAGATGTTGCAGAAAGCAGAGGAACAATATAAACGGACATGCAAAAAGTTCGGTCTGAGCTCGAAAGTTTGGACCTCGTTTGCAGAACACTATATACAAAGAGGGGAAATCGAAGAATCCAGAAAGCTCTTGCCTCGTGCATTACAAAGCCTGGAAAAGCGAAAACGTGAGTAGTTTTCTTCCTATGTATATGGCCCGAGATCTCTTACCCAGGAACAGACCTGAAGACTATTTCTCGATTTGCCCAGCTAGAATACAAGTTTGGCGAGCCCGAAAGAGGTAAAACTCTTTTTGAAGGGATTGTCGACTCCCATCCCAAACGCTGGGATATGTGGTCAATATATATGGATATGGAAGCACGTCGATCTGACATCCAAGGTTTGAGGTAAAATATCTGCATACCGTATATATTCGTTTGCTCAGCCCATTCATCTGCAGAAACCTTTTTGACCGTGTTCTCAAACTCAAAATGACCAGTCACAAAGCAAAATCTTTCTTCAAGAAATGGTTAGAGTTGGAGCGCCGTCTGGGCGACGAGGAAGGAGCTGAGATGGTCAAGCAAAAGGCGATCGAGTGGACCCAAAGATCTAATAATTCATCATGATTATCAATATCGACAGCAGCTTCAACTGCTCATATGAATATAGATAGGAAGATAACATCAAACAAAGCACGGAAGTAAGATAAAAGTAATGTGAGTAAAGATCCAAGCGAATGTAGACAAATCAGTCGAGCGACATATCGAGGGTATAAGCCAACAGTAAATACAAAGAAGGGGAAGAATTTGGATGTCATGGATGTCATGAACGCGGAGATCTGGTCCGCTGCACGGGCTCTGAGTCCAATTCACTGAGTGGCCTTCTATTGCTCATTGAGCTGGCAAGCTGTCTTTGCCAGTCATCGAGTTCGCTTGAAAGGTGCTCAAAAGCGAGTGCGTTTTCTGAACTCGAAGCGCTTGCACGCCGGGGGGAGATACCGGATATTGGTCTACCTTGGCCAAAGGTAGACTGATCGACTTCAAGGAGTAGACCGATTTTGTGAGAAAGCTGTTCGTTTTCTCGTCGCAACGTAGTATTTTCGTTGCTTATTTTTTCCAGCATTGTCTCCTCGTTACCTCCTCGAGCAATGATCAATGACGACTGTAAACGCTCGACTTCGAGTTGTAACTCTTCAGCTTGAGTGAGGCGATCGTCAGATTCTCGCTGTGATGCCACAAGGCTATCACGTAGAGTCTCGAGCTCGCTTTCCAAAGAATCAAGACGTGAATGAAGCTCTGCGTTTTCACTTTGGACTTGGTGCAGTTGCCATTTGGCTTCCACGACCTGCGAACGCAAAGCTTCTGACCCATCATCGGACGAGGGAGTGGTACGTCCATTGGCGCGCGATTTACCGGCACGTGCGGCATCTAACTCTGCCTGTAGTGTGGTGTTGGAATTTTTTTGTTTGGTGAGCTCTTCCCGCATTCGTCGCATCATCTTCTCAGTCCCTCTAGCAGAGAAAGTAAAGAGAGAGAAACAAAAAATTAGACTGATATGCTTACTTAACATAATGAACGGCCAGCTGATAATCCTCCTCCATTGTTTGCATTCTCGTTTTGTAGGTTCGTTCAGTTTCTTCTAGCTTTCGCTCAGCTTGCTCAGCTCTACCTTCAGCGTCACTGGAAGCCTCTCCAGATGAAGGAGGCGCGGATCGAGCTCGATTCAGCTGTGAAGAAAGCTGAACGACTTGGTCTTCGACCTCACGATTCCGTCGCACAACCTTCGCAAGTTCGCGTTCGGTGTCCTCGTGCAAACGCGTACGATCTGCCAGCTTACTTTCCAGTTCTGCGACAAGCGCGGGCGACGCAGCATTAGAACGGGGTCGTGAAGGGAGGTCAAGTTCATCCTCGTTGACACTGAGTCCATTTTCTGCCATGAAATTGCGGAGCATGGCAAGTTTCAAGGTTGACTCGGAGGACTCCTTCAAGCTATTTTGAAGGTCGGTATCTCTCTGAGCAAGGCTTTGTCGAATATCGCCATTTTCAGTGAGTGCATTAGACAACTGAGCGCGCAAAGCGACAATCTGAGACAAGAGTGAAGACTGTTGAGCCTCATATTCCCGAAGTCTGCGATGCTCCTCCATGATCTGAGTTTGGGATTCCTCAACACGCTGGTTGGCATCTTTCAGCAGTTGCCTCAAAGACGCAGATTCTTCTTCGACAGCTTCCATTCGTTCTACATGACCTCTCGTCAAGCGATCTTCGTCAGACCTAAGATCCCTGTGAGAATCAAGTAGTTCACCAAGACTACCAGTAGTCATAGTCCTCAAGGAATCAGCTTCTTCACGCGATTTCGCCCACATGTTTTCAACCTCAGCAAGCCTTGCTCGAGTGGATTCGACCTCGGACGTTCGGGCTTCAACTTCTCCGCGTAGATCTGCCAGTTCTGCCTCAAAAGTGTTGATCCGTTCACGAGCGTGTTGGTATTGCTCATCTGCTTCGTCAGCGCGGGAGGCAGCTGCTTGAAGGGCGTCGCGCGCTTGTTCAAGCGCCCGAATATGCTGATCCTGAGAACGAGTGAGATCGTCAACTTGGGCACGAGCGGCATCCACTTCGGCCTGAGACTGTTGGAGGGAAGAACTGGAAGACAAGAGTTTATCTGCATGACTGCGGAATTGAGCATCTAAAGCCGCATGACGTTGCTGTAGGTCGGAATGTTGCTGCGATAGCCGTCCATTGCTCTCGTCTAGCATGTCTGCGCGCTTTGAAGCTTCGGCCGATCGTGCTTCTGCTTGTTCGTAAAGCGTGGTATGGAGGGCGACCGAGTCACTGAGCTCGTTAATCTTCCGATCTTGCAGCCAGCGTTCGTTCATCAAGGTTGACATATCCCGTTCCAGGTCCGCCACACGTTGACGTTCAAGACGTAGTGCTTCAGACTCATTTGAAGACTCCAAGGCAACAATCTTCGAGCGATAGTAAGCAGCCTCCTGCGCGGCACTGACTTTCATACGTTCCGCATTCGCAAGGTGTTCTGAGGCCTGATTCGCTTGTTCAACCATCGCGACCTAGGTGAACCGAGAGGTATGAGCAATTACGAAGCAAGCGAAATCCGTCGAGCATACCTGCATTTGAGCTCTGAATTGCTTGAACTTCAGGACTAACTCGTTGTCAGCCGAGCTATTATTGTCGATGTCACCGATGTCACGTTCCGTGTAGATGAATCCAGCTCGTGTAGCTTTACCAACTGCCTCCTTCATCCAGGTCATTTGGCGTTTCATACCTTCCAGTTCAATCTCTTTATTCTTGAGATCCCTAACCAGATCTGCGGTGATATTACCCACTGAGCCATTCTTGGATCCCGATCGAACATGACCGTTCACGTGGGGCGTGTGCGGGTTGTAGAAAGGATCAGCGGGAAGCCTTGACCTATCAACAGCAGGCGACGAGCGACCATTCAATGCCATTGTGACCATATTGGGCGCGGAACTGGCCTCCATGTCGTTAGGAGAAACACCACGAATGTACTGAGGACTCTTCGCTCTGCTCATTATCGATTGCTCTGGCGACATGGCACGTTCCCTGACTCCAGATTCAGAGGTAGCTGCATCCATTCCATCGTCGGTTCCTGCACCGTCATCATCTTCGCGTCTCGAGCGAATGGGACCTTTCCCCTTGACTGGGAAGGGCTGAGTAATCACACCATTTACAGGTTTCATTAAGCGGGCGTTAGGAGGTGATACTGCTCGCCGTGCATCCTCCGAGTCCGAACCTTGCGTAGCAGGAGACATGGAACGATTGTACGGGGCACCCGTTACAACAGAGGGTGACCCCGATCTTGGCTGCTGCTGGATGGCGGGGGAACCTGCCGAAGATTTCCGGGAGACATGTTGCTGTGCAGGATTACCGTTTTGTTGAGGTTTGTTCGCGTCAGGGTACTTGATATGTTCTGGGAGCATCACCATCAGCATGGGCAGATGGATGAAAGATAAAGAGGGGATGCGTACTCGTATCCAGTACATGTATGAAGTTTGCATCTTCTGGTTTAGATGGCGTGAATGATTCGCCTCCCAACACAAATACTCGAGTGCCAATAGAAGCCATCGCATGCCCAGATCGTCCACTAGGAGCTGGTCCCATATTCTGGAACATGTACCACCGTTGGTCTAAAACATACATTAGTACAACACATACTTGGAAAAGATATGAATTACTCACTTGATAGTTTGAAAGCAGCTAGATCATTCAGATCCTTGCCATCAACTCCCCGTCCACCGAAAACATATATGACATCGTCCACCAATGCTGCGGCATGGCCCTCCCTTGGAGCGGGAATGAAACCAATACATGTGAGCTCAGACCATTTTTTGGTATTCAGATCGAAGGACCAAGTGTCATTATAATGATATTGCCCATCCGTTCCTCCGAAACTATGACGAATCAGTTTGCTTCCCGAGTTTTCATTCAAGAAACCTTACATTAGGATACGGTCTCCATGGTTGATACAAACATGGCCCGTCCGATGAGCAGGCCTTTCCGGAGATGTTGGCTCAATTAATTCCCAGGTGGGCCGCGTTCGTACTGTGAATTACGGTCGATGATAGGTCTCCGGCGAAAAAGAATGCATACTGACAAGAATTGAGATCAAAAGACCATAAGTCATTAAGAAATTCTCCGTCGACCTGTCCGCCAAAGATGATGAACTTAGACGTGTGCGCCATAGTCACCGCATGACCATATCGTCCGACGGGACTAGGACCGCTGACTGTGACGCGAGTCCACTCGCGAGAAACTGTGTTGATAATGAGAGATATCCTCAATGCCAAGTTTTCGATTTTCGCTCACCGAGGTTGAGTAAGTAAAGGCCGTCATCCTGTTTGTCGCTCTGTCTCACTTTCGGATCCGTCTTCGTATCGCCTCCCCAAACAATCAGAACATTGCTGACGATAGCACTGGCATGTCCTACTCTCGGGGAGGGGACCTCACCGCCTGTCTGAAGAAGCGTGGCAGACAGCTCGCGGGCATGTACAAGGTACAAGTCGTTCCGAGCAGTCTCCCGAACAAGACCACCAAAAAGATACAATTCACCTGCGCTTGTGGCTGTCGCAGGGAGGGCATGCCCATATCGAGGAAAGGGCGGAGGTGAGGGATTTGTAGGAGGGACAACACCTGGCTTGTTCAAAACCACTGGCGGCGGTAAAACAAGACGCCGAGCAGACCATGGAAATGCAGGTTTCGCGGACTGGGATGGCGGCTGCTGAGCAAGCTGTGTTTGCGTTTGAACAGGACCCGAAGAGTTCTGGAGTCGTTGTTGCGCTGGAGAAGAGCTGAGAACACCGTTGCTACCGGCGCTTCCGGATACACTTGGGGAAATGGTACTCAGCTCAAAACAAGCACACTGAAAAGATATAAACGAACTCACGAGTCCATTGGATTTTCGTTCCGCAGACTACCCATTTGTTGCTGTGGTTGCTGCTGCTGTTGTTGCATGCCCACTCCTCCATCTTTACTTGAACTCCCTGACATCTGTGCCAGGGCCTGGCTGGGAGTTGATGCTATGGTGACAGCTGGCGCATTTTGCGCAGGTGGTGGATGATTCTTCCTCCTTGAGAAGAAGGACATTCTGCGGGATCTGGTACCTAGAATGGACGGTATGGCGGAAAGGCGTTGTTGGACTGAGTGATTGGTGAAAATGCGCAATTAATGGTATAAATAGCAGAAATGGTGGTCGAATATAAAATATGGAAGGAGAAGGATAAGGCCTAAAGGAAGAATTGGGCAGGCCTGCCTGAGTTGAAGGGCGACCCGTTCGTTCTCTGGCAATAACTAGGCAATAAGCAACTAAGCGTGTAGACGTTTATGTAACTGTTTTGCTGCTGTTTATCTGATGGCATATGCATCCTGCGACCTTCAAAATTCAAAGTTCGAGTTCTCAGAGTAAGTACTATAGAATGCACCGACATCGAACTGCAATGATTGTTGAGTGCTTTATGATAATACTCCCAACAGACTATCTTTCCCCCTAAGTCTCGATATATAAGTACTGGAACAACCTACAGCGGCTTTGTGGTCAGGAAATATTCGGTACATAGTTTCAAAATTATCTCATTTTGATTGGATGACAGCAAAGATATGCAGCGGACCAGGACCTTAACTTGCTTCAATCATAAATCAGAGCTCAACCGATACGGCGTCCTTATCCTGAAAATGATGATAATTTACCTTAATTTACTGCGGAAAACGATCGAGTGACTTGTCAACGTTTTTCAACCACTTACTACCATGTCTCCTTCGCCTCTAGAATGTCCTTTGGGCTGATAGAGAAAAGCAGGAGCGAGCTGGCCTCGAGCTTCGACCATGATCAAGAAATATTAAACCTTAAACCCAACTTCAGTCGTGGACACGTGCTGATTGAGATTCTGCTTCTCCTTAAACCTAGTCACTCTTTTTCATTCCATGCAACACAGCTCGAAACTCTCCAAAACAAGGTCCTGGACACCTTCAAGCGCAATTAATTCTGGGTCGAATCAATCCGCACATTACGACAATAGTTACCCTACTCAGACACTCAGACGGGAGGCTAGGACTTCAGTGCCGTCGAGTGTACGAAAACCTGGTTTTTTCGCACAACTATTCTCTCCCAAAGCCGCCACCGTTGTCATTGAATCGCCGGTTGGTTCAAGCTTTGTAAATCTCAGCCGCAAATCATCATCTCCCTCTGTGGAACATCACCACATTCCGCCCAATTTAGCCATTCGGAGCCTTTCACCTGATCTTCTAAATGATCCAGCTTTCTCTGCAGATCCCCTCTCTCATCCGCTGTTTGTCACCAATCCAGATTCATATACAGAGTCACCCCCGTCAAAGCCCATTTTGAACGGAAATTCACATGCAGATATGACGGAGTCTCATACACAAGAATCTCGCTTTGCGTTACCATATTATGGCATCTCGGGAAACGATTCAATTTCGTTAACCCATCCTAACTCTTCCTCCCAACCATTGGATCTCAGTTCGTTGGAAGGCATGGGCACAAACACCTCTACCTCACAATCTTCCATCACAATCGACGAACCATCCCCACCTTCCTCATTCACAGATACCACAACATCATCGATCTCTTCGGGCGTCGCTGGCAAGTTACCGAAGAAGAATCTCATCATTCTCGAACCTCCCCGAATTCTTTCCCCTCCTCCTGCTTACGACGAGCCCAGTCACCAAAGGCCGATAACCGTCCGTCATACCTCTGTCCCCAGTCTTCCATCTTCGCAGCCTTACCCAACTGAAGTTCCTCCGCGTCCGGCAACCACTGCAAACGATTCACGTACCGTGGATTCTCGGCGCAATAACACAGATACAAATCCAAGAGGACTTGATCCTATCGATGAGCTCGACGAAAGCAATCCTTTAGGTCTTTCCTTACATCACGGTGGGCCTTACGAGGCGATCAAGAAGGTCACACAGACTCCACGTGAACCACAGGTGTGTATCCAACTTCTTTCCTTTCTCGATTTCTCTGATATACTATCTACAGAATCCATATAATAAAAGCATCCCACAGCAGGCAGCTCATGTGTCGACACAAAAGGTAAAGATAGCGACTCATGTCAAGGCATCATCTCATACCCTATTCAGACAAGTAGTAGTAGACAGCCATTCATCCCTGCCGCCAGACCATTTGTACCATTCGGAGCGTCTCTCAACCTTACTCCGGGACAAATACTTCCCAGAAATTACCAGCCCTATTCCCAGCCACCACCGCGTATTCCCAATCATTTGACTCCATATTCACAGAGAAACAACTCAGATTTTTCAGTTCATCAGGTTCTACATCCACAGCCTGCCCTACAGAATCAACAAATTACTAATCTACAAAAACATACCCCTCAACATTTGATGCAGGCTCCGCTACACCATCCCCAACACCATCACCAAGCGCAGCCTCCCATACACCGTGAACAGCCTTATGTACAGCAAAATACATCTCAGTTTTCAACACAGCATCCGTCGCAGTTGGGTGTTCGTGCGCGGGCTGACCTTTTTGATGCTGAACCTGCACAACCCCCGTCGCCGTTGTTGAGCGTTCCACAGCGCTTCGAAGACGATGCCAGCTCTATCTATGGGGACGAAGCTGATGCATATGATGGAATTGAAGATGAGGAGATCTCTCAGGACTTAGATAACCCTACCTCAGAAATCCTTCATCAGCCGGAATCCTTCACACATTTCAAATCTGCTCCCGATATGCCCCAGACTTATATCGATAATGCCACTGCAATCGAGGACGATGTTGCTCGTGCGCTGTATACTGGGTTTTCTGCGTTCGGTGAAGGTCCTCCCATCTCTGATGGGCGCGAGGCATTCTCGAGGAGTGTACCTGTACCTACTCTTCCCCCGGGAGCCTCTTACAGACCACCCCCACGCCGTCACGAACAGCAGGGACGGCCGTTGGAATATCCCGAAGAACAAACTCCCTACACCCCATATGTTACAGCAAACCAACCTGATGGAGTTTGGCATCGTCGTGCCACGAGTCTTGACCCCGACTACAACCTACATGGTTCGCAGTTACCTCAGCATCGTCCAATGAACCCTGGCCACCCGCATGTATCTGTCACAAAGAATTTAGGACGTGTTCCTGAATTGAATCCAGATAACATGGTCCAGCTTCGTGCGGTGAAGCCATATCCGCAACCTCAGCAATTTGCACCTCTACCACCTAATGGTAATTTGGAGCGACCAGTACGGTCTAAACCTGCGCCGAGCATACAACAATCCATTTCTTCTACGAACTCGAGAAACGGACTCCCTCCACGTCACGTCCCCGCGAAGCTCACGATGCCTCAGCCGTTATATAATCCCAATGCTCCACCGACTCATCGTGATATCGCGGTACCATCCAACAAACCACAGGTTCGCTTCCAACCCCCACCACATAATTCTGGCGTATCTCTGTCTGTGCCACTGAGCAAGACTCGTCCCTCGACACGTAACTCCGTCCCTGAATCTTCCAAAGTGCAAGCTCAAATTATACCTATGGCTACTGATTCTCGGAAGGTACTTCGGAAACGGAGCAGTGTTCAGGCAGTTGGTCCAGGAACAGCTTCAGTTATGCCTGTGGGTACTCCCAATATACCACGCTCCAACTACCCACCGACACGGTCAAAGTCCGAGGTGAGACCCCCAGCTACTGGAAATCGTACCAATTCTACTTCTGTGCCTCCGGACAAAAAGGCCCCTAGAAGGTTGTTAAGTAAGAAGAGAGCGGAGTTTTAATCCCACTGATCACTTCCCAATCCTTTCGTGCTTTGCTCGTATCATTCTGGCTGTGTTGTATGTATGTACCATATCTCCTTGCTTTTTATCCATTGCATTGTCATCATACGATACCTTGTCACACTCCTTATCTGTAGAAACAACGTTCTATGCATCAACTATGCGGGACCATATTGTATTTATAATTTAGAACATCCAGTACTTTCTGTTCATCCTGGCCCCTTGATCATCATGTTTCACACAACTTCACATCCAGGCATATGTGGCTCGAAGATCAGTGTAGTCAGGTTGTTCATCCTTATCATCCAAGAGCCCATAGTAAAATGTGGTATCTGAACGAAGATCAGTATGCTGAACCCATGTGCCACAATCACCCACCTCGGCCGTCTACTTCTCGCATCGTGAAACCATTACCCAGATATCCGAATCTAGAGGAAGCTTCAAAACAGCCTCAGAAGCTAACGTCCTCTGCTTTACCTGTTCTGAGCGTAACCATATTCATAGTCCCAATCTTCCCACCGAGGGTTGGTGAGGAGTTCGATAAAGAGAACTCGATTTCCAGGGAACATCACCGGACTTGCTATAAATTTCCGTTGTCAGAAGTTCGTAAATCCCTCGTGCAAGACTTACATACGTACCATTGGGACCAGGCTTAAACCAAGAGCTGCACTGACCAGCCCAAGCAGTCCGTTTTAAATACAGTTCGCGGTGTTCATTGAAATCGTCCGCAGCTTTGTGTTTGACTTGCATTGATACAATGTTCTCCACTTGCATCTTCCGGATAATTTGCATGAAGCATTTCGTCACTAAGCGCACCGAACAGAGTCAGAACAAAATATTTTCTGACTCGGAACTCAGGAGCGGCTCTGATTAATTGAACGCACTGGCTTCTATCATAGGCGCGCCACTTCCATGCCCGGTTGGTCCTTCGAGAGCTTTCGAAATGTGTAAGAGGGTTGAGAGATCGAGACCACGTCTATGCATACTCACCAAATCATCAAGTAGCGCAGTCACCATTGATCATTCAAAAGATTACCCTGAGGCCACCATCAGTGGAGTGATCTTGTATATATTCAAGAAGAGAATATACATGAGGACCATAATACATGAAATACTGAATGAACAGAGAACAGTTAGCGGGAATAGACACTTAGCTCAATCAAACACCTCGTACATTTGGAGTGTCCTTCACAGCCAACGACAGATACTGTTCAGTACATGGGGTCAGTGGATCCAGGCAACCACTTTGAATTAGAAGGATATTTGCAGAATCGATGGGGTATTCTTTCCATCTGTCTTGAACATTGATGCCACCCCGACCAATTACTGGAAACCTAGGAATAAAACTTGTATTGAACCCCCTATGAGTAATGAGAGGGGGAAAGAACTGCATCTGTTGTTGAGACAAACATACGTGGCGCAGATAATCGCATCTACTGTGTGCTCGATTCCTTCATTGTCGATGAATCCCTTCGGTGTAATTCTCTGAAACATCTCTGTATATACGTAGACGTTGGGCTCAAGTAGCGCTTCAAGGTAACCATTTCCAGGCGTTGGTCTTCGACATCCGACGACAAATTTAGTTGGAACAATGGCATCGATAAGACGTCGGTCCCCATTCAAACGTTGGCGCATGTCTTTTTCCGCGAACTGCGTTGAGAATCATCTTCAACGACATGGAAAGACATGTACAAACGAATACCAAAATCTCACTTGAAGGGCTGCCTTTTGCTCCGGTGTTCCTTGTACAATGAACTTGAAACGCTCGTTGAGCTCAGACTAATCAAGGGCATAAAACTCCCTACACCAGAAGAAACAAGATGGAGCTCTTACCTCAATCATTTTCCGATACTTGAGCGCATGTTGAGGGTCTTCTGCGTATTTTCTTTTCTGATCCTCGGTGTCTGCGTTGCGCACTATATCTCAGTTTGTCGAGCTGGATAAGTTTGCTTCCAAGCCACGCACAGCGAAAATTCTTTCCTCCTGGCCCTGCAAACTGTTGAGCAAATCCGGGGGTAATCCATGTTGGGGATCGTATCCAATGGAATAATTTCTTCACTTCGGGCTGTATGGTAGCCAAAACTTGAATCCCAGATGAACCAGACCCAATTACTGCTACTGATCTGTCTTTATAATCGAAGTCTGCAGGCCAGCGAGCAGTATGGCATAAAGTGCCTTGGAAATCACATAATCCTGGCCTTAGTTAGCAAAGAATTAGGTCAAGGCAAACGATTGTCGGGGTTTACCTTCAATATCAGGCCATTTCCAATTGTTCAGTACACCTGTTTTGTGAGTTCACGACGTGGTAGTCAGAGGTAGTGAACGATTATCAAACCTCCTGCATTAATGAGCACGTTGCATTCGTCCAGGAGACAATTTCCATCAGGATCTTTGATAGTCAATTTCCAGCGGTTGATATTCTCAGCCCATTCAGCTCTAACAACCTCATGGGAGAGGCGCATGTATTTCCTCAAACCGAACCTGGAAGTTTTTAGGAAGCAGGGAAAACTGGACCTCAATTAGGCTACGCACTTCTCAACGAGATCCTTGTAATATTTGTGAATTTCTACTGCAGTAGAATAGTATTCAGACCACTTTGGGTTCGGACACCAAGACATCTACAAGAACGTAAGTCAAGTCAGTCAAGTCAGAGTTCAAGGATAGTATACTTGATAATTGACTGAAGGGATATCGCATCTGCATCCGGGATATCTATAGAGAGCAAGTCAGATCTTTGTTACAAGTGTCGAGGTTGAAGGAAACATGATAAGTCCTGGTTCCAAAACCATGTTCCTCCGACGTCTTTTCCCATTTCATATATAGTTAGTTCGACTTGTTCGCCATATTGTTGGATGTCATGAGCAAGGGAGATGCCAGATATACCAGCCCCGATAGCGACAACCTTGATGGGATGGATCTATGAAGATTCACGGGCTAATTGAGGGTGTGATAACTACGCGTCGGTAAACGCACTGTTCCGAACCGCTGAACAGGGATTCGATATCCTCTCTCATTTTCTGAAGGCCACTGTTGGATTTCCAGCTCACTCATGGTGGAAAGATAAGAAGCCAGAACGGCACTTAAGTCGGAGAAATACGTCACCCTGTCGCACTCCAGCTAACCTACGTTACCGGTAGTTGTCCCAGTACGGTAGGTACGAGTAGCAACCACCCCAAGGCCCGAATTACCTTCGTGAATGTAAACCTTGTATGAATCACTCTAGATATGTAAGCGAAAAGGGAACACATTTGTAATTGTAACTGGTGCCATTGGTGAGTGTAATACATGTGTCAGTATCCAGTGTGTTGATGCTATAAAATGTCATAAGTGGGGCAGAATAAAAGTCTCAAGCAACTATTAACATATTGAACGCAGGATAGGTGTCGTGAAAAGGCCAAGCTTGTAATGAAGAGAGCATGATAACCAGATAGAATGAAGACCCCACTAAGGACCATATGTAGGGTAACGACGCGGAATAAGTCTGACAGGAGCCATTCGACTTGAGGACTCTGAAGAAGGTGGTGCACTCGCTTTGCGACCAAAACGTGCAATCCCGGAGGGAGCAGGTAATTTTGATACAGGCGGTGGAATTCCACTAACAACTGCCGGCCTCGAGATTCCTGATGCCACCGCAGAAGCCCTGCCATGCACGGTAGCCAGAGTAGGAACAGGGATTTTAGGACGGGCGAAGGTGCCAGGTCCCGAAGCTGGTTTGGTTGGTTTGCCGGATTCAGGTAAAAGTACTCTTCTAGGCCCTGACACGGAACTGGCCTTGGAAAGAGAAGGCTTGAGCATAGCTTTGGCCGTCGTGGATGCAGAGCTTTCTGCGATAATCGCGCGCGTGAGTCCTTCATGTCTGGAGGCAGTTTTCGAGGGAGGCGGGCCCTGGGCCTCCAATGGAGCAGTCATTAAAGGAGGAGATGGCATCTTTCCTCCAGGAGCGTTGTTAACGGTGCCGGATACCAAAGAAGTTGATGAAGTTGATGAGGAAGTCCTTTCATCGTCGTAACGTTTAGTTCGTTTAATCACCCGCAGAGCAGGGACTGTTGGCGCAACGGTTCGTTGAACGGCCGGGGTAATCATAGAGTTCGCCTGGTTAAGGAGCGGTCCGAAAACAAGAGGGGAAGGTAGAGGGGACGTGCTACTTTCAAAAGGTGAAGCTATGAAACATTATGAGCTGATAGACGTGACGACACGCAAATAACATACACAAGGTTAATGGTGATGTTGACGAACCACGTTGTTCAGGTTGCGCGTTCTGAGTCACGTTTGTGTTCTGCGTGATGGTAGCTGGAGACGGCATCAGTTGGATGAAATGGAACATGATTAATTGTACATACTGTCTTCGTTCTTGCACTCGGTCGATTGCGAAGTGTTGGAAGCTGTAAAGAATATGAATTACCTTTGGAAGGTGTCAACAAGAGGGAATAAGTACGCACTGTCGGCATCAAAGCGTTCGGGGTCACTATCATCATCCAGCTCATTTAGAAACGAGCTCATACCCTTGCCCTGAGCATCAAAAAAGGAGATACGGTCGTTGAGTAGGTCAAAGCTCGTCTCGGATTGCAGCTGAAGATTGAATGAAGAATGAAGATCGAGAGAAATGCGGTTCGACGCTCGCGAAACAGGTGTACTTGCAGGCGAAGGTGGAGCAAGAAGGGATACTGTGGCAGCCTCCGAGGCATCCTGAAGTGACGAAGTGGAGGTCTGCAAGTTAAAAGGTGCAGGTGTGGCTAGGATATCGTTTTCAGCATCAGAGTTGTCGACCGTGATGCGAGGCGGTATAATGTGGCGATGAATATGACCAAAGGTTTTGCCTGCCAGATTGACGGAATCGACGAGAGAAGTCAAGGCAGATATGGAGTCGCCAGGCAGCTGAGTCGGAGACTCCATGGCTTTCTTGTGTACAACATTCTGTCTGGGCTTGCGCTCAAGTGAGATCTCGGCTAGCGGAGAGCGTAAGGTGTTTTGAGGTAGCCGTACAGTGTCGGAACGCTTGGGGGTGTCCAAAGAAAAGAAGGCATTCTCGCCGTTATCACCTGACTCTTCTGTTTCCTCCTCTTCGTCGACGGTGTCTGCAATCGTGACGTCGCCGATATCCACCAGACGTTTAGTGAGAGCTGCTGGCTGAGCATATTCGCGTTTATAAGTGTGACTAAAAAACGCTGTCATGTTGAGTTCATTCAGCTCTGGCACTGAATTCTCTTTGTCTGGGTCCGACTCATCCTCAGAGTCAGAGACATAGTCAGGTCGAGTCTCAGAAAGAAGAGGGTCGAACTGGGCCAGGACACTGGGGCGAGGACGGTTCATGATGATGAAGGGGACAAGTATTACTTCAAGAAGTAGCGGGAGTGGGAAATTCTGCTCACGTTATCGTACACTTCTTCTAGCCACGTGCATTAATAAGCGCTTGATATCCAGGACACCAACAACAATGGCATCAGGGGATGTCGCGTTAGTACGCGGGGAAGTCAAGGCATGGGAGCGTAGTTTCTACCAGGAGAACGGGAGAAACCCAACTGTAGATGATATACGCGCTAATCAACAAATTGGTGTGTTCTCTCGCGTCTTTCACCTGGCTGCCTCTGACTTTCAAGTAGCAAACAAATATAGACTGTATAAGAAGTTGTCTAAAGCAACCTCTTCGGTGAACCCTGACTCTAACCGTAGATCAAGCTCTACACGGCCGTCGACACCTCCGCGGAAGACTGAACCGTCTTCGTCTGTGATATCCAAATCACGGGCTCTCGAAACCACCTCTGCCTTGTCCACCTATAACCCTTTCTCTCCTCAAAAGAACAAAGAGAAACAGAAGGCACCTGTAGGCAATGTGTCACTGATTCTCTCCAATCCGTTTGCTACTCCTTCAAAAGTTAAACCAAAGGCTCGTGTACGAGAGCCGTCTCCCTCGCCTATTCATGAAACAATACCCGCACTGTCAACATTACGACCATCAGCATCAGAAACTCCTACTGGCATTGTGCGCGCGCGTAAGCGCTTGCGTGGTGAGCCTGTATCACCTTCCCCAAACAAAGACAAACGGCGTCGCATGCTATCTCGCACGAATATGTCCCGGCGAGGCAGTGGCTCTTCGAACGGCAGAGAAGATGATGAGGAAGCTGGCAATTCTTCTTTTGTCGCGGACTCGCCGGTCAAGGGCTCCAGTAGCAAGTCGTTCATGTCTCTTTTTGAAGACGCGTCTACCGATCCCAAGGTGAAAACCGCGTTGACGCGCACGAAATCTACCTCCGCCTCCGTGGGATTGTTTGGTCCATTACGTAGCCAATCGGTACCCTTCGAGGACGACTTCGAAAGTATTTTAGGTCCAGTTGAAGGGAAACTCAAATCTCGACTCAGAACGACTGCCAACGGCATACCTTTCTCAAGTGGATTAGTTCCCAAACCGAAGAAAGACGGATTATATTTGATGCAAGATCCTATCCCGCAGCCGTCTCATGCACACACAGTTGAAAAATACTCTATAAACGATCGAATATCAAGGAAACGACAGCCTGACTCAGAAAGCGATTCTGAACAGTTGAATCTGAACCCTTTGACCTCGGCGACAATTCTTATCCCTCCTTCCCCTCCAAGAGAAGCACCCCCTCAGAGATCAGTTGATGTGTCGTCTAACAAGGGAAAGGGGAAAGCATTTTCTCGCAAAAAGACCAAGCTCGACGATGGTGATGATATGGATAGCCTCAGTGTCAATGTCAAAGTCTTACCTATTGTATCCCGTCCCTCACGTGCGTCAGACGAGGATCGTGATTTGGATGCCGGTCCCGAATTCGATTCTGTGCACTGGTATAATCGTCGGGTCGAGCCTCCCCGAGTTGACAACGGAGAACATACCAGTAACACGTTTGAAGTCGATCTCCCTGAAAAGCTCAAACGTGTGTTAGCTTTTTCGTCATCCGACATAGAGATGCGTCATATTCAGGAAGAACAAGTCGTGGAGAGTTTGATATATGGACGACGTAGAGGTCATTACGAACCTTCCAAAGGAGGTGAGATCTGGGACGTTGGGGATACTAATGCCGTGGGTCTGCACGAAGAGGCTGGTGACATGAAAGCTATTGCTGATGAAGATTGGGAAGGGGAACCCGTTCCTTGGGAGGTTGGAGAACTGTAGAAACGATTCTAACTTGTGTATGCAAGCGGTCTCTTGACCTCCCGAAATTAGACCTTTCCGACTCCACCCGCCTGCACGACGTTTTTTACATGTGTGCCCTAGCAAGTGGCCTGCAGTCCTCACATTTGTGATTAGCATGTTGTTCAGATACGAGTATTCACATATCTGTTTACCACAGAGTTATTCCCAGCATCACTTCAGCGTATAATGATTGCATCCTCCATATGATGTCCTAACTAACTGCTATCGCCCTTGCCCATCGTGCTCACCTCACCATGAAAGCCAGGGGAATGACTAGGATAATACCGCCATTTAAGATTCGATCGAGTCTTTCTTTGGAACTGAATACGAGCTCCAGGTGCTTCCAGCCTGTGCGTCGCATTCTTGCGTGCCATGCACACGCCTACCGTGGGGTTTAAGTACTGCGTACGCCTCATCGAATCGGACATGACTTCTGGCTCGAACTCACGTCTCTCTAGTGTGCTTTCGAGTTTAATTCCCCTTCGTCGTCGCATTAGCCTACGGGAAAGTATACACAGCATCGCCAACAGCCTAGCTCCCAGTTACCAGGATAAAAGCCGGAGATCCTCATATCAGTCTTATTCAGTTTACAGCCAAATGAAGTCTCCTCTCATCCTTCGCGATCCGGACGTGACCCAAAAGCTTCTTGAAGCGATGATAGACACGCCCGGAGGCAAGCGCACAGTGTCGCGACTAGCGAGAACCTGTCGAGCAATATCAGAGCCTGCGCTAAATGTGCTATGGAGGGACTTGGACTCGCTCATTCCGATTATCGGTTTGTTTCCTGCGACACTATTGAAGAAGGTTCGGAAGCCTGGCCTCGGCTTGGTGAGTAAATTCGCCGAATAATCATTGTTTCTAGCATTGCTGACATCGTATTCTGCAGTCTAAAGAACCCGCCGAAGAAGATTGGACGAAGATCATGAGATATGGAGAGCGAGTGCGGAGTGTGCTCTACAACGAAACCGCAAACAATGTCTCACCTTCCATTTTCCCAATGTTGGCACAAAATCGGCCCAGAGAGTACATGCTGCCAAACTTATTGCATCTCACCTGGAAGGTAGAGACCCTAAGCGTACTAGACTACTGCGCCATGTTCTTGAATCCAACAATCGAGAGCTTGCAATTTGAGCTCGGTCCCACCCGCTTCCCTAACTTGAACAAAATCCTTGGTGATGCATGCAGTCGGTTGAACCTGACTAGCTTTTCTATCATTTCCCCTGCATCCCTCCCTGACACCTTCACTGTGATGCTTTCGTCACAAAAATCACTTCAGAAAGTGGCGCTCGTCGCTCCAGGTGCCCTGAGTTCTGGAGTAGGTCGGTGGATCGCGTTCTTGCCGGAGTTGAAAAGTCTGCAGCTTGACCTCTCTGCCAGAACCTTAACGGCGGTAGAAGGCTTTTTTGATGAGCTCCCTTCTCACTCAGGTGATTCTACCCCCAACTCTGTAGCCACCACTGACAGCGGGGTATTTTCCGGTGAAGAGTTAGATTTTTCGGAAATACGTTTGAAGTCGGCAATGCGAGATTCGAAAGCCGGATTTTCCAGCTTGCGACATATACACCTAACTGGTGACGTTGCAAATATTGCAGTATTCTTGAGACACTTTTCGATCCCTTTGACGCAGCTAGACCTTGTCATTGAAGACCCTCCAGACAATGCAGAGTGGATGGAACTTTCATATCTTATATCTGAGAGGTTCGGATCTTCTCTCCACTCGTTGCGCATCTCTGCGACTGCGACATCAAAGTTCAATGACCTAGTACGCTCAACATCGAGAGGAGAGCCTACTGTCAGCCGACTTGCCTTTGACAATCTTCAGCCCCTTCCTGCGCTCCGCCGTCTTGATATTGATCTTCCAGAATCTATCAACTTCATCGGGGATGACATCGAGGCTTTGGCGCACGCTTGCCCCAATCTAGAAGAGCTGAAACTGTGTCCTCTCGCGCGGTTCCCTGTACAATCAGGGCCCCCGAAATTGACTCTAGAGCAGCTAGCACCGTTAGTGGAGCACTGTCGACGGCTTCACTCTCTCTCAGTCCCTGTGAATGCGCGGAGAGCCGGCGCCTCTGTGTTAGATTCTCAATCAAATTCGTCTGACACTATCCGTCGTCTGCACGTAGGCCACTCATGGATCAATGATTCGCTACATGTGTCCATCCTGCTGAGTCATCTAGCACCATACTTGGACAACCTGAAATGGTTTCATGACAAAAATCGGCCGGGCTTCATTGAGTCGAACGCTCGAGGCTGGGAAAAAGTAGCCGATACGCTGCCACACCTCCAAGGTATTCGGCTCACCGAAAGAAAAGCTATGATAGGACCATTGCCCAGCCTTAACATTATAACCACGCCTCCGCTTCCGCAGCCTGTACCAGTTGACACGGTAGAAAAGGGCGTCATGGCCTCAGTCTCCCTGGTTCATGAAGGCGTTCTAGCGAGGCCGCTCATGACTAGTAGGAGACCGAGCATGGTGGACGAGTCGGTGGAAGTGCACCCAGAACTTGCATCTGTGTCCATCGATGCAACTCCTAGAACTACAGAAATCGCGGTAGAAGCCGTCGTCGCAGTCTCAGACGAATTCGTGGAAGCACTTCCTGAGACAGTCACTGCATCAGTGGATGCCAGGCCGCCGAGCGTTTCGAAGTCGGTTGAAGCTATGATATTGAACCCTCTGGAAGGAAAAAAATCCATCTTCCATTCATCATCTCATCCTTTGCTTTTCCCTGTTTTCAGCTTGATTTCCTTCACATACCGAGTTCTTTTTGCATACCCTATTTCCATTCCGATTCGCATGCTCCATGTTATTTTTGACAATATGCCTACAATAATTCGACGACCGCCTGCCTCAACGAACAGTGATATTTCCATGGACAGTCTTCAAGTCCGTCAATCATAATTTACATGTCGTGATTACTTACTTACTTACTTATGCCATATTGTGCTGGTAACATATATCTTAGGACACTGAAAACTACATTGCTATTAACCCTTGTACAAAGTCAGAAAACAACGCGGAAGAACAGTTCGATGGTATGCCGCCGGCATATGAGGATGATTGGTTACGGCATCTCTTTGAGGTCAAATTCGCGACGCGTCATCCTACCCATTCAGTGCTTGCCTCCTCCACTATGTCCGATAACAAGAAACAGGAAAAAGATTTCACTTCTGAAGTTGACGCTCTTCTGCCTGAAACCGCGTCATTGGCGAAGGTAGTTCGTACCCTTTCAGAATTCTTCGTGCGAGTTGATGATTCTTCCAGGCAGGAAAGTTACAAGAAGCACTTGACAAACTAGCCGTCCTCGAAAAGCAAACGCGAAATGTAAGCTTTGAGCTAATAACTGGCGGTCCACTGACATAAATATCAGGCTGCCGATCCAAAATCGACCACCACCCTCGTCAAAACCATTACAGAATATTGCTACAATGCTCGCGATTTTGACTCTCTGAATTCGAACATAAGTATCTTGAGCAAGAAACACGGCCAGCTTAAGTCCGTCATACAGGCCATGGTCGAACAAGCGATGGGATGGCTAGAGGATATACGGAAGAAGGAGGGTGACAAGCAATGGTTGCAGCTAGTAGAGACGCTAAGAGAGGTTACAGAAGGAAAGGTATCAACAAATTTCTACTATTCTCGCATTCATTGACTGATTGGTCTATCTTAGATCTTCTTGGAGACACCACGAGCACGCGTTACTCTCTTGCTCTCGCGATATCATGAAGATCTTTACAGTAAAAGCGCATCTGCAGAAGAAAAGCGGAAATCTCTGGAAACCTCTTCCGAGCTTTTATCAGATCTTCAAGTTGAAACTTATTCGTCAATGGAACGCCGAGAGAAAACAGAATTTATCCTCGAACAGATGCGACTACTCATTGCCGTAGCACGACAAAAGGATGACACTGCCAAAGCCGAAGGAAAGGATTCTCTGGCTGGAGGTGACGCCGAATGGGTAAAAGCCAGGGTGGGAGGCAGAAAGGTTAACGAAAGCTTTCTCAAGGAAGCAGAGAACGAAGTACATATTTCGCGCTTTTCATGCCCTTCGTCGACACTGATAAAAGTAATATACAGGACCTTAAATTGAAATTCTACGACCTGATGATACAGCATGCCCTGCACCAATCATCTTACTTGGATGTTGCGAAATACTATCATAAAGTATGGGAAACTCCTTCTATCAAGGACGACGTGAATGACAAGGGAAAAGCCGCAAGTATAATCAACTTTTTTCAAATGTCCAACGATTCACACTTGTAACTTTCAGGCTCTTGAGCATATTGTGTACTATATCGTCCTGTCGCCACACGACAATGAGCAGTCCGACATGTTGAATCGGATTTACGTCAATCCTGCGTTGGAAAAGTTGCAGCTCCATTAGTGAGTTGAGCAAGTCCAATTAAATGATGTGATGCGAATGACCTTTTCAGCAACCTGGTTAAATGTTTTGTGACGCGCGAGCTAATGAGATGGCCGGGAATCATAGAGCTGTACGGAGAATTTTTGCGGGCGACTCCAGTCTTCTCAATCGAGAAACGATGGGAGGATCTGCACACTCGAGTCATCGAACACGTATGTGCACTCAAACCTTGATTCGCGACTTGAGACTTACACCTTTTTTTTTTCCAATTTCTCCTGACAGAATGTTCGCGTCGTTGCAGCCTACTACACACGCATCACTCTTTCTAGACTAACTTCACTCCTTGATTTGGATCGCAAGCAAACAGAAGAAACGATAGCAAGGCTAGTGGTTGGCAAAACCATATGGGCACGTATCGACCGGCCTGCTGAAGTAGTGACGTTCCGGAGTCAAAGGAGTGCTGAAGATGTGATGAACGACTGGAGCTCGGATATGCAAAAGTTACTAGGTCTCGTCGAAAAGACATGGATGGGTATGAACGCCGCACAAGCTGCACAATCACGAATAAAAGCATCATAATCACTCCATGTACACATTTCATCCTTCTAATCATCATATCTGTTTTGTAGAAGCATGTGTATATTGTTGAGATTAGATGATAAACTTATCTAGGCACCACAGCAGGTTTTGTTCTTAACCCAAACGTATCCACGTTCTTTTCTGGATCTTCTAGTACAGCCGGCTTGACTGGTTCAGTCAAAGCAGGTGCATATCGTGGAGTAATGCCCTCCTTCCATAGCCTGACGTACTCCTGACCCTTTGACCATTCCCTATCCTCGGTATGCTCCAAAGCGATAGACCGCCAACGCTTTCTGGCAGCCATTGCCCCCTCGTCTAGCTCCGACTGTCTCTCCCAGGAAGCCAGACTCTTGATCTCTTTCTGGAAACCATGTGCGATTTCTGAGTTTTGCCAGACGGCACCCAGGTTGTCTGCCTCATGAATAGCCATGGTCATAGCAATATGACGCTCTGAGCGGAGCGCGCGAAACTGAGCGATGGCGCGAGCATAAGCATATGACAGTGGTATATTATGATGTTGGTGAAGATTCAACGTGAATTGTATCGCACTATGAATGGCAATGACGTTAAAGCCTGAAGGACCGGTTGTAAAAACGTCTACGTACTCATCTGGAGATGGATTTCTTCCTCTTTGTCTCAGCCTAGTCCACTCAGTGCCGGTGACAGGATGATCTGCCTCTATACCCTGTCCTTCCGCAAGTGTCACCGGTCGAAAAACTTCGAATGGGTGGTCCCTGAAAAACTGTCTGCGAATGTCGTCTTCTAGATAGTAAACGGGAAAAGGCTTGGGACCATAGGGTTTTGCCTTAGGTTTTGACCTAGCTGAAGTGGTCTGTTGCTTTAAATCGAAAGCAACGCGATTTGGAGGGGCTTTGGGAGGAAGAGGGAGTGGTGGGTTGTCGAGGACGGCAGCATACCATGCAGGCTCTTTGACCACTTCGCCGCGCATTAACCGTGAAACCTGCTGGTGTACCTGTGATGCTAGACGGCGCACCATGTCAACTGCGAAGAACGGAAGCGACGTAAATTTGAAAGAATTATCAGAGTTCACACACCTGCCCCCGGGCGGGCCGCGGCGGGGATAAGTTCTTTATGATGGACGACGACGACGCTGAGCTCAGAAATCCTTTCCCTTCTCCTCCATCTCACTATACAAAGTACACTTCACATAATCTACACCTTCTCAATCTGCTCAAAGAGCGCGTGCCGGATACCGACCTTGCCTTCAACCAACATGAAATTCTCAAAGATCAGACGGATGTTCCCGATTGGTCTTTAACCCAGCTCGAGAAACCACGCGTGGATTGGATTCTCAAAGGGGACGAGCCGTACTACGATGTGTTCGGTGATAGGTGGTTTGTAAGAACTTTGCCTTTACGCGCCATGTTACTTGTTCTCAGACTGCTTGAAAGGTCAAAGACAAGATACCATCTCTAGCAGAGTTAGGTGGACAACAATTGTATCCAGAAGACCCTAACGTTGGTACGCTGCTACTGTCTCTCCAAATTCTGAACTTGTGCCAAACTGCGATCCTCTCAAGACAGACGGCCCGCGCTTCAAACAATCCTTCGTTCTATGCTTGTCACGTATTCGAATTTGACCGGTGCTTTGCTCGCTCCGCCTCCTACTCAATCTTCATCTATGCCCCCGGAATGGCAGAAACACGTAGAATGGATCACTATTCTTGGTCAGAATCTCATGGCTGCTGCAAACGATTTACGGCCAGTCCAAGTATAAGCTTCTTCTCTTTGACGAGCCATTCATTGTACCGACCGAACAACAGGCCAGAGGAAATTTGGAGATGATGATGAAGCGTCAGCTTGAGCTTCGTAAAGACGAAACCAGGGTCATTCACACGCAAGTGCATTGTTCGTGGTACAAATTATCATCCTCAACCGTTTGGTTCAGGAAATGCAACGCATTGGAAGCAAGACTTCTTGAGTTGCGCGCCTCTGCAGAGGACCTAAAACAAAGCACCTCTCCGGTCCGTCCTGATTTCCTACCCTTTTCTCGATCTACATATGTTTACAGGAGGTCGGTATCACAAATCCTTCTCTGGTGAGTTTAAGGAGCTGGGAAATAACCAACGGGGACGGTGTCTGATCACTACTTTTTCCAGTCATCCGAGAAATTTGCACCTCTCAGCCAAGACGATCTTCTACGATGGGCGGAAGAAGCCAGCTGACGCAACTTTCGGACAGTGTTGTCTTACTTGACCCCCAGAAAATACCCTGTATGTATTGCGCGTATGATACGCATAGTACTATCCACTGGGGCCTCCGGTTCAATTGTTCCTTCAGGTTTGTGGTTCAGCTCCACCTAGAGCTACATCGGGGATCTCTTCAGAACATCCATTTGCAGAAAGCTGTTGTATAGATATAATTGCTCATGATGTCTCCTGTCTGCGCCTTTGTAACAAATAGCTCTCGAAAGATATATGTACAGAGATTATAATGGTCCCGAGAGTGCTGAAGATAACATGTATGCGGGAATTGGGCGCCTAAACTGTTGAGTCTTCTTTCACTGCGAGTATGGCGACACGAAGAAGGGTTGGTGTCAGTAATGCGACTACGGAGGCTGCGCGCAGGCAACTCATGCAGCCAGTCGTCTGCTGGGAAAAAGTCTGGTCAACTCCGGAAAATGCCCCAACCGGTTCTTCACTGAAGGTTTTCAAATGGGTCAAGACAGATCGGATTCCAGTGAGCCACGGCCATACCCTATCACGACAACTTAATCTTACCATGTTTCATAGCACTTTGAAGACGAAAACGAAGTAAATGCACCGCTCGCGCCTTTGCCAGACGAACCGGAAGTTGTGGAAGTTGAAGAAGAAGAAGAAACACAGCCAGTTGCGGAAGAGAAGACGCAAGCAGAAGTAGCAGAAACGTCAGAAGTGATCCAAGAACCCGAGGAATCCAAACCCCCATCTCCGAAACCACAGCTTACTATGTCAATGGAGGATACAGTTGACACCGACAGCGGATTAGACGTCTCACTCAATCCTTTGGACACTAGTGGGGTGGGCGGAGAAAATATGACTACGGAAAGCAGTATGGACTTGGACCTATCAGGTTTGGGGCCTGATGGTCTTGCTCTCACCGACGTGCAAGATCTCTCTCAGATAGAAGGCGAAGATAGTTTAATGGGTGGACCCAATATGGATAGCACCATGGATCCTTTCGCAGCTGAATCTACCGTCACGATGGACGAGAAATAAACACATGGGCCGCAACAGACCGTTTCTCAACCAGGTATTCAGAAAAACACATTTGAAATTAAAACATCTTTGATATTTCGACTCAGGAACTGTCTCTCCCCACATAAAATCTGTCTTCGCAGCTGCAGCTACAAAATTGTCAGCTTCGAGCCTTCTCACAACGAATGCACCCACAAGACAGAGTTTTGACTTCATCATTTGCTCTTTGGGGGGTTTCCGCAGGAACAATCCGGATAACCACAACCTTCAGCAGGTTTAGTGGTGCAGGTCTGAGGTGTTGCAGGCTGGATACAAAGAAGTTAGTTGGGTATTGATGACCATTCGTTGCATACCATATTTTATCTGTTTCCCAGTGGCGAATTGTTTCAGGTTCCCATACTCTCGTGCTCGCTTTTATAATGCGCAAACAGTATCTCAGGCTTGAAGGTTCTGGAAGAATTCCAGACTTCGAACAGATCTTGCGCTACGATTACAATCTTTCCAATCGCAAACATACATCATATCTATTCTAAGCTACGTGCAACCCAGACTGCATTCTCCATAACTGGAATTTTTGTAACATGGCAGGTGTGATCTGTCGTTGCATCGATTTTGCAGCGGCAATGAATGCCGCTTGAGGAACCTGAAACCCAGCGTTTTTGAGCACGAGAGAGAACTTGGAAAACATACACCACTTACGAAAGGTGCGTTAATATCCTTCTGCATCGTAAGGAGCGCGGCTTCTTGACAGAGGGCGGAAATTTCCGCTCCGGAACAGCCTTCCGTCTGTACCACCACCGTTAGGGGATCTTTGCAAACATGGTATTTTTTCACATACCAATGTCGCTATCTGAGAAATGTCCAGATTGTCTTCCACTTTCATATGTTTTGTTCTTATCCTCATGATCTCTTCTCTGCCATTTTGATCTGGAGGACCGACGTATAGAATACGATCCAAACGACCAGGCCGCATCAAAGCTGAGTCCTGACAACGATCGTGAGTGCACGTCTTTTTCCTATTGAAGGAAGGATTTTACGATTGATTCAGGTCTATTCGTGGCGGCCAGTATAGTGACCCCTACAAGCTCTTGCACGCCATCTATTTCGTTCAAAAGACTGGTCAATACACCTTCATGCGAAGAGCCCGCATTCGTATTAGATGACATTCTAGATGTAGCTAGAGCATCTATCTCATCCTATATATATATCCGAGTATTAGTGGAATCCCCCTGCTGAAACAGAACCAAAACTTACAAAGAATATGATTGATGGAGAAGCAGCTCTAGCTTTCCTGAAAATCTCGCGGACCGCTCGTTCAGACTCTCCGACGAATTTATTCAGCAGCTACGGACAAATGATTGAGCAAACTGAACTCAACCAACAAATATGGAACACAGGTTACGCACTTCGGGCCCTTTGACTGCCACAAAGTTTATGCCGCTTTCACAAGCACAAGCCCTAGCCAATACGGTTTTACTACATCCTGGTGGTCCATATAGCAAGATCCCTTTCGGAGGTTTGACTCCCAAGCGCTGAAATGCCTCAGGATGCAGAAGAGGCCATTCGACAGTCTCGCGAAGCTTTGTGATGACATGGGACTGACCACCGACATCAGAGTAACGAACGGGAGGCGTCTCCACGAAAAGAGAACGCATCGCGGAGGGGCGGATAGTTGGGAGCGATGTCATGATATCAGAAAGTGTGACCAATGGCATTTCTTGTTTCTTTTCTGGATTTCCCGATGTAGATGATAGCCAACGCTTGATGGACAATGTCCCCGCTTCTCGAACCACTGCCGCGAGATCAGCACCGACATATCCATGCGCCTTGGAGGCAACAGCGCGCAGGTCTTCCGAAGTAATATCATGAGGTGTTTTCAAGAGTAAAGTCTTGAGAATGGATAGTCGTGCATCCGCGTCAGGTACTCCTGAAGGAGAATTCTTCATTCGATATTCACTATAAAAATATTAATGTAAACTTGCCTATCTCAATTTCTCGGTCGAACCTCCCGGGACGTCGAAGAGCTGGATCTATCGCGTTTGGCCGGTTGGTAGTTCCAATAACAACGACTCTACTATCGTCCTCATTATCATCTTCCATACCGTCTAGTATCGTAAGCAAAGTAGCAACTACCCGCTTTTCGACCTCACCCCCTCCTTCTTCTCGTTGCGGAACCAGGGCATCTACTTCGTCTAAAACTACTATGCAAGGGCTTTTATCTCTGGCCTCCTTGAATACATCCCGAAGCTTGGATTCCGTTTCACCGTGGTAGGCAGATGATAGTTCAGGACCATTGACAACAATGACTGACGACATTGTCGACCCAGCGATGGCGCGCGCGAGATGGGTTTTGCCTGTCCCCGGAGGACCATGCAGGAGTATTCCACGAGGAGGCTTCAAGTCTGATTCAATTTGAGTGTGGATCTCGATTGTTTGGCAATAGACACGTACTGAAATAGCGGAACAGATCAGGGCGAGTAAGGGGAATCTCTAGTAAATCTTTGATTTCAGAAATTTGCTTGTCCAAACCTCCGACACTGGCGTAAGCATCATCTTCAGACTGTTTCTCTAAAATTTCTATGTCAGGCTAAGCAAACTTCAGTAAACTGAGAAACATGAGCTATCCATATACCATACCTTTTGCGGTAGGCCTGTATCAGTGTGATCATTCTCTGTAATAGTTACCACCGTGTCCCAGCTCACAGTCCAGATACAGGGCTGTGATTTCCATCCGAGTGCTCCAAAACGCTCGGATACTTCGTCAATGTCTGTTTTTAGAGGGCTGGTAGGAGTGTTTGTAGTAGCGACTGATATGACACAATATCGACGAGGCCTCCCCTCGTACATCACCTCCAAAGTTTGGGTCGATGTGAGATACTTGATATCCACTAGCAACGTCAGGATCGAATGAGACTAATCCTGAACCAAATAACGGATAGGGCACACCTAGGGATTCACGAAGTAACAAAGGTAGCCAATCCTTCTCTTTCTCGTGGGATTTCTTCATCGAGCTCGTCGACGCTTTGTTCGGAATGGGAACTTCCTTCAGCCTAATGATGCCTGCATCCTTGCTTTGCTTGATCGTTGGAAGTTTTACAGGGGGTTTAGATGTCGTAGGACCAGTAAGAGGGAATATAGATGCCTGTTGCCCGGATTCCAGTTGTGCTGTGAGAAGAAGAGCGATGGAGAGTACGATTGCTTTCGGTTCCCTATCGATCAATTTGATGTTATCAGCAAGAGTAAAAGAACTGACCTACAGCTTGGTGGTTGTTCGAGCGAAGGCCATACGATGCCGACAGCAAAAGCCTGAACTAATGTTGCAGAGATCTCGATAACTGAACGTCTTCATTTACATACCTTTAGCGGTTCCTCTGATTTGAAAACGGCCACAACATCACCAGTTGTCAATTTGAGGTTTTTGAGAGTATCTGCATTGAGAATGACGCGTCGTGAGGTTCGGAAAGTCGAGGAAGAACTCTGTTCAGTGACAGAAACTGTGAACCTGGAGAGAGACATCACCGCAAGTGATTTTAGCGCCGGACGGCGAGCGCTCATAACTTTATTTAGTACCACCTCCATCTTCATCATGCGATGTTGAGGACCGGTCTTTTCCTGATTTTCCTATTGCTCAGCTCTGTCTTTTGCCTGGAGGATTCGACCGAGGAATTTGAAGAGCATTTGTCGATCAAATCGCTGAAAGACGGACGTGTAGCGTTCAGTTTCACATTTAAAACTTTACTACGGGATGCTATACCGAGAGATCCTCGGACGCTCGCATTTGACAATGATGATTGTATGTTAGCTACTTCTATCCCTGTATACTCCTCGTTAACACAGAAGAAGCACAACATTACACACTCTTTCCTCTGACTTTGGGGCAAATACTTCGCCAATACGCAATTACCGAGCTACATCTCACCCTCAATGCCGGAAAGTGGAACTATGACGCTTGGGGGTATCCTGATGAACCAGATGTAGGAGTCGGCGCTGAATTGCGGGCGTGGATGGCCGGTGATTCTATCTCCAGGTGAGGCACTTGAGGTTTCGTCGAATGCTGACGAGTCAATAACCCTACCGTACTATAGTATCGATGACCGCTGGCAGGGTGTTCGCAATGCACTGGCCGGTCTCTTCTGTGCCTCTTTGGGCTCCCTTGATGAACAAAGGACTACTTCTCCGCGTTCGACGTTTCCACCAGAAGGAGCTCTTCCGGATTGGGGTCTGCCACACGAGTTGAGGCATGCTTCGCACGCGTCTGAACACGTCTGTACAGAAAACCTCACGCCATTCCTCAAGCTTCTACCCTGTAAATCGCGCTCAGGACTCGCGATGCTGCTTAACCCACATCGGATATTCGACGCAGATTGGCACGGTATAGGTCTTCATGTCATTTGGCGTCCGGAGGGCGTCGAAGTTCGGCTCAGTGTTCAGCTGGTTTCTGACCCTCTGCGAGTATCAGGACAAAAGAAACAAGGTGCATCCAAAGCTCATACAGTTATATTCTGGTTTTTGATCCTGCTGTGTCAGACTGGTCTTTCAGTTCTCTATTTGACCGCAAGGTTGAGAAGGCGTGTCCTGTCGCCAAGTCTAGTCGTGTCTCCGTGGAACTCCCAAGCTCCGGCGTCTATAGAGTCTATCCTGAACCTCCGCAAGTCAAAGACGGAATAGCATACTATGATTTGAAAAACGGTGCGTGTCTTCCTGCGCCTTGGCCGGGCTGATTGCTCATCGCATCTCCAGCCAATGAAGTGTGTGACATAGGGACAATGTGGCCTACCGATTTCGAATACCGTACGCGATACATCATTATTTGTTACAACTTCCTGAGGAATTACTCATCTAGCGTTATCTAAACCAAACCCGGCTCTCGTTCCGTTCTCGGTCAGACGCAATCTGCTCGGGTCGACTCAAGATAGAGGGCAACTTTCAATCGTACTGACCAACAATGAACAAGATGTGTTGCAGCTGCTTTACCTGGAAACCATGCCATGGATCATACAATTCTATTTGCACACCATTCGTGTTCATGCTGACGACGCTTTAAGAGGTAAGAAGCCTTCCATCTACGATCTGGTCTATACTTATCTTCCGCCCTAGACGATCTCATTTCAAATATATCATACATTCTGCCAATTCCCCATGCTCGCCCCGCCACTTTCGAATCCGTTCTGACATTACCGGGACGGAGCACTGTAACGTTCACCATGGACGTTGCCAAAGCCTTTCTGCGGTATACAGAACATCCACCTGATGCTCAACGTGGTTGGGACCTTCCCCCTGCGATCTTCACTCCTCTGCGACAATCTTCTCACAATTCTACCAACCTCGGTAAAAGGGTGTATTCCCCCTCCTTGCTCGTCGACTTGGCCACTCCCGATTTTAGCATGCCATACAATGTGATCATCTTCACTTGTTCTGTGGTGGCGTTCATCTTTGGGAGCGTGTTCAATGTGCTGACGAGGAAATTTATCGTCGTTCGTCTGGAGCCTCAGAAACGATCTGAGAGTTCGCCGAGCAAAAACCTAGATTCTGATGAATCGGGAAAACCCGACACGAGCAAATCGAATGTTCACTGATTGTTCAAAGTTTGTGTAATACATAGTACTACACAGTGGATATATACATTGTTGCGTAGTACTTGATACTAGTGGATATACAGCTGTGATGAATATGCAAACAAGCAATTATAGCGAATTAGCGACATAGCAAGGTTGTAATGACGAGGATAACGACGAGGATATGTAGTACAAGCCAGCTCAACTTCCTGTCATTTATACGTACTCGAACTCGGATCCAAGGGGAACGAGGGCACAGGATAGTCATCCCAAACGCGGTCTCCATCCAGGAATCTTCGTAGGCGCGAAACCTGCGACGATAAATACAACATTATGATCTGCATCTCGATATTAAGGTGCAGCTTCAAGATCTCTTCACAGGTTTTCAACGCCTGTGTACGGGTGGAAACAAACATGTTTCCAGCAAATCCGAGCTCTTTGAGGTTATCGATGAGTTCACCAAATTCTGCACACCATGCTAATACACCCAGCTATCAGAGACAGAGATAAAATCAGTGAAGAAAGAATTTGACGCGACTTGTGGCGTACCTGGCCGTACTGTTTGTACCGTGCGTACAATACGTTGGGCGCTGCACTAAGAGCGAACTCGAACGCCTCATTCTGGTCAATAACTGCACTATCAGGCACATATGGTGTTCCTATTGGTTCGGCAGGTTGATGATGAGGACGCTGAGTCGAAGGGAAAAAGTTAGCAGGATAAACAAGAATTAGACAGGCCACACGCACCAAATGTTCGGGAGGTGCTTCCTTGAACCATTCCATATTCTCATAATCTGTCTCTCCGCCAAAATCGACGACATCGTTACGTTTGCCAGCATAGTCCATCTTATTATGGTTGGCAATAGAAAGACCGGCTTCGATGAAAAGAGTCGAAAGGAAATTCGAGAAACCACGTGGGAGATCCGGTTCTGTAGGTCCAAGAGTAGGGACAAATATATCTCTTGTAGGAGGAGGAGAATCTGAGACGAGGGTAGGCTTTGAATCCGGAGAGTCAAATGAGTCGGTATCAGATTCGAAAGACTCGAGCTGCGCGAAGGAAGCACGTGAGGCGAACTGGATGTATGAAGGAGTCGGAGAACGTGGTATCGCAAGGGGAGAAGGAATTCCCGCAGTGGGAGTAGAAACAGAGAGAAAAGGTGTTGAGGGCTTGAGGAGAAGAGCTTCAGGCTAACTGCAAGTCAGACTCGAGGCATCGAAGCGATTTTAAATATCAAGTTGCTTACCTTATACACCGGATCATTCCGTTCTTCTCTCCGCGCATTGATGATCGATACGAATGACTGGCGAATGTCTGCCACCTCGGGATATTCCAGCCAGTCTACTGCTTCCAGAGGCGATAGAAGGGGACTATCAGAGCAGCTGGACACTAGAATCCGAGGAGGAATCGGCAACGGAGACGGAGATGAAGGTGTTGCTATATCTTCCGAACTTGCCAAAATCACTGTTGGAGGTTCTGGTCTAGGCTCAGGCTGCACGTTTCTGCTCAACCACGAGGGAGATGGAGGTATGAACGAATTCCTGTTTGACATAGATAGCTCTGCACTAAGGAGTGACGAAGGAGAGGCAGTAAGTTGAAGAGGGTCAACCACTTGGTAGGTCTTTTGCTCTTCGACTGGTGGATCAGGAGGAGTCCTGGTCGGACGAGGAGGACGGACAATGATGGTTGTACTCTCGGCTACCACAGTAGGTCCAGCCTTTGTCGAGGTATGGCGTCCAAGACGGGTCAAGGCTCTGGTAAGAGATTTGAAGGGGCCATTGCTTTCTCGGCTACTAGACCTTTCTCTCGGTATCTCTGTTACTGGAAGAGACTTCGAAAGATGTTCTTCCTCAATCAGCGGCCTTGGTAAAAGCGGCCACGTATATCCTGCTGGGGTCATGGGCGTCACTGGAATATGTGATGGCGGTTGAGGAAATTCATCCAGAATCGAACTGGTCTCTGACTTGTTAAAGAAGGGAAGGTGAACTCGCTCCTTGTGTTGAATGGACTTGGGCCTCCGAAGAGAAACAGAAATTCGAGAGAGATTCTTCAAACGGGTGAAGGAAAAACGGGAAGATGTTTCGGGAACAGGTGTCCTTACAGCAAGAGTGAGCGAAGAGGATCTGGCAGTAACTGGGTCGTCGAGTGGAATTGGGAGGTCCTGGGTAGAGATATGACAGTAATCCGAGTCGGTCCAACCATCCTCAACCACGCTCGATAACGGATTCGCAGTACCAGCAGCGGATCCCAGTTTGTCTTTGCTGGAAGATAAAGATAATAATTTCGTCGTCGAGCGCTGTAACGAGCCACGAAAGCCTCGTACAACTTTCGACGTTATCGTGGGGGTTCCTGGAGTTGAGTGAGCCATTGGTGCGCGTCAGCCAAGTCCCACTCAAGAGACTCAAGCATAGTGAGCCGAAATCTTGCGTACCTACTTTTGAAGTAGTCTGGACAAGATCGAGGGCGTGTTCGACGTGAGCCCCCCCTCGTGGATTGTGGAGGGCGATCAATGCATGAGCGTAATCGTCAAGAAACGGAGCGGAGACACTAGGCAAGCGTAATTCAATTGCGGTACAGAAAACAAGATAGCTAGTAGACACAATTGTGGACATACATACATTCAATCCGACAAGAAACAACCTGAAATGATCGATCAAAATGGACACCCAGACAGTTGTCAATCGTCAAAAGTCAGCAAATTAGCTTCTTGATCATGAGAAAGTGCTTGCGTTCGTCGATATTCTTTCCAGCGCAGAAACACGTCTCGCAAATTCAGCGGCAAAATTCCGAACCCTGATGCAAGAACTTCAAGCATTCTCCAGCCGGAACCACCAGCTACGAGAAGCCATATAAAGCCTATTGTAGCCCCGGACCCTTTGATCGTCGCATAGAACGTTTTGTGACTATCAGGAGGGTTCTTGATCCCGACCGTGCGGATCCATGAACCTTCTCCAACCTGCATCACTCCATCCATCCCTTGTCCTGCAACCCCGCTAACTCCTCCCTCTCCGCCATCACACCATAGTACCATTGTATCTAGCTCTTTAGCTCGTTGCTTTGCTTGCTCCCACATTGCATCCCCAACAGCCAAATCCCACGTACGAGCGGGACCAAGAATTAGCTGAGGCTTTTCGGAACTCGAGGTTGAAGGGAGATCAGCGAATGGGTCGGGCATCGCGAAATCCAGACAGATAGACGCTGTCACAGAAATCGGTCTAATAGCAGGACCGGAAGCCCATTTGGGCAACTTGAGATCAAAAGTAAAGAGAGGCGGAGGGTTGTCCGATTTCTGTAGTCGAAATGATTCCGCGACTATCAACATGTATATTAAAGCAATGAGCACTCTATCACAGAAAGGATTGTGAATTTCCACTCACTCGGAACCAGATTCCTCTTAAAATACAACATTTCAGTTACATTGCTTTTTGACACTAGAGCCAGACCCGTGCGTCTCAACGGATGTCCGCGTCCAGTGGGATCAGCGAGGTCTCGATAAGACTCTTCGAATGACACGCCTACACGTTGGTTTGGGCTAGTGATCATGCTCCTGACCGTTTCCAATGCATTCTTTCTTTCATCTTCATCCGTGAAGCTTACTGCGCCTTCCGGCCAGAGAAGTATATTAGCAGTGTTCATGGTTCTGCTTTCGATAAGGAAATCTTCGAAAGTGAGTTGAAGGTGATTTTGCTTTGATTTAGCACGCGGTGGAAGGACACACCCAACGGTAAGTGGCGTCGAGTCACTTGCGATGATAGGTCGGGGTAGTGCCAAGTCTGACCCATGCCAGATATAAGATGGCGCTGTAAGTGCTAGCAGCACTGCTCCAAAAGTCAAGGTTCCCTTGAACCGACTCTTAATCACAGAATCGATGGAATGGGGGACTAAATGCTCATGATCAAGCAACGACGCCTCCTCCGGTGATTCCTCACCCATATACCACATCTCTCCCAGTTGCGAAAACACCACTGCCCACGCAGCGACCAACCAGTCCTTGATCGGGCTACCGAAAACGGGCATAAGCCAATCATATGCTGGGGATCCAGAAACGGGGCTCCAAGATGTGAGATCCCCCACGGGGCTCATATGTGCTAATGCATACCAAGCTGTAGCCCATATGGCTGGAAATAGCATAATTTGGGTCCAGGATGAGTACATCCATAGTCGTGTTCGAGATCGAGCGTATACGATGACCAACAGCAGAGTTATGAAGCTAGTGATAGCCCCGTGACTAAAGAGTACTAAAAGAGAGGTGAAAGGTGTTGAAAGAGCGTTTAGAGAAGGTTTAAACCAGTGGAAAGATTTGACCAAAGATAGGGCAAACCAGAGCACAAAAATACGAGTTTTGGCAGAATGGGAGGTGAGCAGGTGGGCAGAAAATAATAGGATCGAGAGGTGAAGCGTAAAAGGAATAAATGAAGGAACTGTAGTCAATGCGAACACTGATGTAAGGAATGTAGCAGAGAATAAGGAGAGATTCTGGTGAGCATGAAATAGCGTATAGCGAAGGCTACCCATGATCGCTAGGATCGTGGCGTTTTAGGAGGAACGATCTTGATTTTATACAACTGTTGAATTTATTGACGCCTTTGAAGCGCTGATAATTAGTACTATATATATATGATATCAATGATAATACGTACATGAACTTCTTCGCAGTAACTGCTGGTAGCGGCGCAGCAGAATACATAACATGCATTCGCATGTGAGCCTCCTTCGTCCGGCTTGGAGGGGGCCGAAGGCCCCCTCCGTTCCAAGTACGTCTCACATGTGGTGCTCGCTTCGAAATTCTAGTTTCGAGGGGTGTCGGTGCTGGCGCACCTCCGTAAAACAATTATCAAGACACTATAATGATTACACAAGGATGATATACTGAGCAAGTAAGAATGTACAAGGTAATGGAAGATAGATAGTCGCGACTGAATTCGATGACGAGGGATTACCAAAAACGGCGGTGGCTGTGACCTCGTGGGATTTGCGAATATAGAATTGACGAAATTTTTCACCCTATGGCCAGTATACAGAATAAGAGAAAGCCATGTAAGTACACTACAGCAAACCCGACTGCTCAAGGGTTTACAGGTCCGGCCCCGGTCTATGCTCCGGCCACGAGTATGTAGAGCTGTCTTTTCCTTTCAGTAGTCACGGTACCATGAAGACCAGTAGCCCTAACCAGCTATGTATATCTTAGCTTAATCACGGGCAACGCTGCATCTACTTTCGATTTCAACCTGAATTTCCTGGACTCATGCAAGAAAGCGCATTGGCATCTAATACTTTAAGGAATTTCCATCCTGATCCAGCGAGATCCAGCGTCTTCCCTCGTCTTCCTCAGACCTTCATCGACGTCCTTTTCATCAAATGTCATATGTAGTCTTTTGCGACACTATCCGGGCTACATTCGCCAATGTGATCATTCTTTTTCTGGTATGTATGTTGGTCTACACACAAAGACACACAACCATCATTTTTCTCCGACAAATATTGACCTGTACGACTGAGTTTACGCAACCCCCCCTCCGCATGTTTGCAAATCAAGAGAACAGAGCATATAGTCACCATCATATGCATATCATGCACTTGCAGTCGCAGAAAAAAAATTGGGACAAGACTAATACAAAAGTGAGAGTACCGTAATAGTTCGAAGGTAACTTCAAGGTATACTTGGTGATGAATGAGAATGAGATATGTGGGCAGTATGCATAAGAATCAAAGCAATGAATTGAAAAAGAGGGAAACTGAACTACCGCAATTACATTACTATTATCAAACCAGAAAAAATAAGAGTGAGTGTTTGAGTGATCTACGTCGTATCTCCAAGGGTCCGTGGGTCGTAAACTCAACTGTTATTGAGTGTCAGGAAGCAAAAAAAACCAAGAGGGAAATATCTAAATAGTTTATGAAGTTGGTGTTAAGCATCAATTTAACGTGCAGCGGAAACCTCAGCAAACGTTGTCCAATATTCAGAGGGGCGTTCAGTTTTAGGAGTATTACTATTATCCGTGAACGTTTGCGAGATACGTGCCAAAGATGGGGTGAGTGTTTCTCGAGGCGGCTCTGGGAGAGGATTGGGCGGACGAATAAAACTGAGCAAGTCGGAAGGAGTGGTCGTGGTTGAAGGTGATGCTCGGGGAGGAGATGGAGCAGAAGATGAAGATGATGCTCGGGGCGGCGAGGAAGCGATGGACGCGGGGGCAACATGACCAGCTGGCAAAGACGACGGGGCATATATGATTGGCGGAGGTTGCGTAGGCATTGAATGGTAGATATGAGTTGCGGATCCCTGACTAGCAAAATTTTGAACAACAAACGAGGTATGACTTGAACCATGGGTTGCCCCATTGCTTTTGCTCGTAGTGGACGGAAAAATTGAACCAGTGGAAGTTGGAACCGAGGAAGCAGACATGGCCATGGCCATTGGTGGTGCGACCGCTTCATTATTTGGCTCCATTCCGTACATGCTATGACCTTTGTACAGCCGTTCCATTTCCCAAGCTTCGCGCGCCCGTAAAGCATTGAGATCTGCTGCAGACGGTAATTCAGACGTTGGTCGGGCTGACTTTGACGGGGCACGTTCTAGAGGTCGAGTGGAGGAAGAGGAAGAAGGTTTGGTAGGAGAAGCCGAATGAGATCCAGAGATTTTCCTATTACTTCGTTGACCATCTCGCGTCCGTCCTGACCGTGTCTCTTCCTGCGCGCGCATAGAAGCAGGAGCGGGAGAACGACTCTCCATACTACTGGAACGTGCAACAGCCTTATTACTGTATGTTTTTTGTGTTTGTGGGACATTATCAACTGAATGTTGTCTACTCGATCTCGAGCTTGGTTTTCCACGCCGATCGCTGCCTTCCGCGTCCACTTCGGTAGATTTCTTTTCCTGTCTCCGTGACTCTTTGCGAGCATCGCGATCTTTCTCCCGTGTGTCCCCGTGATCTCGATCCGACCTATCCTGGTCCTTGGATTTACTAGACCTTCTTGTGTGAGCCACCTCTTCCACTACTTCCCACTGTTCTCCAGCAGCTGGAATTATCTCACAGGCAGTTTGGACATTGCCGGATTTGGTTCGAACAAGTTTGAATGTCTCTGTCTCTCTTGTAGTTACCGAGCTGATCCCGGGAGAAGGATCTCGTGATGAGGTTCGCCTAGGTACCGAAGAAGCAGTTGACTCTGTGGGGATTGCCAGCTCATCGTTGATTTGGGGCGTTGGAGGATTGACCAACATTGATGCAGCAGAAAGTGGGGAGTCTTCTACAATGGTTTGGCTGACTGAAAGATGTGAAACTCTATGGGTCAAATACTCGTCTTGTATTTGTGCTATTGGAGTCGATGACACATTAACAGAATGAGGAACAGGAATGGGTTGAGTTGTAGCTGGAGGCGGAGGGGGGGCAATAGTCTTAGGCAGAGGAATCGGCTTCGTAGTGGCTGAGGGAGGAGGTGGAGCAATTGACACATCAGGAAGAGGTACTGGCTTAGTGGTTGACGAAGGTGGTGGCGGTCCACGCTCGGGGGAGCGAGGCCGCCTATGTTCTTCCGAACGTCTGTGGTTCGAGGGGATGGGACTGATCACCCTTTCCGAAGGGATATGTGAAACATTGTCATCTAAAGATTGCCTCTGAGAATATCCAGCAGAATATCCAGCAGAGGCACTACCATGACGTGGAGACTTTATTGCATTAGCGGAATCAGAAGTATAGATATGGCCGTTCAAAGGTGATGAAGAGAATGATGTTGAAGCAGGATTTTGCGCCGGCGCAGGGAAAGGAGGGGAATAGCTGACGGCAGAAAGTGAAGGATCTAGTGGCGCGTGTTGACTAAGTCCACTAGAGGAGCGCTTGTCCGCGCTTCGCCATGGCTGAGAATCAGATGTATTAGCCTGATGCACTGGCAAAGGAGCATCCACTTGGGGAGGCGTACTGATTTCCGAACTCGGTGCATCCGGATTAGCCACCATTAACTTTCCCGTGGCAGGAAACGAAGCCTCTACCGAGATTGAAGATCTCCGATCAGGGTCATGGATAGCCTTTAATGTGATTTCGTCGACTTCAATGTTGTCCAGTGAAGGAGGCGGAACTCTTTTTGAGAGTTTTTCAGAGGATTTGTTGAACGCCAATCGCATCTCAGTGGAGTGGTCTTCTGTGTGCGGAAGGCTTTCATGATCCACAGTGCTCGACTGTTTCCTTGTCACGCTGAAGCGTTTGGTGAGACGTCCAATTATGCTACCTCTTCTGTCTTTCTTGATAGCAGATATAGGCCTGTGCGATGAGGGAGGGACAGGTGGCATAGTGGATGCCCTCTTCGACTTCTCATCGCGAGGAGGATGTGGTTGTGATAAAATATCAGCTACAGGCGAGGTGGGTAATGAATGTGAGGTCGTTTTACCGTAGCTGCCAAATATACCGGACAAGCCACGACGCTTGCTCAATTTCCTAGGCATATGAGATCCTTCTGTGAGAGGGGCCTGCAAATGGATGGCAGAGGTAGACTGGGATAGAGGAGATGGAGTCACTGTTTTGCGTCTAGCTGGCGTTGTTATACTCGAGCGACGAGAGCGAGAAGGCTAGTAATACAATTGAGGAATATAAAAATAGAAAGTGCGACTACACTTACATCGACATCCGCAGCAATAGGACCACTGCTCGCAAGGCCAATGTCGTAGGGAGACTCATGATGCCAGTTAGTCCCCCAAGGATCAGAGACATCTAACAGGTCAACGTTATCGTGAGCTGATTGGGAAGTTTTTCGAGATCGAGGTTTAATACCCAAGTCTGCCACACGTGTCTGCGAAGAACTTGGAGTAGGAAGCGGCGAATGCGATGGTGTCCTACTTGGAACCGGAAGCCGTGTGGCATCATCGAGACGCTCTGGCATTGAGCTGGTACCCATTGCAGGAAAGGAAGGTGAGAAAATGGACGGTGGACGCGCACCGGGTCGGTACACTGAAGGAGGAATGAGATGGTGGTTCCGGTAGTAGCGAGGACCAACAGGATTGTGAATGGGGAATCTGACTTTGAACGACGGGGTCGAAGACCAATCTTCTTTACTGTACCATGCAGGAAGCTCTTTCAAAGCATCGGGTATGATTGACGTAGTTGGAAGACTGGTAACCGAATCGTTCTTCTCATTCTGTTCCAACGTATCCATTTCTCCAGCATCTTGCTTCTGTTCCGGCTGCTTTCCAACCAGTTTCGAAGCAGTTATCGTCGTTGTCGAGTTTAATGATGGTCCTGGTTCGGGCGCTGGACTCGTCGCTGCGGTTTTGCTTGAACGTTTAACCGATTTACGAGAGAAAAGGTGGCCCTGGGATTTTCGCTTAGCAGACGACGCCTTTCTTTCAAGCCTTTCACGTTTCTCCATGTCCTCATAAAAGGCTTTCAACGACGAATCATCCGGTGACGCCAACTTTGCATCCTGGCCTTGAGACTATGATGAAGACAGGAATGAATGAATATATATATTAGCGTAATGAAATCTGGACAAAGTCACCTCCTCAAAGGGCTCGGCAGCGAACATTGGGTTGTATGTCATGGTGATAACGTAGAATGGTGACGATATGAATGGAAAGGCTGCTGGCTAGCAGCGCAGCCGGTCAAGAAAGCCCAAGTGTGAAATAACTGGAATTGGCACAGTACACGTGCTCAGCTTTGGAATCGTATGCTCCTTAAACTTTTACCGTAAAAAATTTATGGCAACAACGCATTATTTAATTTTATCGACGCCATTCTCAACTTCTATCATCGAGCTATACTTCCTAGTATTTAAGCTCATAACGTTGGAATATAATGCGAGTTCTGGACGTGACTCCGACGCGGATTCAAACATTGACTATTGACTGATTTGGAAAGAATTTTTGATTTTATCGTCCTTTTCAGCACTCCATGAGTCTCAAAATCCTTCTGCTCGGCGCTGGAGGCAGAGAACACGCATTAACTTGGAAATTGGCCCAATCGCCACTGGTTGAACATATATATGTTTGTCCAGGAAATGGCGGGACAAATCAAGAAGCAAAAGCTAGTAATTTAAACCTTCCGTTGCATGATTTTCCTCAGCTTGTCGACTTCGCTGTTAAGACCGGTGTATGTTGACCATCGTACATTTCCTTCCCTCCTCTTATCGAGCCTATCGCAGGTCAATCTCGTCGTGCCCGGTCCTGAACAACCACTGGTCGATGGCGTCGAAATGTACTTTCGCAAAGGTGCGTCTCAAGCAGTCTTCCAAACGTTTTCCTCATTAAGCCCAATAATATTCCAGTTGGAATACCGGTTTTCGGACCAAGTCCGCTCGCTGCCAGAATGGAAGGATCTAAATCGTTTTCAAAAGATTTCATGGCGCGGCACTCCATCCCTACGGCAAAGTTCCGCGTCTTTCAATCGTCGCAAATCGACAAAGCCATCCATTATGTCAAGACTTGTGGTCATCTGGTTGTGCTGAAAGCTGATGGTCTCGCAGCTGGCAAGGGAGTACTAATTCCGCAGTCTGAAGAAGAAGCGATCGCTGGACTAAAAAATATCTTGGTCGAAAATGTTTTCGGAGCTGCAGGTAAGCGTTCAGCATGTGGAGTCTGTGCAATACCGATCATGTGAGTGCGCAGGTAATCAAGTCGTCGTCGAAGAACAATTGACAGGTCCAGAAATTTCTGTCCTCGCCTTTTCCGATGGATACACCGTAGTACCTCTCCCTGCCGCTCAGGACCATAAACGTATCGGTGAAGGGGACGTTGGTTTGAATACTGGGGGGATGGGTGCCTACGCCCCTGCCCCGGTTGCATCGCCTGCAATCATGAAGCAGATCATGGAGGAATCTCTCCGACCTACTATTGACGGAATGCGGAGAGACGGTCAGAGTCTACCCCTTATAATTTTACATCATCTGACTCTCGGGTTATCATTAGGGTTTCCTTTTGTTGGCATGCTCTTTACTGGGTTTATGCTGACTTCAAACGGACCAAAAGTACTAGAGTATAACGTCCGTTTCGGAGATCCCGAAACGGAAGCTCTCGTCCTTCTCCTTGACCAAAAGGCGGACTTGGCCGCCATCCTACTCGTAAGTTCCAACTTTTCAGCTTTGTTTCCCAATATCTCATTCGCAATAGGCCTGCGCGGAGCACCGTTTAGATAGTGTTCCCGTTCCTATACGAAATGGTGTTGCAGTGTCCGTTGTCCTTGCTTCCGCTGGATATCCAGGAAGTTACGCTAAAGGCAAGCAAATCCAGTTTGGAGAACTACCCTCAGGTATTACTATTCATTTACCATCGCTCGAACTGTCTGATTAACACACTTCAGATACGGTTGCATTCCATGCCGGTACAGAACAGAAATCCGGGGCGACTCTGACAGCAGGCGGACGGGTTTTGGTTGCTGCTGCTTTTTCGGCGACTTTAGAGGAAGCCTTGAAGATTGTCTATCAAGCTGTAGATCAGATATCCTTCGAAGGCAAGACATACAGACGAGATATCGCACATCGGCCAGTCTTAGTGTCTTATTTATCATTCTCCTCTCCTCATTGTTTTGTAGGGCATTGAAAGTTTCTGGTTCGAATAAAGGTTTGACATATGCACAGGCTGGTGTATCAGTAGATGCAGGTAATACCCTTGTCGAAGTTATCAAACCCTTTGTGCGGTCCACTCGTCGATCAGGCGCAGATGCCGAGATCGGTGGATTCGGTGGGGTCTTCGACCTCAAAGCGACAGGATATATAGATCCTGTACTCGTCAGTGGCACAGATGGTGTAGGCACCAAACTTCGTGTTGCCGTAGATGCAGGGATTCATGATACCGTCGGTGTGTCTCTATCTTATTTCTGCCTAGAATACTTCTCAACGTGCCAATGGATTGGGGATAGGCATAGACTTGGTCGCGATGTCCGTGAACGACCTGTTAGTACAAGGCGCTGAGCCTCTGTACTTCCTAGACTACTATGGCTGTAGCAAACTTGACGTCGCCATCGCATCTCAAGTGATACAGGGTATAGCTGAAGGATGTCGGGAGGCTAAATGTGCATTGATTGGAGGTGAGACCGCCGAAATGCCCGGGATGTACCAGCCAGGTCAGCGTTACATAAACGTTCAATTTGACTGTGCTCTGATAGGAACTCGGTTCATAGGAGACTATGATCTCGCAGGGTTCGCTGTCGGTGCCGTAGAAAGAGAACGAATACTACCCTCTAATAATATCGTCGCCGGAGACATCCTTTTGGGTGTCGCCTCCTCCGGTCTTCATTCGAATGGCTTTTCTCTCGTACGAAAAATTTTGGAGACCACGAACTTGTCGTATTCATCTCCTTGTCCGTGGGACACCACTCTCACCCTTGGTCGAGCTTTGCTTAAGCCCACCGCGATCTACATTAAACAAATATTACCGGCAGCGCAAGCAGGTTACATAAAGGGCATGTCTCATATCACCGGCGGAGGTTTCGTCGAAAACATTCCTCGTGTGCTTCCAAAAGAGCTAGGATGTTCGATAGATGCTTCATCTTGGGAGCTACCCCCGGTTTTCCAATTTCTCATGAAGCAAGGGGGCGTAGAACCGTTGGAGATGGCAAGGACATTCAACAATGGAATCGGTATGGTTGTCATTGTCAGTGAGAGTAGTGCCCCCTTGGTAACAGAGACATTGCGCAAAGCAGGCAATGCAGAGATATATCAGATCGGGCGGGTTACGTCGAAGGTAGGAGTAGTAATGGAAAACATACATGTATGGAACCCAACGTAGTAGTAGGTTCACAAAATACATAAGTTGTGTGTGGACAGAAAGCATGTGTGTAATGACAATATTAGAGTATGAGTGAGTAGATGAGCAAGAGTCAACATACACTGTAAAATAACAGGCAAAGACCAAAGGCTCGAAGGAAAGACAGCAGGATGAAAACGAGTTGCAAATACCGGGTAATGTATGACAACGGCGGAAGAGAAAAGGACGGGGGGTGGTATGCTCAAGAAAGGGACATTTCTACAAGAAATATTTTTATGGGGGATGCACGACGAAAACTATAATATGCATTGTGGAATGACGAGATGGAACCAGACAGTATCTGTATGGCAGTAAATATGTGCGGTGAAAAAAAAACAGAAGTTATTGCAGATATTGGTGTAGATCGAGGATGATGAATATGAAAATAACCCAAGAGAAAAATAGAAGATAGACAAGCAAGCAGATACAACCACAGTTCAACAATTCAAGATTCGTTTTGTCAGGACTCCAGAGTTGTCAAGCGATGAGTCTTCTAAGCGGAGACCGACACCTCTGCCGCAACTTCCGGGGCACTAGTAGCGGCGATAGCGGCAAATGAAATCGGTAATTTTTGGATGACCGAGGTGGAAGACGACTGGGCAGCGATGCTTGAATCCGAGTCCTGTAGGAAAGAATTAGTCTTCCCTATTCACAGGCTCTATCTTTGATTCAACCGACCTTGACGGAGCCTGAGTCTGAAGGTGTGCGCGTCCCATTTACTGAGGGGAAAGACTCAGAGTCCCTCCGCGGGGGAGGCGCTTGAAGCACCTGAGCGGCAGTGGGCCCAGAATGGCCGTTTCCATTCGAAAAGTAGACGCTGCTGGATTTTGGAGGTGGGGAAGCCAAATTGCCGAGAGTAGGGAATTCATCGGCATTAGGAACACGCTGTTGTTTGATGGGTGGAGGGCGTTTGTTTGATGCGTTTTTGTAACCCTGACCAGGCCGAGGGCGGTTCCCGTCCTTTGATTCTATTTTGACAGGAGCGGCAGGATGTCCATTCTGAGGACGAGTCTGGGGAGAAGTATCAGACCGTCATATATTATGTATATCTGACTACTTACATCCCGGATCGTAAGATCGGCCATTTTTGCGTCGAGACCGTTACCAACGCTGTTGTGATTGGGATGACCGCGAGGAGCTCTAAATGCACCACCCCTTCCAGCGGCATACGAATGGGGCGGTGAAGGATAATCATTGAGTAGAATGTGAGGGAAACGACAGTCGTCACTGAAAGGAATCAGTAACATGTTGGAAAACATTGAAATAAATGATTTACCCGTTCTTACATTTACCAGCAGGAAAGAATAAGCACGGTGGTTTTCGAGTAGTAAAAGATCCTCGACGTATGCTACTACGACGAGCATGTCCAGTAGACTCTCGGTGCGAAGCAGGAGGTCCTGTGGGAATGGAGCCGAAAGTTTCGGACTGGGGGTTCAAAGATGGGGGGTCGACAACGCCGTCAGAGTAGCCAACGGGCGCAGAAGCAGGGATGGGCGGGTACTGAGACATGCCATTAGACTGTACAACAAATGGAGGAGCAGGTACAGAAGTGTTGTTGTACATGGTCGACGGTTGAGGCGGTGGAGGCTGATGATAAATCTGAGGAGGAGCGGCAGACATGGGTGGTTGAGGAAGGTAAGGAGCTGGTTCTCCAACTGGAGATACAGCAGTGAAAGGGACTTGCGGAACACCATTGGGACTAAAAGGATGTGGAGGAGGGAACATTTCAGGTTGAACAACGGGAGCACCGTTTGGTGATGAAATTATATTCATGCCATTTGGGGAAGGTTGTTGGAAAGAGGGTGTAGACATTGAGTAGTAATCATTGGGTGGATAACTAGTGTTCATTGGGTCGTAAGGAGCGGGGTACTGAGCAGGAGGAGGAAGAGGACCGGATAAGTATGGCCCTTGTGGATGTGCAAACAGGCAGGATGCACCATACCGACACGCAGGAAAGTACCTGCAAGGGATGAGCCGGGCAATTTCCGGAGGAGGGAGATTCCCTGGTCCCAGGGCAGTCATAGACTGACCGTCAGCATGAAGCTGTGGGGGAGGGGGAGAATAATAAACGGGACCTTCAGGAGGTGATGTAGTATATGGAGGATAATAAGGGTAGACGGCAGGAGCGTAGGGGTCGCCGTTAGCTTCGGAATAAAAACCGGTTTCGTTGGGTGGCGCCAACGAGACAATTTTGACCTGCGCAGAGTTAAGAATCTCTAACATAGTTGGATCCTGTGTGTACGCCTGAGGGGGACCTTGATGAGAAGCGCTCATGGGGTCAGCACCTATGGTTGCGGTGAGTTTCATTTTACTTTGGAGCAAAGAACATTGGTACCGTGAGCTAATAATGCGTGGACTACTTCGACATGTCCGTTTTTTACTGCTTCAATGAGCGGCGTGATTCCATTTTGATCTATACATAACTCAGCAAACAATGGTAGCGCGACAAGACTTCCACACATACCTTTCACGTTAACATCAGCATTGGAAGCGGTCCTCAATAAATCTTGAACTTCTTCGAGGCGGCCCTCAGAGGAAGCTATCCAAAGTGGGGATACCATGACCTTCGGCAGTTATATCTGAAGTAGAAGAAAAAAGAAGTGAGGAAGGGACGTAAGCAAGCGAGAGACAAGTGGTTTCGGCGGAGGTTTCGGGAAAGAACGACAAAAAAAATTTATAATAAAAAATTATCGGAGCGAGATCTGTTCTATCACGTGCGAATCACTCGGACGGACGAAATCAAAATATTACTTGTGCGCCGGCGGCGCCGCAAACTCATCTTGACCTGCCGCCATTTTCGGCCAGGTGTCTGTTGGTTGTGTCTTCTTTTTCATGACGCTGCCGCGAATCGGCCGAACTTCAACGACGACTTGGTGCCTTGTGCCGGTTTTGTGCTGTCGTCTTCAGTTGCAGTTTATACTTCTTTAGAATGATTGATATTGCTATACCGACTACGTTGCACCACGTACTGGAGGGTATCAGCCACGTCTTCGCGGCATATGTATAATTCCGGTCTCATCCGTGTGTGACGCAGTTGTAATGAGCTGATCAGAGCCAGTGTAACGAGGTATTTTACACATTAATGCAGAACTCAAGTAACTAATCTAGGAGTGATCAATATAATCCTAATTTTTTCATGAGTTGTTTGGCTGGGCCACCAGTAGCGGAAGGCAGGTCTATCTCTTTAGATAACGGTAATTCCAAGAGTTCTCGAACCGCAGTCTGTATGTCTTTCCCTGTGAAGGGTTAATGATAGACCATACATAGGCCAGTGAATGTACAAAATTTACCTTCATATAAAACTTCGTAGATCTGTACAGTTCATCCATCAAAAACGAACTGCAACGAGTTGAGAGAAAACTTACGGTCGTCGCGATTCGCGCCTTGATTCCAAGTTCGTCTAGTATCATCTTTACTCCCTTTGCAGTAGTTACACCCTCAGCAATACTCCCCAAACTATCAATAATAGAATCAAGGCTTTCGCCTTTCCCTAATCTGAAACCAACCGAATAATTTCTGCTGGTCGGAGAGCTGCATGTCATAAACAAATCCCCAACCCCTGCTAATCCCAAAAACGTCAATGGGTCAGCGCCGTAGGCAGTACCTATGCGGGTCATCTCAGCGAGACCGCGAGTTATTATCACTATTGTATCTTCAACAACCCCCTCTGATAATAGAGAAACCTGACTGACTTGCTCTAGTATTGTTCTCAAACCCCAGACCATCAGCAGCGCCTGCTGCGATAGCATACACGTTCTTCAACGCTCCGGCTAGTTCAGTCCCAATGGGGTCACTACCAGTGTAGCTATAAATACAAATATCAGTGAAAGCTATTTTTTATTAAAAACGGAACAATACCAGCGGAAATGTGGTTGATGAAAAAGCACAGCAGCGCGCTGTGCCTCCGAATCGGTGAAGGAGGTCACCGATACGGATGTCGGTTGACGTTGAACGACTGCAAAACGTATCAGAATCTGTAATGTACATGAAATGAATTACCCGCTTTCTTTCGCGAACGATGGTCCAGACTGATCCAGAATTCAACTTGTGTTCATCGAGATTTGATTAGCACGGCTCACAATGAAGGTTGCTGCCTTGGCAATCTCAGTTCCGCAAGTATCTGCAATGATTTCTAGAGTGAGGGCGTGTGTCCCGATCTCAATCCCTTTGTTCACGAATATAAGAAGAGGATGTTTCTTTCTGTCCAGATATGACTGTAATTTGGCAAGATTTTCTCTATGGACATAACTGTTAGAAAACCACTGACGAGGAATGAGAACGTCCAAAAACGTACCGCAGAAACTGAGTAGGAATCGCGAATAGCAGTACATCCATGTCGTCAATGAGCGTTTTTCCAGGTAGTTCAGGACCGACGGCGGTGATATTCACTGAGAACTGATGGTCCTTGAGGTAGATAGGATTTCGATGAACTTCGTTTAAAGACTTCACAACTTCTTCTTGCCGCGACCATAGATAAACATTGTGATCTGAGTCTCCTAGATGGTCAGCTAAGCAGGACCCGAAGTTGCCTGCACCGAAAACCAACACTTTAGAAGGCTCCCAGAAGGAACGAGTAGGCGAAGCCATGAATGTACGGTGCGCGGTGCTATGGGAATAGTTCGTGTAGGAGGCCCAGCACACTTTGAGAGAGTGGTGTGTTGGTCTGGTAGAGAAATTCACGATACGAGGTGAACGCACATGCATATGCTGGAATCGCGCATACTTAGTTGGTGACGTAACATCTCATCGCGCTTCGTACACATGAATAGGCGCCACGTGCTAAATATGTGGCCTTGCTCTTACTTTCACTCCATCAGTATTTGCTTCCAGAAAGCCGTCTCTCATTTACAAGCAAAGTACAATGCCGGTCCAAGATCGCACCAATGAATTTTTGGCCTGTGTAGATTCGATTATTAGCAGAACCTCGATTCCCTCTCGACGAGATACAAAGCAAAAGCTGTTACAGAATGGCAAATCCGTCACCAAATCCGAATTCTCGCGTATGGCGTCAGGAATAGGGAAGGACATAAGTAGTACGAACATCAAGTTAGGCAAACTGTCACAACGTGCGTTCTCTGCTTGTCTTTTCGAAGCTATTCGTTTATTAAAATATGCAGTCGCGAAGAGGAAAACGTTATTTGATGACAGACCAGTTGAAATTAGCGTGTGCTTATTCTTTTGTATCCACTGACATACTCTTTAATACGCACTTCACGGCAGGAACTCACCTTTATAATCAAGCAAGACCTTGCTAGTCTCAATAAGCAGATAGCTACTCTCCAGGCGTACGTGAAACAGAAAAAGGCCCAGGGAGCGAAGTCGGAGGATGGAAACCAGATTAACGAACATAACAAAAATGTCGTAACCCTTTTGCAGAGCAAATTGGCAGATACAAGTGTAGCTTTCCAGGAAGTCTTAGAAGTACGCACTCAGGTATGTCCCTCATAAACTTTGCGTTGCAATGTTCTCATTGATCCAATAGAACATGAAAGAATCTAAAGATAGAACAGAACAGTTCATGTATACTGCCTCCTCCGCCGCTTCTCAGCCTCCTACCAGTGAGGGAAGCTTTACTTTACCGCTCTAACCATCTCATTTCGTCACAGACTCTGTCCTGTTCAATACTCGAGGCGATCCCATGGGTGATGGTAGCCCAAGTCGATATGATTCCAAGCGTCCTCAAAACGGAGATATGCTCGCTCTCAATCTGGAGGCAGCAGAAGAAGGATCTGGTTCGCAGAACGGAGGGGCTTTCTTGCAAATGCAAATGATCGAACAACAGGTTTGTCTCTTTGCTGTTATCTTTGGTTCCCGAATCTGACATCGAACTCGAGGATTCTTATATACAATCACGTTCGACTGCGATAGAATCTATAGAGTCTACCATTGCAGAACTTGGGCAAATTTTCATGCAATTAGCCAATATGGTCGCTGAGCAAGGGGAGACTGTGCAGCGTATAGACGCGGATTCACATGACATTGCAGCCAATGTCAGCGGTGCACAACGAGAGCTGCTGAAGTATTACGCCAGTATATCAAGTAACAGGTGGCTTATGCTAAAGATATTCGGGGTGCTCATCGTTTGCGTAAGTGGTCTTTTGTTTCTCTATATTCAATACTAACTATGAATTCAGTTCCTTGTATTTATTCTTGTTTCATGAGCAGATTCATCATGTTGCTGGATCACTCAGTACTTCACTTATTGACTTACTTTATGCATACATAGGCACGGACTGGACATAATATAGGATTTTAAGATACCAACTGGCCCGCTATCTATCCCACAGGTATTGCATTCACACCCGTACCCCATTCATTTGAGCGTTGTGAACGATCACGTTTCTTGTTGTGCTTCTTGCCTCCTCGATGAACGGTACCCTGCTCGACATCGTCAACCGTCCATGTCTTTTTTGCACCCGGAGTTGCTCCGATACCTGAAGTGGCGGAATATCGTTCGGGTTGTGCGCTGTTCTCTTCATTCATCCCTTGACGCTCCGTCTGTACATCATGAATATCAGTGTCCGACAGCAAGGTCATACATAGATTCGATATGCGTACTCTCTGCTCATGAAGTTTTTTGTTCCGTTCCTTCAATTTCTGCAACCGAGCTTCACTTTTACCACCGCCCCCGGAGGTCAATTCCACATTTATAGCACGGCCATCAAGCTTTGATTGGTGCAGCTTCAAAGCTTGTTGGAGAGCATTGCGATGAGTGAATTCCAGGAAGGCACATCCTTTGGATTTGTTATTTGGCGTTGAAGTTTTGGGTGTTAGTAAGCGCACGAATGGCGGAGGATCTACGGAAAGATAATCAAGGATAGTCACCAAAAAGGGGAGCCCAACGATGTTGGCACATACCGCACACAGAGAAATGCTCTTTGACTGAGTCTATGGGGGTTGTGTATTTAAGATTACCTGCAAATGTGAAGTCGAATCCTGCTTGAATAGAAAACCGAATGATGGACCGACCGACGAAAAGAATGAATCTCTGTTTCTCATCGTTGCCTTTCTTTTTTTTCTTGGGAACATTTTCTTCCTTCCCTTCTCCATCCTTGACTTTCTCCATGACCGGTTCAGAGCCTCGCTTTCTCTTATTCGGAGGAACCATGACTGCGTCCGCCTTCTCTTCGATTGCCTTCCCCTTCCCTTTCTCCCTCGCAGATGCTGTTGCATCCTTGATTTTTTCCTCCGGAAAAACAGTCTCATTCTCCATTTCCACATTCTCGATATCAAGACCATCTTGGATTTCCAGGACAGGAACTGAGTTACACTCCGTGTCATTCGAGCTAGTCCCGACGTCATTCTTGCGAGCACCCTTTCCTTTGCCACTTCTGAATGCAATACCCTTCTTTTGCTTTTTTGTGAGTTTCGAAGAGTTCATGGCTATTCAGTCAAAAGTATGGGAGCTGCGCACGTGCTCAGAATGAGCGCAATGAAATGAATCGTGACTTTCGAAAGTACAGCAATAGCGCTAAGTGTTTATTTACTACGCCTCAAGCTTGTTGGAGCCTTCGAACTCCAGAATTCCGACACGAGAAACCATGTCCAGGATTGCCCCAGTCTCTGCATCGGCGACGGACGCCTCCAGATTTTCCACAAGTTGCTGTGTTGTTTTGAAGCGCTGCGCGGAAGCATCTCTCTCCTGTTCCGCGCCCATGCTATTGTATACAACCGCAAGCAAATACTGAACATCTAACACGGAACGGTATAGTTGGAGAGCCATATAATCCTTCTCGGCAATGACAAGCCACCATGCAGCATGTTGTAGACCAGAAACTATCATCAGGGCATTCAGATATTATCATGCAAAACTTGGACAAGCACACCAGAGTGACCGGCAGCAATGATGCATCGAGCAACGGTGAATGCTGCAAACGCGCGTATTTCGATATCATTTCCAGTAACGATCTGCAAAATCGAATGAAAATAAGCTTGTGGACCAGGAGTCATTAAAGATACCTGAGGCATAATATCCTCAATCATCTTCTGGCTACTTTGCGAGAGCCCCAATTGAAGGCCCGCATCTGCTAGAAGGATGACTGCTATTCGATAGTGGTGTATTCGAAATAGGAATTCGGAATGCCATATGGATTTTAGTAATTGCTCTGTCATGATTGCGGAAGCTTCACATTCCTGCATGTTCGCAAAGTGAACTTTGGGAACGATGCAAAGAAATACAATCACATACCCGTAACCGCAAAAGTTCATGTAAGGGGTTAGAAATCTTGCCTATAGGAACTGATCGAGATCGCGGTATATAAACATAATGTCGCATGTTACGCTCTCCAGGGGGCTGGCGTGGAAGTAGAAAGTCGCGGTATAACCGGTCTTGACCTCTACCATGACATTATATAGCACTTGAAAGATATAAAATACTATGAAACGTACCGCCTTGAAGCACGCAATGCTAAAACTTGCCAAACTTCTTGAGCCCATATCTTGTAATCTGGGAGAGTAAGTCCTTTCCACACTACCGGATTCAGAAGTATCGCGAGAGCATTGTCGTAATTTCCCTGCCGTGCGCGCTGCCAAAAACAATGTTGGGAAGGAGGAATTGCATGTTCTCAACATACGCACGCGATAAGCAGTATTTAAAAGAGCAGTCAAGCGGTTATTATCAGAACTACCCGCAGAGGTGAATGCGACGGCAACGTCCGCCTCAATATCTCCTATATTTTCACAACCTTTTCCACATGCTCTTAAGTACAACCATTGCAAAAAAATTTCTATATTTGTAAACGCACCGGCAGCATTCCACACGATAGCCTGCACTGTATGTTGGGCCCATTGATCCGACTCCTTCGTTGTATTCATGTTTGTGTCACACCAGAGGTCGAACACGCCCAAAGACTCTGCGATTTTGAGAAAAGAGGCACTTAACGGTTGTTCCTGTGCAGTATTGTTAGATATCTTCTTGCATTGATGGAAAAGTACAAACATTTGTCTCGTCCATTAACTTCTTAACATCGTACAAGATATCGAGTGGATTGAGATTGGGCTGCACTTCGTTAATTGGCGGTCTTTCGTTCACGGAGGGAAAGCGGCGAAGAAGGCTGAAGCATATGTCAAGACAGTATATGGAGGTTGCAGTAATAACAATCCACACACCTAATACATTGCTGCAAAGTTATTTTATCCCCACTATTTCTAGACACATTGATTGCTTCGGATAAAAGCTACGAAAGGTATCGGGATATAGATGATCAAAATAGAGGTAAGACGAACCTTCCTTCCAGCGGAGTATTCCTCATGAATATAATGGTATCTGACCAGATTCAGCAAACCAAGTTGACGAACGCCTCTGATATGAAATGAGCAAATCACGAAAACGTTCACAAGAGGAAAATAGCCTACGAGTCGTTGCCTTCATGAAAACGTTGTTCAAAGAAAGAACGCAGACTTTCTTTAGCTAGAGTTTCATCGCCAATGGTCTGTCCTTTGATCCATCTGAGAGACAAGTTCAAATGAATTCAAATATGAGAACAAAAAGGACAGCATACGACGCATAAGCCTCCGGCTGAGCCCAATTTTGGCGGTCCCCTTGTGTTTGGAATATTTGCGAATCGGCTAACGAAAAGGTGAGTGGATGTGATTCAAGAAGGTAGATGAGGAATGCTGACTACTATTTAACTCGTCTTTATGGGTTGACTTGTATGCTTTATTTGGCTTCCCGTCTATCCAGAGTAGAAGCTCTTTGTGAAACTGCGTTACACCAGAAAATGATAGTTTGCCAAAACTGATATAACAACGTCGACAATAAAATCCGAATATCGACCTCCTGCCCTATGTGAGGTTCATTGGTGGAAGGTACAAATTAGAAAAGCTTGCATTTACGAGTATTGACTCGGGCTGAATGCAACAAATGTCAAGACATACAGACAATGTTAGAGGAGTATATGACGTACTCCTTCAGTTCCCTCATCCTTTTCCTGAAAAAGCATCGGAAGCCCTACATTCTTCATCAAGTAGAGTACAGACGATGTTCGCCGTCACCTACCAGAGAAGAAGTTAATCATTTGGTCAGTGGTTTCCAGTTTCTGCCTCATCAGATGTTAGAAAAATGGAAAAAAAAAACTCATAAACCGGATACTCACGAATGCCTTCAAAGTTGATATCAGAGCTCTAGCATCTCCCTCGTCACTTTTCGGTGCAGCCGATAGTACGTCTCGAAGTTCTCGAAAAGATTTAGGTTGGGTGAGCTAACAAAGTAAGAGAGAGATCAGAGGCATGATATCCAGGTGTACCTCTGAAACTTCATCGAGAAGCATGCGTAGAAGATACAGCAGAAATTCGGAATCGAAATTCTTAGCAGGTAAATCTTTAAATGTTAAGATGAATATGACTAGAAGGCCGACTTGGTGTGGTTGAAGAGGATGGTCTGTAGGATGCGCGTCCATAACGATGAATGTGATTATGTGACACCGACACGGACACCGCGACCGCAAGTTCACGTGAGCTTCGTAAGTTTATGTAATCAACGTATTGCAGACGGCAGACCACGGCCCAGCACGGCCCTCAATATTCCTGATAAAACTGAATACTACTGAATCACTCATGGCTACGAAGGGCAATGGATAAAGAAAAGGCAAAAAAATGATCACATTAGTCCTTATTAGTCAATCCCGAAATACCCAAGAATACCCAAGAACACCGGTCTAGCAGATACACAAGATTCTACTGTATAACAAGTCCCCCTTATCGCTGTGATATCACACGTCTTCGCCTTCAACTTACCCACAACCTTCACAATGTCTGATTGGAGAGCCATTGCAGCAAAGAAGAAAGCCAAACAGCAAGCCCTGATACCCAAAGAATGGATGCTTAAACTGGATGATATACCTATTGGAGCTGATGTCTCGCGCGTTCCGGAAACGTGTGGATTGATGACCGTCACTGAGATACAGATCACAAACTCGGACGTCGATGATTTACTGGAAAAACTTGCCGCAGGAGAATGGTCGTCGGTATTGGTAACGACCGCATTCTATAAACGAGCCATCATAGCTCACCAGTTGGTAAGTTGGTTGTTGAAAAACTTGCAGAGATGCTGATTGCAAGTAAAGACCAATTGCTTGACGGAGATATTCGTTGAGAGAGCACTGTTTCGAGCGGCAGAGCTTGATGATCACCTGCGCAAAACTGGTGCAGTTGTAGGGCCTCTTCACGGATTGCCTGTATCTTTGAAAGATCAAATCAATATTAAAGGCTTGGAATCTTGCATGGGTATATGGGTTTGTACCTGATACAAACGCCGCTGACACCAAATCCGAAGGTTATGTATCCTGGGTGGGAACTTATGCGGAACGAAACTCTGTTCTCGCCGATATTCTCGATAACGCTGGCGCTGTCCTTTTCGTGAAGACGAATGTTCCACAAACCTTGATGGTACATCTCAATTGTATTATTCTCCGGTTCAAAACAATGCCTTGACATTCTTCAGTGGTCAGAAACCTTCAATCATATCTTTGGGCGAACTTCGAACCCATACAATCGCTCCTTGACCTCTGGTGGCTCGTCTGGAGGTGAAGGTGCTTTAGTTGGTGAGGTTTCAACTATACTGCGTGACTGTTGGATCACTAAAGGATCAAGCAGCAATGCGAGGAAGCCCACTTGGTGAGACCTTCTGTTTTGATTCGAGCCTCCATTACTGATAACCTCCAGGGGTGGGATCAGATATAGGAGGGTACGAGAAGCAGTATATGTTGTTAACACCATCTCATGTTTGTTATCAGATCGATTCGTATTCCCGCAGCGTTCTGTGGGACATATGGACTGAGGCCATCATACGGACGAGTGCCCTACGCCGGTTGTGTTAATTCCCTTGAAGGACAGGATTCCGTGGCTTCAGTTCTTGGTCCGCTTTCGAATAGCTTATCAGGGATCAAAACGTTTATGAAAGCTGTCATTGATGCTCGCCCATGGCTCAAAGATCCTCTTGCGGTACGCAAACGATGGAGCGACGATGAATACAACTTGGCCGATCATGGCAACGGAAAGAACTTGTGTTTTGCCATTATGTGGGATGATGGTCTAGTTGTGCCCCATCCACCTATCATTCGAGGTCTGGAGGTTGTAAAAAAGGCATTATTGAATGCTGGTCATAAAGGTGAAAACTTCATTTGGTTTCACTTTTACGATGTGGGGAATTGAGGTCGTATTAGTAATTGACTGGAAACCGTTGAAGCACGCCGAAATGTTCAAATGCTTGGTACAAGTTTTCCCTTTGTCACTATGTACAGCCTAGATCTAACACAAGACATCCGCGAATAGCACGATATATGGGCTGCCGGGGCTGCTGAAGATTACAAAGTCGTTACCGCAGTGACGGGCGAGCCAGTGATCGCGACTATGGATCTGGACGATGAAATTTCTGCCGTCGGGAAACATGAAGAGCACACCAATGCCACTGTTGTCATCCCTGGTGTATCTGCATATGATTTATGGCAAACTCACAAACAGAAGAGGATTCTACGAGAGGAATATCTCCAGCTTTGGGAAGATACGATTCAAGTTACTGGCACAGGTCGGGCTGTTGATGCAATTATTTCGCCCGCAGCACCTTACACTGCTATCCGCCACGGAAAAAACAAGTATGTCATGCACAGACACGCAACTAGCTACATTGACGAATTATCTTGATTGACAGCACAGCACAATATACCATGGTCTGGAATTTGCTCGACTATAGCTCGCTGGTTATCCCAGTTTCCAAAGTCGACCCTGAAATTGACCGAGTTAAGGCGCCTCATGATTTTTACAACCGGGAAGACAAGGCAAACTACGATCTATGTGAGACTGTTATTGACCATCTTACCCGTTATTAATGTGAGATGAACAAACCTTTTCTTCTAGATAACCCGGCAAACTTCGCGAATGCTCCAATCTCTGTTCAGCTGGTAGGAAGAACCTGTGAGGAAGAAGCTGTTATTGCGATGGGCGAAATTGTAGTAGCTGCTTTGAAACGTTCCAATGATGTGTTGAACGTTTGAACACAGTCATTACAACGTGTATTATGTAGTCGGCCAATGATGAGATTCGTTTGTGTCTAACGAAGTCGAAAAAATGAGAAGATAACGCCAAGTACATCAATGCAGCCACAGAACACAAACAATACCCCTGTCATACGTTGATCTTCATGAAGTTGTGACTAATGAGGTGGATAAGATCGCTGTGAGTTGCGGAGGTAGGAAGAAGACTTACGAATAATGGAAGCACAATTCTTATTTGACCTATGAATCACCCAAGACTTAAGCCTCCCACTGCTTCGCCAGCCCCTTCAACTTCCTTCTCCTCTCCATCCCGTCTAATGCCACGGACTAGCGGCCGAAGGATAGGGCTAGCTAAACCCATAGATGCACGGAGTGTTGGACTCGATGTGACAGGCACTGTTCTCGAGAATGAGGTTGAGAATGAGCCAGAAAAAGTCGGCGAAGAGGTGGCGGAATTATTATTGGACCCAGGTACAGCTACTGGGATAGAGATTGGGAGGCGTGGAGTGTTGCGAGTTTTTGGTGATCCAACATTTGGATGTGATTCCCGTAGAAAAGTAAGGGAAGGGGAAACAGCACGCCGCTTGGAAGCTGCCGGGTAGGGATCGAACCGATCATCCACTGCAACCAGAAATAAGTGTTCATGATCTCCAATCACGAATGAATACCCACGTTTACGTTTGTTTGACCGCACGACACTGGTAGTCGGGGGAGGGGTGTAGCGCCAATGATGTATTGGAGTGGACGAAAGCGAGGAAATGGAAGGGGACGCAGATGGCTGTACTTCGTAGTCAGAAAACGTAAAGCAAAGAGAGGATTCGCTTACTACGTCGACGTCCATAGCCATGCTTGATATGCTCGAAAAACTGGGACTTTCTGAAATACTCATGGTGTTCAGATCATCACCATTGACACTACCGGCAGGCGTGCGATTCCTAATAGCAATGGGTTCACTCATGCTTGAAGCATAAGAAGGCTCGTCCTCCCCTTCATCGTCACTCGGTGTCTCTTCGCGCTGATAATCGTCTTCGCATGCTTCTTCTGGGTAACGGCCACGATTAGACATCGTGCTTGGCGTGCGGGGCTGCATGGGAAGCTCGGCCCCCGCAGCCACTAAACGTTGGAATGCAGCCTCCGATTTCACTTCGTCTTCGACGGGACGGGATTCTGCAAGAAGATTTAATATTCGGGGTTGTTTGACCTGAAGCTACAAAAAGGTGTTAGTTATATATCCAGTGACAGCGAAAAGAAAGCAGACCGGGTAGGATAGACGACGCCTGGGTATAAGGTGATTATCTATAGCCGATGTCGATGCTTTCCGGGGCGGGGTACGCAGCGACTTAGCTTTAACCACTTTCCCCCCATCTTCTGATTCTTCGCTATTTTCTTGCACGGCAAGTGGGGGAGTGGGGTTCTCGGAGCTGCTAGATGGGGAACTCTCTCTGCCAGCGCGGTCCCTGTACATCGGAGAGTCCTCATCATCTGAATGTGCCTTTCGCTTTATTGGAGACGGTTGAAGAGTGAAAGAGCTGACGAGAGGGCTGTGAAGGCGGGTTTCTGATAAATGTGTCGCCTTGGGAGTTAGAAGACTCGGTCTTCGAAATCTGTGAAGAACGAAACTTGTATCCTCGAGTGTTACAGAAGAGGTGCTCGCAATCGAGCTAGATGGAAGTGCAAAATCTGACGATAATGTAGGAAGGCTGGGTCTCGAGGAATCTTTGGGCATTTTACACACTGGGGCGTTCAATGTGAAAGAGAATGGTGAACAAAATGGACCGTGCGCAATCGCAGTAATGGCTGATCACATGCAGTCAGCGCTTAAAGACGCGTTCAACGCGACCTTTCGTCTTGTACTAGTATACAAGTAATTCTTGTACTTGACGTTTAGATTCAGAATTATATCGTCCATATTAATCAATCAAGTATGTCATACTGTACTGCCCATGTCTATATCACTTCCGCCGACTACAGCTCAGATACCAGCCAGCATAAGGGAACCAGCTGTATAGATAGAGGTGCCGAGCAAGACAAGAACAGCCAGATTGTATAGAGAGCCACCATTCTTGTTACGTCGTGCTGGATCGCCTGAGAGGTAGCCTCTCGTATACAGCACACGCGTCAGCGACCAGAAGGCGCAGGCGGCAGCCGCAACTTTGGGGAATTTCAACGCTGCTACCAGGGTCCTGTAATGTGGATTACTTATTGAGATTCAAATTTTGAAACACGATGAAAGCAAACATACGTAGTATATATAATAGGCAAGTTTTCGAGTGTATTTTGGTGTGCCCGTTGGGCGCAATTGAACTTGAGAGCTTCAACAGAGGCCTCGACTTCTTTTTGTTCGGCGTACACTATAAACCCTAGTCAGTATTTCACGAACAAAAGTAGATCAAGCAACGGAACTCTGAGGGTATTTGATGCCAGCCGCTTTTCGCTGTGTGGACACAACAGCACTCTGTCCGGTCACAAGGAAAACTGTGGATAAAAGCGCTCCAGCGACATAAGAAAATCTTAATCAACGGATTTTCTTAGTAAATATCGGACCACAGAAAGCAGTGATGCGCACCCTTGGGGAACTACGATAACTGAAGACATTTGATGAAATTTTCGATAAAGAAGAGTCTCAAGGAGCAAGATTTTATACGCCTCAATTACGTGGCAATTTGCCAGGGACGGACAGCGATTATTAGATGCCGAATGACGCGTCCTGGAAGGCTGACACATGTAGAGTGCCTTTTCGATTTGTTTGTCATTCTCAAAGACAAAGTGGAGGTCTGTTTTGGCTGTATGCAGACTGTATGTATAACTCCAGATCGAAATCGTTTGAAGAGACTAAGATGTAAGATGAACGTTAGCAAGCAATCACGGCAATAAGTTTTATACATCAGCGCTTGCCGGCGTCTAAACTTTGTGCGCCTAGATTAAAATTTAATCCACTCTGATTTTTCCCCAACGCTCTCAATGTCTAAACGATCGGTAACAGAAGTTGTTTCTACCGCAGATGGCCAGGCGTTTCTGAAAGTATCAGGCGCTGGTGCTAGACGTGAGGCTTCAACGGAAGACGAAATGGGAGAATTTGAAGACGCTTGGGAGGACGAGATTGAAGAGGACGAGGACGTCGTAGATGCAGAAGCAGACTCACAGGAAGATGGTGCGGAATTCTCTGGGCATCTATCAACATGCTCAACCCTATGAAATAATATCTCCAGGCATGGATGTAGACGAATTGATGCCTGCAATCGAAGAGTCGGAACAGCCATCCGCAACTCCTGACGTCTTCATTCCTGGCACCCATACTCTAGGAGAGGATGAGATACTCGAACCCGATGAATCGGTATATCTCATGCGACATTCAACTGGCGTAGACTGGCCTTGTCTCTCGTTTGATATACTACGCGATAATCTGGGGGAAGAACGCCAACGTTTTCCGCATACTGTATGGATCGTAACCGGAACACAAGCTGATCTCGCTAAAAACAATGAGATCGTGGTCTACAAAATGAGTTCTTTACACAAAACACAAAAAAATGGCGGTAAGTACGTTGATTGTATATTTCGCGAATCTACACCTCATTCCATTTTTCGCGCAGACGATTCTGATTCGGATGACGACGAAGAAGACGATGCCTTGGACGAAGACCCAATCATTGAACATCGTTCAGTGCCTCATCTTGGCGGCGTCAATCGTATTCGTGCGCAACCCTTACCTGCATCGGAACCTTTACCTCCGCCCACTCAACCCTATCATGTTGCCAGCTGGGCAGAAACTGGAAAGATCCACATATGGGATATCCGCCCCCTGATAGAATCACTGGAGACTCCTGGCTACTCTTTTGATAAATTACGCAGTAGCAAACCTGTCTTCACAATCGATGCGCATGGACGGGCAGAGGGCTTTGCGATGGACTGGGCAGCATCGAGCGCATCTTCAATTCGCCTTTTGACAGGTGATATCAACTCTCAAATATTCCTTACAACATCCACCGTTTCTGGATTTAGCGTGCTCCCTCAACCGTTCACTTCTCACACCTCGAGTGTAGAAGATATACAATGGAGCCCTGCCGAACCTACAGTTTTTGCCTCGTGTTCAGCTGATAGAACGGTTCAAATTTGGGACGTGCGGAGCAAAGGCAGGAAAAGTGTTGCTGGGATTGATCCCGCTCACGAAAGCGATGTGAATGTTATCAGCTGGAACAAGGGCACCTCGTACTTGCTCGTGAGTGGCGGTGATGAAGGTTCTATCAAAGTTTGGGATTTGCGTAACGTACAAAAGAAAGGGTATCTAGTTTTTTGCTGGATTTTTACCTTGATTCTCACCGACCTTGAACTTAGAACCTCTACACCGACTCCGACCCCGATCGCCTCCTTCGATTGGCATAAGGGACCTATAACCTCCTTGGAATGGCACCCTAGTGACCTATCCACTTTTGCGGCTTCAAGCGCAGACGGTATAGTCTCTTTGTGGGATCTTGCAGTCGAACATGACGACGACGAGATGAACGAAACTTTGGACACGAAAGATATACCCCCTCAAATGCTATTCAACCATCATCAAAAGGACGTCAAAGAAATCCATTGGCATCCACAAATACCTGGCGCAGTTGTAAGCACAGGAGCAGAAGGATTCGATGTGTTCAGTACTATCGCTACATGAGCGTTCAAAGTGGAGACGACGATTCGCTGCATATACTACGATATAGTCGATCTATTTTATCAATATATGCCGCTTATTTGAACCAAATTAACTCCTAAAGCCCTTGTTAACCTTTCGTTAAACGATGTCACCTAGACTGATTTAGGACAAACTTTACTTTGGAAATGTTTTTCTGCGTGATATCTGTCAAAGCAGCGTATAAGTCCCTTATGTCAAGCAAGTGATGACGAGCACTAAAGATTTGCTTTTCGTCATGTTCTAGAAGTGCTGACTGAAGATAAGACATTCAGGAAGCAGTAATACTACAAGAAAAGCAACTTACAGTGTAGTCCTCCAAGTAAGGGTATTTTATAAGCTTTGAACATATCTTTGCTCTGGCCAGATGGTGTTGGCGCGCGCTGTCTCTCAGATTGTATGCACAATCTTGTGCGCGATGTAATTCATTGAGTATTTCTGTGTTGAAACGAATGGTCTGAAATAAGTAATCGACAATAGCTTGAAAACCATGACGCGAACCTTCTTGCACTCCCGTACCTATGGACCCGGAGTTGATCAATAGCTATCGAGTCGAGAGAATCCAGCCAACGAACCAGAGTTATCTCCACTGTCAAATGTATACGGACTTAGAACCAATTTTGACCAGAATTCAGGCGAGACTTACTCTTCGATTCTGTGAGGCGGAAAAATGGAAGCGGGCAGTCAGAATTATGGTTCGGTGAAATGTACCGTTCTTACTCACTTGGGTATAGCCAGCGTGACCCACAACCTAACCTTGTCGATGGAGGTCACCAACTCTTCGCATTCCTTCTTGATTATAGAGTGTAGATGTTTGACATGTTTATTCTCTAGGACAGTATTGGACAATCGAGCATGTCGGGTATCGTGTTGATTTATCCTCGAAGAAGGTGGATCGTTTGCATTAAATGGATCTGTCGATATCTTGCGCTTTTTCAAATGTACATCTATGTCCGAAGAGTCCAAAGGTGGCGGATAAACAGTAGTATCAATGCTGGCGAGGTTGGCGTCATGAAATGGTGAACTTGTATTTGTCGTGGATAGAACAAGTTGCTGCAGTTCACTGAAACAACCAATAAGCAAAGACCAAGGGAACGAAGAATGTGAGTATATTCACAGTGTCTACAATTGAGATAAATTTATGAATCTCGATCAGGATACTGTTCTTCTACGAACTTTCTTAGGGAACGTGCTAAAGACCACTTCCTCGCCGGCTTGCTTCACGTCTGAGCGAAATCGCTATGAAGCGTATAAACAGCTCAGGAAGCTGAAAGTGTAGGAAAAAGAACTTACCTCTGTTTGAACCGCCAAAGCTCTGTCCATCATAACTTATGAGTGGGAATGGTGGATAGGATCAGGCGGACCGGCAAGTTAAGCGCCCACTGACATAGAAATTTAGACGCGCTTTCTGAGTTCTCCTGTGCCATTTGGTTGCCATGGCCCACAATGAAGAGAATGATGCGATTTCGGCTCTTACTGGACTCTCACTAGGAAGCATTCTTGGTGACCTCAATGTAACGCCGGATTCCCTCAACAATCAACTCGGAATTTCCGGTATACCTGCCCTCAGCTCAAAGCAGATTTACAACGAGAATTACGACGACGAAGATGCAGTCGGGCTGGATCAAGGAGATGACTGGGAGGCACAGATTGACCTTGAAATGGCGCAAGAAGGGGATGATGCCGTGAAAATGGAGGTTAATTCTCCTACGCTTAGGCAGAAGCAGAAACGGACAAGGATCGTGAAGCGTTTGATAGAGCGCCCAAAGACTGTTTATGAACGTTTTCCTGCATTCGAGAAAGACAAAGTCTTGGACTTCAGCGAATTGTTCAAAGGGTATACCGCTCGTAAATCAAGAGTAGGGAAACGGCAGTTTGCCGGTGCGTCAACTTTCAATCTTTTGCCCTCCTCCGTCCTGCTGATCCGAAGTGCAGTCGAGACAACTTATCCGAGAAAGAAAGAAGTTCCAAGAGGCTTTTTAGAATCCGTAGCAGGGGATACGAAACGTCAGGTAGAGAACAAGAGGGTAGAAGCAGTGATATCGTCAGGGAGCATTGAGGCTGATCTTCGTCGAGCACTCGAGGTACGCGAACACATGCTCTGTTAGTGAGGAGGCTTAGTTTTCGAAAATAGGAACGGGGTACAACGAACGTTCAAGTATCGGTACCACTACATGACAGGTCATTCGATCTGGTTCTCTTATCAAATTGGGAGGATCAAATTATATATGAACCAGATCCTTCGCCTTCTGCTGTACCCCAGTCTACTGACAGCAGCCTGACCACTCCTGTGAACAATGTTTTAGAGTCGGGAGCGTGGACACAGAGCATAATTTGGACACCTGATGCACCGTTCAGAGACTTCACCCAGCTCGAGTTCAATCATGAGGACGACATTGTTCCAGAAGAGCGCTCAAGTTCGTCTTACGTTTGTAGCCTCGATTCCCTTTGCTTAATACTAATTCTTCACAGATGAACAAATTCGACCCAGGAAACGTTTCAGAACAGATGCTGCTCCGCGGGATAAATTCAACCTATCTAACGATCAGTACTATGAGGTTGCCAAAGATGGCGGGCGTCATCGTGTTCGCCAGACCTTCGGTCAGCTCACCGTAGAGCACGCTTATTCAGCCCAAAAATTACAACTTCCTTTTGTGAGGTTTATTGCTGGATTGCTTTGGGGAGACTAAGCTCACACAAACGTTAGTACAAAACGCGACTTTCCAAGCAAGAAGCTCGTTCCTTCCATCGGCCCGCACTGCAATTCCCCATCAACATCGAGCTCCATTTCACGAAAGTTCGGACTGCGAAGAAAAAAAAGGACAAAGCTGGGCGTAAACTAGGCAAGGGTGGCAATGTGGCAGAAGGGCTCCATACTACTGGCGATCTGAGTCTGCGAGACACAAGCAATTTTGTTTTGTGGGAATACTCTGCATGTACATCGCTTGTATCTTACAATGCGGACTGCTCATTCGTACCATTTAGGAGGAACACCCACCTATCATTCCCAACTTTGGAATGGGTAGTGTACTGGTAAATTATTATCGAAAAAAGGACGAAAAAGATGACCATGTCCCGAAGGTAGGCTTCTGACAGATTAATTGCAATAGTCTCAATATTAAGTCTGTTAGTTCGACCTCGGCGTGCCGTTCGTACTAGAGCCGCAAGACGAATCGCCTTTCATGAAGTTTGGCTATGTCTATCCTGGCCAGGCGATGCCCGCTCTGTACAACAATCTGGTTCGTGCACCGCTTTTCCGACATAAACCCAAGCATACCGACTTCCTGGTTGTACGGTAGGTTAGGATCATGGATCTCCTCCACATTCGAACTGATAATAAGTTAGGAGCACCGTAAAGGGTGAAACCAAATACTTTATCCGCGAGATCAAAAATCTTTTTGTTATTGGCCAAACATATCCTGTCACCGAGGTTCCTGGACCTCATTCTCGGAAAATCACAAATACAATCAAACACCGACTGCAGATTATCGCGTACAAATTACTGAGAAAAAGCACAGGCGAACGATTGAAAATATCTAGGTTGATGAAATATTTTCCAGATCAAAATGAACTACAAATGAGGCAACGGTTGAAGGTAATGGAAGACATGCGCTCAAACCTGTGTGTCAAACTAAAACTTGATTCGCTCAGGAATTCATGGAGTACCATCGCCGTGGTCCTCATCAAGGCTTCTGGCGTCTCAAACCCAACTGGCCTGTGCCCTCCGATCCGGAAATGCTCAAGATGGTCACCCCCGAGCAGGTGGTCCTTACAGAGAGTATGCAGGTTGGTCAACGTCATTTGCAGGACTCTGGGTATAGCCAAACCGCAGACAACGCGGATGGCGACGAAGCAAATCTCTCAGTAGAGCAGCAACTTGCGCCTTGGATTACGACGAAGAATTTCCTTTTTGCAACACAGGCAAAAGCCATGTTAAGGCTACACGGAGAAGGGGATCCTACGGGACGAGGGGAGGCCTTTAGTTTCATCCGAATCTCTATGAAGGAGATCTTTGTCAAAGCCGGGGAGGACTACGAGCAGAAGATGGGTATGTTGTATCTGCAAAACGTCAGTCCTTACTAACTGTTTTGAATAGCGGAGGCCGAGAACAGACCAAAGTCAGCTCATCGGTACAACGTTGCCGAGCAACAACAGATATACAAGTCTGAAATTGAGCGTATTTGGAAGGCTCAATTTGATTCACTGAGTCGACGGGAGGAGCCATTGCTGACGGCTGAGGATCTACGAAGAGATGCGCTGAAAACACAACAAATTGAAGCCCAACAACAGCAGGCCAACCGGGATCTCACACCGTTAGATTCTTACAGTCGTGGTCCGTCAATGGATAGAGGGAGTGTCGATCCTGAAGCGAACCGGCGAGTCTTGCGAATCAAGCGCTTGGTCGATGGCCATTGGGAGACTGAGATTGTTCGGGATCCGGCCGTCATTCGGGCGTATATCCGTAATCGGCAAGCTATCGAGGAGGAAAATACGTTGACTGATAGTTTGGCGCCGACTGGTGATGCTGATAAGGATAAGCGAGCGAAGAAGAGGTATGCCAGCACTATCTCACTTGAGACCATCCTTTTAATTCGGAACATAGGATTGAGGAAGAGCTCGCGAGGATGAAGAAGAACCAGGAGAGACGTCTGCACAGAAAAAATGCGAAGATTGTAAAGGAAGGTGGTACTCCTTTGCAACTCAATAGACCTCTGAAATCAGAGACAACCGTACGTGTTCTTTTCTGCGAAAGTCGAAATGTGATGATGTACTCATGAGATGATTTCCTCGTTAGAGACGCTGTGGCCATTGCGGGCAAATGGGACATATGAGTACGCATTCGGTTTTTTTCGGCCGTACTTCCTGACAACCTATGTACTTTCCTCTCAGAAACCAATCGAAAATGTCCTCGGTGGGAGGAATTTAACTCCGGAGCCGCACCTACACCCGGGCCTTCTGCGGCCTCACCGTCCGCAGCGACGAGCCCTCCCGCGACACCTTCTCAGTCGAACATTGGATTTAGTCGGGGACCAGCTTTCGGACATTCCACTGCGACTAGTCCCCTGGCTACTAGTCCTCCTATGACTGTTTACGACGAAGCAACTCCAACAAGTTCTGCCCCAAAGATAAAATTGAGTCTTGGAAAAAAGACCTCTTGAAGTACTAGATCCCATACATGTATGTTGTTTGTTCGTAGCTTCCCACTGTATCATGTTTAATTTACATACTGTAATATTAAAATAGGTATTGTCTACTTACACACATGATTCGCATTTATCCCTTGTATTAAGTATGTGCCGAGTACGATCACACCAGAAGGAGAAAAAATTCTGCTCGACGGAATTACCAAAATTCAGTGCAACTGATATATCATGTGACCGGCGATATACCCGATATAGTTTATCCGCGGTCACATGATATATCAGTTACGCTGAATTGTTACGATTCCGTCGAGCGGAATTTTTTCTCTTTCCGGTGTGGATGTTCTTCCCAATCGATTACACTAAAGTAGAAATGTGCTCACGTTTGAATTTTCATATCCATCCTGGGATTTGTGGGAAGCCTATGTAGCCTGTAGTCCCCGATCCGACCTGGTCCGGGATATGGTGTATGTTCGAACTGAATAGGTTGGAAAATTGCTTGGCTTTCAACCAAGCCTTTGATTGCCCAACATGTGCTTGGCTACAACATGGTGGCGATACACCTCGAGATGAACTTGGCGTTCTGAGCCTGCACGAGCTGGAAGGAAACAGATTTCAAGGACCCGGGAAAAATAGATGGAGTTTTTGAAAATGCGATCCATTCAATGAGAGCTGGTGTATGTTCGGAAAACCAAGTAAATACTTGTCAAACTGCTAAGACCGTACCAGACTGTTCAGAATTCGAATCAAAGGCCTCTGCTCTCACACACGCAGCGGAAGTAGGGACTTTCGAGGCCTGACATAATGTAGCCTTCTTGTCGGCTTCTTGGGGGTAGTTTCCTAATCGTCTAACGCCCAAGCACTGGGACAGCAAGATGGCATAGGATGGCATTAGATAATAGCAATAGAAGTTGCACTGGTACACATTGGGGTCCAGGTGTATCGGAGAAAAATACTGAAGAGGTGATTACGTCAGAATTTTAGCCAAGACTGGCTTCTCCTCCCCTGTCTTGGCACTCTTGGCATTGTCAGCGGCTGCCTATTTGAAGCAGATGTTCCGTTCAAAACTTGTCCCCTTGGCTCAACTTGAACGACGACTTTATTCAATGGCTGGCTCTGATTATGACCGTGACCGTGACATTTCTCCCTCTAGTGGATCCAGCGTCGAGCCATCTTCTGTCCATCATTGTCAATGGCAAGACTGTTCTCAGTCTTTTGTTGACCCAGAAACTTTATACAACCATCTTTGCAACGAACATATTGGTCGAAAAAGTACCAACAATCTTTGCCTGACCTGCAAGTGGAAGGATTGTGGAACGAGCTGTGCAAAGAGAGACCATATCACTTCTCATTTAAGGGGTGCGTTCATTGATATTTATCTTGATTTTCGTTTTCAATCAACTGTCACCAGTCCATACCCCGCTGAAACCTCATGTTTGCGAGGTCAGTTTTATCTCTTTTTTTGTGTATCCCCCATACGATGTTTTTTCTTGCAATTGCAGATATGCAAAAAGTCATTTAAGCGTCCGCAGGACCTGAAGAAACACGAAAAAATTCACACTGAAGAGCATCATGCTGCCCATAAACACTCTAAAGCAATCACCGTCGTCGATCCCGTTTATGTGTCAAGAGTTCGAAAAGAGTCGGGCAACCACAGTGAGAACAAGTCGGAAAAAGATAAGCCAGCATCACGTATACGTGCACCTACTCCACGCTCCGTGTCCCATTCGTCTGCCTCTCCAGAAAGTGAGTCCAAGCTCATCGCACTACCCTATATTTGCCCAACATCTTGTACCTAGGCTCTTTACCTACCCCTTCTCCTGAATTGACTCCGCCTCACCATCATACTCATCATTCACCTCTTCACGATGATCTCTTCATTCACAACCAACTTCCTCCCTGGGATGGTCTTCGTTCCGACTCTAACGCGGTACATGTATCTGCCGGGTCCAAACGTTCTCATGATAACGATTATAGCGTGGACGATTTCTTCAATGACATGAAGAAGAGAAGGGTTAATCCTTCTTATGATCCGGGTACGTCACTTCTAATCTTCAACGGCCTAAACTCGACTGAAGGTTTCTATCAGGCATGGTCGAACGTCTCAATAATATGGCCTATAATCGTTCTCACTCCAATGTGCCTTTCAATCCTCGTTCTGTTTCGTTAGATATCCGCACGCCTGAAGAGCTTGCGGCCGTAAACGAGTTCTTAGTCACCCTTGGACGTGATGTATCTGGAATGATACCTTCTACTCGCTCGGGCCATCACACCCGTTCTCAAGGGAGTTTTACTTCTGAATCCTTCTTTGATTCTGTTGCCTTGAGTCAATTGGGCCTTACCGGGATGCCTGGTTTACCTCCGACTGAGGATTTTGTTTCTGCGCCATCGTCATATGCTGGTGGCCCACCTACTAGCGCGACGTTTACACACAGGCCGGGCTCGTCTGGTATGTATTCTGGCGTCGGTGGGGAGGCTGCCTCTGGCCGACGTTCTTCGAGATATTCTCATCTCCAACAATATGACTTTCCTGGTTCAGGTACTTATCATCAACTCACGCCTCCACTGGATCCTAGCTCAGAATCTCCGCACTCTACGTCAACTCCTGTGAGTATGCATGCCATGGCACAGTTCAGCAATAACAGTCGATATTCTGCTCTTTCCCCTACATATTCATCACATCCTTCCGTTTCTGGTCAGTTCGGGGTTCATCTCAATCCTTCTGCCGAGAGTGCAGCTGGGTTTGATTATTTGCGCGCTTCCCGTGGACCTGTACCAGATGTAGGGTTAACCATACCGGAATCAATCGGTGTTGACAAGACTGTACGACGCCCGATGGTGCTATTAAAGAGCATACCTTCGAAGGAGGATCCTTCCACAATCGCCTCTTCGGTTGGTGCTCCACCCGAGCCACTAGAACCTAAACTCACCCATGGTATTCACCGTGGACCACCGGCCAAATTGCCCTCGATTGAATCCTCATCATCGAGAAAGCTTACACCTGTACCTTCCCCTTCTACTTCTGCGTCCGCGCTCTATCCTACTCTTACGCTTACTGAAGGAGATGCACAATACAAACTCCCGCCCCTGAAGTCATTTCGCTCTGACTCCCCATCACTGGCATCTAGGTCTACTACCCCTAGTTCTGTCGATGATTCACCACGCCCACAGACTACCGTGCTTCCTAGTTTGAAGAGTCTTGCTGCGGTCGGATCAGTCAGCCTACATCCGCCAAGGCCGAAGCGATCGCTGACCGGTGAATCAGATGAGCTCGCACGCGAGGTCGGGAAGATTGAGCTGACAGGACCTGGAGCACATTCTCCTGCGCTATTACATTCCTCGTCATCATCCTCTGCTTATGCGGAACGTGGCTCTCCTCTTCCCAGGAAACCGTTCCATGATGTTAACATTCCCCTCGACGAGCGTCGGCGGCATGCAGAATTTATTAGGACTTTGTTAGTGGCTATCAATGAGGATTACATGAAACGGTCGGGTTCAGAGTCCAATCGAAGCAGTGTGAAGCAGGAAAATGACGAGAAGATGGACGTGGATGAGGCGGTGGCTATCAAGCCGCGGCCGTCGTGCAATTCTAGCGTGAATATAGAGATGTGTACCGCGTAAGGTGTCGTTTATGTTTTGTATCCTTCCATGTATAAAGGACTTGCATTTAAAAGTCATTATTTTGTATTATTCACATAAAATTAATGATTGTAGTTTTTGCACTGAGTGTCTATCTTGTTTATCGTATGTACTTTTTCTCGATCACGATATACGATGAAAATCGAACCTTGCTTTGACAGTATGGGACGGAGACTGATATATTCACAATTTCCTTACATTTTCTTTGAATATATCCTCCACAGGTATCTGAAGACGAAGACTCTAGGTAACCACCTAAATATCGCAAAGATAGTCGAATTACCTCCAGCAGTAAAGCGCAAAGGAGGTTTCCTGCTCAAGGCTTTGGATACCACGGCCTTGGCGAATTTGGCAGCAGGCATACTGTGTTCTGTTTGACTGGCGTTGATTCGTTTCATGATATTTGGAATGAAGGCAGAGTACAGGGAGTTCTCTGGTAGGACGAACTTCTGTGTCATGTTGTTAGCAATATTTGACCGGACAGAACCCGGAACGACGTTCATGACGGAGATATTGAAAGGTCTGCATTCCATGCTTAGCACTTCGCTGATCATGTGCGTGGCAGCCTTCGTCGCTGAGTATAACCCATTCCATGGGACCGGTCTAGATAACAATTCGGAAAAGCAAGCGTCGATGATGATATTCTCCCAAGACGTGCAGCGCGCACGTACGTATCTCCTACAACAGATCCCACGTTGACAAATAGGCCTTGCTTTCGTCCTGCCATGATAGGTAGCACACTCCTGCAGACTCGGAGTATGGCGAACGTGTTTATGTCGAATGCTTGTCGGACAGTGTCCATATCCTGGTCCAGAAGAGCACCTGTATGCGAGGTCCTCAATATGGCATACAACGGGAAGGTTAGATATCATACCAGCGGCACCCGTTCCTGCATTGTTGACCACAATATCTATCTTTCCTTCCTTGCCAACGATATGTTCAACGACACGCTTGACATCTTCATCGCTCGTCACATCCAACGGTAACTTTTCAATTCTGGAATGGCTAAAGCCTGCCATCTTCGCAGGATTACGAGCGGTGGCATAAACTTGACAACCTTGAGCGGCGAACTCTTCACATCTAAAGACAATGGATGATAGTCGTGAAGGATCAACGCATCCGAAGCAACTACTCACAATGCGGCACCAATTCCTCCAGCAGAGCACCCAGTCACCAGTACAACAGAAGCCATAATATGAGTATGAGGGACGGAAGAGAAGCTCTTACTTATAGAAGCCCAGAGTTCGACGCGTTTAACAATATAGCGCCGATCATGACGGAAGCAAAATCACTAAAATCCTCGACGAGACCATTCTCTTTTGACCAAGGCGGTATGCCTATCTGTAATGACTGCTTTCATCTGTATATACTCTCTAGCTATTTATATGTATGCGTTATAAATATGTACTGAACTCGAGCGCGCAGTTGGTCATTGAATTATAATAAAGTTTGCACCGCAGTCCTGAGAAAACAAAAGTCTTGAGCCGCTTGGCCACTTACCGCAGCAGCCAGTTGCTCCTTTTCCTCATCTTCTTCTATAGTCTCTCTTTATCATCATCACTACACTGTCTCCTTACTCTTTTGCTTTCCAATTTCCTATCTCATCATGCTATTCTCAACCAAGAACATTGTGCAGGTCGCAGCCGCTTTGATTTTCCATTCTCTGAACGCGCGCGCTGTATCTGTTTCTCGACGTGCTACGGTTTGTAATGGTTACAGTGAGGTATGTTGAGCGTTTTTTACGATTCGTTCGTATGTTTCACTCGGTCATCTCTTTTAGCTATGCGACCGATCACTGGGAAACGTTACTTTTGTGGGGACTCACGATTCCTACGCCGTCGGAGTGGACAACCGTAAAGCCTGTTATGCTCAATCTTTTACCACAAACATTGATATATATTATTCTCTTAGTTGCTACAAATCAGGACTACGACAGTAAGCCAGTGACTTCGCACATGAAATTACACATATGCTGATGCTTTGCCCAGTAACTCAACAGCTTACGGATGGAGTTAGGATGTTGCAATCGCAAGCCCACAATAACAGTGGCACAATTGAATTGTGCCACACTTCCTGCGTATGCCGGGATTTTTCTTGTCTTGTTTGTTATATCGGTTAAATCTCAGTAGGGTCTCGAAGATGGCGGAAGCTTGCAGGATTACCTGACAAAAGGTTCGCTCTGTGAACGATGAACTACCTCCAACGTCCCATTCAATTTTGTTCTAGTAAAAACATGGATGGACAGTAACCCGGACGAAGGTTTGTTTCAAACTAGTATATCTTCGGATTCAATGCTTATTGGTGGCCGGGCAGTGGTTGTTTTGCTGATTGTCAACATTGATGATCTACCTGCCACTGAATTCGCACCTGTATTCGAAGCCGCTAACGTGACCTCCATCTCTTACCAGCCGGGGATTTCCAACATGACTGCATCTTCCTGGCCGACTCTCGGTTCTCTGATCGACAATGGGACGCGTCTTCTCACATTCCTGGACAATTCTGCGGATATCACTACTGTTCCATATCTTCTCGATGGTGAGAGAAATCGGGAATTCCCTTGAAGACATCGCTGATCCGTTTACAGAATTTTCCAACATTTGGGAGACTGCTTACGATTTGACTGACCAAAATGCTTTTGACTGTACCGTCAATCGTTCGAACGGGGACACTTCAACGCAGATGTTTCTGATCAACCATTTCCTGGATCAACTCATTCTCGGAGAACCTGTACCAGATTCTGCACAGGCGAATGAGACCAACGCCGTTTCCGGCACAGGCTCTCTGGGTGCTCAGGTTGCAACTTGCCAGTCTGTAATGGGCAGGCCTCCCAATTTCATGCTCGTTGATGTGAGTACGCTTTCATCAAGTATGACCCACATGTGTCTCAACACATTCTCAGTTTTACGAGTATGGAAATGGATCTGTATTTGAGGTTGCTGCAGCTGCTAATGGTGCGTGAAACTCCTATCGCTGATGGCAATTATTATTGATGGCGTCGCAGGTGTCACCTATACTGCCAAAGCTATAGCCACCCCAAAGACATCATCCTCCTCTTCTTCTTCTTCTTCAAATGATGCACAAACTATACTTGATGGATCGTTCTTGCATGTCTTGCGTATCGCTCCCCTGATCATCACCGGTGGTATTGTCTTCGGTGCTTCGACCTTGCTCTGAACTTTTCATACATACATCTACGACTACTCATCACAACGGACTTCTCATTAAACATTCTGATAGCAATTACTGATCACAATGGATGGACTGGACATTAATATAATACTAAATCGTAATCAACGGGATTCATGGCTAGAATATCCTCAGCGTTTGCGCTCGATGCGCCACTTGTAGACCCTTGGTTTGTACGTCTCGTCCGACTTTTTGATATAAGTTTTCCTAGAACGGCCCCCTCTCGCATCTAACGCGTCTTCATCTTCATCAGAGTCATCGCCAAGTTTCTCTGGCGCACTGATCCTCTTTCGTGCACCCTTGCCCATCATCAACCGTTGCATCTCAAATTCTCGTTCTGCATATCGCATCTGTTTGTCCCGCACCAACCGAGCAGAAAGCTCCTTCAAGAGACGCTGGCGATTTTGCGTAGCCGAGCCCTCCATTTCTTTGCGGAAGTCAGCACCGTCAGCATCATCATTTCGTACGGATTTCCGTTTTTTGGATCGAGGTGTCGCGTCTGGTTCTACCCAACCTAGATCTGCCGGTTTGGCGTTGGTATCTTCATCGATGACATGGGAACTGGAAGGATACGAAGGACCAACATAGTTCGGCACTGGATATGTATCAACTTCGGTATCTTGAAAGAAGGGTGATTTACACACCGACTTGGTCTTCAACGAAGACAATATGCCGCTGTGAATGTTTACTAAATTTGTCGGATATAATACCAGCATCTTGGAGAATTTCAAGCTCCTCGGCATCGAGGCTATTTTCCTCCGGATCCTTGGCCAAGACAAGATCTGCGAGAGCTGTGAGTTGAGCTTTGATTTTGTCGATTTTCTTTACAAGCATCAGTATCAAAGCATTCAGTTGAGATGATGTAATACCTTTAGTCCTGCAACTCGCATGGTTCTGATGTAGTTCTCGTCTTGGGTTTTGAGTACCTTTACAACATCGGTTGGCAATGCAACGTTTCCTCTGTCCTTGACGTGAATGCCTCGCTGCCACAAAGTCAGCTTGAAGTCAGAAGTAAGAAACAGGCCCATACCTTCGTTTTCTCCTTTGTCATCGAAAAGTAAAATTCATCCTTGTTCCTCTCTGCAGCTTTCTGTCTCAGCCGCGTTAACCTATCTTGTTTGGAGTGATAGTCCTTGGCTCGTTTGACATAGTCTTTGTGCTTTTCGAGGAAACCAAGCTTCGCCCTGTGAGCTAATTGGGATCTTTCTTTGTGGTTGCGTCTGTGAATCGAATTTCGAAGGGAGGTCATCGTGATGGTACAAAAAATGAATTGCCGAATTGGGAGTCGATAATCGTAAACAACGTGACACAAAGCGAGTGTGGGAAACAAGGAATTCTCCCAAATTTCCTCAACTTCCCGATTTTTAGACAAAAATCTTTCCCCGCTTATCCCGACTGGGATTGTATTTCGGTCTCTCGATTACTCGGTATGAGTTTCCAGCATTTTAGATTAGGTGAAATGGCCATGGCCAATCCCCCACCTCATCTTATGCACCTCCACGGTTCGGCTACAAATATACACGGCCATCCTCAGCAATCCCAGCAATCCTCCCAATTTACTACTATAGATAATACAAACAATTCTTTTTCCAACAATACATCTAAGATTTCCCCCGGTTCTTCCAATAAACAACCTTACGGATCGGGAGACACCGATGATGGCTATACACTTGTTTTTCCAAACCTTGCTGCATTCAACGAGTGGCGAGAAAGAGAAGAAGAAAATCAGGTCGTAGAATTTGTGAAGGTACTGCATATCTCAATAATGCACCCGCATCTGCTGACCTCTTTTTGGTTATAAAGGGTGACACTCATGGTAGTAAAGCAGTACCTCCACGTTTCAAGGATCATACGAAATTAGTTTGCGCTCGACATTCGCGGAGTGGGCGAAAGAAATATGTCAAAAAACATCCAGAAAGAGTGAGAAAAGTGCCCAGTCGGAAAGTAAGTGACAATCACTATTTTGACGAACGTTGGACTCACAACAATGCAGCTGGAAGGTCAAGGTTGTCCTGCATCGATTAGTTTCAAAACATACTATGACACTGATGAAATTCGAGCCTGCTGTGAGTTTTGAGTAGCACTCAATCTATCTTGTGCTGATGGACGACCACAACAGATAATTCTCAACACTCTCATGAAATAGGGCCTGCCAATTTAGCATTTACTCGTCGAGGCCGCAGGGCCGCTGCGGAGGCGGAGAAGACTAAGTCGAATAAACATATTCGGTTTGCAAATGACACCAACTCCGTCAACGATGCTTCGACCTCTACATCCATTGCCGGACCTTCAGCTATTCCCCAATCCTTGCCTGCTAACAATTACACATCCGCCGTATCTATGATCGCCCCTCTCCCACCCACGCAAAACTCTTACCAGACTACTCCGTCACAATCCTACAATTATCAAACTCAGTACCAGTATGCCTCCACACCCGCCCCAGTCCCTCCTCCGGCTCCAGTGCCGCCCCCGCAGTCCAGCAACGACGCCTTTAGTCATGATCGTTGGGCAAATATGGAGACTTTGTTCCAATCTGTTCGGGAGCATGCTAGGACTTTCGCATACCCTAGTGCTAGTGTTGCAGTCCTGGAAACTGTTCTCATACGGCTGTTCCTGGAAAGTCCTTCTCAGCCTGGAATGGGTCAGCAGCCAATGACCGCTCCATTGATGCCACAATCTATGTCAACACGCATGGATGACGAGGACGGCTCCTCAGAAGAGACATGATCATGATCTTTATAACACTTCATCTCGTAGTGGCTTATTTATTCTTCGTCTCAAACAGCTCATGTAGTCAGTTTTGTAATCAATTCCTTGTATTATACCTAGAATGTATCAAAATCAGTGTCGTCTACTGATGTTTGACGAACAATCCAGTTACAGAATTTTACCGGCGCCTTTCGCAAAAACACAAACATATGACAAATTCTCCCTGTACAGAGATTGACAGTTATCGAAGTATGCTTGGTATTGGCTAATTGTAGATTGAAGTCGCGCCGTGGGTATAAGGAGGTATAGGGCCTCCGTATACTAGGCACACCATTAACGTGGTGGCAACGCTTATCTGTGTTGAGGGCGTGAATCTATCTATCTATCTAGGTGATGAGCAGAGCCGGAAGCTTTAAAACCAAACAAGTTCAAAGTGTACCTGCACATCGAAAAAATGGCCTCAGGCGGGTCGATAAAAAGTGAGCTGATGGCCAGTCTCGGCCGGAAGACAGATGCATCTGTACCATAAGTGCACCATGCACAAGATGCATCCAACTCTTAGGGGCTTTCTGAATGGCAGGGGGATCTGTGGAGCAGGTCTTCCACAGCCAGCAACACACCAACCATCAGTTCTGTATCTTTCCCAACCTACCTCTGGTTTTGCAATCTGCTGTCAGACCTTGCAAGGAAGGTGATAGATTGTCTTATTAAAAGCAAGCTGTGAACCTGGCTGTAGAACATGATACGAGCAAAGCGAGCCACCGTGGCAAAGGCATGGGTTTCAAAGCTTCTTAGTAATAAACGGATGAATCAATGATGGTGACAGCGTGTCCTCCAGCGAGTCCATCAATCACTCTTCAGATCCAAGGCTACAAACAGTAACTTGCCCTAGGCCTTAGAGCCCAGCAGCAGCTACAATGGCATCAAAATTTGGTGTACCAAACCCAGTAGCCGGGTCCCCTATGAAATGCAACATCAAGAGTCAGTCCATACATTGTAGAAAGAGAAGGGTAAGAACATATCAAAAGGCCGAGGGAAAAGAGGAAGAACCAGTGAAAATCAGATTGAGCAAGACTTACATCCTTCCACAGCAGACCAACCTAAAGTACCGGGACCTGTTGATGAAAAACATAAGTACAATATCTAACGAAGGAAGAGGAACAAAGTCACAGAAAGATAGAGTAATATAATGAAGAGAACGGAGAAAAGAGAAAATGAATGGACTGACAATCAGCAGGAACAAGACCCGGAGTACTCCCGTCCACTATGTCAAAGAACGCTTGAGGGTTGGAGTAGATGCTGCACGAATTTCAACACTGAGAATAACAACAACATACAAAGGCCACACTACTGACAAAGGATTCAAAAATCCCAATACCGGCTTGCCCTCCGCAATCAACCTATCATTCACCAAACTGATTACACTGGCGAAAATCGGGCTGGAAGCTGAAGTGCCCTCTTCTAGCGCCTGTAGTACACTGGTTGTGAAATGAACAGCGAAAACAAGGAAGGAGCAATTACTCACATCTTGACCGTTAGAAATTATTGGTATATTTTCACCCTGGGCTGCGATATCAGGTACTGCGCGTCCGGAAGAGTTGTAGAGGCCCTCATTAATTGTGCCAATAGAGGAGAAATATGAAGAGACAGCAGAATCTTGGTATGAGGGTCTAGAGAAGTAGTTGGAGAATCCGCCTACAGAATGACAAGCAAGTGGGAGTATTAAAAGTCCAGTATTACAGGATGAGAAACATGACAAGGAATATACTAGACTGACCGCCACTGAAATTCGAAGCAACCTCCGGACTAATTTTTGTAACAGAACCAACGGCGGTGACATAGGGGCATGCGCTAGGGAACGCAGTGAATAAAGTTAGGTTGGTGGCACCTGCTATACATCCACCTAGGGAAAATCGTGAATGCTATTACCTTAGGGATAATTAGTAGTGACATCAAACTTACCTGCACCGTCGTCGCCTAGTGAAGAAAGCACAAGAGATTTAGCAAAAGTGAACGAAATACAAAGCTGGTAATACCAGAAGAAACCAATAACGAAATCCCACGCGAGCTAGCTTGCATGAGCGAGTTACAAACTTGTCTAAAGTCAATCAGAGTACGCCGATATAATCAGAACAGGTTCAATAAGACAGAAAATGTGAAAGGATTGCACACTCCATCAGTCCTGCATCACTGGGCGTAAAAAAACCCTCCGCAATGCCATAGCTAGTCGTGACCACTGGTGGCGGATCATCCGCTGTAATGAGGTACTCCGCTAAATCAGTCAAACTGGTGAAGAAATCAACGCCGCTGAAGCCGACCGCGATGAATTGGGTGGCGACGTTGGTGGCGATGCCAACTGTGTATTGAATGTCAAGGCTCTAGCAGTAAATGAGAGGGATGAGGTGCAATCGCAAGGAAATAGCGCGGCAAGGATAGTTACAGCCTCGAAAGACGCATCACCGGTCTCTTGCGGATCAGTCCCGTTCGCAACACTGACAACAGTAAAAGAAGTATTGGGAGACATGTCGGGTCTGTATTCAGTGATAAAAGTCTCCAAATCCGATTTCTGTGTATTTCATTACATGACGATCGTGTTAAAGAGACTGTTAATACCAAAAAAGACACACACCAGAGCCCAGTTGGATTGCAAGGCAGACACCCCGAGGCTATTAGAAGACTGAGTCGCAGATGTGCTAGGGATCCCGTACAAGGACTGTAAACATGAAGGTGGAACCAATGTTTCACACGACGCAGGTGCTGTATTGGCTCGAGTTGTGAGCTTGGTACTGACAGCTCTGCGAGAGGGGGAAGAGGCTTTAGGATAGAGAATGGTTCGCCCGTTCCGATTGACAGGAGGAGCAAATGCAGTCGAGGGATGAACGAGAGTAATGTGCTCTGACAAGTGGGTGGGGATGCTATAAGCAGATGTGTACAACCCCCATGACTGGATTACTTGGGAGTTGCTATGGGAGCTATAGGTGAAATTGGTGTACTCTGCACTTAGGAGATTGTTTGCCTTTGCGACTGAAATCGAGAAGGACAAGTATTCGCCAAATGGGCCGGTTGGTGTAGCTGATACGTTCTGCGACTCAAGCCAGGAGGTAACGGCTGTTACAGAATCGGATGGTGGAGCGGCATATGTCTTTATCTGTACTCTGTTAGGCGCGTTGTCTGATGGTCATTCGAAGTAACATACCTGGTCTTGAGTCAAATATTGGCCGTAAGACGCGCTTCCAGGAGTACTGATCTCGTAGAGCTTTGATTGGAGCCCCGCATTGTTCGTTGCCTTGAGTGCAATCCGAATATCAATGGTCGCTTCGTTAGACGGTGTCCCAATTAGCGTAAATCCAGGTGGAATCACATCGAATTTGGATTCGCGGGAATGCATGACTGACGATGCAGCGCAAACTTGGAGTAGAAAAAGCGAGATGAAATTAGCCGCAGCTGATTTGAAACCTGGCATGGTGGGTAGCCCCAGTCAACTTGAACTTCAAGGTCCATGGAGGTTCATGAGGTATTTATATGTTTTATATTTCCAATCGGTGAATGTTCACCGGGTTGAACTTCTGAGCCACATGAAAAGAAGGTTGAATTAAGGTATGTATAGTCCATGGATTGCCAAATATGAGAACACCGAAAGCACATTCGTAAAAGGGATGGCCGTGGTCGTGGGAATCTGTTCTTTGAAGCCTCTGTATCTTTTCTTCACATCGCCGGGTTCAAAGGTGAAATTCCTGGGGAATGCAAAGATAAACTTTATAGGCATGATCTGATAAGGAGACTAGCCTATCTAAAAGCTTCTAAAAGTTCCCCAATACATTTCACTGTAGGGAAACTCTGAACCCAGCGATGTGCTTGTTGCTGTGCTGGCTACCTTGACAAGATGGACGGTAGAACCGGAAACAACGTCATTGTCGCCCACAGGCTCCCAATGAAGGTCATCAAGAAACACAATGATGAGCGAAGCAGGAGGGAAGCCAAAACGCAATGAATAATGAGCGTCGAATTACTTTGACATATTTGTTTGTGTAAATAAGTCCGAGTTTAGGAGACTTCAGTACAGTTTACTCAAGGTGCCTCATCTCTTCTCAGAGCCCTGCAGCAGCAACGATAGCGTTAAAGTTTGGTGTACCGAACCCAGTAGCCGGATCCCCTGTGAGGTGTGTGACGCGCGATATTGTCAGTTTATACAAAAAGATGAGACGAGGGCAAATGAACAAAGAAGCGAGTGTGAAAAGGGAACAATGTCGGCAAAGAGAATAACACTTACATCCTTCTGTAGCAGACCAACCTACAGTTCCAGGACCTGTTGAAAAAACCAGGACGATATGTGATAAATAACGAATCAATAAAGAAAGTCATGGAAGGGGTAGGAGTCAGAGGATAACAAAAGGGGAAGAGGAGATTTATACTGACAATCAGCGGGTACAAGGCCTGGAGTACTTCCATCGACGATATCAAAGAATGCTTGAGGGTTGCTGTAGATGCTAAAGACACCAAATATAAAACACTCAGAGAGACATACGAGAGACGGGGTGGGAATCTCGAGTACTCACAAAGGATTCAAGAAACCCAGCACTGGTTTACCCTCCGCAACAAGCCTATCGTTAACTAAGCTGATTACGCTCGCAAAAATGGGACTTGACGCCGATGTGCCCAGCTCTAAAACCTACAAATAGAATGTAAATTGCAGATGAAGAAGGCCCAAAGATAGTGAGGAATAAATGAGTACTCACCTGTCTACCATTGGTGATGATAGGTATGTTTTCACCTTGAGCAGCGATATCAGGAACCGCTCGTCCTGAAGTATTGTATAGACCCTCATTGGCGGAACCAATGGATGAAAAGTACGAAGAGACGACGGTGTCTTGGTAAGAGGGTCGGGAGAAGTAGTCTGAAAAACCACCTATGGGAAAATAATAAGGTCGTCAAGAAAGTCGAGAATATATGGAAACGAAGCAGGACAAGAACATGGACTGACCACCGCTGAAATTTGAAGCAACTTCCGGGTTAATTCCTGTAACAGACCCAACGGCAGTGACGTAGGGGCACGCAGCAGGAAACGCAGTGAATAGAGTGAGGTTGGTCGTGCCTGCTGTACACCCGCCTAATTGATGAGAACGTAAATGATAGCAAAACTTTGGAAGAATAATCAGATCAGCTTACCTGCACCGTCGTCACCTAGTTAAAAAGGAAAAGAGGTCTTTGTGATCAGATGACGATGCCTCAGAATTAGACATACCAGAAGCAAACATCAAAGAGATGCCACGCGAGGTAGCTTGCATGAAAGAGTTACAAACTTGTCTGGACCTAGTCAAAAACAACGAAGAGATTATCGAAAAGATTACTCACTCCATCAACCCCGCTTCACTAGCTGTCAAAAATCCCTCTGCAACTCCGTAACTGGTCGTCACCACTTGCGGGGGATCATCCGCGGTAATGAGGTACTCCGCCAAATCAGTCAAACTTGTGAAGAAATCAGTATCGATGTTGCCGACAGAGATGAAGTCGGTGGGAACGTTGGTGGCAATACCGACTGTGTATTGAACATCAAGGCTCTTAGAAAAACAAGAATGATATATCGGTGCGGAAGATACACATGACGGGCCACTTACCGCCTCATAAGACGCATAACCCTCTTCTTGCGGATTTGTCCCGTTTTCAACGCTGACGAGGATGAAAGTTGTATTGGAAGACATGTCTTGTCTGTATTCAGTAAGGAAAGCTTCCAGGTCCGTTTCCTACATATACTCAATACTAGTAAATGGACCACGACGAGGAACATTTACCAAAGCCCAATTAGATTGCAAAGAAGCAACTCCGAGAACATTGGAAGGCTGGGTCGCAGGCGTGCTGGGAATACCGTACAAGGATTGCAGACATGAAGGTGGAACCAACGTCTCACAAGACGCAGGAGCGGTATTAGCTCGCGTCGCGAACTTGGCACTAGCAGTCCTACGAGCAGTCGCAGCAGCTTTGGGATATAGAATAGTTCGCCCGTTCCGATTGACAGGAGGAGCAAACGCAAACGAGGGATAAACGAGGGTAATGTGCTCCGCCAAGTCAGATGGAATGCTATAAGCGGACGTGTATAAGCCCCACGTATGGGTTACCTGGCTGGTGGAAGAGCTAGGTGAGCTATAGGTGAAATTAGTGTACTCGGCATTGAGAAGGTTGTTCGCCTCTGAGACTGGGATCGAGAAAGATAAGTATTCCCCAGAAGGGCCAGTTGATGTAGCCGATATATTCTGTGATAGAAGCCAGGAAGTAACGGCTGTTATGGAATCAGATGATGGGGCAGCGTATGATTTTATCTGTATCGTTCATCAGGACGCGGAATTTCTTCTATGGAAAACCCAGCATACCTGATCTTTGGTTAAATACTGGCCATACGACGCGCTTCCAGGAGTACTGACTTCGTAAAGTCTCGATTGAAGTCCCGCATTGTCCGCAGCCTTGAGAGCGATTCGAATATCAATGATCGAGTCACTGGGTGGTGTCCCGACTAGTGTGAATCCAGGAGGAATCACGTCAAAATTGGATTCGCGGGAGCGCAGGACTGAGGGCCCGGCGAAAACTTGCAGTGGAAAGAGCGAGAGAAGAGCAGTCGCAGTTAATTTGAGACCTGGCATGGTGGGCAGGTAAAGTCAACCTGAACCTGGTGAGTTTGGCGATGTCCATGCGGCATTATATATTATTCTTCCGTCGGACGGTGAGTGTTCACCGAGTGAACATGCGGGAAGAAGGCCCTAGAAGGGTGAGCCTGGGTGAACTCGGGTACGTATTATTGTGTATGATTCCAAGTCCATGAGAGTCGACCAGGAGTCGACTCTAATGATCTGACAACTCCGAACTCGATATCGTGAAACGTGACCGTCGGCTTCCGAATACCGAACGCTATTTAGCAGCCTCTCTCTCTCCACTACCATGTCGGCTATAACATTCGCTCGTCAAGCTTTTAACAGGGAAAAGCCACATGTCTGCGCTTATACACTTATCTTTCTGATACCCTCGCTGATTCTTACTTTGGCTCAGTCGTCAATCACAGATTGGGTCGATATCCTTACGGCAAATCATGTTGAGGAGGAGGCTTATGATGGGTTCGCTCTTCCACATTCATTGACAGGCCCTGGCCAATATTTATATGCTCTAGGATACCTGAATTAGTCGACTCCATCAATCTACAAGGTCTTACTGGGTATAACTGTTTTCCTCCAAGATCTTGAAACAAGTCGATAAGATGATCTACCCCCTTCAGCACTAGTGAAGCCTCTCGAGCACTTCGAAAGAAGCTGAAGCATGGCGGATCTCATCAGCAGTACCGCTCTCTCGTGGTGAGTGATGGTCATACTTTAACATTCTTCCTCCCATTTTTTGGCAGATATTGAAAGCTCTAGTTGAGAATTGTGGCGATAAATTCAAAAGTTTGTTGAAGAAGCACCGCTCTCTGACACCTTGTAACTAAATTACAATCGGTAGCCTCCTTCGCTGATGGTCAGCTTACCGATGCATTGCGTCAAATCGCTGGAGACCGAACCGCCGACAAGCGAGTGCAGAAGAAGCTCAAGCTAGTTCTGATATCATGGCATGAACAGTTCAAGACAGATCCATCCATGCGCTCTGTATCTGAGCTATACCACATGTGCAGGGATATACAACCCGCCAAACCCGCGATAGATCCGATAGAGGTAGAAGCTGCTCATAGACGAGCAGAGAAAGAGGAGGCAAAACGGAAGGCCAAATCAGAGAAGGAGGAGGCACGTAAGAAGGAAGAGGCCGAGCGATTAAAGCAGAAGCAGATGAAGAATAGGCCGAAGCGTGCCCCATTCAATTTTGAGCAGGTTCGTGTGGTGGATCGATCATTCATCCTGTGACCTTACGTTCTATGTATAGGAAAAGCCTAAAGTCCTGAGTAGTATTGTAGAAGCTTCTCAAGCCTCTAGTAATCTGGTCAACGCAATAACGGTAATCACTCTTCTTGTAACTCTACGATTCAAATCCAATGACACCATCATGATATATCAGCTCGTCAATCCAGAGAAAGAAAGCCTTCAGTCCAGCGAACGTGTTCAAGATTGTTTAGCAAAGGCTAAACTAGCACGGAAACCAATTGTGCGATATATACAGGTGTGATTCATCTTTCCCTTACATTATTTGGGCTCAATCTATCAAGCTCGTCGAGAATGAGGAAGTGATTGGTGTCCTCATTGAAACCAACGATCGTATCATTGCTGCGCTGGAGATGTACGATAATATGTCCTCCCCAGATTCCAAATCCGACCAAAGCTCTGCCATCGTTGCAGGATTAGCCGCTACGCATATCGGTCCAGAAAGCGAGGTTATAAAATTACAGGAGAAGCAGAAAGCCGCCGTGCAGAAGGCCAAAATGAATGGTTCTCTACGAAGCGATTCAACAGGCGGTATATACGCAGACTTGGAAGATTTAAATTTCGGGACACTCGGTGCATCATCGAGCAATCTTCCACCTCCGTTACGCCCGACTAGCATGTCTGGGGAGAGCACCGGAGTTGGAGCTGATACACGTGGTTCGCTCTCAGACTTCAGTGATTATGAGTCTTCAGATGAGGAGACTCACAACGCAAGAGTCTCGTCGAAGTATGCTACCGATGATTACTACACATCTGATGATGATGGGGCAAATGGGTCTCGAGGTATGAAGACGGTGAAGACCAAGGCATCTATCGACGATCCTTTTGCTGATCCTTTTGCGGACTGAGGGGAATATACTGTATCTATAATCAAGATTGTATATATATATGTAAGTCTTGAACTGCGCAATTATACTTTTATCCACTCTTCAAGATTTCCACTTCACAACTGTGTTTCGAGATCCGGTCCCTAGCCAGTACGGTTTCAATACTGCTGGTAATGTTATCGAAACAGGTTCTCCCGCTTCGTCAAATTCTACCCCATTCTCAATCAAGGCGACTATCAAGCGTGGAATGGCGGCGGCAGTTCCGTTTAGTGTATGTGCAAAAACATTTTGTTTACTTGCTTCGAGGTGGTGCCGAATGTGCAAACGACGCGCTTGGTAATCCGTACAATTTGACAAAGAGGAGACCTCCCCCCAACCGCCGCGCCCGGGCATCCAAACCTCCATGTCGTATTTGCGATAGGCACTAGCTCCAAGTTCCTCAGTTGGCATATCGAGTGTTCTGGATGCAAATTGCAATAGAAATATCGAAAGGAATAGGAGGAATTCTTACCGTACGGGAAGATCTAATTCTCTAAGAATTGAATCCTGAACCTGTCGTATTTCCTCCATCATGTTCTCGCTCTCCTCGGCTATGGTCACGGCGAATAATTCAACTTTAGTGAACTGATGAACGCGGTAAAGCCCTCGAGCTTCAGCACCTCGAGCACCAGCTTCCGCTCGGAAGGCATGTCCAACACCAACAATCTTTTGTGGTAGAGCTTTCGAGGGAAACAGCCGATCAGCAAACATTCCTGCAAGTGGTATCTCAGCTGTACCCGCAAGGATGAGTTCTGGTGTGGACGGTGAGGTGGAATGAAGATGGTAAGATTGTGTATGGTGCGGATGCGACGGGTCTCTGGGCTGGAAACCACATCTTCGTGCAATGTCTGAGCGTACAACGTCCGGGGTTGTGACAGGCTGGAAGCCATGCCGTATGGCCACAGACATGGCATAATTTGTGAGAGCAAGCTCAAGGAGAGCACCTTCATTCATGAGGAAGTACCAGGATGTTCCAGAAACATTTGAAGCATTTTCCATGTCAACCAGCTTCAGTTTCTTCGCGACTACTAGATGATCCCTCGCAGACGATACGGGTAAACAGGCTGGTCCTTGGGTCGCTAAAGTGATAGCAGCTGATTCAGGTCCAAGAGGTGAGGAAGGATGGGTATCGTTGGGTATCGCTAGTGCCAGCTCGAGAAGCTCGCTTTCCAAATGTGAACATGTAGTTTCCATCTCTGCAATTTCCTCTTTCAAGGCCTTCCCTTCCTTCAGCGCATTTTCTTTAGCTTCAGTATCATTCCGACATGCACTACTGCGAATTGTTTCGCCTATCATCGAACGAGCATTTCGTTTCTCGTTCAGCAAGCTGGATGCGCTCTTGAATTCTTTATGCAGTCGAGAGACTTTTTGTATAGCGTCTGCAGGGAGAGGTGCCTTTCGATTGATAGCATTCGTGGATTTGTATACAAAATTTTCGGAGATGCTGCGGTAGTCCAGCCGTGGTGGAGGGAGCATGCTTGAAGTGTCGACGACGGGCGAGGACGAAGCATAGCGACAAGGAAAGTACGTTTTATCTGGGTTCGGTTAGCATCTGTTTACCCAGCAACGAATCCAATCCTACGTACAACAATGAATAAATTTTGGAAGAGGTGCCCGCGCCGGACAAGAGAACATTGTTACTCTTATGAAGGAAGTTTCGCGTAGCGTCACGACTCACGCGTGACATAGACGCGTCTCTTTCTCAATGTTTTCCTCGGGCTCGAATACGAAAAAGGCCCCCAATGGCTCAGATGTGCCGTATGAGCTTCCTTGGTGAATTCGTTCGTCCTTTCGTATCGGTTTATCATGCTCATATTCCATAGGGTTGAGAAATACAGACCTCAGGTCCTTGATGATGTTGTGGGTAACTCGGAAACAATCGAACGGCTCAAGGTCATCGCAAGGGAAGGAAACTGCCCTCATATCATAATATCTGTATGCGCAAGCTCGTTTAAGCAAATAAAATCTCATACATCCTAGGGTATGCCAGGAATCGGGAAAACTACGAGCATACATTGTCTCGCCCATCAACTGTTAGGAGATGCGTACAAAGAAGGCGTTTTGGAGCTCAACGCTTCGGATGAACGGTGAGGGCCATGATAATTAGCTTCCTGTTACATCTCTGACGCGTAGCAGGGGCATTGACGTTGTTCGAAATAAGATCAAGGCTTTTGCGCAAAAAAAAGTCACGCTGCCACCAGGGAGGCATAAGATCGTTATTCTGGATGAAGCTGACAGGTAATATCCGCACTCAGAAACAGACTCCTGCTGTGAGCGGGCTTGATTAACCGACCATGTCAGTATGACGGCAGGTGCTCAACAAGCTCTTCGGCGAACAATGGAAATATTTTCGAACACAACTCGGTTTTGTCTTGCGTGCAATATGAGCAATAAGATCATAGAACCAATACAGAGTCGTTGCGCCATACTGAGGTATGCCAAATTGAGGGACAAGGAGCTATTGAAGCGTCTAATAGAGGTTTGTGAGATGGAAAAGGTATGCATCTTCTTTGACTTGTTTGACTAGACTGACGGACTGCTTAGGTCCAGTACAACGACGACGGCCTGACTGCTCTCATCTTTACGTCCGAAGGTGACATGCGACAAGCAATCAACAACCTTCAGTCTACGCACTCTGGGTTCGGTTTCGTTTCAGGAGACAACGTCTTCAAAGTCTGCGACCAGCCCCATCCTATCATAGTTCAAGAGATAATCAAATTCTGCACGGAAGGCAAGGTAGACTCTGCGATGGACAGGCTGACTGACCTGTGGGATAACGGCTACAGTGCAGTAGATATTGTTGTCACGATATTTCGAGTGGTCAAAACGTCTGATAGGTAAATCTGGTCCTAATTATCTTATTTTCACTGAGAATCTTCTTATCAGTATGCCCGAATACACGAAACTGGAATATATCAAGGTAAACTCATTCGCTAGCGCCATTTCAGTCTTTTTCACTCCGTGTTAGGAAATTGGTTTTACGCACATGCGAATTCTGGAGGGCGTAGGGACTATCCTCCAACTTGCAGGTCTTGTTGCGCGATTGTGTAAAATGGTTGGCCCTTTATCAAAACGTTATCCTTTTCTTGACCCCTCTCTTCTAGAACATAGATTCGAACATGTTTAAGATATGATTTCTCGACGTGTGTATCTAAGGCTTTTAAGGTCAGGACTACTTCTAGGTTGTTTCCTGTTGCTCCCGGGAAAAATGGACATTATTGAGTTCGGAACGAGGTTGCCTATCTTAGGAAGCATTCTTAGTCAGTCATCGTAACTACATTTTGAAGCAACAAGAAAGCCCCAAAATGGTAGTCATGACTGCTTTCTTTGGTTCGATCGTCAACGCGTTTCGTGGCAGCGATTTCATGATGAGATTCCCAGATGTCCAGCGATGCGTTAACGCAAGCGACTAGTGGTCGAGCAGACGTGACGATGCCTATACAAGAGACTTCTTTGTGTCCCGACTGACTTGAATTATTGACAATCGCAAGATTGTAAATACCCCTGGGTGGACGGAGGAAATGGAGAATGGATCTCTAAAACGAACCTCTATGAACCTGCGCTGTGTCAAGAGAATATAGGCGGTATAAGTTCTGTGCGAACTAGATTCATATATTCGGTACATCAGTATGTAAAGTCTTTCAAGACTTGAAGCCGATTTTGTAACTACAGAGCAGAATACTTAGAAAGTAAGTAATAAAGAAACAGAAATTACAGGCAAAGCAAACGAGAACCCCAAACAAATCGACAGCTCGAAGATGTCAATCTGTTATCAGCTCTGATACGCTCCAATCCTCGAAGCTACCGTCTGGAAGATATCTGCGGATAATGAGCGGAATTTTTCGTTGAGATAACTCTTTTATGGCGATTTGTAAAGCATCGGTTTCGCCGTCTAGAGGAACCAATACTGGAGCATTCATGCTGCATGGGATGAGTGACTTCATCAACTTCGTCGAAGAGAAATAAAGCACCTGATTTGCAGCGCTCGGGTCCCTAATATCCTCGCGCGTTCGTACTTCGTCAAATACGGCGTCGTTATCCGGACTTTGTTTGCTTGTCGCTCGCCTGTCATCCCTGCGCCTGCAGTGGGCTGTGGTTGCTGCTCCTCGCCATTGCCTGTCTCTTGATCATGTTCAACGCCATTGACTCCGTTCACCTGTGCTTCTCCTTCTACTGCACCATCTTCAGCAGCGCCTTCGTTCTCCGCCGTAAGCAAGTCATAGGTATCGTCCTACAGCAATTTTCGGAGCGAATGAATCAATTGAGCAACAACGATATTACGAGATGTATGGCGTAGGGACGAACAAACGGTTCTTCCGCAAAACTGATGTTCAAAGGTGACTATTCGCTGATTTTGTGCACAATGGGAAAGAGGGTACCTGGGCCCGCCATAATCAAAGTCATCCCTGCCTCCACCTCCGTACTCATCATCAGACATGGTATCAGAAAAAAGTCAAGAGATTGCAGTTGGGAAAGTCAAGGTGGGGGGAACTGAGCTGCTTCTGCCTGCCGGCAAAATTTTGCCGGCACACAACCGTTTTTTCCTCAGGTACCACCGTGGTGATAATATTTTATTTTCCTTCCGTTGCCAGTGAGGAAAAAAACAAAGTATCTCTTTTCTACAAAGCCCAAAACTCCACGACCCTTCTCCCGTTGGCTCCAATTTCTTCATTTCCGAGAATTGAACCGCTTCTGTAGGCTTCTGTACGCTTCTGAGTTTGATGAGATATGAAGTCTTGATCTGACATTGGATCTTCTATAGACAAATGTACCTGTTTTACCAGGAAAAAAGCTTATACTAATACAGGTCCATTGTGGGTAGGTGTGTCGCATGTTGATGCTTCGAGGATGCCGTTGAACAATGTCAAGTAAAAAACGCGAAATAACAACGGCTTCAGCACTTGAAATGCTGGCAGTGAGCGCAAGATATGGGATGATATTTGGAGCAGATTTATGCCACCGGAAAGCGAACTGGCGATCCCGGGTCCGACACTTACAGAAGTTCTCGTATCGACGCCCTCGTGATTCGGAAGCAAGGTTCGGGAAAATCAGTTGCTAATCCTAGCTGTGGGTCACACCAACTTGACAACGGCTCAAATTTTAACGGTAGATCTATCATAAAACGTGTGTTCTGGACTACAAATCTCAAGGTACGGAAGATTGGAATGGAAGCTCCATTACTTCTGCAATAGTCCGTCTTCCGACATAGGGCAAGAAAAAGAACTAGAAAAGCGTTGTGTGAGCCGCGGAAAGTTCAAAAAGCTGGCTGAAAATACCCTGATAACCGGACAAGGTCAGGATCTGAGAGGCTTCTTTTGGCATGACAGAAACCTAGTAGTGGGCAGAAAAATATGGGATCGTCGTTAACTGTCAATTTGACCGCGTCGGGCATCGAGAAACGTGTAGAATTTGGCGACGAACCAAGCTGTGGCGGAGACAAGCCGGATTTTACATTGATTATCTGTTTTCCGAATTTGGTTCAAATGATTTCTGAACAAGATCTAAATTCATTGCGCCGGATTTCGGCCAAGCAATCAAGTTGGTCCAAAGTTGAACTCGACAAGGGTCTTCCGTCTTTAAATCTGAAGCGTTTTCTCTCTCCCACCATCTTCCTTTTCTTCATCTAGAAAATATTAACAGTTTCTAACTATTATGCCTTCCAAGTTTTCTGCACGCACCTGGGGCACTCGTTTTGATTCTCTTCCTCTTTCGTCCCCGCCTCTTGCTTCTCCGAAGTCCAGCGCAGCCGCCACGGAGAACGTTGGCCAGTCGTCAAATCCTGTAGACTCGCCTTTCGTTGAGAAAGTTGAAAAAACATCTCACGACGCCAGCGTCTTTGTTGGGAGGTAAATCACCAGTAGTACACTATCCTCGTCGTAGCGATGCTCACATTCTTCTTCTTTCCAGCCTTCCCATCAATGTTGACCACAAGGAACTGAGCGCCATGCTGTCTCGGCACCTTTCCGAATTTGCCCAAGTCAAATCCGTCAAGGTTATCCGCGACTCCAAGGGCGGTGTATGTGCTTTCGTTCAGTGCGAGGTAAGCCTTTCTCTAAGTATATGCGTAGCGAGTCAATAATTTTCTATTTCAGGATGCCGATTCCGCCACCAGACTAATCCAGACACTCCAGACTTCTCCCCCGAAGCCTTTCTTTGGCCGAATCTTGCGGTTTGAGCCCGCCAGAGCCTATCGTTCATTGTTAATATCCTATCGGTAAAGTCAATGTCACTGAGCGCATAAATGATATCTAATAATCAACAGTACACCAACCCAGAAAATCATCTCTACGAATGAAAATTCCTCGGCTGAGAGCATTGTCGAGCTCACTCTTCCTGCCGCTATGAGGATCAACAAATTCAAAAGTTCAAAGTTCGTTAGCCTAAAATTCTTCTAGTCGTATACTCTTCACTCACCATCATTTTGATCTTAAGATCGGCCGCAATCTTCTACAACGACGAAGCTATTCATATGGAAACACAAGCTGAAGGGATCTCAGCTTCCACACATGAAATGAGCTTCTTTCAAGCGCCTGTGTTTTGCGATGCAGCTGTGAGTTGTTTGTGTTCAAAATTGTAGAGTATAATCGTCAGATCGGAGTTAGGTACTGCTACTAGTTCGATCGATATCAGTGTTCTTGAAGTCGCGTGGTCTTAAGTCCTTTTTGACCTTGAATCTCATTTCAGACCCTCAAAGCCATCTGTGGTTTTTTCGGACCCTTGGAACATTTCCTGTTGTTGAAAACACCAGGCAAGATTCTTTCGTCGGGACATAACGTGGTCATTGATTGCTCTTCCATTTGCCAGGCAATGATGGTATTGATGATGAGGATCTGTCTTCCTATCCGGCTCCGCACGATGCACCTCGCCAATCCCATATGGACCAGGGTTGCTTCGACGTGAAATGGACACAACGCGATGACTGCATGAGCGCGTTCATGGTGAGTCATTCCTTTCGCTTATATGTCGTATCATTCCTTTCTCATCTTCTTCGATTTTTAAGGCTCTTCGCCGAGTTCCTCATTTGACTGTTACTTGGGCACACGTCGCGCCTGAGCGAGAGATACTCCACCCGAGTCGACTGAATCAACCGTACCCGACCTTCCCGCGAGTACGCTCTGTATCGGGCACGGGTCATTCCTCTGCTCACTCTCCGCGGGGCCTTGCTCCCCGTCCAAACACAACCGACTCGAATAACTGGAAGATTGTTCCTCAACCCCAATCTGCACATCCTGGTACGATTCTGATCCCTCAAGATGAACCTGACTGCAATCAAGGCGCAGTGTGCCTCGAAACAGACTTTCCGCCCCTCGCTGATCACAAGACGCACTTTCACTCTGATTTTGGCGGCGACGTCTGGATTGAGAAGGAGTATTCAGCCGAATTTGAGAAAGAAAAGACCGAACGAGGCTTCGTTGATAAGTAAGTCAAGATAGCTCGAGACGGATTTGATGAACTAATAATGTTTGTTTTGTTTCGCTCTTTAGGTCGACTCTCGGCACAACACCTCCCGGGGCTTCCCCAAAGATGCTTTGTAATGTTCATCCTCTGAGGTCTGACTATCGCAGCGTGTCAATTTCTACTTCGATCCCCGATTCTACTAGTCAAGAGCTAGAGCTACAACTGACCCCGGCATTGGCTCGTTCTCCTGTGACGCCCAAGACCCCTGGCTCATTATTTCCTCCCACACCTACCAGCTTCAATGACGAGCGCCCGACTCTCTATTTAAAAGAGACAGACGATGAACTTTCATACAGGACAGAGGGGGTCTCGGGCGAACAAGTCCTTGATCCAACTACACTATTTGTTGGTGGATTAGAAATGCGTGGTGCGGGGGCTTGGGACGAAGGGAAAGTCTATCGTCTGTTTAAAAGATTTGGCGGCCTCGAGACTGTTAAAGTTATCCGCCCAAGTGAGTCATATCTATCCATTCCGCTGTTCGTCTACATTGATGTCACTCAATCCAGGTAGTGGCAAGGCTGCGTTCGCGTTTGTTACCTTCACTAACGCCGAAGGTCCTGCGCGCGCAATAGCCGAGTTGGTGAGTATTTTGACTATTGACTGCGTTTTGTAGTAGCTCACGTCGTAATTTGTATAGCATAATCATCTGGTTGAAGGTCGGCCCATCAGAGTGCAACTCCGGGACTGCAATCCCTCTCGTAGTCCTTTCCGAGTTGTCAGAGGTCGAGGACGCTATCCGCTACATCACGGACACCAATTCCTCAAAAGTCATCAGAGTGAATCCAAAAGAGACAAGTCTGTAGATGCCAGCCTTGGAAAATCTGTAACAGAGGTCATCGAGACATCTTGTCCACAGCCATCGCCTCTCGAACCAGCTTCTGAAACTACTAAAAATGAACCCAATGCTGCTGGCTCGTCTCACAAGTCAGACGTGGAACTTCCTACCCCTCAGATGCAGGAGCCCGAACCTTATCGAGAATGGTATGATGTGGAGAACCATTTGCCTGATTCGGTTGCTACTCCTTCGGTTGGCAATTCCTTCACCTTGGAGGGAGGCCCAGGGATGCCCTATCCCTTCCCCGCCTTCTATGCACCGGGTCCTTGGATGCAACAATATCCTCCTCATGCACACTATCCAATGGCTTTCTATCCGCCGATATATGCAGTTCCACCTAACCCTCACCCTCCGCGGTATTCTGGGTCTTCTGGATCAGATGCTAGTGGGCCCACATCTTGCCCCCCTTTGATGCCTCAAGGACCATGGAGTGCCAGTGCTAACTACGGGGTAATGTTTCCTTACTTGATCTCAGATTTTGGATTTTCTCATTTTGTCCTTCTAGTACATTCCTTACCATGGATTTCCTCAAGTCACGGACTCATCGTCTCCGCAAGGCCAAGACCAAGCGCCGGTGGTTCCTACTGGATTCTTCCGAGATGAAGCAGGCACCCTGATTCCTGTTTATCCAAGGGCAATCATAGATCAATATATGACCAATAACCCTAGCCAGAGTAATTCACCACCTGTAGGCGTTACTGTCACGGTCCCTGCTACAGTCCCTTCTCCAATTCCTGTTCCACCCAGTGGACCAATCCAAGCCTGGGTCCCACCGGGTCCGCCGATGTTTGGGCACGGTCCCAATCAGTTCCCTTCTCGTATGGGTCCACTCGGGCAACCTTCCGGGTGGATAACACCTGGTCAATCAATGAACTCTCAAGCACATCATGCTCAAGGCTTTCCTCCTTCGTTTGCCATGCCAATGATTGGAGCTCCGCCGTTTCGCGAAGGGTTTCATAGTGGAATGGGACAAGGAAATGGACACAAACGTCAAGGTCGTCGGGACAATTTCCATGCTAAACGCAATAATGGCACTCGAGGGCGAGGATCCGGTGCAGCTGTCACCGACACTACTCATGTAGATGGACGATTGAACAGCAATAGGCAGGTTTCAGGAGATTGGACACATTGGCCCGAGGCTCATCAAGGCATCGGAATAATTCCTATCTCTTAAAATTTTCACTTACATTTTGATCCTGGTTCATCTTCGTCGTCGTAAGTATCATTTTCCGCATATATGTGTGTTACGTCTTTCTCCGCAGGAGTTTCGTTGTAAAATCCATAAACTAATTTACCCACTTTCCTTGTTGAAGTTTCCTTGTTGAAGCTTCCGCACATGACATTCTCTTTCTTCTAATCATCATTGTTTTTTCGTTTTCTTTTTACTTTCGCTTTCGATTTTGATGTATGTTATCCTTTGTCGTTGATTTCGTTAATCCCTAATTCTAAAACGTTCCCATCTATACTCCTCTACACTCCTCTACCTCCTCGAACACGCACACTTTCTCTCTAGAGCAGTACAGACAATTCTAGGAACACAAAAATAGCATTTTCAACTTGTACTAGTAACGATATCAGATTCATTTTGTGACTCAATGGCTCGCAACCAACGCCCCAATTTCAACCAATACTGCTTTTGGCAATCTGACGCCACCCACAGGGGCACTAGTGATGAATGCGAGGTATTGTCCCACTGTTCTACGTACCAGATGCCAGGCGCAGGTGATTTTGTTTCTCCATGCTGGCAACGAGTTGAACTGTCATGAAATGAAGAACTGATTACATGAAAAGTTATGTACCACACACACCTGCAAGAAGCCGGATGCCATTGCGAGAACAACGGTACCACACCGTCGTTTGCCCAATACTCTTCAGGGAGGGTCTTTTGAAAGTCGGAGGCGAACAAATCTTGCTCGGTATCGATTGGAGATAAGCCGCGTTCTTCCAAAAACGACGGAACCGGTCGAATGGTCGAAAAGTCGAAGGAGCCGATTGCCCGCGCCAAAAGCGAGAGTGGAGAAATCAGTGGGAACGACAGTGACTTGAAATGGACTGTATGTAAATTCCTATCTTCTTCGCATTTCTCTGTCTTATCTATATTTAGAGCAAGGAAAACGTGATTATCCGTTTGACCTACCAAATAAGTCGCACAACTCCGATAAAATGTTCGAGGATAGGGCTGACCCTCTAGATTTGCTTCTCGTTTGTCTGCGGATTCGAACGTCACGTCAAAGGGGGCCGCATCTTGGCTCTCAGCCCAATCCGACTTCCAGAGCTGCCTCAATAAGCAAACTATACTGATGTCGTGGTATGACATGCGACGCGATTCAGTATGGAGATCCAAAAGCGTAGGTAGGACGGGGGAAAGGTATGAAATTGCGTGAACAGCTTTAGAAAGTAAAGAACCCGGGGATAATGGTCGAACTTTGGGCGCAGCGTCTACACGCTCGCCCAGAGTATACACAATTTGTGTACCTCTGAACGGAGAAGATACTATGTCGTATAGCATAAGTATGATACAAGAGTATTGAAAGGTACATCCACTGACTGGTGTTGATTGAGCGTATCCAGTCAGGATGCGCAAGCGAACCAAAATGTCCTTGCTTCATAAGATATTGAAGTTTTACTATTGTAGGTCCCCCCTGCACCAAATGATTAAAACTGCACGAGTTGGCAAGACATACTCACCATTGAGTGCCCAAGAAGATGTAAAGGGTTTTCAAGTGACCATTGAGGATATAGCCCTTGGGAATGAGTACGGCCATGCCGCGAATGTCCGTGAGCAATACTGTGCTCTTCACCATAATCGACTAGAGGCGTGGGTGATCAGCATTGAAACGATGGATATAACAAAATAGACTCACCGGTACCTCCAACGAGAGAGTAGTACAGCTCACAAGCACGATCGTGCAATGAACTAACCGGCCCAACACTTCCGAAATCTTTCAATACCCAAAACCAGGAATTCGCATTGCTCACTTACGGCGCAAAAATAACTCTTCGCTTACACTGATAGCATTCTTGGTTGAGATGTGTTTCGAAGTCGCCCCAGATTCTCGACCCAGTACGTCCCAGAAAACCTTCCACAATGACCAAAGGGATACATTGACATTGCACAGGAAATCCGTTTTCCTTCGAATTAGACATGGCTCGTAGTGGGTATAAAAGGAAAGGGATTGTCGACTAACTTTGACCTGTTCATGGTACTTATTTGAAACTGTCCGCAGGGTGCTAAATAAATATCGATCAATTTCGATAGAACACGATCATGATCATCAGACGACGGCACTGACGAGCATTGACGGCGACGCAGGGCTACTCGCTGCTACTCGTTCTCAATTGCACTTCTCTTTTCCGCGCGCACCTCAAGCTTGTGTTCCGTATTTTGTTCCTCTGTATACCCGCACCTTCAATATAGACTGTCTGCTCACTCCAAACATAGGCATGATGACCTAGTAATGTCTCCTAAACTTTGTTCTCCTGGACCTGAGTCTTCCTGCGGCGGAGTTTTGTTTCTTCATATTCCTAGATATTCCTTCTCTTAATTCGGCGGCCTGCGCTAGGTGCGTTCAAGTCAACGACAAGTCCAAGTCAACTACCTTCAACTACACACATACTTACCCCGACTGTGCTAAATTAAAACTATTTCTCGGAGCCTTGCATCCATTCTTGCTGGAGTATGCCTGAAAGTTTGTTATCAGAGGTCATGAGATAGATAGAGTGTGAAGACCGTCGTATCTGAACTTTTTCTTGAACGATACTGAATCTGATAATCTGATCAGTGATTATCAAATTTTCGACCCCCTATCAAATTTTCTCTCTACAATCAGTTTAACGCCGATCCTCGCATTCTTATCTGGTTTCTCTCATTAATACAGTCTGTATAACCACTGAAGTGTATGTAGAAGCTGATACATAAGATAAAGAGTATAGACAACGGAAAGGAGGGGGATGATATATGTACAAAAGAGGGTATGCTGTATGAGATGAGGGTATGCTAGAAATGGATCCTTTGCTTGTAGAGAGCAGATTAGTCCTGAGAAAGACTGGCAACATAGCAGTAGCGTATGGAGACGGGGCATAACTTCTAGGGGGAAGGTCAGCATGTGTAGAGAGGTACAAAGATTACCGACAACGTACGGGCATGATTCCGGTACTTGAAGCCGTGTACACGGTGATGATAGGTATAAAGGGCATGGATGATAGTTCGTGAAAGTCCAGCGCAAAAGTCGTGATGATATACAATGAATAAAGGTGACCAGTAAAGTAGCTTGCAGGGTAACCGGGCTTTGCTTGTTATACAATGCTGAAAGCTGTTAGGGAAGGAGGTCAATGATCATTGAAGTGTACAGCACACATAGTTTTATTACCTTGTTGCATGAAGAACACGAAATGGAGAAGCATCAAAAGGAGAATCAATCGCAAAGGGTAATGCTTATCGCTTAGTGTTGCCAGTAGTCCAGGACACGCCTACGCTACCGCAGCCTACGATGTAAACCTTGGCACGAAGACGACAAACCTGTGCTCGAACACACTAAGAACACAAGGGACTACGTGAAGAACACCAGACACGTACCGTGTCGGCGACATCTGCGCTACGGAAGTGAACATGTAAATCACTATTTGGCATCCTTATGATGTGCGAAACTTCTCCAAAGCTCTGATATATGGGTAAGAATGAAACCAACAGCAGAATTCTAGCTTTTTTGACTTGCCTCACACCAGGTCTTCACACCCTCAAACTTCCGGACATCATTAGATGCAATACCGCTAATGATAAGCCGCTTTTTCTTGTTGTTCTTGGAAGATAGAGCGGCGAAAGACATTTTTGACAGTGTGTTTGTCTTGCTGGATGCAACAAATACAACCTCCGGTTTCGCGTTATGTTTCGCGATAGGCACCGGAGCAGGAGACCTCTCCTCGTCATCATCGTGTATTGGATTGACGTTGGAGTTTGCTAGTCGTACAGTGGATTTGGGAGCTAAGGGTATTCGCGTACTGCCGCCCTTGGAAGAACGAGCATATGAAGAGTTGGGGACATTGTTTTCCACGGAGTTGGAACTTTGAACATGCAACATATCTGCATGAGAACGTCGCGGCAACCGAAAAGATGCAACGCCACTGTTCAGAGGAAGCCTGGTAGTTGTGACAGGTGCGTCATTATTCTTCGCGGTGGCGGTGGCAGATGTGATGCTGGTCGTGGTCGTGACGGTGGAATTTGATGATACGCTTGGGCGAGAAGGTGTGTAAAGGGTTTCGGAGGGAATAAATGATACCTGAGAGGTAGCGGACGAAGAGAAATATCCTAGCACACTCGGGCGCCACTTGGAGGGTGTGTGCAAAGGTTCAGGCATATGGGAAGAGGTAGAGGGGGAAAGAGGAGGATTGTTGAGTATCGAAAGACTTGAGGATCTGTTATGCTGTTTGGGTTTACTTCGTTCTGAGCCCTGGCCAAGGCGAGAGTTCAGCGGTATAAATGATTTACGAGAAGGAGTCCTGGGAGCTGTTTCAGCTGTAGGTGTCGAAGAACGCGCGGGTGATTGAGAACGGAAAGGGTTGTGCAGACTGCGAAAAGATGTAGGTGTCCCTAGAAAGCCTTTGTGAGCTGTGGATGTTGGTGTTGATGGTGATAGAGGAATCTAGTGATACAAAGTCAGTCTCAAACATGAACGATCAAAATAAGTGAAACAGTTGCAAAATTACCTCGGGAATCGAGCCTTGTGGGATATCCTCGTCATCTACAAGGTCATAGCTACCCAACGTTATCACAGAGCCAGAACGGCTGCGGCTTTCTTGCGGTATTCCAAGATCAGGATAAGCCAAGTATGGATTACCGCGAGGACCAAGTGTGTTGCAGCTGGCACGAGGAGTGGATTGCGGAGAGCTGGGAAGCTTTTGCTGTTCTTGGATCCATTTATCGAGCATGCTTGAACGTCTCCGGCGAGGCTGAAGCAGGGGCCGTACACTGAAAGGGTCTTCGTCGGGCGTCGTATATGGTTGATCATCCATTACTGGTTGTGCAGTATTAGATTATGATTGAACTGCTCCTGGTCATTGATTGTGCATGTATCCACACAGATTTTGACTTACATCAAAGGTGTCGTATCAGAGCGTTTTTTGTCGTTGCAATTTGTTCAAGAGTCGGAAAATGGTGGTGCAGCCCGGTAGAAGTACAGAAAAGGTAGGAGGGTCCTGGGGATTTCGGTACGGGAAAAGACTCTGGGATTTTAAAGAAATGGCATGATGAAAGGAGGAGGGAAAAGTCGCGTCGTGGTGATGGGTGCTATTCAACAAAATGGACCGCGTTTATGGCATCCCTATATAGGAATTACGCCTCGAGGCTGTTTGGTTGAAATTTGAATTCTCCCACCAGTCGGCTTGTTCGTCCCGAACTTCGCGCCTACTTTTTGCACCTCACCCTCGCGCACTTCCTTCAAACAGTCAAGCGCTACGTATGTAAATACCAGATTTTTGATCCACCTCTACATGTAATAAACACTAAGGTATTCAGGTCTTTGTGGCGCGACGTATCGATAACTCTGATATTTGAATATCTACGATGAGCATCATGTCGTTAGCCGCGCCGCAAGGTCATCCCAGCAGGCAGCAGAAGCCACACAAATATAGAAAATTGATAACCAGTATGTTGGAACGGAAATGAAGGCCTCGAATCTCTTGACATTCGGTGGCTTCGGGGCGGCCCCGATGCATCGAAGACAGCTCTTTGACAAAGTATACTTTGACTAACTTACCAGAGGATTCGCTAAGCGCGCAGTGCCAGCCAGAAAGACGAGCACACGAAGTGGATATAACACTATTCTGTTCGGAGTCGCAATCTACAAGGCTCCATCCAAAAGTTTACCACGATCTCATAACGACTAGCGTCTAATGAACGGACACGTCTCTTCTGACCGAAAACTAGAGGCTTTGAAGATGCGCGGAGTCGCACTGGGCTAAGATAAGCTCGTTAATGAAACCTTCTGTGAGAGTCTGGAGTTCTTACCGTGAGTACGTCGTGTCCTGAACCACCGTGAATCGCAAGCCAGAATAGCTTGGTTGACTGCTCGCACCACAGCCATGAAAAATAAGATGGTCGGGACGTTAGATAGTGGCAAAAGTAGGTGGTGGCGAACAAAAATTGATAAATTGCGAAATACGGCTGAAGTCTACGGGGTGGATATATAACAAGATGATCCACAAGGTAATGTTTTGCGTAGGCCTGCCTCGAGGAGACTATGGTAACGTCCAATTTCTCGGAAAGCATTTTGTTGATGGACCCTTGAGGATGCGCAGATGGAAATTTAACAATCAGACAAACTCAAGGCACGAGTTTTACGTGAAACAGCACCGACCATGTTTGGTACATGTACAGAACTTAAAGGAGACAAGGGCAAATGGGTTCCGCAATCTCCAGATTCCTTTGTGCGTAGATTCTGATGATATGGTCCGGGAGAGAGATGGGAGGAGCAGCCAGCATACGGCGGTAGCACGCTTGTACCAATCCAGATTGATTTCTGTGTGGAGGCTTGCAAGAAGACCGCATAGACAGAATTGAAGGAGATCCGAAGTAGAAAACATGAAAGACGCACGGCAATCCAGTAGAATTTACCTTCAGCAGTCTTGCACAGATGAGCTGGCATCATTTTAAACTTGATGCGAATCCATTTATGTATAAGCGTTGCAGCGAAAGATTATAATGCGATTTGCGAGAACGACGAAGCTTAAGGCATCCAGATGGGACAGGATGGGACGGAGAAAAAAGTTAAACATCCGGACCGTTTGGCACCCGATGATCACGTAGAACACCCGATTGCTCATAATTACACCTTCATCGCGGCGCATTTGTTGCTGTCTTCGACGGAATCATGGTTAATTGCATTGCTGGAGGTCTAGAAATGGCTTCTTCACTTACACTCAAGCTCCCAGAGAAGGTATGACTTTTTTTTTTTCTTTGTGCAGTTTGAATCATTCCTCAATTATCGACTCCAGATATCCATCTCAACTTGTAAACGGAGGAAATACTTCCCTTTCGACGTTAAATAATTCGAGAATCATGAGTTTACCTACTCCTTCGTCTTCTAACTCGACAACTGGAGGATTTTCTATCCCTCAACCTGGAGCGTCACTGCTTTTGTCCTTCTCTTTCAGACCATCACCGTACTCTCAACCAGCACCCTTTTTCATCCTTGGTTCTGGACCTTTAGCCGCACAACGTGCTTTTGCCGCAATCGAAGCCAACGCTTCCGTTGTTGTCCTCGGAAAAGGTAACTTAAAAACCGTTTGCGAAGAACTCAGATGGAGAGTAAACCACGGGCAGGTTAGCTGGGTTGATCTAGACCAATTTTCCGACATTGCACACGATACAGAACTCGTGAACCCGGATCTTGTGGATACATTCGCTCTGGACAAATATTTTTCCGGCCTCCCGCCTTCAGTCTCCCCGAAGTTCCTTTGTATAACAGATACGTTACTCTCCACCACAACCCGTCGATCCCGAGCGTCCGCTCGCTCCATTCACACTCTTTGCCATTCCCGGAATATTAACGTCAACACGACAGATTATCCTGATTTATGCGACTTTTCGTTCGCTACTGCATATCGATTCCCGGATCCCCCAGTAATCTCAGGAGGCTCTTCATCTGCACACCTCCCCACTAACGGGGGAGCACTCCAAATAGCAATTACTACAAACGGTCAAGGATGTCGCCTCGCTGGACGTATCAAGCGCGAAATTGTGGCTCGATTACCGAGAGATGTTGGCAAGGCTGTCGGGAATGTAGGAAAGATGAGAGCATTGGCAAAGGAGAGGGACAGGAATGCAGAACAAATATCCCCTTCTATCCTTGGGTTTTCAAGCCCTTCAGCGACGGAAGATTCCGAAGAACTCGATCCTTGTGCAGACACTGATACAGCACCTACGCCAAATTCACCTGTACCCCAGCGTCCAGGTCGGACGGATTCCATTCAAGAGAATGGTTTGAGCCCAGATGTTGAAACAACCGCTGACCGCACACGCCGGCGAATGAAATGGGTTGCCCAGATTAGTGAATATTGGCCGCTTGAAAAGCTTGCTGCCATGACAGAAAAAGACATGAAGGGGTATCTAGAGGATGAGGGTGCAGAAACAGAAACAAAAGCAGAGGTAGATCCTTCCATAACTCCGATGGAGACTCATTTGAGTTGCATGGCAATTACGAAGTCGCAATTACCACCATTTTCTGTACCACCCCCTCCTCCGACCTCAATACATTCAATATTCCCATCACCACCCAACCCCATCAAACCCGGACAGATCCTGCTTATTGGATCCGGTCCCGGCCACCCTTCCCTCCTCACCATCGCAGCCCATCGTGCTCTCACCGAACTAGCTGATATTGTATTAGCGGACAAGCTCGTTCCCGCTGCAGTTTTGGCGCTGATACCGAGCAGGGTTGAGGTAGTGATTGCAAAGAAATTTCCAGGGAATGCAGATAGGGCTCAGCAGGAGATGATGGAGAGAGCCTTGAAGGAAGCCAGGAAGGGGAGATGTGTTGTCAGAGTAAGTATTGATCTTATGCAATGAAAATAGACTTTGCGACGCTAATCTTCCTTTCTTTTAGTTAAAACAAGGCGATCCAGCAATATACGGTCGTTTCGGTGAGGAAATTCTATACTTCCGCAACCCACCCCCTCGGTCTCCTTCTACCACCACTCCTGCCGTAGATCATCCTCCGTTACCACCCACACTCGTAATCCCCGGAGTCTCCTCTGCTCTAGCTGCTCCGACAATGTTCGACATACCCTGTACCCAACGTGGCGCTTCCACATCCTTCCTGATCACAACACCCGTCGGTAAGGGCGGCAAGATGCTCGACATGCCCAAATACGAACGTGCTCGAACGGTGGTCGTGCTTATGGGTGTCGCTAGACTAAGAAGCGTCGTCAAAACCTTAATCGGCTCAGGGAAAGATGCCGGCGATTACCCTCCTTACCTCCCGATAGCTATAATCGAACGCGCTTCGATGCCTGACCAGAGAGTGGTAGAATCTACTCTGGAAGACATTGAGCACGCAATGGAGAGTGCTGAGGTTGGGGCGCAAAGACCCCCTGGGATGATGGTTATCGGATGGAGTGTGTCGGCACTTTGGGGAGATGGAAATGTGGACGTTCTGAATGAAGGTGATGATGGGGAGGGTGAAAGTTTAGAAAAGCGTGCTAGTGAGCGTACTGGCATTCTACGGGAGGCTAGTAAGGCTATCGAGGGAGAATTTCGGGAGAAGAACGAACAAGAGATGAAACAAAGTGAAGGTACACAGATAGGTAATCCAGAGGATGTCAGACGTGTACGAAATTGGTTAGGCGATGGTGTACGTTGGAGGGTTCGTGAGGGCCTTGCCTCTACTTGGGATATGTTCAACATTAATTCCGAGTGAATCGTCACGGTTGGTGACTATTGTTGTGATTGTTGGAGACTACTATGCAATGCATATGTATATTATTATATACACACATATGCTGTATGCTAAGTGTTGTTGAATGATGTTACGTGTAGTAACCATTACACGGTGTAGCCTGGGTGTAGCGATACAATTACAGATGAGTGTTGTTTTTATATACAGTACAGCAACAGTAGTGGTGATAGCATAACCAAAGCAATTGATGAGAAGTGTTGAAGAACTTGGAGAGAGCAAACCGCAGAAACTTAAACCCGTTGTCATGCAGGCGCAAAGATAAAAGAGTTCAGGTATTCAGACATCAGCCCAGCCGCCTTCATCTAATTTGTACGAGGCTTCGCTTTCTGGACGATCGGGACTATCTACTAATTTTGCGACACGTTCTTCAGCACGACCTGAAGGGGTAAGTTGAATGTGAGGACCCTCGAACTTACTGGATTCAAGATTTTTTCAACTAACCTTTGCGAAGGAACATCCTAGTTGCAGAGGCATGGGAAAGGATATGGCCACCGATCGGCTTGAGTGCACCACCGGCTACGAATGTCATGGTGGCCCCGGGATCGGCTGAAACAGAGCAGAGAGGTGCATCAGTTGTGAAGCAGAACGTAAGCAGGAAAATTTCGTTGTACATTGTACTTGATTAGTGAGAAGCACACAAATCTGCCCAGAAAAATGCGTGAGCACAGCGAAGACCAAGAAAATATTTTGCTCGAGTCAGACATTGTATTCCTCAGAAAGTTTAGTCAGTTTCGAAAGCATCTATGTTTGGAATGACAGTTGAGCTTCATTGATAAGAAAATACGAATTGTCAATGTCCGAAACTAACTTGCGCAAGCTGAAAAACCATTAATCATTTCCAAAGTTAATGTTGATCTAATTGCTCACCTTTTGTTGTCGTTCTGAAAGCTCTCCTCTTCCACTATAGTCGACACGAAAAAGGGCCATAATGCTGTCAACAATAAGTAGGCGAAAATCCTTGTCTTCCGCGAAGCGAAGTGAGCATTCGTTGATCAACTCCATCTATCGCGAGTGTGAGCTCCATAGTCAATAAAACGGTGACGAGGATACCTGATGTTCACTGTTGAAAGCACGGGCTAGAAAAAGTCGTTCAGGTTAGAACCTCGCGTTTTTTAAATGTGTATTTCCTATACCATAAAGGATATTTTCTAAGGCCATATTGCCGTCGACTCCAAACCTGTCGGCGATCGCTTTGATACGGTCTGGTCTGAAGGTTCCTGGGGAAGAAAATCAGTTGGCCAAGTGATATTTAAGAAATGAATACAGTTACCTTCAGTGTCAATATAAGCAACCTTCCCAGATGCGCCACCGAGGTCAGGAGGAAGTTGGGCTGCTACACTCATCGTATGTGCCAACTGGGTCTTTCCAGTGCGAAATTCGCCATAGACTGCCACAGTGGTTAGAAAAGTGCGCACAGAAGACATGCTATCAAGGAACACCTTCGGAAATCGATTGGGACATGATGCCGCCTGAACATAGTGGGTCGGTAAGTGCGAAATAAAACACAATGGTCAAGCATACCTCCGAGAATGGCATCGACAGATTTACTCCCCGTACTGATAACCAACACACGCTTCCTTTTATCTTGCACCTCTACGCCAGTAGAAAACGATGAGCCCTATAATGATCGTCAGGACAGATTGTGAGGACAATATTTATCACAGGTCGTTAAAGTTTGCCACGAACGAGAATCTTATTTGCCGCTTCCTACATCACACAAATATAAGCCAGATAAGCAGACATTCAGCACTAGCTGAGCTTACTTTGATCTTTTCGACTTTTGCCTCTGACATTCCCTAGCGTCGACGTAAGCCAAGACTTAGCGCATATAAGCACACGGCGCAAACCTTGATTTTGAGCAACTGTCGCCGTGTGGTCATGGTCACCCCGGAGACAGTATTTATTGCTGCAGCCTACGGGGCGCATGAGCGAAAGACACTCAAATAGAGAGTGAACCGACTTTGAGCTTGAGGATGTCTTGCATATTAATACCCTGATTGATAAAGGCGAACGAGCTCGAATTAAGGGCTAGAGGTATAGGCTCTGGTATGAAGATACGTACATGCTGCTGAAGCTCGTCAACCGTATCAAAGCCTGGGCCCTGTTATTGAAAAATCAATCCGGCTGCCTGCCAAATTGAAGGAACATTTTGAAGTCACATCATCGAGATCATCAGGACTTGTGGGCCGCGAGGGAACAACAGATCCTTGACTCGGGGCGCGACGAGGAGGCATTTCAAAGTTTCTTGGAAGTTCGAGAGTTCAAAAAATGAAAACTTGGATGATTTCGCGGAACGCGCACTTTTATAGATATCACACGGCACGTGCTACGCGTCACTGTCCAATTGGTACTACATACTTACGATGTGCCGTATACGATCCTGGACATTGGACAATGACAATACGTTACAGTGTATACAGGCATCATGGAAACAAACAAGTTTGTGCCTTTCAACTTGAACATTGTCTATCCTGATAAATCAAAGGAATCAAAGTCGATCTGCCAATGAAAATGTCTGAAGACTCTTCATGCATCATGACACGCATATAAGTTCACACTTGTTTCTTTACATCCACCATCTCACATACTATCGCCGTTTTCATTGTCGTTTTCTACTCTACTCACATCTAAACTACACCTACTGTCTCTTCACTCAAATGTCTTCCATCGCTATGTCCAATGATCGCCACGTCCGTTTCAGCAATGAGCTCGCAAAACCTTCCTCAGACCGCCACCGTATCGTGAGATATGCGTCTATATGCGTCTAGAACCTAATCTCATATACTACAGGATGGACTGGTATATCCAAGAGTCGCTCAGATCAAAGGAGAAGCCAACAAACAGGATTCTTTCGATTTCTACTGGAAGTTCGAGTGTTTGTCTGCTGTATCTCGGGTTGGAACAATGGGCACGATAGAAGTTAAAGGGGACGAAAGAATTACCATTAGCCCTCATCTCTCAGTGTGTCTTCATTCCTCCTTCGCCTAGTTTCTCATAATCTCCAAGCAGCAGGTCCAGTGTCCTCCCAACCCGTCTCGTTCCCCACGGATGACACTCACTCAACGCATTGGCGAAGTGACACCCAAACTATCGTCTACACCCCTGTCGAAACTGCTTCAGAACGAGTCAACCCTCGGCGTCCTTTGCACGCCGCCATTGCTATGTGCTTCGAGGCTTGCCGGGGATAGCAGTTCATTGGACGGAGATGCTTCCTACTCTTCTTCCACGTACTCTTCTTCCAGTTCAGATTCGGATTTCTAGATTTCCTTGATCTTTTCCAAGGGACTCCTCTTTGTTTGATATATATTCCTACAATACGGGTACTTTGAAATCTGGGACATAACATCACTAATTATCTTACTACCATACCGACCTATTATTACACTTAATGAATGTGCCAGTGTACATGACTATATTGCGAGTCACTCAGCATCAATGACCATACCTCCCCTACCTCTGCGTATCCTATCCTCCAACCCACCGGATCCCCCAAAGACCTTCTTCGACTCATGACTGAGGAATCCACCCATACCTTTTGATTTCGAGCGCGTAGCCTCCTCTGCCGCCATATCAGCCTTTTCTTTTTCCAATAGCTTTGTCAGTCGTTCTTGGCGCTCAATCTTAGTCGCTTCAGCACTGAGGGCCATAGCTGCAAGTCGTGCAGCTCGGTCATCATCTGCACGGGTACTCGGCGCAGTACTCGGACTAGGACTTCTTCGAGGCCGTTTGTGATTGTATGACTCGTATCGAGACTCCCGTGTAAGACTCGGACTTCGAGATCGCTTGCCACGACGAGGAGATATTGCTCTCCCTCTAGAGCTCGACTCTCCAGGTCGATCATACGAGTAATTGTCTCGGCCTCGAGCATTGTCGCTCAAAGGGGTTGTGGACGAGCTTCTACTGCGAGGATACCTGTCGTTATCACGACCTTGCCGGGGGATAGGACTTCGACTCTGGCGTCTGCGAATGGAAAACTCGTAGTCACGATCGTTCCTTCGATTGCTGCGGGAGTAAGGGGATGACGAGCGTCTATATGGACTGGGAGAGCGACGTTGGTTGTCACGGCGGTCATGACGATCACGGCTATTGTACCGGTCGTTCAAAGGACTAGGCGAGCGCGAGTACCGATCTTGAAGTTTTCTCTGTTTCTTCTCCTCTTTCAGTCGCCGTTTTTCTTCCTTCTCCCTTTTGCGCTCCTTCTTGTCCTTCTTGGGTACAATACCATTTCGCATCTGCATCTCTCGTAGTCGAAGAGGATTAGCCATCAACGCCTCGTACGACGCCTGCTCCTGCTGTTTGATAGCAAGAAGCGGGTCCTCGCGAATCTTGGAAGCGATATCACGAACATTATTGGCATTCTGTACGGCAATAAAATTCTTATGGGATGCACCAAGCTATAGAGGTTATCAGTCAGATAAGCAAGTATTGACGCACGATGAGCACATACCTTGGCATTCTCATCAGCAGTCAGAATTTTGTCAACCCTCTTCTTACCAAGAAGATAGTCTTCCAAGTCATTCGAGTTCTGTGTGCTTCCAGTGGCAGGTGTTGTATACATCCATTCTAACTTCTCTGCTCTCTTCTTCCCGGTCTTCTCCTCTTGTAGACGTTGAAGCTCCTGAAGCTGACGCTCTTCTTCTTTCTCCTTCCTAAGCTGATCGAGTTTCTTCTTTTCCTCGAGCTGGAGATGACAAATTAACCGACATGCAAGGCTGAAAATTAATTGATACTCACAGCTTTCTTTTCCTCCAACCACACTCGCTCCTGATTCTTCAGGAGCAGCGGGTGCCACGACTTCTTCATGTTCAGGTCTCCACCACCCATTTTAAAGATACTTCGGAGGGGTACGTGCTAGAAAATTGTTTGGTGACCAAGCGGCGGAGGAAAACAGTAAGTTGAATTACATAGAACAATGGCGGTGACGGGAAGCAAAGGCGGCTACACAGCTGAGTCATCAAAGTTGGCAGTGAGCACGTGTTCTTTCCTTTCCTCATGCTCGTCGTTCCATGTCCCAACCAAACTTTAGAGACGACCTTGAAACTGGCGAAACAGACCCTCTGAACCGCAATGCTCACGAAGAACCACCGACCCCCACGTGAGAGATGCCTTCTCATCACTGGCCTCACGGAAAATTGACTTGGAATGTCTAGCGCAACCCGTTCTATCTATGCTCTGACGCGGCAAGAAATAACCAAAGGCGTTGCCAATCGCTTCGTACACTCGCGGACGTACATCATTCTATACCTCGCTATGGCTGCTCTTTCTATCACGACAATTGTTTTAAGTATCACCGACGACTGCCCTGGCCTCGCGTTCTATATTCTTGAAATTATAATCAACACGGCAATGATATTGGAAGTGGGCATACGGTTTGTGGCCTTCGGTCGGGTGTGTCTCATATATTCTCTCCCTTATCAGAGTTAATTCTTCTTTCTTCACAGCAATTTTGGAAGTCTCCGTTCAACATTGTAGACTTGGTTTTAACCATTTTCTGCGCGCTAACATTGCTTGTCCTGGCATTTGCGAAATGTGGTTCCACCAGCAAAGAAGAGGAAATTTTGGATACCCTACTCCTTGTCGCTCGAAACGTCCTACAATTTAGCCGTCTTGCAGCCGTCATGAGACAGTACATACATCACTTGCATCATATTTCCTCAGTGGACTGATAAATCATAGATCCGGCCAATCTATCTTCTCTCGACCCAGACCCATCGATATTAACGCTGCTAGGCGGGCGGGTTACACAAATCTTGACATTGACATTGAAAGCGACGACGAAGACGATACTGAACTCGCACGGCCCCTCGTTCGCAATCCCATTGTTTTCGATGCTGATCAGCCTACTCGGCAGCAACGCGAGCCCTTATCAGAAATGCCTCTCGCAGCACATAGCCTTGAGACTCGAGATGCTGAAGATATGTGGGCTGAATTAGGTTGATTGAAGGGGGTCAACCAAAGCCGTATCTAAGTATTCAATAATGTATATACATAATCAGTGACAGAACTTATATCTTTCGTTAGATTTATAGTGGATAATAAATCATTTCTTGTATAGGTCTGCTATCTGCGCGTAAATCGTTCAAACCTGTATCAAGAATTGAAGAGGCTGAAGGGCCATTGGAATACAACGGAAGGTAAGCCTGGGTTTTTAGTTTATGTGTACTGATTCTTGGACAAAGATTGAACGTCACGGTGCCAGACAGTTTTTGTGTCTCGCGCTACATAGTCATGTTCAACTTGTTGTATGGCCGGTGTCCTTCAAAGACCTGAGGATACCGGTGATACCAAACCAATAGTAAGTATGAAGATTCCCTCTACCTTACCTTATCCTCGGACCTTTATTCATCTACTTGTCTATTTGAACAGCGTTCTCAATGCCTTGGCTACAGAAAGAAAAAAACTACTAAGATCATTCGATTCTTTATTTGCTGTCCTGCCAATCGCGCTCTAATTGAACGGGTTTAATGGTATGTGTTCGTCTTTGTTGATATCCCTAATAGAATCTGGGTAGGACTTGTAGAGTATTAGGCCTGTAGTCACCCGTTCACTTCACACCAGCTTGACACCCCGTAGACCGCGATGGAACTGCTGGCCTAGAAAGGCCTTCTAAGCGCACGACCAGCGATTTACGCGAGAGGAATGCACCAGAAATTATCCGGCGGCAGTGAAAGGAGGATATCACACTAAGACACGCCGTACTAGGCTGTATTGCATACGACCAGCAGTGATCTGATCTCAGAGCCAGTTAGCTGCATGACCCAGACCACTATCGAAAAATGAAATATTTCATCCAACCTGCTGTACTTGGTAAGAAGGAGGAGGAGCTCGGGAATATATTATGATTCTCTTCAGCTCTCTTTCAAATAAGATATGTTAGTCGGTGATGGAACATACTCAGTCGTACTTGCCCGTACTAAATTTGGCGGCGAGAAATATGACTAGTAAGTAGTGATGACTTCGCCCTTGACCCACCTCTTCTTCCTTCTATTCGATCACTACTACAACGCCCTCCACCACAAGCCATTTCCTTTCAATTCGTCACCATGGTGCACAATATCGAGGACGATTACGTTGAACCCAGGTTGAACCTGCGTTGAACTATTATCGGAAGCGATTCGGAGGTTGCATCGGCACGCTCTGGCCGATGAAAAGTATTTATATGCCCCATGTTTTTCACCCACTGCACCCACGGGTTGGCTCTTACGATTCGCACTGTAAGACAATGGCTAGTGTTACCCTTGCTCAATCCCCCGTCAGGGAGTCCTCCCCAGATCCTGAGGGCCCCGTTCTGGAATCCGAGACTGCAACAAAGAATGAGAAGACCCCATCTCAAAGCGTAGTTCAACTTACGGACCAGACGAATCTATTGCCCTTCAAGCAAGTTGTTTCCGTTTTCATGGCACTGGCGCTCTGTGTAGTAGTATCGGCGTTGGATTCTGTGATTGTCGCAACAGCCCTTTCCACAGTAGCTGCAGCTTTCAATGCTGGATCCATCATCTCCTGGGTTCCTTCTGCCTATCTAATGACATCCACCGCATTCCAACCTCTTTACGGACGCTTCAGTGATATCTTTGGCCGCAAGAGCGCTATGTGTATCGCGATGTCTTTGTACATGATCGGTAATCTGATTGCTGGTTTCTCTAAAAGTATCATCCAGATCATCGTGTTTCGAGCTGTGGCTGGCGCCGGAGGAGGCGGTATAATAGGGATGATGCAAATCATCATCTCTGATATCATTACACTGCGCGAAAGGTAAGTATTTCCAGTTATCACATGCTGTCAATTGTATGAGGTTGCTTATATCGTATGGCCGTTATCTCACCTGTACAGAGGGAAGTATCAGGGCATCATCGGAGGCGTTGTTGCACTTGGATATACAGTTGGACCTGTAATAGGAGGTGTCCTGGCTCAGAAGGTCAGCTGGCGGGTAAGTCGTGTGTTTGACTCTCTAGTCTAGTCATTCTCAATTTAGATACAAGTGGTGTTTCTGGATCACCTTACCGCTCTCCCTGCTCGCGACCGTTGTCGTTGTAATGGTTCTTCCCTTGAAGCCTGTTCACGGAGACATGCGCAAGTACGAACTACGCTTTCGTCCCCTTATTTGTTCAAATCTCTCTTAGGAAACTACTGGCCGTGGATTATCTCGGGGCCTTGTTGACTCTCATAGGATGCACCCTCATCATGCTTCCTCTTATCTGGGTATGCGAGAGTCAATCATCTATTTCTTCTTATTGAAGCCAAAATTTTAGGGTGGCGTTACCTTCCCGTGGGTATCACCTGTTGTCCTTGCGCCATTATTTTGCGGTTTTCTAGTTGTCTTCATATTTTGCCTTTGGGAGTGGAAAGGTGCACGTCTGCCTATTGTACCTAGTGCGTACTGGCTATGACAAACATCGTACTTCCGAGGGTATGCTCATTGAAATTCAAGTGTACATCTTCAAACACTCAACCGTATGCGGAGTTTTCATCGCTATGTTTGTCAAGTAAGTGGAAGACCTATGATCGTTAAAGTTCGTGCTGCCTAAATTCTCATTTAGCGGTTTTGTGTTCTTCTCCGCTCTTTATTACATACCGCAATTTTTCCAAGTTGTTTTGGCATATTCGCCAATACACGCAGGTAATGGAACCCCAAATCGTCTTTAGAGTAAGTGCACTGACTCGGACGTTAGGCTTATTCCTGATTCCTCTGCTAATTGGTCAAATGAGCTCTAGCTGGATTGCTGTGAGTAATCTTACCATTCCAGTAGGTTGCTATCGTTTATATTTCTTCACAGGGAATGACTATTAGTCGGACTGGCCGATATCGGGTACGCTTGTGCATTCCAAACATTGATCTTTTTCTTCCTGATTTGTGAATAGGCTATTGTGTACTCAGGCTTTGGCATATTAACCATTGCCTGTGGATGTATCTCGATCTTCACTGGCCATACTGCAAAGGCCACGATGGTCGTGCTCATGCTTCTTGCTGGAATAGGGAGCGGTATGGTGAGCTTCCGATGTCCAATGCTTGAACTATGCCATTTAATCAATTTCCTTTCCAATCAATCCGTTTGGATTGCACATAGACCATGCAAACCACCACAGTAGCTGTTCAAGCAAGTGTGGCAAGGAAGGATATGTCTGTTGTGACGGCGTTCCGAAACGTGAAGTTTTATCCTCTTGTTTCAATATCGTGTGAGTTTAGCACTGACCTGACGCCAGTTCATCCGTATGCTCGGTGGCGCATTCTCGCTTTCCATAGCGTCTTCGCTAGTGTATGTTTCATTTTCTCTTTCACCAGCTTGTATTTTGTTCATATCGGATAACATTTGAACTTCTAGTAATAACACTATGAGATCCACGATGGTATCTCTTGGATTGTCTGCTTCGAAGATTTCAGTCATCGTTGACAATCCAAGCTTACTCGCACACCCTGCGGATATCGAACTTTCTTCGACTGTGGCTTCATTAATTCTTACACAAGGATACACAAAAGGTTTCCGCAACCTTTTTTTCCTCAATGCCTCTCTCGGAGCTCTGGCGACCGTGGTCAGCTTCACGATGGTCAAACACAAGGAACTTCTGCGAGGCGATGAAGAGAAACTCAAGGAAGAAGGATTAGCTGCGTTGAAAGCCCGAAAGGCAAAACATCACCCAGATTCCAAAACACTTGAAAAAGACCTCGAGATAGGAGATCCAAAATCGGGAGCACCATCTGAAATCGGAGTTCAGGATAGCTAGAGCTGCATGATCTGTAAGGAGCACAGTCATCCACTATAATTAATTATAGCTTTCGAAGAATACATTGCTCATAGATATAGATATGTACACCATTTAGATGTTCCCGTAGTCTTCGGTCAGGGTAGAGAGGGTTGATTACTGACAAAATAAACCTATATTCATTGCACAGGTCCAGTTTTTGAGTAAACATTCGATTTCATGCACCATAAGCTGGTCATTTTCGCGAAGTTTTGAATTTCCTTACTAGCTTTTTTAGTCAAACGAAGAGTCAAAAAACCAAAGGCCCCACAAACTTCCATAGCGCTTGGCACTTCAATTGATGCCAGATTGATGCATACTTGCACAGCATGAATAATGTGCTCCACCTCGCGACATTTGCTTCCCTGTTCCTAGTTTCGGAGCAACGTAACTCTGAAAGCTTGAGCTTCTCTCTTCTGTGCTTAGGGGAAAGTCGGTTCCGGACAGAAGTAAGAAAGCCTATAAGAATCGTAAAATTTCTATCGTGACATACATACTGCAAGTATCAAAAACTTGGAGTGATCCGGATTTATGATTCGTGGGTGTTATTTGGAAGCGTGGTAACCGGGAACTGAACAGATTTTCTTTCCACCTCCATGTCAAATTTACAGTGACTTATGTTGCTGACCGTTTGGCTTGTGCCGTAGTTCTTTGTCAATTATCCAACTGTCTGTCTGTACTGTAACCTCGCCCTCTCATTTTGTCGTTCTCTGTTCCATGTCTTCTGCTCTACCATCTCGTTCAGACTCTTCGCGGAATTGGTGGTCCTTATCATCTAAAGGCTCAACACGAGAGCCCTCTTCCTTTCCCCAGGAGAAAGCCGGTCGACCTTCTTCCAGTAAACGGAACGATAACACCAAATTTAATACGTTGGCTTCAGCTTTTGGTCTGAAGACGAAAAAGCATCCTTCCCTGACGATTGAGGATCCTCCGGCCACCTCATTTCCTTCCCATCACGAACTCGAACCGCTATACTCTCCAGAGCTTTCGCCAAAATACACCAACAGGCCTCCGTCCAAATCCGTGTCCTCCACAAGATCTAGGGTAGACTCCATCGAACCTAGGACTCCCTCGGACGGCCAGCGCGATTCAGCGTCCAACCGCCATTCTCTGCTTACCCTTTCTGATATCGATCCATTCGCCGCTCGTAGCGGTATTGCTGTTCCCCATTCACCAATAGACCCCAATCGACTGTCAGCATACTCGGGCAGTTCCGTCGTCCCTGAATACATTACGAAAAAGTTGGACGACGTACCGGTCGCTGCCAGCAGGGTCTCTTACGCTTCTTCTTCGTCCCACTCCTTCTCTCCCGACGACATGGCTTCTTTGAGTCCCCCATCATCGCTCTACTTTATTGCTGAAAAACCTCACAAGAAGCTATCTCCAAAGTATGTAAATTTCACCACGTAGGAACGCAAGGATGTTGTTGACTTACTCGCAAAAAAAAAAACAGGAAATCGTTGGGAGATTTAGGTCAAAGAACAAGTCGTTCGAAGCTTGATGAATTTCCTCCTGGGATGATTAAATCTAATTCATCTGTAACATTGACCGACAAGAATAGGCTCAGCCATCCTGAAATCTTCTCCGCACCACGACCGCCCATGCGTGCCCGGGGAATGACTGACGCTGCTGCTATATATCGTTTACCAAATTTCCTACAAGATGACCGTTCTGCTACCAACTCGGCCACTTTCTCTCTGTCGTCTCCATCATCTCCTCCTCCGGTATCGCCCCGTGTCGTTATTCGCCAACCTTCCCTCCAAAGAATGGGTCTCCCTATAAGCGCACCACCTAGCCATCGTTTGCCTCCCCCTCCCGTTCCTGTTGATGTAACCGACGATGAGGATGTCGACCCCTTGCGATTCTCGAACTCTGCATCGTCTTCTACCACGTCTTTCAAGTCCGAAAGAGACGCCGGCATGGTAAATCAGCACTATATCCCTCGTTCTAGGCCAAGAGAACGCGAACTCCGGCCTGTGGAAGATACAATTCAGAAATCTCGCACACTAAAAAAGGCAGTCTCTCACCAGTCGCTTTCAAAGATGGCCTCTTCCAGCGCGACATCGGTGTCCACCCCGCCGCCTATGCCAGAGAAGGGACCGCGTAAACAACGCTCATTTCATCATCCCCGAATACCGCTGCCCCAGATGCCTTCTCTGAAACACCATTCATCTGGTTCCGCAGTACCACCTTTAGATGGGCCAGAGCCTAAAAGAGGAAGTATGAATGGTCCTCCGACGCCAAGTAGGAAGAGGTTATTCTCCGGTTCCAGTACGCGAAGACCCTCAACTTCGCAGGAAACGTGGGGCGAGGATGATCATCGGTCTGTCTTCAGTCTTGACCGAGAGAAATCGACGCCTATCTCTCCCATCTCTACAAAGCCCTCTAGTCATTCGTCTTTCTGGGATGAAGGTGGCGCGGACGCAACCCCCAGCAGCCCTCGTGCATCCACAATGGACTACACTCCACAACAGACCATGTCTCCTGCAGAAATGCTGAAGCTTGAAGCAGACGTACGGGAATCACTCTCGTTGTCACGGTCCAGAGGAATGTCAATCGTTTCCTCATCAACCGTTGCTTCAGAATCAGACAGTACCTCTCCACTACCCAGTCTGATGAACTCTATACGTTCACATGGGTTATTGAATCCTCAGCCGCATCCTATCAGGAGTAATTCAATGGGTAGTGGAGGTATGGTTGTCACACCGCGGCTTCCCCGTCCATCTACAGGTCAGTCCGTATCTTCGCCAACTCTCTCTAATACCATCTCTACGCCTGGCTTAGTAAGCCTTCCTCCGCCACCTCGGTCTCGACGGCCACAGCCAGCCTCGAATGCCCCAGAACCATCTCTCAAAGCGCTCTCACCACCTCCTAGGACCAAAGTGGTCAATAAGACGATCTCGAATGACAAATTGAATCGCCGCACTCCTTTAACTCGTAAATCATCTTTTCTTGATATTGATGGTGACCTGGCTTCCAATCAGTCGTCTTCGCCTTCTATTCCACTTCACGGAGGTGATAGCTTCTTGGATTTGGCTCGCGAATCTTTAGATACAGTTCGCAGTGATACGGATGAGGAACAATTTTAGGATTTTTCTTGAGAATGTGCAAGTCTTTCTTTATATTCTTATCTCCTATTTGCCACACCCACATCTCTACCTATATATCTATACCTTACTGCCTACTTACTTACTTTCTGCTACCTACTTCCAGGATTCTGCCACGTATCTTTGCTTTTGCTACCTTGCTTGCATTCTTTCTGGCTCACTTTGGATCGTACCAAACCGCTGTCTCTCATTTGATGTTTTCTTCCGACAAATTACCTGACTATTGCAATATAAGTAGTATCATACATGTAGATGTTGCGCAACACGTTCTTGTAATCCCTAGTCCGAATAACTAGTCTGTCTCGTCTGTGTGATATCCTGCCCGTCTCATCGCGCCCAGTCTGTGTCGTGCTGCACCAAGCTCCTTCTCCAATTTGAGTATCTCAACTTGTTGTTCCATCTCACGTTTCTTGAATTCTAGGACAGCCATATTGGAGTAATTGACATCATTATCCTCCGCCTGTTTGGCTGCAACAGCTTTAACCTGCCTGACCAGGGCTCTGCAAGCTTCTGTGACCGCCTTAGCAGCGAGCTCAAGTCGCTCCTGTGTCTTGGACATCAAGTTAGCCTTGACTCGGGAGGCAGCGACGAGTTGAGCAGTGGCAGCAGCGACCTCATTAGAAGCGACGATAAGTTGCTCCAAAGAGTGGGTACCAGAGAGAACACCATCGGCACTCTCGATGAGCAAATTTGTAGCGAAGGCAACAGCCTTGGCGGCTGAAATGAGACCCTCTGTCCAACGATTGTTGCGTTTGTAGAACTGCTGCATTGAACTAGAACCCTTGCCCTCCGCAACGATCTCCTGCTGCGATTCAGTGGCTGCTTTGATAAGTCGGGCAATTGCATTCGTGATGGCCATTGCAGCAGACAAGATGGAATCATGGACTTGGAGATCCACAGCACTAAAGCGGCTGGTATCCCGAGGACGGGCCATTAGCTCTTGCAGTCGCTGGGTAGCGGCTTCTATGGCCTGAGCGGCGCTGTTCATCTCATTTTCCACGATGTCCCCAATGTTTCCATTGGCACGAGCAAGTGCGTCCGATTTCGCTCCCTTGGGTATGAGCTTGTCCACATTCTCGGATAACTTCACGAGAGCACTGCGTATGTCGCCATTACCACGCATCGCAACATCTTTTCGTTGGTTTGGCTTTAGGAGGTTGACCTTGTACGACTGAAGGTTCAAGAAGAAACGCAAACCAATATCTCCGGAGGTTTTAGCCAATCCAATAAGCTTGTCAGATGCATCGTCGTCACTGGCTAATCGAGTGACACCTTTGGTATTGATGAGAACGTCAGCTAAAGATTGGGCAAACTCGTTGGCTGATTTGATGACATTCACATGCTCGCCGCCTTCCTCTTCACCGAGATAAAGATTATAGATCGTGGAGAATTCGTTGGCGTTGTTCATAGCCTTTTCGATCATAGACAATGTGTACTCGGGAGTGCTGTTCAAATTGCCGGCCTGAGTCATTGATTCCAACTCATAGATAGATTCATCGACCTTCTGGACACAGGCCTGTAGGATAGAATCTGAACGAAACGAATTAGACACCGGAGAGCCAATTATGATATAGACCTGGGCCTACCAATTATATCGTTCAACTTCTTGCGGTTGTCCAAGATCAGAGTGTCGATCTGGGCATTGGTAGTCTCGTCCACCAAACCTTGATTCTATATCACAATCAACAAATGAATCCTTGAATGAAACTCTTCACATACTTGCTGTGCCTCGTCAAGCTTTTTGAGTGTATCATCCATACCAGCATTCAAAATCTCAATCTCTTGATCTTTCTCGTCCCGCAAATGTTCCAAGTCGTCGTGAGCCTGATCCAACTTCGAGAGATACTCGTCGATCTGTGCTTGCTTGACCTATTGAGGGAATGGTACTGGAATCAGGACCAACAAGGGAGAAGTCACAGAAACATACGCGAAGGGAATCTTCCAACTCTGAAATTTGACGGTTGTATTTTGACAACACAGAAGACACCTCAGAGTTCTTCGACCGTGAGGCATCATCAGCACGCTCATTCGCGAAATTCAACTCGCGCCTCAACCGGTCCATCTCCTCTTTATGGGAAGATTTCTGTCGGTCAACGTCGAAGCGTGCACGGTCTCGCTCCCTAAGCATATCTGCAAGCTCTAGATTCTTCGCTTTCAGATCCCTTTCCATTCTCTCCATACGATCGACGGCCTCTTGCGCCGAGTTGGCCTTCAGTTGCATTTGTTTAAACTTTGAGAGCATGTCGAGGTGTTCCGTACGAAGCTGACTGTAGAGCTTCGCGAGCGCCTCGTACTTGTTCCGCCATAGTGTCACCTGGTCTTGTAGTTGTTTAATCAAATCGTCTTTGGAAGCCATCTGGGAGTTGATATTTGTGCCAATTCCTGCAAGTTCTGCCTCCAATGCTTTGACCCTCTATGATTGACGAGTATCAACAAACGCTGTTCGGCCAATCACAAACATGCTTACACGATCGTATTGCTCTAAGAAGATTTGATCACGCTCGTACTGGCCTCGCATCGCAAGAAGCTCGCGTTCTAATTCACCGACCTGTTGAGCAGCCTGGTTGTTGTACATTTGTTGTTGTTGAAGCATAAGCTGTTCTTGGGCCAGGCGTTGTGCCTCCGCCTGATCCCGCTGCCTCTGTTCAAATTCCTGTTGCTGCTGGGCGTCCAGTTCTTGTCTTCTTCGTTCCTCGGCTTCCCGAGCCGCGAGTAAAGCAGCTTGATGTTCTTCATACTCCCTGAGCATACGTGCCTGCTCATTCATAGCGTTGGCATCAGGTGAAGGGGCAGGAGGAGGTGACGGAGATTTGGGAGCTACAGTTTTTGGGCGAGCGGGAAGATCTGGTGCGTCGCCTGTATCCATGAGATTTGGAGGATCCTGAATGACTACGATTTAAGAATTATCATGAAATACGGAGATAAACTTACCTGACCCAGCTTGGGCACATTGATTAAGCCGGTCAGATATTTCAGGTTGGAGCATTCGTAGTAGAACTTTCGGAGACTGTGATGTTGTGATGCATAACGTTGACGAAGGGGTTCCAGTGCATCAACATCGTTAGTACCTGGAATTCGGTTTCAGCGACGAGCAAGGACATAGACATAGAGAAACACGTACGTCGGTACATCGCACGTATCATGCTTGTGATAAATCTGTATATACCCCAGCTTTCTTTCACCAGAGGAACCAAAGACGAGATGCGGCATTCGTTGTTAGTCGAATGCCTAAAATGCGAAAAGACCATCTTTTGGAAAGATTCAATTTGGTCTTGCAATCCCATCAGGTCTGATATGGTCTCGTAACTATGCACAGGCTTTAGAAGTCCGTTCGAGTGAGGAGTTGGATGTTACTGCGTACCCCTCATTTGGATCGTCAATTCCTTTCAATGTGATATACTCTTCGTACTCAAAAAGACCATTGAATTCTGGCCGTAAACGATGGAAGCGAAGTTTAGCCAGTAAGAACTGGACGTAAGTCCTGATCAAGGGACCGTAACCTGGTGCGAATATGAGATTGGAATAATCGATAAAGGGAAACGACACGGCGTACCCCTCATGCCATCGGTACCGACAGTACGAGCGCAGGTTTCCAGCCACGCAGTTTGTCCGTGGGCTTCTTTGAGAGTCTACAAACAAACACAACATTAGGGACTTGGAAGGAAGCAAGCGCAGCATGACGCACATTAGGATGACCCTCCTGCAAAACCTTATGGACTGTGATGAGAGCCTTGAACGTCTGGACTTCATCCGAAAGTATCGGTTGAACTCGAAGACCACTCCAGAAAGATATGGAGGAATGATAATCCCATGTAAAAACGATACACTCTAGATGAGTTGGTCAGTAAACACAAAGATAAGTGGCCGCCAGCGACAAACTTCGAACGTGCTTCTGCTTCGGCGCAGTTTCCTCAGGACTTGTAGCCTTCTTGATATTTATGACAAGTTCATGTTCCGCCTTGTCTTTGTCGACTGGCCGTGTCGGATAATGGATCTCCTCGTCCATGTCAAAACCCCCCTTCTTCTTATTGCCGTACCTGTACAATAGTCAGAGAAAGCAGGAATAAACTACATGGCATAGAAACACACATGGCTGCAGGTTACAAGGAAGGAAACACCTCACAACAGTGAACAGTGAACACCTTTAATTACAAACTCCCCGTGCGAAGTTAGCCAACCGATGATTCGTTTCCTTTCAACACGGCCAATTCACTCAAATGTTTTCCACTTCAGAGCACCAAAAACTACATTTCGTCTTCTTCACGACAAAGCCAATGTTCCCTCTATATACAAACCTCGCAAGGAGCGCTTCATAACACCGACAATGATACTTCTTGGCATCATACCTGTCTTTACTTTCGCTCTTGGGACATGGCAAATTCAACGATTGAAATGGAAAGTCAACCTCATTGATGAGCTCGAGGAAAAGCTTCAGCTCGTCCCTTTGACATTACCAAGGCGAATAAAGTCTGTATCTTATCATCATCTTCTGCAGCGCTCTTCCTGATCGCACTCCAGCCTTTCTGTTATCCCAGAATTTGTCTTCAGAAAGGTCCTCATACGTGGAAGGTGGGACCATGAGCATACAATGCTTTTAACACCCCGTGTCCGTGAAGGTGTTCATGGTGCTCATGTTGTAACCCCCCTTATACGCGAAAACGGCACAACTATCTTGGTGGATCGGGGCTTCGTCTCCAACGACTATGTAGACGACTTGTCCTTTACGAAGGAGGAAGGCGAAGTGGAAGTTCTTGGTATGCTACGCACCGCACAAATACGGAATAGTTTCACACCAGACAACCTTCCCGAGGAGAGAAAATGGTATTGGAATGATGTCGATGGCATGGCTGCTTACGCAGGTGGAGATGAAGCCAACGTTCAGCCCGTGTTTGTGGAAAGGATTTTTCGTATGTGCTACTGGACGACGTTGAACGTTTATACTGATGCTTTTTATACAGAGGGTCATGCGGGAGATGCAGATTACTGTGTTTCGAGAGGCATTCCAGTTGGACGAGCTGCCGTAGTCGACATGCGCAATGCACACTTGTCTTATGTGATAACATGGTGAGTTTTCTTGTCAAGTGTCGATAGCCTCGCTCATGTTTCTGTTCTTAGGTTTGGGCTCTCTGCACTAACAAGCTTCATGTTCGTGCGAGTGCTAATCAATAAGAGCAAAATGCGCGGACGCAGGTTACCTCGCTTCGGTTAATCATCGTATGCAGAGAGTTGGTCAATCACCATTGTCCGCGGAACAATTGAGCCTATCTTTTCTGTTACATTACTCAGAAGTGCCCCATACATAGGTATGATTGACTGAGTACTGTCTACATAGTGTCAAACCAAACATCTTTATCAAGCTTTTGCAATCACAACCAGGTCGATCAACGGTTTTAGTCTTTTGGCGGATCTTATCGTTGTTCCTTTGTGCTCTGTTTTTGGAGAACCATAATGAACCACAGCACGTGGACGTCCTATTTAGGGCGATTTATGACTATATATGGCAACTTCCTTTGTGCAAGGCTGATTCCGGAATTTGGGCATTGTTTTCGCGTACGACTCGGCAATGTTACTGTGGCTTTCTTGGCCATAAAATGAGATAAATAAGAGGTCGAACGAGTACAATCTTGACCTCTCACTCTTTCGTTCACTGCATGCAATGACTAATAAGTTTGCGCAGCTTAGCGAAAACTTATAAGATACTGTCGAAAAATGAAAGCCCGATAAGATTGCGGACTTATGAAAGAACTTATTGAAGATAAATGTGACAACCCTGTCACATAAGTTTTACATAAGAAACAATAACAAATGTGGAACTTATGGGATTTAAATGGAATTGTCGGAAACTATAAGTATTCAATAAGGTCACATACTTTTAGAACAATAGCACAAGACTTATAGGAAAAATTATCTGATGAAGTACTAGATAAGTATTTGATAGGTAGGGTTTTATATCTGAAACTTGCAGGATACTGATGTAGTACAGAAGAGGAACTTATGGAATACATATTGGGAACTTATGTGACAGGGTAACAAATAAGGCTCTCAAAATAAAATGATTTAGTTAAAAACTTATAGAATAATTATATGACATGAGGAGAGTGATGAAAGCATCACATGTTGGAGAATGTCCAAAGAGGTGTGAAGCATGCTCAAGTGTGTCGAAGCTCAGTTTGGATGTGTTGAAGCATTGCAGAAGGGTGCGAAGCATGCTCAAGTGTGTCGGAGCTTAGTTTGAATGTGTTGAAGCATGTCAGAAGGATGCAAAGCATGCTCAAGTTTGTCAAAGCTTAGGACTTGAGCATGAAGCATGCTCAAATGTGTCAAAGCTTAGTTTGGATGTTTCAAAGCATGTCAGATGTGTTGAAGCATGTCGGAGGGGTGCGAAGCATGCTCAAGTGTGTCGAAGCTCAGTCTGGATGTGTTGAAGGATGTCGGAGGGGTGTGAAGCATGCTCAAGTGTGTCGAAGCTCAGTTTGGATGTGTTGAAGCATTGCGGAAGGGTGCGAAGCATGCTCAAGTGTGTCGGAGCTTAGTTTGAATGTGTTGAAGCATGTCAGAAGGATGCAAAGCATGCTCAAGTTTGTCAAAGCTTAGGACTTGAGCATGAAGCATGCTCAAATGTGTCAAAGCTTAGTTTGGATGTTTCAAAGCATGTCAGATGTGTTGAAGCATGTCGGAGGGGTGTGAAGCATGCTCAAGTGTGTCGAAGCTCAGTCTGGATGTGTTGAAGCATGTCGGAAGGGTGCAAAGCATGCTCAAGTGTGTCGAAGCTCAGTCTAGATGTGTTGAAGCATGTCGGAGGGGTATGAAGCATGCTTAAGTGTGTCGAAGCTCAGTCTGGATGTGTTGAAGCATTACGGAGGGGTGTGAAGCATGCTCAAGTGTGTCGAAGCTTAGTTTGGATGTGTTGAAGGATGTCGGAGGGGTGTGAAGCATGCTCAAGTGTGTCGAAGCTCAGTCTGGATGTGTTGAAGCATGTCGGAAGGGTGCGAAGCATACTCAAGTGTGTCGAAGCTTAGTTTGGATGTGTTGAAGGATGTCGGAGGGGTGTGAAGCATACTCAAGTGTGTCGAAGCTTAGTTTGGATGTGTTGAAGGATGTCGGAGGGGTGTGAAGCATGCTCAAGTGTGTCGAAGCTCAGTCTGGATGTGTTGAAGGATGTCGGAGGGGTGTGAAGCATGCTCAAGTGTGTCGAAGCTTAGTTTGGATGTGTTGAAGGATGTCGGAGGGGTGTGAAGCATGCTCAAGTGTGTCGAAGCTTAGTTTGGATGTGTTGAAGGATGTCGGAGGGGTGTGAAGCATGCTCAAGTGTGTCGAAGCTCAGTTTGGATGTGTTGAAGCATTGCGGAAGGGTGCGAAGCATGCTCAAGTGTGTCGGAGCTTAGTTTGAATGTGTTGAAGCATGTCAGAAGGATGCAAAGCATGCTCAAGTTTGTCAAAGCTTAGGACTTGAGCATGAAGCATGCTCAAATGTGTCAAAGCTTAGTTTGGATGTTTCAAAGCATGTCAGATGTGTTGAAGCATGTCGGAGGGGTGCGAAGCATGCTCAAGTGTGTCGAAGCTCAGTCTGGATGTGTTGAAGGATGTCGGAGGGGTGTGAAGCATGCTCAAGTGTGTCGAAGCTTAGTTTGGATGTGTTGAAGGATGTCGGAGGGGTGTGAAGCATGCTCAAGTGTGTCGAAGCTCAGTCTGGATGTGTTGAAGCATGTCGGAAGGGTGCAAAGCATGCTGAAGTGTGTCGAAGCTCAGTCTGGATGTGTTGAAGCATTACGGAGGGGTGTGAAGCATGCTCAAGTGTGTCGAAGCTCAGTCTAGATGTGTTGAAGCATGTCGGAGGGGTGTGAAGCATGCTCAAGTGTGTCGAAGCTCAGTCTGGATGTGTTGAAGCATGTCGGAAGGGTGTGAAGCATGCTCAAGTGTGTCGAAGCTCAGTCTAGATGTGTTGAAGCATGTCGGAGGGGTGCGAAGCATGCTCAAGTGTGTCAAAGCTTAGTGCGAAGCATGCTCAAGTGTGTCAAAGCTTAGTTGGAATGTATTGAAGTATGTTGGAAGGGTGCGAAGCATGCTCAAGTGTGTCGAAGCTCAGTCTAGATGTGTTGAAGCATGTCGGAGGGGTGTGAAGCATGCTCAAGTGTGTCGAAGCTCAGTCTAGATGTGTTGAAGCATGTCGGAGGGGTGTGAAGCATGCTCAAGTGTGTCGAAGCTCAGTCTGGATGTTTTGAAGCATGTCGGAGGGGTGTGATGCATGCTTAAGTGTGTCGAAGCTCAATCTGGATGTGTTGAAGCATTACGGAGGGGTGCGAAGCATGCTCAAGTATGTCAAAGCTTAGTTGGAATGTGTTGAAGGATGTCGGAGGGGTGTGAAGCATGCTCAAGTGTGTCGAAGCTCAGTCTAGATGTGTTGAAGCATGTCGGAGGGGTGCGAAGCATGCTCAAGTGTGTCGAAGCTCAGTTGGGATGTGTCAAAGTATGTCAGAAGGGTGCGAAGCATGCCCAAGTGTGTCGGAGCTTAGTTTGAATGTTGAAGCATGTCGGAAGGGTACAAAGCATGCTCAAGTCGATTGAGCTTCGACACACTTAAGCATGCATCACACCCCTCCGACATGCTTCAACACATCCAGACTGAGCTTCGACACACTTGAGCATGCTTCGCACCCCTCCGACATCCTTCAACACATTCCAACTAAGCTTTGACATACTTGAGCATGCTTCGCACCCCTCCGTAATGCTTCAACACATCCAGATTGAGCTTCGACACACTTAAGCATGCATCACACCCCTCCGACATGCTTCAAAACATCCAGACTGAGCTTCGACACACTTGAGCATGCTTCACACCCCTCCGACATGCTTCAACACATCTAGACTGAGCTTCGACACACTTGAGCATGCTTCACACCCCTCCGACATGCTTCAACACATCTAGACTGAGCTTCGACACACTTGAGCATGCTTCGCACCCTTCCAACATACTTCAATACATTCCAACTAAGCTTTGACACACTTGAGCATGCTTCGCACTAAGCTTTGACACACTTGAGCATGCTTCGCACCCCTCCGACATGCTTCAACACATCTAGACTGAGCTTCGACACACTTGAGCATGCTTCACACCCTTCCGACATGCTTCAACACATCCAGACTGAGCTTCGACACACTTGAGCATGCTTCACACCCCTCCGACATGCTTCAACACATCTAGACTGAGCTTCGACACACTTGAGCATGCTTCACACCCCTCCGTAATGCTTCAACACATCCAGACTGAGCTTCGACACACTTCAGCATGCTTCACACCCTTCCGACATGCTTCAACACATCCAGACTGAGCTTCGACACACTTGAGCATGCTTCACACCCTCCGACATCCTTCAACACATCCAAACTAAGCTTCGACACACTTGAGCATGCTTCGCACCCCTCCGACATCCTTCAACACATCTAGACTGAGCTTCGACACACTTGAGCATGCTTCACACCCCTCCGACATCCTTCAACACATCCAAACTAAGCTTCGACACACTTGAGCATGCTTCACACCCTTTCGACATACTTCAATACATTCCAACTAAGCTTCGACACACTTGAGCATGCTTCGCACCCTTCCAACATACTTCAATACATTCCAACTAAGCTTCGACACACTTGAGCATGCTTCACACCCCTCCGACATCCTTCAACACATCTAGACTGAGCTTCGACACACTTGAGCATGCTTCACACCCTCCGACATCCTTCAACACATCCAAACTAAGCTTCGACACACTTGAGCATGCTTCGCACCCTTCCAACATACTTCAATACATTCCAACTAAGCTTTGACACACTTGAGCATGCTTCGCACTAAGCTTCGACACACTTCAGCATGCTTCACACCCCTCCGACATCCTTCAACACATCCAGACTGAGCTTCGACACACTTGAGCATGCTTCACACCCCTCCGACATGCTTCAACACATCTAGACTGAGCTTCGACACACTTGAGCATGCTTCACACCCTTCCGACATCTTCGACACACTTGAGCATGCTTCACACCCTTCCAACATACTTCAACACATCTACAGTGAGCTTCGACACACTTGAGCATGCTTCACACCCCTCCGACATCCTTCAACACATCCAAACTAAGCTTCGACACACTTGAGCATGCTTCACACCCCTCCGACATGGTTCAACACATTCAAACTAAGCTCCGACACACTTGGGCATGCTTCGCACCCTTCTGACATGCTTTGACACATCCCAACTGAGCTTCGACACACTTGAGCATGCTTCACACCCTTCCAACATGCTTTAACATATCCACACTAACCTTCGACATACTTGAGTATGCTTCGCACCCTTCCGACATGCTTCAACACATTCAACCTAAGCTTCAACATATCCAAACTAAGCTTTGACACACGTGAGCATGCTTTGCACCCTTCCGACATGCTTCAACACATTCAAACTAAGCTTAGACACACTTGAGCATGCTTCACACCCTTCCAACATGCTTCAACACAGCCAAACTAAGCTTTGACATACTTGAGCATGCTTTGCACCCTTCCAGCATGCTTCAACACATCCAAACTAAGCTTCAACATACTTGACCGTGCTTCACACCCTTCCGACATGCTTTAACATATCCAAACTAACCTTCGACATACTTGAGCATGCTTCACACCCTTCTGACATGCTTTAACACATCCAGACTAAGCTTCGACGTTCGACACACTTGAGCATGCTTCACATCCTTCCGACATGCTTTAACACATCCCAACTAAGCTTCGACACACTTCAGCAAACACACTTCAGCATGCTTCACACCCTACCGACATTCTTCCACACATCCAAACTAAGCTTCGACACACTTGAGCATGCTTCGCACCCTCCACACATTCAAACTAAGCTTCAACATACTTGAGCATGCTTCACACCCTTCCGACATTCTTCAACACATCCAAACTAAGCTTTGACATACTTGAGCATGTTTCGCATCCTTCCGACATGCTTCAACACATCCAGACTAAGCTTCAACACACTTGAGCATGCCTTGCATCCTTCCGACATGCTTCAACACATCCAAACTAAGCTTTGACACACTTGAGCATGCTTCACACCCTTCCAACATGCTTCAACACATCCAAACTAAGCTTTGACACACTTGAGCATGCTTCAAACCCTTCCGACATTCTTCAACACATCCAAACTAAGCTTTGACATACTTGGGCATGCTTCGCATCCTTCAGACATGTTTCAACACATTCAAACTAAGCTTTTACATACTTGAGCATGCTTCACACCCTACTGACATGCTTTAACATATCCAAACTAAGCTTTGACATACTTGAGCATACTTCGCACCCTTCCGACATGCTTCAACACATCCCAACTAAGCTTTGACATACTTGACCATGCTTCACACCCTTCCGACATGCTTCAACACATCCAGACTAAGCTTTGACACACTTCAGCATGCTTCACATCCTTCCAACATGCTTTAACATATTCAGACTGAGCTTTGACATACTTGAGCATGCAAAGCATCCTTCCGACATGCTTCAACACATCCAGACTTAGCTTTGACATGCAAGGGTACACTAGTAAAGTCTGTAGAAGTAAGTAACTCAGTTGGTATGAACACAACTGCATGTATGTACCTGTAGAATTAAGTAGCTATTATAGTGTTAGTATTGTAAGTTGGTGGTGTGCTATTCTGAGGGGCTCAAAGTCGCCGCTGTTCGTGATCCACCTCTTCAATTGTACAGTACCTAGGTAATGATAAACAGTGTATACATATAATGTATTGTCAAAGCTGTAAGTAACGGTGCCGGTATGTATGTACGGAGTCTACTCCGATTAGAAATATCCTTTGAACTTAAATTATATGATAATGCTCATACTCTAATATCTGTGCCATGCAAAGGTTAAAAAGCCTTAACAAAGTGTGAATCAGTCACTTTGTAGCGGCATCTCGGCAGCTGAGTGTCCATTTTGCTCAAAAGGAAGGTAGATAGACATAGATAGATAGATACGCGGCTCCGTCTAAGACGGGGTCCCGCAAGGGAACAGCCGGGGGTAATCACCTTTTGATCCCCTCTCTGACAGTAGTCCCCGGCCCGTACCTATCCCCATGTAGATGTACGTACGGTCGTCGGTGGATCCAGTCGGTACCCGGGAAACATCAATCCATGTCCATCCCTAATTACAGACAGGCAAAGGAAAGTAAGCGGAACGACGTCCCGAGCTGCAGTGTTAGACATGCATTGCACAGGTTACTGCCAGTGGCTACTGCATACATATTCCTGAGGTCTGAACGTTTCTATTATAACAAGCTTTGTTTCGAAATATATACAAGGAATGAGATAATCTAGCATGTTACAATCATATGGAGAACTCGATTCCCATTAAGTTCAAGTTATGACGGGGGTTCCAGTACCAATGCTTCTTGAAATGGGTATAAACCTGAGTGGCAGTACTCGAAGCAGACAGGACTTTCAGATTATGTCTGTCTGTGCCTCAGCAAAGTTTAACCACGTAGTAATAGAATCTGACTCACACAGATTGCAAGTGACCAGCTAAACGGCGAGGGATGGTCTCCTCATGACAGTGGGCGCAACAGAAAACTGAGTCAAAGCTGAGCGGTTCCTTGGCGCGGATTTCTGAAGATTCCCCTGCACCAAAACAGTTGACAGCGAAAAAAATTTCGTCTTGAACGGTAAGATTATGAGTTAGCTGTACAGAACAGTGCAACATTGATTAGTAAAAACGCAAAGGTCAGGTTCAACAACATACAGCAGCCGGCCACGTCACAAAAAGTCGTGCAGGGTAGGTGTTTGCTTGTTCGCTTGTATTTTCGATTACCGGACGAGCAAAACTCAAATCACAAGCTGTAGCTGTAGCTGGATTGAGGCCCGCACTAACGACAATTCGGCGAGCTAACTGCGAGCTTTGCGAGTGGAAAAATAGTGTAACAGATGACCAACAGCCATCCTTCACTGTATCCCAAAATTCGGCATAACTTTTCCTCTTCTCCCGACTACCACCATCCGCAACTCGATTTTGGAAGCAACAACCATGGTAGAACATCTGCGGAAATATCAACAGCCCGTTACACTTTGCACATCCGAAAATCGTGGTGGCCAGGCGAAGGTCAAAGGCAGTCGCACCAGGGGAAGCTTGTTTCACGATTTCGAGAAGAGATTGAAGTTTTGCGGGTCTCCATTTATCGAGAATCCGGGGTAGTTCTGCCAAGAGCATTGTTCTAAGATGCGTAGGTGTCACTACCTTCATTTTCGGTGGATTGAATATCATATCCTGGAATACGGAGTCGGTCAATATATCGTGTACACCTGGAAAAGGCTCTCGAAGATCTTCATGGGATAAAATGTCAAGATATTCTTCTCGGAGAAGGGAATACTGGTCATGGCAATTTTGGATATGCTCTTGCTCTAGACGTCTGGTTTTGTGTTCAGATAGTAACTCCAGTAATTCGGGCTCAATATTGGCCCAAACTTAGGTGATCAAAGATTTTTGATTAGGAGAGAAAGCGACAAAGTAAAATTG